ATACTAAGGAATTCCAAAGTCCAAGTAAGAAACGAGATTAACAAAATACCACGCTGATATTTGTGTTGTGTGGATTCCATATAGTCAATGCGCCTGGAGATGCAGTCTCGAAAGTCAGACCTGAAGGCCCCAATCAAAGGAAAAGCCAAGTAGTATTTACAATCAAGAACAGTCAATTAGTAACGTCCAAGTGATTCCTTGATATCTTTCTCGGAAAATTCACAGCTTAGCCCTAAAAAACGCCCATTTCCCCCATCAAACAAAAGAAAAACGGGAGAGTAAAAGAAGTAAAGAGATTAAAAAATTCCGAGATACTAACCTCAACGCCGCTTAGGACGTGGGGTCGGTGTGGCGTCTACATCAAGAGACTCGTCACTTCTCTCAAGGCTAAGGTCGTGTGGCGTTTCAAAGTCTTCGGGGGCGACACTGTTCTCACGGCTTGGGGCTAAAAGCCCATCGTACGCGGGACTTCTTCTCCCAGGTGTCACTGAGCCTTCTGTATCTGCAACACTCCTCAAATTCGACATTTGTGTTTCTCCAATTCCAGCAAGCCAATCCCATCTGGCTAGCATCAATTTTTCTCCATGTTTGTTGAAAGCCCGTTCGATGTCTTCGGCTGGTGCCTCATTGTTAACGGCTTTATCGTCTTCAATGGTCCAGATACCCCTCATTACAGGCCACTTAAACCCTAATTATAGTTAGTATCAAAGTGATACACCCAGTACGCCAATTTTTGGAGTATTCTTATCAAACTTACCAGCCAGCGTGCCGTATTCTTCTTGGTATTCCGCGAGCTGTTGGAGGACGATATGCATTAGATTCTCATTACAGGACGTAGCGTATATGACCAACCCAACAGCTCCTTCTTCCAAGTTATACTGTTTGCTGAAATGTGCTGTGATCCCATCAACAAGAGAATCCGCTGCTCTGACGGACAGTTGGCTCATCGGGCCTGGAGACTCAGAAGCGGTCTGTGTTCGGCTGCGGTTGCTAATATCATCGGAATCTTCAGGTATTACGGGAGTAACTGATTGGCGTCCTGCTATGACCGGTGAATTATCGTTGAGAATTCCAAGATTCCTATTAGTAAGACTATCCATCTCCATTGGATCAGCTTCCTCCTCCCATCTGTCATTTTCAGATACATATTCTTCATCGACCTCTTGTTCAAGATCCTCTTCGTCTCCCTCTTCTTCCTCGGTCTCATAATCATCAACCTGCATCTCCGCATGGCTGACTTCGATCCCGACCTCTTCCTCAGTGTCATCGTCCCTAGGACTTTGCTCCTCATCTTGAGTTTCATCGTCGTCAAATTCCTCCTCTGTTCTGTCCGCATCTGAAGTCTCATTGACCTCATTTCGGGTATGACGTTCATAATAGGGCTCGACGTCCTCTTCTTTGATCATAATGAAATCAGCGTCAATAACGGTGGCTTCTTCCTCATGCTCCTCCTCAATAGTGTCTTGAGTGTCGGACCGCCTATCCTCCACCTCTATTTCCTGCGACACGAGTGGTGGCGTAACCTCCCGATATCTCTCTTCAGCCTTCCTTTTTCTAACAGAAGACTTGTAGGCTAATGGACTCAGCATCTGGTTATACCCACGTTGTTGGCAATTGGGGTCGGTTGGTGAAGATGGCCCTATGCTGCTGGAGGCCGGGTCGAGAACAGGAAGTGGGAATAGTTTACGTTCCGGCGTGCTTTCCACGACCAGCTCCTGGTGATTTGAAGATCCCGTTTTCCTCCGTTTGACGGTAGAAGGCTGTGAAGATGGAGGCTTAACATGTTTCTGAACAGACGAAACTGCAGCCCTTAAAGGCTTTTTGTAAGGCATCTCTTCGCTTTCGTCAAAGTTTGAAGAGTAAAAGGAGGAATAGGGCCCAGCCGGTTGTTTTGGCGGACTTTGTCGAGGAAGGTTGTGGAGAACATTGCTGGGCACCATTCCTGGGGGTGAGCTTGGTGGAACTTTACGGGGCCCTTCACTCGAATTGAGGTGTTTTTGAATAGATTCCGTGAATTTTTTGAGGGGATCTGGGTTTGGACTAGATTCTGACGGTATTGGGTCGTCCTCCAATAGACTTAGGGACTTCACAAGTACCCTTGGGCGAGGTGTTGGGGTGCCTGGGGAACCTGGAATGGATGGTGGTGCCCTGCGCACCGAAACACTGCTTCCCGTTACGATTTTGTTGGTCTTGCTAGTGGCTGGTGTGTGGAAGGACGATGGCTCTATCGGCGATGATTCGGGCGGGAGTTGAGTAGGGATCTCAGGAGAGTAGACTAATACTTGACCGGATGGAGGAGTTTGAGCGGCCTTCTTGGTTTGCTTTATAGGCGACGCCACCTTGGGGGTTGAAAAGGTGAACTTGTCGCTTGAGGAAGTCGACCGCCTCGTAAATTGGCGGCGCACGCCCCTCTGCACGGGGGTTTCAAGCTTTTCAAACCGAACCTCTTGCTTTTTAGGTGACTGATCTTTCTTTATCGGCGAGCGAATAGAAGTTTTGCCAGGAGCAGGAGCTTTGCTAGGACTTTCAAAATCGACAAGGCTCTTCAAAACGGCTTGCTCTAGGTCCCGAAGCTCGACTTTACCTTTGCCCTTCAGCTTCTTAATAACAGGCTTCATCTTTGTAAGTGCAAACTGGAGGAGCTGCTCCGCAGAATGAAGACCGAACTACCGCAGCGAGAGCAGAGTTAGAACCAATCGAGTTTTGTCGCTATATTGAAAAAAACGCACCTCATCTGCCACGGACTGGCACACTTGTAACTGTTCTTCCTTGCTATCCGCCCATACAATGTCATCGAATTGGGCAAATAGACTTCGCTGTTCGCGGATAGAGAATCTACCGACGACAAGACGAGGTGTCTCTACTTCTTCCTCTAGTTCTTCTTCCTGGGCTACGGTTGTTTCTTCTGGACCGGCCTCTTCTCCCTCCGACTGAGTTTCATCGCCCTCTTCAAACCGAGGCAGTAATTCCTTATAGTAAAACTCTTTGAACTCATCAATTGATCGTTCAGGAAACTGCCCCACCATCAATTTCATTAGCATTATATATTAGTTTCAGAGTTACCAAGTATGTTATACAGACCCGATCTGCGATCCTAACAAATATCTCTTCGATCTCATCCTGCGATCTAGCTTTCAGTAGCCCCGGTAGATTCTCGGTAATCGCAGCAACGTGCTCCGGCCGCATGTCCATTTCACCTTCAGAATCTGTTTCGTCGTTATCCCGCCCAAGACTGGTTGAGGCACCATCACCTGGTCGGTGTATTCCTCTTTTCCACCCGGGAACCTTGGTAATGTCGAAGTCTGGATCAGGTTTAGGACCTCGCGCATACTTTTTTTCCTTGCTTAGTTTCTTTACCCATCTTTCTCTCCAGCCTTGCCATCCATGTCGTGTACACTACCGAAGGTGTCAGTAATGATAACAATGCAATCCTATGAGCTGATAGACAAAGTAACACACCCAAGAAGCAAGTTCCTGATATGATTTATTTCCACTCAATTTAGCTTCCTTTTCAATCCACCAGAGTAAAATATTGTCATCTTGTTGCGTAAAAGGAACCCGCCCACTGTATTTTGTTAGCACAAAATAATTTATAAGAAACTGTGATTATAGGGGGTTGTTAATTTGTACCCTGCAGGACGGAACCCTCCCAATGGTTCAACCGCAGCGACCTGTGTTCTAATTGAACTAGCAGATTTCTTCGCTACCTTTTTAGAAGTTAACTGGCTTTTTGATTGCAAAGTCGAAATAAAGAAGTTTTCAGTATCGACTAGTTCCCTATTCTCGACGCAGGCGACAATCCATTTATAGGATACCCTGAAATCACAAGCAGAACGTTCTTAGCCCGAATAGTTACACCGAATTCGGTAACAAAAAAAAAAGACAAGCTAGGAAATTTATACATACGCCTTCTGTACATTTCCTTGCGACTTTAAATGATCAGAAATAATCAAGTCGGCGCTTCTATCCGTCTTGCATATTTTCCCACCGTTGGTCTATTTCAATCAGTCAACCCAAAATCCACATTTACATGCAGGTTAGCGGCGTGGCAACCAAGGGTGGTCACAAAACCCATAAACATCGGGCCAAACAGAGCATAGGTTAGGGCTAAAAAAGGAAGATGTGACCCTGACGTACCTCAAGAAGTTTTCTGAAATAGTCCCTCGTCGGGCAGAGGCTCGTCAAAAAGAAGCTGAGGCCGGAAAACAATCTATCATCTCGCTCTGGAGGGATATCATCTCCGTCATCCGACATGATTGAATTACCCTATCGAATTCCTTTGTTGTCGCGGTGTTTTTGTGGATTGGATGTGATTCAGGGTAACATAAGAGATGGCAGCATCTGAAAATTAGGTTAAGAAAGTTAGGTTAAGACGCGTCGCTGTGTCGCCAGACGAGACCAGATCCCCTTTGGTCTTCCCCGCAACACATCCCGCAACACGGAGCCAGCACTCCTCCGACCGACCCCAGTGTAATACTCCGTAACGTGGTCCGAATTGGCCTCACTGCCCACGCAAGGCACACAGAGGAAGCCAGCTCGTCCGGAACCTCAACCGAGCCCAGCGCCGAAGCTTCAGAAGCGGCATTAATTAGTGTCATGGTTCCGGCTATGCAGCAGGGGCTTGGCTACATCCTTTCCTACTTAGGCTCCGTCAGCTGCATTTGTTATCTGCATGGGTGAGCTTTGGATCAGAGATGTCCTCTTCCTAGATCTGACTCCATCCTCATAAAACACCATCTACGTTGACGGCTTCATTCCTCACCAAATCAGCTGTCGTAATCACAGAACAATCATGGTCCTAGATCCAGGGCTTCGCGACATCCTGGTCGCGATCTTGTCGCTCTCCTTCGTAGTCTTCGTCGCTTTGTTTGGCCATGTTCCTGCTCTCCGGTATGCTTACGTTGGTCCCAAGACATTAATCGATTGGTGGGATATACGCTAACGAGATGATGATATACTGGTACAGCAAAACGCCCATAGGCTGGGGCCACCACTTCATATGGAAAACATTGCCAAGATGGTTCACAACTGTGGATATGAAACTCACTGGTGGCATGATGGTTCGCACTGTCAAGGGCTTGTTTAACTATATTATGTACGATAAGCACCCATTGATACAGGTATGACTTCATATCCCAAGTTTTTTGATCTAGCACAGAAATTCTAACTAATAAATTGCCCAATAATGTAGTTATTCTACCTTGGACTTGTCTCCGGTGGGCTCTATCTCTTCTGGTTGGGCGCATGGGATCGTATATGGTCTCCATTTCACAAGATCATGGTCCCTGTCGTGGCTTCATTGCCCTACATCACACTCTATCTCGCCTCATACACTGATCCGGGCTATATCCTTCCTGAAAACCACCGAGGGGCTATGAAATTATACCCATTTGACTACATTAACTTCAAACCAGGTTACCATTGTTCCACTTGTCGCTTTGAGAAACCTGCCAGGTCTAAGCACTGCCCTATCTGTAAGCACTGTATCGCAAAGCAAGACCATCATTGTGTGTATGACAACCTACTCTCCTCTTGATTTTAGCGTGATTGAATCCGGTGCTAATTGCGAGTTTTTGGTGAATAGGTGGATTAACAACTGCGTCGGCCATAAGAACGTCAAATACTTCTTTGCGTTCTTGATGTCTACGAATATCATCCTATTTTATGGGTTTTATCTTACATCTATTATGATCCACCAGTTGGTAGTAGAAAGTCTGCCTATTGGAACGGATGTATCAAAAATCGGATGGGGTTTATACTTTAACCAGTTTATGCTCTGTCTGGTCCTTGACGTCTGTCTTGGTATCGTGTGTTTGCTCTGCTTGATGACTGGCTTAATGTCTATCGGTTTCACAGGATATCATTTGTGAGTCCCTCCCCAAAAGCTCCCTAGATTTAAACAGTAACTTGTCTAATAACTACATCAGCTATCTGCTTTGGGCGGGTACTACAACCAATGAAACTTTCAAGTGGAGCGACTGGAAAGAAGACATAGCCGCCGATGAGGTTTGGATGGCGCGGGACCCTGCTCGAAACCCTTTCACCGGTCGGTGGCCGTCGTCGGGTCCTCTCAATGCATACAACTGGCCCGTTCAAACGGACAAGCTTGTATACCGAATCGTCAATCCCGAGGAGATGGAATATTTGGATAAACATTTAGTATGGAATAAGGTTGAGAGCATACACGAGATGGAGAATATCTATGATATCGGGTTTTGGAAGACCCTAGAGAGTGTAGTTTGGGATTTGAAGTTTTAGATTGGACTTCGCTTTTTACTGTGAAAGGGTATACGTTATTCTTCGCCCGATTTCGGTCATTTAGATTGATGTTGCGCCTAAAAGGATAAGCATACGCCTTTACAGCTCAAAGATAGAAGGCTATTCTTCGATTGGATGTATTATATTTCTTGAAATTCTATGTATTTCTCAATGTACCTACCTCAGATCTTGCACTATAGTACTAGCGTATGTTATATATGGGTAATTAATGTCAAAGTGAAATCCCCGCCATCCCTTCTTCAACCTCTCCGATCCCACCTACAAGGTCATAGCCCCCAATATAAGCAGTGCTCAAGTTCGGCATTCTGTCATAAAGAACTTTCTTCGGAATCGACCGCCTTTGGTTAACAATATCCTTAATCTGGGCCCTGATAGATCCATCCTCATCCCACTTATCTACCGTATCCTCCATTGGCCCAAATTCATACTGACGATATTTATCACAAACGTCGTGCTTACCATCAAAGTTGATGATAAGTGTTTCCAGAGTGGTTGGCAGATTCTTGATGATCTCAGTCTACCCCCACAGTTAGCAAGACCATGGATATCAAAGGTTCGGGACTTATACATACCATAACATCCACCTGGTAATACCAATAATGAAACTCCATCTTCTCTTCATCACCAGGACTAGAGAACGCCGGTATCCCAAACGTCATCTCCAATTTCTTCAGCCCCTTCGCTTTCTCCAGCTCCCCTAAAACCTTCCTTTCCAAAACCGTAGAAGCGGAAATAACCGAAAACCTGATTGTAAACTCCTCAAGCCCTCGAGGATCCCATCCCCACGCTTTTGACATAAACTTGTATGACTCAGCAGTATGTCTTTCCGGGCTCCAAGCTGATGCTGCACTTCCCTCAACCGACTGTGAAGGAACTGGAGTCCCAGGATATAATGCAACCTCCAACTTTTTCAACTTCTCCATCCCTCTGATTCCACTCCAAAACAGCACCCCTTGAGGCTTGGCAGAATATGGCTCTCCTCCGCAAATGGCTAGCTCCCACCGAACTCTCTCCAATTGATCTTTATGTTCCTCCATAACCCCCGCCGCAATATCCCGCCACACAGCAACTGGTGCAATCCCTTCCCCTTCCCTCCACTCAAACTCCCTAAGCTTCTCAAGCTTAGGTAGTGCAATCTCGTCCTTCCTGTCCGCCGCTTCCACCTCCAACCCAATCCTATCCAAAATTCCCCAAGTCCCTTCTCTTCCTACACACCCCACCACCAGCGTCTCCAACTCAGGCGTACAGCTTTCTAAACTCTTCAACCACTTTTTCGCAATCCACTTCGTTTCATCCCATCCTTCCGGTAACAAAAGCACTGGACTACCCCAGCACCCCGTAAAACTCCAAGTCAACTTCTTCAACCCCTTAATCGGCTGTACGAGGGGGACCAAATCAGGATAATGAACCACAACCTCTCCCAAACAAGCAGCTCTAGCACAATAAGCCCAAAACCTATACAACATCCCTCTTTCGAATGTCATAGCAAATAACTCGATTTTATACAAAAACGGGAATAATTTGTTGATATCGTCGCTACCGATTATTCTTTCCACACTTCTTTTGTTGTCGAAGGGGTCTTCGCCTAGACAAAGGGATTTGGTGTAAGGACCCAAAAAGGAGTTGCGACGGACGGTTCGGATGAAAGTTACTAAACGGTTGTGGTTGATAAATGGAATTTGAAGGGAACGGTAGATTATAGGTAGCATGAGGGAGTAGAAACGACGATTGACGAGGAGACAGTTGTAGCGGGTGCCTGAAGGGGAGGTATGAGAGAGGACTTGGGAAAGGATTTCATTTGGGAGAGTCGAGAGGGGCATCTTGATGAATTAGATGAGATGACTCGACAAATGCAGTATGCTCGGAGAAGAAGATGATGAAGAAGAAGAATGGAATCAAAGATGGTCGGCCCGAGATACCCCCGGTGCAATAGCTTAGTGTTTTGCGTTGGTGTGGTATTATAAAGCGGTGAACAGGGAAATTCGGCATCAACAGGATCCAACTGAAACAATTGAGTCGAGAGAAGAACGCTGCAATGCGAACAACGATATTTTGTATAGCTCATATATCTTTTAAGATAGTTCGAATACTTCAAGAAAAAATCAAAGTAAATACTCGAGCTTTATAACCTTCAAAAAGAACCTGCTTATTCGCGCTACGAGAGCTTTCTGTCTAAGCCCACCGTAAACAAGCAAGTCGAAGTTCGCGTAGTGGAATCGGAAACACGCCCAAAATCGCAAAAATGGAACCGGAAGCTTCGAAAGGGTGCATTCCAAGGCAGATTCATTCGCTTAGTTTGTTGTATTTTTAAATGAGCCAACACATATTTTTTTTGTTTTGATGCTTTTCTGCTCGAATGTTTCGCCCCCACGTGCACTCGACTAATACTAGCGGCCCGAGCGGTGACATTTTTAGGAGAAGGATTCATTAGACCATCTCCCAAGATGTTTAGTAAACAGGGAGGCTTTTTAGACTATGCATATATGATTGTATGATAGTACCTCAGCAAGTTGACCCTCACCATGTGCACTATTACTGACTATGATGAATTACCTTAAGCGGTTGGAAGATATTGGGGCGTCTGCACCAAATTTATATTTATAAGACGGCACTGAATTCATGAAAACATTTAGCCTGAAGCATATGGGGCTGATCATGGTCAGTTTAACACCGAGACAATATAGAAAGGGCTCTGATATAACTTAGATGACCATATGATTATAGACCATGACACTGGGGACTTCTATGGCCGGCCCCTGATCGTAAATATTTAACTTAGCAGCAGCTTACGAAGACGGTCCTTATAAACAACACCATAAACTATATTTAAAATATTAATATTAATTAACAGGATTGAAAGCACTATCGTGCATAAAACCGACATCTACCACCTAAATAACTAGCTATTGAATTTCAACATTATATTCTGATCAAATATATACCATGCAATGTAACCCCGAAGTTAACTACGCCGATGCCTGATCATTACACATAATATACCCCACAGTCCACGAACTCGAAAGGAAGGCATTTGGATTACCCCCCGAAAATATCGCAACTTGGTAACACTCCTCTTGAGTTCCGATATCGCCGCCCGCACGCCACAAATATCCACTACAAAGGGGATCATCCAGACAAGAGTTCCTGCAGTCGACCAGAAGCTGATCACCCATAAAAGTTTCTCCGTAGACCTTATTATGTCCCTGTCCCCCACATTGCATCCCAGATCTTTTCCCATTATCGATTTGGGCCTCGTTTGATCCGAATTTACAAGTTTGCCCAATGTTGGTCGCGATTTTAGGGTATGGGCATTCCATTAAGGAACCCGTGTCACAAACCGGATATCCGCTATACTCGCCTGTTGCGTCCGTCCATTGGTTGCCGGTAAATTTATTGTATATCGCGCAGGTCGACGTGGAATCCAGCGTCCAGAAGGAGCAAACAAGGGCAATGTTACTCGAGACTCGAGAAAGATTGCAGTATGAGGCACAGATATCAATCGCCTCATATGCAGAATCCGCTACAACGACGATTGTATTGATTCTGTTAAGGGCAAGATTTACGACACCGGAGCCTGGGCCGCATACCCTGTAACTCTCTCCGCTCAAGAGGCCCAAGTCTTCGAAGTATTGACCCGCTCCACATTCGAAGTTAACATTACCTGCTCGAAGATTCGAGCACACGAGCGGGTTAATCAAAGTGTCGCATATTGGCCATCCTTGAGTAACCCCCAAGTCAGTAAAAGGCGTCCCCATCGAATTTGAACCGTACATCACACAGGTCAGATCCTCTCTCCATATATAAGATTCACAACCAGACACGACCCCGCATTTTATAAGACATTGATACGAGTCCGATATAGCCGTCAGGGACCTGATCGGATTAAATGGGTTCCCACCCGCGGCCATCGTATTTCCTTGATTATAGCACTCTCGATAAATCTGACCATTGGGGGCAGTATTAATCAGCAGCACAACCATATCACCGTAAGAGCCAAAACAGCGGAGTGATGAATAGGGCGCTGGATCTGCGCAGTTGGGATTCGAGCTTGTGTCGCCTTCTATTGGAACGCAGAGCGGAAATCCAACGTTTAAGAGGCCCGGGGTGGTGGCGTCCCGCGTTATTGTGTTCCCCGGGCGATTGTAGACTTTGCAAGCACCGCGTATATCATCCGGATCATTAACCGTCATATCCCAGAACAAACACTGTGGAGTGTTTTCACAAAATTCTTCGCATGACCTGAAGAGGGTGACTGTCGTGTCTAGAGCACCTGGGACTAACACACCCGTTAATACTGAGTCTCTGCATACTCGATAGTAACCAAAAGATCCGGTCCCACGAGTCTGCATCAATACTTCTGTATTATCCGGGCAAAGTCTTGTAGCTAGCCGATTTGCTTCATACCCCGAATCGCAAACCCCGGGTTTATTGTCGTCGCATAAGGTCCACCCGATCATCGTACCCGCAGGAGCATTTGTATTCTGTGTTCCAAAATTGGAATAAATGTAACAAATGCCTGCAGACGAGTCCCAAGTGAAGTAGGTGCACCCACTGCCTTGTACCGTACAGTAATACGCACATTGCGTAACGCTTTTGAGTAAGTTCGTCTGCGAGATAAGAGTACTTCCTGTGTATTGGGATTTCGTACAGACCCTGAACGATCTATTATCCTGTGCATATCCGAAACCAGTTGTCGAACCAGTGTCGCATCCCCGACTTGCCATAGCATTAGCGTTAACGCAAGCATGCTCGGTTCGGCCCGTGCACAACATCCATCCAGACACAAGATTCATATCCACCTGGGCAGTCGTGGCGGCATTCAATCCGGTCCCAACATTACAAGAAAGGGTAGCCTTATTCCAGTTGAAGACGTCACAATTCTCCAACAGGCTGCAGTATTCCGCACAAATTGTGGCGGTAGAGGCCGTGATCGTGGAATAGATCGTTGCCATCCCCCTACTTTGATATTTGCACATTCTAACGGTGCGACCATCATCCAATTCCTCGAACACAATCGAGGCGAAGGTTTCGCATCGTTCCCAAGCGTAATTTCCAAGGTTATTGCAATCAGCCAAGCTCTCCCGGTCCTTACACCTCACATACGCTATGACATAGTTAGGAAGATTGCCAGCCCCAGTTTTTATAGCAGACAATGCTTCGTCAATCTCTTCATCCAGCACATACACAACGCAAGGCTTATTTTCATCCGGGTTGCTAGAAAACCCGATACAATTGATATCATTGAAGCACTGACGAGCGCATGTAGTGACCGTATTGGCGTTAGTACTGGCGTCGTATGCCGGAGGTAAGCATACTTCAATCACCTGAGTGCCTTCGCCGGTGCGTATTTGCATAGCGTAATTGTTCGGGCAGGTATATGTACTGGTGGCCGTGACCGGTTTCCAGCAGACATTCGGACTGCCAGAGTCGTCGCAAACCATTGCTCCCACCAGATTGTCGACGTCTTTTTGTGGTTCATCCCAATACAAATTGTTGACTGTATCCAACTTGTCACACTCGCCGGCCTTGTTCACCTTAAACATCTTGCATTTATCCGCGCCTAGGCCGATGCAATCATTGAGGCAATCGGTGACGGCTTGAGACGTAGGTAGCGAGGCGCCAGCGGTATTGTAGCATAATGCCGCAGCGTATGCAACAGTTGCCGAACTCGTTGCTATGACTGTGCTTGAAATCGCCGCGGTGGGTCCTTGACTGCATGACCAGTCATTATTGTCTTCTATAAAGTTGTAACATTTGGGAACCGGTGTAGCAGAAGGTGAGGCGCTGCTACTGTCGCTCTGGCTTGGGCTTTCGCTACTGCTCTCGGACTCGCTTGCACTAGAGCCGCCACCATCACTACTCGAGCTCGAGTCTGCAGATGTCGTCGTTGGCGTTAGATCGTTACATTTTACTATCCCCATGAAGTAGCTGAGGCTGAGGACTGCATTTCCGGATACCGACGACAGTAAGAAACATTTGTTCTGTGATGTGTCGTAGATAAACCCTTCGCACTGGAGCTCATTACCGCACAAATATACACAAATCGGGTATGGAATGTTTATGGCGCGTATAGTAGAGCTGGAGAGTCGAGCTTCACCTTGGCAAAGTAAGAACTCTCGCCCGTTAGCGGCATGGCCCGTACTACTGCTACTCCCACGGCATTCGAGACCAATGTTTCCTGGTATAGGGGTTTTGCATGTCGTCGCTGAAGTTCCTGTATTGGTGCCTCCTGTGCCCGTGCCCGTGCCCGTGCCTGTTATCGTTCCTGTTCCTGTCTCTGTTCTTGTGCCCGTATCTGTACCTGTACCGGTTCTAGTACCGGTTCCAGTCCCGGTGCCTCCGCTAGACCCTACCGTCGATGGGTTGACGTTCGGTCTGAAGCCACCGAGGCGCAAGCGAATGCAGTTCAGATCTGAGGGCATAAGCCCCAGTACTATGGCCAACGCTTCTACTGGTTCACCATTCCTTAACGTGCAGTTTGTCGCGAAGTCGACCAAGACACCTGAAACTTCCATTCCGATTTCGAAGTAATCACCGTTGTCATCTAGAAGGTTGATAGTAAAATTCCCAACCGCGCCAGCAGGGACCGTAGAGGCCCCTCCAATGTATCCGACACTTGATTGGCGTTTCCAAAGACCTCTCTTCCTGGTAGACGTTATGACACCGTATAAGATCTTTGGGTCGGAAGATAACTGCCTAACGGCCCCAGACTCATCGAATTTGTAATAATAGGGTGGCGGGGTGTCCGTAACGACAGCATAGTTTGCAGAGTTAACAGCTACATATGATAGTGAGCCATCCTCTACAGTGACGACAAGACGGAAGCGTTCCGTTGCTGCTGTAGTCGTGCTTGGGGAAGATGTGATCGTGGTTGGCGGACTAATCCCCGTTCCTGTTGTTCCTACAGACGAACTCGAATTAACCTCTGATATACCTTCTCCTATTATTCGCAAGTATCTTACCTCCAGATCCGGTTGCAGTGGGATTCGACCCAGTACCGGTACTTCCTCCACTACCACCCCCAGTCGGATTCATAGAACCGGTACCGGTACCACCGGTTCCAGTACCACTCCCATTACTTCCATTCGTGCTACCGCCACCATTACTGCTCGCCTCACTGCTACCTCCACTATTAGTTCCTCCTCCCCCGTTGCTCCCTCCTCCTGCTGTGACAGTAGACCCACAAGACTGTGTATATGTCCAGTGATGTGTCGTTATATCAGTAATTGTTGTAGTCGTAAGATCCCGACGCCTATGTGGAATTTCGAGCTTTACAGCCGCAGAATACTGTAATGAGATGAGTAGAATCACCCATATCCTCGTAGTGTTGCACCTCATCATTAACTGCTGAAAAATATGTAAAGAGTTCGTAAACTCTCTACGATGCAGAAATATATTAGCAATATCGACAAATCTAGAAGTACCTAAAAAAAGGAATAGTAGTAAGAAATAGCTGCATGCTTGATTAGATGGGGTGAAGAATTCGCCATGGGATGATCGAAGCCCTAGGGCGGGTATATCTTACCGATAGGCGACAAGATTTCTATAGTTAGAGCAAGGTATCATTGATCAGATCATGACACGCGAGACCACTACACTTGAACGGTATCGCCATTCTTCTGGCGAATTTCATCAAACCTGCAGCCTTAAGATATTTAGATTGGGTTTCTAGGTTGCATTTGTTCGTAATTCTAAGGAAAGATAGAACCCTATAATTAATTCATAGTACACACCCGGCCCGGATCCTTACTCATACTCCCCTTTCCAATTACAATCATAATTCCAAAATCCTATGATACCGTCTTCTCGAATCCAGAGTGTAGATAGGTTACCAATCTAAGGAGTTTCTTAACTATTGTAAGTAAGAGGGTATATGATCCCGTAGATCGTTCTTTTCGGCCAAAATAACTGAGATCCGAATGACAGTCACAGGATCTAGATAGCTATCGATAGCTATAAACGTACCCATTGTTGTAGATTATGTGTTGTGTTAAGATCTAACATGATTATCCGCGCCTGCGTCCAAATCTATGCCACGCGAGCCTTGGTCGACATGCATGGCCAACCCGCAAAGCCCAATTACGGTATCAGTCCTCTTAGCAGGGATCTTGCGAGTCTTCTTCTTCTTCTTTTTTTTTTTTTTGTTTTGTAAAGAAAAGTCGTTGGTTTTGATCAGGTTGAGGTTGCGAACATGATGTCGGCAACAAGCGGTTGTGGGCTGGTAGGATTTTAAGGCAGTATTCGATGCGGAAGTATTAAGGTGGACGAGATTCACAAGTACGACCGCGCGAGACCATTGACAACTTATCATTCACAAACTTAAGTATACATACGTATGGATATACCTTTTATATAGTATATAAGACGGAGTTTCCTTTAATAAATTAAATAGTTTTAAGAATCAAATTATCCAACGTTATTCGCATTCTCAGACTCCACGCTAACACCATCACTGTAACTATAAGCATTTGCATCGATCCAACCTCCAATTTACAAAAAGAGCCTTCAAAACCCGAGAGAATGTGTCCAAAAGAAAAGCCTCCACCATTATTTGCTTTCCTCTTTCTCTTTCTCCAACTTCAAACTGACACTGTTGACACAATGCCTCTCATCTGTTGGCGTAGAATACCCCTCTCCCTTAAACACATGTCCCAAGTGTCCCCCACAATTAGAACACACAATCTCAGTCCTCACCATCCCAAAACTGCTGTCTTCGTTTCTCTTGATAGCACCGGGGATACCTTCATAAAATGCAGGCCATCCGCAACCACTCTTGAATTTAGTGGTTGATTTGTAAAGGGGGAAGTCACAAGCGGCGCAATTGTAAGTGCCAGAGCCGAAGGATTTGTCGTATTCACCGGAACCCGGTGCTTCTGTGCCCTTTTGACGGAGGATACGGAATTGTTCTGTATTCAATGTTAGAATTTGATATTTTCCATTGGTGTAACTTTGCATTGCATTGCCGGGAGTTTTTTTTATTTGAGCGACAATGCAGGGTGCATGATGTCATGCGGGCCAGCCGAAAATCTTACCTCGCGACAGGACAGCCCTCCACTCTTGGTCCGTCTTCTCAACGGCGAAACTTTCACTTTCTCCAGCCATGTCTCTGGAATCGATCCCTGTCTTTTTCGTCGAAGTTGAAAAGAAATGTCCTATGAAAGGTAGCGAGGAAAGTGTGATCGCGTTCAGTGGGGACCGAATCTTGGCGGAATTTAAAATAGTGGTGGGATGGCGGGGTGAAGAAGGCAGGCGGGGTAAATAAACTGAATGCTTTGAGTTTGACTTTGAGAGAGTATGTGATGATAATGATCGAGTCTGAATATTCAAAGAGAGTATTCGAATGGAAGTCGTCGGGAGTTTTATAGACCCAGACCTGACACCAGCAGCGACAATTGAAGCGGATGTTCTGGATCGGATGGCAAAGCCGAGGTGGCTGTGGCTATTTGCGATATTTGAAATTCTCATTTTCATAATGCGATTGATGCAAAGCTAAGCTAAGCCAGAGCGAATAATAGATATTACTACGCCAACAGCCAACAGAGGGCGGAAACCGGTAGAATGGCTGATAATTGACACGGACAAACTCTGCAACCCGAATTTCGGCGTTAAAGTTCTTTTTTCTGAATTGAATATAATCTTAGCTTCGAAAGTTCTCGGCCTCAACCTCAGTGCGATTCCAGTTTCGGTTGGACGTTAATGAAGGAGGGGAATTCGCGTCGTCATCCATGTTGCAACTACTTAAGTGCTAAGCTAAATAAGTTGCATCTGACATCCACTTCAACGCATCCTCGAGTTCATGCTCTATTTCAATACGATATCCGTGCCAGCTTCCTACTGAAATCGCAGGAAATAAGTACGAATGCACAATTCCCTCTCATAAAAGATGTCGACATATGTCGTGATATATTACTGCAGCTTAACAAAATATTCTTGTTGCAGCCATGTCGATTCATGCGGCATATTCCGTGCATGTCTGTACGAGCTCTACATGATAGATCATTTTGCAAACCGGGCCTGGCAGGAGGTACAGGAAAATCCTGGCCCTCCAAAGTTTCGACACACGAGTAACATTAAAAGCATATTATATATGTACATTTGTAGTATTAACATCTAGAAATACACGCCCAAAATTAGCTCGGGCGACATTAACCCGATCGTATCTTAGCCGCGCTACAAAACGCATTCGAGTGCTGATCTTGTTGAATCGAATAGCGCTATCTCCTCCAGGGCTCAAATTCGGGCATTCAAATATTGTAGATACGACGCGTGGTGCACGGATTACCAATGTTTTTGACCGGTGCTGACAGGGCACTGTTATTAGCCTTGGGATGGAAAGGGCTGAAGATGTTCGGTAACTTGTCTTCGATCGGTTCAGCCGACGAAAAAGCCGGAGAACTTAGCTACCTGGCGCCTCCAGTTTTGCGTCGCTAGTAACTGCAAAAGCTTAAGAAATGACTGTGAACTTTTCAAACCCTAGAACTCCTTAAGCCTTGAGAGTTCGTCCAACTACATGCATACAACGTGATTCCAAATTGTCTCTGTGAGGAAACGCAGTGAAGTGGAGTTCGAGGGGATCTATAAAACATGGGATATTTGTCATCAAGACTGGGTGCATGCGCATGCAGGTGCAGGGTGACAAGATAACGAAGCTTTTTCGGCCAAACCTGGCAAGGGCTTGGCGGTCCAACTGCATATGCATATGTCAACATGTACCACAAGTTCGGATGAATTTCTTAAATATAAATCTCTAAACTATTCTTAAACCTTTGGGACGGACCTGAATTAATATTAGACTATAAGCAGTTAAGAAAAACATTAGCCAAGATAGGGTTATGCTGACAGGCCTAGGTGTTTCTTTAGTTCTCAGGCTCTCAGGCTGCGAGATCTCACACACCTGCGCTAGCTCGTGACATTCTGATGAATTAATATTATAATAGGATTGCACAATATATTTGGTTATTAGGGGAAAATATTTGTCTCTTACCCAGACCTGGAAGGGAAAATATCAAAGAACTCATTGGTGTATCGATCGTCATTCGTTATCCCGACTTTACTATGCCTAGTAAAATGAAATGAATGCGGCTCTCCTATGGGAATCCAAGCTCTGGTTGCTGACTAAAGCAATGTAAAACTCGGAGATTAAATACCCACATTGAATTTTTAGATTTATCGCCAAGCCGATTCTTTCTGTCGAGTCAATGTGTTACATGTAGGTATAAATTTTAAAATCATCTCAAGTAACAGCGTCAAGTAACATCCGTACGCAAATCAACTGGGCTACCTAGCTTAACTAAGTATTGTTTGAAGAAAATCAAGGGATCATGATCACGACACCTTCAACCCTTTGGTAAGCGGGATGAGATCTTCTGCCAATTTTCTTTTGAGGAATGCTGTAAACCCGGCGTTAGCGCGTTAAACATCAAACGTTAAACCCTCATACCACCAGACCTAGGTAAAACTCGAAGGAATTCTGGAAGAAAAAAGAGAACAAATGCTCAACTGACCGATCTACGTTTATAGCCTCGAATAAAGGAGGAATGCACATACCTAATGCTCGTTTGAAACCGTTTGATCGGTGGACCCTGAGGGAGAAAAATATAATTTCGAACTTCACTATCCAGGTGGAAAATCTATAAATCAACGGTTGATTTCCACGGTTTCGTTTATTATTCTATTAGATACACCTTTGACTTTATAAAGCACCATTCCTAAATTCATCTATCGACTTGTTCGATTCAACGACTCGTAATCAAGCCCACAATTGACCGAATTTACGCCGAATTCATTTATACACTGTCAAGTTTACAAACTCTATAATAGTCCTTACACAAAAGCTTTGGACTAAAACCGCCCTTCATTGCCGATAATACCATAAAAGAGAAAGAACAATCAAAATGAAGTTCTTCCTTCCTTGTATTCTTGTACTATCGGCCGTTGCTGCCCTTCCCACCGAGAAAGTTAAACCAGAACCAAAAAAGGTTGAAGGTAAGTAGCTGGTTACACAGTATTCTATACGAAAGACTGCGACAGGGTATCAAGTTACTAACTCTAGTCTCTCACGAACTTTAGCACACCCAGACCCTAGACCTAACGTCCAGGTAGCCCTACTAGGCCGTATGTACACCCATCCATAGCTGGCCTTACAACAGTATTGCAATATATACTCACAATTTACTTCACCAAACTAATATCATAATGTACCCTATTTAGAGACATGTGATCTGACCAAACACATCTATTGCGCTCCCGACCTCTCCTGCTTCCTCATTGCACAACAAACTGGCACCGATAAAAATTCTCACCAGGGTATATGCATTGATGTGACAAAGGAAGTCAACAATAGGCAACATCCGGAATTCGTGGACGATCTTTTGCGCGATACCATCGGCTGGTCGCCAAACAGGTCGAAGAAGGGCAGTACTGATACTGATATCCCTGCTGGCCGCCGTTAAGAGCTTTGAAGTCGGCGAGGGTCGTAGACGTTGATCGTCTTATTGATAGACTCTTTGGACTTTTCTTTCGGGGTTCTTTTTCGTGGAGGTGGTTTTGGGTTTCTATTTGGGGATGTGGATTCAAATATTGAGCTTGAATTCTCATGAAAAATTGTATATTGATGGATGCCAATTTGACCTCGGGGGGTTGCTACTCTATATATTTTTGTATATGCCTTTTAATCTGCTTCCAAACAGAAAATACCTTGTATATCCTTTTAATCATACCTATTTCACCGCGCCTAATACAATATTTCAATACTAATGCGCCCTCTAATCCTCTTCTTCATGAATATCTTCCCTACTCAACGTAGTATGCAATTTATGATGCCCAATAAAACTCCCCGCAATCCATCCGATCCCTCCCAAACCTAGCGCCACCAAAAACACAGACCTCAATGCTGCCATCTCTGCATTCAAAACTTCGCTCCTCCATTCAATTGGTATCTTCCATATTTCTTCAAAACTCTCTCTAACCCTTCTGATAATATCTTCCGCTTCTGGACCTCCACCACCAAGTCTTCTCTCCAACTCACCTTTAAGCACATTTTGAAACGCGGCAGAAGCAACGGTAACGCCGATTGTGCTGCCGGTCGCTCTAAACGCATAGCTTGCTGATGTTATGACGGCCTGGAAGTCGTGGTCCACGCTTGAAATTAGCGCAATCAATGTGACGGTTAACATACCACCATAGCCGTAACCGACGAAGAAGTATGCTAAATATTGTGGGAAATCTGTAGTTTTAAGCGTGAATGTCGTGATCAACGCTATGGCGCTGACAAAAGCAGTATTGATCCAGATTCCCAAACCATAATATCTTCCAGTATGTCGCATGATATACCCACTAGACAAAGACCCCACGGAAAGGCCGACTGCATTTGGAAGAAGTCTAAGACCGGATTCTGTAGCTGAATGGCCTTGCAGTTGGAAATAAAGCGGTCCGTAGAAGAGTAATGCATAGATGGCCATTACAAAGAACCAGTTCGTAAGGCAAGCGGACCATGTTGTCCTCAGTCTAAAAAGACGGACGGGGATGATTGGTTCTTTCGCTCTAGACTCTGTCCAGACGAATAGAACGAAGATGATAAGCGATAGTGGGATTGTTGTTAGTACTAATGGGTGGGTCCATGGTAGGATGCTACCACCGGTGTTTAACCCCACCAGAAGGAGGATTAGAGAGGATACTAAAGTTATGGCGCCGAGGAAGTCGACTCGTTGGAGGGCGCCTTCTGAGGTATTCCTGATGGGGATGTCAACCAGGAGAGCGACTGCTATTGCGGAGACGATGATAATGGGAATTTGGAAGAGGAAGGCCCATCTCCAGCCCAATGACGAGTCGTTGAACAGACCACCAATCCACCCGCCTAGACCAGCACCAAGGCCGAATATAAGATTCCCAAGACCCTGGTATAGTCCCCGACGACGAAGTGGCACAAGATCAGACGCAACAAAAGTTGCACTATCAAATAATATCAGCATCCACAGAACAGATAAATGCATGAAACTAGGAGATATACTAACATAGCATTCAAGCACCCTCCACCAGCACCAGCAATCAACCTTCCGGCAATCAAAACGCTCTCATCCTTCGCAAGTCCACACATCAATGTCCCCGTCCCGAACGCGATATTGGCAGCAATTAACCCAGCCCTTCGACCGAAAATATCCGTCAACCGACCCGACAACGGCTGAAACGCCGAATTGGTAATCAAATACCCGCTCGCAACCCATGATATCGTAGAAAACGATGAAAATGAATTAGATATCGGACCTAACAGGGTAGCAATAATCGTTGAATCAAGCGAAGCCAGAAAAACGCCGACCTAAATCGAATGATTTTCCACGGTAATCAGTTTACAATCTAAGATCATGTAATGGTAATTCAATCGTTCCGTTAATACCCATGTAGCGCCTAGGATAGACCATAGCCTTGCACGCGAGACTTCGCCAGCAGGCGGTACGTCAGCGGGTGGCTGGATTAGAGGGGATGATTCGGAGGCTGTGCTATTTGAGTGCACTTGGCGACCAACTGAGGGGTTGATAGACATTTTGGACAGTGATTTCAAGGTATCAAGGGCAATTGCACAAGAGGCCAGGAGAGATCTCTTAAAATGGTGCCAAGGCTGAGTCGACGTGCGTGCTTCGGCGTCCTTTCCGATCGGATCTTGAGCGGCTGGCAACGCAATAAATACAACAAAGTAGGATCGTGAAGTTCGAAAATGCTTGGGGGTCGGGTAGGTGGTAATGTACCATGGTTCAATTCAGGACGATATCTAGAGAGGTAGCAATAGAACTATGCAGATATTGAATTTAGTTATCAACCCTGGATCTATTTCGAATATTTCTACATCATTTGTACACGGATGTATTGGAATTCATATAGTCAGTCTTGAAATCCGCTTTGATATATATAATTATAGATTGATACCTCTGCAGTAACTAACTAATCGCGGTATCGATACGTATAACTTAATTCAGTTTATCTTAGATATTATTGTATATTCCCTTTTTATGCCCATCAGCTATATACCAATCTAAGCCCATTGGTAACACTACCCCAACTTCCAAGCCAATGCATAAAAGTAACCCGGAACAGAACCAGAGGCCCGAGACTTCAAAATCTAATATGAGACTGTACATGTAGTATAGGAAGCGGCAAAGTACTGCCCGAAATCCGACCGGAATATTCTCCCTGGCACATCCCGTATCATCGTCGTGAAAAACTGCCTTAACTCCATTTCCAATATTCAAAATTTAACCGCCCAGCGTGCCCAGTGACAGCATCTCCTCAAACTCAACCTTTCCAGGCTACGATCTTCAGGGCTTTTAACGCCAAGACTACTAATTTCCTGCATTCTCTCCAACAAAACAACGCTTTTCCTTCCAGGCACAGATGGTCTAATCACCAGGCAGTCAACTCCAAAGCTTGGCTCGACGAGGAAGAAAAGAATAATGCACTCGTCCCCCAAGGAAAAACTGTCGCATTGCAAAACTCTCTTCCACATCCCGTTAAACTCTAGGCGCAATAAGATTATCGTAGACCTCGCCGAATGCAAGTTGCTAAATTTGTGTATTTCTTCACAGGTATGCAAGGAGTATATAATAACCCTTCCCCTCGAGGGGGATATCAGATTAGCATATTTACACTCCAACATCTGCGACGAGGCTTCTTGTTCTTTTTGCTTAAGTTAAGGTCAAGCTTTTTCCAAGACGTCTTGAATTTTTAGATCTTTTTTGTTACGTATATTTTACATCATTTAGCCCACTATGCGAACATTTCTCTCAATAGCCGCATATGGCCTCTTCTTATCCGAGATTCTAGCATGCCCGGACCACTTACATCACGAAGAAGACCGTCTGAGGAAACGTGCAGAGCCCGGTGGAAATGTTACATGGGCGTACGAGGCTAGTTATGATTGGGGTCGGTTATCAGACAGTAAGTTTCCTAGGAACATAGAATTCACATAACATTGATACTGACATATATAACTATACAGGCTTCGAACTCTGTCAAATCGGCACCCAGCAATCCCCAATCCCACTATCCCTAACCCAAGGCCTCTCCTTGAACCATCGTCCCTACTTTCATTATTCCGACACTTACAACGCTTCCTTGCACAACTGGGGTTATGGTCCAGCTGTGACCCTCGCCCACCCCAAAGATGATTTCTCTCAATTACCTCATTTCACATTTGAAGAAGAAAGTGGCATGAACGAGACAGTCTACCTCACAGGCTGGCACATCCACGCCCCAGCGGACCACTCCGTATCCGGCGACCGTAGTAAAGCAGAACTCCACCTGGTCCACGTCAGCTCCACTGGAAAACCACGTGCTGTAGTCGCAATCCGCATCGACCCGGGAAATACAGTTTCTCCATTCTTTTCGCATCTGCCGCCGCTTATTAGGTTCAAGGATACGGAAACCCGGGTTCCAATCGAAAATTTCAACCCTGTACTAGCATTGGCTGAAGTTAACTTTTTGAACGAGTTCTGGACTTATAGAGGTAGTTTGACGAGTCCTCCGTGTTCGGAGGGTATCAGATGGTTTGTGGCTAGGAATATTTTATTCGTTGGGGTTAAGCAGATGCAGGAGATTTTGTTCAATAGCATTTATTCGGCGAGACAGGAGCAAGAGGTTTGGTTACATCAGATTAATGTGTAGACGAAAGGCGGGGTAAGGATGCGCACGTATACGAAGTTTTGAAAGTGGCAGCATGCAGGTTTACGTACTTATGTATATAATTGGATAAAAGCTATTATATCAGGATAATCTATTTAATATTAGTAACTAGTCGATTGTGGAGGTACTGTGATATATTTCTAACTGCGAGCTACTGGGTCTGCTGAATAAGTCCTACATAGCGCGTTTATGCGTATATGCGGGCAATATGCAACGGGAGATCAATTGGGAAGGTAACTCTGCAGGTTGGTATCATTTATATCTATCACAATTACGATATCTCAAAAACGACGAAATTTACAGTTAATTAGCCAACCTCCGCAGATACGCTAGTCTCGTAACCGAAACTTATCCGTACATTCGTGATTTTATCGTATCAATCTAGATTGTGAGGACTGTACACCCGACAGGAGCCATATATGTTCACCACGTAGGCACAATTCACAAGGGGGAACTGGCGTCTCAATCTCTCGACCTCGTCACTGACCACTTGACGATTCACGGACCCAACCAAAATTTTGCTTGTTCAATCTAGCAAATTAGTTTCGAGATCGATCTCAGATCCAAAATACGAACCCAAACGAAATGATCTTAATCCGAATACAGAGCTATCACGTGCCACAGCCCATAATTTTGATGGAACATTTTGCATTTCCTTCACCTGTTGCTGATTTCCACTGAGAAATCTTCCACAACAGAATTCTGCCGATAGCTTGTGACAATTAAGTACATGATCTTGAAACGGGTGTGAGCTGAACTCCAAGAAGCCCTTCCCCCAAATTGTCCGCTATAGCTATATAAATAGCTTATTTAAAGCAGAATGATGCGTCCTGAACGAGCACCTGGGTGGTAGATACCCAATACAGATTGGTTGGGTTCATCGACAACAACCCATGGGTGGGTGACGTATGTGTCCTGTTCCTTAACACCACCTTTGCCTGCGACGGATCCGTATGAAACTCGCTTTCCCTCGTAGTTGAGCCACCAGACGTGGACTGGGCTGGCACGGTTGTTGATGAAGGTGACCTTGGTCGCCTTGTCGCCGCTGACGGACTTGGAGCCTGGCTCATTGTCAGGGTGGACTGGTTGGATCAAATAGACCTTTTAAGATTGAAAAGAAAGTGACGTTGTCAAATTAGCTAAAGTTCTTTAAGGGGATCTTGTGAGCTACATGAGATTGACCTACAGCTGGATCTTGAAGGGCGGAAGACATCTTGACAGATTATATATGAAGTTTATATTTTAAAATAGGTTGATGGCTTAAATGGGGTGTAGAGGGTTTTAAATGTATCTGTTAGTTTGATTTTCGAGTAAACTGATTGAAAGAAATGGAGAATTTGATGACAACCAGCGACCCTTTTATAGACAAAAAGAGGGAGAGATAGTAGGGAAGCCCTGTTATACTCACTGAGCCCTACAGCTTGTAAGCCCTACAGCTAGTAAGCCAAAAATCCCGGAATCGAAAAGCTACAAATTTCCATTTTCGAAAGGAGCTGAAAATTCCCGATAAGTCTAAGCTTCCAATCGCAATCGGACATGTCGACACATTCGCACATAATTGCACACAATCGCAGTATGACACGGCTGAACCACAGGGCTAGTAACTACCGCACGATGCATGAACGGAATGTAAATCGTGATAAGTGCATAGTATGATGTAGCCCAGATCGCGGGGAAATGGGATAAGCGATGTCCTATTCAGGTAAGAAACACGGCTGAACTGCAATGTGTATGCACATACCAATGCATTGGCGGAATGTGGTCGACCGATCAATGTCGTACGGACCGACGGGTACCCGTTTGTAGAAGCGAAAGTCATTCCAGTTACTATACAACGTCATAAAAATCCCTCAGCCTAACCGATTGGTGAATAAATACTTCCGTATGGTTGAAGATGCAGGTGAAGGATATTTAGGATTTAGTAACTTTTGTGAATTCAACAAGGTAATGTTTGGGTGTAAAAGGCGCCAAGATGTGGAAGACACCAATAAAATACAATAGCCCCAACACGCAGGCCAGACTTCGGGTTGCGTTGAACTCTTAAGAGCCACCAGTCCTGAAACTACGTGATCGTGTAACAAATGGCTCCTGTGTACACAGTAATCAGGCGATATATCGATCGCGGGCCCGCTTATCTCACAAACTAAAGCCTACTGTGTGAAGATCCCGCAGGCACAATGCCGAGTAATTGAGCTCTGTCCCTACTTCTACAGGCGCATCATATCATTCAAGGGAAAATGGTGTAACATCAGTATGGACACATCGATAGATCCGTTTCTTTTGCTAAATTTATCTTAGCTATAGGGGCACTTGCAAGTCTTCAGGACATTCTGTACCTCTGATACCGTACCACCAAAAAAAAAACTAATTTCGGTAGCAACTCTTACCTTAGAATTTTATTTATTTATTTTACTGACTAATTGACAGAGAAATCAAAACAAAATCTTATTAGTAGGTACATGAATTGTTTATATATTTCCTGAGTAGATACTTAGACAAAGGACCAGCGCATTCCGAGCTAGATCAAGAAGCGCCGACTACGTAATAGGTACCCCGCTCTTAATACGGCACGGAAGATCCAGAGAGAAAAGAGTAAATATCACAGTAAGGGGGAATCAAATAATAGAATCAAGAAATTGAAATATTTAAATATTGCTATTCGCGTTGTCAGATGTTGGACTTTTCGTCACATTTAGCTTAGCGGCTTGGCAATTAATATGACCCATGAATTCACAAATTCATGCATTCGAACTATCATCAGGAGTACAGCGTCAAAATTTGACGTTGATACTCAGCCAGTTGGAGTTATAACTTTTATTTATATGAGTTTTGTAGATAACCAAATATCTATACTTATATATATAATATAATTATATAAGCTTGTGTGGTCATTCTTCTGCATCTGTATTCGTATAGTAATTAAAGCAAATATTTTGAAAGCTCAATTGATCAAGCTTTATAGATTGAATTTGATTCTGAAGGTCAGTCGAATAATATTGTGTTTAAAAAGAGGATATACTTCCCGAGCGTGAAGGCCTATCAATAGTCTTTATATAACTTCTTTTATAGTCATTTCCTCGACAACCAAGCTAACCATATGCATGGTACCATGTACTCGAGTACTCCGAATGTCACCAAATTTGACTGAAATGTAGTGGTACGCGGAGACTTTCTCCATTATCTTCGATACGGTATTTCTACGCCTTTAAACACACGTTGACACGTTTGCTCTGGTTTTGCGGGGCTACATCTGTAATTGCATATATTGCATGGTCCAACTAGCAACTCTCGGAGTCTGTGAAATTTCGTCAACAAGGGCCAATTAGGACACCCTCAGGCGCAGGATCCTAGGATGACGAAGGCTCCCTACGAAGATCTCGCGGAGAAAGCCGCACAACGAACAGAAGCTCGACTTCAATCAAGTGCAGAATCAGCCCCAGACGTTTTCGTAAGCTTTTTTGTTTTTCGCTTAGCTGACTAGCTCTTCCGTCGCTTTGAAGGGCCCAAAAGAAGGCATCCTGCTGACTATTAATTACGGTGGACTACGTACGCATTTATTATATCCCGGCTTGGAACACTAGGGTCTAGAGTTCAAGACATTGTGATGGTTAAGCTTAATTGATTCCGTAACTATGTACAACTCCATGACTATTTTGATGTTCGAGAATTTTGTTAGGGGTGAGGGTTTGTAAAAGCTGTCTCGCTGTTGGTGAATCGGAGGGGGAATTTCGAAATGGCTTCATGCATGGCTGCCGAGCCGAGCCAAGGCTGGATTTAACCTTAAATTTATTATGTAAAAGAATTTACCGTGTTCGTGGATGCGCGAAACCGGGGGGTTCAAGTGGTATGTATACGTAAGCTTGGGGCTTTCGAAGGCGTTCGGGACGATTATTGAGCCTTCGGGAGGATAATTGTATTGCAGTGGATTGAGGCTTGAGGTCCACCGGGTATAGATCTTGAAGATCGATCCTATCGCCTAGTCTATCTATAGATCCACAACGGTTATATAGTTCGAAACCCTTACATCGAATGATGATGAATGGTGCGTGATATCGATAGACAACTTAGCTGGCTTGTTGTATGTTGTATGGGTATGCACATATGCATGCCAGCTGATTAATTCCGAACTGCCTCAGTTACAATTCATCGGATATTGGGACTAAAGCTTTCAACGCCTCACTGAGATATCTTTCAACATGACATGAGCGATTGCAGCTTATGCATATCACTCCGAGATCGGGCTGGTCGGAGTCTGCGGATTCAGTTCTCAAATAAAACGAAAGCCGCAGCCTCGAATAAAAACAAAGTAGCATATTGACTTAGACCAATAATGCCAAGGATCGATTGAGTGACAAACTAGGCCAGGAAAGATGAACTCTAATCTAGAATAGGAAATACAAGCGAGTGTAACAGCTGGCAACACAAAATGGAAGGTTTCAGGATCTTTTCTGAGGGAAGTTGAAGGGGTACAAGGCGTTCGCGATTCTGGGCTAACCCAGGGGCAAATATACAGCCTTTTGGAAGAAAAATGCCTTTCGAATATTTGGGTCAAATGCTCAAAGACTTGATGCTGGCTCCTTTGTCTTCCCGGTTGGTTTATGCTGAGCTGTGCGGTCTGAGGGTATCCCAGAGTGCATCAGATATCAGTAGTTTCAGATTCGAGAATGCTATGCAGAAACTTCAGATACAGTACCAGCGAGCTCGCTGACCCAGAGGCTGACGATGTCTTTGGGGAATCGGCGGAGAGGGGCTCTTGCAGAATTCAATGAAAGGCTGTAGCAATATCGAATGTTCTGTACAGCGCTGTATTTTTTTACTTTATTTTTTTACTTGCCCAATTAAAGGCTCGAATACGTAACACCCGCTTTTTTCATGCATGTCTTGTGATACCATCCGGTGTTTCCAAGCCCCAATTATAAGAACCCTGAGGCGTTTAAACGTTTGAGCGCCATTAAACATGGGACTCTCTTGCTTGTGCCTCCGCCTTTGTGAGAAGTTGTGAATACACTGTCTGAAGAGTGATTACGTACCTTTTCTACCTTGGCAAGCGAATTCGCGAAGTTGAAAGCCCGGATATTTGGTGTCTATGCTTTTCGAATGATTATTTTGGTTAGCTTCGGGCCCGCTATAGGCAGGCAAATAATTAATATTGCTGGATTCATAATTACTGTGCGCATAGCTAATCCAATCATTATGTAGGCGGGCGAAATAATACCACAGAGGAGGATCTGAATATATAAAGTATCTAGACTTCAGCATTCAATTTATTCTGGACATCAAATTATTCAAATCGACCAAGCTTTCCGTATACTAAAAGATTCTCTCCAAGTTTATCTTGGGTAAAATTTGTGTACTTGATTTCTAGTGCTGGCACAGAAGTGGTTCCTCCTATCAATCTCATCCGACCGTTTCATAAAACTCAATTCAATTGAAAAATATTCGAATATACCACCAAATACCTACATCATTCCATAATCAGGTTTCCACTAGACCACTCCCCTTTTAAATATCACACAATGGGGACCAAAAATCAAAATACCAGCGGAGGGGGCTTCGAACTCCAGTCTCAGGATCGATCCTCGATATCCAAAAATACGCCGCCTTCACCACCACTAGTGGCCGACGATGCCAACTTTTTCGTCCGTAATGCTAGAAAAGTGTATCACCCGATTGGTTTCCGCAAGGGTTACAACTTTTCCTTCTGTATGTCGCCTTCCGTACATATCGTCTGCAACCAACCTACATGATTCACTAATACAAATGATTGCTTCAAAGGGTTCATCTGCTGCGGAGCCATGTTAGGGTTCTGTGCCGCCCGCGCAATGTTCCTCGACATTGAAGGGGTATTCTTTGAATCCACCCTCCTCGCAGAAAAATACTGGTACTCAAACTTCTCCCTCTACCGCATCGGCATCACCATCCATCTCGCCTGCGTCGTCCCCGCCGGAATCCTAGTATTCTTCCAATTCATGCCCGTAATCCGCTACAAAGCACTTTACCTTCACCGTATTAACGGATATCTCATCATACTTCTTATCCTTATCGGTAACGCAGGGGCACTCATGATCGCTCGTCGTGCATTCGGCGGTGGTGTTGAGACTCAAGCTGTGGTTTATATTCTGGCTACGATGACTACAACGAGCTTGTTGCTTGGGTACTTCAACATTAAGAAGCTACAAATCGAGCAGCATAGGAAGTGGATGATTCGAGCTTGGGCCTATTTGGGAGTTATCATCACCATGCGATTCGTGATGCTTATTGCCGCTACTATTATTAATCAGATGGGATCATATTGGATGGGTGTAACATGTGGAGAATTGGAATTCGGGTTTATTGACGGGAATAATACAATCGCGGCGGAGACAGCTTTCAGAGCGAGATATCCAGACTGCATTGACTCAAAAGGAATGATTTTGTCTGATAAAAACATCGCGATCCAGGGTTTGACGGATGGAAGAGTGGAGGAGGCTGGTGTGGGTTATAAGTTGGGATTTGGAATGGCGGCTTGGGTATGTCTTGTTTTACATGCGGTGCTCGCAGAGGTCTATTTGGCTCTTACGAGTAGGGAAACAGAAAGATTGAGGATGGTGAGCTATGAGAAGCAGAAGGCGAGGGGTTGGGCAAATCCTGGAAGGGAGGGTTTGACTGCAGATAGGATCGATGGTGTGCCTTGGGTCCCGAGACAAACAGAGTAAACATGGGGCGGATAGAATGAGTGACGAATCCGGAGTTGGTACATATTCTATGGGATGTTTTTTTTCTTTTAACTCTTTAACTGTTACGACTTTTTTTTAATAACTAGAGCAAGCGGGTGTTTAGCCATTAAGAGGATCGGTTATAGGAATGCACATGAATCATTAAACTTTATCCACAGCCTCCATGGATATTCCAATCTATATGTTCAGATATGTGTGTAGTTTTTACATGATAACCTCGTTGACAACATCCTAAAAAAAAGAAAATATCGATTAGCATCGTAGGATTCGAAAATAGGATTAGATTTAAACATACCTTCTTCAACTCTTTGTACGGCAAGCAAACGCAGTTTTGTACCCTGATTTCATCATGAACGACACAGTCCTTCGCCAGAATCGTAACAGACTGAACCTTAACACCATTCTTAAGAACTGTCGTTGAGTGCTGATTAACCGATATTGGTGTGCCTTCGACTCTTGCCCATGCGCCGATTCTCGCATTCCATCCAACAATGCTATATAAAACGCATGCATCGTGCTTAATCTCAGCATCTTCAAGGACAATTGAATCCTTGACACGAGCACCAGCGCCAATATGGGCACGGGGGCCAATTGAGACGTTTGGCCCAAGCTTGGCGGTTGGATCAACAATGGCAGTTGGATGGATGTAGACTGGTGGAATTATGGTTGTGCTTGCCGCAGCGAGATCTTCGGCGCCGGATTGATGAGCCTTCTGAAGGTACAAGGCGTTTGCTGGAACAGCAGACCCAGCAGTTTTAATCTGTCGCCAAAAGTCGCGAGTTTCGTAGACATAGAAGCTCTTCTCCTCAGCAAGAGGCCCAAGGATATCCTGCTCGAGACGAAGGACATTATCTGAGCCATCTTCCTCGCTAGGGTCGTACAATGGGTCGGAAGACCTTCGGTCTGCCTTAATCTCCATTGCCTTCCTAATCTTAAAGATGATTGAGCTGCCAAAGAGGTAGACACCACAATTTATCAGGTTGCTGATGTGGGATTCTGGTTTTTCTACGTAATGGATGACTCGCTTCGTGGTTTGGTCAGAGACAATACAACCAAAGTTGGAGGCTGCCTCATTCGAGACCCTGGTACCCAAGATAACGGCTTCAGCTTCACGATCGTCGGCGATTTGAAGCATTTCCTTCAACGGGAACGAGCAGCAGACATCGGCATTGAGAACGAAGAAGCGCTTAGGAGAGCCCTTAAGAATGACATCACGGAAGTGGTAGAGACCGCCGGCGGTTCCTAGAGGTTCATATTCGCGAAGGTATTTGATAGTGAATTGGGGAAACTCTTTGGAAGAGTCCCTGATGAAGTCTCGGAAGATGGATTCATCATAATAGCCGATTAAGAAAACCTCCTTGACATCGATTTTGGTGAGAGCAGTCAAACAATGCCAGATAATAGGATGGCCAGCGACATCAAAGAGGGGCTAAACGTCAGAAGGACAGGGATTAGCTGATGTCTTAACACAAACGATAGAGATAGCGTACTTTCGGCTGATCGAGCGAAAGAGGTCTGAATCTGGTTCCTCGTTGGGAACCTCCAACCTGTTATGGCGCTGTTAGCTTCGTGGCTTTGACGATGGCCATGGGCCCTGACACCAACTTCATACCAAGATGAGAGCCTTCGTCGACATGGTACTTTTGTAAGCTCAAGCAGCTCCCAATTGACGTGGATAGACGGTAATTCAGTAGAGGTAAAAGGTGGATGGTAAGTGTTGGTCGTGGTGCTAGATGGGAGAGGTTGATGAGCTGGCGGGCAGGATGGTTGGAGCTCCTGAAATTGGTGTTTTCGAGAGAGTGTTCGAGCCCAGGCCGCTGAAGCTGGCTAGCTTTCCCCACGTGGTGTTGTACCGCGCTTCGGCCGACATAGGTATCCTAACATACTAATTAATACTGGAAGTGACTTCTTGGCATATTACCAAGAATACCACACTAACAACACCTGAGTCTTCTATAGTTAGGTGGCAGGACGTGTCAAGCCCCATAAGTCAGTACCAAAAAGAGCGCTTTATATAGGCTTATAGCTTGGTTATGTGCTCAGAAAGCTAATCTAAGATCACTTGGTTTCTTTATACATTTATGTATTATTTGCATCAGCACCCGTCTAAAAACTAGACTAGCTAAGTACTTAAGTAAATTCTCTGGCAACGAGACTAGTAAATTCTTATGTTTTTAGGCTGTACTGTACGCTTATAATCAATTATTCATATCAAGAACTAAAATAGAGTACACGAACCAAGTCTAGTTACGAGCCTGACGCGAACCTTCCGTGGGAGTTCCTACTTGAAAGGCTGTAGTTAAAAGATAATATCTACGGTAGTACGACGGTGGACGATCAAGATAAATTGAAAGAGTAGTACAGGGGTTTATCTTATATCGGTACAAGTGGGGCCTAAACCACAAAAACCACGATATCCTAGTGGTATTGAACGAAAATATGTAGTGTTAAAGCAGCCAGTAGTCTTTTCCAAAAGTATGAGACTATCAGCTATGCAGTCGAACGAAAAAATCAAGGCTCTAGTCGGCTCGGTTGTGTATGTCTCCCATCGGGCAGCTCTCTCCTTGCGCTCCATTCCTCCCTATGTGGATATCCCTCCGTCTCCAATTTCCAATCTTCGTATTCCGACTGATCAATTTGAACTATATCGGTCCTGGTGATGTGATTTGAGCAATATACCTTCCCATCGTCGACAAATTCACTCCACAAATGCCCAAATCCCTCCATCCCTTCAAATTTGATCCCCAACAACTTGACGGCATGGAAAAAACGTTCATCGCTATCGTTAAACCAGAATTTTCCGATTTTCCATTTAGCGTCAACTATCTTCCTAGCGGCCGGGGTATCGGGTCTACCGTTGCCAGGGAGATTGAGGTAAAGTGAGGTATCAAACACAACATCTCGACAAAAGATCGGCCCCTGAGGGACAAATACCAGCGGGCTCTCGCCTTCAACGCTAAAGAGAGTGCAGTAAGAATGGAACTTCTTGGGGGTCATGAGCCTAGGCTCCCACCCGGTAATGACTTTGCCGACCAGGAATTCAAGATCCTTGCTGTCGCCCTTATTTTCGAGGGTATCAAACATGGTGTATTCCCGTTTCCTGAGCCTGAAAGCTTCGTATTTTGCAGAAGTTACACTATCAAGGGTGGTTATGCCGTTTCTATGGGTTACAACGGGATTAAAACCTTGTTAGCATGAATTTTGACCCTTGCGATGAAAAGAATGAAAATAGAAGCATCACCAAGACGAAGTAAGGCTATTACTTACCCATAGAACGGTCCGGGGTAGGGATTGAAAGCACCAGCATCTCTGTCATGTGGTATGGGAGAAGTGACGCGTTTGCATTTGGCAGATCGCCGTGTGATTGAAATCTTTGAGGGAGCCATATGGTAGCGATTAATTTCAAATATCGATGTGGATATGCGCGAGGCGATAGTATCAAGTATGGACCAACGGACTATGACGTACGAAGCCGGCTAAGAGAGTTGATAAAAGTTGCTGTTGTAGAGAGCTGAAGTTGATTGTTTGCCGCCTGGGAGCTCTGGTATGATCCAGAAAGATTGATGCGGGATGGCGATTCTATTTCTGGATAGGCTCAGCACTTTCCTAAAAATACACTGCTTGTATGTTTATATACTACTAATAGTCGTAACGACGTCCCACGACTGTATAAACAGTGGGTTTGTCTGTACCCTGCTGATCACCACATGCACAGCCATCCTGATCAACTCTCTCATATGCCCGGTGTACGCCCATATGGCCATGTCCCTCGAGACTACGTGAGTGAAAACGCTCTAAGCACTGCGGGTTTATCAAAGTTCAAGCTACGGGCCAAGTCTCAGATCCAGGCGCTCACCCACCGATCAAAACCCACGGCCTACGATCTACAGCATGTTTCAAGGCTAGGATAAAACAATATTCCTACGAAATTAATTTACTGGTGCTTGATATTGAAGCGGATGCAATTAAGACAATAAGAAGAATATATATATATACTATATAATGCATTAATTATCCTTGAGGTATTCACTATAAATACTACTCATCTAGACATTCATTATGGTACAAATTCAATTAACTTTACCTTTAATTACCCTTGCTTAATATAGTATAATTAAATGGGTTTATATACCCAAGTCTCAACTAATCTGTCCATAATTTCGCCCGGCGCTCCAGTCTTTTTCCCTTTTCCTCCACTGATATTTTCAAAAGTTTTCTTAACATTGTCGAGTTAGTTTTCACTTTGGTCGCGAAAAAGGTTTGATTACGAGATTCGGTAGTAGGCTTAATCGTGAAGGTTTGATTCGTTTCGATTGGGCCGAACCTTTGCATAGTCGCCGGGATCGCGTCTACCATTACAAGTCAGTATATCCGAGTTCAACCCAGACATTTCAGATATCAATATCATTGTAAAGACTTACTTTGTCTGTGTGCTTCAAATCGTTCCCTCGCCGCCCCAAAACAGGGTAGCCAAGCCTCAATAGCTGCAATAAACACTGGAAGTGCTTCTAGAGACCATTCTCTAATTACAAGATCCACAGCATGGGGCCCATCCTTGATGACGACACCGAATAAATCGTCCCTTGAAGGTCTTTTATAGCATGAAGGAACGGTCGAATTCGCAACGTATCGCGGGCCATCAGCCAACCCTTCTGAAAATCTCGTCTTCAAGAATCCCAGTGCGCTCCAGGGGTCATTTTCACCCATGGTGTAGAATGTTCGTGGTTGTGGATCGTTCCAACCGCCGAATGCTTGATTTATCGCATTCGTGGATGGCCTAGAGCTATTTCCAATATACGCCCCAGCAGTTGGATCTTTAAAGTATAGGTTACATTTGCTCTTCCAGTGCTCTAGGTTGCTAAACTTCGACACGATCTGCTCAGTCCCAACGTTTCCAGTCTGGAAGAAACCCCACTCGAAACAAAACTGCCAGGCCCAAGCTATGTCGTCAGAATTATTGGAAAATTGAGCTATTTTGCAAGATCCCGGACCCCTAGCGGACCCAAATCCGGTGCAGGAATACCCCCATGCTTTTAGAAGTTCAATATATCCGGGCCAAGTTGCCCATTGTCTGGCGCTCCAGCTGCCGCTCCTCGTCAGAGTCGAGTCTTCTGCATTTTCCGGCCAGCCTGTTACTGGGGATTTGATATCGCCGTCGGTATTCATATGGTCGCAAAGGTTTCTAAGGGACCAGACAGTGTCATCGATTATAGGTTCGTCTATCCCCCCAAATTGGAACCCAAAGAAAGGGAACATGATTGTTTCTGCAAACCAGCCGTTGGTATTGATTTCACCACCGGGACCAAGGAACATTATCTTCATTACTGCTGCTGATTGTCCGCCTTTTGCCAACTCTTGGTCAATATATCTCATCGCGGAATTCATATTCTTGACACATGCTGGCTCTGTGGATCCGATCGACTTTGCTACAATATCCCAGTACATTGGCATCATTGTCCGGGCCTCAACAGGCGCACCTGAAGCGTATGCCGCGAAGAACGTATCCGGATACAATTTTCTCAGGTAGCTAGCCCTAAAAATTCAAGTCTTTGATAAGTTTATCAAATCTATTGTGGATTTATGCTGCGGTATTCTGAATTTATGAAGCTGGATTTATGAGCAACTTACATGTTTCCGGCGTACGAGCCACCAAGTACTACCCACGGAGAACCCTTTCCCCTTAAATCAGTGCCCGCCGGGACTCTTTCGCTTGTATAATTAAAATTATCCGCAAGAAATTTAACATCTTGCAGTGCCAAGTCAGTCCTGAGGTACCTCAGCTTTTCCGCTGGAGTGTCGATGGTGATTCCACTAGCGCCAGTTCCCCACGCAGATTGTGGGGTTGAATCTCCATAATAACGGTGCTGTAAGGCAATTCCTAATCCTCCAAACTTCTCTTGCAAGTCGTATACGCGACTTCCATTCAGAAATGTACCAGCGACATAGTCCGACAGCGTTGTTTCTCCGCTTAGATATAAAAAGATCGGCCCACCCTTCTTGTAATGTTTATCATAAACCCAGTATGTCAGATTAAACTGCTCGCCAGTCCGAGGCCCTTGATGATCTACAGGTGTCTATGTATTGAGCTTGTTAGATTTTGGCCACAACTTCCCAATATTGAATGTACATAAACTCCTCGAGGGTAAGGCAGGCAATGTCGGCTTACCAACAACCGATGCTTCGTCGGATACAGAGGTGTAATATCAGGGAACACCAGGTTCCCATCTTTGCCTTTAGCGAATTTGACAGAGACATGGCCACTGATACGACTTTTGTCTTTCTTTAGCTCTTTCAGCAGCAACTTGTTCATATTATTGTGTAGAAACATCCCTTGGGCCTCTACCACGCGAGCGATCAAGGAAATCGAAACCAGTGCAGCATATGCTATACTCCATAGTCTCATCTTGAAAGGCCTCAGAGTACGGAATGCCTAGTTTCCAGATATAGAAATGTGCTGTAAGAATTATAAGATATTAAAGACCTTTGTTCGAGTTCGGAATTCTGAGGATATGGTAGAATATGAACAGATAATATACGGTAACGAAAGACGAAAAGTAGAAGTAACAAAAAAATATGAAAGAAAGATAGTATGAAAAGAAATGCTATTAAAATACAAGTGTATAAGTGAACTAGTAGGGGTTATCGATATCATGAAACTCACACCAAAACTTCTTTCCTCGACGAAAATCCTATGGGCAAGTTATTCCTATATATATAACAAGAATACGTAGTATCTAGAAGCACACCTTCGCCGAAGGATTAAGGCGACGTATAGAGCCCTCAAACAAAAACCCGAGTCAACAGCTTATCCATAACAATTACAACATCTTTAACTACAAACTTATAGGACTTGTTGATTTCGTTGGCGGCGGAGGTTTCCTTATTTACTATGCTCCTGTTTCATGACTTTCGGATTTAGATTATTAGCCATTTTCGTGTGTATTGTTAGTCTGGTATGCACACTGCGTAGTTTCGCAACATTAGGCCCAGCACCCCAAGCGCGGCGCAGGCGAGAAAAGCCTGATGAACGCGAACACATACAAGCAGACGCCCATAATAGGAAGAGTATATATACATCCTGATATTTAGGCTTACGCATTCATGTCGGAGTATGCTAGGCCACTCATACACATATATTTGTTTCCATTGATAATATTCGAATGAGCTCAGACTTATAGTTACGGCTCTTCGATAGGGTACTCCTGAAAGTGCCAATATTGCTGGACTGATAAATCCGATATCGCGACACATCAAACCACCTTGTCGGTTTGGCCACCATCCCAGCTTAGCCCTGCTAGTCCTAGGTTCACGCAAGGCTACATATGCTTCAAAGAGTTTAGTTTCACGTTGAATCAACTTAACTGTTGGACTTTCGGCGCTGTTAACTAGTTTCAGTTTTGGCTTGCGCCGTTGATTGTTGGATGTCGGGTTGGATATTACCCCTGGACTCTGGATGCATGACATTTGGCTGTATGGGAACCCCTGGCCCTTTGCTTTTAGGAATACGTTGGCCAATCTTTGGCTCCCAGAACATACATTGATAGAATGTTCCATGAGAAGGAAGGTATGCTAGCACTCAATAGGTCCCGATGCAAAGTCACCTTGATCAAGAACTTGAATCTAGATATATATATACCATGTTGTTGGCGCTGGCGTGGTCTGGCCTAACGTAACAAAGTGATTCCGCGACCGACTTCGAGATAATCGATAATTCAAGATCAAGACCAGAACTCTTAATTAAAACATAGATATAATTCTGAATCATCACCAACGAAAATGTAAACTACGGTTCATGAAGAGTTGAAATCTTTCGCGCAAAACAATGCAATCCAATGATAGTAACAACTAGACTACGTAGCCTTATGTACAAGAAAACACTAAACTAAATGAGTGGGTATAAACAAAGATATCATATCAATGCAACTAGTACTTCAAATCATCATCATGGTATCACATAGCCCCAGATATCCAACCAAGATCCTAACCGAGATGCTCCAGCACCTAATTCCAAAACAAAAGTTCAACGCCACCTAAGATATCCGTATTCATATTCACATGCGCACGTGTTCATTTCAAACGGAAATGCATGAGTGTATAATGTAGTCCATTTTAATATTTTGCGCCCTTTAAAGCTTAATGCTGACCGGCGAAGAATCTGCTCATCCCGTCAAAGAAGCCGTTAAGTCCGCCCAAGAATTTCTACGATCGAAAGTTAGAGAAGAGTTACACTCCTTGTTTTCGGTAGTCCATACATGGACAAAGAGCAAGTACTGTAACTTACGTTTAACCACTCAACATCTGGGTTGTGAAATTCACCAGGGCCGCCACGTTTTTCAATATCAATCAAAACAGGGTTGGGGATATCCTTTTTATAGCTAAGTTAGTAATGTACATCAGAGAGGTTGGGACTTCTGGAGAAAGTAGCGTACCCGTGGCATTGCGCTTGATAATCCTTGGATACCGTTCTCAACTTTTAAAACGGCAACCGGTGCCGCAGATGTGAGAATAGCAGTAGAGAGCAAGCAAGCTGAGACGGTGGTGAACTTCATTTTGGCTTATTGGAGTTGGTGAAAGGGAATAGAAATTGTAACTTTGTTGAAGATAGAGTATACTTTGATCGTGAGAATCAAATTCGGGAATTTAATTGTTAAGAGGATGAGAATGGCGACTTTCGATTCCGATTGTGATGATTATAAATTTTAAAAGTGATTGAAGAAGGAATTGAGGGCTTATTTATAGAGTTCGAGGGCCTCAGCGACCTCGACCTCTAGATTCTATGTCTCCTATCTTGTTGGATCGATTCGTGAATATGGTTATCTTGCTAAGTTGTAGAAGTCAGATCTACACGCAACTACGTCGGAACATTTACCATGGTTTCATTCCATCCCGATATCGCGACACTTTCAGATACCACTATACTCCCAATCAGCTCCAAGACAACTTTGATGACGAGCTGAACCCTTGAAATTCCGTTCGAGAATCCTGCCAACGATATTCAGGGTCAGGAGTATTAATCGTTGCGTGCACGAGATCATTTTCCTTCACAATTCAGCAACAGTTATGGTCGTAAAAGGCCGGTCGGTCCAATCGAACAGAAGCAATTCCGGAAACTCCGCAATCTAGACCTAGCAAGTAAATCAAACTAGCTCTGATTCTGCGAAGGCTGCCTGGTGTTCAAGCAGCAGCCTAGTTATTTGCCAACAGATAAGCTTATCGAGGTTTTGATGGTGCTAAGTACTATACTAAGTAACGTTAGCTAGTGGCTTTGTTCCATAGCTTCGGGTGTCGTGTGACATTTTACTACATCCAACATCTTAAGCACAACTATGCTAGGGTGCTTGTTGCGCCATTATATGTAGGAAGCTGGTGCATATATATAGCTTATTTACAGTGAAGCTATCAAATAGAATAGGGCAGCTGGAGTTCGTGCATAAAGGAAGCTCCAATACTTCTAGGATATAGTGTTTCGTCACGTAATCTTCGTCAACTTAACTTGTCCATGGAACTGTGGGGTTATATAATTAACGTGTACATGTCAACCAAGCTAGGGTCAGTATAATCAATACAATAACCGAGAGTAACAAGATAACATTGAGTTTACATTAGTCATGAGAATTCGAAGGAATAGGTAAAGTCCGCCTAATGATCGCAATATCAACCAGCTTCGGGGGAATGAAAGGAAGATATATCGATACCGAAGTACAGAGTAGAGTAATGATGAAGAGAATCTTATTCACGTATATTCAGGATTTCTTAGCCGTGGGAAATACGCGCTACGAGCAACTTCTATGATATCAAACCATTTATTGATATCTACTAGTAGAGGGAATATTATATACGTCTTTCAGCCCTTTGTCAATGAGTTAGCCATATTATTCGTCTGTCGATAGCCGTGTACAGCGAATACCACATACCTACGATTAAAACGGCTTCTCACAAACTACTGGCAACTGTATAGATAAAGTACAGTATGCACGCCCTAGTCCGGATGATACACCCCTGAAGACCGTCAGCATAGTTTAATTTAACTTATAACGTGCTATAACCCCTCATTTGTAACCAGGGTGCCCAGACTATTCAACGTACCCCGAGTATCATAAAGGATGCATCACATGGCGGTGCCGTTTTCCTCCTATGGGAGCAGCCCTCAGTTTCTTCTCTTTTTGTGAGCCGGCCCTTCATTGCTTTCGTCAGCTCGCCACTTCCGACGACGCTGCGAGAACTTGTCAACGCTTATTGGAGCTACCGAAATGTTCGAAGATTGGTGGTGGAGATTTAGAATGCCGTATCTGGTAGTTTCTATCTCTTTTCCAAGAGTAGAGTTGATCGCAGTCCACTTTGGATGACCAGAAAGATCCAAACCGGTTGCCTCTACTTCGCTTTTCTCTTTCACCTCCGGGTGACCTCTTTTCCAAGGCTTCCGAGGCCTCCCGGCTGGTGGTGGATGCTTAACGGGGCTCCCCAAGACCTCACTCAAAGGGGTTCCACGATGTGTAACAGATCCGAATATTCTGAGGACACCGCCTCGATTCAAGATCGTTATTGTAATTCTTGCGTCTTTCTCTGCTATTTTCATTATTCCTAGTGTTTTATCTGGAATTCTTGAGAGACTCGGGGGGTTGATGGGTTTGATGGTGGATGAAGGGGGTGCAATTGGAGGTTGATGGGAGGTTTTAAGTATCACACAAGGTAACTAGATCTTTTTTTAAGGAGAAATACGAAAAGAAACGTTTAAACGCGACAATGAGGCGTTAAATCATGATGAGATTGATATCAGGTTTCACGGTTTGTGAATTCGCTATCAGCTTGCAAGCGCTTGATGTTGCTCTGTGATAAATTCAAAGCCTGTTCACCTAGATATATCGATATGGAACCTAGATATATCGATATGGGATGGATCCTTCCAGCAAGCTCGGGAATTTGTAACTTATCGTTCAATTGATCAAGATATGCTTACCGAAATGCTGCGGTGTCTTCAAGTAAAACTATTATCACGCAGTTTTAGATTATGTAGACTTAAATATATGCGAATGGTGCCTGTGCGAGAACCTTGAGGGGCCTAATCGTGTATCTTCTTGGTAGATATCACTCTATTCAAATATTCATCGTCCAGGGGAATCGAGGGGACGCACCTAAATTCATTCATTCATGCAGAGAGCTTCCCAATCAAGAGGACTGAGTAGTACGTAAGTAGTATTTAAGCCTCCCATCAACAAGCTTCAGACTTCAAGACCAAGCGCTTAATTAAGTCACAACTACCTTTCTTCCCTCAACCTACAACCTCGTCAGCACCTCGTACCATTGGACAAAAGCTCATCGATCAACAATCGCTATCCTCATGATGTCGGCTATCCCCTTACCAGAGGGGAAAGGAAAAGGGGAACCTTCCCCTATTGAAGGTTATACCAAAGATTATAAGGAGGCCAAACAGACTGAAAAGAATCAGGAGCCAACTGAAAATATGAAACTAGTCCTGCAGTGGGTCAACACTGTTGAAGCTACAGACGAACAAAATATCACGGAAAGCGATATCCTTGCTTCCATTGATACGGCTTCCACCTCTTCTACCAATTATTACGGGCAGGAGGCCTTCAAACACTTTCAGCCAAAACTTTTCAAGCTCCTGACTGGCATCATTCCGCGCGAAGTTCATCTCAGCGTGGTTGGTCGCATGAAAGGCGGTGGAAATAATCGTGTCGCTGGTATCCGCTTCGATTGGCCTTCGGGAAAAATTTGCAAACTTAATGGCAAAGTTTTCTTTCAACCTCAAGAAGATGACACCGAAGTCAGGGCTGTTTTCCGCACATGCCGCTGGCCATCCCCGGAGAAATCCGACCCCGAAATCATGGACAACTATGCCATCCTTACAGAGCTTAGTCGAGTTGGACTCAAGGTCCCAATTGTTATCGCCTACGACTCAACCCCTTGGAACTCAATGAGTGTCCCTTTCATGTTGCTCGAACGCCTTCCAGGATTCCGTCTCGAAGACATCTACGGAAGCCTTACGCTCAAGCAGAAGGAGCGGGTTGCTCGTCTCGTTGCTGAGCAGCTCAACATATTTGACACTATCAGAAACGGGAAAATGGGAAGAATTCAAGGTGCCCAGGATTGCATTCCGGTCAAGCGAACTTTTCAGCCGGAGATCCCTAAGGATTTCAAGATGATTACCTTAGACTTTGTTACTGGTCGTCAGCACAAGCTTCATGTTAAACCGAGCAGATCCATCTATACTGTTATGCGACGCATGTTCAATAATTGGATCTCTATCATCAAAAAAGGCGACATTTTCAAAGATAACGCCGAATCACTGCAAGAAATTTACCTTCACCTCTTCGAAGAGCTCCGCGCCATCTTGGAAGTCATGAAACTCCGCGGGTTTTTTGAGGGGCAAGAAGGAAATATTGCTTTGCATCATCCGGATTTCTTTGCTCGCAATATCATTATCGGTGCTTCCTGCCGCCGACCCGACAATCTGGATTTCCAGATTGAAGGTGTTATCGATTGGGATGAAGCACTTTATCTTCCCGAAGTCCTTCGCTGCAGCCCATGTTCTTGGCTTTGGGAGCTGGCTGGACCCCAAGTTACCAACCTCCCCGCATGGGAGGAATACTATGGAGATTCTGACGAGCTTCCTAGTGGTCGCTTCGACTTTCGCCTCAATCCAGATGAGCGAAAGATCAAGACTGCGTACGATGAGGTCCTCAGTCAGACTAAGCGAGACTTTATGTATAAGGTTGAAAACGTCTGGATCCGTAGGTTGTGGAAGTTTGCTCTTTCAGGAGTCTACCTCAGCAATGAACATGATGTCAATCGCTTCACGAGATTCCTCGAGAATTGGGCCGTTTACGTCAAGGCTACGAGGCACCGTTTCAACGACCCAAACGCCAGTCGCTATGTCAAAATCAGCCCTGAGCTCGCGCAACAAATCCGCAAGCATATTAAGGTTAAATCTACGAAGGACGATACGACGACTAAAGAATCTGCTTAACTTCTACAATCGATGCTAAAACTCGGCTATGAGTATTGGCCTCCTGCCACCAGAAGATATCGATCTGGCCGGATATTAAATGACAGCACTAACATTCTTGTGCACAATCCTGAATCGACACCACTTCCCGGATGTATCCATCTCCTTCTTTACCCTGTGAAATTTACCTTATCTCTAGCCCGGTTTCCATTTACAATAACTCCATTGAATAACATTGCTTTATTCATTTCCTTATATTTCCTTACAAGCTAGTTAGCGTATACTTGTATTGAGTTGCGAGTGCCGTCTCCTTTGTTGCATTTTATTTGTGTTGCGCTCTTCCGCTTGTAGCTATCGTGACGTCGCCAGGATCTGTTCATTGTTTGGCCTCATCCCTCTCTGATAAACAAAACATCATCCCGCTCATTCGTATCGACATCGAATTCGAAACCGAAAAACATCACCAAGCTTCCAACCGGGGACTTTTCCTTTACAAATTCGAATCCTAGCCCGGTGGAAGGCCAGCTTCTCGACCACTAAGCCTCCTAACCAAGATGGACGACTTACTAGCGAAAGTGGGTAACAAACTACAACAAGAGGTAGCTGGCTGCTAACAAACTCTTGACTTCAGATCGCATCGCAAACCGTCACTTTTGCAATACGGTATACCTTTGACTACCCTCAGCTCCAGAGCTATGTACATCTTGAATCCAGGCTAATATTCTACATGCTAGCTCCGGTATTGGTGTAGCTAGTAGCTTCGCGATAGGCCAATGCACCCGATATATACGCGTTAGTGGACCCCAAACGAAGACATGCATTCGAATCCGTCTAAATTTTGTAGGCGATTAGGGGAAGTGAACGAACGGAGATTATGATGTTGAAGGATCGGTTAGATATAAAGATCAAGGTCCGTTCAAGCTGGTGCTCAAGGATGATTGCCTCGGGACTAATGCTGATGCGCAGTGGGGATAGGTCGTCTCGCCAGCAATAGACCTTGTCGAGATATTGTAAGCGCCCTGGTGTTTCGTACATATTTCTCGGGGCTAATTTGGAAAAAGGGCAGCACGAGGGAATACTTCCCTAGAATCAGCGATGGCCCTGACAAAAAGCCTAAGGGAGGATATCGAGAGTCTCGGGGTACGATTGCTCAGCGCCGCAGAAGCTGAAGAGAAGCACAAAGGCACTCGGAAGAAGGGCCAGCATGATAAAGATACAGCCAAGAAAATAATAGCTGAAATTAAGGATCTGACCAAACGGATAGAGGACGTAAGTCTGCATCAGTCTACATTTTCAAAATCCTACTAACCGCCACCTCAATAGGCTGTACCCTTGATATCATTATCTGTCACGGCGTCGGGGGCCTCGCTCTCAACTGCCATGCCTGAAAGCGTTTCGCCGTCCCGTCTCCTCCAAGCATCCACGATATTAACCATAGCGGACCAAATGTACATGCAAAACCCATTCCACGAACGGCAAGTCGGAAACGCTTTCACGTTGACGCTATATCAACTCTTTGCCGGGCACGCGCACCGCACAGGGCCAAAGGTAGATGAGTTCACATGGCAAGAGGTTGCCTTCAAATGTAAGGTCAAGATATTAAGAGTACCATTACATTATGGTGGTAGCGAGGCAGATAATGACCTTGGCGCCGGTCAGCCCGGGCAGTACATGCGAGGTGTTGAGAAAACCGACGAATACGCATATGAACTTCGGATTGTCGAAGATTTAGATGACGGTAGAGTGCATGAGGACGAAGGAGAACCTTTCGACGAGGTTCAGAACGCTGGTAGACGACTTAGCGTGCCAATCCACCAAGTAAGACCATAATCCTACAACTTATTATGCAGAATCTAACCTCCCCGAAAGATATCTAAGATATTCTACACAAACTCTGGAAAGCTACTCGGTATCGATTCTATAACTCCAGTATTGTTGTTGAAGCGTAATCCTCTTGCGGACCCTCCGAGGCGTCTATTGGAAAGGATCGGTCGCTATGAACGAGATGACGACGAGGACGACCTATCTGAAGCCGATGGGCCTTCCGCACAGCTCCATGACAACCTCGATGCCAACAATTCAATTCACCATGAGCCACATAATAAAAAGTGGGATTTTCCAGAACATCTCGACAAAGAATGGCTAGCGTTTGAGCTTTGGCAAGAACCAGGAGATAGCGACGAAGACGACGAAGACGATGAAGACGATGAAGATGATGAATTAGAAGCATCCGCTAGCAAAGACACACGCAAGGAAACAAACTACAGTATTTCATCTTTGATTCCCGGATTTTCAAATTTACTTCGAGGGAAACAGACGACCCCACCTCCGAAACAGTCTTTGACATCTGTATCAATCAGAAAACCGAACGTTGTTGTGGAGCAACCGACTAGCTACCAGCGCGGCCTTTCTGGGCTGTCAAGCCCGAGCCTGGCTTCTTTATCCCTCCTCGAATGTTTGTTGAGGCTTGCCGGACTTCAGAATTATCAACAGACCTCGCATTTATTTGTCCATGATGAACTTTTAAATCTCTTCCTCTCAGACGCCTATAGCGATGAAAAGAGTCGGAGGAAAGAACGGGCAACAGCAAAGAAGAAGATTGGGTTTGATCCATTTGGCACACCCGCTCCCCCGCGTCGTGGAGTCGAATTCAATCCAACAGTCTCCGTGCTGGGGCAGGCGGCCGACTTCCGAAGCCGCTTAGCTCGTGGTGGTACCCCGCTAGACGAGGATAGTTTCCATGAAGATGACGACATTTCATGGGTGCAAGAAGATTCACCAAGTCGAGTACCACCCCGAACAATTCCACACGCGCAACACGAGAATCCTTTTCAAGGCAATTCACCAGCACACTCAACGAAGTCCTCCATCAGAAGCCCTGCATTTACATCGAATTCAATATATTACAGCCCGGCTAGTTGGGGAGCCTCCGATTTGCCACCACCCACAGCCTTGCCTCCCGATGCTCTCCCGTCGAAACTTCAAGCTGTTGGTCCAATATCGTCCCGGCTAAGAAATGAAGTTCGAGGCCAACACCCAGCTTCAGATAACAGTTTTCTCCGGCGGAATGCTCAGCGATAATCTGGGCTCAGGGCCCACTTTGTTTCCGTTATGTCCCGCCAATCACAATTTTTTTAATCACCTGCTCTGAAATTATAGATATGGTTAAACAGGCGTTAATGTTGACGATATATTGAAGTATCAAGGTCCTGGGGTGTTTTCGAGCTAGGAGTTGTTCCGATAGATCTATGATACCATGGGATAGAAATATAATTTGATAATTATGATATACAGTAACATTCCATCGACGATTCACCATCCGCCGGCCCATTATGATTAACGCGTGTTCTTAAGTTCCGAGCAATAAACATTTCTACGAGAGCATGGACAAGGCTCACAAACGTTCAAAGATAGCCTTCGTATCCGCTAGTGCGATGTTTCGTGCTTCAGCTGAAAACCGCCAGAGTCAAGGGTACGAGATCAGATACGGGAGAGTGCCACGCAATAACCCTCTTTGAGTATGAATCGGCGTGAGCGGGTGCTCGAGCTTAAGTCCATGAAATGGAAATCCTGGGCGAGCCGGAATTGCATAGGCTTCATCAAATCTATACATCTCCGGCAAGCGAAGCAATCTGCAAGATATCTGAATGGGGACATGAACTGCTCCACTAGCTACTCCGGATGTCTTGGATTCACAAGTTCCTTACGGTGTAAAGATAGTGTCAAGCAGGTTGAATTCATCCCAGCCGCTCCACCCACCCAATCCTTCCAACTAGTGTTTCCCCACCTCCACTTACGTCCTCCGTGACCCACTCTCAACTCCACATATTCCAGGTTATTATCAACGACAAAAGACGCCACCAAAACAATTAAGGCAGTATCCAGGCCTCGCGGACCAACAAAACTGCTACTGCAATGCCGCTTCTGCACCTCTCCGGATATGGGAGCTGTAGTTTATCCCGTGTTAAGGTTTCGAAAAACGGCGGCCAAAACCACTCTGTCTAAGCCTTACGGATATTAAGCTGGCTGAATTACTCTTCAAATACTCATTGGCCGCAAGTACACCACCATCAGACGGCCAGATGCGTTGCCTCAACTTAACCCTCGTGGAAGTGTTAGTAGACATGTATTATATGCAATCTCGTCTAAGCACCTGCGGACCACCCCTCCTCTTGCCGTTTTATCCCACCTACCAACTCCGATGGGGATGGAGAGATGAAGAATTCAAATTCAGCAATCGAAATGGGAAAGGAAAATACGAATTTAGCCGGGAAAACGCGCCGTCGTGCCGACGGTAAAACTGTTCCGTGTGTGATTCTATTGGTGTTTGTAGGTTCTTGTGTGAAGGCGCCCATGGTAAAGAAGTCAGCATAACACTTCAAATAATGGCATATAGGTCGTACGGCATATTCCGCCTCGCGTTTTAACGGCAATAAGAGAGTTGTGATACAGATAGTAATCATATGTGATTCAGAATATAATGGGCATTCCGTGATGCTTAAGCGTATACGAGGCGAGCCTTACCTGGGAAGGAAACTTATCAGAATGGAAGTGGTCTAAGCTCAGATCTTGCGCGGTTTGGTAACGTTACTGGTGTGCATAGCTCACAAACTCAAACCAGTACAGATTGGATGAAAAAATTTCGCTGTTAGCGAATACGGGATGCAACAGAATCAGTGCATACTCCAAGCCCAAAGAAGACCGCTCCAACGGCTCAAGAGAACGAGCTTGGACCACCTATCATACATAATGGCCAAGTCAGTTATTCCGCAAACGAACATCGGTCCCATCTGTGCCGCACATTGGCGCACACGAAAGTTGCAGCCAGAGTGGATGTGGTATAACGGCTATAGGAAATGAACCAGGGCACACGCACCCTTCAAACAGAAGGATTGAGATATCGCGAAAAGCCAACCAGAATAAATTAGCAAAAAAGAAATGTAATCAGGACCGGCGAAAGATGGTGGAGGTGATGGAGACCAGCAGGGAACGGGACAGGCTAATTCGCTAAGCGCTGTCATTTTAGGATTCATGGCGCCATGGAAGCTGGGGAGACTTCGGAGTTTGAAGGTGGAGGAAGGACGAGGGTTTGGAATTTCGAGGAAGGGAGACAAGGGGCTCGAACCAGACGCTGGGATTACAGTGGAATGGCGGTCATGCCATGCCATATCGTGACCATTTGAGTTCATAACTTGAAGTTTCATATACGAATAACAGGCTTAGGTGTCTCTTCGGGACCAATCTTACCATTGATTTCGAATCCATATCGTAATCGTATAGATTTAATGTCTCGGATTCGAGTACTTACAATAACGTTTGTTAAGAAAAAAAGCATTTCATGATGAATAATTCTAGAAGCATGCGCATGGTGAGATATCACCCGCCGCTCTCGTAAGCCATGCAGAAGAACAGTGGCAAATCGTTCAAACGGAACACCAAAGAATAATATACCCGGCACAGTTAAACCAGGGCACCGGAAAGCCATCGGAGAACGCACGCACATACGCACTGACCAATTAGACATCGACTACACGTGCCTTGTTGCATTTTGGTATTTCAACACAATCGAGTAGCGGCTTGTTCTGGTCTGGCCCCAATACATGTACAAGACCCACATGACGAACGGATAGGCTGAAGGGCCGCATGTTTAATCGATGCACGGTTTTTTTTTTGTTCCATTAGTTTTGATGTATTGCCGGAGCCTTCGAACTTGAGGTTATGAGATTAGGCCAATCAATTAGACCCTTTTGAGAATTCCACTCTTAGAACGCCTAAAGAAGACGGCAAAAGTATTTCAATCTAGTGAAAGGAAACAGCGCCTTGTTTGACGAATGATTGATTCGGAAAGCCACGGATAGAATTGCCAGCATGCAGGTTGAAAGCACGGACGATTGAATCTCTTAAGATTAGCCATATGGCTTGGGTACCCGTGTGTTTTTGAAGAATAGGTTGAAGAATTTGGCGACCAAGGGGCTTTCGTTGGAAACACTAACCAGATGGGTTAACTTTAACCCCAGATTTCGGACGATACTGAAGGGATGCCCCAGATACCGTTGAAGCACCCGGGTGTTTGGTATTTTCAGAATTTAGGCGGGTTTTCCGAATTAGATCTTGAGAACAGACATATTTCCCAAATTTGGTGGATTGAGATCGTACCATGGATTCAGCCTGCAGTCCAAGACCGGAGGCGTTTTCGGAATCATACCCTCCGCGCGTTAGAGAGGCGTAAAAGCCAAGAATGAACAGATTGTTCGTGCACAGTGATGTCGTGACCCGTGATTGGGAAACCGACGAATAGTTTTTTGAGGCTCCATTGCAGATATCGATGTTCGATGTCGTGGCCCCTCAGTATACCAGCTGGCATCCCCGGGATAGCGGGGTAACTTTGTAAACGAGCTGCGGGACATGTCGACAAAATCCCTAGTGGCAGTGTTTTTAAAATTTGTCAAGGTATGTGCTTCGAAGTATGGATTTCGAATGCAATGCAACTAACGGCAGTTCATCCTTTTATTCCCATGGCTATTTCGGGTGTCTCTATCAACTTCATTTCGCCGGAAGCCTCGAGGCCCGCCTCCTTCTTTGACGTTAACCCCTCATTGCCTCGACAAGATTGGATCGGTCGTCCCGCGCCCGCAGAGTAAGTACTAGCCCACCCGTCGACTGACAACACATCTCCCCACCATCTCGACATTGCAATATATAAAAAATTTTAAATTTTAAAGCCGTATCCTGCGACCAGACGAGTCTACCTTACATATATGTACAATGCCTTCGGTGCTTTGCTAGCGGCGATTACTATAGATAGGCGACGTGTCTACTAGATCTTGGTGCTGAAAATTTTCATATGATTATGACTTCCTGCATTATGATGTAAACGAGTCCGAAAATTGCCAAATATTTACCGTTATCAGGATTTTGAAAAGACCGTACATATACATAAAAGTGCATGCTTAAAGCATATGTACAATGTATAATTTTTGTATGCGGCATTTACTATATTGGATAAGATGCTAGTTGCTGCAGGGTTGTGCTGACGCACTACACACATCTCTTGAAAGTTTGGAGGGGTTATGCCCGGCTTGCCGACTCGGAACGAGGGGTAAGTTTGGCTGAGTTTCTAGAAGTCAATGGGAGGACGGAGTACACCTGCTCCAATCGTTCAGTATGACTGGGAGTGCGAATGTCGCTTGCTTAAATTACGAATCAAACCAGGTTTTTGAACCGGCACGTACCCTCAAACTCTGTCTTGAAATCGGTCGGAGCAGCTCACGTCGAGGATTAAAAAGAAGTTTTCCCAGGTCCGAGGAAAACCCCAGCTGTGGTACGAGATTTATGCTGTGAAAATGTGATACGGCATAAAATAAACCACGTTTATGAGAGCACAACCTCAGTCAGGCCACTCATGATCAGATGGCTGCTCACAGATAATATACATATCGAACAAAAGTTTACAGCCACATTTAAATTGAAACCCCGTTGATAGCGAAGGCTCGTGGCTCAGACATCGGATGAAATCGTAATCGTCTTTAGGGTTTTATATTACGAGCTTCGGATGATTAGAATGGAGGTATCGTTTATCTTTGCCATTGTAGGCACTAGTGGGCATGCTAGCAGATGCTAAGTCGTCCGTTCTCGTCGTTTCGAGCTGCAGTGCGTCCTGCTTTTGCTTCCCGTGTTTGTATTCCGACGGCAGCATAATTTGCCATTGTCTCTCCGGTGAAAAGCATCAATTGGACGCCTTCTTGATTATGTTGAAGGTTCACGCGGTCCGCAGTAAAATCTCGACTGTACAGTCGACATTACAAAAATACGTACTGTAGCTAGGAATAACCATGATCAAATGTAAAATTCATACCCTCGCTGGGTGTGCCTTATGCTGACCAAAAACTGGAAAACCAATGCATGAACCAAGTAGCCAAGTATCTTCAGGTACCTAAACGACCACCGGAGCCTACCGATATGGGCAACTGCGATGACCATTAAGGCACCTCAACCTGCACAAACGACCACGATCTGCGAAACTGATTACCAAAAAATATTCCTAAAAAATACAGCCTTGTACGACCTGAGAAACTGTTGTTTAACTGGTGCGTAATGCCGTGTTTAGCCCGAGTCCGACCGAGTAAACCAGCTGGACCTTTGGCCCGAAATGGCCTTCGAGTTCGTAAACATATGCTCCAGGCAAGCCGGACCCGCTCCCCCCTGACGGATCTGTATTCCTGTTGGTTTAGGGGAACAAAAAAGAGTTGGGTGCTCGTCTGTATATGTAATGCAAATGCTTGTTAAACTGAGGAGTTCCCGCATCATCTGATCGAGATATTCATTGCGAATGAAATGTCTAGACGTGTCCCTTTTGATACCAGGCCTTCAACACTAGAGTTCAGTCGAGGCGGGGTTAGATAGGCCTAGCGGGGTGGGAAAAATACGAAGAGATAGCATCAATCACCCAGCAACTAGAAATGCCCCTTCCCATTCACTGAATACCAGTCCACTAGGATTCAAAATGCAGAACGTGCAGTAAACTCCCCTCTTCGGTTTTTCCAGCCGGTCGGGTAACTGTCAGGAGCTGAGAGGAGCTGACATGCCTGGCTGGAAGCTTCTGCAGTCGGCAGCTTCCGCGATTCGATAAGGTGCACGTTGCGACATGAAAGCTGCATTAGTGTGAGCACTAGGAGACAGAAGACCTTGCGTGACTCGTGGATATCATCGTGACCTGAGATTAGATTAACGATGTTTTACGCTATTGTTTTTATGAATCTGCAAGTAAAAGGGACCGGTTCGCTTTTTAGATTACGATTGTTGGTAGTGGTTTTCTACAGACGATCTGACGGTCATTTTGAAGCATCAAGGTGTGGAGCTATAAATTAATTATGGAGGCGTCATGTGGGACCTCGGCTTCGGATTAGTTCATCAGAAATGGAGACGCTACGATTCGAATGATATGATGGGCTCATGTCACGATGTTTCCACCCTGTCTAAAGTACGTTTATATTAAAATGTTATGCGGATGGAAGGATCGTAAAGGGTGTCGATCTCGCCTGAACGGAGGAGTGCTCCAGAAGAGTTATCGTATCGGTATTTATCGGGTCAGGCCTTGTTTTCGTTTCCCACAACCGCGTAGTCTATGCTTTTGGTTGTTTTTTTTGCTAAAGAAAGAAATGCTCGGAATAATTGCAGTATTGTACAGGGAGTATATGCAAGGAAAAGGAAAAAAAAAACAAAATGCTGTTTTTGGTATCAGGCCGAAATTCTGAAGTGCGTGAGCTTTCAAATTTTGGCTGTAAAGGAAATAATAACTCCGGGGCGCCATTCTATCAAATAAGCTGGGAAATTTCGATATGGGGGAAATCTATGAGAAAGGCCGCCAGAGCGCAAAAACAGAAAGCCTCACTTAAAATCCAAAAAGAAATAAAAATAAAAAAAAGAACAAGAAAGAAGTATGTGTACATCGGCGGAAATAGAATCGGACTGTGCAAGACATTTTCGGTGGGTGTATCGGAACAGGCGCTGGGCATAGCTGACATGGCCATGGTGTCTGGTGGTTGCCGAAACGGCTAGCGGGGGCGAATTTTGGGATTCAATTTCTTTTACCTGATGTCGTGGTTCCAGACAAGGACGGCTAAACCCCTAAGGATAATTCAAATCATAGGCACACACGATGAGGACACAACCACGCAGGCGCGGGAATGAACACACACACAAAGCTGTGGCAATGGCAGATGGCATCGTGTAAGCTCTACTATCAAACCCCTATGAGAAGGTACACTCAATCCTCCCATGTGAACAGACAACTAAGGCCCAAGTATCACCAAGAAAAAAAAAAAGTAGTTTCCGCCCTGCCTGTGAGTTTTGATCGTTGACCCCAATCTTGTGAAAACATGACCCTCGACCCGGTGCCTGCTTCGGTTAAAGATTTGCCTTTCCTTCCCCGGTTGATAGCGTCTGGGGCGCGGAAGCAAATGAAGGGTGGAGGGGAAGTGGTTCTCGAACGTTTGATTCCCCGCGAAGGGAAAAGAAAAAAACGTAGAAGATCTTGTATTCTAGAAGAAAGGGGAGGACGCTTCGGATGTACCCAATGAAAAGTATCGTAATCTAAACAGAATTGCAGACAAAGAGGTAGCAGTGCTACACCAAGGACATGAATCAACTGACACCAAAGTTTGAACCTGCTAAAAAAATAAACACAGGTATCTCAAAAAAAGTGTTCGAACAACGGGTACAGAGATACTACAATCAAAAAAGTTGTGCTTTCCAAAACAAAAAAACGAACAAGTCTAATGAAGGTGGTATGTGTGCTATAAACGAAAACGACAATAAAAAGAGGGGCGGTAAAAAAGCAAAACGAAAAAAAGCTGGACAAACGTGGAGAAAGCAATAACTTTTAGTGATCCAGTCCCGTTGAAATTGGCGTGTCAAGGCGTAAGGACCAAATAAACCCCAGGGCTTGGCTAATGACTCTGGAGGTAGGTAATGCTACCGAGCTTCGAATTCTGGAGGAAGGGGTACATTTTGGGTTGTTACAGGAACCATCATCAGAACCTCGGAATCTGCGAAGAGATGCGACCCGTGTTCAGTTCCAATTTCGGCCGAAGAGATAGTTTTGCCGTCCTCGTAAGCTGTTGGTGGGACACCTTCAAACCCAATTTCGGCCAAGGAAACGCCTTCCTGAACACCTAGGTTAAAGGTGCTGCCGTCAAAGCCGGTGTTCAAATAGTTTTCCATGGATCCAAGGTCGGGTGGCGGAAGCGTAGCAATGTTGGCGAGTCCTACTCTTGAAGACACTGTACTAAGGCCGTCATGATGATCGGATTCGTAAAAGTCGGAAGACTCCGCAGAGAAGGGTCCATTGAGATATCCAGGGGTGATGTTGTGTACAGGGCTGGGAAGCGTGGGGTACGCCCAAGTCTCAACTTCAGAATCGTCTCCAGAGACAGATTGAGTAAGTCCAGGCGGCACCTCACAAAAGCTGTCGAAACTTGCCTCATATTGCCATGTCGCTGAGTTTGGGGGGTTGAATGCCGAGAATGGGAGCCCTGCTTCTGAATCAACGGCGGAAAAGTAAAATTCGCGGGCGGAGTAGTCCGGGGTATCAAAGGCTGGTAAGTCCGTGGTTCGCAGCGAGAGATCGAAAACCCCACGAGATCCGTTCAAGTTGAATTCAGAGATCGTGCGGCTCAGATTTGTGGGTAACGTTGAATCGCTGCCTTCCTGGTATCCAGATGATGCTACTGAGGGCGAACCAGTTTCGGATTTGATTTGTCGGCTTAAATTAGATCTTTGATATGTAGCCGGTAGATCTTCCGGATCGGAGGGCATGATGATATGTCCGTGGGAAGACGAAAGATCCACTTCTGGCGTTATCTTGTCATGGCTATCGCTGCCGGATGTGTGATGATGATGAATCGGGATATGATATGGCGCACTTCCATGAGAAGAGTGGTGTCTATGAATCACTCTATGATGTCCATTTGTGAAGCGAGTCAGGCTACTCTCGGATTGTGTCGATTGAAGCCGTGGCTTCACCCGTGGCCCCTCGCTAGAAGTCGAGGAGCCTGGTGTACTGGTGGTTGTTTCTGGCACGCACTCCAGATATTCCTTTTTGATAGAACAAGTGCATCGGCCGCCATGTGGGCATTGGCAATGCGAGCCTTTTCGGATTATCAATAACAATTAGCAAATCGAACTTTTCAGTAAGAGAAGCTTAGGGAGTGTCTATCACCTTTGGACTCGTCCAATTCTACGAGCTTCCCATTCTCGTTTATATAGTGGTGCTTCGGGGCTCCCTTAGTCTTTTCCCCACAGTCGCATTTGACGTGAGACGAACGCGACTTCCTCAGACTTCGACAGTGCTGGCACTGTGATACCGGACGTCCCTTCTTTGCAATCTCTTGCAATGGACGGTCTAATTATGATTTTTCGTCAGTTCCAAGACACTTATTTGCAGCCTCGCTCAAAGCTAAACACCGCGGGACAACATGGCAAGGCTAGAAAAACGGCGAAATTCTCGATCGCAAAGAGGGTGGGAATACATACCGTTGTGATTGCATCCGCTCACGCGATGCCCTCGGACGCAAGCGTCACATGCATATTTCTTCCCATCCACAAACATAGCTGTTGGAGTAACTTGCGAGTGTGAACGTCTGGACGTTCACCACCAAATTCTATTTGTGTGTGTGTTAAAAAGAGAAGATACAAGATGATATCAAGCCGGACTTCGAAACCGAAACTTGTTCGACAAGGCGGCTGTTATTTAGTAGTTCTGTCGATTGTGTCTGAAGGCTGATGGCGGCCTTTTCACAGTTGGAGAAAAAGATATAATGAGATTCGATGATTTACAGGTGCTTCCCGTTTGAACGCCAGTTCCACTGTAAACTACCCCGGGCAATATAAAAAAAGATTTATGAAAGTGGAAACACGAGACAAAAAATAGGAAAATGGACGCTAAAAAACGTCGAGGGACTCCCAGGTGTATTGGATCATCGTACACTCTTTTGCCGGATATTAAGCTGCGATCAGGGAAAAACGGGATCGGAGGAAGGAGGTGGTGGTGGAGCGGCGGACGACCAGCCAGAAATAAGGTATAGAGTGGAAGAGTGCGAAAAAGCAATCCTGTGCCTTAGCAACAGGTTGGTGCCGGCCTCGAGGACACGGGTCACCGCAAAGCGTATGGAACTAACCACCGAATGGGACCTCAGTACTTGCGGGCGAGCCTGAGTATTCAGGCTGTCAACAATAGAGAAAAAGGTTGGGTTAAGAGGGAAGTAAGAAAGGAGGGGGAAAGAACAAAAAGATATCTAGAAATGGCAGAAGGAGAAAAGGAATCCAAGGAAAGAAATAGGAACAGGAGCAAAGGAGAAGGGGTGGCCCCATAAACAAGCGAACTTTCAGAAAATCAAAAAAATCAAAAAAATCAAAACTAGGCCGCGGTGGTTAGGTCTAGTTGGTTGGATCCCTATAGAGTTCAGTACGTACTTCTGATACTTACAGTTAGTGGTAAAGTAGGCGAGATTATGACTTGCCTTCTTTTGAGAGGCACATCATCACGACAGTATCACCAAGGGGACCCTCGATGCAGCTGCAACAGCGCCGACTGCAACTTAACTGCAACTTAACTGCAACCGCAATTCTATAGGTACGGCTGTCCGTCCGTCGAGTCTATATAATCGGTGTATCTGCAGTTCCAAGAATCGTGTATGTAAGGTCATGCAGAAGCGGCCGAATTTTCTGTTCGATCGAATTAATCCAACAGCCGGCCCAGTTTAAGGGTCCGCCTCAGTCTTTCTCCAACTAGCTCTGTCAAACACACATCGTTGAATCCACACACCACCACTGAACACTCAAGTACAGCGCGTATTAGGGAAAAGAAGGACAAAGAAGGCTGACAACTTGCAGCTTCAAGAAGCAAATCTTTTCTCGACGTTGGGGGAAATTTTCACGATCCGTGGGATGTCATTACGTTCACAAATATTAAATTGTGAGTTCGAGTAACATCACGACGCGACCACGATCTTTCTTACGTTTCTTACGGGGTCTTCCTCGGTGACTTGACATACAATAAGCAACCAAAATCTGGGTATTTGGTAAAGAACCATATGGCAGCGGAGGGTCCTTCCATGTTTTCCAGGTTGTTGACCTTTGGAATGAGAAAACTACACACTTCGCATACGTAAGAATATACCTGAACAGGAATATGAATCAGGAAGATGTCATAAACCCAAAAAACAATTAAACAATTAAACAATAAAAACTTCATCCTGTTAATCAATTTTGAATTTCGTCCTGGTGCTTACAATCGATGCAATCCAGGCAATGCAATTTTGAACACATGAGCCCATACGTTGGTGGGAACAAAAATTATCATGCTAGCATCATCAACATAGCCCACTTCGACTCCGGTACCTGTATATACTTCGTATATGTTTATTAGTAGATGACCGACGAGTACTTCAGCTACCAGTCAGCATCCATGAAGCAGATGACCTTGGTTGGAGGGCTGGTGTTGTATGTCAGAGCTTCATGGTTACCTCAGCTAGCGTTTCTGCCCTGGCCGATCGATGATGATTTCCCTCCGTGCCGCTTGCCTACTATGGGATGCAGTTTCTAATTCCATATCTCTAGTCCCATTTGGTAGCTTCTGTCGTTTTGACATGTGTGAACACTTGAAAGGTACCCACCTTTTCGCACGTCAGGTTTTTCTTAAACCGAGCTAACCGAATCTGTCGCCGGCGGCATCCCATCCACAATATGCCAGTAGCTTCAGATTTAATTCATGCTGACTACGGTCTCCTAGTCTCTTAAGTGCAGAACACATCCAAGTGCGAATAGCGTGTGAGAAAGCTAAGATGAGGGGACAAGGAAAGTGGCGTTCATTCTATCGGTGATTCTTTACAGACCGGACCTTCCTGGCAAATAAGAAAATGCCACCTACCGCTGAATTATTCCGTCCATCCGACGAATCAGGATGTTCGATAGCCGTGAGTAATGAAGGGTCTTGACATCTCGACAAGAGATCAAGAAAAGAGATACGACACAAACTTTTTCCGGGCCGTCCAGAAGAAATTCTAAACAGGATTCGTTCAGGGCAGTCATCTCATCATATTCAGAGCCAGCATGATCTTTGTTTCCGTACCCATGCTTGATTGATCCCAAAAGGGTGTGGGTTCGGCACGAATCGATGCGCTGACCATTGTGATGGAGCCGTCGACGGACCGCAGTCAAATTTACACATGATATGATATGATAGGCATCCCTCATTACTTTTCGGAAGCACAATCCTTATCAACCCTTAGCATAGCCCTTAGCAGTCCTTAGGTTTTTCCATTTTGGAGGTAGTCCGATTTCGCAGTCTGGGGAAGATGATATCGAATCCCAGTCAGCCGACAGAATCCCTGGGGAAGGAAACATCCAATCTCAGCTTCTAGAAAAGGTCAATTCAGGCAAATTGGGCTGGAGAACCTTCGAAGCCATATCACAGCAGCAACACCCAGGCAAATCTACGGAATCCGACAGAAGGCATATAACCGTATTGCTTAAGCTCGAGTCTTTCCGATATAACGCTATTTCGGTTCCCATAGGTATTATGGCGAGTTGTGTTATGAGAAACTCCCTGTGCGGCTTGTCTCATTTTTATAGGCTTTAATTACAAGAGGACCCTGCAACAGAAAATACGAAGAAACAGAAGATAAAACATCAGTGATTGAACCAATTCTCGATCGTCTTACCTCATCCATATATCGGCAGCTATGTCGTGTCAAAACTCGTCTCAAGATCGGTAGCGGCGTCACTGAATGTGTGCCAGTGCTCGAGCTTCCAGTTCGCGACATGACTTCGGATCGGCTGCAGCTGTCGATTCGGGGCCCGCCAACCGCCATCCGATGCGTAGGTAATGAGCTGGCGGCTAGCCGTCTATTAATTATTTGGATTACTCAATGTCAGATGCCGATGCAATGATGCCAGCGCTGTTCGTGCCAATGTTACATTTTAGAAAATGGCAAGAATTGCCTGAGGGTATGGTGACAATCCGGCACAACTTTCTTAAATTGTGAGACCTGTTGGGAAATTCCCAACACAACGCAAATTTCAGCCAAGGATTGGGGTGAGGCTTTGCAACTAGTCTGATCAGTAAGTGTGGCGATGAGATTCCAGGTGAGGAAGTTCTGTGGCTGGCGCCCTAGTATAGTATCTCCCTAATAGCGTTTATTCAAATTGTTATCGGAAAGAGTGTTTATATAAGAAAGATGAAACTCAATTCTGTCAGTTATCTCAGATAAATATCTGTAAAACCCGTCCTAATAATCTCAATATATATTGGTGCGGTTGATATCATAATATGATGCTTCCATAGGCTAGCTAGTACGATCGTGACTCTCCCCTCAATAGCCTAGACTAAATAATCCTGCGTGTATGCAGCGACTAATAAACTGGTAGATGTACGGCCATTCAGTCGTTTCTTGATACACCTGCATTATTGGCATCTAACATGCAACAACTGTCAGTGTCATCTAACTCTATGATGTATACATGTATTAGGGCCAACGGTTCTGGATACGTCTTCCGTTCCGAAATGATACGCATGAACTGAAGAAGCTGTAGTAGTTCTGCCATTGAAAAAAATCAGAAACAAACTAGTCCCCCAGATACAAGGAACTAAACATTTAAATATTCGTAACAGTTTTCAAAGCCTTGGGTGCTCGATTAAGCAAGTCCAGGGCTTGTGCCTTGATGTAATCCAGGTCATCTAGGGTAAGAGCAACAAGGACTATATCGTTGCGAATTGGCTGCCTTGAAACAACATGTCAGGTTGATATATCTGGGTATGAAGACCTTTACCCCGCTCGATAATTTCATACCTAGCTTCTATGCTTATTACTAGTTTCATATTGCGTTAATGTTGTCGAGGGAGAAATCAAGATTAAATAACCTGGTTTGCATATCATTCGGTTCCGCGACATGCTTCAGATACCCTTCGTTATCACAAGCTTAAGCAGAAAGAAAAGTCTCTCCAGTTAACCGAAGTTTAATTAAAGATCGAAACTTTCCGCCCCGCTTTAGCTAAAATGCTCGCAATACTCGCGCCATCTAATGGATCGAGGTCGTGATAGTCACAAGCATAGACCACTCCGCATTTCATGGAGTAGCAGCTTGCTGTTTGAAGTCTGTCTTGATCCTTGCGCTGATCAGTGGATCAGACTTAGGCGACCGCGGTCCACTTGGCATCCAGCAAATTAGTTGGATGGATCCATGGAGAAAACAACATCTTGTCAGTTGTTTGAGCGGCGACGTCGGCTTCAGCCTGTTCTAAACCATGACTCCGGTTCGCCGGCGCGATTTTAGGGATAACAAAACACCGTTGTCTCCGACAAAAATTAGAGAAAATAAGTCGACGTATCTAGATCTAGTTCGTTTGTATTTTTGTTTAGCCAGTCTAGTGTGAATATGAGGTGACTGAGAGCGTGCCCCGGTCTCGTATTTGTTTCGCTTCGAGATAAGAATCCACGGATGAAGGTGGAGAAACTCGTATTATTCGGCTGAACTTCTAAGCTCTTATATTTCCTGTTCAAAACACTATTTTTAGTCTGAAATAATGGAGATATTGTCAAATGGAAGACATACAAAGATTAATTGCGACACTTCGAAGGAAAGAATTTGTTTTGGGCGGTGGGGTGAACGAGGCAATTGATCCAAGTAGTTGTTGGTTTCCGAATTTCAATTATGTCACTGCGTCAGCTTAGAACTAACAACAGAATTGTTTCACGGCCTGAATGACAACATTTTCGCCGACAAAGGTATGCAAAGCACCTCCTCAAGCGAGATCTGATGCATAAAGCTGGCTACAGCCATGAAGCACCGAGGTATATAACCCGGATTATTAACAATAAGTTCAGACCAAATGTGATACGAGGTAATTCAACTTCATGTAACAAAATTTTATATTAGACGTGCATGCCTAGCTAGAATTAAGTTTGATAGGTTATTGCGAACCACAACATCAGGGGTAACTTATTTGCATATGCAAGCCACTGCAAAAGACCACTTTGCGAAGCTTTATTACTTTCAATCGTATTAATGTTAATTTTATCATTAATGATAAAGATCTTATACATTCTTATTAAGCATTTGACAAGAGGTTCCCCACTAGAAACAAAATTAGGTCAATAAAAACTATAACACCAAACAGAGGTTAACTTTTGACATATACACCCTCGGCGGTTAGAAAGGCATTTTCCTGCATGTTTATACAAAAAGCGGTTCGCACTCAGGGGTCAGCACCGACCACCATATGCATTCAGATAACGAGCTCACCGTTATCAAATGTGTGGCATAGGTAGACGAATCTTGCGATACTCCCTTGCTCACAGACCTCAACCCAGCCTTCCGCCATGTAAAACCCTAATTAACCTGCCACGCAGTGATATATATCCATGCAACTGTGGGCTGATAGGCGAACTGGAGACGAACATCGTTTGCTGCTGCAGGTCTAGGAAACCTAGCAAATTGAATGTCTTAGTTATACCACGTATGTGAGACGTTCGAAGACATCGATCGCGGTCGAATTTTCAGAGAATTCACCGATCGAGGCTCTTGTTATGTCAATATTCTTCGATGAGCTCTAAGGGTGGTATTTGGTATGCATGTAACCATCCTAAATGTGACTATAATCGGTCTCTTAAGCTTGCTAAGCAAAGTGGTGGTCATGTCAAAAGGCCGTATTCTAGGCCTGAGAACGTCGAATATGAACTTTAGAAGTGGGGTACGGGTATGCAGAGTAAACGGTATCTTTCTGTTTGATCATGCAGCTGTAGTCCGTCATGACCTAGCTCTGACGGGGCCTGAGCTTTGCATGCATCGGTTTGAAATGCCCATATCGGTATCGATGGGAGCGGCTTAACTGCACTGGGATCATGGCCAGCTGTCATTTTGTTTCCCAGCGTTCCTGTTGATCGAACCCGGACGCGGGCCTCCAAAACGAACGGGAAAGGTCCCGGGTGCGTCTACTCCGCACAGGAGGACGTCCGACCCACCAGCAGAGTCAAAGCTTGCTTTAAGGCTGCCTCTCTGGTCACCTGCCTGTCCTAAGTTGGTCTCGAATACGAGCTCACTAGTGTGCATTTTTTTTCGTTAGCCACCATCATCATCAAGCTATTGCAGTTATATCACAAACGCAAAAAACAAAGAATGACGATCAATTTCACGTGTGCTATTGGTTCGAACCTAGTCCGAGATTGCATTGATATCCAGGTTTAACCACCGGAGTAACCAATAGGCACCCATTCCAAAGAAAACTATGCGAAGCAGCCCATGGCAGCCCTGCTGGATCAATTCCTCGATTCGAGCGTACGGGTACAAGCGAACATTTCCTCTGACATGCTTTCGAGGTCCGGGCTTTCTATCACTGATCATCAACCTGGGGTGGTATCGTTCTTATGTAAACCATCCTGATCGATCAGAGCCCGGACTCGAATTGCGTGCATATCTTGGCTTCGTTTTAAGCCGGGAATTCCGTGGGGGCTTTTCCGTGTGGATCCATGGCTGGATTATACTTCTGACAGTCATATGTTCAAATCCATCGTCGATGTAGTAAGAGTGTCGACAGCATTCGCTCTTTTATCTGGTTGCGACCCCTCATGAAAATTCATACGTTTGGTCCCATGTCGCAGATGAGCAAATTTATTTCCGGAACCGACATCCTAAATCCCCTTGCCGACCCCCGTGCCCCCTGCGAATCCGAGCTGGGGTGTTTCCGCGGTCGCTTTATCTCGCCTCCACGCTATAGAGCTGCTGCCGGTCGGCAGAAAAGCTCGTTACATTTCGCAACGTTAAAGGGTCATGTTCGTTTTCTGATACACTTTAGTTGTTGTGTATGTTGTAATTTACGCTGGGGCTTTAGTATTTTGCTGTATAACTTGTTACAGCTGAATAGTGTAGAGTTATTGTGTCGGCTAAAGTCTGGTCTTGGACCGGTCCGCCTAATTATGAAAGAACTGCTAGGGGTTCAACGTAATTCCCACGAATTAGCACCATTAGCTAGTTTCGCGACGAAGATCATCTGATTGTTAATTTGTTCGGCACCGGGGAAATGCTCATGAGAAACCGAACCTCGGGCAGAGTTGTCACAAAATTATATTAATCGTTCCGTGAAGACAGCCCTTCGGCACGAATGGGTCCTCCAAACGTCGCTCCAAACGTCCCGTTCCTCAAGGAGGTTACGCAATCTTTTTTTGGCGTTGCGGTTGTTAGATGAAAGTATTACTGAGTATAGTGATAAGATTAGTCGGCGAAATAACTGAGGTATTGTAAAATTAGGGTAATCTGGCGCTTATAGGACGTTGCCGTGATAAAACGTTTCAATAAGACTTTTGAAGTAGAGTTTGGGAATCATTTTAAAATTGCTTGGGAATCCGTCGGTAATCGTCACGATTAATTGAGGCTAAGCGATTGGACGGGCAGCCTAGCGGTCCGAGTGGTGTTATCCTGTTTCACATTGAATGCCTTTTAACCTCGCTTGAAGATTCTTAAAACTCTGAGCCCGAAGCGGGGGAGACGAAAAATCTGTTTGGATGGGGAGGCGACTTGCAGCTATATCATGTTGAAGCTATGCTAAGTTCGAGTTGCAAGTACATTATGGGTATTGTATACATGCAGTAGGGGACTTCGGAATTTGGGTAAGATCTTTCCATAGGCTTTGACGAAGAATACCAGTCACTTGATGGTCCCACTTGGGGCTGACTACCGCTTCTTCTTCTTTGACAAGTTTAGGCGAAGGGGCGTTTATTACGTTAAGTTCACGAGATTTTAACGGAGCACGAAACGCCTGACCGGCCCAGGAGCTGTACCATGAAACAAGTTTGAACCGTGGCAAGCTAGATTGACGTAAGATGAGGTACAGGTGTTGAACGAACCAGTGGTTCGTATGTCAAAATGAAACAAAGGAACGTGGGTTTTGAACTAGACTCTTGTGCTACCTCAGGACAAGATCCCCAATTGTTCTGGTTCTGGCCTTGCGCTGCAGGATTAACATAGACTGGTATGCAAGTATGTAAGTATGCGATGCAATATTATTCCAGTTTGCCGGGGACATCCTGTTTTGAAGACCAAAGGAGCAGAGTTTAGACCTTTTGCCAAGTTATGCAGGCGTCTCGAACCCGCCAAATCATGGATCCTCAAGGAGAATGCTAAATATACGCTCAGTCACTACATGTTAGAGGTGTGTCCACAAATGCGGGGCTGTACAGAGTATAAATCGGGGATAGAACTGTGGCATGTCAACAAGCAAGCTTTGGAACCATGGTGACTAAAAATCGTGGCCGAAGCTTGTCATCGAAACAAGAAACCTAGCACAGTAGACGCCCGGGTTGGAGTGACCGTTACCCGGTCATGTTGATAGTTTTCAATTAAACTGACTTTCCCTGTGTTGCAAAACTAGCTCGACGTGTCGTCTTATGCCCCACCGTCTATGCCAAGCGGGGCAGAGCTGGCCTAAAAAGTAAAAAAATATCGGATGAGGAGTTCTTCCAGACACCCGAATGAACCCATGACGGCTGGTGTCTGCAAGTCTAAATAGGCTATATACCGACGAATCGATTTCGCGGCTCCGCGTTTTTAAATCATGTTTGACTACCTATATGGCTGCCAGGCAATAGTGGACGGGAGCAAGGTTTAGCCACCAGATAATTGGTTAGAAACGTTAATATGACCGCGGGAGAGGAAGGTGGCTGCGGTTGAGGAATTTCGTCCAATGTGCATACACATCTCGCGTGCAGAACTGTCCGATGTAAAGTCCAGCCGATAAATCGATACCATCCTCGGTTGAAATGGATCAGCAATCTATTCCTGACTGTTGGGTATGAAATTTAGAGGGGCGATAAAATAGGAGCCCGTCTTGACAATTATTGGGGATCTCAACTTCAGCTGCTCGTATTTTATGGAGCCATCCTCGCCCGTGCTTGGCTTGTTGGAAAAGTTTTTCCGTGTGTTTATCCACCATGCCGTCTCCACTAAATTACTCCAGGTTCGGCGTATTTACTCAAGGCGAGTGTGGAGAAATCTTCGGATCTGACCAAACCTGTGCACTAAGGATAGTAATCGATACCGGCTCGCCATAGTGAAACGTTACTTTTTCCTTTCACCGCTTTGCAATTCCGAAATCCCGCACGACGTGTCTCGGAGTAGAGGAGTGATCCCTGACAGGTTGTCGGGCTCTTGGGGTTAGCTTTTGTACTAGCGGTTGGCGAAATCCGACAAGTTAGTGCGTTCCTTAGCTATTGTACCGCACTGGCCGTCTCAATTGACAATTGAACAGACCACGATCCGTTCTAGGCATGAAAGGGGATGCAGAGGTTGGTGAGGGCAAGACGTCAGTGCGCGATGGCCTGTCATGCATAGGCGAGAGCGCATGTCCGTCACATGGAGCGTGTTGCACCAATTTCGATGTAGGAGGTGGATCAGACGAGATGAAAGAAAAGCCCTCGAGAAAATCCAAGGACCTAAGTATTAAGCTAGGAGCACACAGGTTTTGAACCGCATTTGCACCCTCGTGCTCCATCTGCAAGGCAGACAGCAGCACGGGGGAAAAGGCTATTAGGTCAAGTTTGCGCCGGCTCGCAGATCACCCATGAAGAACTATAATTATCAGGAGAGAAAAGATCCCGTTGCTGGAAATTTAATATCTACAACTTAACTTGGTGTTATACTGGAACTTAATTGGAGTCATTATTATTATTTATAGAGTTACTTTGACCAATTAGGATAATTACAAAGTGTCATATAAAAAGACACCAGTAAAAATTGTATTCCCAGATCCATCGTAATATCGATATAATTTCACCAATTCTTGCACCGAGGAGAATGCAAACCGGTGTCGACGGCGCATTGACCTCTGCCATTTCCGCTTTCCGTTGAGATGGGTGGGCCAACCGTCAGTTTTCTATTGGATTTCCTTTGAGGGAATACTTACTTGTGCATCTGAAAAGGCTTCCCCGCTTCTGTTTTAGCAGGTTTACAAGCTTGATAACGACAATACACAGGCGCACTAATTCTGGATGACGAAAGAAGTTCGTCGCAATGGTTCGGAGGGTGCGGTTGGTAACCTGGCTTGGGATCAAGCTAGGGTAACGGAACAATACATTGAGTGAGACATTTGTAGGTTCATGCAATTGACCAAGCGAGACTTTACATCCACGGGAAAACTATTGTATTGCAGTCTCTATGAGTATTGTGCCCTACATGCCCGTGAATAGCAAACTGAATAACATGATGCCGTTGTGGTTCTCTGACAAGTTTAATAGTCGTTCAAATTTGAAACGGCTGCAAGCTGTTGGGTTATGGTCCGTGTGGCTATGTAACTTTCAAAGAGTTTTTCAAGTCTGACCATCGAGAGACTTCTGAGGTATCGGAACAGAAAACCTTTTTTTTTTTTTTGTTTCGGCGTACGAGTTTTTCCTTGAGACTAGGTCCGGCCTGCTTGCGATCCCTTGCCCAACCTAAGTCTCGGCCGTTAGACTTTTGATACTTGATGATCCCGGTCATGGAGCAGCGACATGCTAGCCGAATAACAGCAAAAGCTATCTTATGGTTTTCAAGCGGAACTGTTCCCCATAGTTTGGCCCTTTCTCTAGGTCTTGCAAAGAAACCTATGGCAAAGAGATGTCTAGATTCCAGATTCTCGTCAACCCTTGGCGTGGAAGCATGATCTGTTAAGATTGCAAATCTGTAGTTAATGGAAGAGTGTTCCGTCCATTATACATGTGCAGGGGCGAATTTCAGACTTAACGTTGTCTTCCTAAGCTCCTCGGTTCAAGCTTGCGGGAATGCCAATCTCGATAGCCTTAAACGACTGGGCAAGCTTCTCCGCCTTTTGCGGGGTTTGGGGTGTTAAAAAGCAGGTGGTGTGTCAATAATGTAATAGGAACTGGGACAGGAAAATGGATCCACCGGAAAAAGAAAGCCCCGGAGCACGAAGCGGCTAGAGCAAGCATACTTGGCAGGTATTATTTTCCTGGGGCTATATGCAGGCAGCAAGTGCTTTACTACGTACAGAACCACACGGTTAATCGAGTTATTGCACTGCATTTAATTGCTAATGTGCAAATGCCGTAGGTGCGAGCTAAAGAAGTATACTACTAACACTGCGTCGCGCGGTACTCGACGATTCGAAGAAAAATGCCGAAGTATCAGCGCAGAAATCTCGGATGAAAATGCAGGCAGGATGAGTTTAGTATAGGACCGGCTGGAAGCTGATCCAGATAACTCTCCTTTCTCGCCCCAGATCCCGCATAGACAGTACCAATTCGTCTGCATCTCAATTTGCGCGAAGCGGCCCTTTTTTTTGGCCTTTCCTCATGCTAAGATTATTTTTTTGCTCCCCCTTCCCTGAACTTTTCCTCGGACGAAGAACCCTGATTGCAGAGCAGCGAGGTCGCTTGGGTCGGGTAGGAAAACATTAGGAAAGCGAGAGGCCGGTCCATGTAAGCATCTCTTTTCTTTTTCGGACTTCTTGCTTTCGAGATGCCAAATGGAACGGGAGGAAAGGATCAACAGCCCTTGCTCCCCGTCCATGCCCAACTTTAAGGGAGGACCTAGGAGTATGGGGTAATTGAAACGATTCGGTTTCCTGCTGGCTACACCTGGTTGTCGGCTCGTGAACAGCCCAGGCTGTGTAGTCTAGGAACCATGCCAAACCACCCGCCTATTAGCCTCTAACAGCACATTTTCAGACAACTGGAATATCATCCCCGGGGCAAAACCCAGGAAGAACCAGCATCTTCACCCAGAATAAAAAAAAACTAAAAAACCACCAAGTTCATTAATTGGAACATCACCAGGCGATTCATCAACTAGAAGCGATTCTGCCCATGTGTATGCGCGGCACGCATGTGTTGGGTATATGGTAGGCCAGATCTGCAGAGGTTCGCAAAAAAAAAAAAAGCACGTTCCTCGCTCGAGGTCTTCTTCATGGCTGGTAACTTTCTTAGTTGACGATAATAACCATTCTTCACTGGCCTCAAGCCCGTCAAGGCTATTTGATGTTTGCTGTTTTCTTTTTTCTTTCCAGTTGATCTTTTCTCGTAATTCCCTCTATGCCACTTCGTATCGTTTGTTTCTTCTCTCACTCTCATTATCCCTTTAATCTCTGATTCGAATTTTTGAACAAGACAGACAGGCGAACCCATTTTAGCTTCGACTTGCAAGGTCACCGCAGACTTTTATAGGGAAGACTCTCGTTAACTCGTTATTTTCCACCTACTACTTACTTCTTATCTTAAAAACCTTTTACCCACCCAACGTCTTGGATCCCGGCCGTTCTTTAAACAGCCAAACAAGCTATTGTAATATATTTCGGCTTGTAACTTGAAGGTTCAGCGGGTGCTTTGACGCTGCAACTAAGCTACGCATCGGCCCTACTCGTCTGACTAGGCCTGTTGCTTGCCCATTGACTATTCCACCTGACAGAAATACCGCGGTATGTTACTTACACACCCCTCCAAGAAAAAGAACCTATTAATATCTGTTGCGATCACGTCCTCGTGCGCCTCTTTTCTCGGGACCCTCAGCCGTTAAAGGCGAACCCTGGAAAGCAGTTGTTGCTCGCTTTCTTGACCCTAGCCATATGGAGCCAAACCCCAGAATTGGCTGCATTGAACTCTTCCCCAGACTCCGACTACCTTGTCTCTCCTGATGACAATGATCTTTTGCTTACCTTGCGATTTCTTAAAAATTTTAGTCATTCCATAAGTCCTTTCGCAGTCGACAAATCGCTCAAACTACTTCTTTTTTTTTTTTTTTTTTCCCTTCTCTTCTCTTCCTTCTTCATATCTCAACATCAGACGGTGCTTACTGAGTTCCACTAAACCCTGGACCTGGAACTCGATAGTGCATCTTCTTAGGCGAACTCTTTCAACTGTGGGATATATAGATCGGAGCAGAAAACGAACCCACGAAAGGAGTCTGCTTATTTTTCCGAGAGCGCCTTTCCCATATTCTACCCTTGCCCTAGTGTCAACGGCTAGTAGACTAGGTCTCAGGGAACATCACTTTGAACAGGAGATAGTGAAGGATTCTCTCGACGGTCCCTGCACTGATCGACGCAACAAGCCTTTGAAGATTTAGATATCACAATAGAAGCGAACTGTTATCCCGGAGTCTCTGTTTGTTGTTCCGGGCCCGGACTATACCATATATTCAGTACTTTATATCGATATAATTGCTGTATTGACGCTACCCTGCCAACCATACCGTACCTAGTCCTCAAATTATATTAGGTGTCGCATGGCGGGGCATCCTGTCATCAATCGTCTACAAGCCTCTCGTCTCGGTCTGCAACTAGCGTATTCGACTCCCGGCCACACTGCCTGTGCTGCATGTGCTGCATGTTGAATTGATCCGGCCCACCTTCAATCTGGTTGAATTGGATCTTTGCATGAACAAGCGAATTCTACTTGCCGACTTCACCGGCCCTGCTCCAGGAGAAACCACGATCTTTCCTACCGTTTCTGCACGAAATCGAATCAGGTGGTCATATGCCCCACGAATCTCGTTTCGGTATACTATCAGAACTCTGAACCTGGACGAGACTTGCCACGAGACCTGCAAACCTTAGCCTTTCTTATTTTCGTCTCGTCTTTTTTCACATTGCAAAAGACGGAGGCACCTCGATCTGACGGGAATACCGTCGACAGCCCCCCTGCCTACCGCTTGCACCGGGAAGAGAAATAGTTAACCCGTCATTAAACTAAACGCTCTGCCCTACCTACATACTTACCGTCCTGTCACGAAGTCAGACTATACCTCCTGCATGCCTATCTGCAAAACAAGCTGTAGATATTTTTAATTCCTAGCCGCGTAGCTTGAAGCAAGACCTTACCAAGATCATACGCTGCTGGAGAAATTGAAGACGCAATACTCTTGTTATAGGCTAAGTATATCTTCCCCGCAGTTTGGCGGGCAAGCTTTTTCTTGTTTTCACCTCCTCCGTCATTATCATCTCCTCTTCTTTATAACTCCTTCTCCTTCTTCTTGTTATTTGTAAGGACGACATTGTCGAGGTGCCGGTTAATTCTATTGCCTTTCTCGACAATCAGACATTGGAGAGTAGGTAGTCTTGACCTGGCTGCTACTAGGATCATATTCCTTCAGACAAACATTTGCAGCACCCTGGGAGGCAAGAAATTTGCGGTCCTCTCTGCATACTAGAATACCACTGGCCTGTAAGGAATTTTTCCAGACAGTACCCGAGTAAATGGCGGAGGTTGCTCTAGCTCCCTCATCTCAATTAGTGACCCACCGCTCCAACCCCACAAAGTACTTGACGATTACACTTCCATTGCGCCGGTCTATATACTCGCCTCCTTCCTCTGCAACATTTCCTACGGACTCACACTGGTCCTCCAAGGAATACTCTAGGACAGATTCCGACTTGATACCGAAGCCTCGATACTTAGGGACCTCATATACAACATATTCGCCTCCAAGGACCAGTGTTGTCGATAGATTTGGACGAGAGGATCAGGATCGAGGACGACAAAACAACGTTTCGCCGTCGATGCTTCTCAGTTCGCCCTCTTCATCCTTTATTACTCGAGGACTTCCCCCGATCATCTCACCGATGGACGCCCCAATGCAAGGTTATGACCAGAGGCCTTCGTCTCCAAGGACGGTTCCAAGTGGGTATGCCGATGCTTCGATGGAAATGGGTGGACCAAGTGACCTAGCACCTCGCAAGAGGTCGAAGGTCTCACGAGCATGCGATGAATGTCGCAGGAAAAAGGTATTTTAGACCTTGACACTTTTACCCTGTCTAACAAGTCTTCTCGTTGTGGCCTTATAGGTGGTCTGGTTATGGTAACCCTCGTTCTTTTGCGTTGCACAGATTCGGTGCGATGCAACTTCTGAGACAGGAGTCGAGCAGTGTTCAAGCTGCAAGCGAGTAGGAGCAAGGTGTTCGTTCAGTAGGGTGCCTATGAAGAGAGGCCCTAGTAAAGGGTAAGCGTACTTACATTATTATACCCCCCTCCTGTGCCAGAAAGTAGCATAAGTTTTTGCTGTTATGTCGTTTGCTTTCCTTTTAATGTATCCTCGTCGTAATCGCCGTTGGCAGGGTCAAGGTCAGGCTTGGGGCTATGGAATCCGTAGAACATTCCATTCCCGCTTCGACTATTGGGCTAATTCCATGCGCGAATTTCTGGCTCTGTCTTTCGGAATCTCTTATGGTTAGCACTGCTAAACGTTGCGCAATCTAAACTAGGTATATTAAGGAACTTGCAGACCGGTTAAATACGCTAGAGAATACAATATCGACTAGCGATATGCTTCCTTACAATAACCTGACGTCGGTTGAAGGAGAATCATCACCAATGGATTCGGAAGGAACTTCGCCTCCACCTAATCTTTCGTTGAGGCAATCCAGGAAGCGTACCCTATCCTCGTCGAGTGAATTTCCACTAGGCATGCATCTGCAGCCGTTGGCGCAAAGCCCGACATTACAGCGCACCAGTGAAAGGCTACCTCCGATTGATTCATTTCACAGTCCTCATCATCAATCTGCTCCTGCTCAAATACCACAAAGGCAGCTCCCTCCCCCCCATATCCCTCCTTCTCATCCTTCCAGTGGACTACATTCTCAAAGAGGTTCAATCTCATCTGCCTCAGTTCCTGCTCCTTTAATTGCCCACACATCACCTACTTCTGGTTTGTCTACCTCTTGGAGACCTGATTCTTGTGAAGCAAGAAGACAAAGTCTAAGTGATCCTCTCGAACATACAGACGTCGCCATGAGCTCAAATATGATGAAGAGTTCTGGAAAATCCTTCGATTGGGATGAACCCGTAATCGATCAGTAAGTCTTCACTCTCTTGATATAAAAAAGATTTCCAGGCTTTCCAATTTTGCGTTGTTATTCGTTGGATATTTTATAACTGACTCTCGATCTTAGATATTATTCAATTATTCACCCAACATTTCCTTTCCTCCCGCACTCAAAGCAGCGGTTGAGGTTGAGACTCTCTCATGCTTCTTCCCGTGTGCGAGAGGCTGTTCTTCAGGCACTATATTGTGCTGTGAGATCAAATCCAGCATCTACTTTGATGCCAACTGGACCGTTTGAGTCTCGCGGAGTCGCAGAACTTGCATTCGCTGCTCAGTATGAGGATCCATCTAGTAGATCTATTGCTGATAATTTGATCTACCTTCAAACGTTGATTTTCTTAATTTTGGAAGCGGATAATCGAGGCCCGGCAGCCATCAAAGGTCAATTTGGACCTCCAAGAGCACTCTGGTTGGGAGCTGCTATTGGGTTGGCATATAATCTTAGACTCCATTACGGAAATGCTGGGTCTAAGTCGTCAGACAATGATAATGACGATAGTGACGAGAAACTAGGAAGGAGGGCATGGTGGACTCTTGTCGTTCTCGATAGGTGGAACGCAGTGAGCACTTCGAGCCCCCTTCACATCCCTGATTCAAGTGTGGTACTCATGCAAGAAGACCAATCTCTTCTCGGGATTGCAGCTTACCAAATCACTCGTAAGTGGCTCTGAAAAAATGAAATCCCCTTTTCATGCCGCGAGAAATCTCGCCCCCCTCGCTACATGATTCCCATTTCCCTTGGCGGAAAATTTATATTCCTCCAAAAGGGAGACGAAAAAAAAAAAGTTTTCCAAAAATAAGATAGCGAAGGTCTGTGCTGATAACAAGAAATTGATAGGTTTATCCATGATCCTTGGCCACCTTGCGGAAAACCTAACGTCATCCGATCAAGCAGTTTCGACTTCCGCGAGTGGTGCTGCCTTTGTTTCAAGATTGCTCAGAGGCGAGCTCGAGAGATTCCGGGAGAGTGTGGATGGTATTCTCGGATCCTTGAACCTCGTACATATCGCCTACTGGCATGTGAAATTACTTTTCCTTCGCTTGAACGACGCTACGGAGCCCAGTCAGTTGATTGGACCAGCGACTAGAATTGCAGTTATCTTGAATTCAGGACAGACCCCAATCACCCCACTCAGCTACCACTTTGCAGCATTGGCGATCCTGACGTTGGTAGACCTTCTGGAATACGGCGAAACCAGGATCGAAGCGGAGAAGGGCGTCATGCATATCGCTGAAGCCTTGGAAAAGCGCAGGGGGGTCTCGACGCGGGAGGACAGTACCGGGTGGGATAGGACTATCAAGGACTTCATCTCTCGCAGGACGTCTCGGGCTAACTCTGGAGGAACTACAAATGCCGGAAAGCATCCCCTGCCTCACGGAAATCTCCAACATTTGGCGGAGCTAGCAGTGGGGGAGAGCGCGGGCGGTGGCGGCCCTGGAACATCTGGAATGTCTTCAGAATCTAGAAACCCGGTTATTGATGCTCATATGTTGCAAAAGTACGGGTACTTAGGGTGCCTTGTTTTGTAGCTTATATCCTTGAGCTATAAGCATTATACCTTGTTGGGAACTGCATTGAGCCGCTCCTTTTGTTCGCTTGTTTGTTGGATGGAGGGGGTTATGCAAATACCTTGCTCTACAGCTAACAATCTTACGACTTCTTACGAAAGATCTGGGTTTATTACTTTGCTTACACCAATTGATATCGACTATTGCCGAAGCACATTTGTATTGAAAAAAATTTTCCTTTCCCCTTAGCAATTTTTGTCTTGTCTTACGAATACCCTTTCCTTTGTCATTGCCTGAGTACGAAATATGCAACCTTCAGCTATTGGACAGGCTGATCGGAATGGATTAAACAAAACCGATACAGCTATATGCACGGCAGAGCTGTTATTTCCTTTTTAGTTAATTCTTTTCCCGCACGAAACTAAAACACCCCGGAGCCGTTGTTTTCTATACCTGTTCAAAGATACCAATTGCAAGTACTAGTACTTCTTTTACCCTTGATTATTGATGAGTTTCGCAGTATTGAGCTGCTTTTGGAAAATCTTTTTCTTTCTCGAACTCCATTACATGCATGAGCCAGTGGAGGTAATAATGACGGGACCCTGGCAGTTGAATACTTTTTTTCCTTCTTTCCCATTAGATATTGCAAATGTCAAGGGGCCAGAGCGCTTCGAGAAGACGGGAGTACCGAGGATTCACCAAAAGGAAACTTTTCGGCCTCTGACGTTTTTCTGATCAACATGTGGTAACTACAGTTGCTCTTTCGCGGATGGATATCTGTGGAGCGAGAGCGAGGCTGGTTGCTGTTGTATCTTTTGTGGTTTCAAGTGCTTGTCTTTCCGATAATTCTCCTATCGACCATGTCCTTGAAATACTGTGGGGTTGGCCAATTGGTTCTTTCTCCATTAAAGCATCTATTTACTTTAGCGGTTTCATGTTTATATGTATGGCTTTCTCGTCGTCCGCGATTTTATCATTTGCTTTTTACCTATACTTCATTTGTGGCTTTTTTCTTCTTCTCGGTTTTCTATTATGAAACGGGAATACTTTTTTTTGTGATACCTTCGGGATTTCTGCTTTTTTTTCGATAATTGGTTCCTTTTTCCCCCCATTGCTTTCCTATCTATAATTCTTTTTTCCTTTCTTTTATGTTAGCTTGAGAGTTTTCCGCGCTCCGGGATACTCCAGGTATACGATTCCACATGTGACGAGATTGGTTGAGGTGTATGATTTTTTTTTATAAAAATATCTCTATACATTAGTCGTTATTTCTTGATACACCCCTGTTATTGCTAACTTTTCGGATGCAATAGTTATGTACGTCGACATATCTATCTTGCAGGAAGGCAGATAGAGCAGGGGGTATGCGATATATATCATGAAATTTCGTTATTTTCTATCTAATAGGCGTCTTTTCCACCCCCATGTCGAGAGGGGAGGCTAAGAATACGTCTGCTTTTAACAAGCATAAGCATGAAATTCTATTCTATAGCTAATTCCCTTGATTAATTGATAGCAAAGGCTATACTATACAGCTTTGAAATTATTGCATATTGCCTTACCGTATAATTTTTTCCCTTCCTCAAAGTGTCTTTTAACAAGGAAACAGGGCAAACTTATTGCTAAAGGCGGGGAAAAGATCTTTTAACAAAAGTACCTTTTACATTATTTGTCCTCTTTTTTCCCATTTCTTTGTTTTCCGTTTGAAAAATTTTCCATTCGTAGACCTCAAGGATACCTGGTAGTTGAATCTGCAAAGGACCGAGATTGTATCTATCGTACGGCACAGGTCAATATGCTTTTACCCCCCCTCCTTCTCCATATCCCACCTCATCTACCGTCCCTCCCGAAAGCCTTACTAGTATACCTTGTTTAAAAAAAGGTCTTTTGCCATTGTTACGACTTGGGGACGGAACGTCAAGGTCGGTGTACCATATGCCGTAACATATCTTTCTCTTTTTTTTTCACAAGAAAAAAAAAAAAAAAAGACGAGACGGACCGTCATTGCATTTGCAAGCCAGGTTAAAACAAAAAACAACCTGGACCGAAAAAAAAAGCCACTTCCCCGTGAGATTATGATCAACGGTCCCCTTGTCCTTTCTTCACATTGCATATCCTGCGTGTGCGCAGATGTGAAATATGTCTAGGGGATTTAAAAAAAGTATTTCACGCACTGTCACGATGTTAATATTGAAATTCAACAAATCGATTCAACAAAGTTTCAAGATTTGTACCGGTAGGTAATGGAGCCGGAGTAGAAGGAAGGATAGGAAAATGACATATGACATGTATGTTATGTACATTGTATGTATGTGTGTCTGTATCTGCGTTGCATAAAACATATGTTTTTTGTTTCCCCATGTTCAGAAGGGGGTGGAGGGGGGTGGTTGTCTATCCAAATGGTTCCACCGGGATGTCGCTCCTACTGATTCCTAGCGTCATTTTTAGAGAACCGGAGGATGTAGACGGCGGCCGTTTGCTAGTTTTCCTATTGCTTTCTTTTTTCCTTTTTTCTTTTCACAGCTTGTTCCGTAGATGATTGAGCTGATAGTCAAGTTTAAGGCCGGCTCCGTCTGTCTGATCTTCTCCACTTTTTTTCCTGTCGTCTGTTTTGTGTCATATCACCCGTCATTGCGGTTTATTTCTCCACCTTTCTTCTCCGGCATGTCAGACGAGGGGAGGGAATGAGGTGGGGAGGTTCGTTAGAGGGGAAGAAAGTGTCATTCGCTAGGTAGTATAACATACTAGTGGGAAATCGTCTAAGTGGTTAGGCTAGGTAAGACGGGTAGGCTATTCCTGCTAAAGCTTCCGGCCGTTTTTTCCCTTGAATCTTGAAACCTTAGTCTCGTCAAAAGTGGACGGATTTGGCTATATTTGGGGTATTTTTGGTGTGTCTATAAAATCTCAGATGAATTGGTATTGTGTCTACTGGATCAATGGAAAGATTGAATTGATCCGGGGTATAACCTGTAATTAATTGACTAGTACTACTAGCCTTCTTGCCTATATAATTGATTTTCACAGTCCGTCCTAGCTACCCGAGGTTTTACAACCTTGGCTGGCTGGCTGAGGTGCCACTGGACCGAGAATTGATTACAATTATCCAGATGGCCTTGTTACATGTTTTTTTTTTCTTCTTCTACTTCTCTTGCTATTGAATGGGGTTTTCATTATATGATTTTATTACTAAGCATTTTTTCTACTTTCATTGGCAACCTACCCGCCTAGCTGTTTGAATTCAGCGGGATGTGTGCACGGGTGCAGCTGCGCAGATATATGTACGGAGATATGTATGTGGTGGGCTGAAGATTTATATGCAACATTTCCAATCCAAATGTGTGGGATTTTGGACTTAACTTTTCCGATCGAGTTTCTCTACATTTCTAGATAAAACTACCGAAAAAAATCGAGAGAGAAAAAGAAAAGGAAAAGGGAAAAAAAGACGGGCAGATTTGTTTCAGATGTGATTTTAAGAGGACAGATTTCAGGCTTACAAGGTGCGAGATGCCGATTGGCAAAAAAAAGGTGGGAGGTGTGGGAGTTTACCAGTGCGTTAGACGGTCAAAGTTGCGTTCTGTGCGTCTGTGGGTACACGCCCAAAATACATATTAATTGTGGATACTGGCTGGTTTTTTTTGGCACCGGCAATGACGACCTTCTTCTTTTCTTGGTCGGCCTAACTTGACTTAAAAAGAGCTGCAAAAAAGTTTTTCCAGTTTAAGTTTCGGCTGACTTATGCTTTGTTTTGAATTTCTGACGATTCATATTGTTGTGGAGGCATCTTTAGCAGGCAAATATCGGCGCAAAGTTGTTGTTATTCCGGGATATGTTACCTTAGTATCTTTCCGGTCGATATCGATATTGTCTTTTTTTTTTTTTTTTTTTTTTTTTTTCCTTTTCGAAGTGGAATTTGGCTAACGGTTTGGATAAGTTTAAGTTTTCAAAGATCGAGGGTGTGAATCGAATCGCGGGTTAACGTTTCTGATTGATATGAGCTCAAAAAGTGGGGAGCTGTCTCCATTAGTCAAAGCTGAGTAGCAGTTTGGGATAAGGGAAAAAAACCCGCGGTTGTTGGCTGCGGAGAAGAACAAGAACAAGAAGTGTGTGGTGTGTGTGATATTATCGTTTTTTTTTCTTTTATTTATTTGGCTGCCTTACAACCTAATAATATTTACTTGACTTGATTGCCTGGTCTCTCTCTCCGCGGTTTTTGGCCTTGGATAACTTAAATAACTTGCGAAAACTGGTTTACGAAACCTTGCGATTTGGGGTGTTCGAAATTAATCGAGGCTCTGGTGCATGTGGGCTTGCATATATTTCCATGTTCGTTGAGGGGGGGTTCGTTTATAGCGTTCGCTTTTCTTCTTTTTTACTTTCTCGTTCTCTCTGTTAACTGCGAAAGCTAGCTAGGGAAAATATGCATGATAGCAGGAGATTTAGATTGTCATTGGGGGTACACTAGCTACTAATGGAACGGAAATTGATATAATATTAACGATATGTAAGTCCGGAATATGTATGTATGGATGTATGTATGTACGGATGGATATATGTCTGTACATGATGTATGTATCTTACATTACATGATGCATATGCAAAGGAGAAACCTTTTTCAAAAGGAAAAAAAAAAAAAAAAAAAGGACGAGAAGAAACCTGCATTTTTCCATGATTCCGTTAAATAATTATGAATAATACATACATATAGACGGGCATTTCGGTTTATCTTGTTCTCCCTTTCTTAGGCTTTTGCCTCTTAGTGAGCCGATATGCAACGAATCGAGTGGGCCCTTTCATATCTAAATCCGCCTTTCGGAATGGAAAAGCTGGGGTACGTGCGTGAAAAACCATCCATGGATTTGGGCGGCCTCAAGTTGCCGGAGCTAGTCAATCGATCCGATATAGAGCATATGTTTTAGACTGGAAAAAGTTGATCTAATCTTTGGAGGATGGGCGTTGATCATGAAAGACAAGCCGGAATTCCAGCGCGGGGTAATTAAGTATCTGTGCTGTACATGTAGTCTGTGACTATTATGTCGAGACGTCTTTCCGGACTAGGTTTGAATGCTAGTCGACACCGATGGAGACATGACATGACATGACATGGTCATGGAAAAACGAACTGGGGATGATGGCGATAGATTACGAGAGGAGACCTGGTCGACACGAGCTGGAGTTCCCCCACCTTGCAAATGCGCAATTAGTCGATGCAATGCATACGCATGTCGTAGCTAGAGTTTCCCTCCTGGACGGTAGCCTCGAATCCAGGCGCACTGAGCTGATATTTTTATATATATGGTCTTCCAAATGCTAATCAAAGCTGAGGAGGATACCTGTGATGCCAGTTTAACATTTCGAGGCAAAAGTTTTCCCCCACTGCACTGCGCTGCAAATGACATCTTCTAAATACACCACCATCTTCTACCTTTAGAGGCTGAACTTGCTTGGTGTTCTCCCTCCTTTTTTTTTCCCACCTGTCTTGTTTTTACCCCTCATTTGTTTTTTTCCATGTCATAGCGCATGGACCTTGACATCGAGTTCAGCGAGTGGAGTGGCCGGAATTGGCACACCGCGGGCAAGAGGAAATTCTTTACGCGTTGTTTCCTGCGTTGCTCGTGTGGCTGGAAATAAGTATAAATACTTTCCCATCTTCTGTCGACTGTCCCGCTGCACATTCTCCGCAAATATGGAGTAAACGGAGGCTTCTGATTTGATGGAATTTCATCTGATATTATTGCTGCAAAAGAAGAAAAGAAAAAAAAAGGGGGGGAAAGGCGATTAATATGATTCCTTGTGCGGCGGGTGCCAACTAATGTGCCAGGTGTGGCGCCCGTTTTTTGGTGTCTCTGTTCGGGTTTCCGGGGTTTTGCAAGTTTGGGACGGAGCCAGCCAATCCGAAGCGCATCTGGGACGGTTTCCAAGAATAACATCGCGTCGACATCTTCTATCTTATCTTCTGCAAGTCAGCGTCGGGAGGCTATACTATATATATAAAATGCGATATAGGTATATACCTGGGCCGGTAGGTGCGGATACATATCATGTATGTAGGTACTTTTAGCAGGAAGCACGTACTTGGGTACTAGTAAGTACTTGGATTCACTTGTATATAATTATTTATAACCTGCCTACCTCCCTACCTGCCTGCTTGCCCAGGAGCTGGAAGTTGCTAGTTGTTAGGATGTATACCCTTAAGTATATGTCGATATCGATACGGTCGAGTTTCGCATAGTTATATATACTGTTGAACGTTGATGTTTTAGTCTCGTGAGCTTGTTTCAAGAAGGAACATCGACAATCTTCCAGACTACTCAAATTTAAACATCACCTCCCTGAATCAGTCTCAAATCGTTCGAGTTCGTGAATCGAATCGACGCATATGGCCAAGCTCCACCGGTTAGCTACTGAAAAAGAGACGAAGCTTAAGGGGCTTGTCATGTTGGTGCAGTCCTTGACATGTCAGAGGCAAACAACCCAGTCGGGCAAAACGAGTCGAGGAACTTAGCTGGCTGATTGGCTGGAATGCTTCTTTTCATTCCTTTGATTCGATTCGATCCTCTCCCGTCTGTATTGGATTGTATTATATCGTGTCGTATCGTATCGGATCTTTTAAAATCTATTCTATTCTATTCTATTCTGCCATTGCATTGTCGGTACTCTACTTGGAGGCGCCCGCCAATTCGAAATCGAATCCCTCTTCGAGATAGCCGCCCTCGCATGACATCAACTGCATTAAGTTAACATCATCAGTTAACGACCACCTGGAAATATCAAACATCCGTCAAACATCGTCTCCTGCCTGTCCGTATTTCTCAATCTTCATCATCCTCAGAACTCCCTTCCGGTCCTCGTTCATATATATATGTTGTAGTACCAGTTTACCTTCGTTCTCCCAGGAAAGACGAAATCAAACTGCAAGGGGCAACGACCTTTAAAGGCAAAAAAAAAAAAAAAACCTGAGCGACATAGCTCTCTCAAACCGGCCAGGACGACACTTTTACCCGCTCAAACGCCTCAACCGTGACCTTCCAACTGCCAATACATCCCGTCTATCGCCAAATTTCATAGGAAAAAGGTCATATCTAAGCTGGTTTCGACTTCGAAATAGCCTCCTTGTATATAACGAACAGTCTAGATCCTCGGTTTTCTCCCAGATGCAGCTTCGGCGCTATTAGTTCTCGTCGTTAAAACTCCCATTGCTGGCACTCTACTCCTGCTCTTTGCCCTCGCTCGTACCCGCTTCCTTTTCCACCTCCGAACAGCGCTTTTATCCGGGTTCTTTTACCAGCATTTCGCACAAGCGAGGAAGCAAGGGCATTTCTTTCGTATAGAATTGGTTTTTTGGCAGACGAGGGGACGGACGACTCGGAGATTTGGGGATTTTGGTCAGCAAGCCATCGTATTCAGGAACACCCGAGACAGTATTTCCGGACCACGATTCGTCGGTTCTCTAGCCACGACGGATACTACCCACATCGAATATCGAACATCTCTCTAGCCACTCGTCGTCTTCCTCGTCGCCTTGTTCATCGGAGTTTCGGTCTGCTGTCGTGCATAGTACATTTATATACAGAGCTCCGTACATTACGGGTGGGGTTTCTTGCTTCCCTCTGAACCGGCAACAAGGGGCGTGGATCGTATAGCTCGGTGGCGTCCCATGGTGTTCTATTCCGGTGATCACGAATCTTTACCCCGTCTGTCTTCCAGCGTCCAATTATTCGAGACTGCAGAAACCCGGTTTCCTCTATTTTGTGTCCCCTGGCCTGGGAGTGCCGTACATCCCGAAAGCTTCATATATGAAGGTGAATTACAGCTCCCTGCACTTTGTGGCTATCCGCGATTAGTGTGCCTTGGCATCGTTATTGTTTGTTATCAAAGCGAAAAAGACCATCGTGTATCGTCTCTACCAACAGGTTGAAAACTAACATCTGATATGAAATACATATATAGTCTGCCACACAGTCTCGATATAACCGTTATCCTCAGCCGACTACTGACCAGACGTCGTTCCATAGCCGGGAGGCATCGCTAGGGGACAATGATCATGTTACAGCAGCGATTGGAGATTTGTATGGGGATTCTGACGAGGAAAATCACGATGCCGAGGACCAGTATCACCGTCACCACCAGAGGAGGCCACATCAGCAAGGCCAACAACCAAGCATCAGATACCATCACTCACACCCACTCTCATCACAAGTTCTTCCCGTAACCCCACCTCAAACACCAACAAAATCAAGAAAAAGCCCTAGCAGTAGTAGCAACCAATCCAGGACACCACCTCACATGGATAACACATCGCCTTCTTCTTTGTCTGGATCTTCGACACTGAGGGTGCCTGGGAACTCTCCCAATGCGAACCAGGCGTTTCCCCTGAACAATATCGATTATGAATCGAATCCGGATGCCGTGCAGCAGGAATTGGAGAACCTACAGGCGTTACGACGGCTTTCCATGGACGTTAGTAGCGTGGCAAACGACCCGGATCTACCGAGCTTTAACAATTTCTTCCCATCTGTCGCACCCAAGGGCCGGGCTGATGACGACGATGCTGCCAGATTGTTTTGGGTGCCTGCGAGATTACATCCCGAACTTGCACCTAAGGCGTTCAAGAATTTCGTGGAATCGCGGGTTGAGCAGATTCGCGAGCATGAGGGCAATGGGACGACAGATGGTTTGCAGGCCGGGCCGAGTTTGAGGAGGAAGAAGTCTATGTTGTCGCGGCAGATCGATACCGATGGGAAGGCTGCCGAGGGTTACGAGGATGGAGCGGATAAATTGAGAAGGAATAGGTCGAATTCCGAAGGAGAGCAGGTTCTGACGGTATCCGAGCTGGGAGAGGTGTTGGGTAAAAAGGACCCGGTGGATTTGATGAGGCAGATGAGTTTGAGTAAGGCTGAGAAAGCGCTAATAGGTGAGATGCTTGGCTTTATTTTTGGGGAAAGGTTTGTTAGCTAATATCTGGCATTTTTTTTTGAAAACAAAGGTGATGCAGGACAAGATGAGGACGACCAACCAATATTTCCAGCACCACCACCGGGAGGCTCCTTACGAAGATCAACAAGGACGGCTCTGAGAAGAGGCAGTATCCGAAAGGGTGAACGAGTGGCACCATCTTCTAGGCGAGCTAAACTTGCAGCAGCAGAGGAAGGAAAGCCTGGAGATGAACCAGAGTTCAAACTTTCTCGTGTCAGGACGGAGCCTATTCCGTCAATATCAATATCCTCTGATGATGAAGAAACTAGGCCTCGGAGTTCTAGTTCTCGTCAGCAAGAGATGTCGATGAAATCCCGAACCCGACAACCGGTATCCCCAGTTTCTCCAATTTCGCCCGAAGAACCCAAACGCCAGGCCATCGCACCTCCTGGCCTATCTCAACGACCAATATCACCACCTGATCGACCCACATCGGAAAGGATGGCGAGATCAAAATCGGAACCGGAATCGCCTTCACCACCTCCACGAGAACCCATTCCTCCCATCCCATCGCAACCTGCCAAAGTCGAACGAAAAGAGGTATCGTCTTCGTCGCAACGTGTCTCAAAAGAACCACGAGGGGGCCCGCCTAACGGACAGCTTCCGACGCTGCCTCATGCACCATCTCCTCCCTCGGCTCCCGAATCGTCGAGTGGCAAGCAGAAACGTCCGACTCTGAAACGAGGGTCCCCAGGGACTAGCAGCTACGAGCCGACAAAGGACGCGACACCTTCACCTCCTGGTCCGCCTTCGCAACAACCCGGTGAAGTTAAGCGAAAGGAATTACCAGGTCATGGAGGACAACAAGGACCAACTAAGGAAGTCGGTAGGAAATCTAGTTGGTCGTGGTTAACGCTCGGTGGTGACGGAGACAAAGAGAAGGATAAGGAGCGGGAGAGGGAGAAGGACTCGGGTAGCAAGAAAGTTCGCAAAGCAAAGTCTATGGAGAAGGATAGGGACCGCGACGATGAAAAGGAGCGAAAACGCGAAATAAAACGTGAGAAGGAAAGAGAGCGGGATAGAGAGCGATCCAGTGATCGAGAGCACGCTCGTCTGGACTTGCTACAAAAATCGATCGATGGGCCCAAGAAACGCGAAAGCATTGATGGCAACACCGCCCGACCATCGATGGATTCTCTTGAACGCGAACGAGACAAGGAGAAAGAAAAGGCTAGTAGTCGTAAAGCCTCGGGGTCTGATAAAGAGAAAGAAAAGAAGGAACCGGGAATCTTTTCATCGATATTTGGAGGTTCGAAGAAGAAACAGGAAGAAACGAAGTCAAAATCGAAACAGTCAAACCTTGCTGTTCCTTCGGGTCGGAGCAAATCTCCTCCGGCACAAACCTATTATTATACCCGTTTCCCGATACACATTGAGAGAGCTATCTATAGGCTCTCACATTTGAAGCTGGCGAATCCGAGGCGACCGTTGCTGCAGCAGGTGCTGTTGAGTAACTTTATGTATGCGTATTTGGCGAAGGTGCAGCAGATGCAGCCACCCAATGCAGTTCAAGGAGCACAGCAGCAACAGCAAATCCAGCAGCAGCAGCAGGCCCAGCAGCAACAACAAGCCCAGCAGGCTCAGCAGTACCAACAACAACAACTTGAGCAGCAATACCACCAACAGCAGCATGGAGGTGCTCAAGCCAATGTAAGCGAAACTTCAGTAGCATCAATAGTATATCAAAGTTGTCTTTTACTAATTAGAGTGTCATTAGGGTGATGACTCACAACAGCTGGACTCGGATGAAGAGGACTACGACTTTGATGACGATGGGCGTGATGACAGGCCATATGACTCGCAGCAAGGTTACAATGCACGAACCGCATCGAGAGATGCACCGAACAGTAATGGAGGTGGATATAATCAAGATTATGACGGTGACGGGTACGGGTACCAAGGGCACGAACAACAACAATATGAGCAAGACCAGCAAGTTTACTACCAGCAACAGCAAGGAGGTAGTGCCGCCAATGGACACCCTGGGGATGGTGGGTACCATGAAAAAGATTACGATTACTACCAAGATCATGAAGGGTACGATAGACGCGGGGACGGGAGAAGGTATGAAGGCGGAGGGAGCGTAAGTGGGAATAGGTATCATCATCAACAGTCGATGAATGATGATAGAGATAGAGATTACTCGGATGAGATGTGGTAGGGCTGTTTTTGAGCATCACTTTTATGTTTTATTTTCGCTTCTTCTTGTTTCTTTTCTTTTTCTTCTTCTCTATTAGTTCTTTTCTTGCCTTCCTATTCGCCCGAAGGCTTTTTTCTTTTCTTTCGTCGTCGCTGTTACCTTCTAACCCCCCCCTTTTTTCCTTTCTCTTTTCCTTCTTCTTACTTTTCTCTTTTCTAAACAGCGATGCGGTGTCTTTGCATGCCTTGTGATTGTTTCCAGCTGCTTTCTGTCCTTTTTGGTAGTATGGGGAGTTCTTTTCACGAGCATCTTCAGTAACTAGCATGAGACGATGTGCATAAATGAGCTTAGAAGTACAACCTACCAGCATTTAGCTGTGGTAATATATCATGGCGATGAATGAAAGATGAGAATACATATACAAACCCAACCTCCCTCTTCCCTTTAAAGCTTTCTATCTTTACATATTATCAAATTTAAAGCCTAGGCCGAGTACGTTCACATACGCGTATTATTGTGTGTAAGACCGATGAAGTGTGTTGAGCGTCGCCGGATCGTCGTGAAATTAAAGCCACGCGCGTGCGCTTGAATTTCAGGTGGATGTGTGTGTGTATACCCTCATATACCTGGGTATTCACCTCGATCGGATAGGACTTTCGACATCTGCTGTCTCGAGACTATCCCCCCCTCCTAACTAAGCTAAGTGAGTACCTAGGTACTTACCTGGTACCCAAGTACCTATGAGTAGGTCTTTACTTAGGTAACTGTCTCCTAACTTTATAACTCTCATCTATATATATCCTTACTTAGTACCTACCTCCTAACTAAGTAATTGCTCTTGCTTTACTGCTACTTCATCGTTCCCATCTATCCTACCCGTACTAGTCCTCCACTAACCTGACCCCGACCTGATTTCACTGCGATCCCTTGTCCCTTCCCAGCTTCAGCTTCTGGAATCGACCAGATAAATCGCTAGACTGCTTTTGGCTGGGCTGACAAGGGACAGCAACCAGGCGAAAAGGCCAGCGAGACGAGACGAGAATCTGTACAGCTCTCGGCCTGGGTAGTGGGAGGTACTTGCATTATACACCTCACACCACCACCAACCGCCGCCAATACGAATACCACCACCATACTACCCTGCTGAGTAACAAATACCCACCTGCCTTCTATCGACCTTTTCTCCTTTTCACTCCCCTTTCTTTCCTTTCCTTTTCTTTTCTTCTTTTCCTTTGCTTCCGATCTCTCACCAATTGATAGAACCCCTTAACTATCAAATACTTTTTTTTTGTTGAATATTGCAACTCGTTGTTGTCGACGCCACCGTCAAACTGTCGTCATTAACCCGATAACCCACAAATACTTCAAGTGCCTGTACCCCCCTTAGGTTGACCACTACACGGTATTGCTGAATCGCAACAACCATCGATAACATCCAACCATGACTTCTGAAGCCTCCAACGGTAATACCGTTCCCGATGTCGCAATTGACGCTCCTCTCGTTGAGGCTTCTTCGGCCGAGACCGCCGCCTCCAAGATGCAAAAGCTTCACGAAGCACATGCCGCTACTGTCGAAGATGCTGTAGACGAAGAAGACCTTTTGCACCCTGGTTCCAAGTCGGCAATTGCCACTGGCCAAGCGACTCCCGTCATCGATGGTCCACTTACCTCGAAGAAATCTCAACAACCGGCCTTCGACATCAACTCCGCTGAATTGTTCCCAGAATTGGGTTCCGGAGGCCCCGGAAAGGGCAAAGGCAAAGGACCGACTGCTCCACCGACATGGGGCGCCAAGATGTCTGGAGCTTCTGCCGTCGCTGGCAGTTTCGCGCCACCTGCTCAGCAGGCACCGAGGACTACCCTGCCATTGATGTCGAATGATGTCAATGAAATGATGAGCATCGATCTCGCAGACCAAATCCCCAGGAACCAGTGGAAGAGGCCATTGGGAGAAATTATCAATGATATCAAGAAGACGACTGGGGTTAGGATTGATGCATCTACTGCCGGTTCAGGAATGATTACCTTCATCACTAAGGGTAAGCAAGATGCTGTCTTGAAAGCTAAGGCCTTGTTGAGACAAGCCATTTGCCGTAAGGTGGGTTTATTTCCATTTTTCCCCTGCACACTTGGTAGCTAGTAAAGGAAGAGTTTGAGAAGAGGGTTGAATTAAATTGAGTGGGTGGTGGTGGTGTCTGGAGCTATGGGCGCCTTCAAATCTTTTATGCAAATACCCGCGGGTACCTGCATTAGGGCGCCGTGGTCCTTTGCAATGCCTTTCGAGCGTTAAAAATCTACTGTTGAGATGCTGTGCTGATTCCCTGCATGATACTACAGACCCAAGCGAAGCATAACATTCCTGTCAGCACCCGGAAGCACATTATTGGACCCAAGGGCGCCACTATCCAAGGGATTACCCAGCGAACTGGATGTCGTGTTCAAATCCCGCAGGTTGAAGAAACTGAGGGAGTTGACGACCCGTTTGCCGAGGAAGAACCGATGGTTGAGATTAGCCTCGAGGGAGACGTGGATGCTATTAGGATGGCTCTGCAAGAAATCAACCAAATCGTTGGACAGAAGGTATATACATATCCGCGTTTGAGCGAAAATATTATCTAATACAATGCTGATTACGGTCGAATTTGGTAGACTTCGCATGTGAATGTCAAGCTTCCGTTCACAACTTTCCCTGGGCAATTCTTCCCGTTCCTCGCCGGTCCCCACAATGCAAATATTGCCGAGATGGAGGAAGGTAAAGACCTTAGGATCCGCATTCCGGTCTACAATACATCCGAGTCTTCCAGGGAGTTCTCAGAGCCACCCGTCCCAATTATGTTGTCTGGTGAGAGGGCTGCAGTCCAAGAAGCTCGTGCTAAACTTGAGAAGCAAGCTGCAGAACTCCGTGATGTGTTCCAGTCTATCTCCATTAATATTCCCAAACAACAACACCGATTCCTTGTTGGCGACCGAGGAAAAGCCATTGGTGATATTCTCTTGGAATCTGGATGCAGTGTCGTAGTCCCACCACCCCACATTCTATACGACTCAGTTCTTGTGATTGGGCCACGCGATAAAATTGGGAACGGTGTCACATCCGTGATGGCCAAGGCCAACTCGATGAGTTTCGAGGCGCTTGATATCGCCAGGGCCCATGCTGTCGCTTTCGCTAACGATATCGCTCGTCAACGACAGCACGCCCGTGACTTGGCGAGATATTTCCGCAAGACCAAAGAAGTTCAGAGGATCGAGAGTGAATATGAAGTCCAGATTGTGATCCCCAAGACCGATGCCCTTTACGATCTCAACACCGGTGTTAACTTTGAAATTACTGGCAAGACGGCTGAGAGTGTGAAGAAGGCCAGGATGGGTGTTATTAACATCGTCAATAGCCATCCACCGTCTCGCCTTAGCTATGTTGATATCGAGCCCCTTCTGCATAGACATATCATTGGTGCTAAGGGCCGAAACTTGCAAAAGATCAAGGATGACCATAGCGTTGAGGTCCTGTTCGCTGATGAGGATGATCAGGACTCCCAGATCGTCTTGATTTACGAAGGTCCTACTGGTGCTCAAGCTCCACCGCAGGAGGCTGCAGCTACTGAAGCCTTGGATGCGGTTAGGGAGTTGTTGTTGAAGATTGCTAGCGATCAGGCTGATTTGAAGTCGAAAGTCTTGAACATTCCGGCTAAATATCACGCGAAGATTGTTGGCCCGAAGGGAACCACTTTGAACGCCTTTACTGGTGGATCCGACGCTACGGTCAAAGTTACAGTTGGTGCGCCTAAGTTGAAGCCTGGCCAGCCTGCGTTGACTCCGGCTCAAGCCGCTGCCGCTGACGACACCATCACCATCCGCGGTCCTTCCGCTGAGGTTGAGCGTGTTGCCACCAAGATCACTAACTTCGTGGAGAGTACCAAACATAATGAGGTACTTAATTCGTACACTATTACTTTTGACTTTCCCCAGAAGTTCCAGAAGAATCTGGTTGGCAAGGGTGGAAGCAACATTAGCAAGTACCGCGATGAGTTGGGAGTTCAGATCGACCTTGAGAAGGATGCTGGTACTGTTACAATTAAGGGAATCAAGGAAAATGTTGAGGAAGCTAAGGTTCGCATTCAGAGGCTTGGCAAGAAGCTTGAGGATGAAACCACCACCAGCGTTATTGTTGCGCCGGAATATCACCGTACCATCATTGGACAAGGCGGCAAGTTCGTCAAGAGACTGGAGGAAAAGTACTCCGTCAGGATCCAGTTCCCGAAGGTCGGGCAGGAAAACTCGAGTGATTTGGCTAGCGATGTTGGTGGCGCCCCACAAAGGTCTCAGGCACCCAACGAGATCGTCTTGAGGGGTCCTAGCAAGGGCGTCAAGGAAGCCAAGGACGAAATTACGGAGTTGATTAAGTATGAACAAGATCACGGTCACTCTGTTGCTGTTACAGTTCCAGCCCGAGTTCTACCACACATCATCGGAGCCGGTGGAAAAGTTATCAACCAGATTCGCGATGATTCGGGCGCCAAGATCGAGCTCCCACCTCAGGGCTCAACAGACGCCGAGTTGGTTGAGGTTAGGATCAAGGGTACCAAAGATCAGATCGCGAAGGCAAAGGCCGCCATCTTGGCTAGTACCAAGGAGGTCGAGAACCAAGTTGTTAAGATGTTGAGCGTAGATAAGAAGTTCCATCGAGCTTTGATTGGCCCTGGTGGTAGGTTTTTCTCCCTTTTTAATGCTAGATGATATGATTGAAGCGACTAACGGACATCAATAGGCCAGATTTTGCACAGCATTGTTGTCAAGTGTGGCGGACCCTCTGATAAGAGTGCTCAAGCGCGCATGGTTCGCTTCCCACACCACGATGTCACTGACAGCAACATTAAGGTCGAGGGGACCGTTGATGTTGTTGACAAGATCATCAAAGAATTTGAAGCTATCATCGCCGCCGAAAAGGACAAGATCACTATCGTTGTGGACATCCCGGCTGATAAGCATAGAAAGCTTATCGGTCGCGAGGGAAGTGTTCGAAAGGAGATTGAACGTACCTTTAGCGTTACCCTTGATATTCCGCGACAGCGCCAAGACGGTGGGGAAGCTCCCACTGGCATCAAGCTTTCTGGTTCTGCTGAGAATGTTGAGCAGGCTAAGGAGCACATCTTGAATTTGACCAAGGACCAAGATGCGACTAATGTCTCCGTTCCTAAGCACTTGCATCACTCTTTGTCAGACGGCGGATCGCTTGCTAGAACCTTCAGAAACAGATATAATGTTGACATTGGTTTCAGTGGTGAATTGCCACCGAGACCTAAGGGTCAACAGGGTAGAAAGAGAGCACCCGAGTCAACCCCGTTGATTACCGATGATCCATCCGAGAACGCTTCAAACATCTCTTGGGAGGTCGTTGACAACACTGCTGCTGCTGAAGAAGGTGGTGAAGTTACCTGGGCTCTTCGCGGAGCGACTGAAGATATCGCTAAGGCTGCCGACGAACTTAAGAAATTAATCGACGAAGAAAGCGGAAAGACCGCGACTGGATACTTGTTCCTGCCTGACCCAAGCAAGTACCGATATGTCGTCGGCCCCGGTGGCAGCCAGGTCAATTCGATCAGAAAGGAGACGGGCTGCAAGATCACGATCCCTAAGGAACAAAGCGACGAGGCTATTATTATCAAGGGAAGTAGGGATGGCGTTGAGAAAGCTAAGGAGATCATTGTCGGGTTGGTTCACGGCGGAAATGGTGGGGGAAGGGGGGGAAGGGGTGGCCGTTCCAATGGAGATTAGAAATCTCGAATGGCGCAGGTTTTCTCTTGTGAAGACGAGTTAGGGGATGATTGGTAGGGTTATATGAAATAATTTTGGACTCCAACCAAGGCTTACCCTTTCTTGTTTGGTCCCACTTTCAACTTATACAAAACGTCATGGGAGGATTTCTTCTTCATTTCTTTTTTTTCTTTTTTTCTCTCTTGCTGTTGTCTTGTTTTATGATGGTTAGGTTCATGATAATGCCTATGAAATGAAGGATAACGTGGACCGAAGGGTTGGCTTTTTAGCATTTCCCCTTGCTTTGCTTCTTCGCATGGAAGAAGGATGGCTGGAGGGAAGATTCATGATTAATACATTGCGGAAAACACTTAAAAATACATAATCAAAAGCGTCTTTTTTTTCTCTTCTCCTCTACTTCTCATTCTCGTTGTTTTTTTAAAATCCTTTTACTCTTGCAATTAAGATAATGGTACTGGTTTTATTCATACTTCTCATATTTTTTTAACTATTCATGCACATGCATATGGTTCCTTTTTTCTTTTTCAACTATTCAATACGGTCCTTTTGCATTTTAACAGTGCATGAATGGGAAAAACTTGCGTACCTAGGTCTATATATTGCTCGTTAACGACTCTTCTAAAGTGTATTATTTAGTTTCCTCCCTGGTGGGGATCAAAAGCTTAAATTATTATATTACCCTTACTTTTCTGTCCTAATATACTTTACAAATCTAGGCAAAAGATAGTCTTGTGCCGTAACGGGCAAGAGACTGATTTATACCTAGTTTCTTGTCTATATAAGTTAAATATCAGGGGACTGATTCTGAGAATAAACTATCGATATCGAAGCTTAAACTCACGAATTGGAGAAGGGCGTTGTAGAAGTTGCATTTTGAGCCTTTGATTTGAATATTTCTTTTTTTTGAGTGCCAAGACCCGGCCAACGCCAAAGGCTTTTTGTGCTCACGCTGACTCGAAGTGGACTCAACCTGACGACAAGCTTGATTGTACACCCTGGCTCAGAGGGATTCGACGATACGACGGAGGTTTATATAAAACGAGGGCTTCTTTGGGGGTCTTATTTTCTTGTTAGTTACATATAACCTTCATTCCCATTGCATTGCTCTTGTTCATATAGCTAGCACCATAATACCTTGAATTCTGTCGGCTTCTTCCGACAAACAACGTTTTTTTTTTTGTCAAAGAGAATTTTGCCCCACCAAAGCGTGTTGACAGGACACAAGATCTTTTTTCTTGAGAAAGCAACAGAGCTACCTAAACAAGCAGCTCTTTCACTGGACTACGGACATCCTTTTTGCTTCTTCTTCTTACTTTGGTTCTTTCTTTGCTTGATATTTTATAGCGGTAGAATTTATACTTATCGTTGTATCGGGTCCTGATAGACTTAAGCTTAAGGAGAGAAAAAAAAAATTCCCTCGAGTTCGACACGCGGAGTTACCTAAATCAACTACAACATCGCCTGTCTCCACGAAATCTAAAAAACCCCACCTCTACCCGTTTCCATTTCCACTTCTTCCTTCCTCTCCATACTCAACCTTTTACCTTTCACGTTTCATTAACTGAGTAGACCTATCAACCACGGCCACGGTCACGGGCTTCACTCCAACGAAAGAATGTCGAACAACGCCAACGCCCCAGCTTCCTGGGAAGATGAAGCCGAAGAAGTCACCCACCAGGCTCAAAACCTAAACCTCAACCAAGGCCAACCCCGCCAACAACAGCCACAACAACAACAGCAGCAGCAGCAACAGTTCAGACCAAACTTCAACGCTGCTTCTTTCCAACCAGGCGCCCAATCGTTCATTCCCGGTCAAAACTGGAATACAGGTACACAGCAACAATACGGTGGATACGGAGGTGGCTCTGGCTATGGTCAGCAAGGTTATCAGGGTTATCAGGGTTTTGGAGGTCAACAACAACAACAGCAACAGTATGGAGGTTATCAGGGATATCAGGGAGGTGGTCAGGGTGGATACCAGGGGTATCAAGGTCAGGGTGGATATAATAACAACCAAGGATATCAGGGATATCAAGGTGGTGGATATCAACAGCAGCAGAGGGGGGGACAACAGGGTTATCAACAGGGACAGCAGGGACAAGGACAACAGCAACAGGGACAACAGCGACAGCAACCGTTCCAGCCAACGGCGATAGCTAAGAAGGATGATAAGAAAGTAGAGAATACACCGGCTCCTACGGCGACTACCTCTGCTGCTGCTGCTACACCGGTTGCTGCACCGGTTGCTGCACCGAAGGAGGATGCTAAACCCGTTGTTAAGAGTCTTGCGGCTGCGACTGGCGGTGCAGCAAAGGTTTTGACGATTGGAGGTGCTTCTTCGAGCGGTTCGTCGGGTTCAGCGGCACCGAAGGCCGAGAAAAAGAAGGAGACTACTGCTCCTGCATCTGGGGCTTCGGCGGAGAAGTCGGCACCGGAGGCTGGGAATAAAGCTACTGCTGCTAAGAAGATTACAGGAGAGAAGACGGCTAGTACAGCGAAGAAGGCTGGTAGCGGAACTACATCGCCTGCTCCACCGGCTAAGGTTCCGGAGAAGAGAGAAGTCGATGCTGTTTCGAAGGAGCAGGAGGCTGATGTTGATGAAGAAACTTTGGCAGGGATGTACGGCAAGGTAAGGGAGTCTTTTTTTTAAAAAAAAATTCTGGTTCTAGATTGTGAGGAGACTGTTCTAAGATTTTTGGCGTAATTTAGGAACACGTGAACGTTATCTTCATCGGTCACGTCGATGCCGGTAAATCCTCTTTGGGTGGTGCCATCCTCTACGCCACAGGCATGGTTGACGAACGAACAATGGATAAATTCAAGAAAGATGCCAAAGACGCCGGTCGTGAGTCTTGGTACCTATCCTGGGCTCTCGATTTGACCAAGGAAGAAAGAGCCAAGGGTAAAACCGTTGAAGTCGGTCGAGCATTCTTCGAGACAGAAAGGCGTAAATACAGTATTCTCGATGCACCGGGACACAAGACCTTTGTACCAAGTATGATTGGAGGTGCCAGTCAGGCTGATGTTGGTATTTTGGTTATTTCGGCAAGAAAGGGAGAGTACGAAACTGGGTTTGAGAAGGGTGGACAGACTAGGGAGCACGCTGTGCTTGCTAAGACTCAGGGTGTGAATAAGTTGATTGTGGTGGTGAATAAGATGGATGATCCGACAGTCGAGTGGAGTAAGGAGAGATTTGACGAGTGCACGACTAAGTTGTTGCAGTTCTTGAGGGCGACAGGGTATAATCCTAAGACAGGTGGGCGTTCATTTCTTTTTTGCGAAAGGTTTATTTGCGGGTAGTATTGGTTTTTTTTGCTGACGATGGAGTCTTGGAAATAGATGTTACATGCATGCCGGTATCTGCATTGACGGGACAGGGTCTTAAGAACAGAATCGATCCTAAGCTCTGCTCGTGGTATAATGGCCCTTCGCTGCTGGAGTTCTTGGATAATATGCAAGGACTTGAGAGAAAGGTTAAGGCGCCATTCATGATGCCCGTCAACGGAAAGTACAAGGTGGGTCAAAGCCATTTTCTGCGGTGTATAGCTATAATACTAACTGGTGTACATAGGATATGGGTACTATGGCCGAAGGCAAGATCGAATCTGGTGTCATCCAAAAGGGTCAAACCATCCTTATGATGCCCGGAAAAGTCCAAACTGAAATAACAGCCATCTACTCCGAATCCGACGAAGAACTACCCCACGCCATGTGTGGTGACCAAGTCCGTCTCCGTCTCCGAGGTGTCGAAGAAGAAGACATCCTCCCAGGATATGTCTTGTCCTCCGTCCGAAGCCCCGTCAACTGTGTCTCTGCATTTGAAGCTCAAATCCACATCATCGACTTGAAGAGTATTTTGACCGCTGGGTTCAATTGTGTGATGCACGTTCATGCTGCTATCGAGGAAGTCAAATTTGAGGCGTTGTTGCATGCCTTGGAGAAGGGCACCGGGAGGAAGAGTAGGAAGCCGCCAAATTTTGCGAAGAAGGGGCAGGGTATTATTGCGAGGTTGGAGACTGTTAGCGGTAGTCCTTTCTGTATCGAACGGTTTGAGGATTATGCCCAGATGGGACGGTTTACTTTGAGAGATCAGGTATGTTGAAATCACTATATTCTTTTATAAAGCTTCTTCAGAGAAAGGGTTTTGATGCTGACCATGAGCTTCTAGGGACAAACTATTGCCATTGGTAAGATTACTAAGCTTATCTCTTCGGATTCTTAAACTCGTTTACTCTATTTTTCTCTTCCGGGTTTAAACATACATACATATGTTGAGGTTGTGGTTTTTTTTCGTTCCCGCAACCTCGGCATCCCCCCCTCTCTCTTCCTTTCGCTTTTTGTAATGACCTTGCATAGATGGGATTTTTTTCTTATATGTTTGTTTTATATGTCATATTCAAAGATCAAAAGCTCAATGAAGTTCGAGATTTTAGTACTCAAAAGCATAGTTTCTTGAGAATTGCTATTCTTAACGTGGTATATATATGATAAGCTACGGTATGATGTCTTTTAGAAATGATATTTTACAATATGGGCATGATGACTATATACACCGAGTCTGCAATCTCCCAATTCGACTATATGTTTTCAAGATCCACTACCCCATGCACCCATCCAAACCGGCGGCTTCAACAATCCGACCCCAAAGGTCGCCGGACTCGCTTTCCTCCAGATATACAAAAACGCACAAGCCGTACAAACTGTCACACCGGCAGCCAAATACAAACTACTCCTATCCACTGGTTCAGGTTCGGTCCTTGGGAAATTCCCTAGCGGACTCAACGCCGCCTCGGCAATTTGTACGAATAACTCTGCCACACTACTCCATCGTACTGAAACATGTATTGGCGGGGGCATTCCCATTTCTTCTGTATACTGATCTGGTTGTATTGGACACCTCTGGGTGGTTTTATCCAAATCTGCTTTTAGAGCGACGTACACGCAAGGTAGGTCGTCTAGTTGTGGGTGGTTTTTTCGGAGAGAGATTATGTAATCAAAACTATCTGGATCTGAGGAGTCGTAGGTGTAGACTATTACATCGCAGTTGTTTAGCTTCTGATGGTTTTCAAGAATGGCGGGTTCTAGTTCTCCTAGTTCGGAGAGGATTAGGTAGACTTGTTTCCCCATGGGGAGTTCGACGGAGTTTACTGCTGTTAAGGGTTTTATCGTTGGATGGTAAGTTGGGTTGAACGGACGGTTTAAAAGGGCGTCTAGTAGTGAGGATTTCCCTGATGATGGGGAGCCGATTACGTATGCGTGTACGACCGAGCGTTCGACTTTATGCATTCTTCTTCTACGTTTTCTCGGTTTTGTGATTTTGAGGGCTGCTGTGGTTGTCGGTGAGGAGGATGAGGAGGTTGTGGATTCGAAACCGAGGTAGGCTAGGTATGCTAATGTTGTTTTGGGATCTTCGAAGGTTGTCATGCTCCATTGTGCTAGCCAGCCTTGGAGGGTTATGTGGCCGCCTTCGGTGCAGACTGTTGATGATGGGAAGTTTGTGGTTTGCCATGGTGGGGGGAGGCCGGGGGTTGGGCGGAAGAGGGAGGAGAGTTCTGTTTGGTTTAGACCGCCGTCGTTGTCTTTGTCGAAGAGGAGGAAGAGGTCGACGAAGAAACGGTAGCCGGCGGGGGAGAGTTCTGCGGAGGAGAAAGGGGGGACGTCGAATTTTGGGTGGAGGAAAGTTTCTTTTAAGGAAAGACTATCTGTGTAATGAAAGGTGCGGAGGATTGCCCATGTTGTTTCGTGTCTACCCTTTTCGGCGTAAAGACGGTTTAGGAGGATGAAGCCCTTTTCGGTGATACCCGATGGGGTTACGCAGTCTGTGGAGATTTTGTGGAGAGTGTGTTTTATTTCTTCGAGTTCGGGTTCTGAGAGGGATTTGTTGAAGCAACGTTTTTGGAATTTGGCGATTTCGAGGTCGTTTAGGACGCCGTCTTGGTCTTTGTCGCAGAGGACTGGTGGGTTGTTAGTCTGGTTTCATTTTCAAAGGGATATTATTCTGAGGGAGTCTTACAGAATATACGACGGAGGGCTTCGACTGCCGCCGGTTTTAGATTCTACAATCTTGGCGATTAGAATGCATGATATTAATGTAATCTACTCCGTGGATATCTAACCTGTTCTTTAGAATCATAAAGAGGGGCTATGGGATGTGTGACAGCCCTTTGACATAGATAGAATACCTAGTAACTACGTTAGCCAAACCCTTTCCATAAAATCAAGCAAAATAGTGATGTTACCTCGTCGACATTCCTATGTTCTTTTGCACTTGCTCTTATACAAGAATCTATTTCTTTGAACTCTTGCATTATGGGCATCATTTCTTCTTCAACTACCTGCGCTACATCAACGTCGGGCCGCAGGTCACTCTTGTTGGCGCATAAGACCACTGGTAACTAAAATTTTTGGAAATAACAGTCTAGTTAGATCGATGTCTTGAAGTGTTTTGAGAGAAGATATTACGTACATTAACTCCCAAGCTTCTCAGGAACGGAAGCCAAAATAGAGTTATTCGTTCACAGCTCTATCAAGAATCCAATATATTAGTCGAATGACTTTATCAAAGAAACACTAAAGCAAAGAAAACTTACATAATGATCCGAATAAACCAGTAATATCACATTTGCTTTTCTAATTTCTCTTTTCAGAGTATTCCGATCTTGCGGCAAAGCTAACGCGTTTGTTCTATTTTAACAACCGCAACCAAACAACCCCATACCCCCATAATTTTTTAAAAAAAGGGTAATGCATACGAGATGTATCAACTATAGTCGTCGATATCGGTGCATCTATGCCAAGCGACATCGTAACCATAGGAAGAACGGTGCCGGAGAACGTCGGTATAGCTTCGTCTTTCCATAATGACATGATAAGGCTAGATTTGCCGGTGGCTTCGTCGCCACAGACGCATATTCGGACTTCGGCTATCATTTTATTTTAAGAATAAAAAATTTTAGCTAGGGTTTCATGGGTATAGAAGGTTTTTTGGGAGGGACATTTTTTTAAAAAAAAGATGGGGATGTGAAATAACGTACCTCCTGTCATATTGTTGGAAACTGCGCAGCTGCGCGCCTTGTACTTGTTAGAGACTTGGAAAGGGTAGTTGTACCCGGGCCGAGATGGAATGGGGATCTAGGTTGGGTCTGATTAGACGGGCATGGTGGGGCGAATGGAGGTTTTTAAGTTCATGGATGCATTATTCCTTTGGGGCGGTCGTAGACGCGCTAACTTGCGGGTCGTCATGTAGTTGAGGGTTTGGAGCTCTGTTTGGGTGTAGGTTTTGAGGTTCAATATTCTAGTCTGGGGAAGCTATGGGTTTGGGAGGTGGAGCCGATGAGTGGCTCGGTTAAACTTACAAGGGGGCATAAAATACAACGGACAACGCGGGAGCATGTTAACTGGTGTTCAATGTTGGGTTGGCATTTTGAGTGCGTGGGTATGAGGCCATTTACCAAATCGGGTTTTGTACTATTGGCTGAAGTCATGAGGCCTAGTGAATAGAACTGTGGTCTCGATGTGAGATGTTGGCAGTACATATGTAGCTAGCCTAGTCCAAGCCGTTGTTGTTATTCTCTCTCAATTTTTGGACAAATTGAGGGGCTCTGTTTGGGTTCATGAAACTGCGCGATCGAGGATCTCTCACACATCTCTGTTGGAATATATACTTACGTATACGTAAACTCTAATGTAAAACCACCGTGCCTCGTGAGAATGTGTAGTGCAACTGTCAGAAATTATATTTATATATACATATGTATATAGTTTTCGACGGCACTGTAAGGTAATTGTTATATTAGAGCAGCCTGGAAGCCAGGCACAGAGAGGCGCAGCTGGCACTCACGAAGGCGTGCAAAAGCTTGGGAAACAACAATGATGCTTACTGACGGCGTTATCTATGCAGCTGTGCTAAGCTGCTGCCTCGCGATCGGTTGATCGAATCTACGCCAACTGGTTTGCGCTGCCGCTTCTATCGAAATTAATTCAGGTAAATATCGCCCCAGCCTGGGTTATATATAGTTACGTACCTCCTTTTAGAACTTTATTTAATATCCACTCAAGAAGTATAGAATCTATTCCCACGAGCTTAGGCGATATCATATATATATAGGCTTCCAATATCTCAACGTGTCGACGTTTGATAAGTCCTGAGCTTGGTTAATCATAATTGAAATCGACAAGAATTTACTTCACATTATATTAGTGGAGTTAACGTCCAGCTCATGGACAGCAGACGCTTTTGATTGTAAGTCAGAACTAATTTAACATATTTTTAAACTAATTGACTAAGGGTGTACTATTAACATAGCGGGAAGGAGATCTGAAGTTTTTTAAGGTTATAATACGAGACCGGCGCGGCCTTAAAGCCCCATCGAGCGATATCACTGGCAAATACTGGATCTTGCAACACAAAAATAATTAACCAGCTTTGAACCTTTCGATCGGGAATGTAAAGATGAAGTGGTGCAGGTCTCTAAACACCTATGGAATATTGACTTTGCTGAGCTTCCGAGCTCTAAGTACCGGTTTAAGTATCAATATCGTGCCAGCGCCAGGGTCATGTAGGAACGATATCGGTTCCGCTGCTGGGTGCAACCCTATTGCAATCGAGCCGGATCCCACCCTTTCCTCGCTTCAGAAACGGGATGACGACGATTTGAGCAACCCCGATGAGCTTGATCATTATCAAACTTCTTTAGCTCAATTTGATGCGTCATGTAGACGGGGTGTTATACGATTTCAACAATACCAAGAGCGCCAGGAATCAGACGGTAGTGATAACCCGAATCCGCAAGTTGAGGTCCAGTCACGCTACACCGTAGCCTCGACTGCGAGTTATTCATCTTGCCCAAGCTCCATCCGGCGCTTTTATGGGCTTCTTGCCGTGGAGGGTCCCGAAGAAGCTATGGGGCCTTCGTATCAAGAGTTTAAGTATGCTTCGCGTGATCTGTCGGATGTGGGTGCGAGCGCTGTCATACGGGCCTCGGTACTTGAAAATCATGTCATCGTCAATTGGAAAGGTCCAAAAGGTGGATGGATGAGTAGGACTAAAGGATATGATGAATTTGAAGATGAATATCATAAACTTTTATTTTTATCGTGGACGGTGATGAGATCCAAGGCTATGGTCGCCGATGGAAACAAGAACTTAGAAGACCCAAACTACCAGCTTTTTTGGGTCACTATAATTAAAATTCAAAATCCTGATACGATTAGAATCTTTGCGGAGATTCTAAGAAGGAGAAATTTGGTTTTCGACGACCTGTTTGAGATATATGCACCCGAAGCCGCTGACGATATCGATTTTGTCGTTTGGACCGCTCTTCTTGGGACACCCGAAATTGGCGCAGTGCAAGAAATGCTCACCGGGTGGGCATACCAACTTAAAGGATTCGAAATTCATGCCATCCATTTCGGCTTAGAAGAGGTGGCCTCAAGTACGGAGCTTCAAGCAAAGGTCTCGGTGTCGATTGGGCCTGCGGCTGCACAACCAAACCCCGACAGCTCTGAAGCTACTGATATCATGTTCCCTGTTTTGGCTGTCCTTAAGGATTCATCGACGACTTTGAGAACTTACCCAGGGGAAGTGATATTTCGGGAATCGTCTTCTTGGGTAGTCCGTCCAGAGCACATTGAAATCACCCAAAATGATGAAAATCCAGCGTCTGGAAAAAAGGGAGCTAAGATATTCGACAATCCTTCATTCAAAGGATTGACATTTGAGTTATTCTCTGAGGAGCGTTTTCTTATCGGAAAAGTAGAAGCATATGTATCTGGACCCGAGCAGCATCTCGTCATAGATTCAGAGCTACCCAATATTAGTTCGCAAAACACTCGAGATGTTTTGTATCAAATGTGGGATACAGGCATTGGATCAAATTCCTGTTTGTCATATATTACCTTTTTGCGACTTGCCCCGAAAACTATGGAGGTGGTACGGGAGATATTTGGGATGAAGAAGGTTAATCCTACAGATGGCGGTGTCTTAACTATCTGGCCTTCTAAAAAGCTTTGGGAGGAAGCCCATATGAGTTCACTAGATCAAGATGAAGTATGGCTGGATGAAAAGATCGATGCAAAAGTTATAAAAGAGCTACTGCCCCTGACATTTGAGTACTCCGCCGTAAAGAGTCTTTTGGCGCACAGAATAATGTGGTGGCAACTTGGCCGACCAATTATCCAAAATATTAAAATAGGATACCAGAAACGAGGGTCTGATTCGGATGATGAAGGGAGATTTTCGATACTCATTCAGTTGGCCGACTCCATAGACAGAGTTGGCATTGGGTCAATAACGTATGAACAACAAGGGTGTAGGGCGACAAGCCAAGGTTTTAACAATATGGGGGGGGTATTGAGAGTTAATTCAAAGTCCGCTGTCAATGCCATCATTACAATGGAGGGGGGATATGCCGGGGACGGCATCGAAGTCACAGCCGAAGGTAGAGAAGAAATAGAGGCCTTGTACTCTAAAGGCATGAGGTCAATTCGGGATGTGGCAAACGCTATCGCTGATGACAGAATGAAGGCATATAACGCATCTATCCTTCAAGAGCTTCAAAGATCAAACAAGATTGATTTCCAGTCGAATGGGCAACCCAGAAAACGGCTGAATCCAACGGAATCTCAGATTTTAGTACGTTCGTACACTCGAATAGCCGAACTTCCCCAGAGATTTGTTTCCGTGGCTAGCGACTCTCACAGCCAGTATGATGAAGTGACAGCGAAAGTTGGGAGTACAAACAAGCGGGCTATGGCTAGCTACCCTTACGAAATTCTTCGGTCAACGCCTATTGGCCACTTGGCTGTGACCCGACTACCCGAAGAAAACGGTGCTGGAGAGATACCAGAGCTACCTCACATCCTCTTTCTGAGCTGGTCGTTGGCTAGCAAGTATATAATCAGTCGAGATGCAGATCTAGATGCTGCTATTCAGAAAGACCCTCTCCGTTATATCTCTATTTTGAAGCTCAGCACGCGATCAAAAAATGTTATACAAGAGACTTTGAATTACTATGGGATAACAGTTAACATAGATTTAAACATTCGTCTTTCGACGCGAGCCCTCCTTCCATCTAAAAAATCGCTTACAACTCGATTGGGACAGGCTGGCAGGCTTGTTGGGATTTTGGGCGTCGTACTAGGTATCCCCGAGGTGTTTGCGATACAAGAAATGATCCGGTTGTATCATGGCTTCCTTTTATTGGCTACTAGCGTCATTGAAGAGATTTATATTACCTGGAAAGATGATAACTTCCAGATTTTTGTGGTTTTGGGAAGTGTTGGCAAGATAATTCGCCGCATTTTGTCCTGAAATCTATAGGATCGAGCCAGCGTCCTGTGTGCATAGCTTAAGAAGGATTGACTAAATTAAAGCACGGAAAACAAAATATTAATATTTATTTGCGACTTAGTTATAATGATTCTGAGGGCCACGTTCAAGATTATAATATTGAAAGACGAAATCGAATTACGAATTACTTGCTTGTCGCAATCTTATTAATATTAGCTTGCTCTGACAGGTCATAATATGGATTTATTGTGTCTATCGATTCATATCTGTGCATGCATATGAGATTTAGGGTCAATGATTGATTTTCTTGCCAATGTAGACATATCCATGGGCACTTAATCGTGGTAATTTTAATTATCGTATGATATGGTAATATGGGTACTATTGCACCGAATGGGATCTAAAGAAGCCCGGCTGTTGGCTGCTCCAAGGATTTATTATCAACTAGTATATTACCTCCTAAGTAGAAATGGAAGGGCAAGATCATCTGGCCCTGCGAAAGAAAACTATTCCTATCCAAGGAAACCTTAACCTGGTCTCGTTATTATGTTAATCCAGATTTAAAGGGGCATTATATCAACAGCCGGCCCATATGGGACGATGGGGCTCTTTAATGCGCGTGCGTATCCTTCTTTGTACTGTATTTTCCCGGCACGTTAGTTGTTGCCAACTATTGGGGTAGATTTTATTTGCATGCAGAGGCCTAGGACTTACTGTTTCGAAATGAGTAGTCTTCTTAAATACCCCTTTTGTTTCACTATTTTCTTCCCAGTACAATGATCGAAGCCACTTGTGGAGTTCAGGATAATCAGAGCGAATCATTTTGTAGTTGCATTTGAAAAGGGTGTAGTATGCAACGTCGAACCGGATCAGAGTCGTGAAAAGACTTAAGGAGAATGTGCGTCAGTTTCCTTTCTCTAAGATAATATAGAACGTAATTATAGGGAATACTTACCGAATATCTGCCTCTGTGATGTGATCTCCAAATAGATACTTGGTTCCACGGTCGCTGAGATGTTTCTCGACACGATCTAAGCTTTCAAACAAGGGTACTACATTGCTGAGATATGCTTCTTGGGTGGAGGCAAACCCGGTTTTATAGACCCCGTTGTTTATCTTGTCGTAGACCCATTCATTCATTTCGTCGATTTCTTTGCGAAGATTTTCCGGGTAGTAGCCACCGCCCGGCTTGTTGACTTCGCGCTCGCTTTCCGGAAGAAATTCGTCAAACGCAGTAAATAACATACGAATGATTTCCGAACTTTCATTGTTGACAATAGTCTCTGTTTTTTTATCCCATATGAGTGGCACTGTGTACCGGCCTTCATAGTCTGGTTTTGCCTTGAAATAGAGCGCTGAGAGTTTAGTGAAGCCATATAGAGGATCCTTTTCCATTGTGCCATCGTTGCCATTGAAGACCCTGGGCGGTTTTTTTGAATTAGTTCTTATAATCTTTTTCACGTTCAGCACGAGTGTGCAGGTTTCCACCTACCAGCCCTCTGGAGTAAGAGTAAAGTCCATGACAACGAGCTGGATAATATCTTCAAGACCTTTCAAAGATCTGACAATATTGGCCCTGTGCGCCCAGGGGCACCCCCAATTAAGATATAGGACCTAGATACAAGTATTAGAGGGCTATCAAGGTCTTTATTGTATTGGATCCATGGACTTGCTCACATATCGATCTTTCTCAGCAGGAAATTCCGAGTTTGGATCCGCAGAGATAAATGAGCGAAAGGAGGATGGTTTACGGCGGAACTGGCCGTCTTTATCTGCCATCTTGTAAATGGCATGATCTTTGTCGGCTCCAGTGCTTCCCGTTTGTGACATTTTCTGTGTTGCGATGGGGAATCTTGTGTTGGAAGGTTTCGGTGATACGAGCCAGCTGGTACCAGTGCTTGTTCGATTGCTAGCTCTCAGTTCCGTATAACGTATATGACGTTAACTCCAAGAGTGGCGAGGACGGAGTAAGATTTGTTTCAGCAGAGATTCTAAGGTATTAAAATTGGGCTGTATCAAAGATTTGGAAATGCGAGTTTTCTAATTATTGTGATGTCGATACCGAACCTTTGCATGTTGCCGTTCTGAATTTATACTTTAATCGGGGCGGGGAAGATCTCGGCCGATGGTCCGCGTCGGGACGCCAAAAAGTTTGGAACTGTAACCGGGAGCAGCTTATAAATCTTGACAAAGATATTAAGGAATTCGGGAACTCCTACATTACGAGAAGTTGACTGTGAACTTAAGTAATCATATGCATCACGAGAAAAGGGAGAAGTCTGTCGCCCGAAAGATAATAGATTGAAAACCTTGGTTTCGAAATTTCGCCCAGCGGACAAGCTGGGACAATTGATGTCTACGCGTAATATATATCACGGTTTTACGCGTATTATCGGGATTCGAGGCTAGTATTATCGGAGGGGCTATTCATAAGCTATATATATTATATAAATTAAAAAGTATTCCACGGTGCATGTGTGTATGCATTGGATTCTGCGACAACTTTGAAGCTTTATGCAGGGGCTTTGGTGTTATAGTCTTCAATCAATACTGGGCCTGTACATGTACGGGGGCCCGGGGATCTAGTTAAGCGACAAATTCACATTCCACAAACAACAATGTATATGTGCAAAGATGGCACATCTCGAACTTTGGTGTGCGTGCTTTCTCTTAGTGGCACATTCCTCATGCATATGATGGGAATTTGGGAAATAGGGTACTCTAAGGTCTTTTGTAGATACGAAGGGTGGCCACTCGCCTTCTCATAAAGATGACTAATCAACCGGGTTGAAATCTCGTCCCATGTATTACTTTACGGTTCTGTTCAAGCTATAGCGAAGTATAATTACTTTCGAGAATGTCTAGAATGATATCAAATGTGAATCCATATGGTTAGGCGTGCATCGTAGACGTCATGGTCTGCAATACTAGTTATAGCACATGTGGTATCCGTCCGGCTATGTACCATATGAGCTTAAAATCTGTAGTGATTTAGATAATGAAAGCAAGATAGTATTTTAACAAACTCAAATAAAATTTTGTCTGCATGACTTGCTTCTGAGCACGTGCTAGGGTGATAACTCCATACCTGCTCTTAGAGCTGGTATATATCGTTCGATCGTGATCGCGTGATTGTTGAATTTGCCGAAGTTTTGTTGGAGTTTGGTCGTGAAGTTGTGTTGTTAGAAATGCCAAGACTTGAATGGAGATGACTACAAGCGGCGTTGAAGGTCAAGAACCTCCAAACCATAGCCTCCAACTCCAAACATCAACTACCGCTACCCCTTTCGATAAAGACCCTAATATCCTAAACGCTAAACCGCCAGCTTGCGTGCTGCTTTTTAAAACACTCTTCCTTCGGTTGACAGAGTCCGCTACCCGATTGCAGGCTCCACGATGTCGCGACACAAGATTGTTCGGACGATGAACCTGGCCGACGAGCTGGACGACTTTGACGGAGAGGATGACTATTATGGAGAAGAAGACGAGGGTACGAGATTTTGAATGGCTTGTTATCGAATATATGATCCAGTCGTAACTGATAAAGCGATGCTGCTCCGTAGGAATGTCGCCTGCCGATAAAGGTACCCCGCCATTATACCCCGCGCTGAGACACCACCAACCTAACCCGATATTTCTATAGCGAGGATGGCCGACGGCCTTAAACGCGTTAGAGAAGTCATTGGGAGCGATGTACCGTCCCTTACTGACGAAAAAATCGAAGAGACATTATGGTATTACTATTTTGATGTGGAGAGGTCGATAACCTACCTATTAAGTATGGGTGTCGGTGAACAGATGATGGAGGATGAGGCTAAATGATGATAGATCAGGTTGGAGCGACTGAAAAGAAGAAGCAGAAGAAGCCAGTAGTCCCAGAGCCAAAAGGTTTGTCACACCCCATCTACCCTTGCGCAGCATCGTAGCAAGAGCTTTGACGGACCAGGGATCCTATGTGAGTAGCTTCGAACCATGGTTTAGCACACCTTCTGAGCGTCTTTTGATTCTGAAAATAGTCAGGGAATATTTCATGACTCTATCCTTGCCTTTATCGAAAAATATTCGGCCTGGGTTCTGGGATGATACTCCATTCGGGGGTGTTCCGCTCGCTCGACAGGGTCGACTCTTACCGCCTCCACCCCTTGTTGGATTTAGGACGAGCGGTTTACTAGGTGGCATGCAGTCCGGGAAGGTTTCAAAACTTGCAGCTTTAGCGAAGGCCCGTAACAAGGCGAAAGCGGAAAAGGCAGCGGATTCTGCGAGCCCTACAACCTCGGGAACCGCCGTATCACTTTTGGATAGATTATCCAAGAAGAAACCTGATCCACCACCGATAACACGTGATACACCGGTGTCCACGATTTCAATAATCCCAAATATCTCTAAGCTAGAACAGTTGGTTGAGAAGGCGATCCCAGACCCTCCAAAGAATGAACCGGTTCAAAATGAGCCATCAATCCCTGGTCCCGAGCCTGACGCTTTGCTCAAAGCTTCTCCGTCTGGTTTTGCCAAATCGATGTTCGGGGAGCGAATCGGCGGACCTTTTGAGTGTAAAGAAGAGTTTACTGATGCCCAGTTGATTTATTTCTCAATAGCTCCCACACAGAAGGCTGCTATCAAGGCAAAGCAAGCGTTCGATGTACCGAGCCCAGATGATGTTGTTATTGCCGCGCAATCACAAAGCAAAGGTTAGAATCCCTTTACTGGTAGGGAAAACAAAAAAAAACTAATGTTATATCATATCATATCTAGGAATTTCTAAATCTTCTAAAGGGGAAAAGGCTGGGAGCAACACTACGGCTTCGATACAAAAAGGTGTTGAAGCCCTCAAGGTTGGAGATACCGCCGAGAAACCCACTCTCCCCAAGATACCTCGAAATAAAATCGACGTTGTCGCGGAATATGAGAAGTCTAAATCAAAAAGAAAAGAAAACGCGAACTTGGTTGTTATTGGTCAGTTGACAAACTTTTCTTTGGCGTTGTCTTAATCTAACAAGTTGTAGGCCATGTTGATGCCGGAAAGAGTACATTAATGGGGCGATTACTATATGATTCCGGCGTTGTCGACGAAAGAACCATCCAGAAATACAAACAAGAAGCGGAGAAAATAGGAAAAAGCTCGTTTGCTCTTGCATGGGTGTTAGATCAGACGGGTGAAGAGAGAGCAAGGTTGGGACTATTATTTGAGTTAGTATCGTTTTCTAAACTGACAATTTGCTAGGGGTGTTACCATCGACATCGCTGTCAATGCATTTGAAACAGAAAGAGGAAGATTTACTATCCTTGATGCCCCTGGGCACCGTGACTTTATCCCGAATATGATCGCCGGTGCCGCGCAAGCCGACTTTGCCGTTTTAGTGATTGATTCCTCTCCAGGGGAGTTCGAAGCGGGATTTAACGTTAGAGGTCAAACCAAAGAACATGCTCTCTTAGTTCGAAGCATGGGTGTGCAGCGGATCATAGTGGCGGTTAATAAATTGGACTTGGTATGTTTCTAAATCCCGTCCATAGTTTTACATGCTAACCTGTATAGATGCACTGGGACCAAGACAGATTCGACGAAATCAAGCAGCAAATGTCCCAGTTCCTCACCACAGCGGGATTTCAACCTAAGAATGTCAGCTTTGTTCCCTGTAGTGGCTTGACTGGTGACAATATCGTTCGGAAGCCGGCAGATGGTCTGATATCCTGGTATTCAGGGCCGACGCTGGTAGAAGAACTAGAAACTGCTAAACCGGTAATCAAAGCAATCGAAAAGCCGTTAAGAATGACTATCGCAGATGTTTACCGGGGCGGAGTCATCAACCCGGTCACTATTTCTGGTAGGATTGAAGTTGGCAATGTTCAAGTTGGAGACACAATCGTAGCGATCCCTGGAGATGAGAAGGCAATTGTGAAGGGAATCGAAGTCGATAACCAGACAGCCGAGTGGGCAGTCGCTGGAAATAACGTACAATTACATCTCGCCAACATAGAGATGGAGCATCTTAAGTGAGTACGCATATCTCGTGTTATCGCATTAAGAAACTAACAACGGTAGGATTGGTGATGTGATTTGCCAGGCCGATAATCCTTTAGTACCCCTTAAGGAATTTGAGGCGAAGATTCTTGCATTCGAAGGCCTTACCCCGATGATGATAGATATTCACCGTGGGAGACTGAACGCATCTGGTAGGATAACCAAACTAGTTGCGACACTCGATAAAGGCAATGGCTCTGTAACGAAGAAGAAGCCGAGGCATATTGGGCCAGGAAGCCTAGCTGTCGTCAATATTGCTGTTACTGGGGCGCCCTTGCCACTGGAGAAGGGAAGCAAAATAGTTCTTAGGGCGGATGGCTTGACGGTCGCCGCTGGCGTTGTAGAGTAATAGATACTATTCGAAGGACTAGCTCGCCTGATTTTAGCATTGGATCATCATGCATTGTTGTTAGGCCCTTTTTTTGCTAGAAGGTCTGGGCCTAGCTATAGTTAGAGGTAGACACAATCAAGCTATGGTCTTCAAAAATGACACACGACAACACCTTTTCCCCAGCAAAATATTATCTTGAACTGGTTACTCAATCACATGAACAAAATTTTGGAGGCCTAGAATAAGACATTAACTGCCTGCTATACGGAACCTTGATTTACGAAAACCGCGGTCCTGATCTTCATGTTGATATTTACGTCGTTCGAGCTGCCCCGCTTAGGCAGCCTAAGGTCCTAAAAACCTGCACCTTCCAAATCACGCCAAAACCAAGAAACCGCCAAGTCTCGTAAACAAGGACCGCCGGACCGCTTAAATAACCATACAATCATGAAGAGAGTATTTAACCGTGAGCTCGCTTGACTCAGCTATTATGTCGTGTAGCGCTTGATATAATTCCGGAAGGTTATGAAGACATCGCCTAGGCAGAAACCCGAAGCAAGGGATCGTACTACGGTTACAATACCATGTTGCCGCTGGGCGAAACTCTATCTTACGTTTGTATACAAGACGCGGGACGGAACCGTGAACATGGTTGGTTCGAGATAAACATGGAACAGACAGCCTTGATTATCGCTATAACCATGGTGCACGATTGATAGCGAGAGTTCTGACGTCGATTCTGCGGGTACAGTGGCTCTGGAGTATTATAGTCTCCATATCTTACTATTTTAAATCATCCGATACGTTACCACCTACTCTTTCGGTGTGATCTCCGCTGACCTCTATAGTTAGAGATTATAGAGATAACATTGGCAATGGAATCGACGGGACAGTTGCCTAGAGTGTCAGGTGCTGATTAGGGTCGGAGTTTTATACCAATGGATTACTATCACGAGCCCAAGAGAAAAAATGATGAGCTTACGTATAGATAGTCAAAGGTTTCGAGTAGGATGTGGAGCCTGGTGGCCATAATTTTGTATAAGACTGGTGGCATTCCCGTTGATCTTCATCATTACAGTAGAGGGATATCAGGATATCAATCACTAAGAAAACATGAAGGTTCTTGCTCTTTTTTCACTTATCGCGCCGCTAGCCTCGGCGGTCGTTATTCCAGATAAGGTCATCACCTACGATGGCTATCGAGTTGTTCGTATTGCTACTCACGGCCGAGGTCAGGTCATTGAGAAACGTCTAAAGACTCTCAATGCCGTGCAATACAACTTCGATACGCAGGAACGTATTGAGATTGCCATTGCACCAGAAGATCTTCGCAGATTTGAAAAGATGAACCTGGAATACGAGGTTTTGGATGAGGACTTGGGAGCTTCCATTATTGCAGAAGGAGGATTTTCCCCTGCTTCTGCGGGTAGGAGAATTTTTTCTTGTGAGTATACTTTACTTTATATTCAATAAACCGACCATCTTTACGGTCAGAGCTGACTATAGTACTATTTTTTAAGCTTTGAATGAATTGGCCCCTGCTGCTTTCCCGGATCCTTCCTGGTTCAACGCCTACCACACCTTTGCAGAGCACCAGCAATGGCTGGTTGATATCCAGTCCGGATTTACGGAGAACTCTGAGTTGATTGAAGTTGGAAGATCATTTGAAGATAAGCCCATCAATGGGATTCATCTTTGGGGTAAAGGCGGAAAGGATTCCAAACCTGCTGTACTGTGGCACGGAACTGTTCATGCTCGAGAATGGATTTCCGCTATGGTCAGTACCATATTTTGTGGCAACTTGAGGCAAATAACAACAGTCCAGCAATGGAGCGCTAACTAGCAAGCGTAGGTCGTTGAATATCTTACATACGGTCTCATCAATGGATACAATTCAAATGATACCCAAGTGCATAGCATTCTTGACAACTATGATTTTTACATCCTACCAGTCGTGAACCCAGATGGTAACCAACCCCTTTCTTCTGATAAAAGATTAACCTATACCTTTATTTACAAGCTCTAACATTTCTTGGCTTAGGATTTGTTTATACACAAACGACTAACCGTCTGTGGCGCAAGAGCCGACAGAAGCACCCATCCAATAGCTGTGCTGGAACAGATATTAACAGAAATTGGTCTTTCAAATGGGATACCCCTGGTGGCTCATCCACCAACCCATGCGACGAGACCTTCCGTGGACTTTCGCCTGGAAACACCCCTGAAAATACCGCCCTTACAAAGCACGCTGAAGCTCTCGCCGCCAACAAGGGTATCAAGCTCTACATTGACTGGCACAGTTTCAGTCAATTGATTCTTCTTCCATATGGCTACGACTGTAACCGCCAAGTTGCCAACTATGAGAGGCAAATGTCATTGGCAAATGGTGTTGCATCGGCCATTGCTGGTGCAAGCTCTGCTAAGACTAGATTCAAGCCAGGCGCTACATGCCCAAGTTTGTATAAGGCTGTTGGTGGCAGCACTGACTGGATGCAAGATGTTGGAGGGGCAGAAATCAGTTGGTGCATTGAGTTGCGGCCTTCAGGTGGATTTGGTGGCAGTGGTTTCGTATTGCCAGCCAACCAAATTAAACCTTCCGGTGAAGAAATGTGGCAAGGCATGCTTCATTTGCTCACTACTATGTGAATGGTGGAATATGGAGGGGACCAGTGAATAATTTAGTCTACAGTGCCAGATTTAGGAGGCGGGCTATAAGAGTTCACGAATGGCCAGAACTGCAAGCGGACAGTTCTACTAGTACATAGAAAGATACCCTGTATTTATTTGATACCGATCGCAATGCTTGATACCCATCATATACATATGTATATATATATATATAAACTTAAGTTCTGGTTGATTTTGATTTAAGTTAATATGTTCGACTCGGCGCTCCCTCTTTCAAGAATCTTTGCTTTTGGCTCTCGGGATAGTTTAAATTCCTTCTTTTTGATGATATTTGTCTCGTAAACCAGACCCGGGAACCCACCTTCGCATATGGTAGCTTTCGCATGATTCTCTGATTCGGTCTGGAGCAAGGACATGTTAGTATTATGTTAACACAGAATTTTTGTTGTACACAAAAAGCCAATTTCGAAATTGAACGATAGTAAGAGTTGGTCATGAAATATAGACTATTCCACATCGAATACTTTTTCCAAAGCTGGCATGCTAACTTGATTTTTGCATACCCGCTCTACGTTGTAGTTGAACTTTTATCTAGATTTAATTGTCTGCTGGAGCGCTAAAATTTACCATAAAAGTTATATCTGGGCATGGTGTTGTTCCCAGACATCACAAAGGGGGAGGGGGTGGTGCTCTATACGTTCAAAGTCCTCATTCGACCATTGGGTGGATGATTTTCTCCTGCGGGCCCGGGGATCCCGTTAGTTCTTATTATATTATGCCATTCACCAGATGATCCCTGAGATCGTATATAAATATCATTAATTAAACTTATAAGGATTGGTTCAACTCGGTGCCACCATATGATTAACGTCCGCACTTAAGTACATCCTACGATCAAATTAAAGCCGAATAAATGCCGAATAAATTGAATACGTGCCTGAGCTAATTTAAGACATACAACTGTAAGGCCCCTCTAGTACAATGCTCTCTTGTGGTCTATTGTTATGAGCAGATCGTAATATAAATCTAGATTTCTGATGATCTAGCTGGTTCAGCAAAGGGTGGCAGGAGGCCGTATGGTATCTATATTGTATACTTTGCCCCTCAAATCCTGAATCTACTGGGCCATGGGGTTTATATAGTCCATTCTTGACATGACATATGTCATTATACCATTCATTTTCGTCTGCCGGCCCAGCATCTGTACCACAACCATACTACTTGGTTCCTACTTTTCTCAAGATTTAGCAGCCTAGCTTGACCTCCCTTTACTATATTACAGTTACTAACAAGACTCGAATCTACCATTATCGAGACTGTTTTCTCCAAATTGTTTTCCCCAGACTACACCCTAGTTGCTGCTGTTTTGGTTATACTGCTCTGATCACTATACCCTCTCGGAGATTCTGACAAGGTCTGGTTTTTTGACTTTTTGTGTATGAAGTGGTGTGGAAAGGCTAGACCACGGTAATTATAATAAGGCCGGTTAAGGAAACAGATGATCTGTTGTGTGTGGCTCTGCGAGTTTAGTAATTAATGGGAACAACAACGTGCAACGCTGCTAGCCTAAAATTATAGCACCCAATTGGTCCCTTCTTTCATGCGACTCAGCTCGGTTTAGGGGACCTGGCTAGGCCTGTGCTCATGAATTTGTTGGTTTAAACAATTGTTGTTGTGTATCTAGGATATAGGGTTGGATCCAAACAAATTGATACCCTGACGTACATACGTCTAGGAACGAGACAGGTTGGATCAAGGAAGTTTGGTTACGAGACTGAGAGTTTTCGGCATTCGGCTCTATGCTAATCATGACATGTTCAAATTAACATCTACCTAGCTACACATTAATATGAGGCCACTAGGTAGTACTTCGATAGCCCAATACAGTGGCGCAAGGATTGTATTTGGGAAGTCCCTGGGCCATAACGCAGTGTGTGCCTGCCATAAGACATTAGCTAGCTTTAGGTCCACCACCAACAGATAATATTAACGTTGGCTACATATGGTAACTAATTAGTCTAAACGGTAGGCATTTCGAGATTTCCATCCTGTACAGCTTTGGCGAAAACTGTGAAGAGTCCCATAATAGAGTCAGTTGCTCTTTCCGGTCGCACATCCAGACACCGAGAATCCGTGCACAAAGATTAGTTTTGGGAAACATATACTGCCGGCTGTCCAAGCTTCGGCCTCCATAAACAGCGATTCTTTGATCAGATTAGTTAATATTGCCTCATTCTTTGTATAAATTCCCCATCTCTAGACCCGATGTAAGTTCATGTCTATGCTTCGCGCGGGCAACGTTAACAGCAGTAATTGCTATGCAACAGTGATCTCGAGGCTAAAAATTCATACCGGGAATGTAGATTGATTATCTATCTTGTAAATTAAAACTCAAGCGGAGAGCAATATATCTTCAGCTTGATAGACCTATTGAGTTAGATAGTTTCAACGGTATACGCTGGAATAAAATCAGAATTTCGGTACCTCGGGGAATACTACGATACAGCCTGTTCCTACAAATATCAAACTCCTGATATTATGAAGGCTGGACGCAAAAAAACCCAAATAGGGTTCCTTTTGTTAGTATTGGGAAATATCTCGATTTTTTTAAACAGCTCCCCGGTGATAGCATACAGCCTCAAAGCGCTTTGGGAACCGCGGAAGGAGTGTCTTTCAAAGGATTCAATACTTAGTCCGGTTATCGATGATGAGGACCCTCGGAAATTACGAGATCTTCGCCCAAGATCCGCATTACTGGATAATTATAAGCCACACTTTCACGCAAAACGTGATTTATCGGATTACAACGAGCTAGGCTGGAAGCTCATGGATGAGGCAGAGAATAGTGCGGATAAACATCTTGGTGAATCGAATGCAATGGCAACGGTCGTCGAAAGATATCTAAAACCGAGAATTGACAGAACCAATTTCTTTTATTGTCCCGACACAGTCCAAATATTTCTGTCGATCTTTGGTTTGGAGGGCCTCGCACAAACAGGAGATCAATTGGACAAATCACACTGGTATTTTATATTAAATTCCAAGGCCAAAGAGCTTGGGGGGAGCTGGGGGGAGTTTTACGTTACCGTCGATAAAAGTCATATGATCATTACATGGTGGCACATAAACAGCGATATAGGGGAGATATTCGAGAAGGAATACGATATTGTTATAATAGCAATGTGGTTTTTCACAGTAAGAGAAGCTAATTTTAGGAACACGATTAATTACAGAGAACATCCGCCTAGGCATATTACAATGCCCGGGATCAAAAGCGAGAAGGTAATCCATGCCTTGGAAGAAATCAAAACGCAATTGAGTGGCAATATCAATTCTTTAGGGGGGTTTTCAATGGAGAGACCAGAGAGCCTCAGTCGAGATAATTTTGCCGCTCACATCTGGGCAGCATTGATAGGGATACCCGAAATCGGCGCCATAGAACGAATGCTTAACAAATGGAGTACTTTTTTCCCGCCAAGGTATCAGATACAATTCATCCGCTTCAATACCCATACGACACTAGATGGAAATCGAGAAGCAATTCTTTCAGTTAACTTGAGGTCGGGACCGGATACTTCTAAGTACGATACAGCGGAATCATTGGCAGAATCGACTCAAGTTATGATCCTTGAGAATGACACAACAGAATTCGGAAACTACCCAGCAATTGAGATTTTCGAAGCATCTACTCTAGAGCTTATTGTCCCAGGTCCTGCAATAGGCGCAGGTTCCAAACGGAAAGCTGAGCTACCAGTGCCAACTTACAGAATGAGTAAATGGCTCCTCGTGACAAGTCTCGGAAACCCCGAAAATTTCGAAATTCAAATTTCAACATCTAGTCGTGAGAGCCACTTAGTCATGTTAGATAGCATTGGAACCGAGCAGCAGCAAATTGTTGCAGATTTTCTATACTTATCCTGGATTCAAACTCAAGGCACCCAAGATCTGAGAGACATCACGTTCCTGCAACTATCTCCTAACACAGAAGCTCTCATTCATCTGCTAGCCACAGAATTAAAAGTGGATATATCAAAACAAAGCGTTTTTATTTTATGGGGGCGCGGACACTGGAGGAGAACGCTTCGGGAAAAATCAACAGCGAAACCTTCACCCGAGAGGCGTATTAATGATAATGTGTTAAGGAGATTTTCACAGACAGTGGAATACGGCGCCGTACTGAAGATGATACTTCAACAACAGAGATATCCTGGAGTTTCACCTGGTTTCGAGCTTCGTTCCATCGAGATTGGGGACGGAACAGAGTTTAAAAGGTCAAAGGGGCTCGGGTCAGGGGACAATAGACCACCAGCTACTAAATTCGCAATGCTCATCCGCTTAGAACGCTCACAGGACGCTGTCGAAGACGAAATAAGCATTGCTGGCACCCCCCTAAATACTGAGACCCCGCCTGACGAGTTTGAATTAAACGAGATAGAATCAGAGTCACCGAGCCCCCAACTAGAGCTTAGAGTCCTAGAAGCTATTGCCGATCGTGCTGAAATTCCATCGAGGGACCCGAGCATAGAAGAAAGCATCCGGAATTCTGTACCTCCAAGTCCTGCCGTACTACCGCAGGACCTACCTGGAAATAAGGCGAATAGGATCGGCTTCGTCTTCGACTTTATTCCACCCCTCGATAAACCGAACGGCAAACCTCGCTTGAGCAACATTCATACGGAAACTAGTTTGATAGTTCGGAGGTTCGAGCAAGTGGAGGACAGGGAGCGAAGCTCGCCTCTACCCTATCTCGACGCCATTGCAAAGACCTCGAATCAAGATCCGGAACCCCAATACTACCACTTCTCCCTTTGGATTCAATACAAAGGTACAGCCAACTCTTTTGATGCGGGTGAATTTTATGTCAGCCCTAGCCTCCACCATATTGTTATCAAGAGGCTACCTGATATCAAGGATCGGTCGGGTGAGGTATATGAGAATCTTGCTCTTTCTAAACTTCTATATCTGATGATGTCAGAGTTATGCGAAGGTCAATTACAGATGGAGAAAGGAAATATACCTACAATCGATTTTATATCTATTGAGAACGTCGACAGTAATACGGAGGCATTTTTGAAAAAAACTTTCGACGACCATAAGTTGGACCAAAACTCACGTTATATGAAACTCAGCATTATAGACAGTCTATTAGCTACTCATGTACCCGAGAGGGTACAGAATACGGGGCCAGGGGCTGAGAGTCATAAACGCATATTTGAGTACCGAGAGCTTCTCCTCGGTGCAATACTTCGAACACGGGAGGTGTCAGGAATACATGAAATGGCCGTCAACTACTACAAAGGGCAGTATGTGGGCGACAAGGTACTCGATAATATCTTCGTAACGTGGCGGAAAAGACATGATGGGACTTTTGCCTCGCAGATACTTCTTGTGTTACGAGATGTGCCGGAGAAGTTGAAGCATTCAGATATAGTGGAGTGGATGCAGATGGTATCCAAGGCTGTAGGCCGGAGCCGGGTTACTGAACCTAGGCCGGATGAGGTGACAACCGTAGTCGCTCCAACCCCATCGCTATGGCGAATACCAAAAATATACGCCCCCAAGGAGAAGTGGAATGCGGTCGTTATTGGCCAAGCTTTGATATCAAAAATTAACCAAGGTGTTCTTCATTCTCGAGCCCCCGCAGGCCGGTCTGGAAATACTGGGTCCGGTGGTTGGGATGAACCTTCCCTTTTGATCGCAGAACTGCCACCTACCGGCGGCCTACTTGAAAACTCAAAAACTAAAGGCGCAGTCGACCTCTTGATTGCCACTGTACAACTAGGTATAACTGGGACCGTTGGTGCCTCATTTTACGCCAAACATTTTCCAGCCCTCGAGACATATAAAGAGTTCCGGCCCATCGATGGCCCTAGGCGGCCAATACCTCGAGTACGTTTCTTTGAACGCTACGCAGTTAGCATCGATAAATCACCATGCCGTCAGCTTATGTTTCTGAACCTTGTGAACAGAATATCAAGTCAGAAGGAGCTACAAGAAGAATTGGAGCAAGTATATGAGCAGTCTTGGTTTGGTGGAACGGCTGAGCCACCCGCTTTACGGATGCTATTAATTACAGCGCCAACCGAAAGCTCCTTTGATGTCATCCAAGAAGTCCTCGGCCTCCGAAAACAGCAGTGCACAGTTGAAGATGAACCAGGGGGGCAGGTAGTGATAACAAAACCAGCGCACAACTTACTAACATCGACAGAAAACAATCACTTCATGATGGACATGGAAGATCCACGAGATACCCTAGAATGGGCTACGCTTATGGGAATTCCAGAGATTGCTGCTATTGTAGAAGTCGGTTTGAGATGGAGAGGGGTTAAAGAGACTTGGTTTTCCCCTTTAGCCATAGTAATTTATTGCGAAGGAAGTCGTGGCCGGAAGATTGGTGCTCCGCGATTGCGAATTGGATTGAAACTAGCCCACTATTCCTCGGCCACAGGAGTCGAGATTCAGCCAGATTGGCTTCACAATGTTTTCTCCCCCTGAAGGGTGGGTTCTGCCAGCGAACCAAGACTACCTAGCGATTAAGTGCTTGGTTCGAATCCCAAAGATCGATGGAGACCGTGATTACTCGTATACCTTCTGAATGCATATATGAAGATTTTGTCGACGAAGGATCTTAATTAAATAAGGATTATTAATTTTCTTTGTGCTTACAGCCAATTAAAAAACCCAGGAGCTTGAGAAGTCTAAATTAGGCTACCCGTGCTTACATATGTACTACGCACGAGGACATCTCTACGCTTCGTTAAATCTAAAAATTCGAGTGAACAGCTGGTAACTAGGACGATCATAATTAATTATGGTTCCGAGACTAATCGACTTGGAAATATCAATAAATAATAACTTTTCTGCAATGTCGTACGCATAGGTAGTATGATCATATGAGTCAGCTCAACGCCCCGTCTAACTTATATCGATATTCTATGATCGAGATCTATGCTATGATGCCGCTGCTGTAGACAAAGAATACAAATATTGCCCTAAAGCTTTTTGTACAAATTGGTGACAATCGCTGAATCTGAAGTCTGCAACCAAAATCCCTTGAATTCTTCAGTCCGTCGGCCACGTAGCTTACAACTTATTATATTTGTCCAAAGACGCTTTTTGGGATCAAAATGCAAATACTAGTTAGCGTGAGTACACATAGATACGTATACTTGGCTGTGATAAGCCTTGCCAGAGACCTTGCCAGAGACTACCAAGTGCAAGTCATATGTATCCCGCAGCGCATCTCGATGCTAGCTTAGCCACCTGGAATCGAATCCTGCAAATTTGCCACCATGCATGAGCCAACCTGGCGTTTGGGTTGGTGTTACCAACAGATATGTGACACAATCGAGACCCTTACCCGCCAAGACCCTATCTCGCGAAAGCTAGCCAATGAACTTATGATCCAATAGCCTTGGCTACATCTTGTATGCGCTTGGCGAACCGCTTCGAGCCCAGTCTTGCAAACCGAAGGATTATCTTGGCGAATGTTTTAATCAAAGCTGATAATCCATCCATAGTTGACGCGATGTTAAAGGTTTTTTTTTTCGAAAAGGGATTAGAAGGAAATTCGGGCTTGCGGCTGAGCAGTACTGCAGTTCGAGAGAGAAAGATAGAAAACATAAATACTACATGTGGAACCCCTTCTTGATGGTGATCCACTTTACTCAGCACTCATATAGATCTTTTAGTAGTTAATTCAGACAAAACGTTGAAAACATTATTACTAAGTCATATATATCGAATCGAATCAATACACGATCTATTATGTATCGTGGAGTCACTCTCCTCCTCCTCGCCCGCCTGGCGATGGGCCAAGATATTACATCTGCCCCAGCACTCCCCCAAACCTCTCGTGTTTCTATCACCTCGTCACTGGAATACACCCTCCAGCGTAGCTGCGTCGCCCACTGCCTCTACTACAATGGTCCACTACCACGTGGACCATACTACCACGACTGGGACGATGTAGGAGGTGAATTGAAATGCGGATACGCGCCCATCAATGGTTGTTATTGTAACACGAAATACGCCTCCAGCGCTACTGCTTACTTCAATACATGTATCCCTTACTACTGCGGCAGTGGGGAAAACGCCGATCCGGACGATTTAGTCTCAGCACTATCATTATATAACGACTACTGCGCTACCGCGAACGGGAACCCTACAAAACCGGTACCGACTCCCGTCGTAATTCCCGCGTCAACGACTTCAACACCAGCATCCTCGGAGACTAGTGAATCCGGCTCTAGTTCTACCTCTGTCGATGAATCTTCGCAGCCAGCTACCACCGGATCCTCTGCTGGATCTTCGGGTGGAGCGCCACCCACAGCTGTTGCGGAAAGCAAAACAAGTCCTAGTCCTACGGAGGCGGGAAGCGAAACAGGAAGTGGAGGCGGAAATGGAAATGGAGGGTTAAGTAAAGGTGCTACTATTGGGATTGCAGTTGGGGCTTCGGTCGGTGGTCTTGCTTTGATTGCGGCTGCTGTCTTTTTGTTTTTTAGTAGGCGGAGAGCACTCGCAGGCGAGAAGCAGCCAATGGGTGGTATTGAAGGTTAAATAATCAACATATATCTATCTGTAAATGCGGGATTTTTCTTTTCTTTTGACCTTCCAGAGTTATATTTGATGCTTGTACGATATAGGCGTATGGATTTTGGTTTATTTTATTTTTTGTAATTAATCAAATCGATCGATTAGAGATTTTGGAGATTTTGTTTTGAACCTGAGAGTTTGTGTAAACACTAGGCATAACAGCCGGATAGAATTTGTCCGTATGTTTTTAGAGATTTCAATGAGCATTCATACACGCAATAGGAGAGCCTCACTCGACGCGTCGCGGTTCTTTAAAGAAAGTATATAGAATGAGAAGGTACTTAGTAGGTCTCCCACGATGCTAACTTGAAGACTAGACCATGAACAGAACACTAGCTAGCCATGCGGGAGAACGTACCACCAAAGCTAAGGAGCCTTCTTATGAAGCATCGCACCCGCCATATAGTACACCTACAGGACTAATTCGAAGTGTCGCACCTACTACGACGGTCACTTTTTCAGGCGAGCGGGAGCTTGAAACCAAGGGCACAAGTTCAAAAAAGTCTGGCTACGACCAACCAACACAAAAACGTTTTGTTTAGGCAACACATTATTTGACGTTGGATTTTGAGTCTTGTGTGTGCATGTGGGTCGTTTTGGGACACTATAACAGTCTTAATATAGATCTATCATGCGGGTACAGGGATGGAAAGCTTGACACGACCTCGGTATTGTTTTTCAAAAAAAATATTAGGTGCTGTTCCAAGTCAGTTGGGTGAGATATTTTCTCGATCTCGGAGGGCAATACCAAATCTAGGCGACTCCTTTAAGCTAAGCTCGCTCTTGTGACAAAATATCTAATACTGTACGCGTATACGTATGGGCGATTATATTGATACAATTCTGCGAACTTGCACTTGTCTTGGCTGGTATCGTAGCACAGTCTTGGCCTACCTCCTCCAATAACACGCAGGGGCCGGCCTGGTGGTCAGTTATAGCATACCAAATTCATTAGGGAAATTAGCGTATCTGTATAGCACTGGTTTGTATATGTATAGAGGGAGGCTTCTGTAGGGTCAGTGTATTATCAACCGTAATAATCTGTTCTCCTAAGCTATTGTTCAGCTAGTTGAAAACGATTCGTGCCTTAGCTTACATGATGAAAAAGTTTCGACCAATAGGGATTTACCAGCCCCAACACTAGATGACTGGTAGTTAGTGTTGACGGGTTCGTGCAGTCTCAGGATCTCAAGAAAAGCCCGTAATCGGGCTCGATTCGAGGCTAGGAATGGGGGTGAAGGGGGGGGTTGGCATCTTGAATTGAATTGGTTTACAAGCAAAAAGACGTACAACTCATAGGTTGTCTCGTACTCAGACCTAGAAGAGGTTTTTGGGGCTGAAGCCTACCTATGAACTTTATGATGGATGGTAGTGTTCCTTTTTTATGTATCCTATTAAACTTTTCAATCTAGGCTTCCACCATGTCTGCAGAAGCCACTTTAGCATCTATCGGGTTCTCTTCGTTCGATATTTTAAACGCACGGATTCATCACCCACGATCCAAACTCAAGGCCAAAGCAATTCATCGTCCCTGCATCTGTATATTTTATTTATATCCTAGCTTCGCCACACCTCCATAGTAAGTATCAACATATCTAATGTTCATGTAGTTTACGAGATAGCTCTTGACGGGGAACTCTAAGCGCCCTGCAGGAGCTTTAAAATTGGGGTATAAAAGGGCTGATAAATCTATAACACTCCACATCGCACCCCTAGAAAAATTTAAATATAGATTTAGAAGGCCCGTGGTGGCGAGTGGCTAACTCTCTCTCTCTCTCCTATATAAGGAGTATTTCTCTGGCCCTGCGTTGTATGAGCGACTTCTTGATCAATTGATCAAGCTAATCTTAGAGCTCAGCGACAAGATTCTTCAGGAAACAAGAACCAGCCAACTCATCAAAGCCTAATCGGAATTTGAATCGATGAATCCGAATCTGAACTGTCGCAGATGTAGGTGTTCAAAGTCTCAGTGTAGCTTTTGCCACATTAATGCACTGTGAACACCTATTTTGATTGACTGGGATGCCAACTGGTCTGGGGGCAAGGCGGGTGCGAGTTCACCAACTACTAGCATCGCATATGTTATCGACAGCCCGGTGATTCGCACCTAATCGAGAATATTTCTTTTACGGTTGCCAAAGTGCCAAAGTAGGATCTTTCATATACAAGACCTCCAAGCACGACAACGCCGCTTTCATTCTCACGTATAAAGATTTCATATCGACCTTGTCTCCAATCGATCCCACTGTCCGGACGAAATGTCGTAACCAAGGGCGTGTATGCCGTTGATTAGTTCAAATATTTTAAGAAGCCATTGAATATTGGGGGGGCTTAAGTCAAAGGAGGACTCTGTTAATAGAATATACGGAGTGGTTCAAGCGTGAATTAAGCAGCTTCTCAATATCCTTGTCAATTAAATTTGGGTCCACTTAAAAGCGTCAAGTCGGCCAGGTGCTTCTGGGGATACATAGGGATTATTGTTTTTATTGTAGAACGTTCCACTGTTTTTTTGAATTTCCGGAGAACTAATCTGGTTTAGAAGCTGGGATAGGTTCATTGCGAATCTGAAGATGGCGTGAGACTCGAGTCCTTTTTGTCCAGCGAAAACCATGATAAACAATGAGGCTTATGGGGGGTCTCTAGAGCGAAATTAGGAAGGGCCGCTGGATGCTTTAAAAAGACAAAGAAGTAGGAGTTGCGACACTATTCTGACAGGAGACAAGTGATTAAATCTTTCGGGCACTAGCCCATTGAATAACAGCTGGAAGCGCTAGCTGCTCTACCAGCCCTAAATCCCATCTTGCATCTAAAAAAGGGGAGGCCCTTAGTATAATAAGTTTAATACACACCCACGACAAGATAGAACAAAAAATAGATGCGTAGCCCGTCAGGATAGCTTCCGGTCGGTATGTGTATCGTGCAGGGCTAGTGATACCTTTGTCCGAAATACGGAAGTGGTCTCGAAGCCAGACGGTCACTCATAGATTGTTATTAATATATTATTCTACGGAGACATAAATTTACTTAAAGAACAATTCGAAAGTTAGCTATCCTGTTAGATAAGATAGGAAACTATCAGTACATACACAATGGCCGCCAGACTAGTGCGAGATTCCCAGTGCTAGCATATTATAATATTATATCCCGGTCCCAGCCCGGGAGGCAATTCTTTGTTCTTGGACATGTTTCTTAGGCATACTGTATACTGCTGATTTTTAATTTTAGTATTCCCCTGAGGATGATTAGTCTCGAGGCCAGAGCGAGGATGATGATGAATTACAGCATGGTTTATTATGAGACTGTCTCGAAGCTAGCACGAGCTGAAATCTCCGAATAGAAGGAACTCATACAGAAGATCGTAACCAACTGACGCCTAAGAACGAGACCTTCCAGAAGAACTAAACGCCTACGTGTGAATTCATGTAACTACTGGTCTTCGCAGTATGTTGATCCACCTTATTATGTACTTCCTTGAGACTAGTACCTAAGTATATATACTAGGTAGTTATCTACACCATGGTACCATGTGCACCATATTGCTACCACACGATCATTATGACAATAGTCATTTGTGATGGATAATAGCAGGTATATCGATCATGAGTAAGAGGCAGTAGTAACGGGCTATTCTAGGAAGGGCATCTGCTACAATTGCGCGTATTTCCAAGGCAGAGCTTAGAGTTGAGCTAGTTACCGGCCTGGGTGGGACTCATCCAATTGCCAAGCAACCCTCTCACCGCCGGATTAGGCAATATAAACAAACAAACAACTGCAAAAGTTTCCCTTGTCTCGGGTATAAAAGGACAGCCTCCCCAGCACCCTCTTTTTTTCACCAGCTCTCTTCGCCAATTGGCTTAGATCAAGTGTAGTATCTGTTCTTTTCAGTTTAATATCTGAAATATCGTCCACGCGACGATATCATATATTAATACTATTTTTGAATCTCGGACGAGATCCTCTTAGCTTGCTAATGGTTTCTCCACCGTGTCTCCAGTATTGCACTGTCTCTGGATGATGCGAATTCTTATTTTCCATGATTGTCTTCGTGATATCGAAGCCTCCATAGAAAAAAAACACTTTCAATTCTAGTCGAAATTTGAAGAAGGCGTCTACTCTTCTTCGATGGAATTCTTAGGATCCTTGAAATCAGAGTCCTCGGAATCGGGACCGAACATACGCTTCCGCCTACCTTTTCGCTACTCTCAACTTCGTCTGTCTTAATCACTGTTCCGATAAAAACCACAAATCTCGAAATTCATTGAAAGATCTCAGAAGAACAAGGAGGTGCAGGTCAGAAACGTGCGTGTAGTTTGGAGTTAGGATAGTGTGAATAGGAAAAATAGAACACTTACTACCAAGTACCTAGGTATTCTTAGATGATAAACACACCCACAACAAATCAACTTTGAAAAATAATACCAACCTTAATAAGTCTATCATCAGCCTGTAACTAGTCTCGGAGCCAAAATACTTGCTCTAGTTAAGGGTTAAATTTACCTCTACCACCAATCAACACCCGCGCCACGATTTCCGTACCGCGCCACCGAACGGAATACAACAGAACCAACACAAACACAACATTCCTTATAACAGTTTAGTTGGTTGCTGCTACCGCCTCGTGAACCAACGAGACAATCTTGTAGCCAGATTTTTCCTTTTAGCCTACTATTTTACAGGTCACCTATATAAACTTGGTGTTGGATATGGTATGAGTCGAAGGCCCTCAATTACAGCGACAGTCGTTTAAGAACTGCCAAGACAAAGATTATCTCTGCCTCTGCAAGGACCCCACGATGTTAACGTTCCTTATCCCATGCACTGGAGCAATGTGTAAACCCTTCGAAATCGATCAAACAGTTGATGCAGTCCGAGAACTATGCGCCGGGGTCGGAGTTAGCCTTACTATCACGACAACGTGGAGTACAACCCAATCATCCACAACAGCCCCGCCTTCGCATCGCCCGTCGGAGACGGCAAGCTCTTCAGAATCATTGATTACACCGGCTACTACGAACCCCATCTCCAAAGCTACGCCAAGCGACACCTCTACAGCTGAAACCCAAGGAGAAGCGGCAGGCGGCTCCAAGTTAAGTGCTGGAGCTATTGCTGGAGTTACTATTGGAGTTACCGTCCTGGTGGTAGCATTAGTAGGATTTCTCTTCATATTATTCCGAAGAAAAGGTAGAAGGCTCCATGTCCCTGTTTTATCGACTAGTCAGAGTCACGAGACCAATAATTGGGGTGGGATTGGGCCAGATAATGACATTCCCGGGCAGCTTAATGAAGTCAAATGAGTTACCACGATAAATTACATTCAAATCGATTTAAATCCGCTTGTTAGACGTGTTTAAGAGTTTATCATTTCGGACAATATCCAATTCATTTGCATCGTCTGTATATTGGGTCCCAGTTATGGGAATTAGTGTTTAATGTAAATTTGATCACACGAAGCTGATCACTTGCAAGGAAATCTAGTTAGCGTTGTGGCCTGTTTTATTATATAGGTTCGGTTATCAAGTCGCTAGTTCTAAGACTTATCATTGCAATATATCAATAGTAATTCTTAGTAGGTAGTAATGGCATATTTTACGTGCACAACGTTACCGACTTTTAAGAATGACTTCTTTTACTACAGCCCATGGATCCAACCTGCTCCTAGGGATTCGAGGCTAACCTTTCCCCAATATCAAAGAATGAGTGAATCTATTTCGAATGCAGCAAAAAATTAAGTTTCTTCGGTAATACTTTAATATGTCCGTATACGAGGCCAGTTTCTCCTTATATATTGGTCTTGGATCGAAACATGATGTTATTTCATAGTAGCATTGAATCTTCAACCAGCTTCCAAACTATAGGGTGTTTTTCGCCGTGGGCTCCCTAACAGTATTGTCGGTTCTCAATAGCGCTACTGAGTAATTCTGATAATAGCGCGATCTAGTAGAGCTCTTCAGGAAACATAGCCACCTGACGGTCGTGTTGGTCGCGAGACTGGATTCGAGGCTAGCGAGACGGGAGCATTTATACATAGTAACATATTAGTCTTGTATTAAAACGCTTCGGCACACTGTAACATATAACTTGCCAGGTTTAGGATTTTATAGCTCGCTAGTTGGTTGGTTGCAATCTTGAAAAACTCCGGGTTAGCTTCACCCGCCACCCATGTTCGAAAGCATCCATTTACTAATACGGAGCCATGGCGCATTGCGCTGTACAAGAGTATCCGTGAAGCTAATTATGATATTACTATCGACTTAATCATTGCGCCCAGCAATTTCGCAACGTTTTTCCCCGCTTAAGCCCCAAATATGAAACATTCTTCGGGGTAAATCCACAGAACTGTTCCGGGGTCTCCCTTATCAAGAATCCGGGGCCCCCTCAGCGCCCAAAATCCTATAAGATTATAACAGAAGATTGTTTATAATATACTGGTTGTTTTTGTAGTATTTAAAGCCCAACTGGAATTCTGATGTTGTTAGGTGCCTATTCAGCTACTAACCCGCCCAACAAATAACCTACGTAGTTACTGGCATACTTATCTGTTTACTTACTCAGTTATTGGCTCATTGGCTGAGTTGATAGCTGGGTTAATGGGTAGTTGGGTGGGTAGTAGGTATAGCAACAACTGGGTAGGTGGGTTACTGGTTGGGTAACCAGGCCTTCTATATTAAAACTTCAATCTCTCTGAAAATGCTATTTTACTAATAAATCAATAGTAAAACTCTGAATTTTGGTGTTGAGGGGACCCCGGATCCGATAAGGGGACCCCGGAACAATTCCCTAAATCTAATGGAGTCAGAATTAATGCCAAAAGATGTTCGATAGCCTACCAGGAACAAATGTCGATTTCGAATTGCGTCCAGGTTCAAAGTACGTACGAAGTTTCACAGGGCGCAACGCAAGTTCAACAAGGCAACCAACGATGTCTTCAGCCGGTCGATATATACGCTTAAATAGCGCTATAGCTATGTTAATATCGCAGGGAAATAAATCTGAAATGATCAAAGTAGTGTAGTTTGAAGAATTGTGACTATCTTTTAAGTTAAAATATCGGGTATATTCGTTAACTATCTATATTGTCTATATATACGCAAAAAAGCAAGAAAGAACTTTATCGACCCGTATCTCGTCCACATCGTCACCACTAAATTAAATGATAGGTGGAATATAGTAACTGATTCCGAGATATTCCAGCAATATTTACAAGCACAGTTTTGAAAAATATACAGAAATGTTCGAAGTTATGCTTCTACTGAGGTTTGGGTGTCAATTTACCACCAGCGACATCAACCCAGTCAATCTTGGTTTGGTAATCGCCATAGCTTGGAGCTGTTGCCATGTCCTTTGGCAAGCCAACTTCTCCAGCCACAATCTCAATTTTCAAATCTTTGACCTCCTTGAGATCCTCGACGATTGTATCAGTAGCGGTTCTGACCTTTATTTTCAAGTTCTTGAGAAGGTACGGAATGACAACATCGGGGAGAAGGCTTTCAATCTCCTTAGATTCAACCTTTTTCAGAAGAGCGGCAGTCAGAGGAATTGTACCAGTGACAAGGACATCAGGATGTGCGTCGAATCTGGTTAGGACACCATGTGCACCGACGGAATTTGGGTCGGTAATCCACTTTGCAGCATTGTCTGTAGAGGGCTCGCCAAGGAATGCGTTGATACCGAAAGTTCCAACTTCAGCGCCGTTATTAACCTCAATATTGATGATCCAGTCAGTGTACTTGTTAGAATTGTCAACAACAGAGGCAACAGGGTTTGTCTCCTGACGTTTCTGGCGACGGGATCCGTCTCGAGCGTTTTTGATCTCGAAAGCAGGAGTTCGGGAGCCATAAAGCTTGTTAACAGCGACCAATGTATCACGAGCATTGCCGCTGTTTGTTTCAGGGTAGGAGTAACCGAATTGCTTTGGATTCTCGACGTCAGCGCCAGTGAAGAATTCGTTTGCCGATTTCTTGAAGGGATAAAGTGGTGTCCTTTCGTCGACCGCAGCGTTGAATGGCACGGCCCAAGTTCCCATTCTGGTTCTACCAGAGAACTTATAGGCATTTGGGTTCATAGTCTGCCAGATGTTGAATACACGATCAACATTGATGTGGTGAAGCCAAGAGATGGGGTCGAAAGCAGAGTAAACAGGTGGGTTCATGTGTCCAAGCATCGCCCCGTCAACTCCCAAAATCGCACCGCTTCCGAGACCGTCCAGGTTCTGGCCAACGGCCAAGTGGACGCTTCCGTGGATAGCTTCGAAAGATTCGAATCTGAAACCGTTTGCTCGGTCATAGCCAGTGCTAGCCATACTAGTGAAAGTCTTATAGCCGGTCAAAACCTGGTAAACTCTGTTCCTCCAGGTGCCTTCGCTAGCTTTCATAACTTCGTTAATCTGTCTGGTGTGAGTAGCTGGAGTCCCAAACTTTGCGGGGAAGCGAATAGTTTCCGTAACATTTCCCCATGGGTAATTTGTAAACTCTGACAGGTCACTGAAGTTGTAAGCGTACAACGGATTCGGGATACTTTCTCTATCATTTCGGACAGTTTCGATCGGGATAATATTTTGTTGACAGACTTCCTCAGGGATGCTGCCATCCGCAGCCCAGTCCCAGTATGGGAAGCGAAGGCTTGGGAGGACGGCCTTGAATTTTTCTTTCTTTGGGCCTTCCGGGATTCCGTCAACGATATCGCTAGCATGCTTCCACATGATCTGCTCAATAAGAGCCATGTAAGGTCGATGCCACGGAAGGAACAATACGTCCGAATGGGGACAATATCCCCACTCTGGGTTCCCGCCCTCTTTTAGTTCCACACCACCCCTAGAAAAAAAACTAATTAGTAGCTACTCAAGGCTATCAAATTACATTGAAAACATACCATGATTTGAAAGGTGCTCCGTGGATACCGGCAATGCCGTAGTATGAAGTTTCCATATCCTGAGGCTGTTTTTGAAGTCTGTAGAGAGCCATGATGAACAAGCTGAACTGGGTATGGTCTTTGATCAAGTCTCTAATCTCTTTGCGTACGGCGGTTTGTCCGTTCTGAACACCCGTCACAATGATGGGTCCCTTTGGATCGCTGCCATAGGATCCGCGGAAGCCTTCGAGACTCGTAGGGTCATATTCCCCCTCGTCAGCCTTTGGACCTGGAGCATTTGGTCGAGGGTTCGAAGTTCGGGTCCTTGTTGAAGGAGTTGAAGAAGTTGCGCTAGGTCTGGGCGCGACTGTGGCTTTGTTTTGATACTTAACGGATGTCGGCTCATTCGAGTTGGCTCTATAACCTTGGTTATAGTAGTCATTGTTGTCATGGGCATAATAGTCGTTGTATTCGTTCTGGAGTTGATAATCCCGACGGGCCAAGCCGTCCGTGGGAAGAGCACTGGTAATTGTAAAAATGCTTGAAGCAATGAAAGCATATTTGAGTGAGGACCAGCCCGCCATCTTGTGAAATGGAAAAATGTGCGAAGAAAAAATATATGATACAAGAAGATGATTGTGTGTAGTCTCGAGGCCAGCCGATCCTGTTTGTTAATGATGATGATAATGATAAAGAGAAAATAAATTACGATAGCGAATTCAACGTATTTTATAGACCAGCAACCACTAGCAGACACTGAATCTGATGGTTTCTGGAAAACGCGCCAGCCGTCTTAGCGTGGGACGCCATACCGCCACCGAAGCTATAATCAAGACATAAGATAGCTTGTATCAGCCCATAAAACCTTATTTCTTATGCTCGTGAAGTCTCTTCCTTCCTTGTCGGTGATCTGGGCGACTCTATAAAGGCATAGTAAAGCTTCTAGCTGCATTCTAGGTCGTCTGAAGTCGGCCTGAGACCAAACAGGTGGTGGTTCGACGTAGTATTGTCAGTCTCAGGTAGGCGACTAACTGAGGTTGGTCAAGCGGACCCCTTCTTACAGGCCTGATGCGACAGCCTTCCTGCCATTATAAGACTAGCGTCCCTCTAAATTACGGGAACAAGCGCCCTGAGCAAAAAAGAATTCATCCGAGCTTGTTCAAATCTAGTAATATTCCGAAAAGGGACTGGTGCTACAAAAACAACACTCTTTTTTGCAGCGTTTTGCGATCACGATATCAGGCGTGGTATCCGGTACCGATGACCATATTAGACCATATCAGGCCACATAAACGGAACAACTGTTCCACTTACTCTTGATCTTCCATATGTTCAGTTTCAACAGTCGATGATACTCAGGTTCATGGTTTAAATGGTGGCAGTGCCTGTTAAACCTCATTTATTGATTCTAAGACTTAGTACAACGCAACTCCCAGCTTAGACTTGTGTTGCCCGCAGCCTGTAATTTTTGTGTTCCTCAGCCCCGCACAGCTTAGTACTCAGACTTTCTGTCACGGCGCAACTTTCCGATAATGCAATTGTCTCGCATCAAGCTGAGAAGCTAGAAACAAGTCAGCTATCATCTGATACCATGAAGATGGGAATTTCGCAAATATGCATATAACGCTGCTGGATTCGCATAATTGAATTCAATATTCATGAATCCAGCCAGCCGAGTTGATCCTCATTTCTTGCTACCTAGTTACCATGAAAATGTATCACCACCACTCCGCTGGCGTGATCTGAAGGTAGCATCGGTACTTACACATGGCTCTGAGCCCCAGACCTCTGGTGATTTGACACTCGACGCACTTGAGACTTCTCAAGGCAATATTAATGTATTCATTATGGTGGGTTTTTGTGTTGCTCGACAAGAAGTAAAGTTTATATAATTTCTACAGATTTGTATACATAGAGTGATTATACAAACACAATCAACCGAAAAAGTCGAACCAGTATGGCCTTCCTCCGTATGAGAACCTCTCTGGATCACTTCTAGCCACTGGCCATCGGAGAATACCATCTGGCTGGCACGCTGCCCCGCATAGTTGCCTCTTTGTTCTCCCGTTGACATCAGGCAAAGGACCGCCCCAGGGTTTTGGTGAATTCGGAGTGGTACTTGGGTCATGGCGATCGAAGATTATGTATGTTACCGTTTCCTCCTCATTTGTAGCAATGATCAGATCAACATTCGGGTTTCTTACTGTGTTGCCGTACCGGTCGGTCCAACCTTGATTTGAAAGGATACGAAATTCAACGTTTCCCCAGATTCCTGTCATAGTGATTCTGCGTGGGTCATCCGTAAGGACTATTACTATCCCTCGGGCCGACATAGCATACGCGGCAGACATCAAACTGAAATAATAGTATTGGTCGCTAGCCTCATAGAAATCTTGGGGTAAAACCGGTCTGGGATCGGTAATACGGACGTCTCTAAGATACCCGAATGGGCTTAGATCGTAGTAATTAATATAAGGGTCATTAGTGTTGGGGAAGTCGTCGCTATACCAGCCGTCCTAAATTGATCGAAGAGAGTCAGCGTCAGCTGCAATAGCCCTACGAGCCGCGAAGGCTCTATTATAAGCGAATTAAGAGGCTTACCCATATGGTTAGCCAGCCGTTACCGCCCCGGTGCGATGCAACAGTTTGAGCTATCCCCGAAAGGCCGCGCCTCCCAAATATTGCGACGAGCGGCCTAGTATAGAACAGCTGGACATGATTTCCATAATTGACACCTGGGCGGATCCGGTCCATCATCCATGCGACTGAGATATACCGAAGCATAAGCGGAACCCTACCCATCTGCCCTATGATATGACCTGGGAAAGAAGGATCGGGTATAGGGGGGATCGGCGGAATGTTGGGCAGTCCTCGCGGTGCAACATCTGGCTGCGGCATATCGCAAACAGAGTAGATCCTGCCGCAATTTCTATTCTGTGGAGCACAGAACATTGCTGAGGCACTTGGCTTAGAGCATTGTATTGTTGCAGTAGCGCTTGGAGCGGCGGAAGTCACAGTCTGGCTCGGGGCGGAAGTCGCTGACGGGCCAGATGAGCCCTCGCCCCAGCATTCCAAACTTCCACCAGGTCCAGTATTAGGATCATAGCTACACCTTCTTCCAAAAACTCTGTGGTAGGTTACAGCAGTAGGTGGCTTATCTGACCCGATGTCAAACCCGGCCGACAATGCTTTTGACACCGAGATTGGACTGTTATTCTGCTCAAACAAAAATGAGTAGTCAACAGTTTGGCCCTCTCTAACCCCGTAATATCTCCATTGGTATTGTCTTGTGGTAGCACTCCCTAATTGTGATCCGGCGGCTACAACAACGAAAGAATCACCCTGCGTGACGATATTCAGATTACTGCCAGGTATGAACAGAGGAGGGGGGCTTCCGGGTTGTGGAACCGTTGGCGGTGCACCTTGGTCGGCGATACGAGCATCAAAGTCGACAGACCACACCATTGATCCACCCAAACAGAGATCGTTAGCTACGCCGAGCTTCATAGCTATGGTCTCATCGTCGTCATAGCCCATCCATTGGTCGTCCCACTTGAGCTCTTTAATCATCGGACCGGACAGTAGGTTTGGCCTAACGCCTCTACTGTCGATAATATTTTGAATTTCTATTTCCACAAAACCGTTAGCCCATAGTCAGTATATTAGCCTAATTTTCATGTTTCAACGTCTTTCTAGGTTACTACTACAGACTAAAGTAGTAAGCACCTGGAATGGAGTAGGTCATACCTCTAGCGGACATAACACCAGGGAAGTTGGTACAGGCAGCTGCTTTGTTCGGTCCGCTGAATGTACAACCCAGGGTCACTATATCAGTATCACACGATTAGCCAAGCCAAAACGAAACTAATGTTCTATACAGTAGTGACTGGTTTTCGCTGTTACTTACTACAGGATCTATCTGCAACAGTATACCCGCGACCACTAGATTACTTCGTTAGTCTTTCGATCTCCCTATCATCCTTAGAATTGATTGCGATTGGAGGTGACTGACTAATACGCTATTCCAAAATTTATTTTGGCAGGGTTAAGCTTTGCGAACCAAAGTGGTTTTGTGTCATTATAGATCTCCCTAATATCGGTTTGTGGACGAATCTTAGGTCCCAATGTCTATATAAGGCGGAGCGTAAGTTGTTGTTCATATGCCAGTCGAGTCGTTTTCTAAAACGCAACATAATTCGCAAGAATGCTAGAAACATACCGGGTTATTGCCATCCCACGAGCCTATCCAATTTATTAGCTCGAGGCCTGTGAAGATACATATTTTACTAAATTGAATATGAAACTTACCGTGAAGATCATAGGACATGAAGCCAAAATGATCGACATAGGGCTCCATTGATTTTGGATCCATGCCTCGAAGGTACCAGTAATCCGGGGCGCTATGTATTTCAGCGGCGTTAGTATTATAGGACAGGACTACCCCTCAAAACAAAACATCTTGTCGCTCTGGACTTACAGCACGAGACTTATCCCGTATGTAGTGCCAAATGCTGCCCTCATCTCTCTCACGAGACTGACATAGTTTTGAGGATCTGTTGATCTTCCTCCACGCTCTGGTGCAGTAGGATACTCCCAATCAAGATCTGCCCCTTGAAATTTGTATTTTGCCATAAAACTTAAGAGGGATGAGATAAATTTTTGTCTGTTGCCGGCTGTGGCCACCATATCTGACCATGTCGTGTGCGTTGGACCGGGATCCTATAATTTAGAAAATCAGCGAGTCTGATACTACTACGATGATATATTTCGTTTGTGTATTAATACTTACGCTGAAATCAAATCCACCCACGGATATCCATGTTTGTAGTCTGCAAGCTTTTAGTGACTGGGTATATTACCATATGGCTTCATTTTCAGTAGTATACATACGTTGCCGACTTCAGGTTCGTGAATGAATAATAATAGGGCTCATCTGCAGGATCCCAAGGTATAACTTCAAAAGTTGATGGATTGATTGATCTTCGGTATAATATGTTAGTATGTCTGCAATGTAAACTTAAGATTATGACTTACGCAAACGCAAGATTAAGTTGTGTGAAGCCCCTGGTAATAAGTTGATCTGGAACTACTTTGTTGCAAACCCTGCCTCTTATATTCCTGTATTTCCCACCGTATGCGTCAGTTTATATCTTCGTAGGGTTGCTTAATCACACCTGTATAGAATGGTAGATATCATAGTATAGCTGGCTTCACTTACGAAACTTGATAATAACCTATTTTTCTTCCGCCACTGGCAGTTCCGCTCCCTGTTCCACAAGATGGAGGCGGTATCACCTGGCACAGACCATACCCTGCTTGACAAGGTAAGGTATTTCCCTTGGGGTCTGCATTCTTGCAGTGAAGTTCTTCCGTCTTAAATCAAGGTGGATTGTTAGTTATCGGAAGCAAAAGTTTCATAGCGATATCCCGGCAAAGTCAAAGATAAACAAAAATTTTGAGTTAGTCAAGAATCAAAAAAGATGGGAGTGACTTACACCACACCACCCAAAGTAGGAGCAGCATATATCTAATCCACACTTTTGGGAGCCGCCGAGAGAATACTGCCCACACATAGCAACTGCATTACAGTTCGAGTAACATGTTACTGGTGCCGTCGGTCTACAATGACTTGGCGAATATCCACATTTTCCCAGCTATTATTTACCACGGAGTTTTTAGATTAGCTACTTGTTTGTTCCAGTTCTTCCATGTACCCATATAAAAACTTGGTGTTACCAAGTGAAAGATGTCCTTACCGAGTTACAGCAGCTACCATCTGCGCAAGGAGTGCTACTGGTGCACTGTATTGGTCCATTGTCTTGTCGTTTTTGTAAAGAGAATGCGGTAGAGTTCCAATCGTACTCCCTTGGCTCTCTAAACAGGCTTCTCCCGTTGGAGATACCTAAAAAAAGGAGAAAGCAAGCTACAACACTCTTCATGGTGGATGATTGAGTGTTCATCTAAGCGCCAAGTCTGTCGCATCAGCGACAGCTTGTGGAATTTGTCTTGTACTGGCCGTGTGAAACGCAGCCAAATACCCTCAAGGACCGAGGTAAAGTTGTACCGGTGATGGTGACCTCTGAGACGAAATCTGGGACGGACCTCTTTACCATGGCTTTTAAATATCGTGGTCGTTTTATTTCTTGTCCGAACAAATCCGACCATGCGATCATTGTCATCGAGATTTTCGTAACGGTTAATGAATAGCATGCAAAATATCTTTTCGTTAAACCTTGTCAAAACCTATAGATTTTGAAAGCTAGGACATACCGACGCGCCATCGAGGCTCCATCCGTGTGGGTCTTTGCCTCCCATGAGACTCGTTTGCAGGGATATCTATTGTTACTTTCGGCACTTCAGTTAAGAACAAGGAGCAACATGAGACACACCCCAGGCAGGCTATCAGACTGTAAGGAACAATTACGATGTTCCAAACATGGCCAAGGCAAATTTGGCAACTGTCACTGAATAAGCTTTCTTAGTCTGGTGAAGCTTTTTATCATATTTCTTATGGTGCAGGGTGCGTACATGTATGTACAGTCAGCATTTTTATGGGGTCATGGTCTCCTGTCTGTCAACTGAGTTGGACGAAATTTACGCGATCTTATCAGAACTGCCGAGTTTTTGGTTAGCAAAGACCATCCACTGACCCAGAAGAGCTTTGTCAGATATAATAAATATCATGTGACTACCGGCCGAGTGTATCTCCTGGAGAAGGATTCGCGGCTTCTACGGTGAAAATTTAAGTCATTCAAGTGTATTTCTAAGCTGGCGCTGACTTAAGGACCTCAATTAAGCTTTAAGTTATCTTCTATATAGAAGGTCGGCAAGCAAATCCTAGATACATGCTGACATCGGCCAAAACCGACATTAAACAGTTTATCCAAAACCCCCGTCGTAAGGACTCGCTTAATTAGCCTTCCTGTATGCAAACCTATTTACAAGGATATTATGTGGAAACAAATGCCGATAGAAAATCTGACCTATATGTCGGTAAACGGAGTTCAAGGACAAATCCTAACCCTAGCATGAGATCGTCAATATCAAACCATGATGGTATTTTTTTATCGGCTATAGCGGAAGTCGGTCCTCCGAATATATCGATTTTTGTTTTTTCAACCCGGACCTTTCCCTCATCTCGCTGCCTTAAAATTTTTTGATGGCCTTCCCGCAGGCCTGTCTCGAGATTTCTTTAATTGACAAGAAATGCCCGTAGGTGTGAACTCGGTCCATCATTCGAACGAAAAACAAGAAGCTAAAGGTATCATTAAAAGATATCGCAACTAATCAATTAACCATGCTGCTGGACACTTTGCGTTCTAGATCCATTGCACGAGCTCTTAGCTTAAGCTTTGTTTTATTGCAAAGTCTATGTAATGCAGGCAGCTTCGCAATAGATTCAGATTTCGATATTCGTCCGCGGGCTGCTTTGGCCGAACGAGATGTTTCTGCAACACCGTCCTGTGGGTTTTGGGTTACTACAGATAACACCACAACTTGCGCGCAAATTTTGACTACATATAATCTGCAAGCGAGTGCCTTTGTCGCATTGAACCCGTGGGAAGGTGTTTACGACAAGAGCACTACGGTCAATACCACGGGTTGCGGTGGCGTCCTTGCATACGAGACTTATTGCGTAGCACCAGGTTAGTTCGATGAAATCCCTTAAGCCGCCGCATTACCGTGGGTTTACATAGCGCTGATGACATGAATTTGAAGGGGTATCGAACACAATATCTACAGATGGATCATGTGGTCCTAATAATGGTAATGCGGTCTGCCCTGGCTCACCATTCGGTAACTGCTGTAGTGTTTCAGGATGGTACGTACGTCCATATTCCTAATCTTATCTACAGCACAAAATAAATTAACGAAGTTGACTTTGATTAGGTGTGGAAACGGCTAGTAAGTTATTAGGAAGAGAAACTGGAATTGGAGCATATAGACCCTAACACGAAGCTGTTAAGTGCATTCTGTGGCATAGGTAATTGTATTGGAGGAAACTGCGTAAACGGTACTGGATGGAGCACGGATGGCAAGTGCGGAATTAAGCCATTGCAACCTAGATGCGGAGGGCAGTTCGGTGTGTGTTGCTCGAATGCAGGATGGTAAGTACCTTCCAAATTCCCCTTCGAAAGCCATCCATTCGGATATATGTATTAAGAAACAAATCCTAGGTGTGGCAATGGAACTGATTATTGCGCCTGGGATAACTGCGCTGCAGGTGCTTGCTCACCACCACCATACACATCCATCAAACCTACAACAACCGCAGCGCAGCAATGCCAAGCTGGGTCTTGCTGGACATCTTTACCACCTACTGGCCCCGTTGAGGGATCCACAACGACAACTACAACAACGAAAACGTCAACTTCTATCAGGTACCAACTTCATGCAACCCGCTTAACAGAAAGTCATAATAAGGGCACTAACACAGGTTTTAGTAGCACAAAAACCACGAGCACACCTGCCGCAACACCTACTTCCGTAGATGGGTCTTGCGGGGGTACTAGTGGCTATACTTGCGCTGGGACCACATTCGGAAACTGCTGTTCTAGTTCGGGCTTTTGTGGGAAAACTGGTGTTTTCTGTGGAGAAGGATGGTGAGCACGAACCACGCATGTCTTGGACAGCATTGGCAATAGAAAAATCACCTCGGTATGGTAGCAGTCAGCTAACGAGCCGTCTGGTCCCAAACTAGCCAAACGAAATGGAGCTCTGGGTGTCAAACTACCAATATTAGCTCGAATGGTGGTCGATGCGGCGTAATATCTGGGTCTCCCACTTATACTTGCGTTGGAGGTCAATTCGATAATATGTGTTGTTCAGGAAGTGGATATTGGTATGTGATTCCTCTTTCTGAAGAGGGATTTAGACTAACAAAACTTATGATTAGTGGAACTACTACGGGTCATTGTGGAAGCGGTTGGTAAGTGATATCATGATGATTGTTTTGCTTTCAATCCCGGATTTTGTCATGATTGATAAAAACTAATTATGTGCATTATACGTAGCCAACGCAACCACGGCCGCTGCACTTGAAATTTTGATGCAACATAAAATACATTTAGATAGGGATATGGATCCATCAGTACCGTTACGTTGAGTTGGTGTAGTTATGATATTAGGCTTCTCGGTAACGTAACTAGTTAGACTGAACATCCAGGTTTCCGGAATTCCAAGTACCTTTGAGGAGCCAATCCGATAGCAGAATCAAGCACTTAATTAATCCCCAGCGAAAGAGGTATCGTAAAGTAGTTGCATCCTGCTAAGTCATGGCTAGCCCCGAATCCAGGCGCATGATCACGATCACAGCTTAGCTTAGATAAAGTCTAGTCAGGGGTTTCGCTCCGTGCATATGTTGCTCATTCAGCCCCGTTGTGTTTTATGTGTTGCGCCACAGCTCTCCTGTGTTGAGGACATGTTGGGTTTGGTGCAACGCCAAACCAAAAACGGAAAGATAGTTTCTTATATCGACTAAACAGGAAACTTCGAAATCTCTTATTTCGCTCCCCCACACAAGGTGATTGGTTTTGGTTTCGCTCTACGTATCTACTTCTAAGATTCGATCAAGAGGCAGTGATAGTTCCGTAGGCCGGCAGAACCTAGTAGCTTCATAGCCGTGTCGAATCATACTCAAATTTGGTAAGGGACCTAAATTTTGATTTTGTGACACGAAGCTAGCTACAACTGCTAATAATATCTCGGTACGACTGACAAAGTATTGGAATACAAAGTCATTATGTTGTTGCAGAATTGTAAAGTAAATTTGTTATGTCAAATAATTGGTCCCTTCCGTCATTTCTCCTTGAGTCTTACCCCAGTTTTTGGACTCACTCCTCGGCCTCCCCCTTCTCATCCTCAATATCCTCAACTCTCGAATCAGTAGGAAAGTTTTCCAATTCATCCCCAGGAAAAGCTGTGTGGAACTCAAATTGCGGGTCTTGCTGATATTCTTCGGCGCGATTACGCTGGGTAGTCTGGATATCATTGACTATCCTAGCGGTTAAATCCTTAACATCATCGTGGATGAAATCCTTGTCTTTTTGTGGGATTCTTCCAGGTACGGTCACAGCATAAACTTTGCCAGACCCTTCGCGTACCTCGAGAGTTCGTTGCTGAATGAGAAGGTGCTCGCAAACCATGCAAGGCGGGCGGGAAACCCCAATATATGGGTAGGCTAACTGCGGAGATGGCCCAAGATACGCGAGTAAAACGAGCTCCGGATGATAGAAAATTGGGAACGTGGGGTTGTCATCATTCAGGTTTGATAGTAGGCGTCGGCATCGATTTGGGCTGGGTATCATGACGTGGAAGAAGCTAAGAAAACTTTTAACCCTCGCAGAAATCTCATCTTTTGTCAAATGGTTGACATGGAGAAACCTATGAAGGCAACTTTCAAGTTTCTCCCCTGGTCGCCTCCCCGGTGGGTGCTGTTTGACACGGATTACTTTCAAAATTGTTTCTCTTTGAGTTAACTGCTCGGCGTCGATGACGTAGCGAAGAAATTCGTCCGATCGCCGATAAGTTGTAGAGATGAGGGAGCAGCTCTGAAAGAGCTCATTCCCTGTTTTGAATTTGGATTTCTTTCCTTTATTACGGTTGGTCTTGAATTCCACCATTTCTTCTTTGTGCTGATCATTGTCCTGAGGTTCGGGTTTGCTAGTTTTATGTCGAAAGGCTGATAAGATCGATTTGGAATTCGAAAACATTTGCTGCAAGGCTTTTCGGGCTTTCTTTCCAACCGTAAGAGGCTTTTCCTTTGAATTCTGGCTCTCGCGATTGTACTTTTTAATTCGCACGGTTGAAGCCCCAAGGGGCAATACAACCTCTAGGTCGAAACCATTGAGTTGTAGCTCCAAGATTTGCCGGGCATAAACCGCATGCTTCATGACGATTCCGGCATATTCTCGGAAGATCTTCGATTTATTGGTAAATGCGTCGATGTAATCCAGGTAAACGCAGAAAACGCGTAGCATGTTAGTAAGCTCTTCTTCTTTTCCATCAGCCCTCAACTCGTGGACTTTTATTAATGCGAGCCTAGCGTTGGTGAAGGCACAGGTGAAAAGCTCGTGCCAGATGTAAAGATTCTCCGCAGTGAGTACGCGGAGTTCTACCTTTTTTTTTGATTTGAGTCGCGCTTTAACGCTCTCAGAGGAATTTAGAGATTCCAGGCAGACATAAATAAGTCTACTAGCTAGTTGATCGTCTTGTGAAGACTCAGAAGCGGGAAACTCATCGACAAAGTATCTTTCTAGACTACATGGCTGAAGGTCTGCCAGGGCTTCGGGTGTAAAGAATTCCTCTTTGAGTAGCTGGACATCATCTAAAGATCCCTGGAGACGATCAAAGAGATCTGATATTTCCAGTAGGCTGTGCTTAACCTGAGTGATACGAAACTGGCTTTCAATATCCGCTTGTGCATTGAGATCAGGTGCTGCAAGGTACTCATGAGCTAATCGGAAGATGGTAGCTGAATGCCGTTCTACGCGGGCAGCTCGCCATTCAGAATATCTAGGTGGGCCGGTTTTTAGCCCATATTTCGTCTAAACGCACCTTTTAGAGCGCATGGGGGCTAAGGCGCGATGACAGGGAGCTCTCACCCTTGAGGAAATTCGTTTTCGTTAACTGGGCTCACGACACCACCATCTTCTGATGAATTAATAGTCGCTATTAATTGTATCTTGTCTTTAGTTAGCCGAGCTACAGCGATTGCAATAGCTTCATCAGAATCAGATACAAGAAGAGCTGCTAGCTCATCCAGCAACCTTTTCATCGTTGAAAAGCGGTATTTCGTCAGATACCGAGCATTCTTTTGCATTTTTCGGTACTCATCGGCTCTGGCGATGATTCGGCGGTCTATGTTTTTATTGTCAGCTGATAGTTGGTGGAGAAAAGCACAATTTGAGATGTATTCCCGCTCCGCGGCTTGGTCCTTCGGACTCATGGCTGGTGGAGGCATTTTTATGCGCGTGTGAATGGTCTGGCGATTGAATTCGCGAAATTTTTGTGGATGGGTTGGTGATGTGAGTGGAAAGAAAGTGATAAAAGATAGATCTAAAAGTTTAGATCGGGGGCTCGTGAAAAGAAATTCCGAAGGCGACATGCAAATCAAGTAGTCTCGGTTGCCCTCTATGTACGAAAGTTTCGCTACGGCGGCGGTCTGAACGCTCGGATTATGAGATACATCTAGGTGTATCCACCTCAATATGTGGAAATACGAATTTTTCAGGATACGGGAGCGCTCATCATGTTTAGCACTACGCATTAAACACTGCTCCAGGATTTCCTAAGATAGAAATCCTAACAATTTACCTAGTCATTTAATACGGGTCTAGGTATTAGTTTTGTATTTATGAAAGAGGTTTGAGGCGATCTGTATTTTGGTGCTCTAGGCCACCGTAGATTTATATTTTTGATACATTTAGATAGTGTATAAATCTCACTGGTTTGAAATATTGCCTAATTATAATTGAATACATTTGGTTTGGTGTTTTTAGCACCCGTCTAGTTAACAACTAGACTAATTTAATTGCAAGTAGTTTAGAAGGCATAGAAGAAAATCCACCCGTTAAGCCATAGAGAAGACTGGTCGTGGAATCAAAGGGAAACTCATCTTTAAAAATTTTTTAGAGGATACTCGCAGAACTCAAAGAGACTAGTAAATGTGAGGTGTATGTTCATGTGCTAATATGAAGATACTACCATAAACAAAATGTAGTTACCAGCCAATGGTATCGAAGATATGTTGGATTTTGATCTAGGATGCAGGGTTATCCTGTGTAACTACTTAAATCAATGCAATCTCCTAATAAATGATTTCCTGTACTATGTACGGGTAGCAACGTGGTAACCAAGTGGCCTCAAGGCTAATAACCCAGCGTTTGATGAGGAAGCAATCTGCATGCGGTGCTGTGGTCCCAATCGCCAAGACGCCACTATTTATGAAAAAATGCCCGTTTAGGCATCTTTGTTTTTCTTCTACTTCAAGACCCCTTTCCCAATGACCGAATACCTGCCTAGGGCTTCCAGGTCTGGCTAAGAGATAAGCCTGGAGGTAATAAAGTCTTCCTAATGTCGGAAATCTTGAGGATCAGGAGGGGCGGTAGACATTTATCGAGGATAACTTTAGCATTAAATTTAGCTCAAGGAAACCATAACATACGAGGACAAGGTAGAACCCACTAGTCCCAGAAACTTTCTGGTAGGAGTATCACGAGGATGCCTCGTGATAGCGAATATTATAAGATATTGGTGCATCAGCTTCATCCCCGTACCGAAATAAAGTAAACATGGTGCTAAAACTCGGTACGGGTGGCTCTTCTCCAGGTGATACTGGTATAGGTTGATAATGGCGGAGTACTATATATTGATCGTCCCCATCCCACTTAAGACCGCGATTGAGTTCGTGGTCTAACACCATTTTGCATACCGAGGCAGGCTCCGGGACATTCTTTTTGTCGAAAACGTATCTCATTCGCCCCTCACTATACTCATCTTCGCCGTCGTTGTCTTCGCCGTTGTTTTCTCGGCTGTGGCTTTCTTGGCCATCGTTACCTTCGCCTTCACGATTTCCGCTGTTGTTATTTTCACTATCATTATTTCGGTCGCCATTTCCTTCGCCATCGTTACCTTCGTCGTTATGGTCTTCATCGTCGGGAGCGTTAGAGCTTTCGTTATCATGATATTTATAGACGATCTTTTCTCGGACTAAAAATGTTGGCTTCAACCCAACAATCTGCACTTTCCGAACATTTAGATCTTCATCTCCGTCCATTGGAATCTGCTCGTCCTTAATTTGAACTTGCCATAACACAGAGGTTGGCGAAAGGTGGGGGATTAATTTGGCGGCTGAAGTCCTCGTAGCACGCATTTCAGCCGTCGGAAACCGGTAGAATGCATGTTGATCGAGATACTGAATGTTGTACTCCCATTCTGTCGCAAACTCCGTGTCTGGTGGGAAATCATCGTGGTACAGAAATCCACGGTCTTCATCATGCCTAGGCTGCTTTTTATCTACAACAATGCGAGAGAAACGCGTACGATCACCAAAAATTATCATATCTTTAGGGAAGATATCTATCGCTTCTTTCTCTTCATCTTTGGTATCTGCCGGGGAGTACGAAAAAAGGTTCTGGCCTCCACTGGGAAAGCTGAAAAGCCGGCGTGCAATGGAGCATGAGGGTGGACCGCCAAGGTCGGGGTTCCTGTAGGGTGGAATTACGGCTGTCATTTTCATACGATAGGGCTTCCCGTCCATTCTGCAGGCATAACGGCATAGATAACGATCATAGTCATAAAAACAACCCCGTTCCTCGAGGTAACCATCTATGACCGTGTATATATCGCAGCTTTCGTCCAGGGATAGGTAATACGAGAGAGGAAGATGCTTGTCCCAAGTGGCATCACTTGTCCACATGTAGACTAGAAAACCATTCCAAAAGGGATCTAGGCTGTATGAATTCCCGATTATCGGAGCATCCGAATTAATTCCGACTTCCCAGATAGTGTAGTGAGTTAGGAAACTAGCCGAGAAGACTACATGGCTACCGTTTGTGCGGAAAAACTCTGGTGAATTCGATAGTTGTAGGGGCTGCGAAGATCGACCTTTTTCTCGGTTGGTGAAAGAATCCGTTCCGCTATCATTGAGAATTGACACGTATGTGCTATAATCCAAATTCTGCACCGTTGAATTGAAGGATCTTTCAGCGAACGTAATCAAATCTACTAAGCTAATAGTTATTCTGCGACTTGTTAGAATGCTTCTGTTATTGCTGGGAACAACCCGGGTCTCACTTTGTCCTATCTTCCCGATCCTGTATCATCGACGCCATATAACCATCCGCAATCGATATATGTTTAATCTTACCCCGACATTTAATCCTCCGCGCATTGATAACCGTTGTGGGACTAAGTGCAATTGATAGGTCATAAACGTATATTATATCCCGTTCAGCGGTGCCACTCTTTCCTGGACTGAATGCAGCCAAGTACCCATTCGCGTAACAAAATTCGACACGTCCAACTTGAGGAATAACAAATGTCCCAGCCTCGTGAAGGCGACCTTCTTTAATATCTGCCAGATTTCTTTCGAGTGTACTTAAGATTTCCCCGAATCTAGGTGTTCGGGAGTTTGTTGGGCAAGCTCTCCTACGGCTGATTTGTTTGTACTCCTTAGGCCAATTTCCGTCAACGAATCGCCGATAGAGTGGTTCGAGCGAAGGAGATCTGACGAAGTCCCTCCATCGTTTTGATACCTATGGAAGTACCAATTTTAGTTTGAGTGACTGAGCGTGTGCAAGAATTAAGCAAAGCTCACTCGCGTCCATCTAATAAAGCTTCGGTAATCATCTAGATAAGAGAGAATTTCAAGCTGGATATCGACAGGTGATAGTGGAAGAATATCCTTATGCATTTTGAACGGTATTATTAATATCGAGATGAGGTTGAATGCTGAAGTAATTTGGTTTGGGTAAAGAGGGGGCATAAATAGAAATCAAGCCAACTGCGACTGCTGTTGCATCAATCGCAAGCAGGTGGCAGAGTAACGTCTTCCGTGTGGCAGAGTTAAGGAGGATGCAGGAATGTGGCAAGTGATCCGAATCCGGCATGTTTGGTGATAAGTCTGGCAGGGATACCCTTGCCATCTGAAAGTCTGTCGTTCTTGGCTCATCGTGTTGCACCAGAATCCAACATACTATGTACCCCGCGACCTCGAGCACGGCGTCCCAAATGTGTCAGATGTTTTTATATATATGTCGGGCAGAAAAAGTGGGCCCTCAACCACATTAGTAACCACTCAACCTATTTTGGGCCAGACCAGTTACCCACGCGTTCCGAAGACTCACACATAGGCTGGTATCCCCAGGCCAGCCCGCACGTCTTTAAGCTGGTTCACAGGCTACTAATTCACAGGCTGGCAGTTCATAAACTGGTTCACAAACCAGCCCGCACGTCTTTAAGCTGGTAAACGGGCTGGTAAACAGGCTGGTAGACGGGCTGGTAGACAGGCTGGCAGACAGGCTGGTGGGTAGCCTACCCGCCTACGAACCGGCCCACAACCCAGTAGGCCAGCCAGTAGGCCAGCCAGTAGAGCGTATGGGCGCCTAGTGTAGCCGAAAGTAAGTAGAGTGGTTCCCAAACGTGGTTAGGGGGCCCATTTTTTCATTCAATATATACATAAAAACATCTGACACATTTGGGACACCATACTCGAGCTATCAATATCGATATATCAAACGTAATAATATAATGCATTTTAGTTAGACCTAGTGACAACGATAAATTGTTGCATTGTAGCTACCTAGAAAGCTATTCAAAATTGGCTACAGGTAGCCATTTAACTCTTGGAATCTATTAATACAAATATAGTTATAATAAGTGCTCTTGAAATTTACCGATATACTACCGGCCCATCTACTCCGCGGCTTGTAAATACATGTAAGATTAGAACTACAAATGGCAGGATTCTCTAGAACGTTGAACTCGAAGCTACTAACAGGGATACTGTCTACCTAGCCGAATTTTATTTGACCCGAACACACAGGTAGGCCCCCGCCCACATGTCAGAACAGGCCCTACCGATTGCGGGATTCCAAGTATACAATTGCGTCATCGTAAGCTTCAAAGCTGGCTTTGAGTCAATGATATCCTGACAGATTTGGCCTAATTTGACGTATACCCATTCTTTGCAGCCTTTGATTTGACCCGGCTGAACGGGAGTCGGGGTCGGATTCACTCCAGTTTTTTTGGGCTTGTTGGTAGGGGTTGGGGCAGCATGCGGGACCGACGATACAATATAACGCCGCAAGCAAGTCTTCACATGCATACAACTACCTTTACCGGATAGATTCCAACCGAAAAAGCTCCTGAGAACTGATTTGACACTCTTGTTACGGTTGAAGATAGTCTTTGCTGCCGTTGTCATAGCCTTTGTAGTGGGCGTACCGCCGATAACACCAACACAAATATAGGCCTTTGCCCGCATCCCCGTGCAAGTCTTTCCAACAGCTAGATTCCACTTGAATAAGAGGTCAATGCTAATGCCTGGATATTTTGAAACGATGTTGGGACAGCTTTGCCCCTCTGCAACAAGATGGAATTTGTTACAAGTTTTGATCATGCCGGTTTGGATTGGGCTGGGAGTGGAAACGCCGTTCCCTGTAGTTGTGGGTTTCGTGGGTTTCGCCGTAGTCGTAGTCATTGTGGTGGCCTGCTGGATTCCCACACAGTAATGGGTACCCGGGAGAATAACTTCATCGCATACCCCTTTCTTAAGGGACGGGTTCTAGCAGGTGCAATATGTGTTAGCGAAAGTCTTAGCATCGTGACTATGCAACTTGCACGATTGCTTACCCATTTGATAAAATCATCGACCGTGATATCGTTCAATACGGCCACCGTCGTACAAGTATCACCAAGGAATGTCGTAAACCATTCTTTGCAGCCAGCAATTGCAGATTGGCGAGCTAGAGAAAGTATGAGCATATCAATTTGAAAATACTATATCAAGTAGATTAAGGGTTCCGTACCTTGTAAGTCTCTTGCAGACGGAGGAATGTACGCTTGACAGCTGTTCATGAACCCAATGAGGGCTAACACAAGAAAAGGGATGTGCATGGTTCTGGGGGGGGGTGAAATCTTATTAATCGGTCGACGATAATAGGTATTCTGATTGTTTACTGTAGTTTGGAACGGGGCCAGCTAGTTTCAAAGGTTGTTGATGATGATAATAGTGTGATCAATTTATAGATATATTTTTTCTTTACTTAATAGTGAATCGAAAGTTCTGTCTTGAGTAATCCCGATTTCAATACATCTTTCTAAGGTATATATACACCGTTTCTACAAGAAAAAACAGATATGGCACCTCATCCCCCAATGTGTTAAGGTCGCCAAGCAGCTTTGAAACCCCGTATTCGTATTTTTTGGTTCTGGATGTTTGCGACTCCCGAGATCGAGAGAACCACGGAGTATAGCCCCCTTCCTGGACAGGCTCAGGTAAGAAATACTGTCGATTGAAATATTCCGATTTGTTCGGTATTCGCTTATGATAATGTAGGTATATTTTGACTGGGGCATGGGATCATGGATCCTATCATGACCCCTTTGTAACGCCACTAAAGGCACTACATGCACCCACCTTGTCCATATATCCTAACGTGCCAGGGCGGAAAGCGGACGCCGCCGCTCTAGTATGGTCGATCCTAAGCTAAGACTAGATGACCTCCATCAAGCTCCGCCGCGGCTAGGCAATCGGGATCCTGACCCTGGCGTCAAGTTAAAAACGGAAAACTGTTCGATGAACCTTAAATTTAGAAAGGGACGAAGAGCGGGCACCAATACAAGGGTATTTGGCAAAACTAAATACGATTTCAAGCTGCGGTTTCAAAATTTCAATATCATAACTAGTATACAAAGACCTCTTTTTTTAAAAGCTTGCCTATAGCTGTCGGTATATATAGCTGTACTCAACAGGCGCGCCGTACAGTGGGGGTTGCACGGCGCCGCGTCGCAGACCAACAGCGGCACAGTACGCACATGAGCATCTAAGCTGACACATCGGGCGCCATGGCTAAATTCTATTTTCTTCTTAAAGCTTTTTTATATGACAAGAATAAATGCATATTAATTCGTGTGGCATCTTAGATGGGCTCAGTAGAGTCCAAGTTACTCGTCATACTGCAGCTACTTGTAGCATCTATTTTTCTCGGTATATCCCAACCGAAGGTCTTAAGAGCCTTGCTAATACAATTGGTAAAGGATACTACCCGCGACCACCATGCCGTTTGACAGCATAAAACTTCACTTGGCTGAGTAGTTCGATCTAAATTTACCGACCGGACTATTTAGTAATCAAAAGGCACAGGTATTATCACGTTAAAACTGAATATACATGTACCTAGATTTCTCCATTCAAATGAATTATAGATACGGGAAACTGTCGAGGCGGTTAAATTTTCACTGCGGTTGCCGTAAGTGGCTGAGCTCAGTATCCGAACGAAGTATGAGAATACACAGCGTCGACATCAGCTTTTTTTGCTTCCAGTCGCCCACAGCAATGCCTCTCCTTTATGCCCAGGTCGCACTTTCTCAAGAATAATAAGAAAGAGGAAGAGACTATACGATGTAGCCCCCTTCTATGGTGATTTCTCCTATCTTCGCTTTTTTTTTTTTTTTTTATTTTATTTTATTTTATTTTATTTTATTTTTTTTTGGGGGGGGGTTAGTTTTATCAATAAAGGATCCGAGATCAGATGTTATCCCCGAGGATCGAGAGTTCTAGCGCTGATGAAGAAGCTTAAGAGTGACAACTTTAGGAATAACAAGATACGTAAATGGTACGAACTAGCTATAGCTAAGTTCTATGAGTTTACAACCGGCGTCGAGTGATACGCAACATACACAGTAATTTGCAATATTTGATATATAAGACATTGATAACAATGCAATGAAATACATTCAATTAATTAAATGGATTTGGATATTTGAACATCACGTGATCACGTAATCCGTCCAGATACTATTAAACTATCAAAATTCCCAAACTACTACGCGGTGAAACGTTCGAAGCCCCACCTCTTTGAGGTCAGGATGGGTCCTAGTCCCATTAGTAGACGCGCGTGTGGGGACTTAAAATTCAATTCCCCATATCTGAAAACATATTTAATTTCATATGCGGGTTTTCGTCTAAGCGGCAAAACGTCAGCTTTTGATTGTTTTATCAAGAATGTATTGATAGGGATTCACGTACCGAAAACTGGGTTTGGAAGTTTATAACGACCTCCTGGCGGCCCGACGCATACATTTTGAAGTTCTGCCAACCCTGATGCACAATTCCCAATCAAATAAGGATTCCAGGAAAAGAATAGTTCAGCTGTCGTTCCCGCAGCATGTATGACATCCTCACAGCTTTCTCCCTTATCCACCCTCAAAATCTCGCAATTTAAAGGCGTACATGCCCTATATTTATTTTTGGCCAGTATTCTCCATGGTGTTAGGATATTTGCCCCTGTTAGAGGGATTCCATTAACATGAAGCAACTCCGCTGTGCTCACAATAAGGTTGTTGCTGAGACTCAGTGGAGTATCTGTATCTGAGAAAGTGACTCTTGCGGTGTCTTCGCACGATATCCGTTCTGCAGGAATAGTAGGTGCTTCTTGGGCTGCGCCCGTCGACCACGTTTGCGATAGGAGGCTAGATATTCCTGTCGGTCGCGGAATGGTTTTACTTGCAGGTTTGATAGCGCTCTTGTTGCTCTTAATACACATTTTCCCTAGCGCGACATAGTCGTTTGCCAGTGCCGGCGACCAGTTAGAGGAATGAGTAGTTGCTTGGATTCCCAACCGATCAAAGAAGCATGAAGAACACAAGACTGATTTTGGGTAGGCAGAGAGGAGACCTGTGGTCTCGTGGCTTGGTAAGTCGAAAGGCTGATCCCGTTCCTCGCGTTGCTCAAGGCCATGCAGAGCATTTTTGAAGGAAGGCTCCAGATAGGTATGCCATTTTTCGGCTTCGTGTTGACACCAGTTACCGGAACTCCTGTATTATACCATGTCAGTTACTATTCTAGGCTCTTGAGCAATAGTTTTACAAAAGAAAAAATAAGTAAAGGTAAGGATTCAACGAAAATAAAAGAAATTAGTACTTACTCTTCGTCTGTGGACTTCGTACAAACCATGTCGAGACCGTATCTCAACTTGTCAGTGTCGACACTACCCTTATAGGAATCGTCCCCAATGAAAAACGGCGGGTCATGTTCATCGCAAAATTCCTTGACTTCTGCCGACCAGCTATCAATTGCGTTGGAACATTGTGGTGTGCACAAGGCCGTCAGTTTATCGCTTGTCCATTCGTATTGATAGTAATGGCGAACAAGGCGAATATCTTTGGTACAATCCAAAGTCTTGTTATAAGCGTTAACGCAGTTCTTAATAGATGTATCTTCATTATCAAAAGTTTCCCCAGCGTTGGGTAAGAGGTTCATTAATCCTCTCACGGCATGCACCCGATATAGGATGAAAAGAGAAATAAATTTAAATGGGGGGTAAAGCATTTGGTCGATCTGTGAGATGGGTATACTAAGAAAGATTTTGTATCACCTCCAAATAGAATATCGAACTAGAATATCTGGTTTTATAACGATAGTAGATAGAGTTCTTGATGTTTAAGTCGGTGTGTACGCTCTCTAATACATCATCTATCTTTTCCCTTCCCAAAGCACAGTTTTAACACTGCTGTCATACGAGCTAGATGTCAATAGCCCAAAATAACAATCCGATTAAGATATACTATGATATCTCTAAACGATATGATCATAGCCTCTGGGAGTTTGGAGACAAGCTTCACTTGCCCTGCCATCAAATGCCTGATTGCTATTCGGGATGGAAAATGCTTAGCGCCACGATAACGCCTGGCGGTTCGTTTGCGAGAACAGAGGCTCATAATTAGCATGATCATAAAGTCTCACTTTCTTGCCTTGAATGTGCCGCCGCGCTCAAGACTTGTCGCCAAATTATGACACACGTCTGACCTAACTTATTGTCGTGAAAATATAATACCCCGTCACTGTGAATCCCACTTCTGGCACAGACAAGGCACTTTATACGTGCCATCACCATAAAAAAAAAATCAGAATCTCGTTTCTGTCACTAAGCGGCCCGTTGATCTTTGCCTTCCGACGTCCGTAGCTGCGCAGGGCCTCGCTAAAGCACAGCCATCCGATACTATGTCGTCGAGTATTTGCCGCACCGAACGCCTGGATAAATTCTGTAAATATACTACCGGAAAGCTTATTGGCCTTTTTTTCCGAACGCAGGCCGGCTGAGCAGTCAATGCGAATATAGAAATAAGGTTGTAGCGACGCGGAATCGCATTTCGGCCATGCGCCTAGGCACATTGTTTTAAGTTTCAAAACTCCATGCAGGGTCCTAGCGCCAGGATCTCTGACTTTATAACATGATTCCGATAATTAGGGTACTAATTCATTGTAAAATTCCCTTTTTATTAAAGCATTGGTGGGGCCCAGGCACGGCAATGTAATATCGATAGGGTCGTTTATAACGTTTAGGGATTCGAGGCTAAGCTCCGTGCCGCATTTGCCAAATTTGGCACGCAAAATACCACACAGCCCTGTGTTTCGCCTGGCCACCATGGCCATGGTACCGATCAAGTGGCACATCACAAGAGCTGACTTGCGGGTATACACAAGTCAATGAACGGCAGGGTTATACGGTTAAAAAATTATGCTACTTAGCTCAAGTTATACGATAGCTTTCACGTGCTTGAATATAAGTTAATAGATACCTTTATATATAAGTCCTCAGAGCCGATGCAAATCTAGAATTCATATCATTCAATACCCACCTACTCATATATATGATCATATAAATCAAAACTTCAAATGCTTGCACAATTTATAGTTCAAAATGATTTTCCATAAACTTCTTCCGTTTCTAACCCTCTTATTATACCTTGCAGGTAAAGTACACTCTATGCCAACTTGAGATTGCAGTTGGCCGACCCAATTAATTTCCTTTAGAATAGTAGCTAACATACATCTCTAAAGTGGTGCAAGCACAAGCAAAATGCTCGGCTAAAGTACCATGCAAAGTTGGCTGTTGTAGTAAAGTAGGTTTCAATTCGACCTAATTCTAGTCGTAATACATCTATTTGCTCAGAATTCTGACGAAGAGGCAAATTCTAGTACGGAAACTGTGGCTTTGGCCCTGACTTTTGCGGCACTGGGTGCTTAAACAAGTAAGTTCACAAAAAGCTAGATTGTTATTGGGTTTAACCAACGGCTAATTGGATCAACAGTTGCAATGCCAAAGCAGAATGCGGAAAGGATGCACCAGCTGGCAAAAAGAACTGCCCTCTTGTGAGTGAATGGCAGTCGATACGCGATCGTAGTTTATGACAATAATAATAATTAACTATTCCCTGGCTATATATAGAACGTTTGCTGTTCAAAATACGGATTCTGGTAAATTTATAACAAAGAAACCCCCAATCGTCCATACATAGATAAATAAAAACGGACGTTTTCTTTCATGAACTCGAAGATTCTAACAAGATTCGTCGTCAATAGTGGTCTCACCAAAGATTTTTGCAGCAAATCTGCAGGCTGTCAAAGCAACTGCAGTACTCCAGCACCAAAATGCGCAGCAAACGCTCTCGGACTGAGAAGGGTTGGGTACTACGAATCATGGGCAACCACCCGAAGATGTGCGGCTGTTCCACCTGCGAAAATTCGGACGACAGGCCTCACACATCTCATATATTCTTTCGCTTCTATTGATCCACATAGTTTCCAAATTGCACCAACGAGTACACTAGACGCTCAACTTTTTGGGGACGTGACAGCCCTGAAAAAGACTTCACCGACCCTCAAAGTTTTCATTGCAGTAGGCGGTTGGGCATTTAATGATCCCGGCCCTACTAGAGAAACCTTCTCGAAGATGGTGTCCACGGCTAGAACCAGAAAAATATTCGTCGATAGTGTCGTGTTATTTATTAAGTCATATGGTTTCGACGGTATAGATATCGACTGGGAGTATCCTGGCGCATTGGGTAGGGACCCGAAAAATCAATTCAGCCCAGCTTAGGCCAGTAAAGATCTTGAATTAAGGCTGACACTTCTTAGACCGAGGTGGCAAGCCAGCGGATACCGAGAACTATGTACTGCTCGTGCGCGAAATGAGACAAGCGTTCACAGCAGAAGCAAAAGGATGGGGTGAGTCTCGAACAGGGCCCTTAAACATGTTTTTGCCTGTCCACTGGTCTTCTAACTTTAGTTCTTTTTTAATGTGCAGGTATCTCAATCGCAATACCGGCGTCCTATTGGTACCTTCAGCACTTTAATCTTTCCGCTATGGCGAGATATATCGATTGGTTTAATCTCATGTCCTATGATTTCGTCGGGGCATGGGATGCGACAAATAAATGGACTGGTCCCTACGTCGGAGCACATACAAACTTAACCATGACACAGCAAGCCCTGGACCTAATGTGGAGGAGTAAGATAAGCGGCTCTAAAATAAATATGGGATTAGGATTTTACGGCCGATCATTCACTCTGAAGAGCAAAGCCTGTACTAAACCGGGTTGTCAGTTCTCCAAAGCTGGGAAACCAGGCCGATGTAGCGCCGCAGCCGGAATCTTGATGAACATCGAGATCCAAGATATTCAAAAGAAGAAAAAAACCAAACCGGTTTTCGATAAAGTCGCTGGAGTTAAGTATATGAGCTGGGACGATCAGTGGGTATCGTTTGATGATGCCGAGAGTATAGCCTTCAAGAGGCATTGGGCCGGTACAAAGTGCCTCGGTGGCTTGATGATATGGGCTCTTGACCATGATACGCTAGATAACGTTGGCTTAGCTGCTGCCGTTGGCGTCACTCCCGCAAAGTTTGTGGCGATGGGTAAGTGAAAAGATCAATCACGGGCAATATATATAAGTATGTACAGGTAGTCACCCGCTAACGTCTTGTACCCACCAGCCGCAACGCAGGAACGACCTCCTCGCACAAACTGCTATATCGCTTTCTGTGGAGATAAATGTGTAGCTGGATACTCCGTTTTTGGATATGGATCCGGTAGTTTTAGCTCTACCGATGCTTTGGGCCTACGGGGCTCTTGTGATGGCGGCAAGTTCTCGAGCATCTGCTGCCCCTCCAACAGTATGACAAAAAATCCATTGGATACATGTCGATGGGTTGGAGATGAAGGTTTAGGTAAGATTTCAAAGGATTCGTTGGTCGAGCTGTACTTGGTGGCATGGGATGCTTTGCTGACAACAGTGACTTTCAGTGAGCGTCGTTGGCCCCGGGCCAAGTCGGAAGCGGGCTGGTCCTGCAGCACCAGGTCTTTGCAGAGTCGGCTGTCCCGCCGGGATGACCCAAATAGCTCAGAACACAGTGACTTCCCAGCGCAGAGTCACAAGGTTTGATGAGCAGTGGACTTACGGGTACTGCTTAGAGGGATATGCTAGTGTAAGTCGTATTTGGTCTCTTAACTATAACCGACTTCTTCTCATCACTAAATTTATCCCATTTTAGTACTGCTGTCCAGACTTTACGGTCGATGCGAAGAAGTCGCCCCCGCTTCTATTCTATGAAGACAGAACGTCACTGCGAAAGAGGGGTTTAGAATTTCTACTAGCACCTCTTTTCGGCTATGGAATTATGTTCAAAGAGCTATACATCGACCCGGAGCCTGTTTTCAAGCCTTTGAAAATCGGGATAGATATTGGCGGGAAGGAGGTGGCAGGCTTCCCTGCGCTCCCGACAGATGAGAGACCCTGGGATGAGTTCGCACCTGATCCCAAAGACGCCCCAGGTAGTAGTAGTAGCGAGCAAGACAGGGATAGCACCGGTGACTATAGCCCGCCGGAGTCGGAGTCAGACTCCGAGGATGAATCAGATCCTAATTGGGTTGCTTACCACGTGCGGGATACAGTAGCTGGACGAACATACGGGGGCCATGTCGCCGTTGCATCTCGAAGGCTTATCACCACCAAAGACTTGACTTATATTTGTACCTATACGCACTTTCCCCAGGTTTGCGAGAACATAAGAAGCGCAATACTGGTTCGAGGAGCGCCCGGCGTTGTAAACTACCTTCATAATCTGGGATCACGGGTCGTTCCGAGGAACTGGGCTCGCCAGCACGGAGCGCGAAACAGCCCCCAACCGAACCAGCACCCCAACCCATGGCTGGTTTATACGATTCGTCCACAGCGCAATACCAGAATAGGGGCTAACGGTGCAGTGGTAATACGCACAACTTTCCCTTATTTTCCAACATGTGAGGTGTAAGTAACCTTCCCCATAGTACTTCATCGACGAATAGATGAAATTTTCCAGAATTTAGCTTTCTAACAAAGCAGTATAGTGACGAGTATCCGTTTCACTCCACTTCTCAAAACAATGGCCCAATCGTCATCGGGCGCTTAGTTCCGAAAGAGCAGAACCAGGCCCAAGGTCAAGACTGGCGGAATTTTCTCATAGCAAATAGAGTTTCGTATGTAAAAATATCCTCCAAAGTTACCCTCACTAAGATCACGTTTGATACTCGGCAAATGCTAATGGAACCGTGCTTCACCTAACTAGTCCTGTGGATCGTATCACCATCACCTGGCTGCTCCCTCGTTCGAAACTCAACCCTTACCCTTGGCACTCACGCTACGATCTGGGGCAAAACGGTGGTTGTTTTCCAGCAAAAAATCATGATCCGAACAGCAGGATCTTCGATCCTGTATTTGCTGTCATGACGGATGACCCGTTCGTAGCCTCTGTCGACCAGAAACTAAATTTTGTGGGTGGTTACCATAACACGTATCCTTCCCAAGGCCTCGCCATCGTACCAACACCCACGGACTTGAACTTCCTCCATCTTGGACGGCGAGATATGACGTCCAGTTCTCCCCCAATACCCGTACAGACCAGAAATTTACTACACAGGCGGAATCCGTCACATGAAGTAGAAGGGCAGCCAGTTATGCTGGAGCCTACACGGAGGATTGTCACTGTGCCCGTGATCAGCCCTACTAGCCAACCAACGAATTGAATGTTTATTTCGTGATTGCGAGGATATTTAGGAGACGTCTTTTGTTAATCCAATACCTTATTTTGTTATATAGTACCAGGAGTCATATGTTTTAGCCTTAGTTTTTAGTAGTTTGCCTTTCATTAGATACTATCAACGATTTCCGTCTTCAACCCTCTCACTAGCGGGTAGATTGTCTTGAAGTAGAAATCAGGTTCAAATCGTGATCCTGCACTGATTTGATGTTAGCAATCTTTCGCAATTTAAACCTTCTTCGATACGCTCCCCGGCCCTGGCTGTGGCTGGAATCGAGATGGTTGTTTCTAACGATGAAATGGAGGCTATACACCCAGACTATGTTAGCTTCGTAAACGTATGTGACAATATATCGAGAGTCATGTTGCTAAAGCCGTGGCAAGATGGTCCCAGCGTCTCAAATTCCAATCTAGAACACACCCAGGTAGTCGATGCTGAGTTAAGATGGTCTTTATCTTGGGGCTAGTTCCATTATGAGTCCCCAATAAGGTGGATTTGTTCTCCCTTTAAGCTAGCTTCTTAATCCGCAGCTGAGATAGTCATGCAGACCCAAAGAATTTAAAGAAGACTAATTAGGGCCGAGATTAGCTATATTAGCCCCGGGCCCGGAGCCAGAGAGCCGCCTAAACATCTAGTCCGGTTCATGAATACATAATAGCGCCAACATATTTTAATAAAGGAAACGCATTCGCAAATCCAGCTAAATTTGGAAGTAATAATTTACCGCTGCCCAGGCCTGCCGAAAGCAACTCACACCAGACACTTGATTGCGTTCCCGCTACTGAGCCTTTCGAGGTCTCAACCTTAATTATTCGAAAGATAGGTGGACGAGAATATCGGAAGAAGTGGGAAAGTATGGAGGAGACCTCTCCCTATCAGTGAGATAAAGACTTCTAAGCTTCCATTCTTTGCTACCACAAAAGTCTAGATCAGGAGTGCTAACTTGCTCTGATAGAGTTTCATACCTGGATAGCGCATACCCTCTACGGGAGCTTGAAGATGTGATACCATGCTCTCTTTTCAGCAAAGTGAGGAACTATCTCCTTCAGAAGCCCTTCCCACACCATCGGTCGTATTATGATTCCTTCCAGATATTCGCCGTAAAGGAAATCGAGCTCAGTGGGTTACCGATTGCGCACTTGGTACGGGGTTCAGGTGCCTTTGACGGGACTGCTTGCTTGGGCATCTTTGGGAACTATCCAACATTTCGATCCGACTATCTCGAAGATGGCGAGTGTGCGGATCCAACAAACCCTTGCATGCGCATGCTTCTTCGGAAAGGGTTATTACCAGGCAGGAATGGGATCGATATGTGGGATAGGTGGCATCGGCGAGAATCAACTGCTCTTCGACGTTTTCTTGAGCGAGACCAGGATTTGTGGCGGGGAGTTTCAGAGAATGTTCAAGCACTCCACCGACAATTCGCCGTCGACAGTCTTATCCTCTCAAACCCTAAGGTTGTCTTAGCTGTCGGAGCTGCAGCCCAAAAGTGGATCCACGAGCAAGAACCCAACGTTAAAAGCTTCCTAGTAAAAGGAATTCGCGTCGGGATTCATATAGATGATCATGATTCTATGCCAATCAAAAGAATTGTTATTGGATGCCCTCACCCGGAAACAATGTTTTTCCCAAAGGCGAATTTATTCGGAAGATTAATGGATGAAGCGATAAATTTCGCTGTCGGGTTGGCCGGGCTCACAGCTCTTCCAATACTGAAGGACTATTTCACAATCAAAGGGGAAAATATGGAGCGGCGGCGTCGCTCAACTGAGTCACCTTGGACTTTAACTGGACAGGAAAGCCGCGTGATTCTCGTCGCTCGGATGCGCAACTTCGAAAAAGAGACCAATAACGCCATCCCATTTAGGGATATCCCCGATTCAATTCTTTGGGCGTATGCTTTAAAGAAGGGTATTAAATGTACTGAAGAGGAGATAAAAAATACCCTCGAACCAGGGCAGACGCTATGTGGGGCAATTCTGCGATCATATGCCTCAGCTAGCCATAAAATTATGGAGGAGAGAGGATGGCCGAACTTGAAAGAAGGCACGAGAGTGCAGGCTGCGGGAGGCTGGAAGTCCTTGAAGAAAGCAGCCATGAATTTGAAGGAGGCAACCGCGGTTAAGAGAACAATGGAGGGAAAGTCGATCCGAGGACATCAAAAGAAGAAATGTTCAGTATGTGGTATGATATTCCTGTCGAGGCAAGGCCTCTGGGAGCATAGAAAAAAGACGCATGAGAAAGTAACCTTCAGGTGTTCTGATGTTTCTTGCCATAAGACATATCAAAGTAGAAGTGGGCTTGCAAAGCATAGGAAAACCCGTCACGATATTAATGTTCATCAAGAGTCTCGAATTTAAAACTATAGGACGCCTATTCAAGGGCCCACGGTCCCCTGATGAGTCTATGCATTCTTCTGCAACGGGGTGCTCGCGGCAGACTACTAGCTAGACCATGCTCACAGTGGCCATTTATCTTACAAGTTTAATAAAGCCGGGGGGCCCGGGAATATCACTACTAGGTACCTGGCTCACCGCTGAGAACATAGGACTGACCTTTAATGTGTCTGGATACGAGACGAGACTTACCAGCTTTCTAACGAAACGTACACTTAATTACCTATATACTACTTACACAGGAAGCATATAACGTATTCCACCAGGCTAAGAACTACACCGAGCTACGAGCCAGCCAAATTGGGCTGTGGGACAGGATTGCATGCATGGCTAACCTAGCCTGAGCTGAGCGCGAGCCTGCCTACAGCTATAGAATCAGCAACCTAGTATTGTTCCCAGCAGCAATCCAAGATAACAAATATCCAACTCTCGTCTTTTAAGATCCTATAAACTAAATTGATACTCAACATGATATGTTTACGAGACCCCCCGGATCGAACCCTCTGCTTCCAATACAAATTCTGTAGAACTCACTTGCACTTGTGTTGCTGATGTAGCAATATACATTATGGAATAAATAACAGGCAAGGATTTGGCTGTCTCAAACTAAATTCCGCTAAGGGTTCTTTAACCTAACCGGCGTTTCAATAACAGTAGGCCTACTGGCCCAATGGGTAAGAAAATTCTTCCACATCAAAGACATGAATTTCACTAACATCTCTTATAGCAAGGCGTCTGACTACGATTCAATTCGATATCAGGAGATTGCAGGTTCGATCCCTGCGTAGGTCATCACCAATTCTTTTTTTAGTTTTCCTCTTGGGAAAATATTCTTTTATTGTTTTTTTATTTTTTATCTCTTGATGTTTCCGTCGCCATTGGGGGAGATTCGGAGATGTTTGTTGTATAGACGCCAAATGCATACGCGAGAATGACATATTATCCCGTATAGTTAGAGAAGACCTTTACTCAATTATCTCGTAAACTAGAATTGATTTCTCCTTCAGAATAATAGAACTCGGGGGTATTATTATATTAAGTATATACAATACCTTGAGAGATATTTTGGTTATCTCTTAATATCAAACATGAAGACTAGGCGATATCAAACTTTCGCTGTTATTTTACCTTGGAGTAATGTTCGCATGAGCTGCACCAAAATTAATGTGCGAGGATTGTATGAAATCACTCCAACATTAACCTTTACACATACAGGACAACGGCAAGAGCTAGTTAGATCAAAAAATGTATACGAAACCCGTAGAGGCATTCCGAGATTATTATGAATCCATGCATACTATACTTATTTGTGTAGCCATCGTCTCGTTGCTATTTGTTTTGGGGGGTTTTATTCTCTTTCCTGCCGTGCCAAGTACTCATCCCGCCATACAAAAATTAGGTGTGGTGTCTCGCGTTGTAGGTGTGTCTCGCAACCGATGCCGATGCAATGAAATGCAAAAGCTACCGAATCGAAAAAAAAAAATGTAGTGACCTACGCAGGGATCGAACCTGCAATCTCCTGATATCGAATTGAATCGTAGTCAGACGCCTTGCTGTGAGTTTGTTAGTGAATGTTTCAATCTGATGGAATATGATGATATTGCTTACCCATTGGGCCAGTAGGCCAATTGTTGTTACCGACCTTCAAGTTGTGATTGATATACCATCAAAATCTCTACAAGACAGACGGACCAGCACCGCGGCAATAGCTAGTGCTCATGCTAAGTGGAACTCGATATGTGTACTATAGCTAGGCTGCGAGCAAGAATAGCATAATCCCAATAATAACATCGATCGAGAATACGGGTATTGTACTTGAGGCCTTCAGTTTAGCCAAACGAAGCCCATTTCTAGATCTACCAGCTGCTGCAAAGGACACACATTTGGTGGAAAATTTCGAAAAACTTTGAAGGAAAAATCAAAGATTCCCAGAATGGCTAAATCCCGTTTTTGGACCGGCATCTAAAATGACACACACAACACAACCCGGGTCATAGCGAAAGCCCTGGCAGTCGATAAATATTTCAAGACCCAATGCATTCTCGCAGCCTTTAATTAAACTTTTCGAAGATGAAATCCATATCTTTATTTGCGGCAAACTTAGTCTCGGAGCCGGACAAAGTGTCATAAGTGGCTTCAATTACAACAACCTAAACATCATCTCCCTACAACTCATAATCACAGAAGCCGCTAAAGTCCCATTACCTTGTCTTTCCACTGATTGTTATACTATTAGCGTAGTATTTTATGATTCCTTTCAGAAACGCCTTCACAGAAGATTGATAGAGATTTCTACAAAGTGCTACATCTGAGGAACCTACTTACTAGAACTGTGGTACAAATCCGCTTTGAGATTTATCAATAGACGAATCCACCCAGGTACATATTTGATAGGTTTTAAGCTTTTAAATTATCTTTTGGAGCTTTTGGAACGGCACGCACTTGCGCTATGGCAGGGTTGTTGATCACCCAGTTGCTGGGGCCTTATCGTCGCGTCGCCCACACCGCGATAAGATGGATAGGTGGAACTGGTGTTCGGCAGCTGACTTAGAAACATTGCTTTCAGGCAGTAAGAGCCCTTGCTTCCAGCCTAACCTTTGGGCCATTGCGAGAGTATAGAGGAGATCTGTCCGACGTTCAGAGTTTAATTTGCGGTGAAGTGGTTCATGACGGACCGGAAAAATTCAAGCAGCCTTCGTAACGGATTCCAATGACCACAACACACAACTGCCAGATCGTGAAGACCTATGCTCCGCACTGGGGCTGTAACACAAGGAGACGCCTAGAGATACCATCCCGCTTGAAACACCTCAATTGAAAATAAATGATTAGCGTCTGAATACACTCAAACCTGGTATAAAAATATGTCCACGCGATATCTACTTATAGGCCGCCTGCAGCGGCACTTAAACCCGACTACCAGATCTTTATATTATAATTCTAAGTTATAATAATATTATTACAGTTCTCTACATTATTATAATACTTTTTGATTTTAAACCTGCCCACCTAATTACCAGCGTATCTACCCAACTACCGGCGCACCTACTAGTACGCTACCTACCAGCAAGTGAGCCACCTACCTACCCAACGACTAACATGCCAGCTAATAAACTGCCTACCTACCCAACTACTAGCATGCTAGTTAGTGAACTGCCTACCTACCCATCTGCCAATGTGCCAGTTAGTGAACCGCCTGCTATCTAATAAATCACCTGCCTACCTAACTGTTGGCGTGCCAGTTAATAAACTGCTTACCTACCCAACTGCCCACGTGCTAACTAATGAGCTGCCTGCCAATAAGCTGCCTGCTAGTAAACTGCTCGTTACCTAATAAACCACCTGTTAGTTAATAAGCTACCTACCTACCCAACTAATAAACCACCTACTAGTTAGTAAACTACCTGCCTACCCAGCTAGTAAGCTGCCTATTAGTAAACCACCTGTTGGCTAATAAACTGCTTACTATTTAGTAAACCGTCTACTTATCCAACTACCAGTGTACCTACTAATAAATTAAATAATAAACTACCTACCTAACTAATAAACAACAATAACTAAATAAGCGGCCCACTAGCTAATAAACAGTTCACCAGTTGATATGCCAACAGTTAAGTAAGTAGACAATTCACCAATTGGTATACTGATAGCTGGGTAGGTAGACAATTTACTAAATAATAGATGGTTTACTAACTACCTAAACTTACTAGCAGGCAACTCACTAGCAGGTAGCTTATTAGCTAGTATGTACCTAGGCAGTTGGGTAAATAAGCAGTTCATTAGCTGGTGTGCTAGCAGCTAAATAGGTAAACAGTTTACTAGATAGTAGGCGGTTCACTAGCTAACATGCCGGCAGCTGGGTTGTTGTGTAATCGATTTTAATATTTGCTCTGATTAGCAATTTTTAGAAAGTCTTGGTAAAATAACACATTTTTGGACCACACCAGCCCCCTTCAAGTTACCCAAGTTTGATAAGACTCCTCCTTTGCAGTCGGGCATATCCCGATTTCCGTCTCCCGATCTTAGACGATCTGTGTGAAAATGCAAACGCCACGCTAGATATTATTAGATCAGCGTAAATTTAGAATATCGATGGCTCGACATTTCGAAATTTAATGTTTGATCGATTCCATAATGTAAAACAAGAACTACATTTTCGAAGTTATAGTATCCACAACAGCTTCTTACGACCAGATTAACATATCAACATCTCTTGTTAATACCGAAATCTCCCCAATAACCTATCTTATTATACAATTCCTAGTAACTTAGCCCGAAACTCGAAATTTGGACTTGCGAGTATACCTGAAAACCACTAGAAAAGAACGAAAAATATGTCTTGGAATTTGAGATTGCGAAAAGTCCTGTCGAAAGTAGCGTCAGGCCGCGATATCCGACGAGAGCTAGAAGGATGTGTTACAGTTACATACGTCAAGAACTCGAGGCTTTTCATCATGAAAGTTCCGTTTTCTAATTCTACTACAATTTACGACCTCAAAGAAATGATAGCAGCCCACATGGCTTTGGATAGTACTGAAGACCTGGGAGTAATAATTTTGCCATATGGTTGCAAACAGAATGACCCAAGATTGAAGGACCTAGCAAAATGCGAGTGGGAGAAGGCCAAGGAGCTCATCTTGAACATTCAACCAAAATCTACAATCCGAAGAGACTCACGAATTGGTTATCCAAGGGCTGCGTGTCTTTTCGGGTCTAATTTCACCCTCCGTCAGTTGCTATACCCATGGGATCCTATGGATGTTGAGTTCTTTGTGGGTGCTGAGAACTCTCCCCTGGCTGTTCCCAACGAAAGATCAAACCTGATGACTATGTACCATCAGCTGGAGAGGCTATCGAGCGCATCCGTCATCCGGGGGAGGGGTGGCGGCAGAGATTCTGATGAGCAAAAAGCATTCCGAGCAGCAATAATTTCCCACTACGGCCTTGACCACCCTAACAATCCCAATGTTCCAGACGCGGATAAAAGATATCGATACCAATTAACAGGAATTTATTTTCCTTCCAAAAGGCTGAAAGCCTCACACATCTGTCCAGCTTCCGAAAATGGGATAGCTAGTTTGATTGGCCTCCGTAGCCCAATGGATGTGGGCAACGGCCTACTATTGCATGCTAGCGTTGAAAAACTATTTGATGCCTTCCGCATCACTATCACACCGAGCAAAAACGACATCGGGAAAGAAATATTTATTTTGAGAGTCTTCAGCTCAAGGCTCCTGAACGCCAGAATTTACCCGGCGCAGCAGAGTGCCCGGGGATGCGAAGGTGAAGAGGTACCGCCTCCAATCAGATGGAGGGACCTCGACCGACGTCAAGTCAAGTTTTCGACCCAAAGCGACATCACCCCGCTCAAAAGAGCTTTGCATTGGCATGGCCAGAATGCGCGGTACCATCTTAACCGTTCCAAGTATGGTCAAGAAATCGATCTGTCCTTTTCGACTTTTGCGTCGGATGAGGCGAGAGAATTCGCCCATTTAATATCTTCTGGCCTGTCATCTTTCGGTTCACCATCACAGATCAAAATCCGGCGGTCATGGGTCAGCACTGAGATATCGATCAAGTCAGAAACCCCGCTTCCTCCAGCACTCTACGTTTCACCCCCGCTAGGCTCGAACGAAGCAACCGAAAGCGAAAGAGCAGACGAAAACGCGGTTTGCCCCGCCTCCCATGTAGATTGACGCTTCTTAGGTAGAGTTAATCCGCAATACCTTTCATCCAGTTACCCCATCCATTTGATTGGTTCGGAGCTCCTTTGCGTTCTGGACTCGCAATCCCAATTACAGTGGCCCACTCTGAACCAGTTTCCTTTCCTTCCTCTCATCTTGAATTTGCTTCCTAATACCGCTTAGGATTCTTCTTCCTTCTGCCTAATCCTCTTCTTTGTATATACCTAAACCTTGGGCAGCAAAAAATTACAATTCGTTTCCGTAATGCTTTTTTAACCATGATCTTTCCCCAGATCTATATAGCGATTCAAAATGTTAACAGAGATAGGCATTCGTAAAGACGAGGTATATACTAAAGCTATTAAGTGGCCAATTATGTTCCTCACTCCCTCGAAGATTGTCGATATTTAATATTTCGCTATCAGGAAGAATAACATCTATAACATATACAGGTGCAAGGAAGAAGACAAGTTCAAACCGCAATCGAGCCAAGGAATCTGAAGTTTATAAGTATATACACTTATATTTTCATGCCATAATAAAAATATTGTCTCATAAACTAGACCCTACCTTCACTTGAGTCTGAGTCATATAATGGCAGTCTGGAAGAAAGCTTTCCGAACCATAAAATCAGCTTTTATATACTATCAGAACTTTCCAACCATAAAAAAAAAAAATGATACCTATGTTAAATTCAATATTATCCATAAAAGAAAATATGCAAAATGTAAAAAAAATAATATTAAATAAAAACTAATATTTTAAAAGATCTGAAAGTTTCGCATAATAATCAAACTCATCGAGTCCAAACTATTATGTGCAACTTGGAGATTTTTCAAAAGATCAGTTTATAAATAAAAATAAATTGCACGCACTTTGTATATTTCCTGGTATAAAATATTGAATTTAAGATATGTATATTTTTTTTAGTTAGTGTTAGAAAATCGTGATAGTATATAAAAGCTGATTTTGTAGTTCGGGAAGATATCCCCCCAGAATGCCACCGCGTATACCCGCAATGAACTGCAGACGAGAGAAATTTCGAAACCTGAACAAAGGAAATATTCTCAGAGGGTGCCTTTCTTTTTTTTACCAAAGAATACTCATCTGTGACGAAGATGTGATCAGATTGCCGTTCTCATCAACTAACCCCGCTGCCTCTGCTTCGCGATATCTTTGGGATATCATCTCAAGTTCTTCCTCAGTGGATATGATATCCACCTGCATCCCAGTAACCATTCCAGTTTCTTCCCACTCCATAACAGATCCCCCAAGATCTATATTGCCTAGTATATTGTGCATTCCTTCGCTACATGCCCAGCTATCTAACGCCTGGTAGTAAAGATATTGCTGTAGGTCCGGCGTTGAGAATCGGTTGCAGGATTGAAGAGCTGGTATATTATTCATGTAATTTTTGTGAAGCTGAGACTTTCGGCGAGCGTTGTGCTTGGCCAGCATTTTTCGCCAGTCAGAGGTCATTGAAATTGAATTGGCAATGTTCTTCTTGAATCGTTTGCAGGCATCGGTCAGGACAGGGTTAAGGTACTCGTATAAAACAGGGCCACGTGTATCCGCAACACGACAAAGGCAGTATAAAGCTAGTTCCACGCCCCCCAGGACTGAAGAGCGATATAAGGGTAATGTCCCATAAGCCCGAATTAGCATTTCCAAAGACAAGGTATGCTTCTCGGTCCGGGAGTAAGCAAGGCCCAAGGCAAGTGCACATGCTGAAAGATTCGCACCCCAGACATTAGCCCGATCCTGAGCCACCGTCCCCATCCCCGTTATCTGTTGGACGTCGGCCCCCGAGATGCGTCTCTGAAGTATGTTTGCCAATATTATGTTGTCTTCATCGCGAAGCACCCCGCAGAGACCAACCAATGATGCAAAAACCAATTGAGACCAAGAACTCTTCAGGTCGAGATCCACGTGCCCAAGTCCATCGAAGATTTTCGACTGCAATTTTTGAATGGCTGTGTATTGAGTTTGTGTACGGCGACCTCCCTTTTGTATCATCCAATAAAGTTTCCATATATTTACTCGGATCATGAAAGAGTAATCCCTCCCGTATCGTACTTGTAGCCTCTGTAGTAATAAGTTCCGCTGCGGGCATTCACTTTCCGAGAGTGCGTGGTAACGATCACACCAGCTCAGTCGGTCACAGCCCATTCCGATTGTTTCGAATATTTCGATTGATTTCCCCGCGAAGGGCGAGATATTGTCCCTGAAACGATCGAAGCCGGGTTTGGCCAGCATCTCGAAGGCTCCCTGGAGGCATAGCGCGGTAAAGAAGCTTTGATATCCGTATTCCCGTATAATCCGGGGTAGGTGAACCACACAACGCCGGAAATCTCTGTCGGCTTGATATTCGAGCGAAAACAGGAAAGGGTCATCGGCCGCTGCGCATGCATCCGAAAACAATTTATCAATCGAGGAAACTATGATCCTCCCATTGCTTTTGTTACTCTCGCTCTCTTGTTTATTCGTAAGGGGGCTCGTTTCTGTTCGCAGAATATCCATGCAAACTTTGTAAGGTATAAAAAAGTCGCCGCCACTTTCACATAGCTCCCACACATCCTCGGAAGCTTCCTCGTCTGACATACCCAACTCCCGGCGCATATCCACCTGTGTAACTATCCAAGCGGAATGAGCCTTCCAACCATTAACCCAATCCAAATACTCACTCTCGAATAAACGAGAGTATCGTCGTAGCCGTTCCAAGCTCCAACCTGGTGCCACCATATTAGGAGATCCATGAAATAGCCCATCTTCAGTCTCCGCAAGAACATCGATGTCGGTAACAATTTCGAAATCTTCGTCGTCATAGAAATCATCTTCCTGATTATCCTCAATCCCAAGTTCCTTGATACCGTTGATTATGACTTTCTGAAGGTCTTCATTTGTCTCCTCGGATCGATTTATCACTCCCTCGACGGACTTGTGCATGTGGCCAGTTTGGTCAAATGGAGACGCCTCCTCCTCATCGCCGCGTACGTCGTTATCGATGGCAGCTCCATTCTGGTCATTTTCAATGCCTTCAGCTTGGATATTCCCGATATCGGTGTCGGGGCTCTCGCTAGTGGGGGATGTCCCAGTAGTAGGATTTCTTTCTTCTTCTTCTTCTTCTTCTTCCTCTATACTGTTCGCACTTGGTAGTGGACTAGAAAATTCGATGTCGCCGGGGCTGGGGATCACATCTAAGCGTGAAAAGTTCTTGTCATCAAATAAATTATAAATAGTGATATCATGCTCATCAATAAAAGTGGCGCAAACCTTCGAAGTAGTCTGATTGAAGACTCATTATCTCTTCAATCTCTTCATCTTTCAACATTCTATTGGACCTTCCAAACTTAACTCGAAGATCAGAGTTATTAGTTCGACGCCGTTCGTCGATAGCTCGGCGAATATGAAGCCTTCTCTTTTTCGTCAAATTTTTATGCGATACGCCCCATATCCCAAGGATCCTTTTCAAATTATATGGCCTATAACGATCAATTAGTCCCGTTCAAGTAGACTGGGAGGATGTATACCAAGATATCAATATACTTTATATCAAATCCCTTCTCTTCCTTCAACGCTGCAAGAATAGCTTCCTGTTTTTCTCCGGCCTCATGTTTTTGCAGAATAAATTCTTTGTGGACTTCTATGTCTTTGCGTTTGCAGTAGGCCCGCGCGGGCTTGGCAGCTTGGGATTGGACAATGTTATACTCCATTGCTATAATACTTAGGCTGTAGCATTACTATTTAGAGTATGAAGGCTAGTACTAACTATAATAGTATTATAGCTATGCAAAGAAAATCTTAGGTAGTGCTAAAACCAGAGTTGGAATTGCGATATTTGTTGTGTTATAAAAAATAAAGTCAGCATAGGTAGGGGAGTACGATGATATTTATAACTTTTCGTACAAACACCTAGGTTGGGATGGTCCCATCTTGGAACATGTACATGCATGTCATGGAGGAGTCGATTTCTGTTGTTGCAGGCGGCTTTCCCTCCCCTGATAAGCTATCCACCAATTGCCTTCAACCACCTCAGACAACTTCGTCAATACCTTCCACCTCAAAAAAGTAGACTTTTTTTCAGCCAATCAAACCCCTTCAAAGAAAAGTAGACTTTTTCTTAGCCAATAAAACCCTTGAGCAAACAGCTTACTTTTTCAAAGCAAAGTAGGAATACCCGTCCTCTGCATTCCCCGACTCTCGGAGCGGATAGGCTGCTCTAGCGAGAAAATATGACCTATGTGTTGGCAAAGCCGATATAATAGCCGGGTTGATATATAATATAATATAGTAGGCTCTGGATATCATTGAATCGAGGCCCCTACAAATCAACAGTTTCATTCAGCCTTTGAGCTTTTTAGTACTATGTTATGTTGCAAGTCACCATCTGCAAACTATATGATGACATCTTCGGTTTTCTTAGACCCTAGAGGTCCGCTTTCAACCGTTGCGCTCTTCCGGTTTCGAGAAAGAAAAGATACGACAGATAAAATCTTAAGGATCATTACACGTACGTAACAACTTAAACTTTCCGGTTTACTCTCAGGAGGAAATTCAGAGAACCAACAAAAGATTTCCAAGAATAGGGGAAGCTCATATAGACCACCTAAGTACCAATAGATGATAAGTCGTGCTCATCTTTACCTTTCAACCCATCCTTATTCATACTAGTCTTCCATTCAGATAGTATAAATAAACGCTATGGGCTATTAGCCGGCAGCTTCACCAAGGGTTTACTCTCCATATAACGTAGTTCCTCCTCCTTTAGTTTCAATTAATTTTGGCTTGACGATATATTCCCGTTTTCGTTTTTAAAGATCTTGCAGGGTTGACAAGAACGACCTAACAAAAAAGAAGCGAAGAATTGAAAAGAAAAGATACTACTTAAACAAGAAACAAAAGACTGCAATAAGTTCTATATCAGTTTCCTCTCTCCTACATTCAAGTTCACAACTGTCTGGCCATCAAGAAAGTAAAACTGTGGCCAAGATTAATGATAGAAGGAGGAAGAATGCAGCATCAGCACCGAGGTTAATGAAGATACCAAAAAAATAGCAAGATATCTTCAGGATCTTCGTCTCGGATGTCTATAAGGCTGAAATTCCCTGGCTTGCGTTTAGCCTTTTCTATTGGCCAATATTGGTTAATAAGATTGGAGAGGGACAGTTCTTATTCGAATACCGAGGAAAAAATGCATTTTCGGTACTTTGAGCCGTCAGGCCTATCTCCATGAAGTATACGTATACGGGCAAAGGGCCCTCTCTGGGGGGCGTGGTCATGTTATATCAATAGTCTGGACTGTAGAAGGCGCCATATGTACAGGTTGACTGCATGGCCGGATATTAGCTTAAATTTAAACTTATATAAAGGAAATCATATAAACTGCCATCAATCTAGATACTTTTCGATTTATTCATAGCTTGTATAGTACCTCAATCAAATATATATGCGGAGATCCGGACTACACTTACAGAACCTGCCGAGTAGTCAAACATTTAATTAAAAAGGGCCTAGACTCATGATAGGAGAAATTGATAGACTTGAATGTGCAAGATTCGAGGGGTACATAAAGATATATATATCCAGGTTGCTTAATCCCAGCTTTGCATTGTAGGACTTAACTTATAGAACTGAAAAAAGACTCACCGCGCATTGTGGGATTTGTCCTTCTTCGAGCTGCCCTAAGGCAAAGGGCCAGAACAGAAGAATCCAAGATAAACATAACATCTGGAAGGCTAGTATAAAAGCCTGCATAGCGTTACAACTATTGCTCGGAGTATATGGGTTAATGACTAAAGAGATTTAATTCCGCCAGTTCATGGTTTTCTGGAAGTTTGACCGTCAGGCATGATACTCGGGAGCCAGTTGCTGTGTCATCTATTTAACCTTTTCGCCAAATTCTCCAGCCTCGTAGATCCTCGCTGGAGCAATGATTAATGCGTGAGCTCGTGAGTATCTGGTGATTTGTTTTGTGGGTCGCATGGCGTTGACCATTTCCCGCCCACATGTCATTTTATTGGCTAGCTTTTTATGACACACCAATCGAATGATAGTGCCAAGCCTATTTAATTGCCACCTTGAAGTTTGCAACTAACATTTAATTATATTACAATTGATCATTATTCATGAACATATATTGTATTTACTGTCAATAAGTTGGTGCAGTAAGGCAGCATTTAATCCATGGAAATTCATGTGATCAATATTAAGAGAAATCAAGATTATGGCAAGGTATATGAGGACCTGCGTGAAGGATTGATGTACATGTATGTACCTATACGTATATACTGTGTATATGCATATCGACGCTAACGTCGACGATAAACCCCCCTATTAATATATTCGCAATAACCCTTAAGTATAGAATAGCTACCAATATTGGCTGGAATTCGGAACAGGATTAAGCCATCACTGCGCGCATGTGAGCTTTCTCTTCAAACGATATTCTCGCCCGGGCAAGTTTGAGCGAACTCGATTGGGAAGGGGAGCTCTGAATTTTATCTTATATAAGCATTTACATGTATATTATCATATTAGGTAGTGTCGTAGTCTAGTTCATAGTTAAAGTACCCACGAGACTAGTTGATCGGTATAAATCAAGCCACGCATATATATATGGGCAAAGTCGGCGGCTTGGACTTGAAACTTAATAAATATAATTGTCATAGCCGAGTAATTGGGACCTGGGGTCTAGACTCAAACATTTGAGGGTAGCTATTTAACCCATAAACTTTGAGATCTACTACTTCCATATATCCTTTATAAAAGTATACTAGTAATGTTAAAATTATTATCATTGTATCTGTAATCTTTATCCTTATTTTAAATTGTACAAATTTTCATTTAGCTAGCGTATTATACATGTTATGTAGCCACGTATACGTAAGTGTTTATGATGTATATTGTCCAGAGGTATTTAGTGGAACACGGATCAACTTGTCTGGTACCCAGACCTGGAAGGAATCAACAAATGGCAATAGGTGAGCTACTTTAAATATCTTTGGTACGAAATCTTACTGCTTGTATCAGGCTCAACTCTTATTTAATCAAGTTTCAACTCGTTGTAGACTTTCTCTTGAACAAGAAATCAGTTGGGCTTCCTACAACGGCATTCCTGGTATCATCGCATATCGGCTCAAGATCCCCCGGCGTTAATTTTCTGCGCTCCCTAGCAGATATAGCATCCACACACAAAAACCACTTTCCATTCCTTGATTCCAAAATAGGTTGTGATTTCCGGTTTTTTTGCTTGAGATCAACCCGGCCGCTTTCAATCAGTAGCTTGACCATTTCCCTGCGGTTAGCCTCAGCCGCGATATCTAGTATAGTTCCTTCGTTCTTTTCATCTTCATCCAGGTCATGAATGAAAGGGATTAAGGCTTCCAAGCAAGCGACGTTATTAGCCCAGGCGGCTTCTCTGAGAGGCGGACTATGAATCCCTCTTGACCAAGCGTCTTGAATCCGTTCTGGCCCAACTGCTGAGATCAGACGCAACATTAACTGCCTTATACAAAGTTTCATTGGTTCCCTTCTCTCCCCCTTATTGCCTGCTAGCTTACCGAGTAAAGCCACTCCTAAAAGAACTTTAAAAGAGCTTTTCGACTCTATCGTTTCTCTCAGATCGAGTGAAAATTCTGCAACAGCATATGCCCTCATACTCAGGGCAACTGAGAGTAATGATGATGAGTTTCCAGCGTATAAAAACACCAGAGCCTCGTTTATGTCGCTCATTTCTTGTGGGGAAAGGGCAGCCAGATCTTTAAGCTCATAAAGCGCAGGCATCAGCTTTGCTAGGAATTTCCCGAGGAATAGTTTCTGCTTTTCCAAAAAATTGGATTGTAATCTCGAAGCCGTCGAACAGATCTTACAAAGGGTTTCCCAACGGTTCCCAGGAGTCCGGCTATCTTTGAACCTATTTAGAATGGCCGTACAATACTCGACCTCCTCAAAAATTCTGGCAAATATTTTTTCGGAACCATAACCAATAGCCATACAAATTGTTGATCCAATTGCATGGGTTGAAGGCGTGGAGGGTGAGAGATATCTTAGCAAGTCAAATAGCTGGAGGTCATCGTTTTTGACTGCTTCTTCGATTGGCGAATCACCTATGTAGTAGTCGGAAACACTCCCTGATTTTGGGAAAATGGGACCCCAGGGATTTATAGGAGGCATACTTCGTTTCATAATATACTCGCACACATTCATATGGCCTTTCTTTACCGCAAGGACTATGGGGGCAAGCCCATCTTTCTTTTGTTCTACAAAATGCAGAGATGCTCCAGCCTCATGAAGTGCAATCACGTCATTCAGGTCGCCTCGGGCTGCGGCATTGTGTATGGTGGAGCTTCCGGCATCCTTTCCCTTGGGAAAGAGGACCGGCGGATCGCTGCTATGTAGACGCTTTATATGTTCATTCAGTGACGGCAAAGAGGAAAAACCGGTGATCCGGGCAAAGCACTCCGGCTTAGAACACTTGAATGGCCTATCATGCTCCCGGATATGATGACTCTGTTGCTCTTTGCTACTGAAACCAGAGGAGAATAAGGCGCATCTGATTTTTGGACATTTAAAGCGTATGCATCCGTGGAGCTCATTGAAGACTTTGAGTTGACGTCCGTCTACTTCACTATAGTTGATTGATTCGATTTGGTTTCGGACATTTTTGATCTGCTCTGAGAGAGCAGATCCTTCAGATCCAAGGGCGTATGGTTCCTCCAAAATCGATAGGATATACTCTTTCGTATGATCGTTCAAATTTTCACACTCGAAAGAGCTGTCCGACCGAGCTTTTGGTTGCGATATACGTATTAACAGTTTTGCGCCGTGAATAACCGCAGTTTCGAGGTTAGGCGAAATGTTAGATAATGGGCTAAGAGCTAAGCTTATGTGATGGTGCCAAAATGCGCAAGCATAGTCTTGTAGGGCGTAATAACCGTCTAGAGCTAGCTCATAGACTCTGTTTTCGCCCATTTTTTGTTGGAATGGGGTCGATGTTAGGTATTGTGAAAAGTAGATGGCGGCATTTGCATGTTCTTCAAATAATCGAATTCGATTGCTTTCTTGTAAGTATCTTCTATAAAGTTAGCTATTTATAGATTTTATGCTAATGGTTTCAAAACTTGTAGAGTGACAATATACCTGGTGGCCGTAGGGTGTACTATGCTAACTATTCGTTCAGATTCGGAGTTCTTATTGTTATCGCAAAGTTCCACATCCACTAGAGAGCCACAAATTGATTTAAACGAGTCCAGGATCCTCTCATCGAAATCGCATGTTGCATCCACTGGATTGATACAGAATTTTGCTTGTATCTCCCGCCAGCGTAGTGGCCGCCCTGAGGTTGCTACCCAACCCAAGATGCAAAGTGCGGATGACCTTCGCGCCTCGTGTGCATTGTCAAATATGCGAATGGCAACCCGTTCATAACTGTTCGTCTTGTTAACTTTCAGTACACCCAGTATAAGTGGGGATTTCTTACGCTTGATTGAGCTCCTGAGGGAAATTTTCATTTGACAGCTCTTTCCTGAACTTTGCAACTGATTGCTGGTGGAAGAGATTGTCCAAGACTATCTTGGCATATAAGAACATCCCTGAGCATGAGGCGGGGACGGTTAGCGACGAGATCCCACCGCCGACAGCACAAAGTTGGGTTTTTTTTAAGGAAATTTCACGAACCTTTGGAACTCACTGTGACTTTATCTACTATATCTGTTTCCTCGTCCGCATTTAATCCGAAACGGGATTTGATTTCGGATGCCCGGAAGGAGGCATAGTCTGTGATGTCGGCCTTGTGCTGTTTAGTCCTATCAAGATCGATATCTGGATATACCGACAACGCTGCTTCTATAAACCCGTCCCGTTGCCCTGATATCAAAAATCTAACATGAGAACCATATAATGTAGCGGGCGAGACCACTTCCTGTAGCCATGCTATTACTGGGTGCGCGCTTATCGATTCAGACTCCTCAGATTCGTCAAGAGCATCAAGTACAATCCATATCTTCCCTTGGCGATTAAAACAATGTTTCAATATTTCCTCGAGGAAGGGTTCAGAGATAGCGTCTGGATCTACTACGCTAGCGCATTTTTGATAAACATATTCCAACAATGTGTCGTCTTGGTCAAGTAGCTGCATCAATAATGCACACAGCATCCCACACTTCGTCTTACCAGCCCCTTTATTGTCATTATCATGATGCTTGAAGTAAAAGTACAAGATCGTTCCGTTCCTAGTGTGTCCAGAATTCAACAGATATTCTATTATCGTTGAAACGAGGATGGTCTTGCCTAAAGCGCCGCAGAGTAAGAATTTATAGCAAAGCTTCCATTGTTTTTTAATGTGTTGAGATCTTACCTGAGCCAGGGATACCGTTAATATACAGGATGCTATCGTTTCCTGAATTACCGTTCAGCCATTTTTCGAATTTGGGACTATCAAACACCCAGTTGCCAGAGGAGGATATGGATCGTTTTTTCAGCGCTGTACGATGATCCTCCTGGTAGTTTCGGGAGCGGAGTTTTGTTCTGACAGTTTCTCTCTGCTTGAGGGTACGTTCTTGGAGTTCGTGTTTCTTGGTGATCCCGCTTTGCTGAAGTTTGTTGAGTTTCTCGTTGATCTCTTGGAGCATAGCGGGTATTTTGTCTACAATGGCGTGGGAATCTTGAAGTTCCTCGAGGATAACTGTGAGCTTTTCGTCCGAAAGCAGGTCCCGGTGCCGTTTGAGGCTATCAATAATGGGCTCGAATTTAGTTTTGAAAGTCGGCCAAGCATAATCCAGAAACCTTCTCCAGTCTTTGTATGACCACGAAACATGTCAACGCCTAGACCCTCTGAAGAAAAACGTGAAAATAGCCGCCCGAAACCTACTTGGTTTTGCAAATACCTGTAAAACTTCATGATGAAATTCAAGAATGTCGTAGAAGTAGATTTCTAGAATTCTCCGATAGTCGGGATAATTTTTGAAGAGTCGGTCGTATTTCCCAACACCATGAAGCACATCTCCGATTTCTTGGTATACACCCAGTAAACGCTCTAATGTTTCGATTCTAGTCGAGGCGACCTAATAGCATCCTTGATTTTAGTCCAAATCTGGCTTGTCATCTGAGATTCATGGGTAAACTACCATCAGCGCTAGCTTGATAGGCCCCTTTGTATATATCGCGAAGTTAGCCTAGCTTTATTCATGCATCCTATCGAAAGATCGTGCACGGTTCTGAGATTGACCCGAATCCGACCGTAGCAGTGTTCACTTACCCAGACATATGCCACAACATCAGAAGTGTTGAGAAATATTTGCACCAACTGCTCAACTTGCTTCATACCTTCCAGAAACTTTTTCATTTTGTTGAAGCTCCGTAACTTCTTCTGTGGGCCGAGCTGGTCCTGGAGTTTCCGCATCTCCGCTCTGACATCATCGAGGCTGCTGAACGAGAACTGTTGTCTCTGTTCCGGGGAAAGTCGTTGTCGGAACTTCTCAAGCGACTTCTCGAAACCCTCTCCTACAAAGTTAGCCATCTTTCGGTATGAACCACCGTATTTCTAAGCGTATACGTTCTCAAAATAATGCTTGGAGTTGTGGGCGGTTAATTTAATCGCGTATAGTCGGACGGTATGTTATCCTCCTTTTCAAGTGGAGAATTCTAAAGTATTCCTTCTAGATGGCAATCTTGGGTCCTTCCAGGAAGGCTGGGCTGGCTTCACGCAAGCCTTGTTCATTGTGTCTTCCCGTGGGCCGCAGAAAACGCCCAAGCCTCAGCCTTCCTGCAGCTTCTCTATGAATCCAGACCCGGGCCACTTAAATCAATAGAAAGCTGGCGAGCTACCGAAAAACAATGCCTTGCGTCGAGACTTGTGGGCTATGCAAAAGATTGTTTGAGGCTGTCGGATTTCGATTTTCGCGCCTCGTTAACAGGAAACAACGCTCGCGTAAAGCCCGACCGATTTGGGGGTGGATACAAACATGATGTCCTTACTTACAACTAAATTTCATCTTTAACTTCCCATTGCAAATGTTTTAGCGCTGATAGATCCCTAGTACTAATCTTTAGATCCGTATATCCTTCCTCCAACTGGTGCGAGTCGTTGTATCTCTCGGGCCTTAGCAAATATTAAATGCGTTGGAGCCAACTTATCTTGAACTGAAATTTGCCCGTGGCTAGCGGTCGGAGCGCGCTCATCGAATCGCAGGTGGGATCGCGATGCAGCAAAAAAGGTCGAGAGACGGATCTCCGTTTGCAGATAATGAAATTCAGAGGAAGAGAGTACGATCCGTATCTGATGGAACCAAACCTATGGACTGGGAGGCGAGTCAGCCCAAGGACCAGATCGCAACAGACGCTCAAATCGAGCATGTCCCCCCAAAAAACGTATGCTATGGTGCACTGACCGACGTTAAAGCTGAAGTTACCTACATTAAAATTTCAGATGGCTTAATTCAACCTTGGACGTCTTTCCATAGCTTCGACTTGCGGCATCAAGAAGGCGCGTACCTACTATCAAAGCCTGACAGCACTACTTTTGGACTGATCGATTTTCGTACCGCACTCTGCCTACGCCGGCTTCAAGGCTTCGATGGGGTGTTCTTTCGCGCGGTTATATCTTCTATTAGTTTTGGGAAGATCCCTCGGAAGCCAACAAAGAAGAAGACCCGAATTGACATAACAATAAATATCGTCGGACCAGAAGGCACCATCCATAAAGTGGGAGATGCGCTCGATAACGCTCATGCATACCTTCAACATCCCGTATTCCTAGAATCTGGGACTAAATACTTGAATCCCCATTATCTTTATGATGGTGATATTATGTCAGACCTAAGGCACCTCATCGGGCCGATGCCTGCCGATGAAAGGTTGCAGCGAATGTCGCAAGCGGTGGAGAATGTTTTGGAATCATTGGGAGAGGCCCACCTTCCCGTATCCCACACAACCGACGTGGAGTCGATAGGAAATTTTCACCTAATTGGTACCAAACTAAAGCCGTGAGTAGATCTGTCGGTATGGCGAATACAATTTCGACTAATATTTCATAGCCACCAAATTGAAGGCATCCGTTTTATCCTTTGCCGTGAAGACTCAGCTCTATCACATACGATAGATAGTGAGTTCCTACAACTAGTTGAAACATCGTTAGTGTAAATTTGGTATCCCATATAGCCACTTTCTTTGCGTTAACGTATCTCTTTCTAGTCTAGTGCCACAGCGCTTAGGCGCATGTCGTGGCGGTATTATCGCAGACGCTATGGGCTTGGGGAAAACATTAACAATGTTGACTGCTATTACATGCTCGAGGCAAGCAGCTGGGGAGAATCTTGGTCCAACACTAGTGGTGCTCCCTTCGAGACGTAAGCTTTCCAATCTTAAAGTTTCTTCCCCTCACTAAAAATGGCCATAGAGATATTGGATGTGTGGGATTCAGAGATCCATAGGTAGCAGCCTCCGCACCAATATCGCAAGAACTGAAAGTATGTATTTGTCCATGACTCTAATAATTCTATCTAGACGTTTCCAGCCCGGCGCAATGAAATGTTATCATTTCCATGGCGACTCACGCGTCAAAAAAAATGATGCTTTATTGGGATACGACGTAGTTTTGACCACGTATCACACTCTTGCTGCTGATTCACAAAAAGGTCGGGTTCTTCAAGATTCCAACTGGCTAAGAGTTGTGCTTGACGAAGGTGAGTTACGAACTCCGATCAACTGACCGGAATTAAGGTCTTCGTTTACAATTTCTGTTCGTTAATTTATATTTGTCTACAGCACACTGGATTCGGAATCAGTCAACCCAGTTGTTCAAAGCTGCTCAAAGTCTTAGGGCCGAGACCAGATGGTGTTTAACTGGGACACCGATCCAAAATAGTTTACATGACCTCAGATCACTTTTAAAATTCCTTCGCTTCACTCCTTTCTGTGACAAAGGATTATTTGAGAAGCATATCATCGACCCACTTCGAACCGACTCCGACACTTCCTTAGTCAATCTGCAATACCTCCTTCGGATTATCTGTCTGCGTAGAAGTAGCTCTCTTCTAGAACTTCCGCCATTAGAAATGAAGATAATACCCGTTGCACTTTGCGCAGAGGAACAAGCAAAATATGAGAGCATTCTTGCAGACTGCCAGAATGAATTCGACAAATTAGTCTGCATGGATCAAAAATCAAAAACTTGCGTGCTATTTGCCACAATGATGAAACTAAGAAGGCTTTGCAATCACGGGACGGTTCCACTAATAGCTGATTTCAGTCGCTCTCCTGCCATGTCCCCAGGGCGCGATGTCCCTACAAGCGACGGATGCCAGCTCTGCACTATAAATGGATCCGACACACAAGCCATGCTAAACGAGCTTGAAGGTTGCCCGGAGTGTGGTCGGCTGCTAAACATCGACATAATTCCTAATCTCGGGGTCGTATCAGAATATAACCCCGTCGTATCTGCGAATCTGCGCCCTCCAGCTCCTGATTTTGGAATGCTATCGCCCCCAACTTCTGAACAGTTTTTTCCAGCCGGAACACAGTATCTAGCAGAGCCAGGATACTCTTCTAAGCTCAGCGCCGTTGTTTCCAACATCAAAGAATCGTCTTGTTCTGGATCGAAGAGGTAAAGCAAATCCAAACGTGCCCCATTTATGAATCTCGAATTAACCATGGAAAAATGTATCTAGCCTTGCTTTTACAAAGTGGCGTTCAACACTGGAAATACTTGGCGAAATGTTTTCGAACGTCGGAATCAAGTTTCTAAGAATAGATGGAGGCACAAACGCAATCAATAGAAGCTCGATTGTAAAACGGTTTCAAGAGGACGCAAGTATATCTGTGCTGATTATGACTATAGATTCATGCGCTGTTGGGTGAGATCGAACCTCCATATACAGACCGTAAACTCATTCTCTAACTGCTTTTTAGTTTGACATTAACAAACGCGGACAAAGTCCATATGATTGAGCCACAGTGGAACCCCGCGATAGAGGAGCAGGCTATCGCAAGGGCCTATAGGATGGGGCAAAAAAAAACCGTTACCGTAATCAGATATATTACAGAGAAAACAGTCGAACAGGTTTGTGATCCAGGTCGGAAATTAATCTTCAATTGGAAATAGGTTAATTTCCATGTTTTAAATTATAGAATATTGTTGCCCTACAAGCGAGGAAGAGTCGCCTTGCAAAGTTTTCTCTGAGCGATACAGCGGATGGTGATCTTGGAGGAGCCTTAGAGGTAATACCAACCTGCATAAAGACTCTGCTGGGCTAATTAATTGACATAACCGACTTTTTTAACAGGACATGAAGTTTGTGTTGAACCCGGAGTTTTAAAGTATCGATACGTATCACGATGTTGAAAGGTGAAGCTGGTCAGCTCTAGTCGATCTCGTACCCAGAAACGTCAGCTCTGAGTATCCCAAAGGTCCTTCTTGCGGAATCATGCACTCTAGGTCCTCGACTCGGCATCATACGATATAGCGAATCGCTTGAGGGACGTCAATATCGATATATCCCAATTGCCCTGCTGCATTGACAGAGTCCATGTCTACCAGCGCCAATATCCGCCAAGGCCTTGTGTCGGAATATCACACCTACAACACAAACATACCCGTCAATTATACGAGTCCAGAAGAACAAGACTAGTTTAGGTCCCTTTAGCTTATGTGACCATAAGGGATTACCTTCAGATCCAGAGACTACAGTTACGCACTGGACACGAAGATGCATAGTATGCAACATACTAAATATGGTGTCTTGCGACACACATTGTCCTTTTACGCTTACTCACACCTCATAACATAAGATATATTATATTGCGCAACGCTGCTCACCGATCTATATTATTTGCAAACTGCTTTAGCAGGAATAATACATAAAAATTTCAAAAAAAGTAAGCTTGTTTAAGAAAAAATAAAAGTTGAAATAGAAAATGAATTGTTTATTTGGGAATTTGGTCAAAATTTCCTAGAATTAGAATAGTCTACCGCCAGCGGTTTAGCCAGCAGTTTAATGAGTTCTACAGCGAGTCCCAATCTTACGCATTGTATACATGCGTTCTCTCTCAGTCTCTTCTGCTAAAGCAGTCAGGCAAATCCTGTTATAAATGATCTTAGCCATGCCTATGAAATACATCAGGTATAGCAGGTCTCGAGCGCACCCGCAGGTCACCTTGATCGGGTTTAAAAATCCCTTTGCGAGGCAATGCGACAAAGATTTGCACAGTAACTAACCAAATAGTGCGATTTTAATCAACCATCCCTTTATAGTTTCATAATTTTAGAGAAGGTAATCCATATAGCTTTTGATAAAGAATCGTTAAAACAGGTTAGCCGGCAGCCAGGCCTAGGCGGGCCTATTACAGGAGATATTGCTTAGAAGTGTTCGATCTGGTGAGAGAATTGAGCAATGTTTTAAATAGTTCTAGCCGATCAAAATATTTCACAGAACCTTTTCAATCTCCCCAAAAAGAATGTAATTTGTGTAGACCCAACCCAGGAAAGGAAAATGCAATGTTCAATACTTCTCCAAATCGGCATGCATGCCTCTTAACTCAACGTTTCCTAATTAACACTTGGGAACGAGACTAATTAAAACCTAACTACAAGTCGAAGCAAACTAAATATGCATTAAGCATTGTTTAACATCCCTTATGGTAACAATAGTTGAAGGTAACTCTGCATGACCCCCAGAACCAAACCGTTCCGCACTTTTTACAGCCGCCGAGCGAATAGATTGATTTACCCCTAGGCCGATTATATCAGCAAGATTATTGAATACCACAAATAAATACGAGGATATTCCCACTACGATTTAAAACACATACCTTTCTCGAATCGATTGTCCAGTAGAGACCCCATATTCTGCAGCGGAAATGTAATCCTTTTTCTTCCCGCAGGCGTATTCAACAAAACAGCTGCCGAGCCTTGCGCCGCCGTTATCTTGAAATTGACGAACTTGTCCACGATACGTGACAGCAGGGTTGAATTTGGCAAGTGCTTGTAGACATGATTCGGGGTTGATGTGAATGCCACAGACTCCTGACCCCTTACAATCCCAACTATCTCTTCTCTCGAGCTGGGATCTAGTTTCAAGAGCAAGGTTTAAGCTGGTGTCCCTTGTATCGTTGGGAAGAGAAGTTGGCAAGCTCAGTGTGTCTTGTACAAGAAAAATAAACAAGAGAAGAAAGGCTTGGGTAAAAGCGAAGAGCTTCATGTTGCTACTCGTATAGTAGGGTAATTGTATATTTGAAAAAGGATTTAGATTATAATTAGGCTTCAAATAGAAAAATGTGTGTTTCGGGGTGGAAGCGTTGGATGGCTGATATTTTTTGATAAACAAAAGATATTTTTCTAGCGGCATCTCCGTCAATTTATACTTTGGACAAACCTAGATAAAATGGTCTAGATACCTACTTGTGTGAACATCGGGCAGGTATCATGAATGAAGTCTCGTCTCGGGCTGGACGCGATAGAAACCTAGGCTAATTGAGTTTTCATATTTCGTCCTAGGCCTCGTAAACCAGGAGCTCAATAGACCATACACTTACAACGCCTCCAGCCACTCACAGGCACGTGCACGACCACTTCCATCTTTTCATTTCACATTTCCTTACCTTTCACTAGCATGCTACAATACCAAGGCGTGAGATTTCGGTGCGAGCGTAAAATCATTCCACCCAGATATAGTCAAAGCTGCAAGCTATTGACACTTTTAGGGGTGGTCAAAATACCAATCTCCAACAAAAACGCGACGCTGTGTGACATGTGTTAATGTGCAGGGCAATCGTATCCGAAACGCTAGCCGTCGTTGTGAGCGAACGGATCCATTATTAATATTATTGCGGCGACTCCCTAATATCCGGCGCCCGGATTAATCATCGCAAACCACTCCTAGGAAAAAATGAAGTAATCAAGTTAAAGTTTTAGACTTTGGCCTTGTGCTGCGTCGGCTAAATTCCCGAGTCTTCGCTTCTACCCACATGCACCTACGAGGATCTATGTTTGCAATTGGGTGTTGTGTCGTGGTCGCAACGACGCTGCCACAACAGCACTTGAGCATTCGCTGCCCAGGCCGCCCTCAGCGAATATGAAAATTGCACAGCCAGAATCCTTTAATCTTGGAGTTACCTAATTGTAAATTCGGATATGACCCGAGTATCTATTCGCACTTGTAGATTAATTATAATTAAAACAGGCCTCCGCGAGAAGGAAACGTTGATCCACGTTAATTGGCGGGATACCTTCGCGATGATGATGAATACATCTCCATTGACGATAATATTGACAGTGCCGATGTGAGGTTAGCTCCTGGAGGATAATTGATGCAATCATGACAATACTGTCTATCATCATCACGAATAGAGTTATAAATTGACACGATAGCCCTCTTCACGGTTAATGGTTTTTTTCTTAACCATCATCAACAGTCCTCGCCCTGAAAAAAAGCTACGAAATAAATCTTAGTTATCTACCAGCAAAGCGATTGTTCCAAAATGTTCGGCCTCAACCTCTTAAAAATATTCATTCTTTTGTCTTCCATTCAAGTATTTATGATTCCTGGGGTGCTGTGCTTACCACGCTCCACATCGCAACCATCAAGTCCTGGAACAGCGGCTTCGAGTTCAAATCCCGCCCTAGAAGTCAGGGGTAATCTCGAAAAACGAGACAGCTGGGACTGTAAAGGGTCCAGTAGCTGCGGCATGGTAAAGGCGAAAGCCTGCATCGAGGCCCTAGAAGCTTTCCTGTATTCGAACAAGAACATCCGCTCGTGGGATAAGGTCTGGGGTCCGATAAGGCATTGGCGGAGCTACGACAGCTATAATACTGGTAAATGCCTTGCCATGTATACGTGTGGAGATTCTCGAGATTATGAATCAGCAGCGAGGGCTGGTGTTGCAACCATTGGCAATCTTATTGCAAAGTATGTATTCAAACTAATTAACTAATTAACTCCACCACCGGATAGGTTACTAACCCAAAATAGGGGTCGATCAATTTACGACGAAGACTTGGGCAATTGTAAGCGTTGTGGGTCGGTTTGGTTTTGGGGATCATGCAGAGTTACTTTCAACTACTGCCATAACAACTGTGCCGGCACCTAAGAGCCTTATATACCGCCTGATCATATAACTGAGAGTGGTGGTAGGTGTGACGGAGCGGGGTAGAACACAAGAGCGTCGAAAATACAGGTGGTGGGCAGATTGCGGGTGTGCAAGTGTGCTCTCATGATTGAAGGTGGACTATATTTTGCATGTCGTCTAGCTGCCCGTCATGCTCCTTAAGTTTTATTAGATTATATAGTACGATAGCATTGCAAGTAATCTATTAATATTTTGAAACACAATCGCGCGCTCCTAACTTCGCATTTTCGATGATGTGAGACTCGCCTGCAGTAAAATACACACGCATATGCGCATAGAATTGACATTAGCCATGATATAACCAGAGATAAGCCGCCGGCGTGCCAGGGGAGGAATTCAATCGAACATTTGAACCTTTGAAAGCTCGTGGGCTGAGGAATCGGCAACGCCCAGCTATCTTGGCGATACATTTGCAGGGTTTGGTTAACGAGAACACATAAGCAACCTCACCTGCACGAGGAACGCTAGCATAGTTCCAGCGATGTATGCATGTAAATACTTACGATACATTCACATATATTTAGTACCTCAAGGCAGAGGTCGTTGCCACATGCGTACATCGAGGTTCGATACATCCGGGCCGTGTCGATGGTATTAATGGAGCTAAAATCTCACAGCAGACTTTCGACAATAATATGGTGGATGCGATATCAATAGTGGACTGGGGCATACGCAGATGCAAGAATTTTGTGCAGCAGGGTGTCTAATAATATATGGATGGTGAAGATGTGTTGTGAGCCTGTCAATTTGGAATTGCATTTAAATGCGTAATCTCGACACTAACCAGGTTAGCTCAGATACTTACGAAAGGTTGTTTTGTGGCGGGGCTAGTTAGTAATTGCGGTGCGGGGTTCTCTTAAGCTCTCAGGAATATATTAAAGGTATATTATATTGCTGGATCTCTTCGGCCTTGGTCTGTCGCTCGGGTTTTGAATCCGCATAGAAATTTCAATAGAAGAACGAATTCAGCGTTGAATCCATCATGTCTTCAGACCATAAATACGAACATCTACCATGGAATACCAACGCAAATTTAAACGATAACTATTCCGACGATACAATATTCCAAAAAGGATTGACTAGCGGCGCCTTACACGCACATCCATGGTCAAGTTCAAACACACTGGCGGACCAGACCAATAGGATACCAGACCAAATCGGTATATCCCACACGCAGAGGAAGCCGGTGCCGAGCTTGCAAGTATCGGTACGTATATCAATGGATTCGAGGTTACCTAGGTATTTAGGATAATATAAATTGCTGACCATGATATGTATTGCAAGTACACTCAACCAAAACCTGGGCCGCAAGTGGTTAGCACTCATGTAGATCCCACAATTAACAAGGTTAGTTAATCTTATATCTGCATGTCAAAAGATACCGACGCGGTTAAGTTGGGCGGGAGTTCTTTAGATCTAACATTTCTAAATTACTGAGCAGCCTCCTAGTAATGGAAACCAAGGCCAACCCCTGGACCGCTTTCTTCTTCGGGCGGTACTTTCCATTGTGATCCCGCTCACTTTAGTATCATATTATACGCTCACATATCTAAGATGGCTGAGATACTCAGAAGAAAGTGGAGAAGCATGGGTCATCAGGGGCTACTTGGACAATGCTGAACTTGTCAACTATTCGTGGTTCGTGTTGGCAACCTTCGGTCTAAATTTGGGGACGTATTGTATATCTGGATCGGTCGCTTCGATGACTATGGCAAAGTGGTGGTCGCCTGCAAACTCTAGAATGTAAGACCTACGAGCGATTTTGGATAAATAGAGCGCGATAACTAATGCATAACTCCTAGATTACTAGAGCTGGCAGCTAATAGTTTCGCGGACCCGAGCAATTGGATCAAAAATATCTTTTTAATGATTAAAAAAAGATCTTTCCTTGGGCAAAGTAACGGCCGACTCTGGAACATGTTAACCTTTCTGAACATGATTGGATTCATCGCTTGGCCGTTGACCGGTCTGACCATGCAAACAGTCGACGGATTTGCAATCGATTTTAAGAACGGTCCAACCGGTGGGAATGTTCTCGGTAGAAATGAGACAAGCTTTAAGTAAGTAGAACAACTGTGCGCGATAATTCGATAATGATCAAATACCATATCACGGATTAAATATTTCTCGTACTAATTACCATACTTAATATTAATCTAGTCAGAGATCCGGACAAGACTTTTTAGATCGCGAGACTAACGGTAGAACATCTGGTATCGCCGGACAATTGCCTCGAGGACAGCTCTATACTAAAGCAGGATCTAGAGCTCCTCTAAATGTGACGACACGGAATATGATGCCTGATGACGCAACGACTCCAATATTTCTAACATCGCAAGCCGACTATCCTTTTGTGGCTAATAGAGTCTTCGGATTACTTGTCAGCTACAACTGCACCGTGGTAAAATCTGCGGATGAGTTTACTATCTTAAATCAACGACGAAATTTGTCCGACATTATGAATACGAACCCAACAGGCAACGTCGTGCTTGACCCAACCGACGAAGAAAATAATACAATAGTAACCTTGCTTAGGAGGAATATGACGAGACTTAGCCAACCATACGTAAATGCCACCATGGAGGTCGGAACCAGTATACCATGGATAAATTTTACACAAACAAATAAGTACACTTATCCAGCCTACTCCGCTATAGATGAGTTTCCTGGAATCAACAAGCCCGTACTGTTGGAGGTCGCTTTGTGGCAAGCAATACCGGAGAACCGGGTACTTGGATATTACGGCTATGTAAATATTACCGTCCGCGGCGTCGAAAAGAATGAACTTCAGGATTTACGCGGCATATATCCAAACCAAACAGCAGTTGGCTGCCGGTGTTTTGCCAGTTCAGATGTTGGATTTGCAGATGTGGATGGAATTACGGCATCTTATTCCAATTTTACTTCCGCAGATCCAAGACTTCGGGGTGGTGACCTCTCTAGCACTTACATTACTCCCTTACGGTTTGAACACGGAGTCGCAAATCGAGTGGTATCTGCCAAATATTGGACCATTAACGGCATTCCTATTTCTATGGAGTATGGGCCAGGGACTCCTCTTTTCACCGACTGGTACTATAACTTATTAACCAGTACGGGGTTTTATTGGAGGGAGTTGCGTAACACAGACCGGGGGGACGAGTACTTGAGCAGTGTCATTCAAGCAGACGATTTAAGATCGACGTTGCTGAGAATACACCATTCATACGCTTTACAGCTGATGTACGATGGTACTGTGGATACATCACTGAGTTGGTCTAATCCCAACATCACGCTTGCAACTCCAGGAAAGGTCCTCGTGCGGGGGGTTGTCCCTCCTGAAGTTATTTTGGCTATGCTCGCTTCGTGGACCTTGGGAATCGTTACTCTTGCTGCTATATACCAATTCCGACGCCGATGGACGCAGAAATTGAATACGTTCAATATGTTTATTTTGGGGTTGAATATAAATGACTCGGTTGGTATAGAACCTGAGGATCTAGTGAGAGGCAATAAAAAGAATTTGGAGAAGCTGCCTGGGACGATTGGCGATTTGAATGCGGGAGGATCAGTTGGAGTTATTGGCCTTACGAGAGGGGTTGGAACAGTGGCGAGGAGAAATAAACCCTATTAGCTCTTCGGTGGTCTTGCATATTTTGTATTTGATTGTTGCTGCCTAGCTTCTAGATCATGTTTACAGCATATAGTACATTTTTACATCATATTCTCTTTGCTCGCGAGTTATATTTCCTATCATAGGACTAGCTATTTGATGTCCAGAATTTCCCGACTAGTGCCAACGCTTAAATGGAGTAACTTCTCAGTATGCTGTGTACTTTACAAATTTATTGGAAAATTATAAATGCGCGATAACTAATACCATAAAGGGGCTACTAGTATACCATAGCATAAGAAGCCCTAGAATTGTGCTCGCTGAGACGATGAAAAGTATTCTGGATTTAAAACAAGACGACGCTTTACCCCTAGATTTCGAAAGCGTAACCAGCTCTTTTAGCGTAACTAAATTGATATCACTAACCCAACCTTTATATGCCTCCGAAATTCCATTGATTGGTGTGGGGTTATGTCATGGAGCCGAGCAAACTACCACAGATTCGTTAATACCAGCTTTTTATTCTGCTCGCTGATGCTGAACTGTGGCGCTAGGCTGTGGGTGGCTAAGTGTGTCATCCTTCATTAAGAGGTATAACGCTACTTCAGGTGTTCGGTACCAAAATAGTATTTGTTTAATACTGGTGACAACCTCTTCTAAGGACCGTAGAGGGCCTCCTTCTAGAGAGTTGAACAATAACATCTCGTCCCAGGAGAATAATGGATCGACAAATTCCGATTTCATCCAGTGTTCGAATCCGCTTCTGAATTCAGTGAGGTCATTGAATGTGAAGATTTTTGGGCCCGGCTGTTCAATGGAGGGAGAGTTCGCTCCCTTCGACGGCCTACGAACACTAATATCATACCTCTTCTTCCGGGTTTCTTGTTCTGTCACCTTAGGCGGCTCGTCTAGCACTACAAGATCACCACGATGGTTAGTTAGAGAAACCGAAATGTCCGATTGATTGGTCTGAGAAGGAAGATCCATATGTACCAAGTACTGGTGTCCCAACTTTTTGATCAATATCGGGATCCGAGTCTACAATATTATGTAGGCTAGCCGTCTCGATCTCTAACTCGCACAGTGTCACAGACCCCCACTCCCTAGCGAGCGATCCGATATCGTTGTATGAACTCTGAAGTACTTCCTGGGTTTGAGGCCAGTCAAATAGCAAAGATGAACCCTGTGGCCGATTGAGGGTGTCCAGGAAAGGGGCGTCGCCTTCAACGATAGTGACAGGATCGGATGGAGCCTTTTTTTGGTTGTATTCAGTTTGATCGCTAGAATTACCAAAAATTATATCTTCTGGCTGAGGCCTCAATGGGGCTGCGCTCGGACTCGTAGTTCCTGAATTTTCCGTCGGCTTTGAGAGTATCTCGCCCATAGACAAGTTGTCTAATATTTGTCTAGTCTCAGCTGCTAAACCGGCAATAATTATAGAGAATAACGACACCTAGATCTAACAGATCAGGTGAGCACCTAAAGGGATACTTATGCTTACAAGGATCTGGGTAGATTCTCTGCCACTCAGGATTACAATAGGCGAAAAGATCGGACCATGATTTCGAGGTTTTAATAACCGGAGGTAACGCGCCTCCGAAATGATTTCGCTTAAGATGCTCCCTAGGAAAAAGTTAGCTAGCTCATTCTTAGAAATCAGTTTTGTTGATTTTGAGGCGAAATCTTACTTGATTCCTGATAGATTTCTGCGACTGATAAAGATACAACGCGGATAGGTAGTAGGATCACCTTTCGCGAACGGGCACGTAAGCATAGGGTGCGGGCCTTTAGGATGTGATAACTTGAGGCGCTTCCCAGCGCCCGAGCTGACGGTTATTATCGTTAGTCAAAAAATCTAGCTTTATATTGTGGAAGAGCAATTGGAACTCTCAACCATACTTTACCCTATCCAAGTCTCTTGAAACCAGATCTTGGTATTCATTATAGACGTCAGAACTTTCGTTTGCGAATGGAAACTCTAGCGACGTATAGATAGAGCTATTGGAATGTTGAATTCCAACTTCTACCGATACTTCGTTTCGAGTTTCAACACCCGAATTCTGCTGAGGCCCAACCCTTGGTCCAATTGTAGTATCTTTAAGATGGTACAGTTTACTACGTGCAAAATGCTGTAAAACTAGATCGTCGGTGGGATTGTAGTTTTGAACCATAAAATAGTATCGATTGACTGTACGGCCGGGGCCTGCTGGCTCGCGATCGGGTGATTGGTAGTGTGTGTTCGCGGCGTTAGAACTTATATCTGTAATTGCGTTATCATCGTAAAATATAAGTTCTTCTCTTTCAACGTCGGTTAGCAACTGGCCCCTTGAATCAGTTTGTGAGCCTTCCTTCGTCCTTCGTCTCTTGGACTGGCTCTCAGAATCAGTGTTATCTGGAACTATATTTAGTTCTATGGTACAAAGGCTTGCTAAGTAGTGCAAATGGCCTCCAATATGGTCCGCCAGTGGCGAGTTTTGGAGGTTAGATACGAGACCACTAATCACTACTTCACATAAGGGACAAGTTCCAACTTCCCTTCGAATAGTCCTTTGTTTACGAACTGCGAGGGCGGTGATTTGATTCGCCGAAAAGTGTCGTTTAGGTTTTCCTTCTAAGTGCTCCTCAAAGTCTTTCAGCTGATAAAAAACCTTCTCGTCGAGCCGGCAGTCATCGATATCACAGCACCAGGCGATTGAATGAACTGTCCGGGGCCAATCCTCGGAGTGTTGACTAACCATATGCTTTTCCCAACTATCAAATTTTGAAAAAAACTGGAGAGGATCGTTACAAGCTTCAGATATACAGACGAATGGCTTGATATCATCGTCGTAATGATTTCTAACGACATTGGTGGCATTAGCTCCAGCAGGTCTCCCATTAAATAAAATATATAGAATGATGAAACTAGGGCCGTGATTTATACAAACCTCCAGTACTGTGGGCTTGAACCCGCACCCATCTTGCCTCCAGACCACTGTGGACTTAGCTTCTTTGTAGCTAGCGTCTGGAAACAATAAGGGCAAATGCAGAATTCGTCATCCTTAGAAAATGTTGGGATAGAAGGATAGACGCCTTGGTCATTGCGCAACCCCACGCCCGCGCGAGTGCTAGTAATAGACGACGAGGCCCGCCATCTCGGAGTAGCTTTATTCAAAAGAAGCCGAGAGGCCTCAGTATTTGAATAAGCAAAGGATAAGCCGGCCTTTCTTAGGGGAAGTTGAGTTTCAGTCTGTATTGAGCGCTCGACCCCGGTGGCGTGCTTTGCCGAAGCTGTCTCAATATTTTGAGGTGAATTAGATCCAGTGAAAGCTGAGGGTATGATATGATCACGGTTCTGGCTTAATTTCTGGGCATGTCTAGCCTTATAGAGTAGCAAGTTTTGACGCCGTGACATTGAGGTGGCGAGTTGATCAATGAGTGACTCAGCCGCAGATGGGAATCTATATTTCAATAACCGTTTCATATAATCGAGATAATTAGGATCGTATAATTTTGCGCCTTTGAAAAGCCTAGCGGAAAGATCGAATTGAGAATTTGGTATAGAAGCCCGCCGAATAGATGATGCGAGCTGATGGAGGCATTCAAGAGCTCTATTCAATGCCCCATGTTGGCTAACGATGTTCTGGACCTCTCGATCTTTGGTTTTAATTTGGCTATTCTCATCGACTTGATCATCGCTTTCAATCGTACACGGTTCTACACCCCTCCTATTAGTATTAACGTCTTGAGTCTTCAGCCCGATATTGATGTCAGATACAGTAGTACCAACTCTCCAATATATTAGAATTCTAGAGGTAGCGGTCTAGTCGGACAAGAACAGCGCGCTAGTAGCTCCAATATGTTGAACAATAGCGCGAACCACTTTATCCCGCTGGCATATTCCAGATCGGTGAACTTAGTAGAGTCCAGCAAACGGACCATTTAGGATAAAGTTGAAATTTTGGATTAAATCAAATGAACATTGTGCACGCGACTTCGATCTTACCATCTTTTAAACAATCCTGAATCAAGAAGAGCAATTCAACTATCGCTAGGAGGATATGTCCGTGATCTCTCAACCGATGGTCAAGCGATGCTTCCGACGGAGCCAAGGCCCCGGTAGTCGCTATCCAAACTCTAAAACTGTCGTATTGTTTTCTGATGAATTCGTGACACGAATGTTGTTCTTGCGGGGCCCCGCTCTCTAGTAGGTGAAGGAATTTCCCTTTGCACGCCTTCGTAAGCTCATATATTTCGTCCTGGTTGTAATTCTTTCGAGGCTCCATTGCTGACAGTCGAAGCTCTGTGGGCCCAAAACTGTAATAGAAGGGCCAATTAATAAGATTCACAAGACTGCAAATTTATATTGGATATACTGCGACCACGGCCGCCGGCCTGCCGCGAGTACGAGTAGTAACGTCGTTACGGAACGATCGAAAGAGAAAATGGAAATACACACAATCACTTCGAATAATCGAACCTCGCAGACTCTCAAACTCTAATTTGCGCCAGGTTGACGCCTTCAGATTATCACGCAAAAGTCGTGTGTACCTCCACACTGGGTGTTCTTCGTGTGTTCCGCTGGAGTTCGATCCGGAGGGAACACTACGCGCTTCAGTAGTATTGTAGATCCGAAAATCTGCAGCATGGACTATAAAGGTGGCAGATACAACAGTACTGTGTACAACTTCGTAGCTGAAGTGGTATAGTCTTTTTGTGTAGGATGGAAGTTGGATAATTTTTCTGCGGGGTTGTGGTGATTGTAATCCGACACCTATCGCCATAAACACTGGAAGGGGAAACTATTGATTATTCAAACAGTGTTTTTTGAGTACGTAGGTTAGGTAAATCCCACAGAGAACGCCAATATCAGTGTAAGCCTAGCAGGTGGCATGCAGGGCGTTGGAACCGCGCAAGGCTGAAGGGTTCGCGCAGATGCCCCACATTAATTAATTGAACAGTTAACAGTAGCTTCATATACTCCTTTAACTTAAGAACTTCCCCAAAGCCTAAGGAATCGTCGATCCCCACCAGTACACGTACAAGTTGTCTCGAAAGTAAAGGAGGTGTATGATCCCGAAAGAAGCGAAGTCACAAGCAACAGAGGCATGGTCCAGTTCGTGGCTTAAAGCCGGATGCGTCGACACGTCGATACCTGGCCTCTATACATCTCCTCAGCCTTTAATTCTAACAGCATCACAACACAAGCTTAAGGTTCATCCTCCCACAATACTAGGTATTGATCCATTAGCATACAAAGCACTATCAACTACTAGGATACCGGGCCGTGCTATGCACTGATCATGGATTCTTCACACCTTACCTCAGATATTCAAATTCTATGGCGCCTCCTCGAATCAGTGATTACGCCATTTATCGCCAACCTTCCATACTATCAATCCACTAACACAAATACCACAACCCAGCGGACTATAGCTTTCTTGCGCTGTGCTCTGGAATGGGTGGGAAGCAACCTCCGATCCGAAATATATTTCCCACATCTGCAAGACCTGCCTAAAGAAAGCGGATTGGATATTTATGAAGCATTCTGGGACGCTCTTGAGGCCCTGGAGCAGTCAATTAGCGGGACAATCCCACACCGCCAAAGTAGCCTGGAAGGCGATGAGACGGTGACATCCTCACCGACTTCTAAATTCCCCTGCCTATCAGCTCTACAAACTCCCATACTCCAGAGTGATGGAACTGGCCTTCCAAACCAGCCCGGAATTCGTCCTCAGGCAAATGATTATAATTTCCAAGGGTTAGAAGAGCACCAGCTTTGTGTATCTTGCGTGCGCCTGGATACCCTACGGGAGACAATATCAACGATATTCCCTAAAATTTTATTTGAACCACATGAAACTTCCCTAGAAGATAGTATTACCGCCGCAAAGTTAGCACGGGACTTTGGGAAATCCGCCGAGGCTATTTTTAGGGTAATAGCAAGTCAAATGGATAAGCACTGTAATAAAGGGCGTGACGGATTTATAAGGGTTCCAGTCGCCAAGACATCACATATCGAAATGCTGCTACCGGTATGCGCCAATGCTTTAGCCGGCCACTTACATCCCACATCTTGCTCTCTTCCATTGTAAATATCACTTCCCCGTATATCTGGTATCTCTGGCTTTATTCTGACATGATATCCTATTCGATTTCCGTAGATACTCGGATCTAGACAGAAACCAAAGAATTGACTCGAGCCAAGATAGCAAGATTCTAATTTGCGAAAGTATTCGAAGATCGAAAAAAATGCGACAGAGACTAGCCCTTCAACTTCGAGATGAACTTTTGTGGGAACAGGATTCCGACAATAAACGCTGCGTTATGTCCAAGCAAAGCTGCTTAGAAGCATTTATTTGGGGCCAGAAAGAGTCAGCAGAGGGCGACAATAATACAACGTTTACACACCAGACTCGTGCAGAAATTCCTGTTTTACTGGCTCGTTCGATGCTCCATCTTTACAATACTCAATGGTTTCAGCACCTGTGGGACATGGACCGACTAATATTATGCAATGAGGTACATCAAATACCCTCTGGCCAGTACTCACACCCATACCTCGCAAGTACTCTATCGATGGCTGGCGGTACCGTGAATCCTACAAATCTATTCGTACCTGAAGAGGATAGTTGTGACCCATTATACCGCCATGCACTTGTATTGGGTTTTGGTTTAAGACTACTGGAAATCGAGAGTGGGACACGCTTTCCTCCTACCGACGATGACATTGATCCTGAACACGAGGAAAAAGGCGCCCTCCCTTATCTGACGCTACAACGCGCTCTAAGTGAGCTTGAAGGCAAAGGCCAGGTTGAAGATGACTATTTGAAAATCGCCAAGGCGTGCCTAGGGTTCCACGCTACTTTGAAGCAGAAACGTTTTTGTGACGTCGATCCTAGCATCCGAGAACTTGTCGCCATTCATAATATTGTTTTTTCGCCACTGCTACAGCTTTTAGCTCAGAAGTTTAGGGGGGCTGCAGCCGACCTCCTCGAACTAGAGGCGGGGATTAGAAATATGAGGCTTAAGGTTCTGCTTAACATATGAGATTATCCCGTACTTGCAAGCGATAGCTAACCAATGGAGACAGAGTGAAAAATCTAACCACAAGAAGGCAGAAAGCTGTACACTTATGAAACCACCCCCACGTCCACCTGCCATGAAGATGGCTGCCCCGGAAGCTCCTCGGCTACCGGACAGCGACTACGGCTGCGAAAATGTCATAGGCGAGTATGTACAATCCGAATTCTAAGTTCATTTAAACAGTAACCACTATATATTGAAACTAGCGACAGGGCATTTAAAAGCTTAACCGACGGTCAATGGAACAGCCTGCAGTCTACCTCACTCCTAGAGGCTAATTTTTGCATTGATAAGAGAGACAATAATGTTCAATCGGTCGTGCAACTAAGCACCACTGGTTTGGAAGTCAATGCCGAACTTTGGGTCCGAGATAACGATATCAAAAAGCCCAACGCCCAGCCCCAAACGGAAGGAGGTACCATGGCATATGAGTATGTTTTCCAAATCAAAGCCTCCCACGTGTGATTACTTGAACCGATCAATCTGGGAAATTGACCTTAAATTTTCTTAACAGGGCTAGTGAGCGTTCCTATGACAATTGGTGGCAAAGATTAGACACACTCAACGGGTTATTACGCGCGCGGAGTGTCGAGAAGGATACTAGTTATAACCACCAAAAGGTCAAAATCGCAGTATTAGATACCGGAATTTCCCCAAAGCACCCCTACGCCGACGAAATGGCGGAGGGTATGTACAAAGATTTTGTAGACAATAATTGTGCACGAAAACAAGATACGAATGGGCATGGCACAGAAACACTGAATCTTATTTTCAAGGCCTTCGAAACCCCAGAAGTCTATGTCGCTCGTGTTTTCAGGAATCAAGAGGCTGACTTAAACACACCGGAACATGTCGCCAAGGTGAATCTCCACCAAAGAGACGTAATATCTCCTGACCTTTGTTGGTAGGCACACTGACAAACTCAATACTCTTAGGCTATCGAGTGGGCCCAGCAGAAAAAAGTCGATATCATCGTCATGGCTCTTGGATTCCCCCGATCCGATGAATCAATAGAAAATGCCATCAATATAGCTGCAGCGGAGCATATATTGTTTTTCGCAGCAGCAGGGAACTGGGGTGGACAAGACAAGGTAGCATTTCCAGCTCGATTGGACAATGTCATATGTTTCTTTTCCACAACTCCCGAGAACAAAAACTTGAGCAGTATAAACCCCCCTCACAACCACCGAAAGGCACATAATTTCGCGATCCTTGGGGAGGAAATCAAGGTACCTACAGTATCCGGACAGCCAGTACGAACCATCAGAGGAACCTCGATTTCATGCGCTATTGCGGCTGGAGTAGCTGGTAGCCTACTTGACTTCTCACGGCAACCGATTTGTCGTGATGATCACCGCCTCCGTAATCTCAAGCGGAGGCGCGAGATGAGCGCCGTGTTTGAGGAGCTATCGAAAGATTCGAGAGACGGCAAATATGACTGCGTTGCTCCTTGGAAGTTGTTGGAGGGTACACAGGGTAATCCCGACCGCGAATCAAAGAGAAGAAAGATTTGTGATAGCTTGTCAAGAGCAGTAGAAAACTGTCAGTAGCATTGGAAGGCACTCACTTATGTCTGGAAATTTTGAAAATACCTAGCAGACATATTAGATGCTTCCCGTGGTTACATGCATATGTGAATAAACTGTGCTCGCAGAGTTTGACAATGCGTGGTTTATCCAATGATAGAAGTCTTCATGAATAACACAATCAGTTCACTTGCTCCATGTAGATGTATATAAACACTATATTTCCGGTATAAATCCTTTTAATCAAGGGCCAGCTCCCCAAGGACCCTTGTCTTTAATTAATTCCAACCCACAGGAAATCATCTGGATAGTTGCTTAGTCTTGAAGAATTTCAAATAATTTGATTCATGCAGTATGAATATCAACAAAACCATCAGATGCAGATATCAGAATTGTGCAACGAAATCAGTGAAGTCTTGAAGTACAGCGTGGAAGCTCTTCTATATCGATATATCGACGCATTTTTAGTTGGAATCGGCGACATCCTGACCAAAGAGAATAAAGGCTGAATCCAGACTATCATCCTGAACCACTCGAAACTTGTCCGATCGTGATCCCTCAGCGGTCACGACGGCTTCAATATCAATCTTCTCCCTTTCTTCAGAGAAGAGAGCTGGCTGGCCGAAGAAAGACTCGCGCCCGAATATTGTTTTCATCGACCAGTTTCTTTGAAGACCACCCTTGGAAATCTTTGCAAGCCTAAGGGCCCAGACAAAGTCAGTGGTATGAGTTACTTCAAGGTTTGTTTCCTTCGAATCCGAGACTGTGACCTCCGGCCCAACTTCTAGCAATGTCGGAAAGGACCTAAAGGTATGCGCCCGCGTAAGTAATCACTATAACAATTGCATAAATGTATAGGTTGAAAGTGAACAACAAGGATAGTTTGGATTAACGTAAAAGTTCAAACCCGAAACAGTGAAGCAATTTGCCATCTTGTGGTTATGTGCTAACATGAAGGCATTGGAACAAGAAGACTCACATATTTATGCCAGCGGAGACCTCATGGCCACTAGCTTCAGCAGTGGTGTTTTTACCACCACCGCGGGCCACAATAAGGCCAGTTATCATAAAAAAGGACCAATACCCTAGTTTCTGAACTTCTTCCACGTACTGGGCGAGCTCTTCCGTTTCCAAACAGTCGTTCACGTATGATGAAGTTGGCTGAACAATATAACGATCCAAATGCTCAAACTGCCAGTAATTTTTAACTGATTGACGAAATGCGAGACCGGCATGTGCTCCGACAGCAAGACCCGCTGCTGCAACTATGGGTACGGCAACACTCGCTCCAACTGCTGTCGCCTGTTCCTCTGCCTGGCTCCATTTGAAGTCTACCATCCTGGTTTGCCATATTTGCATCGCTCTAGTGAACGGCTCAATCGACTCGGCGTTGATGACTTGGTCGAGATGTTTTAGGTCGCGAATAATGTGTCCTAGTGATATTGGGCCTGTGGGCTTGCCCTTTCGCATGCTATCCAAATCGGGGGCGGGATAATGGGTCTGCTTCAAAACGAACCAGCAGTTCTCCATGGCGAATGCGGGGTAATATTATAATATTGTGATACAGAATTACACTTAGAATAAGTAACGCTAGTATACGTTGATTCACTAAAGCGTGTCCTTTCCCCAGCCTTCTTTGGAATTAAATATGCCAGCCTCACTGCACTAGCACTACTCAACGGTTCCGTGGACTCATCAGGATTTTGTATTTCTATTGGCCGAACCAGATTGTGTAGAACGGATGTGATATTATGAAAAAAAAACAACGCAGAATATATTAATATGGAGGAAGCCACTCAACAGCAGTCTCGTAACCACTCAACAGACCCTCGACGGACCCTCGAGCCTCGATGGACCCCGTTTGATATGAAAACTGGAATAGAAATACGTCTTTTCAATTTTTTACGCGAAATTGGTTAAAGGGCAGTACCTGCTCGGGAGAAGCATTTTTATCCGCCGCAGAACATTCGACCTCTACGAAGAAACGATATTAAATTTTTATGTGGAGCCTGCCTAGGCCTAGGCGCACGAAGAAGCAGAAATTTCTCATCCAGGATGCCTACTTTGTCAGCTTTAGGGGGCTCATGCCTCCGAGAACAAATTACTGGCTACCGATATATCAGAACCAATGCTAAACAAAACGCTTAAGCCTAGGTTTGGCCTCGAGTCTAAGCCTATGTTATAGATGCACAAAATCTAAAGTTTGACGTGTATGTACATGTATACGTATACATACAATCATGTAGACAATTTCGGGACAGCCCTAACTTTTTCCATATAGGCATTTAAACCTTGCCAAGTTCTGTAGGACTTTACTGGATGATCCGCTCTAAGATTTTATTGTTTCGCCTGGTGGAACGTGCACCTCTGTTCAATTAACGTATAATTTGTGATTTATATCATACCTCGTACTAACCCTAACTTTCATTCACATTCAATCTGATAAATGGTGGAATTGCATGATATACTGACAGCAAATCTAAATTATGCTGAATGATAACAAGGTAAGAAAACCCCGCTGATCTATGAAATGACATAATTTTTAAGTAGCATCGTAATCGGAATCGCGATCTCCATGATATCGACAAGTTGAAAATCTGCCCCTATTTACCCGAGGAATCTCCTCGCTCTGGCCTTTCACTAAAATAAATAATTATCACGAGCATACCTTGATGTGCGGAGCTCAGATAACGTAGGACATAATTTGTCGGATTAATCAACATCTAGCCTTCGGTATGATTTCCCTTGGCCAGGCTTTGGGCGGATGTTGAGTTTCGATGTTATTTTGCGCTTGCTCCACTCGGATTACATCGCGGGGTGGTAGCCATATTTGCGTTATAGCCAGTTTCATTAACTCTCGCTTTCCCCTTCCATTGCCGATTCTGGGCAATTCCGTTTCTTAATTTGAGGTACAGGGCTGCATCGAAGGCCCGATAGTGTACTGTTGTAGCTTGGATGTCCTCTACTACGTCCTCTAGAGTCCCTAAGAAAGCCTTTCTTTGATCATTAAAGAATATCATTTTTTCCCAGCAGAACGGTGGATCGATGAATTGTGATACCATCCAGGCCTCAAAGTCATATGAAAATTCGTCAAAGTTATCAAATCGAAACCGTTTTTGGCCCGGTTTCTCGATTTCTGAAGGGACTTCGGGATTTCTAGAAACCCAAAGGAGGTATTTCTTCGAAACCTCTGACTCATTTGAGTGAATCGATCCTTCAGGTACCCAGTGAGTGTTCCTAGGATTTCCCATGGCATCTTCGACTTGCGCTCCCTGGTCCAGAGGGTTATAACCGACCGAATTTGTAATATCAGACCATATTTGTTCCGAAGATTGCATTCTATTGATACCGAACTCCGGCCACATAATCTCGTGTTGTCGATTGATTTGACCGTTCATATCATGTATTCTTCGCAACGCCAAAGTGCCTGTCCCGGTGCCCAAAGATAACTGAGGTCCAGCCATGCCCATTATCGCCTGGTCGAATCCCGAAAACTGCGGTACTTCGGTGTTTGGGCTAACGTCGCTGTGGGAATTTTGGTTTATTCCCTGAATCAATTCAAAAAGCCTATTTCGACCCCACGATGGGTCAAGAAGCTCGGAAAAGGATGCACCATTCCCAATACTGGCTATAGGACCGGACATTAGCCTATGTTGGAGGCATTCTGGATTGCCAACGGAACTGTTTGAGCTCGAACAGCAATCTTGCGAGCTCGATGAAGTGGCAACTCCAATCATATCTTGTGGATCGTGGATTAAAGGTTGTATCTGCTGAAATCGTTCCACTAGATCCACATCTGCATGGGAGTTGGTTGAAGTTGTCAACGTCAGCAATACGAAAACAAAGAAAAATACAACAGTAATAATAAAAGTAAACTAGGTGCAAACTTTGTAAAGTAATAGAAAAACGCCAAGCTAGCTACAAATTGAGTATCTATACTTACAGGGATTCGGACGAGGCTGTTGTGTTAGCGGCCATTCGGGGTTGCATTTATCGAAAACGTCATTCCATTTTTTCGCGGGACGAATATCTAGGAGCAATTGCCGATTGTAATGATTTCGCTTGATATGTTCTCTATTGATTTAATTCTCGCGCATGTTAGGCTCTCCTTGTAAATTATATAAAGGGCTCTTTTTTCTTGTAGTTTAGTTTAGTCTTACTTGATTCCAGATAGATTCTGCCTTCCGATAACTAGACACTGGGGGTAAAGTTTAGGACACCCTTTCGCGAATGGGCATGCCAGCATACCCCCTAGAGATCTGATGTCCTTCTTTCGAGGCTTTTTGACCGGTGGTGGTGGATCATTTTCATCTTCGTCACTTTCTGTGATACCATCGCCACCTGTACGCCGACGCTTAGATAGACTGGTCGTACCGACGGTGCTAGTACAATTATCTGAAAATCCGTTACTGCCTCTATACTCGGAGCTCCCTCTTGGGCTTGAGGCCCCGCCAGCTTGGCTTCGGCCGGCGGACTCGGGCCCGCCTGCACCCTCGCTAGGTCGCTCGCTATGGTCCTCTAGAGCAAGCGGTCTGCAAATCCTGGATCGGGATTGGGACAGGATCTCGTATAAGCGCTGGAATTCGAGGATGAAAAGTAGACCACGAATTTTGGTTTCCTTTTCTTTCTCAGCCCCCTCTTCCTCGTCGGCCTCTACATCCGAATCCTCGGGCGTTTCTATTGACTCGGGTGTGGATCCTCCTAGTGTTGAATCGCTAGAGGATCCCGACGGACTTGGAGACGGTGCCGGCTCTGGAAGTTGTTGGGATACTGGTTGGGGCCCAAACAAATGCTGTGCATACTGTGGGGCGCTGACTAGGGCCGTGTGAGGTTGCCCCCCCGGATGTTGATGTGAGTGCACTTGCGTCGCAGGCGGATCGGCCTGTGGCTGCGGCAAGACGGACTGCAGCAAGACTGACTGCGATTGGGGTGGCGGTGCTGGCTGCGGCTGTCCTGGCTGTAGTAGGACTGTCTGTGGCTGGCCTGGCTGTATTGGAGTCTGTGTTTGAGGTTGCGGTGCCGGGTGCTGCGGAGCATGAACATGTTGGGCTTGCTGTGGAATCCACTGTGGCCCATGCATAACAGCTTCAGCTGATGCCACTCGCCGCTTTATAGATGCATTTGAACTTTGTCCCATTGCAAGTTCTTAGGACTTTCGTGCAGGATAGAGTTATCTTGGCTGGAATCAATTTCCGTAGCTTATACCGATAACCTTTATAATTTATGTGGCTCCGTATGTATGCACGAGATACTCTAATATGTTGATTGGTCGAAGGTATATATATATGTGTGTGTGTGTGTCGTATGTAGTCTCGTATTGCAGAGTCGGTCCACACTTTGTGTCGTATGGAAGTATATAGATAATGATCTTTGGGGACCTATTGACCAGAGCTCTCTATATATATTTCTAGGTTGGACCGGAATAAAGAATCAGGTCATCTATACGTACGTAGACTGAATTACGCTATAGTAGGTATTTATGTATATAGGTGTGTACGTTCCTGTACATCTTTAAGGCTAGCTTAGTCTCGTTCCCAGGGCTAGGATTATCGGATTATCTGTGTAGCTAGACTGCGCAATTGCGATACATGTACAGCGCAACTAATCCGCTATTTTCTGTTTGGCCGCACTGGGTGCGCGTGCTAGCTGCAAAGAAGTAGGTCAACTACCTCAAGCCATTACCACCCAATCCAAACTTCCGGTAAAATTTGGTTTGAGAAGGGCTAGATCCCAGGGGCTAGTTTGCGATATATGCATGTTGGTGACACAGTCTAGGCTATGCTATGGAATGCGAGCGCAAGGTGATATGAAACCATATATTATGATATCATATGATGCATGATGTATCGATGTCGAGGAACACCCCCGTTCTAGGCCAATAGATGTCAGTGCCAAGCTAGCAAGCAGGATAGGCTTGGCGCATATTTCTAGCAGGCACTAGATTGCAATTAATTAATCAATTGTGATTGGTCAACCCAATACTAGGATCTTACAATTTTTAGAAAAGCTCCATGCCGACACTCGCCAGAGTGCGTGAACAAATGGTTGCCCACCGAAGAAATCGGTCTCTAATATTAATTTTTTTGTGCAAACTGTGCTTTCCCACCAAAAGAAATTGGTCCTGCAGCACAAAAGTCTGGTTACGAGACTGGGTACTGAAAGGATGCGCATGTATGCAGCATTGAAATTTAACTAACCGTACTCGAACTTAACATGATAATTAGTCTAGTTTTGGTCTTGTCACATAACCCCCCGGGCGAAATCTTCTTCCTCGCCCGGTTGTTTGCTAGACCCTCTTGTTGCGAGAGTGGCCCCGAGTTGTATTTTGTTGAAGAATGTGTTGCTAAGTCAGTAGCCAACCGACACTTGGACAACCGAGCATGAGCACCCAAGCCGAGCCTAGTTGTGCTAAAAGTAAGGTAACGTTACAGTGCTACAGGGGTCTACTCGACGAGACAGGACTACAGAAACACAAGGGCAGGAAGTATCGAAACCTCTTAGATTAAATATCCGGAGTTTGTATTAACTCGTAAGCTCATGAGTCCATAGAATGGCCTCGGGTCGACTACTCAAGGAGTATTAACTGAAGTTAACGCGAAAAGGAAAAGATACATTAATTAAATCTAAGCAATTAATTTACAACGAGTGTTTACTCGTACCCTAAGTACTTCCTACGAGCCAACCTTCTCCGACGGCGCTTAGCATCCGCCTTGTTAATAGCTTCATCAACAATCTTTGAAATGACATCATCCCTGAGGGTTTCAGACATATCCTTAAAGTTGGTAGGCAGTTTGCCCAAAAGCATTTCACTGACTTGACCGTTAAATCCTTTAACATCTCCTGGAAGGTCCACAATTCCGGATCCCACATCATAGATACCTTTGGCGACTTTCATAGCAGCTACGAAAGCAGCGTTTCTGTCGCCCTGTTGTATAGCGGAAATGAAATCATCACCAGCCGAGTAAATATCTCGGACAGTATCGATCGTTTCAGGCAGTTCAACAACCTTGATGATGACGGCACCGCCAGGGACGCCAAATTCGACGACCTTTTTGTTGGCATATAAAATACCACGGACAGCCATACTTGAGATTGCGTTCAAAACATCTTCCTTTGGTGTCAATGTCACACCAAGAGATTTTCCATCTTGTCCTGGAACGAACATGAGATGAACCTTGGGAGGATCAACGCCAATATCAGGAGCTACAGATGTCTTCCCAGTTTCTGTTCTACCATTATCCCAGGTAAGAAGGAAGTCGATATCGTCTGGGCGCTCAAATGTCTTGAATCTCGAGGGTGTGACTTTCAGAGTACCGGCTGCAAGCGCGCCTCCAGAAGCTTTGGAGATTTCGAATCGTAGCTCGACCGAGCCGGGGACCGCTTGTGCAAAGATGTCTAGCGTATTCGCTCTGGCCCATGTCATTTCACCAAGGCGGACTGGTTGGCCGCCCGAGGCTATCGTGGCGGAAAAGTTAGAGGCCATGACACATGTCTTGCCGGGATTACGAGCGGGCTCGCGTGGTGCGAATGGATTCTATGTAATTAGAAGAACTCGGTTAGATATGATCGCAACCATTAATTTGGTACGGAGCGGGACTCACCCCAGCATTAAAACATCTACCATCCATATTAGAAACGTTGAAGTTTTTTGTATCTCTCCATGTCACATTATAACCACCTGGGTTGCAGAAAACTGCAGCCTGGGTAATCGTGAATTTGAGACCTGGTGGCAAAACACCCAAAAAGAGCTCTTGTCTTAAAGTGCTAGCCATTGTGGAGTAAAAGATATATATAAATGAAAAGGAAGTTGTATAGAATCTATGCTCCAATTAGTAACCAAATTATAACAATCCAGCTTAAGGATAGTACCATACCAAGGAGTATGTAGTAGAAATCCGGTTTCAATAGACTGGCAAAATAAAGCCAAACCCATAAAAAGTATTACAAAAACAAGCAATGAAAAAAAGAGAATGGATTATAGAGTAGATATTTGATTAAAGAATAAAAGTCAAAAAGAAATCGTGAGCCAGCACGATAGAGCTAAAGAAGTGAATGTTTTTTGATGCGGATGGAGGGAATGAGAGACCTATTGTCGATTCCATGAAGACGTTTATATATTTCATTCTGTGGCACGAAAATTGAAATGTTCCGATATATGGTGCACTACAGCGTCTCTGGTAAGCGGATTATACACCGGCCGCAGAAAAAAAGAGAAAGAAAAAGAAAACCGAGGAATGGCTTGAAGTTTTTGATGCGCCTCAAACGTGGCTGCATAAAAAGCCGTTGGTCAGAGTTTGGTGGTTTCGAATGTTTCAAGAAAACTCCTTGGTTCTAGCGTGCAAACCGCTAAGCCACAGTGGCATTGGCTCAATACTTAAACGCCTGCAGGAGCTCGTGTCCGAAACGGTCCTCGGCTCCAAGGTTCGAGGATGAACTAGACAATGGTTAGGACAACCTAGCTCGGGTTATTTTGGTCAGGCTAGTTTGATATTGAGACCTCTTTGGTTGTCTTTTGCGCCTGGATCCATGGATCTTTTTAGCGGAGCTGATCTTAGCAAGGAGCTTTCTGGAACACTATGCATATAGATCTCTTAACCGATGTCTTGGACGGAGAGCAGCTATTGGGCCGCTTCCATCAAGAATATCCATATCCTGACCTCCGATTGTGCATTCGATCGTTAACGTAACATGATTAAGCGAGATTAATGAACAATCGGGGACAATAGCATTCGCACTAGCTCAAACGAGGCCTCCTGGCCTGAGAAGATATATGTGAACCTAAATCGACTGTTTCAACCATCGAACCTATCCGTATGCATTATGATATCATGCTATACTGCAGCGCGTCGCTCAACTAGATCACAGTCTAGAATCAGAGTGGTGAAGTTTGCCAAAACGCGTTGTTCTCCGCGTCTAAGCTTTGAAGTGTTAGTACATCGTCAAAACTTGGTGGTGATACCCGGCCGTCGAAAATCAATAAAATTTCGAACTAGAGTACTTTAAGGCGATCGAGGTTAGCCTTTGGGAATGGGTTTCTAGACTGCTAATCAGTTATGCGGTCATACTCTCCCCCCTTCAAACATCACTACCCTTTCGAAATATCTCCGACTACCCTAATAATTACAAGGACATCTAACCGTCATCCTCAAACAAACGGAAGACAACTTTAGGATTTTGTTTGAATCACTGGCTAGCTCGGCTGCGCCAGCGATGTTACACTAACTACACAGAATTGATGGGTAGCATCTCTCCTCTGAATTTCATGTTTCTTTCTATGCTGACTAAAAAGTGGTGTAACCTCTAACAGCCAAAGATCTAAGGTGGGTTCAAGCGGTCAAAGAATCTAACCAGGGAAGATAATGCAGTGGTTCCTTAGGTACTTGGGCTGTGCTACCATATGTGCAACACACGTCACTAAACTTAACTGTAACCTCTATCCCTTCGCCTAGCTCAGGTCGACAACTTCGAACTTCGGAAATCAAGACCTGGCTTATACATAAGAAACGAGATATGACTTGTATTTAGTACCATCGGCTACTTGGTATATCTTGAGTCAAAATAACAGGTTACAGTCGATGGCCGGTCAGGCCCTCACGGTAAACATTTGAAAGCTCCCTGGCCTAGCTTAACCTTAGTTAGTCAACAACTAGCAATCGCTGTTTGTATTAGCTGTGGTGCCGAAATGGGGTGAGTAAAAATCATTTATTTCAAGGATTGCTTAAATTGATAGAATCTATCGCGATATCGTGAATGTGCCAGCTTGGGCTTTAAGTACCTCATGCTTTCAAGTCCAGGCGTCTAGGCATCCGAGAAATCGAGGTACAGGCAGCGCTCTCATAACCAAACTTATGTGTCGAAGCGAGGTAAAATTGTGGTGCCAATCGTTTCGCCCCTTAAATTGTTGTGTTGCGCCCGACCCGAACTGGCTCATCATGAACGAGATTTGAAATGGACTGTTAACTGTTGGGCGCACAGGTGATGCACCTGATGGAGGCCGTGAGCTTCGTATACCTAAATTACTAAAATCTTGCGCCCCAAGTAAAGGTCGTGGCGACTAAAGAAAGAAAGAAAGAAAGTTCATTGGCTTGGTTTGCAGGCGTGTTTTGTTCGAAAGTTCGAAAGAGAAGACCCGCGAATGGTGTTGTACTGTGTGATTTTGAATCCTGCCCAAAAATGGTATCCGCCTTATGGGTCAATTCAGGAAGATCTTCGTTCCAATGTTAGGTTACACACGTGGATGTAACTAGAACCCTGATTCATGTGTCTTAACGTATTTACCACAGAAAACCTTACTCGGACCACCAAGGGCCCCAAGACTCCACATTCTAGGAACAACATTGTGTTCTTCGCGGATAACGGGCCAGAACAGAATATAAGAAAAGAAGGATAACATGTATATACGTATGGCTATCAAGGCAATAGCAAACTGCCTTTTAATGCAATGCATTTACCTCGCTAGCTGCAGCACGCATAGTCTATGTTTTCTGGCCAGCTCGAGCTATAGTCTATTATATCCCTGTTGCCTACCACAGAAATGAGTGCACGAAGTTCGGCTTTTGAGAGCAAATTAACCAGAAGATCACTATTTCGTTGGCGAACAAGGGTATTTCTTTACAAACTGTCGCGGGATTAATTGTCAAGGGCTTGCAAGCTCCACATGCACATATGCACATCCAACTATTCGAAAACCGTTTACCTGTCGGTCAATACCGGATTTGCTTCGGCTTCCCCGTCCAGTACTAGTCGCCACATTGAGCCTTATAACCAACAAACTCATAAGTTTTGACTGTTGGTCAATTCTGCTAGCGTGTTGTGATGAGTGGAGTAAGCGGGCCAGCACCTTGTTCGCCTAGTTGTCAAATCCCGCGGGTTGGCGGTCCAATACCAGGAAGTAATCCAGTTTTCGGGGTTCCGGGGCCATTTCTCTAGACAAGCATCCACCGAGACACATACCTCTACCCTGTTGTGGGGTGTTTCTCGATTTTTCGATTTGACAAAATTATGACACCAGAATTTTCAAAAGGGTATTTTCGTAGTATCTGGATATATCACGTCGGCTCAATGGGTGGGTATGATGCTCGCCAGAAATTTGACAAGGTATGAGCATAAGGGAAATAAACGGCTCATCAATTGATCCGAGATTCCTGTGAATCACGGTTTTGTAAATTTGAATGCCTGCCATACTACCTCGAGATCTAGAAGAACATAAAAGAAGGGTTATTCCTCTCAGTCATGAAATGAGAGCTCTGTAACATTGTCCGAGCAGATCGCCAAAATGCCATTACTTCGTGCCTTTCTTGTCTTTCTTGCTCTTGTCGCTGGAGATATTTCGGCCACAGTCATCAAACCGACGGCATGTGATTCAAAGAAGGACGTTTGTATCAAAGGTAACTTTCGTATTTTCTTCCAATTCTTGTATCTATATCTCTTCTTTCACTTAATTTCCTCCAAGTCGACTGATTGCATTTAATATATGATCTGTGCACTACTAACGTCCTGCGTTAAAATCACAACAGCCTTGAATAGCTGTGGAAGTCGCAACCGGAAACAAGTGTCTACCGATTGCTCTAAATTTGTGTGGAAAACAGTTACTCTCCCTCGAGTGTAAGTTTGCGCGACTCTAACCACTTAAGCCTGTAGCTGGGCATAGCTATTATAATGCTAAAATTAAAGTTGTGGTTCTATAGTACTATTACCGAAACTTCAACCAAAATTCGTGCCTCGACATCCACCATTGCGTATACCGTAACCCAAAGTGCTAGTGGCGGCACTGTTCTTGAGACGATAACGGATGTGGTCACAATCATCCCGTCAACAGTCGTCAATGTGACCTCGCCTGCGAACACACCTGCGGCTACTGCAAAGCGTCTTGCCCGACGCGGCCCTCTGTTCCGTGCAATGCCCGATTTGAAGCTGCTGGATTCTCGAAGTCAAAAATGTATTTCGGCTATTCCATCTTATGCTAGAGATTGTAGGGACGCAACTCGCTACGCCAGTGCATGCTCTTGTTACGGCGTCCCTGCAAAAGTCTCTACTATTCCTGCAAAAACCACAACTTGTACGAAGATCGTCACTTCTACTTCCGTTTCACTGCTTTCCACGGCAGCCACGACAGTTTACATCACCGCGGCCGCAATGACAGAAACAACCACTATTACAAGCACAACCTCGAACGACGCAAATCCCACAACTCTGTCGTTGTTTGACCTTCAGGTTTTCAACACTCCAGGACAAGCACAGGCTCTTTATATGCGGAAGGGATTCGGATTCCAAGTAGCATCTATTGACGACTTCCTCGGTTTTATCCTCGAACCGAATGGGAGGTTGTACACTCCCAATGGTAGAAGAACATACTACTTCTGCGTCTCAGGTGGTGATTCTTCTGCACCGGCGTCTATTACAAACGGTGTATACAACGATCCAAACAGTCCGCCGGCTTTCCCGGGTCAAGAACTTTTATGCGGCTTCGACTCAAATCAAGTTCTTAGCTGTCAATGTACAGTTGCTGGGACTACTTATGTAGAGCTGATATTTAACAACTACTTTGAAGGTCTCAATCACGGTCTAGTATATGTTGCGACCGCTGGGTACTCTTTGGCACCTACGCAAGCCGTCGTTACGGCACAAGCTGTCCCATTCCATTGGGATGATAAATGTGGTTATCATGAGGATGAGAATGGTGATAACTCTTTTGATCAAGATTGCGATGCCCTATATGTTGACCCCAAGTATGCGGAAGATCTTTCCGATACTGGGGGGTTCGAACAAAATCCTTAAAATCAATAACCTGTCTTTCAAGATATATGATATTTAGATCTAAACTTATGAATTTCTGTATCCCATAAATTTTGGATTCATACCTACAAGAGATGTTTATTTCGCACTCCTTGAATAATAATATAATTAAAATAAGTGTTCATACATGTATACAACATTCACTATCCGTGTATACGTACCACATCCTAGGTGACCGCAATAGCTGCATCAAATTGCTCTTTATTTGCTGACATATTTTTCGCGACAGCTAACTCCTAAAAATCAAATAGGAAATCCGAAAATGTATGTATTGTTTAACGCCAATGGCCCACTTCCCGACCCGATGTATGGTATTCCAAAAGACGATTTCTTGTACACGTGTTGCGCCAATCCGTCACGCTGCGGACGAAGGTAAAGTGAAAAATTAGTCTACCCGACTTCGGAAAAAGCATCGAATGTGATCGTCTATAATCGATCTCAGGATATAAAGCTCAGTTACAGCGCCGCTCAGAATAGACTTTCTATCTTCATTTCTTCCTTTTAGTTAATTCCAAATGTCAGAGCAGAGTTCCCAGCGAGTTAACTCGAACGCTCGGGGGCCTAAGGGTGGAAGCCTGCACACAACACCTTCACTACAAAGTCTAGGCGAAGTGGTGCCGCCCCTCCTCCGTGTCCCCCGCGAAATCCGTAATGAAATCTACAAATACCTTCTCTACTTCCCACTACCTCCTCTCCCGGGTCCGGTCCCTGTGAATGAATGGAACGAGACACATAGACTTGAAAGGCGGCCTAGTCAATTCGAAGACCCTAATCGGAACATCGACATCCTCAGGGTTAATAAACAAATACACGGCGAAGCGACCGAGTTTTTGTACAGTGTTAATGTATTTCTGATACAAATCACTACCAGTGTTGCCCGGGAAGATATTAACAGCCATGGATTATCCAGCGGAGACCCTACTGTGCTGTATGATTCACCGTGGGAGACTTTGGGTTATTTTCATGGAGACAAGTAAGAAACCCTAACGTAATTCTCATACTACTTGAGCATGCAAAAATAAAATGCTTATTTTTTTTTTAGGAAATTTGGAAGCTTTGTTCCTTATAGTTACTGGACATTCCAAAATTGTCCATTGAGACTCAAAACTTACTCCTATGCACCTCGAGACGTTTGCTGGTGCACAAAGTGTGTGGAGAATATAAAGGATCAAAACTTGTTCCCCATCCCCGCGCTTCGGTATAGACACCTAATCCGCCGTATAAGGATTGATTTATTTGAGATGGGTATGGCAATGAAACAAAAAAGAGAGTATAATCAGGAAATTGCACGAAAACTGCTACTACCATTCCGGTATAGGTTGGAGGAAGCATTGAAACCAGTCGCCGAGAGCGTAGCCGTCGAAATCGCAGTTGCAAGTCTAGATTCTAAAGGAAGCGAGGAATTCCAGATTGAAAGCCCGAAAGCGTACGCGGAGCTAATCGAAACTTTATGGCCTCTAACGGCTGGGCCGTGGAAATATACGATTACGCTACCGATTAGTATACAACAACGATATGGGCATTTGACGGACTCCATATTGGAAAGTTGTAACCGGGAGGTGGTGGTTAAGAAGAGAGAGGAGAATCATTTCTTAAAAGTAGATATCGACCATAGTCGATATTTGCGGGTCAGGAATCGTGGGATCCATGTATTGGATCATGCAGATTACTTTCCTAGATACGCTGAAAGTGAGCCCTACACCATGCATATATGTCGACGCCCGAGTAAAGACAAATTAGTCTCTGAGGTCACGGAGCCTACATCGTCTTCTTCGCCCCATGCTGAAAAGGTTTCTAAGCGATCAAGTCGATTGTGGGGCAGTATTGCTCAGGGAACCCGCAGGGTTGGGGATAAAATTCGACAGAGAGTATCTTAGCTTAGGAAGACAATTAACCAATTGAAAGCAACGGGCTAGTGTTAGTTACGGAATTTGGCTCCGAAGAATCATGTAATTTTTTGTACGATATGTATTTACTATAGTATTGGAGATTATTAAACCGTTGCGATACAGAAAATCCCTTGAATGCACCATGAAGGGCTTAGTTCGCATTTGCATACCTAGCTTATACTGACTTATTGGGATGACGACGTTGACAACTTGCCAATACTTTGGGAAATAATCTATGAGTTTACATCGAAGGACCTAGTGGGATATCTCTATTAATTTTGTTTTGTAATTGCGATTTTTGACCTCTAAATAAACAATTCGGCTAACCTTATCTCCAAGCTTTTACCTAACTTCTTAGCCACCTTTCGTTTGTGGTAATAATGTGGCTAGAATCAGGGATATACGTTATTACCATTTCGCGTCTAGTTGACTGTGTCCCGAGAAAACGACCCGTTTGTTGATTAACTACTAGTACTAGTTAAAAACTAGATTGTATCTGCTTTTTGATTCTAGATGGCTTTCTGTTTGCCGCTCTAGCTAAGTGGTATGCCGGCGGGATTATCTAGCTATCTATGGTCTACTCGGCCTTTAAGTACTAAAATAGAGGCGCGGTTCAGATCGTTATGTTACTAATCAACTTGATTGAATCCGCCAGATCCGACTCAAGCCGGAAACTGTTGATTAATTTTGGCTATGGTGTTTAGGCTTTGAATTTATAAGCTTAAGTAGGTTCGTTAACGGCCTAGCTAGGGTGTCATAAACAGGACCAACTAATAGTTCTGATGGTGTGTATTGCAAATAGGGCTATGGCGCAAAGACTTCTAGAAATTCTTTATCTCCCATAGCTATTGAATACCACGATTAATGTGCGGCCTCTGACTATAACTATCCATCTTGTTCTCACGGTATGATTTCTATGATTTCTAATCTTCTTTTCTCTTAGCTGGGCTTGTTGTTCAATCGGCAACTATATACCATTATCCCTTCCAGGTCTGGGTACGAGACAACATTATCCTAAGTATACTAGTAAAAACGGGAAGTGATGATTTTTTATGATATATATATGGCGTCCCAGATCTGTCAGATTTTTTAATATATCGTATATAGGGGGTTTTGTAGTCTCGTATTGCAGACGCGGTCCACACTTTGGGGGTTTTGGTAGGTTTTTGGGACCGCTTTTAAAATTTAAGACGCTTTATCTATTAGTTAAGACGTCTGAATTGGCCCAAAAGCAGACTTAAGGCGGAATTTCTGCCCTTGAGAACCCTCGGTTTCCCCTACGGCATATATTGGACACAAAATGCGGGCCTATCAACTAGTATACCTATTTAATAACTACTCAACTTTGTCTCGTACTTAGTTCCACACAAGTAATACTTAACTTATTTTAGGTTGGGTCACTTACTTACCTGTTTCAAGTGCTGGTTTGTAGGCTGGTATTCTTAAGCTAGCTCGTATGTTTCTAAGCTGGTTTACATGTTGGTAATTCACAAGCTGGTAGTTTACAGGTCTACATAAAAGCTTCTAGGACGTTTAGGATGCTATAGGATGCCTGATATGGGGGGCGTGAATTACTCTCTCGTAGGATGCGATGCAACTTTCGTCATTCGATGGATCACCCTTGTAATTGGCATAAACAAGAGCACCGAGTCTGTATATATGTACGCTAGGGTTGTCTCGTAGTTTTACGTAAGCCAGCCTACCCGGCCGCTGGAAGCTAGGGATTCCTCTATAATATTCATACTGCCCCTTTGGTTTTCTTGAGCCCATGATAACGGGGTTTTGCCGTTATCGTCCTCGGAATATGGATTAGCGCCCTTACTTAGCAAAAACTCTACAGTAGTGCCAACGTATTCTCCATGACCTACGGCCCATGACAATGGAGTACGGCCTGTGTGGTCTTTACTCTCTAGGTCGGCCCCCAATCTTAGCAATATCATTGTAAGAGGCTTCTGTGGGGCCACGTATATATCCTCCTCAGCTGCCCGCGAAAACGGTGTTCGACCAGCATTATCTTTCGTCTCTAGGTCAGCACCTTCGCGCACTAGGAATTCTAATATAGTCTCAGTGCTTCCATATGCCCATACAGCCCATGACAGTGGCGTTAGGCCGTTATTGTCTTTCGATTCTAGGTTAGCGCCGTGACGCAGCAAAAGTTCCACACAAGCAATGCTGCCCTTCTGTGCAGCATACGACAACGCCGTCCGACCCATGTCGTCCTTAGCTTCCATATTTACGCCTCTCTTTAGCAGAATTTCTATGGTCGAGGAGACCCCACCCTCCGCACCCGCCATTAAGGGGGTTTTACCTTCTCCCCGAATCTCCACATTCGCACCTTCTCGTAACAACAGCTCCACTACATCATCGCAGCCATTTGTAACAGCAAACCACAATGGGGTTCGACCCTCATCTTCTTGAGTATCTATGTTGACGCCCTGGCGTAGCAGCCTTTCGACAAATTGAAGGCACCCTCCAAATGCAGCATACGATATTGACGCTCTATTTTCATGATCCTTGGCTGTTGGGTCGGCACCTCCACGTAGTAATATATCCACGATTCGTTCGCGCCCCAATTCTGCAGCTAACATTAGAGGTGTTCGGCCAAATTCATTTTCGGTTTCCAAATTAGCTCCTTTCCCTAGGAGGAATTCCACAACAGCAGCATGTTCTCTAGCGATAGCTTCCGATAATGCTGTCTCGCCATAGCGATTTTTCGCCTCAATATTTGCCCCCTCGCGTATCAACATCTCTACGATCTCGATGGATCCCCTCCCCACGGCCGTTCTTAGCGGGGTTCTGTCCGACAGGTCCGTTCGATTGAGTGCCCAACCAGCGTCCCAGCCCAAAAGGGTCTCCACAACAGCACTGTGTCCTCCATGTGCTGCCCTCAATAACGCAGTCTCTCCGTCAATATCTTCAACGTGCGGACTAGCACCCTCGCGCAAAAGCGTGTTTACAACGGCATCATGGCCCATTGTCGCTGACAATATCAACGCTGTTTGACGTTCAGTGTCTCTGGCCTCCGGATTGGCACCGTTGCGTAACAGGCACTCTACTGTCGTGAGGTCTCCATTTTCCGCAGCCACCATCAATGGCGTCTGACCCTCGAAGTTAGCAGCTTCTATATCGGTGCCTTCGAATAGCAACTGGTCAATATATTCCCATAACCCAAAGTGTCCCACAAGATGTATTCCCGCCGCCCCCATTAACTGTCGCGAAATTCTTAAATCGAAGTCGACTGACTTGAATCTCTCCCCTTTCCCACCATAGGTCCGAGTAATAATATCTTTGTTTCTCAAGAACGCAAATATGATCTCGTTCGTTGCTCTTTTGGGACATTTTTCAACCTCAGATCCAAGCGCTATGCGTGGAGAACATTTGTTGGCATGGTAGCCCCAGTTCCGCATTGCATAGGAACAAAATGGACCAGAGCTCATGTTTGAATCGCCGTTAGTATATTCGTCTGGGTTCGAATCAGCTGTCCCGAGCGGGTCCGCGCTGTTCATCTCAATCGAAAGGTGTATAATACATATTTCAGCTAAGCCCGTTTGGGCATGACGAGTCCACTCCTGCTTGTCAAAATACTCCTGCGTAGTGTAGTGGATCAAGCGAACAATCTTAGTGTCTTCATCAATTGTAACTAAGCCAGCGCAAACTGAGATAATATCATTGATATCCGTCAGATCATCGTCATCAATGGTATCTTGGCTGGCTTCTGGCTCTACCGCGAGCGCGTGTTGGAGTTCTAGCTGATCGAGCGGTCTTTCCGCGCACACGACCCACACTAAAACCCGACGGGCCAGGTTTTTGAAGTCGGGATTTTGGCTGTCAATTCTTTCCATAGCTTCTGTGTAGGCGATGCCGTATGCTGCCTCTCCCTCTTCGCCAGTTGAAAGTTTTCCCAGTGCTGTCTTCAACTTCTTTGGTGTTGTCTTATTTTCTACTGACTCGAAGTGAAGTCGTGCGAGAAGGAACCTATCCAAACATTAGACGGGATGTATGCGAAGCAGGTCGAAAAGATCATAGGAGCTACTGACATTCCTTGGACTGCTTTAACTATCTCGTCTTTGATCGCGCCACGATGCTCACGTAGCATTTTTCTTTTTGTTTGGTCTATCCGACCATCCAAGTACATTCGTAAATCCTCATCATCAGCACGCACTTCTAAGGTTGTAGATCCTTGTTCCGTGAATTGTTCGACAATTTCTTTTATATGTCTTGATGTTGCAAGTATGTTTACGCCGCACTCGGCATGGAGATCAAAGATCGTAGAAATGAGTTTCCCGCGGCAGTAGTCCGGACTTTGCATTTGGCACTCGTCAAGGGCATCGACGACGACGAACACTCTTGAATACAGAGTGACGACTGACTTGAGGGCTTTGCAGATTTGATCAACCGATGGCCGCATACCAATATTATTTTTATTTTCTTCGTATAATTGCTTAAGCTCCTCAGGTAGAGAGCGTTGCCGGCGGGCTAGCTGCTTCAGTACACTTGCGAGTATGTTGTATGTCGTCTGCTCGCTTTTTAGCGTGTAATTAAAATAAATCCATGCAATACCAACTGCTGGGGTCTTGCCGAAAAGCCGGGATAATTGGTCAATTACTACCGATGTAAGAAAAGTCTTTCCCGCTCCTGGAATACCAGGGCAAAATAGTATTTCCCTGGAACCTTGTAGCCAATTGGTAAACTCCTCGGAACCTAAAAACCATTTTCCGGTCCCAGATTGCCGTCTTTGGACAATATCATTATGTACTGGGCCGTATTCCATCGGCGTTAACCATTCTAGAACTTTACGGTCGTCTTCTTTTTCCAACCTAGAGGTAATTCGCTCTACTTTATCGTGGACTGAAATACCTTAATATATGCATATTAGTAATTGCCATAATATCTATTCTCCTAATTTTTGATATCACTAGCCTTGGTTGAGCATTACATCCCTCGCTGAACGTTCCTTGCTTACATCAACCGGCTCAAGACGCCTTAGGAAATCTTTCGCATACGCCGCTGCTATCCCCGCAGCATATTCCTGCCACTCGTCGTTCTTTCTTTTGTCGGCGTAATCGGATATCCCACGTATAACAATACAAGGAAAGTCATCCATCAGACCTGCTGCTTCCGTCTCTAAACACAAAACGTTCCCCCCGAGGTTTTGATCGATACTATCGCGGACATTGGCGTCTTTGATGACTTTGTTGCCTGAGGCGATCAATCCGAAGTGGACTTCCACATTTTCGGTCTTATCGATTTTGGTTTCAGTACTACGGTTGGCTTCTCCCCCAGCCCCTTGGGGACTATAATCGATTGGGCCGAATGCCCAGCCTCCGAATATAAACCTGAGAAAGCTCAAGATCACCCGCCAGAGAGCCAATAAGTAGGCTCCTTCTGCTCCTCGATCGCGTGGCGAGCTCTCGGGCTTGGATAAAGAGCTGCTAAGCTGCCTAGGTCGCTTATAGCGGCCTTGTAGATTCGGAAACCTCTTTCCTATATGAACCAACCGTGATGGGAATGTTATCCCGTGCATATCATGGTCAGAACTTAAGATACTCAATGTCGTTAGTAGTACCATCGGTGGCTTATCCAACGCTCCAGTTCGCTGAAACTTCCCATCGCTTTCCGCTTTCCCCATGTCCCACTGCACAACCCCCGGGTCCTTGCCTTTCGGCACACTAACTACCACATCACCAAGTTTAACTTTAGGTGGTATTCCTCCCCCAATACCAACCATAAGCCCGAGTTTGATGCCGGGAAACGTGTTCACCATCCTCGTTGCTATTACCGCAGCTTGATTTGTTCCAATTATGCCTTTTGGTAGGCAAGATATAACGATGTTGTGATATCCGATAGAGCCGAGGATGTAGTTACTTGCGTCATGTGAAAGTTTGGGGAGAGTCGGGTGTTCGACGTCTAACATCACCCGTGCAGCTGTGAGTTCTGTTGAAAGAGCACATATCCAGCCTATGGTATAGTCTTTGTGAGATTTTGGCTCGTATTCCGGAGGTAGTGCGGATGAGGGGTTTGGATCTGAGGATTGAGACATTGCTGTTGTGGTCGCCCAAATTTGCAAAATTGGCCGACCTCTCGAACTTGAGCTTTTGTATATTTATACGGTAGCCCCTTTGGAGATGATAACACCGAAATCTAGGAAACTTGTAGAGGATGTTTGGTTAAAGCTAGCGACATGCACGATTCTTTTTGAGAGCAGCTAGTAGATATCATCTCCGCCCGCGCGGCGGGGTTTGGTTTTGTGCCGGTTTTCTGGTCGAACCCTGTATCAATATTAAATCGAACAGCCTTCTTCGATCTTCCTGCATCAATTCAAATGCGTTAATTAATGGGCTATGCAGATGGCACCAGCAATCATGAGGACAACTTCGAGTCCAGCTTTTACTCCCCTGATTGGCTACTCCGTAGGCTTGCAGATGAATCGGGGCAAACCTTGCCGGCAACTTAAGTGTTTCCTATCCAGTTGCGATTTAACACTCAGATCAAGATCATACTGATAAATTAAGTCCTGGCCTGGGTTCTAGAATTACACTTAAGGATTCGAACTAGCTCAAATTTATGCTTAGCACTAACGAGCGGCGCGGCCCGGCACCGAATACTATTGGTTCTAGTCTAGTTCTAGTCCTGAAGAAAAGCGTATATATATGTCATATGTCGGCATGCATGCACTTTGGTCGAAAGTGCTGTGTTGAGGCGCAATACCCAACAACACGTCTTCGGATTCGAGGCTAGATGTCTTCGTGGTATCACGAAAACTTCTCAATGCAATGAACTGCAAGCCTGGATTTGACACCAACACTATCAAGGGTTAATAAACCTCGAGAAAACATAACCAGCCTTCCCCAGCTTATTGTTTCGTGAGTATTTTTTGAAAGCACCCTTACGGAAAACTGTTCGTTGCATGTCGGTCGGGCATCAATGTTGAATATCCAGGCCCGGGCACTTCGAGCCATAGAAAAACCTGCGAAGCGGCTGAAACACCGTAGCCGTGCAGCGAAAAGCGCTGATGTGACGTGGCGAACTCCAAGGCTGGATTGGCGACGGACCACAAGATCCTTCTGCGGCTCCCCAAAGAACTAAGCATTTTCTTGGATATCAGTTTACTATCTGGAGATATCAGTACGCAATCGCATGATGCAGGGCTGTGTTTCCTTGTCCGCCCCGAGATTTTCTCTCTCTCTTCTGGACGCGCAAGTCGCAGGCGCTTAGATAATTGAGGTTACACTCGGATTCGTGAATCGTGGCGATGTGAAAAAGGTCGGCTGTCGGATTTGGTGCCCCGCCCTCATAAATACGATCTTCTCCTCATGTGAAAGAGAGCAGATGGTTCAATTGATCTTTTCCTCCTGGCCCAGTCGGCGAAAAAATTATGGTCTTCACGACGGGCGGGCACACCAGATCCTCAAGTTGCTTCCTATAGCCTGACAGGACATTACTATCCTTTTTTAAGTATCATCTTTGTTAAGGTTTTCAGAATGTCGATAGTAAACATTGTCGAAGATAGTATGTCACCCCGCAGCCATCACTTCTTATCCCAACCCCTGTCCCAAAGGCAACACTAATATAATCGATCATAGTAAACCCGTCGCAGAAAAGGCTGCAAGATCTATTGCAGGTATCTCAGTCCCACGTCTTAAAAAGAAACCGAGTAACAATACGCTAATTCTTTCCAAGAGACACAGCACTGAAAAACTGACACTGATGTTTGTACCCATTTTCATCGCCATCAAGTTTATACGGTCGGCCTCTAGGATTATTGCTGATGTTTGCTGTATAAAGTTTTACATCGAGGGAAAACCTTGACGAAAACCCCATCCTACGAGAGAAGCTTTTCCGGCGATACTCGGTTCCTGAATATATCTGGACCAAGGTCTGCAAACGGCTCCAAGGCTATTTCGGGTCGGAAGATATATTTTCCTCGGATGACTCTACTATTGAGTCTCATGGTATACCACCCTATTCTTATAATTTTCAATTTTTGCCGTAACATGCGGTATACTTCTAATCCAGACTCAACTAAACCAATATCTTTTATGAATTGAACCCAGTTACCTGGTTCCATTTCGAGATAAAATACCCTTTCCCACCACCACCCAAAAAGAAAGAAGGTGCTGAATACGTACCTCCAGACCCACCTCCACAAGATGGCAAAAAGCCAGCCGGTTATGCCTGGTACAAAATCGCCATCATAACAACTTGGACAGCGCCCGATCAACACACAATAATATTCCTCGATGCGCGCGACAGCCCTGCTCATAGTATCCGGAACGAATTAAAATCAAACTGTGAAAACGTTAAGAATGAAGCTGCACTAGAAAATCCATACTGGTCGCATCAGTTCCTTATCGGGCCAATACTTGCATGTTACGACCAAGCTGTTTGGAATCTTCGAGATCTGGTTAAGGCTCTTGAACAGGTATGGGACTAACCCCGCATTCTAGATTATTATGTTAGTGAGGATTCTCTCTGATTGAATTGGATAGGGCCGCCGCGATGGAAAGCATGCAGTGACCAACGCTATCGATTCCAACGATAGCGATATGGAAGCGTCTCGTAACACGTTCAACTCCCTCCATGAGATCCTTCGGCATGCGCTTCATAAAACGGAGATTCTAGGGGTCGCAATTCAAACTCTCGATAGCATCTGCTCGCGAAAGAGAATCTTCGAAAGTGAACGATACTCAAATGAAGCAGCAGTGAATATAGATGCTCCCGAGAGTGTGGCGGTAGCAAAGCGTTGTGCGAAAAAAATTGGGGTGTACCTAGATTTCCAATTATCCATAGTGAGAAGCTTGGAGGCTCGTGCGAGGGCGAATGAAGCCCGGATAAGAAGCGAGATCACTCTAGTGAGTTTCTTACCTTTGAGGTTACCGCTTTGGCTTCCTCTTACTAACTTTACTCATTAGGCTTTCAGTATTGTCGCCCAGCTCGACAGCCAAGTACAAGCCAAAATTGGGGAGGCTGCTAGGAACGATAGTAACACCATGGTAAAAATCGCCGCAGTTACGATGTTATTCTTGCCTCCGTCGTTCGTCTCGGTAAGCTCTTGAAATTATTCCTTAACTCTTGGGTAGTATCTTATAGGTAAATTGGATTATTCTAGGCTGTCTTCAGTACGTCTTTCTTTTCATTTTCACCACCAGGGGACGATAAAGTCTCAAGGGATTTTTGGATATTCTGGGCAATATCCATACCCTTAACGATTATTGTCTTCGGCAGTCTATACCCAGGTGGCCGAGGATTATCTTTCAGAAGGCGTGTTGCGATCGCGGCACACCACAAGCCGTCGGTATCACATAGAACAATCCTCCCTATGTAAAATCTGGGAATGAGGTTGGCTAGGAATATCGTCTAAGCACAATCTTTTTTCACCATGGGATATTTTGGTTATCTGACGGGTTATCCGATTTCAAAATCGATTCAACTTTGTGATCATTTCAGCAGCTGCGTGAACTACTTATATATATATAAGAATACCTAGAATTAATAAACTAGCTTGAGTACAAGACAAAGTATATAGTCCTAGATTATCTAGTGATGCGTCTTTTACTCAAATGCAACTAGCCGTTATCAACCGGTTATCGATTCGAAGCTTGAGAAATTTATATCTAGGAACTATTATATTCGTGGGAAATCCAAATCTTTCACCATGTCAGCTATGTGTGAAAGCCCATTCAATTCCGAGAATGGGTAGTTTCACGTGCAGTCTCACAATGACGGCATTCAGAATGCTGGGTGCGCGTGATGTCAGGCGCCTGCTTCTTAAACTTAAACTAGCTTCAAACACCATCCTTTGTGTAACGTAGGGCTTGGCACCGGATCGGCTCGACATTGTCCGCAGCATTGCTTGTGTTGTATATGTTGCGTTTTTTTGATTTTCTTGGCGCCTCTGAACATCCCGGACGGAAACGCTGAAGTTCTTGGGGCCAATGCAACATCTGTGAAGGATCTGTCAATGGGGGCTTTAATTCTCAGAATTGCGAGAAAGTTTCTTCCTGCGATCCAACTAGAACTTCCGATCTGATACCGTGAATGAGCGAATGAGTCAAAATATGCACGCCGGAAAGATGTGTTGAGACTAACGGCTTGCGGAAGCTTGGACTAATCTACCCCAGGCCCGATTTTGGCGGACCCAACTTTTTGTTCCATTTAGTGCTGAATACAGTCATTAAATAGTGCTTATCTGTGGAACCGCGTCCAAATTTCAACCAATCGGCCGCAAACATCCCATTTTTTTTCGAATGTTGACGCGCAATCACATGAGTACGAAACATACATAGTTCCCACAGCTGCACGCACAGTATACTAGTACCATACGCTAGTTAGAATGCACGCCACGTCGATTGTACAATTGTGACAAAGGTTCTTTAATTTTCCAATGACTCAAAATGCCTGAGGCGTTGGGCCTAGAATCATATGTGTTGAAGGATCTGAAGGCGGTCTATATCTAGACGTCGAACGCACGAAGTTTTGAAGATATCATTCACAATAACAATCACATTCGCATCTTCTACCATTAGTTTTAAGAATACAACAAAGCTTCTACACTGTTAAACACTTTTTGAAACCCTTCTATATTATACTTTCGTCTTTATCATACCATATTATCGCATTATCAATATGCAAATCAACGGAGATAGCTCTGAGACCAATGGCTCCCCAGAAACCATCAACGATGTGATTCTGCTCGAGAGGCGGGATTACGAAGACCCAGAAGATAAAGATGGGTTTTATTCTCATCGTACAAAACTTTATGAGCTTGGGAAAGGTCCAGCCGCCAAAAGGCAGAGGGCCGAGGAAGGAGAAAGTGAGGAGTTCGGTAACTATACATTTCGGTGTATAGAACAGAATTCCAAATACACCTCCGGTAGAATCCTTGAGATCAAATCCGATCCAGTTAAGAAGGCTTTGGAAAAGATTGTAATTGGCTACCCCGATATCTCATTTTCGGTCCAAACCCCAATTTTGAACTTCCCGTTGAACGAACTTCATATTTTCAGCGACAAGTTAAATGCGTTGGCTGAGGAAGAGGAAGGGAAAGGAACCGAACTCGGACACCATCTAAGTGTTTTGATGAAGTTTTTGAATAACGAATGGGCACCATACAACAAGAAGGTTAGCTACTGGACAGATGTTGGATTGATCACTTATGAATAGTAAGTAATGACTATGACTACCTTCGGTGTTACCCTATATATATATATATATATACTAACAGCTATTTAGTCTATGGACTTTGTTCCAGCCAGGAAGCTATATTTACACGACAATTAATAAGAAGTCTCGGGTCCTAAAGCTTAATTCTTTTCAATACCAAAGTAGCTGCTCCTCCAAATGGGCGCAACTTTACGGTACCTACATCGACTACGACGGTACTATGTTCGGCGAATCATCCATGGACTTCACGATCCCAGAGTTCAGAGGCAGCAGAAAAATACTTGAACTTCAAGTTTTCCCACTTGAAAAACATCCAAAGAAAGAGGCTCTTGTAAAGCGATTGATCGATAGAGGAACAAAATTTGTCGGACTTCAAGGTTACCACTGCAAGAAGTACAATGGCCCTGTCCCGTGCGGATCTTCGATTAATACCCGGGTTATGGTCGACTCCCTATCTTACGGAGGAAGCAAATACCTGTCCGCACTCAAACGGTCAGCTGTTGAAGATGAAACGGAAGACAAGTATCACGACGAAGACGGAAATCCGATCGATAAACCAGAATCCACGGAGCTTCTTGAGCTGACTGACGATGAGAAATTGATTTGCACGGCTCTTATTCCGGCATTCACTCTTGATGACCATAAGATCTGGCTGGAAGTTTTCATTGATGACATCCAAGACATCGAATGGAATCCAGAGATCTTTTCCAAGCTCGTGCTTCCGGCTGAAACTAAACAGCTGATCCGCGGTCTTGTGGAATCTCATATCAACGAAAAGAGCCAATTTGATGATTTTATCGAAGGCAAGGGTAAAGGTCTCATCTCTGTTCTTCACGGACCCCCTGGTCTTGGGAAGACCATGACAGCGGAAACTGTTGCAGAATACACAAAATCCCCACTGTACACCATTTCCGCGGGTAGTCTTGGGACAAACGTATCTAGTTTGGAAAAGAGTTTGCGACGTATTCTAGATTTGGCTCAAAGATGGAAGGCGGTCCTCCTGCTAGATGAAGCAGATGTTTATCTCGAGGAGCGATCGGTTCATGACATTGAACGAAATGCTCTCGTTAGCATATTCCTTCGCCTTGTCGAATATTATCAAGGGATCCTCTTCTTGACCACAAATCGCGTATCGACTTTTGACGATGCGTTTCAATCGCGAATCCATGTTGCGCTTCGCTACAGCAAGCTCGATACCGACGCACGTGAGCAAATCTGGAGAAACTTTATTACTAGGATGGATAAAAGGGAGACGAGTATTGTTGAGGAGGATTATAAGGAACTTTCGGCTGTGGATTTGAACGGAAGACAGATCAAGAATGCGATCAGGACCGCGTTGAGTATTGCTGATACTAATGGCGAGACGCTGGGACTTAAGCATTTCAATATTGTTTTTGGGGTAATGGCCACCTTTGAGCGTGATTTGAAGGGTATGAAGGCTTCCCGAACATGAAACAATTTATACGGTATATATGTCTGGATGGCATCGAGCAATATTTGTATTGTTAAATTCTAATTACCTATTATAGCAGAGTTACAATTATAGATTTTGGTTTTGAGTCCCTAATTTAAGGAGTCCTTAAGGCACGATAAATTTTATATTAGTGTATTCATTTTTCTGTGGAGAGCTCTTCTCCAAAAATTGTTATTTAATGCGACGCAGATATATCTCACCAGATCGGAGTAGGCGGTTCGGGCTTGTGTAAGTTTCCGCTTTTGAAGAATTTGCTTTCTGAAAGTTCCCAGCGGCCAGAATGTGTACCTATGACTTAACAAAATACCGGAGCTGTTGATTTCCAGTGGTATACTAATATTCTAATTTTGGTTTAGGATACTGACTGTTCAACAAATCAAAAGATTTAGGTAATAGGTAAAATGCAGCTGGAAAATAGTTAATAATAGCTTTATTGGTAGATAGAATGGAGGCGGGTTATGATGCTCGCAGCAGCAATTACTTCTGGTTTACGAGATAAGTGATGCTGCCAACTTTTGAAATTGAGTTGACTTAATTCGTTTATTATTATTGGGCCCATATTAAAGTGAATATTTATCTCGGCGGTAATCACGGAGAAGCTGCAAAATCACCGTTGCTGTTGGCGACCCCCCATCTCGTTCGATGGCTACAGATAATGGCGTACGTCCCGTATTGCTTGCAGATTCCGTATCAACACGCCCCGTACCAAGCAGTTGCCTAACTATTGTTTCGTTCCCATGTAGGACCGCTAATAACAGCGGTGTCTGGCTATTATTATTTTGACTGTCTGCCTCTACAGAGCTCGGAGCAAGTAGTTGCTCAACGACTTTTGGATAGCCACCTATAACCGCTAGCATCAATGGTGTATTTCCATCCCGGTTCTTAGAGTTTGTATTTACTCGACCGGTAGCGAGTAATTGTTGGACAATCGCCTCTCGACCTTCTCTGCTTGCTTTTAACAAGGGCGTATTTTGAAAGTTGTCTGTTGAATCTGGGTCAACGCGCTCTGTGGCTAGGAGCTGCTGGACAACGCTCGTAGTGTTGTTGCCACTGCACGCTGCTGCAAGCGGTGTATCCCCACGGTTGTTTCGCAAATTTGGGTTGACATAATTTATCGACACTAAAACCTTGACTAATTCCTGATGTCCTCCCTTGGCGGCTTTGAATAGTGGCGTTTCTCCGTTGTTGTCATTTCGATCCGCATCAACCCGCCCGGTAGCTAGTAGCTGCTGGAATATCTTCAAATGACCCTCGCTAGCTGCTAGCGACAGTGGCGTGGATCCATGATGGCCTCTGGGATCTACATCGGCAGATTTATCTAGGACCAATTTGAATATTACTTCGTCTCCTAAAATTGCTGCTCTATGTAATGCTGTATTCCCAAATGTGTTTCTTATACTGCTATCAATGTTGTTTTCGAGTAGGAATCGTACCATTTGTTCTTGCTTTGAACCGATGGCCTGATGTAATGCCGTTCCCATTCCCGGTCTAACATGGTTAATATTGACACCTTTTTCAAGCAATAACCGTACGACGGCTTCATGTCCCGCTTCTACTGCATAAAATAATGGCGTCTTACCCCATTGATCCGGAGAGTCAACAATGGCACTTTTTTCAAGCAGTAACCGTACCACGACTTCATGTCCCGCTTTTACTGCATGGGATAATGGTGTCATTTTCTGATTGTCCAAAGAGTCAACATTGACATTTCTCTCAAGCAAAGCTAGAACTATTGCTTCGTTTCCGTTGCTAACTGCATGCGATAACGGCGTTCGACCTTCGTGGTCCTTCGAGTCAATAGCGTTATATCCCCCTGGGGGAATTATATAATCTCCATCATCATCGTAATGAGGCAAGCGAACTCCCGAGCTTTTCTCATACAAGAGTCTGAATACTACTTCGTTGTCTTGACTGGTAGCGTGGTGTAGCGGCGACATGCCATTAGCAGGCTTCCAACTGGTATCGACATCTTTTTCGAGTAGTAACCCAACACATTTCTCGTTCCCTAATCTTGCTGCATGTGACAGGGGTGATAAACCAAGGCGATTATCAAGGTCGGGCTGGCCTTTTTGAACGGAGTAGATGGAAAATAGGGGAAGTATCTCATCACCGGTTTCCAGCAAATGGGCGAAGATTCCTTTCTTCCTTGAAAACTCGAAACTCCGACCCAAGGCAATTCGTTCGTGATTCTGTTGCGAGTATAGGTGGCACAGCTCGTGGAGCTCTGACCCCGACGAAACTTGCGCCTGGGCTTCTAAAAGTACTTGGACTGCTTCATGACTTCCAAGAGCTAGTGCGGCAAGGAGGGGTGGCCCGTAGCGTTCCCTTTCCACTTTGAAGCAGGAGTACCTATCCGGATGAATTCGGATGAGGTTTGCCAAGTTTTTCTCTGCAAGGATGTAAAGCAGACCGGTTCTTCTTTTGTATTGCCGGGTTTTAAACTTTTCGAATATATTTAGGGTATCAATCCAGTCTGGGACTGCGGAATTAAAGGCCAGCAGAAAATTATCTTGAGGAACGGCCCTTGCCGCACTATTAGCGTGGAATAGTATATTCTGACTAGCATACTCTAAAAACGGGTAGTTGATCGAAATTTTTATCGGATGAGTTGCGCTTTCCCTTTCTATCTCTGTTGTAACCGCCGAGCGATGGCTCATGTATGCATTGCAGGATTCTTTAAGCCTCTCATGACTTAGGCTTTCCAGATCAGCACTGTGGTCTGGCCAAAGTTCCTGGAGGCCTCTATCTTTGATCAGAAAATCTCTCACGGATTCGTGGATAAATTGAACAGTCGGGCGATTTGATTTTGTTATTTCAGCAAGTCCCTTCGAAGAACTCGTAACACAATTGCTGATAATATCTTTGGCATCGGGTAGGGTAACGACCGGGATATCCTTGTCGACTAAGTTCTTTAGAGATAGCCCCGACCAAAGTGCGTGGTAGTACTCGCCAGGGCTCAAGGGCTGTTTTGCGTACAAGATCCAAATGATACAGAGCAGTAGCTCCTCCATATTTTCGCTATCCCTCTTAAGCATATCCTTAAACAATGCGCTTAAGTCACCGGGAAGTTCTGAAAGTCGCTTTTGTATAGCGAGTCGGCCTCGTGAGTTTTCCTTGTTGAGGATATCGACAACTAGAACTACCCATAGAAAAACTCCAGCGGCTTTCTGGAGAATTTGGGCGCGTAGTTCTTCAGCCATCACACCCTTGCCCATTCTAAGACGGTTTCTAACATAGCTTTCCAAATCTTGAGAGTGTCCTGACTGGCTTTCCAAAGTGAGTTTGATTCCTCTATCGATATCTATGTATGGATAATGCCGACTCGAAAAACAAATCCGAAGCGGGGTGCCCATTGTTGTAGATCTTTCCGCCAGATCTTCGATATCTTGTACCATTGTCCTGACTTCTTGTTCGTCGCACTCGTCGAGGGCATCGATGAAGCACGTAAACGGACACTCGCCAAGACTAGAAACTGCATTCGTAAAAAGGTCCTTGAGCACATTCAAAGGAGGACATCCGTTCTGATTTTTTGGGATAAGATCGGTATCGTCAAGGACAGTCTGAAGATCGGGGTAACCCTCGAGTAGTTGCAACAGCAACGATCGATACATTCCCGATATGGACTTTTCCAATATCCCTCCTCGAGCGTGGAAGAAGAAAGAAGCGACAACTGCCTTGCGGGCCGCTTGTCTTGTCTTCCCGTAGATAAACTTCATGATTGTTGACTTCCCAGCGCCTGGCTTACCACGGATCCATAGAAAGCCGCAATGATCTGACTGTCGTGCTGGATCGAGCCAGTCTTTATAGTCTGGATGTTTCAAAAACCAGCGACATGTTTTGTCGTGAGCAGATCTAATATCCGTTTTTCTAGAGTTGATTTCATCGTATTTGAGTGAATCCAATATCTCTTGTCGACGATCGTGCGACAAATCCTGGTCTAATTTCTCCATTAGAGGATTTGGAAAGAGGACATAGAAATTGCGGAGTTTTTGCTCTACTAACCACTGTTCACAGCGCTTAAGAATCTCTTCGGCATTTCTATAGCTGGGAGTACCTCCAGGAACTCTCTTGCGTAGGCTGCCGCCGTCGCTGCGGCGTAAGTTTGCCAACCTTTATTTTTATGGGCATCTGAATAGTCGCAGATACCTCGGATTGGGAGGCAGGGCAAGATATCCATTAACCCAGCCGCCTCCATCTCAAAACAAATGGCGTCTAGTTCTCCTGCGATGTTGTCTCGTATGGTTCCGCTTTTTATCACTTTGTTTCCGGAAGCAATGACACCGTAATGAACTACAGGGTTGAAATCTAGCCGTGCTACTCGGGTGACTAGCTTCGACTCGTCACATTCGTCACAGCTAGCCGTTGAAGATATATGCTGAGAGTTTGCGGTAAACAGACGGTCTGGTAAGTCCGGGCGGCCGTAGTTAGGGTGCTCCCCCAGTTTCTCCCGTAAAATAGAAGGGATGCGGCTTTGGCCTAGAGTATGTTTGGCTCTCAAAGTGGATATAACAGTTCCGGCTGATGAATGAGGAATCTTTGCTATTGCCGTCCGCTGAATTTCTCCGTCCTCAACGATTTTGCCCAAGTCATACTGCATCACCCTAGTTCCAACGACAATATCGCCTAGTCGAATGTCTACTGTACTTGGTACCCCGCCCCCAATCCCCACCATCAAGCCCAAACGAATGAATTTGAAAGTTCGAACTAGGTTTGTCAATACATTCGCCGCGTTGTTAGTTCCGTATTGCGTGTCTGGCAAGCATGCAATGACAACGTTATGCCGCCCAATGCTTCCAAGTATGTATGTGTTGCTGTCGTTGGGGTCGGTCGCGACAGCATCGTGAATCTCGTCCAGCATGGCCTGAGCCGCCGCTAGCTCCGTGTAGAGGGCACAGACCCAGGCAATAGTGTAACGGTCGCGCTCTACAGCCGATAAGTCTTTTTCGGATTCATAAACTCTGTCTTCCAGGTAGTGCCTTGTTTTCTGCCGCCTCGGGAGGTGAGACGAGTCCCCCTCATTTTGGTTCTCGTCCAAAGCTCTTTTTCCGTTCATCTCAGGGTAGTTAGGCTTCTGTGACTGAACTGATATTTAGTAGCTCAAGTATAGCCGGCTTTTTCCTCAGCTGATCAGGTAGCCCTAAAAAAAATAAGAAAATTACGATGTTCATGCCACGAAAGAAGTGACGGAGTCGTAGCTATCAAACGCCCTTTCAGGGAAGTTTTTCAGCACTGCTGCCCGGCTACCCAGCCTCCCATTTATGGGGTTGGCTCGAGGCTCTCTGCATCGTGTATTTTTCTCCATGAAAAACTCTGCATGTTTGCCAGGTGCTTCTCGCGGAGGCGCAGTATCCATGTTGACGACAAGTATCCAGCACTGGACAGCCCGCACAGCGTAGCCTCGCGATAGGCTCAACGCAAGACTTCTTTGGTGGTGCTGGCAGTGGTTGGGTTTAAATATCAATGTACTCCAAGTATTGTACCACTCCTGTAATCGCCTCCATGGCGCTTGATTCCCTCGGAACCTCGGCCTGGATATTTCTAGAATCGGAGGTTTTACCAAGGATAAGTCAAATAAATTTAAAATATACTTATCTATATCGCCGCCGAAAAATTAGGCTCTCTTGGATCTTTAGAACTTATATTCGCTCTCTTGAATATTCGATTTGCAGCAGCCTTCAGGGAGACCACACGAAGCACCTCAGATCGATCTAACCAATCATGAATATCCGAGGGACGAACACGGTGGTGCGTTGAACAACTCAGAACTCAGCCGCATTCGATGTGCTGCAATCATTCAATACTCAAGTAGAGCTACAAGCTAGTCTCGGCGATAAACAACTTGTGCTCTGTGTGGTCTAGTTATAGAATTAGTATATATACCTTGGAAGGCCAAGCCAGTCTCATAACGAAACTGTAGGGCCAAACATTAAAAGTTCACCGAAAACAAAACGTTATGTGAAAATTTCATGCCAGACTGGAGAGCCATAGTGCTCTGAACTTAGGAACAAATTTGGGCATTCTTCAAATTAAATTCAATCTTCGTGATCGTGGTTAGGGGACTTTTCAAAGAGTTGGGACAACAGTGGGTATCGATATATCTAGAAACGACTTTGAAGCTCGATCTTCTTACTAAGTAGGAGCTATCAAATTACCTGTTCTTTTTATTCAGGGAGAATACAAGTCGACGTTGCTCAATTAATAACATCATGATATGCAGAAACCAATTGGCTGCATGTACGTCGCCGTAGATACAAACTTGCGAGCACGTCTGCCCAAAAGGTTATAAGAGATATTACCATTAGTTCACAAGAAATAAATTATCCCTAATTATTACGGTATTTTCCTTTATAAGCTAAGACGAGTTATTATTGGATATGCGACAAAACTACTTCCACTCGGCGGAACGCCGCGCATTCTTTGTCCGAACTCTTTGTGTTGCGTGTCATTTTGAGGTCGCACAACGCCAGCCAAAAACGGACATCAAATCTGGAAAGGCCTGATTGCAAGACGAATGGTAGTTAATTGGAGATGTCTTGAGTTTCTTTGATTAGCCCAGATTGAGCTCAAGGCATTCACTATATCTACTTGGGAATCGAGATGTAGCTTCGTTTCACCGCTTTAGTTAACGTTCAGATTTCGACCTAATTTTGGATTCTCTACAGCTGGCCTACACAACCGGACCTCATTCAGACCGCTTTTAGCCCTCTGACACCATGGTCTCCAACGAAACCCCCCCTTTCCAATTAACAAGAGATCGGGGCTACTATTATCATTGTATATATACACTTAGTTTTCATGTGGCGTGCCAGTTCAAATCAAGTAGTAGCCATCATCATATGGGCCAGAAATTCATACAAGCTAGAAGAATCGCAGCTGACGGGCTTTCTGATTCGGCGCCTGGCTTCGAAACTACAGCAAAGCGCTAGACGATGAATCGACGTGTTGACCTGTTGGCAATTTGGATTGTGGTCACTTTCTACGAGGCTGATACTTTCTCACCTGCGCCAGAGGAAATCACGTTCGGCGCGCAGCGCTGGCGGCATCAACTGTACTCACATATAAATTGCCTGTTCTCAATTTCTGTTTAGTTTAATACTCTCCCAAAGCTGGATTCCTAGCCTTGTTTTCGTCTTTTAGTTGATATTGTGCATCGGCAAATCTGAATCTCCCAGTGCGAGCCCGTATTACCACAGCCACCCCCAAATTTGCAAGGCGCCAAGCTTTCTCCAGCCAACCAACGTTCTTTTCTCGTGGCCACCGGCTCCAAGGATAACACAGTTACGAGGCCGGGAGCCCCTGGGAGGAGCCCAAAACAATCGAAAAGAGGACCCGGATAGAGCGTTCCGGAAAACTGATCCATGCGTCGATCATAAGGTTACCTTGTCGTTATCTCGTATAATCCACCCGGTAGTCGATATTTGGGGGTGGTTTCGTTTATGGACTGAACTTATTGGTCGATTATTTTACTAGAATGTTGAATATTCTGAGTTGTAGGTCCGAGAGCGTCGTATGATGAATTATTACGAAGGGTGAAACTTAAGAAGTTCGACTTATAAGCTTAATATAGCTATTAGATGCTATATTCGCACTAAGACTTTCAATTCGCTGTTTGTTGGTGGGGGATACGAATTCATGATCATGATCGATTTCCGCAAGGCTCATTTCGAGCGTGAATTCGTAAAGATGTGATGTAGACGGGTTATTGCATATTATTTTGGTCTACGCACGAGCCTTTTAGCATCAGTGCTGACCACCATGGAATATTGATATTCCGATCTCTTTCCGGACTGTAGGTAGCGTTCGGGTATATTCCAAACGACACGAGTGGTATTGTCGCTGAGTTGCCATATCCGCTTCGTCCCGCTCCCTCGCCAACTAGCCTACCCGGCCCCGATATTAAGAGATCCACCGCCAAAATTCGTTCAAGTTAGGCTAGTGAAAATGAACTAAGCTATTGCAGCATAGTGTAGCCACTGTGGTGCTCCAATCCCATCAGGCACTTCAAGGTATATAGAATATCTACGTGTTCCTTAGTACTAGTCGTTATGGCGATAATATTGTTGAGTACGAGAATTTCATCTAAAAGGTCCCGGCTCATCTTGTGCAACAGTTCGCATTGCATGTGCATATGCAATATTCAGAATTCCGATGTGGGGGTGTTGCAAGTCCGACGGATGACGGAACTGGATACATTCTAAATTTATGTGGATCTCGTAGTTGTGCTGACTATGCCAATCCCTGTCTCCCGATCCCCCCACTCGTATACTCCGAAAAAATATCTTGCCGTAGATTCTTGATTAGTTGTTGCGGCTCCTTGGCCCGTTTATACACTGTGACATGTTTTGTAAGCCGGTGCTGTCATATGGCCCTCTTCTTTGATTGTACTAGTGCAATGTACATACGTGATTGATTAAATCCAATCAAATCTTAAGTCCTTTGAAACGTCTGTGTTTGGTATAGATCATGCCGTTGCGAAGAACAAAACTCGTAACTCGCGTCGCCATACCCTGCTGCAAGTCTATTGAGAATGTTCTCTTGTACCGCCGAATTGTGCTAAAACCGGATCTATCTGGGTTATATTAAAACGGCATCCCATTCGTGTAAAAGTGGGGTCAGTCGGTAAACGGGTCTTCTAAATTTTGTATGGAATTTATAGTCTCGACATGGATGGGCTCCCTAGATCCCTACATCCTTGCCATATGCATGCTGCCGGATCGACGTTGCAGCTCCCGGTACGATTTCACGAGTTTATGGAGCCTCCTCGTGGCAAAATTAAAACAAGGAATAGATATACTGGCCCCCATTCTACATCAGGTTTGGTAGAATTAGGTAAAGTCATTTGGTTGATAAGTTATTTCCGGATTTTTGTCTCCACGAATTGGGAAGGGTAAAGTAAATACAGATCAGATTCCCATAACGGCAAAAGACTTCTAATTAAAATGTATACGAGTTGAACATGGGGTCTGTGCCCGGCGCTAGTCTTGTCACTTGTCTATGCTTCCCTTTAGAATCTAGAAAATAATTGTAATTACCCATGTGAGCGGGATGCTGTACCTACTAATTGGGAAACTAATATTGAGTAGGGTTTGAATCCACAATACCGATCGAAATTTTAAAATACACAGTCTCGCTGAGATGCAGCCACCCACAGTCATGAAAACTGTTTGCTATTTCTGATGACCAGTTCATACTAGTAAAACCATAGTGTGCTTACGTCCTCCCGGGCAGTCGACATTGACCGTCATGAGTAAGCATATATCTTGAAATACTGACAATTTTGTTTCATGTTCTGGTTATAGAATGTATGCTAATATCGATGTATATTTATGTCGTGAAACCAGTTCAGGGTTAGTAAGTTTACCAGCGATGTTATTGGTTTACCACGTGCGTACTATTTCAACCAGCCGTTTCTATTGTCTGCACCTAACGTTAACACCGGGATTCCGATACCAACCTTTTCAAAAACAAGTGTGAGACATTTCTATATTATGATTCAGTATGAATACTGGGATAAACCCCAGCGTACTATCAGTTATAGTGTGGGTTTTAAATTATATTCCTTATGTATGATATCTTCAGAAGTTCACTGTTCAGTCACGAGGTAGTTTGGATACGTGCACCGGGCGGGCAATACGGCATGTTACAAGCGTATGTGGAATTCTGAGCTGAATGACCCCCCGTCCGCGTAAGCAACTCGTATACGAGCTGTTGATGTGATGTTAGACTTGCATTTACGAGAATTTGTCTGAAGTTTCTATACGATCTAGATTAGTTGATTTTGATCACCAGTCTGAGAATGCTTTCGTGTCTTGCTACAACGGCGGAAATAATGATGTATAAAAGACCACTCGATTCCCTCTCAATCACAGAAATCAATCCAGCAAGCAAGACAACCAATTCCAATAGCAAGATTCTCTACAGCTACATTCACATAGTATTTACTATTTAAGCAACTGCACTCGCAATTCAAACAATAGACTTTACTAAGTCCACAATCAAAATGCTCGCACCACTCGGTCTCATCGTTGCATTTGCAACCGTTCTCCCTACCGCTATGGGACACTGTATTTTCTTTCCATATTCCAGTCACCCGCGGGACTATTCACTAACAATTAATAGATACCTTTCCCAATCTTCTTTACAAGGGCGCAAAGTTTCCTGATTACACTTACATCCGCCGCACTTTTAACCACATCTCTCACTTCCCTCTCTTTGACCTGAATTCTACCACTCTTCGCTGCTTCGAAGATGAGAATATTCCAGACCCTGGTACTCTCACTGTCAAAGCCGGTGATACCGTCGGTTTCACCGTCGACGGAAGAATCATTCACGAAGGTCCACTCGTTTGGTATATGGCTCGTGCTCCAACCGGTAAAACCGCTAGTACTATGGATGGCAGCGGGCCCATTTGGTTCAAAATCAACCAAACCACCCCTTATATCGGAACCACCCCGGCCCCAATCGAGACCTTCAAGTGGCCACACTACAGTATGTTCCATCTACTTCACACAAGTTAATAAAAAAAACGAATTAATCAAATTCTAACATAACAACAGACGCAAGCGAAGTTCACATCCAGGTCCCCAAGTGCATCCCATCTGGCGAATACCTCCTCCGTGTTGAACACATTGCCATCCATATCGCTTTCATGGAGGGCCAACACGAGTTCTTTGGTGCATGCGCACAATTGAGGGTTACCAACGGACTCGGGACCGGTGCTCCATGGCCTTTTGCCCAATTCCCAGGTGCTTACAGAACTGATGAGCCTGGCTTGTTTTTGAATGTTCACGACAACTGGGTATGCATAGTCTCCTTTCTCATATTCTGTTCAATTTAAATTTTAGAACAGTTTCGCTAATGTTGAATTCAGGTTCAACCCGACCGTTATGAAGTCCCAGGACCACCAGTCTGGACTTGTTAGAGAGGCTTTGTTCGAATAAAGCCAATGTTTTGGCGAGGGTGTTGGATTGTGAGGTAGTTGTGTTGCGGTCGACTGTGGGTGGTAGTTAGAATGTGTACGCAAGTGAACGGGGGTTACTGTTGGAAGTTAGCAAGCTGAAGTAGTAGACGTAGGAGTAGACTGAATTTGATTCTATACCTTTAAATTTCTTGGCCCATTATAAGGACTCGCAGTTGAGTACGCAACCAAATCTCGATTACTATATTCCGCTTGTCTCGTACCCAGACCCGGAAGGTATTCCGCGTGATATTTCTCTTGTACATCATGTATACACCGTTGCGTAAGGCTCTTAATTAAGGTCAGAGATTTATGGACATATAATGCATTGTTATGCGGGAAAATGAAAATTTTAGAATGGCATAATATATCATCATTCTTCACAGCCATTTATAGACTCAATTCTCTACCACTTCGAGCCGTCTCAATGTCCTATCTGCCAAATTTAAACTCAATTTTCGAGACAAATTCAACCTGCACCGTCTCTCCTTCCTTTCTGTTAAGGATTTACACAACGGCTAGACCGTTTTTTGATGGGATTTATATCGACCAGCCTCGGCGAACTAGAAGCGGACCGTGCCTCTACATCACCCCTGCTAGGAAACCGTAAATGGCTCCCAAGCCGGCAAGAATCGCCAACGTTATCTTTAATACCACTTCCGCCACCTCCTTCAGCGATTTCTGTGAGGTGCGTACATCTAATCCCTCCTTGTATATCAAATATGAAATGACAAGGAACAAAACGAGGCTTTGCCTCAACATAATCTTCACATGGAATGTCGTTTTGGCAGAATTGTGATAGCGGTTCTGTACGATATTGAGGTCTGGGTGGTTGACGCCATCGATTTTAACCTGGGGGCAACCGTCATTCGGGGCTAATGGCGTCGTCTAAATTGGAGGTAGTATATAAGTTAGAAAATTTGCCAGCGGATAATATATTACAACATCCATAGTTTGACGGCAATGATGCAGCATACCATTATCTCTATGCTCCTTAGAGTATATGCATGAAGAATTAACCAGCGATATACCCATAGCAACAAATTCGGTTTCTCATTGCCCTCTTCTCGGCCCCACGTCTGATGTAGAACAGCTCGTTCGATTTCCTGATGCCATTCATCGTCTCTACGTTTCCCGTATTGAACCCCAAGATCCCTGAAAAGAGCTTTGGCTCCCGGGAACCCGAACGGTTGTATTTCTACAACAATATCTAAGCGTTCCCTCAGGGCATATCTTTCCCCGGAAACAACCCTATAGCCTGAATCGAAAACCCGGTGTCTTGCCGGCGCGAACCTATGCGGGGCGGGAACGGCGCGAGAGGGAGCTGGGGCATCGTCGTCGTCGCTAACTCTTGCGTGAGCGGCCGAACTTCGGACAACAGGAGGTGGCTCGACCAGAAGAGCCGGCAGGCTGCTTCTTCTTGAAACTTTCTTTGCCTGATCCTCCATCTCTAACCCACCCCAAGTGAGCGGCGGCTTATTGCTGCCCCTCTTCTTGTTTCTCGTTTTCATCTTTACTGGCTATTGGTGGTGAGATTTAGACTGATCGCAAACGAGATAGTAGCGACAATTTCCTGGCACGCTAAAGCAATCGAATTTAATTGGGATCAGAATGGTGATGGCGGAGATAAGAAAATGGATATTGCAAAGACAATACATAAAATTCGGGCTCATAGAGTAAGTGCAAGAACAAGGGGAATCATAAGTTGGTGTTGTGATGGAAGCAGCTGACTTTGAACGCTAAAATGGCGTCAGAAGCCAGTTCCAGCCTCGACACCTATATACGTCGCCTAGCTAACAACTAGTTACAGAGCTGTATTGCGCCAATTTTTGCATCTACGGGCTGCCGGGCACCCGAGGTTTTTTTTCCGTGGCGAGTTTCGTCTACCTACCGTTTTATCGAAAAGTCGCAGGGGAGGATAAACACCCATCTAAATTTGGACACAGGCAGGTGGGATACCGTCGGTTGGTGGCTTTTCGTGGTTCCTATGATGACACGAACTTAGCTACCGAGGGTATTACAATATTTCTTAAGGTATATATGCAGTTACATTTTTGAATTCGACCCTTCTCGAAGGTTCCGACCATATCCTCAAAGTCATCAATACTCATCGGTTTATCCCATATTGGTCCCGGGTTCACTAAAACTTTTAATAGACGGGATTCGGTAGTAAGGATAGCCTCAGATGCCTCCCTATGATAAACGACCAGGAAAATGACGCGGGCCGAAACTCGAAGGAGATCTTTCGTTTCAATATCATCGTTTGCGAGAAGAAGTTTCCCAGGCCCGAAAAGAGTGCCATGGAATACTGGTATGGCAAGAACTGCAGCGGTATGAGAACGATTCCTTCATTAGTGAATCTGGCATCGGAATTTAATATAGAAGTCCATAGGGACTATCGATGTTTGGTATACATACTACCAGCCATATCGTACCGCTTTAGCTCTTCTTTCAGGCTATCCGGGTCCTCGTAATCGATGTAGAACAGACTGACACGATTGAGGCTATAGCCGTCCGGGAAGACCCAAGATAAGAAGACCTGGTGCTGTCCGCGAGTAGGACTTGCGGCTCGTTCTTCGTAAATCCTAGGGCATCCAGGACCAGGGTTTTGGGACCCGGGGTATACCCAGTACGAATATGTCAGAGCTAATATGGCGAGTGTTGCAATAGTAACTCTCTGCCAGTCATACTCATATATTGAAGTCGCATGAAATTTTTCTGCGATGTTGGAGAGCATTGAGGGTAACGTTGCAGGGCTGATATGTAACATTATAACTCGGATCCTATCGTTGTCTTGTATCCGGGTGCTACAGGCGCTGACTGTGAGGTCTATGTTTGGGGTATATTGATGACGGGTCCGAAATTCTGTTGTTTTTGAAGGGTTGGAATCTTAATACGATCTGTTAAGGTTTTAAACCTTAAAACAACCTCACCAGCGTTCCCAGCGTGGCCTGCTTCTTGAACCTATAGCGTTTTCTAAAGCTGACTAATCGAACTCGTGGCTTTAACAAGGAAATCAACTTCCCTGAACACAGGGACTCAAGGTATCAAGGATCGGTGATTCCGATATAGAAGTGTTAAGGCCAGCTCTGGCGGGTGGCGTCTCTTGGAGCTTCCTAGGCCTACGTGGCCCCTCGAATTGAAAATAAATAAATAATAAATCCACTAGTACCTAATTCTATTGAGCGATAATGGCATATACCCTTAATTTACCAGTCCAAAAAACTCTCCGTACAACAGGATATCCGGTGAACACATATTCGGTACATCTCTGAGAACTTTTAATCCTGCCGGCTAGCCAGCTAGCTTAGTTCTAGGCAGAGGGTAGGACTGGAATATGAAACCGGAGGATTATTTCATAGCCTGTATCTCAATTCCTAGCCTTTTGAAGATGTCACCTCATTTCACCTCGCGAGGTTGATATCATGATTTGAGTCAGAGTTCCCTAAGGCTTGGGCCCTGACGTTCAATTAGCGGTTGATCAATTGATCCGCCGCGGCTATTATACGAAGGCCAGGTGCCAGACGATATCACAGAGTTTCAGACGGAAGAACTCCAAGTTTATAAACGAGGTACCCGCTGTCTCGAAAAACGGAAGTTTGACTGTCGCTTTACCGTAATCGTAGATGCTTCGAATTTCATGGTTCTATGGATACCGATACCCGTTGACATAGTTTTCCCTTTGTGATATCTTCCAACGACACTACTCACAGCTACAATGACCAAATACCCCCCGGTAATGTTCTCTAAGTGGGGTTTTATAGTATTCGCAACTCCCGGTTTGTCTCCGTACTGCTCACACTCCCACCCGCTGTACTGTCCTACCTTGGCAATCTACAAGGACTACTAATAAACTGAATCTATAAAACAAATCCATCCGTCTTTTATATTTCGTCGGAATTTGAGCTAGCTATAGCCCCAGGTTCAAACTGGTTAGTATGAAAAGCAAACACAATTTTCAAGTTAGGGTAGGACGGTAATGAAATGCCGTGGAGCTATTTACCGGACGTTAATCTACATTACGTCATGACACTAATGATGTGGTGCAAATCTCTCTTCCATGGGGATTCGCTTATCGGAACGACAACAAGGCACTGTGGCTCTGTTCGAGTCATTAATATTAAAGAGTCTTATCTTATTATAATCTTAGGACACGTTAGCAACGTCTGAAACCAAGACCCCGCAGAGAATTTCGGATGTATGTCTGTGCAACCCCAATTTTAGTAGCCGATTGACTTCTGGATATCTATTCCGTATACGTACATGGACACCGCTCGAAGAAAATACATCGATGCATCATGAGATCAGCATGGCGTGACATTAGCAGAACCTGAGAGCGCAAATCCTTGCCTCAACCACCTTAGAAATACAATATGAAGTTTGCACACTTTTCATCTTGGGTGTTTCTTTACTTTGGTTGTAGGGCTTTGCTATTGGCTGCAATAATCAAATTATACAGACTCTATGGGGGGTCGACCGGTCTATATAGATCTATTGTTTGTTTGAGAAGAATTAATTGTCTGGCGTCTAATTGAAAGCTTGAGGGGTTCGAGGACATGTCGACACTAGTGATATTCTAGCAAAATCAGAAGGGAAAGATAAGTGGGGATAGAGTGAACTCAAAAACTGACCAGGGATTGGATTAGTTCCCGAATCCAACCAGCCAGCCAGACGCATGTCGAGCGCGATGGGAAACAGCTTCATTCGTTTGTTTAATTAAACGACTAAGCACCCTCCCATCTACAGCTTTTAAATTTTCGGCTAGGATTAGCCTCGGCGAAGCTTAACCAGCCCATCCTAGCCAAATTTTTGTTCACTGAACCACTGATTACTCAACATAACGGGAGGGGCTACTACTTGAAACCACGAATTCACACGTTCGCTCCCAGCGATCATATTAAAGGTTAAGCCTTAAAAGCCCTCTCGGGATGATTGTATTATATATTCCCCTATCATATCGTACCCACAGGATTGAAAAGAATATATTTTAACCGGAGGGCGTTGGGCCAATGCAACCTTCGATTGGCGGTTTCCCAATGAACACTTGGTGCCGCGAATTCCTGGACACCACTTCGGGTGTGCATTTCAACATCGAAGTGGTATCTGATCAACCAATCGATTGTCTCAATTAAACCATTTTGGTTCTCTAGTTCAAGGTTTAAGCGTTTATGATCCTTTCGGCTAGGTAGGTATACGCACCCAAATTGGGATGATGCCCGTGGACCCTAAGTGGATAATTGTGAAGAGGCCAGTGCGGTCCCCAAATAGGAAGAAACTATTGATACATCGTTGTTCAATATAGAAGTCGATGAGTAAACATATTTTAGAGAAAATTTCGAAAAGGCATTTCTATAAACGATCATAGAATGTGACGCCCCCCTTGACGATGTATATCCTTTCAGAAGACGGCCCGACAGTCTATTAGCTAACTCTCTCTTTCTCTGATTCGTCTGAAATATCTACAGGTTAACTGCGACCCTGTAAATGCGCAGAGCTGCATAGAGTTTGCCCGTTCAATTGGCCGGCTGGCCGGGGCGTTGGGATATCCCATGCAACAAAGGATGAGAAATGCCGATACTACTAGTAAATGAGGCTTGTATGAGATACCCCGGCACGTCTCCACAGAGCTTTATCTAACTATCTATGCGTGACACAAATATTGCGGGGATAGGCCGTGGGCGGCAACCCCGTTTGAGCGGGAGGCTTGTGGGTACTAGTGCCTGACCAATGCGTTGCATCGCCACAACATCCGATGAATTTACATAACTTTGCTGCAAGCTACAGGGAACTCGAGTATTCCATATCAGAATATGTGCGCGAGTGCATCACATCCTTTTCCAACAAATACGAAGTTGGTATTAAAATTTCGCTCTTTGCGAATGTATCGGATGACGAGACAAACTTTGCTGGGGATTCACCGTACCGGAGTAGTTGGCGCAGATTCATGGGAGCGGCTCAGGCGCAAGCTAGCTCTCACGTGTGGTTTTTACAATATATCTCGAAGAAATTTGCAAAATGGCCAATAAGTCTATTGAACTAGTTCTTTTTGCTTCATGAAAGAGAAGTATATAAAGAAGGGGTTTTCCATCGTAGAGTCTTCTTATTCATTCTCAATCCATAAGACTCTTCCAATTCAGCAATCGAATCATTTTTCAAACTCCCAAGTTTTCTTGAAAAACAGGCAGTCTCACTTTTTCAATACCCTATCTACCATATAAAGGCACTGTAGAGTCAATCGACATGCGTCATTCTACTGTTCTAGCTTTTATTGGATTGCTACTCTCCGTAGCATCAGCGGCACCAGTCGGTGAAGCATTCTCGCCCAGTGAAGTAATTGCTGCTTCATCCAACATCCATTTACCACGAGCACCAGAACCGGCAACCACTACAGCCGCTGTAGCACCTCCAAAGGATTTCGATGTCGAGTTCTTTGATATCCCTTTAAAGCAGGCGATATCCCCAAACAAACGAAACGTCGAACGTCTATTCAAAAGGGGTGCCACATGCTATGACCCCGACTACTATACCTTCAACACTAGCGACTTCTGGGCCATGGAAAACAGCTTCTGGCCCCGTACCGACTGGTTGTACATAGAACATTTGAAGGTCGGCACTTGGACTTGGGGAACGGTTAGGATCTGCTTTGCAAACTACTATCTTTTTGCGAACACAAATGTTTATGTTAGAAATTTTGGGGATGCAATGGCGGTGATTGGGGGCTGTTGTACCGGTTCAAGATGTGCCGGAGGTTCTACTACTGTTACCGGTGATAATGGAGTGAACATTTCTGTTTGGGTTTCTCAATCGGCAAGAGGCTGCTTTACCTAGGGACTAGAAATTGGACAGAATTTCTTGGACTTTTAGCTTGGGTTTGCTGAATATCGGGCGGTAGTTGGCTATATGTGGTCGTTGGAATAAATTAGTGACCCTTATTGAACCTTTTTCTCCTGTTGTCAATGCTGGTGGTGGGCTCTGAGGCCAGTCATTTGTATCAACTGATGTATTTCATGGTACTGCGCTCTTTAAAATCCGAATTAACTTCTTCAAGTTGACGATAAGCATGATCATATGAGAGGACCATAGTTACCCTCTGCTCTAAATTTAATAACCTATTTCTATGCAGCGGTGGCGCATTGCGCGTTGTTTTTGTTGGGAATCCGACACCCAAAATCGGAACATTCCGTCACTATGATGAGCCACACAGTGGCTAGTGAGAGCGTGCCATGGGCCTTACGTATACGAGGTCGTAGTCAAAACGTATTGCGACGATGATATAAATAACCCGAGCTAGGAAAGTTTAAACTACAAATCGGCAGACAGGTAACAAATGCTCAAGCTGGCAGGACTAGCCATTGAGTAAGTGCATCAATGTCTAGAAATAAGGCTACCGTAGGCTATCTCCCGGACGTCTGGAGCGCACGAATATTTATATTATACGTACAGTGTGTATCAAGGGACGTTAGTGCATTGTTACGCGTCGTATGCATTCCTGTAGACCTACACTCCTCAAAATTAGCTAACTTGAATTTGTATATATGGTTATTAGAGCTGTAAAATAAACTCGGGGGAATTCAGCATCACTGTCGATACTACCGTACTATCAAATATTTACAAAAATTAAAAAGCGTTGAAATGTATTTCTCTTTCCAATCTGAACGTCACTACAAAATATAGCACAGGATCCTGCTTTTCGAAACAAATGATCTTCGATCGAGTAGCATGATATAAGGGGAGGACCCCGGAATACTGGCTTAAAGCTTCGTCCGCTTCAGGAAATGGGGAGATAAATTTATATAAAACTAACTACATTATAATGAAATACCATCATCTGTATCCACCATTCTACTCTTGCGCCAAGACGCCGTTGAACTTGAGAATTGCGTATTTAGGAATTCTGGCGGGGGCAACTAGCTCTTCGGGGCCAGGGGAAGGGATGGGAGGTACAGGCAAGATTCCGGCCGGACTGATCGGCTCAGTCTCGTTCTGACCCACCATCTTAGTAGGTGCCTGCCCTTTTGGTCCTGGAAGGGGAACTGGTTTGGGCAAAATGTCATCTGGAATTGACCCCCAACACCCCAAGATCTTTTCAACTTTCTCCGCCTTCACATTAGGAGAACCTGGTCGAACAACAATCACTTTCCCCCCTTGGACCCCAGCGAGTGCCAAAGGAGGGCATTTCTCCTCTTTTAAAGGTCTCTTTTCTTCCTCAGGAGAACCCTTATTCTCACCGCTGATGTCCTTGGTTAGGCATCTAGCTTTGATGGCATCGCCGGACAGCTGAAGGTTCCCTCCAGCTAACGAGAAGCAGGCCTTATTAGTACCAAAATGGGTTTCCTTGCCACCAAAAGCGACTATCCAAGTTTCATCTACCACGCCGGGTAAAAAGCTGACAACGTCAACATTATGGAATTTGACACCCTCTTGCTCTGCGGCTGGTAGAGTTGGTTTGTATATATCTGTCGGTAGGACCTTTTGGTTTGCTGCGTCCAGCTTCGAGGTTTTGGGGGAGCCACCGCCGAGGAGCTTTCCCGGTGCTGCAATAATGCCCTCTTTCCCATTTACTCCAAGGATATCTGCGGCAATTTTAAGCAGACCTGCGTCAAGGTCTACTAAATCGGCATATGTCTTTGTAATACCGTACTTCCTGAGAATTCCCTCGGCGATTGCAACGAGTTCGCTGAGTCCGGGTCCAACCGGCCCACCATTGGCAATCTTGATGTCCTTGTCGGGGCCATCTTTTAAAAGATCCCCAAGGATATCTAAGCCTATAGGCTATTGACTGGTGTTAGAGCGATATAATTGGAGTAATGAGTTGGACGAGCGGCATCTTTTTGAAATAAACTTACTGCTGGCTCTGGCGTAGCACTTGCTGCAACAGCAAAGGCAGCTAGAAATATATATCTCAGAAGCATTTTGATTTATTTCTTTTCTTTAGAGCAAGGGCTTGGCAGGGTTTAGCCGAGGATTGACGTTGTTCGCAATGGATGTTGTAAAAGACTCTATTTTTCAAGTAGCTGAAATAGCTAGCTATGGTTTAATTGAGAGTGACTTGACGTAGGCTTCGGGAGGCTACTCTGGTCCAAGGATCCGTGATGAGGAAAAAATAATAGTCGATAATTGTGACAAAGACGCCTTTTATACTTGTATATTTTAAGAGCTCTGACTTTTGAATCTAATATTCTCACGAGTTGTTGAAGCTATGATGTTCCAATGTTCCCGCGTTGGCTGTGCCGGTGCCTTGTTGCCTTAGCTGCCTAGTGCTAATATCCCGTCTGCTGCATGTAATCACCACCGCAAGGGTCAAGATAACCAATAAATCTATCGAGATGCAAGAAAATTACTACTGTTGTCTAAAGTTGAACTCGTGCCTAGGAGCCAAGGGTACGGTCGGTTAGGTAGCGAGCGAAAATCCCACTTTACAGAGTGGCTCCGATCGATGAAAGGCCTTCGATTGTATCTATTATATGCTAAGTAATTGGCGCCCCGCACGCAAGCGTTCCGGAGATTAAATTAAAGAACTTTATTGGGATCTCATACAACAATTCCAACACACTTGCAAGCTCCACACGGCCACGAGGCGGAACACTTTAGATAGACTTCCAAGAGCAAAGGAGACGGCCGTGACGTCACTGACAAGTATTGCTATTTGTCTAATAATCGCTCTCCAGTAAAATAAGTTTAAATCTCGCGATAAATTAATTTAAATCCCTTGCTCGTAGGCTACCAAAATGCGAGCGAGTGTCTTTGTTTTCTCATTATACATATCAGACCTCATATCTAGAACCTGGGCTAATAACAATAGTAATCGGGTCCTATCCTATCATTAACCCCACAGGTTGCTGAGCAGCACTGTCCCGGGTTCGTAATATTGCAGGGAGTGTCCTTTTTCAGACAACAAGGTGGATTCTCGTACCATAAAAAACAAGCCGTTGTGGTAGCAGTCTTAGTGACCGTAACATACGTCGTTGTACGAGGGCGGTGGACAGTAATAGTCGCAGCGCTCCTGACGCCATAACATGAACATGCACTCGAGTATCGGACTCCGCCTGAGCATCTAGCCGCGTAGCTTGGGATCCGCGTGGGGATTTCAATGGACCGTTTGGGCTTGGCTTCAACCGCACGGCGTCGGATCTCGAAATTCTCAGTAACTGTAGTGGAGATAGTGGTGGTCCGGGTAACTGTAGAAGTTCTTGGGAAGAGGTTAGGGGTTATTTCTTGTAGATTTTGCGGGCCATTAGAAAGCCGCACCTTGGTGACACCGTGATTGTAGTCCGAAAAAACGAAGTGCAATCCCTGAAACCCGAACCTAGAGCAAAGGGAATCACAAGAGCTAAACGGGTCAGCAAAGTCGTGGCGGAGAGGCATGCCATTTTCGATTTACCTCTTATACAAGCGTCGTTAAGGCTATTGCCGCATCGTTGATTTTTTGAGGTAAAATCCAATCCTACATTCAAGGCCGTCGCCACCGCGAAGCCAGTAGATAAGACAATAACGTTGGCAATTGAGAAACGCATTGTTTGTAGTATCAAGGACAAGATGTTAGGCATTAAAATCCAGACTGTTAGAATGAGAGAGATATTACGAGTGGAGTGAAGACACTACCCCGCCTTTTATCGATTAAACCCATCTGCCTGCTCGAGCACCTGACGTTGGCATAAAAGGATATTTACTTTTCCCGATTGTGCCGGCTCTCAAAATAGGGAATAACCCAGGCCAATCTCTCAGCAGTTTTTGCAGCTGAGAAACCTGCGGTTCAGCTGGCCACTTCATGCCAAGGAAGGAAATAGACTACCTCAGCTGTCTGGAATGTTGGGTTTCTAGGTCACATTTTTATGAAGGCGGAAGCAGGCTTGGAAGTTGGGGCCGCCCTTCTGCCCCATCCCCGATTAAGGGCTAGCCAAGCGGGCCAGATAGTATGAAGAACGATCACCATTATGCATGCATCCTAGGCCGGAATATGCCGCCCACCACAACCAACCACGCATAATCCAAGATCTGGTACAGATTTTCATCAGTTAGCAGCACTCCCCCCCTCCACGACTTTCAATGCAAATTATGATTTTTCGATCAAGGAATTGACATTAAATAAGGTGTTAATATAACGCGACCAAAGCTGCCATATATTATCGACACATCGATACCTGGCAAACGCAAGAATGGTTGCAAGAAGTTTTACGGTGACTTGAAAGGGTATTGCTTATTTCCTCTTAGTTGATTACTTATTAAAAGTACCCGTGATGGGTTCAACTTCATAAGCCTACAAAATGGGCTTAGTCGAAATAACAATAACAATAATTATAATAGTTAATAATAATCCATAACTGAGCTGAGTCTCATCTCCGATGCAAGGGCATGCTGGCACCACACATTCCAGCAGCGTGGATCCCACTAGCGCAGGAGCATACGCAGGGGTCCCTAATCTACACATGGGAACAGGATTCAAAATTAATATTTATTTTCTGACTGCTGGAGGGTAGTTCATGGCGAGGATAAAATAATCTTTTGCATATTATGTCGCTCGCGACGTTATAATTAACTTCGTCCAGTTGGCTAGCCAACACATACAGATTTCTTCGACATCGAATTATGTATATTGCGCTTCAGCCTGGTCTCGTAACTTCAGCCGCAATTGGGGGGATCTCGATAGTTATTAAAAGTTTATTCAAGTATCTAGATCAGGTTTGTTCCTTCGAAGGCATCTTACCTTGAATGAAGGGAGCTCAATTCCCTATACATTAGTATTATAATAGGCAGATAAACAACAACTCTTAAGCTCTTTCAGCCCTCCATTTTATATATTTTTCAGTTGTCTTGCGGATGCGCAAAAACTTAACTTATTATTTATGGCAGCAGAAATAAAGATAATTTACGGTATTGATATCTTGAATTCAAAAGCGTTTCAAACTTCAGCAAAGTCCGATTGGACTTCCGAAGACGCGTCGACGTAGGCCCTTATAGCTTATAGTCTTCATCGTGGTCATAGTTTACATCTTTACCAGCCCTTTTGACATGAAAGCGCTATTAAACTCGCATTAAGAATGTATAAACGTTAAACTCCATTTAAGGCTTCACCATTGGAGTTCCTCGGAATCGATGTCACCAATGGCACCATTACAACCATTTGATTGGTCAGGCATAAACAACTCTGGCCTGCTCCAATCATAAATACCACCCCTCTCCACGAAAGACTTCCTATCCCAAACAACCTGTTTCATCGCTTCCATAACTCCAACTTTTAGAATAGATTCGCTCTTGGTCATCATGCCCTCGCCCTTATCCAAGAAGCACATGTATTCATCTAACAGTAGATAGCTGCTCGCCATATGCTTGTTGTCTTCGGGCACATAACAATCCAAGTGCTCGTGCCTTCGGCAAAATGTTTGCCATTGCTCCTCCGTTACGAGAAATTTCCTAGCATCTGTCTTCCGGGTCTCGTCGTCGTTTTCTCCTGCCACGATAAGGCATTGGAACACCTTCCATCGAAATGGAGCTAAATTCTGAATCTCCGTAGCCATGTCTTCATCCCAATTGTAGATGTTAACCACGGTGTTCAGCTTAAATTTGATTCCGTATTTCCTGCACCATGCAGCTATCTGGAACAACCGAGTCACATTACCACCATCGGTTCCTCGTCCTATCTTTTTGTTTGTTTCTGGGTGGAAAGAATCGCAGGAGATAGCAAGGATATCCAACCATTTAGCGTGCTCTTCAAGCCAGTTTTCGCGTATCTTACTACCATTGCTGATTATGCTGATGCTTTCCAAGCCCAGTACTTCCTTGGAGTATTGCAAGATTTGACTGAGAAATTTTGGATTTAAAAAGGGTTCTCCACCGGCAATGTTCAATTTACGCATACCAGCCTGCTGGAGGAGAAGAAGTCCGCGTTTTGCCTCGTCTATTGGAAGGATGTAGGAAGAGGTTTCGGTATGGAAGCAAAATCCACAGTGATAGTTGCACTTTCGGGATGGGAAGTAGTTGACGGAAATAGGTGCATCGGGGTCCGTTCTGGGGTCGATACCACGGCGTTTGAAAACGTACCACGTGGCGGTAAAAATAATGACGAGCACAGTGCTCAAGTATAAAATCATGATGTATGTCGGCATGGTCGTACGTGGAAGGTCCAATCTGGTCTTCTGATATATTATTTCAATAGAAGGGGGGTGAGATTATTAGACTGTGAGATAAGGAGAGGAGGCAAAAGAATCTCGCAATATATATCAAGAGATCAACATATAGGCTGGTTATCATGCCGGAATATCACTCACCTGATGCCTACTCACGGTTTTTGGAGGCTGTCCCCTGTACAGGCTACATAGAATCTATATTTTGTCCGCAATCCTTGCCCTGGAGTATATATTAGGCACCTTATCCTAACTTCGACAATTGAGAAGTTCTCCGCACAACACTTTTCGATACGAAGCGGTCCACACGAGCACATCGAATCAACATACCGTTATCCGTTCATCACAGCCGGCCTGGATGGAGACGTCGACGTCAAGCAGTGAAAATCAAACGCGAAAATATTTCGCAATTGTTTTTATACTTGGTATGAACACAGGCTTATCCTAAATGCTGCGCATCATTGGCTGACGCCGCAAAAGGTGCCCCAGGTGCCGGCAAAGGGACACTGTGCACACACCTCGCAAAAACGTACAACTTGGTTCATTTCTCGGTTGGCGATAATTTGAGAGCTTGGATGCGCGAGAACCGAGATCAGCCACTCGCAAAGCGTATTCAGCAGAAGCTTCAGAACCAAGGATTCTTAACATCCGAAGAACTCAACCCGTTCCTTCTCCAAGCAATACGAAATGCAATGATAAATCAACAATCTTATAACGGTATCCTTTTGGATGGCTTCCCAAGATGCATGGAGCAACTAGGATCGTGGAATACATGGCCGTTTTCAGCCGATCTCACACTGAAAGGTGGTAGTAAACCGGACGTTGTTCTTTCTTTTAAAGTTGATAAGAAGATTGCTAAGGAAAGATATTTGACACGGGCGCGGGATGGTAATGATAATGATGGGGTGTTCGAGAAACGGTTTGCCGAGTATATATTAGAGACTGTACCAGTCGAAGAGGCCTACCGAAAGCGTGGCATGTTGATCGAAGTTGATACGAATAGCACCAAGGAAGAAAACCTCGCGCTATTATCCAGACAGCTCGACGACAATAATCTCTGGCAAGAGCTCATGACAAGTAACATTAGAGGAAAGTCTTTTTTCGTTGTCTAAATGTCCTTTTCCTTTTCCGAAACTACCCTAGGGGAATGACACACCTAAGTAACCATAGTCTCGATACCATATATGCATACCACAAAAGACTCCTACTCCCCGACTACACCCTCCGTCGTTTGCTCCTTGTGGAGGAACTTTCTGGTAATTTACGAGGTGTTTTGCTTGGTCTGCCTGGTACAATGATTTGGTCCTGTGCCGGCCGCAGCATTTCCTCATGGTCTTCGCCGTCAAGAAATCATTGGTTCCGAGACTGTAGAAATCATTCCTGTATACACTTTATAAGAATAGCATGATGCATGATCACAAGCATTCCTGTACTATTCCGTCCCCGCAACCCGACATTGTGAACTCCACATCTCTAATCACTGCTCAGCTTGGGGTCTTTGATCCATTACCAGAACATTCAAAGCATTCAAAAGCACCCTGGAAGTTAAATATCGAAACAAAATCATATTTGTCAATATCATCGTGCGGACTATTTTAAAATGCAGAGGATTTATAAGGATTTATGAAGATCTAAATAATTAATAATGAGGACTGGGCAGTGCACATGTGCACAAAGGTGAAGTGACTAGTGGGTGACGTCAGAGGCTAAACTTCGTTTCAAGGCAATAAATCGATACCTAAAACCAATATCAAGCTACTACATGTTTGAAAGCCGTATAAAAGCTATAAAACGTTTGCCTCGAATCTGGACGCCCGAGGAGGAGATCAGTTGGAGGGTCGGCGAGTCCGCGTTGTAGGTGTCAGGTGATCTGAAATTTGTTTGAATGCAGCGTCTGGTTGTCGCACCAGTCTTTCGTTGTAGACGTGACGAAAAGCATACACGATTCTGTATTGTCTTGTATCTGGACTCGTTCGCGTTCGTGTTTTAGTTTATCGTATATAACGCTCCATTGGTTGGTTGCGCATCTACGCGTTGTCTTGTTCCACATCGACGGCCATCCATCTTGATAATTTCCATCTAGTCATCACTCTTCCTATTGAAAATACCATCATGCCGACGATGCGTCCTCGATTTGATCCGCTAGATGATATTCCAATGTGGACCTGCGTCCCCGAGTTTGGAGTACAGACAATTTACTTAGATTTTCCACCAGACCATCCTCAATATCCTCATCGCGATGAGCCCCCTTCCCCATCTCCTTCTTTGCCTTCTATACTTTCTGAATCTTCATCCTTTGGGATGAATCTCGCCGATGAAAACGGCTTCTCGACCGTAACGTCGTTAAATCAACGTATACGAGATATCCACTCCCTTGACCATAATCAGACGGAGGACCCAGGCCCCACTGGTGATCAAAAGGTAGTCAGCAGCAGTTCACGCGACTCAAATACAACCCTCCGAAAACTAAACGCGCGAGGCGGGGCAAAGCTTGGTCCAGCATTCCAACGGTGTACTACTTGCGGGAATAAAATTAGAACGCCAGAACGACCATCCCAAAAAACGATCTCCCGAAATCAAGGCTCGTCCAAAGTACGCACTAAACAGCATCGAGAGAGTAACTGGAAAAAACAAGTTACAAAGCTCCCAACACGAATACTGAAGACACGCAAAGGATGTCCAGGAACCTCTCATCGCCCAGCGGTGGCCGATTAGTCCTGATCATATTTTTATTTTTATATTTGCCGGTTTCTACTCGCTGAGAGCGGGGTTTTCTGTTACTATTAGCCCGCTAGTGCTCTTGTACCTTTTGATATTCTCCCATTACTGGTATTTCTTAGCATGTCATACTCGGCCTATGTACCTACAGACCCTCTTGAGCAATGTATTCAGCAGTATCCGAATCCATCACATCATCGAAACGCCCGCGCGGGCTCTGGCGCCCAGGCTAGCTCTAAACTCATGATGTCCGAAAGAGTAGAGCGGAAGCCGGACCCTTTTTGGCAAGGGACTTGAGAACTGGTAGTAGAAGGAATTAAGACGGAAGCTTAAGAGAACTCTGGGAAATCCTAGAAAATATGAACAGGGATCAGCAGATAATCTCCATCAAGAGCGAGGTTGTTGAGTGTCACACAAAGCGGGAAAGCCAAGGCCCCACCAGACTAAACTCAATTCGCTTGGAGCGGTCCCGGATTAGGTAGAAGACCAAAAGCAGTTAGCAAATCTCCAAGATTCGATACCTGCCTACTGCCTTCAAGTTCTAATTAGGATGTTTGTCACTTTTGGTGAGAGTTGTAAATTTCATATCTTTTGCGCAATTGCAGGGATGTCTTGCATTGCAATCTACATGCCATCTATTACCATTCTTTTGTACAATCCACATTCGCTTCAAAACATCGACAATGCTTTAACTCTACGTTTGCGAGTAAGCGAATCCTTCTGGCTACTTGGGTCCGTCGAGAAGCCTCGGCTTTTCTTGGATCCTTGTTGACATTCTAATCCATTTCTAAAGACAATAGGGACTTATTCCTAAGCATTTATACATATAATATCTGCAAATTCCATTTTTGATATTAGATCTTGACCTCAGCCCAGCTGATAGGCTCTGAAGGGGATAACCGGCTTAGCTCGAGTTCTGTAAATTATTCCGCCAGACCATGAGAACATACATCCATAACCATGGCCTCATTTTCCCCGTACGCACGGGCGAATCGTGATATCGGTATCAGATAACATAATTCTAGGCCTAGAAATGAACCAAGCGCCTTTGAGAGTAGCTTAGAATCGAGTGGAGAGCCTGGGTCGGTTTCGGATCTTGGCTTTTAGTCTAGAAACGTATGTTAGTGCGTATCCCTCAATATAGACCTAGATTAAGTGTGATACAGATTTCTCTGATGCTCTTTACTACGGAGGGACGTACCTAGCTCTATACATCGTGAATAAGTGAATAAAAAGAATAGGGTTAGCAGAGCAAGGTGCGGTTAGGTCTGAAGCATTGATATCGAGAAGATTTTGCCGGGTCTGTAGAATAATACTGGGAAAAGAAGGTGGGGGGGGGGGGCGGATTGCCCTAGAATCAAGCCCTCTTTCCCTTGAGTAGATTATCCTTCACGCGTCGTCTCCCGAATGGGAATATGTTTCTTTTTGTTGACATATTCGCGTTCGCGGGGGCACGCGGGGCACGCGGGAGAGCAATTGATTGGTGTAGACGTCGATACGGTCTCAAGCACCCCAACAGCCTCGTTGAATATCGAGGCGAGAACAAACCCTACATATTCCTAAGCATGTCGACGTGGCATTCACCTTGTAACGAAGCTACCCCGCACTTGACAGCTGGTTTTTCTTTCTCTCATTTTGTCAAGTTTTTTATTCAGAAGGTTGGGAAGGATCCAGTGATACAGCGCTTTGCTGGCAGCCTCTATCCCGGAGCTAAGCTTGTAGTGATCCTAGGAACTTGGACGACTTCTTCCAATGAGATAAATCACTCTGTATATATCTTGTATGTATTATGCTTGGTAATCATGCACTGTCGAATTAACTCTTTCCAAATTCCTTTGAGAAAAATGGCTTGACACGCTGGCCCCGTTCTACTTCAGTTTACAAGCCCAGGGCTATGATATAGTTCAAGTACGAGACTGACGCTATTCCGTGCCGATTCCTCGAGCGATAGAGCCCCAGCCTTGCCTGAAAAAAGTAAATGATATGCAATATAGCTTCAGAATTTCTTAATCTGACCAATTAAATCAATAGTAGAATTTATTGCAGTAGCAAGTGGACGAAAGGTATCGCTACCTGTCCGAGTGATAGGCATTTATGGTTTTAGATTATGTTCGTTAACAATATCAAGGTAACAACAGGCCCTACTGAAGGTCCGTTAACTGTTCTTTGGCGGGTGGCGCTTGCGAAACGGGTTCTATGTATCTGTACTAGGTACTTACGTTAGAGAATTAATTAATACCAAAGCATTGGCCTTCGAAATTAATTTCAAATGTATGACCAAAGTACCCTTTATACTCTTATATTAGGAGCGTTCCCTAGAGCGAGGTCCCACATAATGCCCACTCCTATGAAAAAACCTCCCTCCAATAAAAAAGACCTACACAGGAACTCGCCTTGGGTTTCACTTTAATATTCTGAAACATCATCTTTATGATCAATAAAATTATTTTCCCATCATGTGGCGCAGATTCAGTCCCCAAGCTTTTCTGCAAGGCGAGGGTGTATCCGCCAATCCAAGATTTCACGATGAATACACGGTCGGGTGGATCTGTGCGTTACCAATAGAGCTAGACGCGGCAAAAGCGATGCTAGACAATATACATCCCAGTCTTCCCATACCAGCCGCCGACGAAAATGCATATACTTTAGGATCAATAGGAGGCCACAACGTTGTTATAGCCTGCTTACCAAAACAGACAATTGGCACTACTGCAGCGGCGAAGGTCGTCACTCAAATGCAGTGCACCTTCGCAGTCAAGATCGGCCTTCTGGTCGGTGTTGGCGGTGGTATTCCATCAAAGCTTAAGCTGGGAGACGTTGTGGTGGGGACTGAATGGGTCCAATGGGATTTCGGCAGGGTCGTACAAGGCGGCTTCCAACAAACTAGCAAGCGAAACACGCCTCCAAATAACCTATTAACAGCAATATCCAAACTCAGGGCTCTGCGTAGAATGGATAGGGCCAAAGGCGGAGGTGAGCGTCTCTCCGGATAGCATGGACCGAAAATGGATCAATATCTAACTGATCTTGCAGAAAAATACTTTAAATTCGCGATTAATACCTTTGCTAAATTCCATCCAAGCCTAAGGGGCCCTAGGGGGTTCACTCTATTGATGTCCACTCTATTGGCGCCCGCTACTTCCAGAATCAGGCCAGCTCGTGTTCGTTATGGTTTAATTGCTTCTGGAAACAGAGTAATTAAAGACGCCGGGTGCCGGGATGAAATCGACAGAAGTCTTGGCGGAGATGTCTTGTGTATTGAAATGGAAGCAGCTGGACTCTTAAATTTCCCGTACATCCCCATTCGGGGTATTTGCGATTATGCGGATTCGAGAAAGAATGACGACTGGCAACAATACGCGGCTGCGGCCGCCGCAGGGTACGCAAGGGAACTGTTAGAATCCATCCACCCAGAAGGACAGTCCATCAAAAGTTTTTTTGGCCGGCTTCTTATGTCATTACCAAAGGATGGGGCCAATAGAAGGGTTTTCGGGACGTTGATGGTGATTTTCGGAACGTTGATGGTGGGTTTCGTATGTTGTCTGCTTTTTTTCCTTTATGAATTCATGATGAATTCGAGATTACTCCATGATCGGCAGATATTATTAGATATAGAACGTCACACGATCGACAACTTTGATAAAATGTGAGTTACATAGTCCTACAGTCCTTCCTAGTAAGAAAGTCACTCGATCCTCTGGCCGGGTGCACGTGCACTGCGTTCCATCCGCTCCTCGTGGAGATGATGTGGTCACTGGTCGATCATTACTTGACGGCTTCGCGACCGGGTAGCAAGACTGGTAGCTGGCACATATGGTCAGGGAGCGATTGAGTAACTTTGTTACATTGGGAACGTAGCTATTTTCTAACGGTTTATAATTTTAGCCTTCGCGAGTGGCGGAATGCCCGTATGAGGGACTCTACTGGCTTTCTGCAGTCAACTACAGCTCTGGTGACGACGGCTCCTAGAACCAGCAAGTACCCCTAAAGCCGATTTTTCAGTGGCCAATGCTTGGATGCCTTTAACGTCATGTAAGAGTTCTTGCCTGTATTCAGTACTTTTCAATCTATGCTTCAGGTTGTCATCTCATCTCAGCATATAAGCAGCAGCGCTGCAAGCTACGTGTTCCTCTCCACGCGAAATGCTATCACATGAGGTATTCCACAGCTGAGCTCCCCCCCCCTTCAAGCGTGAGTATTAAGTATAGTCGTAATGAAAGTAGGTCTATTAAGCAAGTAGTATCTGGTTGCAGTGCAACGATAATCTTGTGTTATGGTACCGATAGTAAATAAAAGTCGCCAACACAACACACAAAGTTTAGTCGAGAAACCGGCGATGCTGGTCGTAAACTAGACAACACAGGTTATGCCGGGGCTTTCTTGACAAGCAAACGGCCTCAACGCAGCAACACGCTGTGTTGGATGACTCAGACCTAGCCCTGATTACTCCTGATCTAGTAAGAAAACAAACGCACACACAAAGTTTCCCTCGCCAAGACCAGCGAGGTATAAATTCACCGCCGCCCCAGCACCCTCTTTCTTCATCAGCTCTCTTCGCCAATTGGCTTAGATCAAGTGTAGTATCTGTTCTTTTCAGTTTAATATCTGAAATATCGTCCACGCGACGATATCGGTTATTAATATTATTTTTGCATTTGGGATGAGATCCTCTTAGCTTGCTAATGTTCTCTCCACCGTGTCTCCAGTATTGCACTGTCTCTGGATGATGCGAATGATCTTTCCATTGTTGTCTTCGTGATACCGAAGATTCAGTAGAAAGATAGAATATTTCAGCCATTAGTTCGGTTTCCATTTTCATCCGGGAAGTAATATACAAGTAAGAACCATGAGGCAATTGTAGGGACAGATGTAGAGACAGACTTTTCGAGGAGGAGCACGAAAAGTCAAAGACAAGAAATTTAATCGTATCGGTTGTAACGCTGTTTCGTCTTATCGCCTGACGTTTTTCTGCACGATCTACCTAACTAGAGTATTAATCTCTTCTATAAGCGCCGGACGAGAGCACTCGTGTATTACAGGCGCGATCTAAGCGAAGAGAGTAAGGTATCGGTACCTCTTCCAGAGAAATAGGTCGTTCTTGGCGAGATTTCCTATTACGGTAGGAGTACTTGCTGGTACCCCGTAGTAGCCCCGGTACGATCGCTCGCAACTACCACTCGCCCATGGTGCATGATGATGCATGATGCACCAGTTCCTTCACTTGTTCGGGTCCCGAATCTAGCTCCATGCACATGGCGATGGTATGCACTCGCACCATGCATCGGCCCTCCTTCCAATCATGCCCCCAGCAACCCTTTTACTACTGATGAGTGTGGACTGACACCGTTTTCACTCCGCGTGAGAATGTCCTTTCTATTCAAAGCTACCTTGTATAGTCCTTGGCAGAAATGTGGTTGGAGGAGCGGCGATGACTCATCTTTGTGTGGGAGCAATACTCTGAGTTAACTGAGCTGGTGAAAATCCATCGTCCATAGCAGTCCATTGTCGCCAGTGCGACGGAGTCTTGTGGCCCAGGTCCCGTCAAAGCGGGCTGGTGGTGATAGCAACCGTTGCGTTCTGCAGATTTGGAGAATCAGTAGTTAGGTTTATAAAGACCTCCTCGAAAACGTACCGGTCTGCGAATTCCTTAATTTCTTCGTCGCCAGTACTGCAGTCCTAAGGTGACCGTTCGGATGTCCGCCCATACTAAGAGAGCCCTTTCTGTTACTGTTGTTATGATCCGAGAAGCCTTTCCATTAGAGATATGGAAATATAATATGGCTGGTAATAAGTAAGGCAGGAGGAAGCGGAGTGTCCTTCTTCTCGACATCATCATCCATCCTTTGGTCTTTTCTACTAGCTTCCAGAACCCTATTATAGATAAAATTAGAATAGATTGTAGTTAAAGCTTCCTGGCTAACTACGTGGACTCTAAGTCTACCTCAAGTATGTCATTTAAACAAAAAAACTGTTTCCTCAATCTTGCCAGAGTCAGTTGATCGTATTTGCGAACTTGGTTAATTCGTTCTAGCATTACACACCAAAAGATCAGAAAAAATAAATAAAACGAGGTAAATATTTATGGTCCTGGGGGGCACTTTCAAATAGATAAGTGTTTCCATGTTAGGGGAGCTATTATTTTCATGGCGGCGGTCATTCTTTAACAGTTTACAAACGAAAAAGAGATCCAGATGTGGCTTGCGAGCGGCGGAATGAGGCCAGAACGTGCTACCTACTCGCTCCATGGGCAACAAAACGGTCTTCTAGCCACCAAAAGCCTCATGCTGGGTCGAAGTTTAGACGTCTTCAGCCTCCCTTTTGTTTCCAGACTCCACCTTTAGTAGTTCAGCAAACAGAAAATATCATGTCTAGCAAGCAATCTCGCAAGGCTGTCGTGACAGGACACAACATAAGGAGGGCGAGACTACAGGAAGGGCTGCCAACCATATCTGAGTGAGGTGGCTGGGTTTTAATATCCCTCACAGGTGCCAGGGAATAAATAAATGCATAAGGATAGTATGAATTAGGTGGGTGTATTGAGAAAGATCGCTGGGAATTCGAAACCCCGGAAAACAACCCCGGGTATCATGCATCCCGGGTTACTATACTGCACCCCGGGTGTTCGCCGGTACCACACAACACGATAATGGAGGAGTCATGAGTTATCGCCAAGATTGGTTATTCGCTGCAGGTACAAGATGCAATGATTGATAGCACACGTGCACATGTATATAACTGCATCTGCGTAATGCATGTACAGAACATTGAACCCTCGAGACGAGATTGGACTCGAATCCGGAGGGAGGGGCGGGAAGGAACGGCTGACATCTTTGCAGTATGCATATTCGAAGCTTCGAAGGATTCCAGAACCGCACGGACGTACGTACGGGTGTCGATAACGATTAGGCCTATCATCGGCACTTTTAAGCCATCTCGCACTGGATGCACGCTTTCGGCTATTTACCTCAGGTGCGGTAGAAGTGGATTTCTATTGGCCTGTATAGATGATGTGCATGATTGCACGTGGTCTCACTTGTTTACGATGTATGTGCCTACTAACGTTTAGTTTGGCTCGTGCTTACCTACTTATCTCGCTAACTGCTAAAATATATGTCTCTTACTATTACATTGTAGCAGGCGCGGCTTATCATACCGCGGTTATACTGTTGCTTTTGGTTGGCCCGCTCATAATGGCAACCCTGTCACTTGCAATAAAATGCTTATACGTGAGTTTAAAGTCCAGTCTTTTGTTATTGTTAGAGTATTTATAATTGTAAGGAGGGATGTGATGAAAAAAGGACACTTTTGTTCGGAAAGGTGCCTAGGCTGATCATGACGATGAGACAATTTCTGGGGACCCAAAACTATGCGTAGCAAAGCAGCTAGTGGCAGAAAGTGCTATGATATCAAACATAATTTAGAACTTTGAAGGAAATGGCCCTCTCAGGCTCCCATCTTTTGCCAGATACACGCTTTCGTTTCAAACTTGAAATTAGCTGGGATGAAGATAATATTCTAAGGTGGTAGCTTGTACGACCAGCGCGCTCTTCTTGATCTTGGGGCTTCTCTCGACGGACCCCGTGAAACAGCCAGCAGCATGCTGTGATACATATTTTATAAGGCTTTGAGATGTCGATTCCCGTGACATCATTTCGGTAGTATTCACCTAGCGGTATAGGTATTCCACGTTCTCGACTAGCGAGCTTTCCTTTTTGCACATGGAACAGTTGTTTCGAGCCTCCTCAGTTAGTTTCTAATTCCTTAAAAATGTTTTTCAGATTCTAGTTCGAGGTCCCGTTAAGAGTGTTAGCTTTTCATGGTAATCCGATTTCAAGAACTTAAATGAAATTAAGGCGGAAGGTCTAACTGACCACGAGTGCCAATGAGGGAAGATTTTGAGAAGTTAAGAGGAAGAGCCCCAGTCCCGTAACAAAACTGTGGAGGAACCTCATAAACTTAAAGTTAGCTACTAGTATACTTACAGAATGCAACTCATTGACTCTGATTATGGTGGAGAAGCATATTTTTCGTGAATTCAGATGGATAGGGTCATAGGGCGGCCGACGGTACACTTGTGCCTCGAAATGGACGGTCTTTTGGGTAATGTGAGGTTTCCTCGAGGACCTTGAGGTTTCGAATGCATTGATGTGCGTGCATATTGAAGCCGGTAAGAGCATCTTAAACGATGTTGAGGCTTACACTAGGCTTAAGGCACGGCGTATTTAAGATATGGTCGGGAAGATTGGTGAATGGAGACAGGAAGTTAGCTAGTAAATGAGGAAAGGGATATTCTTCCTAGTGTCATCTTCCACGTAAACCATTGCCTGCTCTAAATTTCGTAGGATGTATTTACAATGCCAAAGGAGGGAGAAAAGAATAATTTTGATACCAATCTTGCGCTTCATTTATTCTCCCATCCAAGATTTATTCACCTTTTCCACACATGTTTTGATTTGACTTTCATTGTCACTGTTTTGAATCATCACATGTTGATCAATTGCTCGCTTAATTAATCTATATAATTCAACTTAAGGTTCGAAGACTGCTACCTAAACAGATAGTTTGTGTCGATATTCGCTTTACTGTCATGGTCTATTCCTGATAGAGACCCTTTTACTAGAACTGGGTAATTGTTACACAACATAAGCTATGCTGAATGCATATGCAAAATTGATCCATCATCACTAGAATAATACAGAGTCTTAGGGTTCAATGCTTATTAAAATGAAAAGTTTAGGCTTAATCAGTCTCAGTGCGGTCTTATTATTGTACTTGGGGTGGTTTCAAAGAGACTTAAATTTTAACCGCAGTCTCTACACGCACCAATAACGGATTAGCCCCGATTTACTTCCAGGTCTAGGTACGAGACAACCCGATTTACGTTACGGTAGATTTCTAGCATTCGGCTCATTTATTTGCCGAACTGAACAAGAAATATTGAAATACTCGCAATGAACTGGAAATTGTGGCGACCCTTAATATAATTCGCTTAAGGCCCGTCCCACAGTACGTGCGATGGGCAACAGACATTTTGTAAAAAGGACATAGTTCCGTTAAAACGGTACGACGCTGTGGGCACAGCAAAGACCTAGCTAGCTAGTTTAAGCTATCACTGGTGCTAAAGGATACAGTTCGCTCAGTAACGAAAGGAAACCCAGGACCAATAAATGGCTTCTTTACTATAGAATGTTGTTATAATTACGATAGGTTTATCGTAAACTGATAGATACATTGATTGTTCATAAATTTATAAACAACATGCAATTGCGCAATTCGTGTGCTCGAGCTCATTGATAACTTGTATCTCAGAATTTTCTATTAACCAAATTTCGTTGCATAAACCTGAACAAGTTTTAGTTACCCCGCGGACTGGGGTCATATACAACAAGGCCGCCCGGCTTTCCGCATTCTATTGCATTGACGTTTACACGTTGTGTCATTTTGGTGAAATTCTTGGCATCAAGCTCCACCGCCAAACCTCCGAACTTCAAACATTGATTCGGCCTGACCCCCGAAGTGGCTCATTTTTCTAGGTGTGAGACACATAAATGGAATACTCATATCCTCTAGATTTCCTACTAATAAACTTTTCGACGATATTTTTCATAGTACAGCACAATATATAACGCTAGTTGAACGCACGAACCGGCCGAGGGTATTGGCCGGGGGTTTCGGCAGAAGTATGACGGTCCCGCTCCTGGGCCCTACTACTATAGCTAGTCAGCAACCTATGCAAAATTTAATTAGGTCTATTCATATATCTCGGGAGCTAAAATTTATTAAACTTAAAGACGCGAAGATATCAGTGCTTCCGTACCTAGGTGTTACGTCCTTCAGTGAATGGAAAGACGCACGTTCGTACCCTAAATTTTATAAATATCATCTATCGCTTCCTATACTCTATAGCTCTACCAACTGAGCCGCATCAATGCAATAATTTATCAGTTGATGGAAAGTGAAGCAACAGCAGTTCCCGGGTCTTGCCTACAGGTGTATAAATATCTACCGTAAGTTTCTTGGAGTAAGTTGCATATTGGCTATGTCGAGAGGACAGCTAGTCTGTCGTTAACTACGCGAAGGCCGTCATCTTCGAGTCTAGCTAAAGATGGATGCCTTAGATTTCTTTTCAATATAAAGCCTTTTTCAAGGCACTTAGTGAAATCAAACTGAATAAACGTGCATTGGAGTATGCGATAGCTGTAACATAGCTTTCAGGAGTTGCTCGAGACCGGAATATGGAATGAAATGCTCTTATAATTTGCTAGCTAGCTGAAAAAACAAGATATATATTAATCCATAGTTAATCTATTCTCCGTAGTATGGTGGCGGCCCTTGAGTCAACTTCTCCTTGTAACCTTTAGTAAGACTCGTCCCGCTGGTCCCGACATCTGTAGACCCTAGTTCGATGCTGAAAGACGAGATCCTCCAAACCCGACCGCTCAATCCCTTCATATAACGGTCTGGTTATGTGACCGGAGAAGTGCAAGATTTCATAATCTCATTTTGCCTCGTATCCAGATCTATACCTTCGAATTCTTCAATACCGAAACTTGGATTCCTAAGACCTAGATCGATACTAGTTTCGTGCTCTTTATAGGTTTTACCTTTTTGCGGCCTCTCCGAAGGGAGAGTTCGAAAAATAAAGTTGGCAGAAAACAATAACACGAAAATATGGTAAGAATCAGCGCTTGATCAGAGTTCGAAAATTAAGGAGCCCTTGAGCTTCACGCTCAAGCAATACACTTCGCGAGTAGGGCCTGTAGACTATTTATTATTACCAAGTTGAAGGCCTCAGCCTTGCACCTATGACTGAGACCAAGGTACAAGGATAATACCCTCTACACTCAAATTTATTGATCCTAAAAATCGATGACACATAAGCGGGGATTTGCAGTTTCGAGGCACCGTATAGAGAACTCACAGTGTCTTAATATCTGAGGCAAGCTTCGGGTGTAACTCCATCCCGGCCCCATATGTCTAGCAATAGACCTCCCAAAGGTTCGCCTTGCACTTTCCTGTTGGCCTATATCACTTTCCATAATGCAGCCGAGGAAGCCTGACTTGATATCCAGTAAACTGCATCTATGCTCTGGATCGACGATTTCGAGGGTATCAAAGCCGACACTACCAAGCTTCTCTTGAAGCTTTCGCGCGGATCGGTTCCACATATCCAACATTAGAGGTATGGAATATATTCCAATTTCCCAGCCAGCTTGATGGATCTTTCGCAAAAGGCTGCCGTATGCCAAGCAGTGACAGGCCGTAGACCCACATACTTGGTCTCCTGGGTGGAAGTTAGGATCGTGTCGCGTTTCTGTACAGAGGTAATTTAGAATGGAGCGCAACTCGCATATACTCCACAGGAGATGATTCAGCCTCAGCCTTCGTTGTTTTTCGATTTTTCCTGATGGTAGCGTTAGAAACGGTTATCACATTGATATTGGGATTGGCCTAAATCCCAGTCATAACGAACGAATGCCACTAGAATACTATATTTAGAGTAGGTTTTCTTGTGCGTTTAATTTTAGAGCACTTACTCAACTGTTCTTGAGGCCATAGGCTTGTATCCAGGCGTACACCGTCATAACTCAACAGTCGTCTATCCAGGATCGTTGTGCCCTCGACCGGATAGTATTCTTTTCCAAGACAGGTTACTAATGCTTCTGCTGAACTATTTCTGCCGAAAATATCGGCTACATACAGCCAATCCTCATTACCTGGCTCTAAGGCATGTGGCTCCAATTTATCAAGCCATATCGGGTTCCAGACCTCGAGCGCTTTTTTCCATGCATATTTTTGGCTAAGGAAAGTTATTTGGGCGAAAGTTTTCAAGTTAATATCTCGAATATCTGAAGCAGGGTTAAAATGGAGGATGGAAAATATAATTCGGAATGCTTCAGGGTCGCCGGTCAGTCGTATGGCGTCCAAGCTCCTCCCAGCCACCACGAGCCTGAGCTCAGGAGATCTCCTCATCAAGGACCTCAGAGGCCGTGACGAAACAGAGAGGACCTCCATAGAGACTGCATATCGGATGAGGGAGCGCTAAATAACAACCACAAAGTTATAGTCCTCTGTGAAAAAGCACTGGATATCGGCATATCTTTCTCTACGGGCTAAAGCATTATTACGGGCATTTGTGTGTGGTATAAGGGTCGTAGATGTTCCTAATATAGATGGATCTATGTCAGTTTCTGCTCCTGCGACAAAATAGGTATCCGCTTCGGACTGGGGTCCTCAATCGACGGGAGTTTGCTCTAGGCATTAGGCAAAGTTAAATTAGAGACGCTGTATCTTACCGAAAGCGGGGCCGGGGGGTCTACGTCGGAATTGTCGTGTTGTATTTCCTCGGTTTGTAGACACCACTCTCTGGATCTGGGTTCTAACATTATCCGCCATTAACCAAATTTAAAATTTCTTCTAGGTTTAATGCACTCAACTTTCGGTTGAGTCCAAAATATAATTGTCTTGAATTGTAGAGATAGTTTTTTGACCTCGGTATATAAGCATATAAACTTGATATTGGGCGCTGGCTCGCGCAATTCTTAGTATTTGTTAGATTGGATTTCCAGAAATTGGGTGCCATTTCCAGGCTAGAAGATTTCGTGGTAGTTTTAAAGCAAGAATTCAAGATACTTTAGTACCACAATATATTAATATGTGGCGCAGCAAGATAGGACATCTTGGGACGGTGTATCGCTAGCCGCCGATATGACACTGGTGAGCCACCAATCCTCTGACCGACACCACACCACAACACACAAAATCACACACTCGACCATAGTAGCTATGATTCACAAGGGGTCTTGCGAAACTTTTACAGGTTGAAGAATTCTGGGGTTCTGGCTTTAAGTTTTTGAATGGTATCTGTAGCCGTCTGCAAGATTAAATTACGTTGCAACGCGTTGGCTGCGGCCCCGCGGAAGTTCCGCCAGTGTTGGCAGCGCTTTTGCTGACAGCGCCGGCGTATTGTCCACAACGTGGATTGAATGGAAAAGCGAGCGGCAGAGTCCCCTGCAATTTAAACTTTATGCGTTAGCTACGTAACACACAGCATGTATCTATAGGTCAGCAGCAACTCCGCGGATGGATTTAGATTTTGAGGGTGGTCCTCAGCGTTTCCCACCTCAATCTTTTTTCAGGTAGATTGAGCTCTTGGTCAAATTAGATGGATGGTCGTCTATGGAAATATCTACAATGCTGGTTCCGGCCGCCCTAGAGCCCCGGGAACTTGTGAGGTCATGCATTGATATTATGATATACACTCATAAAATTATGGAGTTGCGAACGCTAGCTTTATTGTATTCATGGTCCGACGTCTGTTAATCTGGCTTAGAAGATATATATTCCTGCATCTTTGACTATGAATTATCTCGCAATTTCTGCCAAACAACTACGGCTTAATTTACAGGATCTTCCGTATTATTATGACTAAAATATCCATCTAGTTGGTCTAATTACTATAGGAGAAGTGATATCTAGGGATTTGGAGTTGGTTTAATACCTCCAGTGCTCTGTTTTATAAATATGGAAAATTTCAATGGCTTGCTGTACATCGTCATCACAGCTTCATGCAACTATGTATATTTGCATTGTTCTAGAGTAGGGACATCTGGAGACTAGTCAGCGCCTATACCGTTTTGGATTCTGTGTTCAAGGATTCTATTCAATTGCGACAACTATTGCATGGACCCATGCGACATTGAAAGCAAGCAAATCAAGTCCCCGAGTTGTTCCGGTAGTGACGGCCCACTTGAAATTGTTGGGAACTCGTCGATCGCAGTTTTTCTGGATCTTTCGAGCAAATGGCGTGACTACATGGGTAGTAAAAGATGGGAATGCTACTCATGCATGATACGTAGAATGGGACTTGTTGAGAATTGGTGGTTGATCATCACCGTTTTCTCTCGCACATTTTGGCTAACATAACGGCTGGCCCCGCTACATGGGTATTGAGAAATGGAGTTGCGATTTGTGGAATTATGCATATTTATGCATATGGGAATCCGATAATTCCCAAATCGGAGTTCTGGTATCGAGTGGAGTCATGGTTTCTAGGGTAGAAATCTATCTTTTCGTGCCGATACACGTATCTAGAAGAAGGAGGCTGATGTCACATGCGTTATTACAGCTTAGTTCTTAGGACAAGAAACGCTAAACTCAAAAAGGGCAACGCTTCATAACGGCTAACTTGTTTTACCAATGGACAATAGGTGTGGGAGGGCTGGCTCACCTAAACAGACCTTCTAGGAGAGGATAGTGGGGAAGCAATGCAAAATGATTGGTGGACACCGGTACGGGCGGCTGCAACCGATCCCGAGGTTTACTTATGGTCTGTGCAATAATTGATAGTGCTTAGCTCTGTTTGACGCGGTTCAACAATCACTTAAACCACAACTTCATGAATTCGTAGTTAATCCATATCTTCCCAAATATCGATCCATCCGCTTAAAATCGGATACTTGGAAAGGCGTTATATCGTTTTGTGACTTTGCATATTCTCTAGGATCATGACCAGGGCATAAAATGGCTAATCTAAAATGGTACTACTGTTTTAGATCCATGCACAAACCATGAACCCCTCTTTGTAGATACATGTCGCCTTTGAATACCTCTCCTAGTGATATTGTATACGCCACAATACGGCCATTATCATGAAGAATATAGAAAACTAAATACCGGAAAATGCACCTAGCTTTTAGCAAGTTTGTTCAGATAGTCTAGTCATGTCCGTCGGCTGTTTTTCCTCTCAGGCCTGCAGGCAGGAGCATTAAATCTGGTTTACGAAGTAAAGTCTCGTATCTTGGGAATTTCCGAGCTAACATTTATGATTTTATTTAAAGCTGACCTGTTCGCTCTTTACGAGAGGGTTCATTTAGCCTGGCAGTGGACTAGTATCTGACAGATTTCGTCCCACTGAGATCATAATTTAAATTTATCCAAGATGAGAAGCATACTCTCCACCTCTGTTACTTTCTGGGTGCTTTGCGCCTCTGTAACATCCGCCAACCCAACCCCGAATTCGTGGCAGTTTGAGGCGTCGATCAAGAAAGCAAAGTAAGTTTTGGCCAAATTTCCTTATGTTCTACTAGATCCCACATCAAGGTATTGGTTTTTCTAACGCGCTCTCTTAGTCTATTACATGATCTCGCCAAATTCAATCATATAGCGGCTCAACACGGTCGCAATCGTGCTCCTAATTCCCCCGGTTTTGATGCTTCTGTCAATTGGGTTAGGTTCCGAGTGCAAAGCTACGCGAAGTTCAGCTACTTAGCTGAGAACTATCAGACTAAGGCAGATCTAGTTGATTTCAAGCGCTTGAAGATAAATCATAGAACTGTTGCACCTATCGAGGTCGGGGTGTTGCTAGGCGGCGAGGAAAATGCGCCGCAGACAGTTCAGGGACATGTCGTGAGGCTCGAAAGAGGCGGCCCGGACTTCTGCAATAACCCTAACTGGATTTCAAATGTCGATGTTGAAGGAAAGGTTCTACTTTATCGACTTGCAGACTGTCACTCTGGAGCCATTGGTGGAACTTTCACGCAGGTTCCCTTCACTGGAACTCCAGCTGCTCTATTGTTCTACAGGGACAATTGGAGACCTGATAATGTTGTTAAGAGGGATCTAGATCTACCTAGTCTCGCGGAGTTATCTAAACTCGTCAAAAGACAAAGCGGTGAAAGTGCGCTTTGGGCAATCATTAGCAAAAACGAAGCTCAAAAGATACACAAGGATCTCAACAAGAATAGGCCAGTCACAGCAAACCTCAAAGTTGTCAACTATCGTTACGACGATGTAACCAGGAAAAATGTTATAATCGAAACTAAGGGCGGTAATTCCAACAAAGTGATTGTGCTTGGCGCTCGTCTTGATAGCGCCCCTTTCAACTCTGGGATCAACGATAACGCTAGTGGCGTCTCTCTTTTGCTTGCACTCATTGATGCTATTCAAGCCGGAAAATTCGTCCCAAAAAACAAAATTCGGTTTGTCTTCTGGGGTACCGGCGGCTCAGCAGCCTATGCTACTGGACGCACAGTCGTCGAAGCGGCACGAATTAAAGCCTACCTAAACTTTCATTCAGTCAGCCGGGGAGCCTTCGGTGTTTACGACGGTGATGGCAGCCGATATAACGAGGCGGGCCCTACCGGTTCTAGCGCTATCGAAACTCTCTTCACCAACTATTTTACTAGCAAGGGAATTACCTCTAAGCCTGCTCGTTTGGAAGGCGATCTCTTGAGCTTTGCAACGGGATCAAGCGTTGAGAAGCCCGTCGGCGGTCTGTTCGGCGGGGACTCGGTAGTTCATGACCCATGTTGGGGCCAACCTTGGCCTTGCGACAGCCTCTCTAATGCAAACTTGAACTATCTGGAGATCAACGCTAAGGCTGCTGCTCATGTCCTCTATGCGCTCGACCAGAGCACTTAAACTGGAATGTGAGTTCCCCCGGGACAATTCTACGCCGTTAATGGCAAAATCTTGTCTCGTACCCAGACACGGCAAAATCTAAGGCTTAGCCGAAAGCTAGCTCTACTCAATAACTATTCGGAAGGATGTAACAGGTTTCGAGCCCTTGTTCGGAACCTTCATGATCTCGTATTCCACACCTTCAATACTCGGTTACGTTGTTTGGACTGGATTAGTAATAAAAATCAATGACACCTGTATTCACTCCTTAATTTTCAACTGCACGCTCGCTCTTACGTCAAAAGCTAGCTCTTAGTTCTGATATCAATCAATAAACCCCCTAGTTTTAACCGCCTGTTGTAGAACCTTTCAAAACTATCTTTACTGCGAAGTTTAGGGGCGAGGGAATGACTTTATCGGTGGGCTTTGGAGGTCGGGAAAACGGTAGAAATACCAGGCCATAAATCCATCAAAATATATTACGATCATGAGGCATCCGTAACTAGGGAAAGTTCTAAGATGAGCCGACGACGCGCGCAGCGGGAAGGAGTTTGATACAAGCGTATCGCACCCCCTGTTATGTGTAATTTCTTGGGGTAGTACCCGTGTCATTAGATTTTGGACCAATTCCCCTAAAACGACTCGGAATATTATCTAAACAGGCCTTCATTTGGATGACTATGGGGTTTTATTCAATTGTCTAGAAGAATATGGGCGCCGTCATCTATCATATGTGTTGTTTTATGTACTCGGGTACAATTAGAACTAGTCTAGGTGACGGTTAGCAATCTATGCTGATTCGAATATTTGTTCAAACTTCGGATTAGTTCCGACCATAGTTGCCTCCATCAATAATCCTCCCTAATACTTTTGGAACTGGTGGTTATAAATGCCGGATTTAATTTCTAATACGCAACGTTCACGGACTTTACAAATATTTAAACAATGTCATGTATGCAAGTAGATCTAGCATGGCAGAGACAATAGATTACATTCCAAGACTTCGCATCGTATGAGCGAAACGGCGATCTCAAATTAATATATATTTTAAATTTGGAACAGTTTTTCGAAGGTTGCGTGGCCGAAACCAGTTGTAGCCGTCTTGTATGCAAATTCTGTTAATGGGTAACATGCGCGCTAGTGATAATCGCGCATAATCGGCAAACCAGTCCCAAAAGCTACACTAATATGTGTCTCTATAACCCCGATGTATAAATTACCGTCGTCTCGACTATTCTTCTGATCCTACAAGTTTCGAACGACCTAACGTATTTTGAAGCTTATCCGCGAACCCAGCAACTCTGCTTCAGCCCTTAAAAACATTCCCAGGCTTTTCCGCAAGATCTTAAGGATGAGTAACAGCAGCTCCACAGCGAGTTTGGCGGCCCCTACGGCCCTAGCAACAACGAGAATACACCATCCAGAACCGTTACCAGCGCCGGATGCCTCGTTTCCTATATTATTCCACTATCCGTCGCCTTTTGGACAGAGCCAAAAATGCCTGAATTTGGAGCATATGGCACACGATGCGACAGATTTCGAATATATCGAACAGATCAGGGCCAAGGCTCCTGAAACGTTTTTATATTTTGCTGAAAAGACATTTGAAATTGCTGTAAGTTGAGACCGATACTTTCTCTAATTTTCTGAGGGAAACAACGCCCCTGTTACAACGTTGGCATAAGTTCATGCTTAATGCTAGAGCGCTTGAAGTTATCCGGTTCTATATTAGGGCATATATACGGTCATACTTATGCTATATAGCTTTCGTCTAACGTACGTTTCTCTTAACAAATAGGTAACCTCAACGCACCCAGAATGTCATCCATACTTCATCGTCGACATCCCAAGATCGCATAACACGAGAATGATCAACTACTATGGAGGACAGCGGTCTATTAAGCAAATAACTATAAATTTGAAATTGCAGAGATGGCCACAAATCGCAGTTGCGATTCTACTTTTTAGAAAGGAGATATATTTCATATTTCTGGGTGGTTTGTTTGACCCATTTCAAGCGCGAGATCTTGCTGCAGTGGCTATAATTGGGCTCAAAATATTATGTTTATCTTTTTTGTTTACGTAGCCTAGCTAGACTCAATAAGTCTCATTGTATTTCTCCCTATCTTCCACGAAGAATTTTGGCGCGGGCTAGTAGAAGTCGCTGATTCGCGACTTCCTCGGTAGTCCTTCTAGGTCTTGTCGTTAAAGTTGCACGCTCAATCCCAAATTTATCAGACTGCTTTACGTAGTAACTAAAATATACTAGTTGAATTTAAACTACATTAATCTTATTAAAAGTTCTTCCGGTAGATGGAACTTTGAAGATCTTATGTGTGGCTACTCCTGAAGAACTTTCCGGGTAAAGTTCTAGAAGAAATATAACAGCCTCCTACCTGAAGTTTTTTGTGCGTCTCGTTTAACCTCTTAGACGAGGTGTAACCTAGAGATTTTTCAACTAAACTATGTTTGCACTGAGAAAAATAATAGGGTCTAGCGGGACTATGGCTCGTTTGGAATGTTCTCTCAAATCATTTTGGGGGCCCCAAACTGAGGTCTATAGAAAAAGTCAAAGCGTACATATCTTTATTAAACCTTCATACAATATATTGGGCCAACAAGAATCCAGTTGTCGCTAGAATGAGGGGACAATGGAAAGGGGAGACATCACTATACTGTGTCTCCGGATGTATAAAAGTAGTTTCTGCCGTAGTAGAATCAACAGATACTCTAGATTATCTTCAATCTAGGTTAGCATTTACCAGTTTTCGACAACTATCTTCATACGACTGCCGATAAATAACCCCGTTATCTATTAATATACCATCTATCGTTATATATTTAGAACATGACAGATTTCGCGAGTTTGATGAGCCTTTGTTTTAGGTAATTTTAGAAAGCTGGCTGAAATCTCTTTCGTTTCAATTCAAGTACAACGAGAAATTGATAAAAGAGAGATAATATAAAACGGGGGAAGTTTGGGGAAAGAGGAGGGTTTAGGGTTGACACTTGATCGGGAAGTCGAAATTGTTATACCTTGACATTATTTGTTCTAGTTTTTAGGAGATATATAGCTTGGGAATGGAGGCGGCTAAAACTGCACAAGCCACCTACATTTGGTGCCGTTCCTGGCTTATGCTTGGGTGGATAGTTTAAGAGTTACCTGTTTACCGTATGTGATCTCGTTCTGCCGTCTCACTTAATTACAAAACTTATGAGTGCTCGTAGCGATTCTAGCCCTAAAATACCCAAAATTTGCAAATGTATTCGAGGTTGAAGGGGTTTCGAATTTACTGTGGATCCCGGTCGGCCTCATTGCCGGTTAGGCTTGTGTAGCCCAGGGCTCTGAATCATGAGCTTTATCTGCTTGATGAGCCGGTCTGTCACTCGACTCCTGCATGGAGGTGTGTGATTTTGCGCGTTGTGGTGTTGGGACTGAAGGCTGGTGGTGCTGCACCCTCGTTCGCCATTGGCTGGCAGTTACGACGTCAGACGTCAGCGGTTAGCGATACGGTCTTGAAGATGCCCCATGGCCCACTGTGCTGTGCCACACCCGCACCCAGTGCCGTGGTTTTGAACATAAAATACCTTCGAATGATCTCTCGGATTTCTAGCGTCCAAAGACTACAAGTCACATTAGCACAACACTTAGTTCTATAGATCTAGAACGCTAAACATACCTAGCCAGGCGCTATATTTCAATACCGATAAATCCTTATTTGAATACACTATTTGAATACACTATAATAGCTGGAGGTTCGATATGGATCTCGAGCAATCTTAAATATATTTTATACCGGGTCTCGAAGAGTAATTACTAGCTTATTTATCATTAGGTTTAAGGTAAGGCTTCCTGTACCATTCTCCAAGGCGGTAGTACTATAGTTCCTTGCGTTAGACTCGGAGGCAGCGGCGAGCTAGCTCCGGCGCCCGAGGTCGACGGCTTAAGGGCGGGAACTTTGTTAAACCGAGTGGCCATATACGGCCGTATTAAAGATATCAAACTAATAAATCACCATGAGCGAATAGTGCGAATCCGTATTGAGCAAGCTGAAACCCGATTGGAACCAGAGGAACATCTGTCGGTCGCTTCCCACAAGGACACAGCTGCCCGCATGCCAGCCCCTCAGAATTTGCCTAATTCTTGGAATTCGATTCCACCTAGAACCCCGTCTCGGTCAGATGTCGATAGCAACTCTATTATAGCAGAGGAAACTGCCTCAGACCCGTCTACTTCGGGACTATCGACTCCACAAAGACCGGATTTCGGGACAAGCGATAATCCCGCAAACACTTCAGGAGCTAGCATTAACCTTACTAATGCTACTATTTTCACAGAAGACTACGATCTTATTATTATCGTTCGAAGCCCAACAGACCAGCGGACCTTCATATATCTGGTCTCAAAAGATATTCTGTCAGTCTCGTCGTCTGTTCTGAGGCCAATAATTAGAGTGCTCCCTACGCCTAATGGCGTCTTGGGAGCCATTGCAACAGCTAGGGGGCTAAAAAAACTCTACATTGACGGCGATCCAGAGGCATTGCGAGTAATATTTCGTATCTTGCACTTTGATGCCGACGAAAGCTGCCGGGACATTGAATTCAACACACTTTGCCAAATTGCTATTCTTGCCGATAAATACCAATGGCAGATGGCATTGCAGACTTGGAGCGAAATATGGTTGCTGTTATGGGAGAAGTTTGCTCTAGACCCAGGCTACGAAAATTGGTTATATATATCAAAAGTATTTAATAGCCTGAATGAAGTGGAGAAACTTGTGGAGTTGCTGGGAAAGGAATGTTCTGCTTTAGGTGTGGAAGGGTTCCAACCGTACAGGATTAATGGTGGTCAAAGTCAGTACCTAAATACAGAACTTTGGTCAGTAGATCTAATAAGTAAGTGTGGAAAAGAAAAACCTCAAAAAAAGGTTGTAGACTATCCCGCTGACTCTTCTATCTGGGACTCAAAAAGATAAAATTATAAATCAGCGCCGCGTAAGGATCAGACGACTATGTTCAAGCTTGTGCCTACTTTCTCGGGTAATTGGATGTCCGGAGAAACTAGTTCTAGAATCAAAAGGCCCTCTCTGCGATTCGGACTTGTGTTGGGATTTAGCGTTCGGGAGCCTTACGAGATCTATCGCTAAGGCACGACTTACCGCAACCTCCCGATTGATCACAGACTGGAATAAATCAGCGGTAGAACTAGAGAGCAAACTTAAAAGTCTACAGTTCGTTACTCTCGAGGCTGTTGTGCCTGAACATAAATGCGCTCTACAGGGCTTCAAATCAGGATTTGCACGTTACATTGCCGATCCTGAGTCAACTTTAGGAGGTCGCATGAGGAGGATATTCGGCGACATCGTCGTCTATGAAAACGATAGAGTACACATTTCCGATGGCTTGTAGGTTTACTAATATGTGGCATGTCGGAACAGTGCCCGAACGTTTGATGTATTTAATTGTTTTATTTCCCATAATCTAGCCAATTTAATCATAATCCAGAATTTCTACTAAGTAATCATCTGAGAGTACATTCTTCAATCAGTAAAGATATACTTGACGTATAAGGCCCAAATTCAGATGCCATTCCTCCAGTCTAAGAGCGGGGCCTAAAGAATGAATCGAGTGGGGATGGCAAGCAAAGAGTTAAGGCTAGATGGTTGACTTTAGAAAATGTATATCTTTTATCGCCTTAGCAATCAATCGTTATTCACAAGAATTCGAATGCACCCCCCCCCCCCCTCCTCCGCAGAACCCGTTCCGAAGTCGCAGACGCCTTTTCGACGGTTGATTTTGCAACCTTCAAAAAGTTTCGCAGATTTATAAAATGTAAATTTAAGTTCGCTCCGGCGGAGAGCGCTTCATCAATATTAATAAAGTTACATACAGCTCAAGCAATATGAAAGTGAGGAAATATCAAAATGATCGAAGAATGTCGAAATAAAAAAACCCTAAAAATAATATGATAAGAAAGCTGGTCTTGTTACCTCAGACCACCAATTGCTCCAAGCCTGTCGCATTTCGGACCCTGTTTCCTTTTACCAAAAATTTCAGCATCCACCTTGAGCATTTCGCGCATACCTAGACGATTAATTCGGTCTCTGAGATAAAAGCGCGAATATGTCGGTTAGTTGCGACATGCATGGGTGTCGACACCGCCACTCTGCGCAACCCATAAATTTCCAATTTTGAGCTCATCTAGCAGAGCGAATTCGCTTTGTGCGAGACTATGGGAAATGAGTCATGTTTCTTCTCTGAAGAAGATGAAGAGTATATAAGGACAAAACGAAAATTTTGGAATGTAACCCTTTGAGTCTAGTTACAGGCAGACAATGTGGAGTGACGGAGAAGTTTGGAACCAATTGTGACGCATGAAGCGGAGTTTTAAAGACAAAAACAAGAGAGCTAGAGTTTTTTTATGTTAGCCATTGGAGGGAAAGTATCAGGACCATCTCTTCATCAATATCAATATTATAAATATCCAGGTGCGAAACGAAAGCAGGAAGTACAGGGGATCGGTAGCCTCACACATTTGAATGCTAGGTAAACTACTCACATTCACTTTTCCTATTAGTACAGTAGAACCATGCATATATAGGCCAACGAATTATATTGAGATTCCAGTCAAATTCGAAAGCCCTAAAGCCTTTGAGCTTATGATCGAGACTTTGCCTGGATCACGCAAAAAAAGCTTTTGAAGAATGGCTGGAAATCACGAAAAGTGAAGGACGCCACAATTCAATCCTCGGCTTTATGCTCTGCTATTTAAGTCATATAGCACATTATAAAAATGCATTCAGCGAAAAAGATAACTGGGAGCGCTTCCTGAATCTCCTTGGGATATCAAAATTTTTACAAAAGGCCATTCTGAGGCTTGGGTTTCGGGATATCAGGTATACAGCGAGCTGCAGCTTTTGGCTATACGACGCAATCGAGGGTAACTACTACGGTTTAGAATCTCTCAATACTGGAGCCTTTCGCTGATATAACGTAATCGGCTTTGGTGGGCTACACTAGTTTTAGAATAGGTTTAGAGATCGGAATTAGACAAGAATAAACAAGTCGACTGCGATTCATCCAAAAGCTCTCCAGTGCACTTATCTTGCGACGTATGAGACCCTATAGCGGCTTTTCTTTCGGTATTTAGATCTATAAATCCGAAGATCTCATTCTTTCTTTCGATGCCTGGCAACGCTTTCAATGCCGTGTTGTATGTGTGGTTTTCGTTGCCAGCCCAAAATGGTATTTGGCTATTCTGGGAACCCTCGCTCTCGAGCTCTCGATCATGATCAGACACGCTACTTAAGTAGTTAGAACTAGCATCTTTCAGAAACGATAGCACTTAATTGGTCTGGAGGCAAGATGGGTGCGAGTTCACTTAATTACTATCCTAAGGATCACTGACACATCCACGGTTTGGTCGCCATGCAAGACAAGGGAATAGGGGAAGCCCGGTATTTGCCAGTGGAATGTTCACCAGATGACTATCTGCCGACATATGTATCGACAAATATGACTATAGCGAGCTAACGTTAGCTGTCGACGCATGTAGTTTAGCCTCATTGGCGAGACCAATGCGGGGCATCTCGATGAGTCGAAAATAAACGAACCTGCAGAACAATCAAGCCTGCTGCTTGGCACCAACTTCGCAGTCCTCCTGGGCACTCAGTCTCGCCAATCACAAGGAGGTGTCCCCGAGGGAGTGATTATATCTGATCGTTGTTATTAACTAGCCCATTGGTTTGCGGTCATGAGATGCAAGCCGCACATAATGCATAATGTAACCCAAGATCATTCTATAGTCTTGTGCATTCCGAAAATTTATCTTTGTCAAACCGTTCCGATATCCGAACTTGTTATAATATAATTGTGGGCAGTGAACGATGTCCTCAGGAATTTATTTCTTCACCACCTCGAATACAGGTGCTCGCTATATCCCTGGCACCACTTATCTAAACCATCATGCTGGTTTCTTCGCGCTTCAACCTCTTGGTTGTTGCGCTGGTCGCGTTCGTGTCATTCGTTACTGCGCGAACCGTCATTACAAGCCAAACATGCGCCACTCGTTATTGCGGTAGTCCGCCAAAAAAGATCTACAGAATCACGAAAACAATTCGCAAGACCATTCCGTATACGAAAGTACGTTGGAAGACGGTCATCAAGCCGAGAATCACCCGTACCGTCACATCGACAAAAACTGTTACGTCTCAAAGATATTTCACAATATGGAAGACATTTAGTACCAGTTCCTTGGCAAACACAATATGGATTGGGACGACCACACATACCCGTACAGTTCATGATACGTTGACAATTACTACTGCGACTGTCACGTTGCCAACCTTTACTTCAACTATCACCACCCCTTCCATAACGATTCCAGCTCCATCAGGCTTCTTAAGCATAGAAGATGATCCCATGAATTTCGGCATTGGACCCGACGCTGACAATGATCCGAATTCGCCATGGTGGGCTGGTGATAAGAGACGCCGTGAGGCCCAACCCGATCCAGCAGCTGCGCAAAAGAAATATGTGACGGCAGTAACCTGCACCAAGATATTGATCACAAAGACTGGCACAAGCGATCTCTGGAAGACGACTACAAAGGCAGCTTCAACCACCACTAAAACGGTTCTAAAAACTAAGACGACTCTGCCACCCGTCAAAACGACGACTAAGACGACGACGAAGGTTCAATTGATAACAACTAGCAAATATAAAGTCGCGTTCTTCAGTTCAATATTCACAAGGACGTTGACTTCATACACCGACACTACAGTGTATTTATCGACAGTATCAACAAGTCGTCCGGCCCCAACCTACTACGCTGCATGTGGCGAGAAAAATATAGCCCCGGGTCCTCATTTGGGGGATGTTTATCACATAGATGAAGCCAACGCTGTCGCGGGTGAAACCACGAAAGTGATTTTCAGCAATGGAACCTCATATAAATGTTGTGAGGCCTGCCATGCCTACAATGAAGGAGGTGCTACTTGTGCTGGTAGTGTATGGTCCCCCTTAACCGAGTTTGGAGAACAGCCATGCCGGGAGCCTCCCGTGGGGTCCCGCCCGTGTCCCGAGTTTACTACCAGATGTGAACTTGTGATCGTCGCGCCAGATGCACCAGTTCAGTGTCCTAGGCGTCTATTTAAGTTTGTTTACGCGGCGCTCGCACCACCGAGGATGATCAGTAACGGGCCAACGTGTGCTAGGTTCTCATTTCGCGGGTTTTTAGATCTATAGGAGCCGTGGCCCTGATGATTCGACGAGGAAAATGGCAGGAGGAATGTAGCCAAGTTTTGCCAAATAAGTTGATAATGTTTAAATGGCTTCATTCATTAACTAATCTAATGTCACGAAGAGTGTATATTATTCATCAGTACATTGATAGCAGCTACCTTTCTCATCAACATTGTATTAAAGACTATGAAAATTAATTTCCAAGTATCTAATCGTGTAGCTGTCTGAGGTAATATCCCGTCAGCTGGCCCTCTAACCCCTCTTCGGAAGCCGAAAGCTCGGGCCGCGAGGAATGAATCGCCTCTGACTGACTCAGAATTAGAAGCTCCCGCGGGATCTGCACAGAATCCACCGGGAACCAACCAGGAACACAATCCTGAGACAGCTGCAAGACCGCCAGAAACCGGCAATGCAAAGCAGTCTCGAAACTAGAACAGAATGCAAAGCTATGAAGAGATACAACACAAATGATATCCCAACACAAGATTGTCGAATGCCCAGCTTCGCTAGAGTTGGTTGCCCAGCTTCAAACGACAGTCGATCGAAGGCTCCATAAGAAAACACTACCAGCAAGGACGATTTGTTAGCCTTATAAACAAGCTTTTCGAAGGTTTAGCCACGCTGATTCTCCAAATTTGTCTCCACGCTAACAAAACTCTAAACTTTGGGCTGGGACGACGCCAAGCCCACGTTCAATTAATCATTCGTGGATCACGGAGTCGACTCCGCAAACCGGGATTAATCTCACACGTTAAACAGTTTCTAGCGGACCGATGGGTGAGCAAATATCGCTTCCTGTGTTTGGATCTACATCTTTCGTTGTTAGTAAGACCGTAGTTCTATTTGTAATAGACTATTACTACGGCGTTTATAACGTCGCCGTTAAGTATATCGGACGGCGACTAAGGGTATCTATGTATGTATAAAATAGAACGTTGCAACGTTGAGAATATCACGGACACGTCGACACTTGGAGTAGTTCCGCCGAGAGGTTGTCCATCCGATCTGATATTCGCGTTCAGGGTATTTTGAACAAGCCCAAGAATTCTAAAGCTCCTATTCTCGAAATGGATACCATTTAATAAATTGGTGACTCGAGTCCTCACCTCCCGTCCACGGACCAGTACCTAAATGCCCACAGGTGCTACGTCAATATAAACTAGAATCGGTAGTCACCCCACGTGGCGAATGAACATCACAATCAGTTACTTCTATCATGATCACCCACGTGCACTCCGATATAATTAAGAACGACTATATATAGAAGCTCTCGTACGTGCCCTCCAACGATCTCTCAACCTAGTCTCAAGAAAAAAAAAGGTAACCTACACCTTTAAAAGGCCGTCTCGGTTGTCGGGTTCTGCTACCATCCAGTTCTTTTTCTTTGCGAAGTTCATCCTCCGGTCCCGCGATATTGCTGAAGCGTACAACAAAACTATAATATCACAGCTTAAGGATCAGTCGGAAATTACCAGACCAAGAAATTAAATATGTTTCAACCGGCAGATGCGATCGAATGGAAGAGCGGCCTATCCGGCAGTCAACCAGTTTGGAAGGTTGAGCCCTCCATAGATATAGTTACGGACTTAATGCGTTCCAAGGTTCAAGAGATATCACAGCATGAGGGATCAACCGAAGACAGCATGTCTATAGCGACCTTTCTCGGTGGTGGTGCCTTTAACAAGCTGTATTTCATGAACAACTATAAAAATTCATGGATTTTGCGGCTTACCCTACCCGTAGATCCATACTATAAAACAGTCAGCGAGGTCGCAACAATCAACCTAATCCGGAAGTCCACGTCTCTACCAGTTCCAGAGATTATTACCCACTATTCTGGAAGTGTGGAAGGATTTCCGGGTGATGGTAATCTCGGCCTCGAGTGGATACTCATGACTAAGCTGCCAGGAAAAACCCTAAGAAATGCCTGGTATGAAATGGATATAGGAGTTAAGATGCAATTTGTCGAGCTACTTGCCGATAAGCTACATGAGCTTTATGCTTGTGACGCAGCTCGATTCTCAACTATCGGAAATTTATACCAGTCTTGCATGCAGGCAGATGCCAGTAGACCAAAAGCATCATCCGGGTCTGCCACATACGCGGTCGGTAGGATTGTCTCCATGCCATTTTTCTGGAAGAAGCGACTCTATGATCCCGTCGAACGCGGACCGTTTCCTTCTTCTGCGGGGTGGTTTACCTCTCGACTTCAGCTAGTTGACCACGAATGTACCCAAATTATTGACTCCGATTCAAGTAACCCAGACGACAAAGAAGATGCTACAAGATTCAGGAATCTTTCTCGACGGCTTTCTCAGCATATTCAAAATTTCTTACCTACAAACGAGAAATTTGTATTACATCACGATGACATTAACGCCGGAAACCTTCTTGTTGATCCAGAGACTGGAGCTCTCACCGGGATCTTGGACTGGGAATGTGTTTCCGTTCTTCCAACTTGGAAGTCTTGCCAACTTCCACTTTTCCTTATGAACACCAAGGCTCGGAATATGCAGCCGTCAGAGACGGCTTATTTGGAAAGAGAAGATGGGCCACCGAGTTCATTCTATTTTGAACATTTACGAGAGTGGGAACTGACTATGTTGGGTCAGTGCTTTTTGCAGCGTATGGAAAGCCACAACTCGGATTGGATGGAGGTTTACATGTCCCCGGAGCGAATTCGAGACTTTGACTATGCTATTCAGCACTGTGATAGTGAATTTATGGTAAAAAGAATTGAGGAGTGGTTGGATATTGTGGAGGGAGGCGAGCAGTATCAACGACTTTTAGAGTACGACTGATACCACCCTCTTCATGGGTATGCTACACTGATAATGTATATTCTTCTGAATTTGTAATGACAGCGAGTTTATGAATTTAGCACTATTTTGTACGTCAGTTATCTTACTTATAAAAACGCCCTTTCTGTTGGCAAGAAGGGAGTTTAACTAGGTATACATAATTTTAGCTGATTGCAAGACTAGCTATCGTAAATAAATTTCTCACGGAGCCGATTTGGCCTATTTTATACTTGATATCACAGGGTCACTGAAAGTACTACGCAACTATGTGAAGAGAAATCTTTGTTGGCTTTGATTCCCTTCTATGATGAAATATCCTAAGGACTTGGTGATCACGTGAATAAAAACATATTGCCTCCACAACCTCACGGAAACTACCAGCACCGATACCGCCCATACATTATATAATTGTCTCGAACAGTTAGTCTAGTTTAGACGGGCGACTGAGAGCCACCAAAACGAATTGAACAACTAGACTATCAAACAGTTATAAACTTGGCGTGTATTGTCTAACCCATTTTATATATGTACTCCAATGCTACTTGCATCCATTCCCGTTACACCAGTTAAATGTCACCCGACATGATCCCCAGAACCAAACCGATCCACATTGCCCGCAATTTCCTCCTCCCCAATAAATAGATTCTCCCCTAAATTGAAATGTCAGGGCCTTCCCTTAAATGACTCGCAGAGATACATCATGAATATAAAACTGCAGGATTTACGTACTTAGTCACAATCACAGATCCCTTTGAGATTTCCCACTGGGCTGCAGACGCATAATCCGCACTATTCCCACATGTCCACATAGCAAGACAACTAGCGGTAATAGCATTAAGGACAGAGAATTTTGTCTCCTTGGTATATATCAGTGTCGGGACAAATTTATAGAGTGCTGCTAGACATGCTGTTGCATCTATAAAATTGCAATTCCCGGAACCGTTCCAGTTCCAGCTATCTCTTTTTTGAAGATTGGCAGGTGTGGTATTTTCGAGGGGTGTCGGGACGCATAATGTCCCTGGAAGGAGGGTAAGAGAAAGAGAAATGAGAGGGAGAACAAACTTATTGGGTAAGAGCTTCATTTTGCTGTTGATTTCTGGTATGATGATAGAATATTCGAATGACTGTATGCATGAATGTGGCAAACCATTTTTACAGCAGAGACTACCGAAATTTATACAGAGTATCGGCATCGTCCGTCCGTAACGACTTCAACCCGACATAACGCCTAACCCCGACCCTTTCAGACTCGTCAACCCTCGCGGTCACAATATAGCCGATGCACTGACACAACAGTAGCCAAGATCTTAGTTTTAAACTAGCTGCAAGTTATACCCACTTCTTTTTGCTCCTTCGCGTTCGTAGACGACTCGGGACTCATAAAGTTTTTTTGTCTCTTACGTATACGCGTAGTCACCCGAAGGGTGGTGTTTCTTTATGTTCGATATAATCCTCCTGAAATAACCCTGCAAGTAAATACATGCGGCAGATGCGTATTATTTATGAGTAATCGGGATCGATCCCTCGCACGCTAGACCTGCCAAATTCCAAGGTCGAATTACATATAAAAAAGTGTGCAATATCAACAATCATGTACGTAAACCCTAGAAGCTTTTTTTTTTTTTTTATGATGCCGTGTACGTGTGAAGATGAAGCGGGTTATTTTATGGGGTAACATTTTTGTAGATTCAGAGTGTGCCTTCATCACGCTAGTACTGGTCAAAGGCTCGATCGAATATCAAATATCAAATCCAATCCAGCTAATAGGACCCGCGTCTTTGCTTCTAGCAACATTTACTTTCGTAATGTTGACAGAGTCCACTCGGGTAGTCAAATGGGCCAGCATCACAATTAGCGCAAGTATAACGAACCTGACCATCACGTAATTTCGCGTTTGATAGATGCTTCCGCAAGTCTTCAGTGTCGTCGAAATATTTCAAGCAGTATTGGCAGACGTAGTTCTGATATCTTGGATGGTAAGCGGTCTGTTCGTGGTCGTCCCACTCGTTCCATAAGGCTTTAGTGGGATTGGCGAAAAAGATACTTTTCTTTCCAATACAAATATCCGCGCCGGGTTTGCAATAGCCAGTTGCGTGTCTTCTCACATTGATGCCTATCAAGTGCATTAATTCGTGGCCATTGAATTTCTTACAGCCACCTTTTTCAATGTGGAGAAGTATTCCCGCAGGAGAGGCGAATTTTTCGTCGCAAGGGCAGGTATATTTCCGGCCGACATGCAATGCGGACCTGCGATGCTATATCCGATTAAATAGATACATCTTAGTTAACTGAATTTTCTTTTCCCGTTTCGAAGGACCAGGCAGTGATTCAACGGTAGCAAGGTTGAGATAAACCTACAGCATCTAAATTAGATGGGCTGTCAAAAGTTTCTTCGCAACTGCAGCAGCCGTTGTGCTTGTCTTTTGCATGCTGAAAAAGGTGATTTTCATTCTCGTAGTCATTGTCGCAGTCGTCTACGAAACAGACGTTATGACGAGAGCTACCTTGGATGTGGCTCTGGTAGGCACGGCCATGGACGAAAGAACGTTCACAGCGGTCACAATAGGTAGGCATGATTTGGGCCTCAGGGTTTGGTGATTATTTCGATGCCTGAGCTTTCGGAATCGGGTGGCACGCGGCAATCGCCTAACGGTCGACCAGTCTACCGTGTCGCGTGATCTCGATCTGCGCTCGTCCTAACTTTGGGAGTTAGAGTACGGATTTGTAATATGTATGAGCGATGAAGTTTATGAAAAGCGACGACGAGTAAACTAAGGCCCTATACAGGCAGATGAGCTTGCAATTGCGCAAAGGGTCGGGATCCAGATCGATCAACGTGATTGATGTTTGTTGCAATATGAAGACCCCAGCAAAGCACAGCTTTACCCCACAGTTTGGTTACGAGGCTGAGCTGTACCCAGTCTCGTAACCAAACTGTGTTGGGTACGGCTCTACAGTCTCGGCACAAAGCATGTTCGGGACTAACTACGGAGTGACAGGTAGAGCGCGCGCGTGTTGAGTCTGGCGATGAGACGAAGATAGTTGGAGGTCTCGGCGCTACATATAGAGGTAAGTAGTTACTGGTTTGCAAACTAGCTTAAAGCTAGGTACTTAGGTAGTAGCTTATATACTGACCTACATGCTAGTTCACAAAATGATTTCCAGGCTAATTCACAGACCAGAAAGCGCGTAGGCCAGTCTGTAAACTAAGTGGTTATAAGCCGGTTATACGATATAAATTAAGAAGGAAACCACTTTGGCGCCGCGGGCCCGTAGGAAATAAACCCCAATAGTTAGGGAGTCAAGCAAATTATAAGCTCATCACCCTATTTAGCAATTCAGATTCGTGGGCATCAAATTCTACTGCTATGTAGTCAGGCATATCTTGGCGCCGTGTAATATGCGATGATACATAACCATGCAACCTCGAATCTTATGGGTTGTGGCTCGGATATGTCCTGCCACTGGCCTGGTTCCTACAATTTCTGGGGATTCTAGATCATTAATATCGGGTACATCAAGGCGCTTGGGTCGAAAATTACGATAGATCTAGACCCCTTGTCTCTAGATTTATAATCATTTGCAGGAGCTAGCTAACTAGGATAATTCTTGTCTTCCGGTTCTTTGTACTTTTCCCCTGGTTTTTTAGCGCCAGGAGCTCACCGTGTAACGGAAATCAAAAATATCCCGCTTTCAAACTGGAACAATGCGTGCATATATATGCATACAGTGTTGGAACTGTTGCCCATAGCTATCGTAGGAACGTATCTAGTCCAACAGAAGTTGATACATATCAACCAGCCTCGCTGGATAGCAGAGATGCAGATAAATTTTAAATTTACAAAATGTATGTTTCGAATAAGTATCGGATCCTTAGAAGTGGTTCGGTCAAGAACTGGAAAATGGGCTATGAGCTCAAAATCTAGATTCTTCAAAATGTTGGAACGGATGCCTGGCGAACCTACCGACCGGCATCTTGAGATATATCCTTCCAATAACTCTTCATTCTTCGTCATCCCTGCATATGCGCCGTCCGAAACTAGTATTGAAGAAGATAGTTCTACAACACATCAACCAGTCCGGTCCTACGTTGGGTTGGCTGGAAGTACTGATCCCAAGATCTAGATCGATCAAGATTTTCGATCCTAGCGAAGCGTTCCCCGCACTTGGGAACAGGGGCTGGTTCCCGTGTCTTATCTCCATTATACTGAACTCCAAATCGAATGATTACTTAGTGATATCGAGCCCTAGTTCCCCTCCTTCGATAGAAAATCTCGCTTCTTCAGATAATGCGCATAACGCAGGCTGGCTGCGTTAGCTGCATTCCTTACATGAGTTGTGCATGCAGCTGTGTTTCTTGGAATATATAATATCATATTGCTTTTAATATAATGAGTATGAGTGTCACCATGTTATTTTTTTTGTAAGCCTAGACTCATCCGTTGAACAAGATGTGTATTGTGTACAGACGGTGTATAAAGTAAGGTCTCTATACACCCAACAGGTTCCTTGTTTCCTTAAGACTAACATTAAAAGCTTCACCTTTTTCATACCTGCAATAAATTTTCAAACCCTTCACGCATTCTCATCTTTTTCTTGACTACATCTTTTTGTGAATATATCGATTACTCGACCAAGATGGCCAGGTATTAATATTCCACGTCTCTGTTTTTTCATAGGACCTATATCCTAGCCATCTACCTCCTGGAATATTTTGTATAAAAATGAGGATTGAAGCTGATCAGAATCATCTGTTTGTAGTAGCACCGAGAAAGTTCAAGTTGAATATCGAGAATCCGTCCAGAGCAAATCCACGACGGATTCCATGGCGACTTCGCCAAATAACCTTAATAAGATCTACATCACGGTCGAGCCATTAGGTGAAGCAGTATCAAAGGCAATCGAAAAAGGGGATATCGGGGCGAATGATGATTTCAAGATCCGTGCTCGCAAATTAGCTGATGACTATGGCTGGGACGTTACAGAAGCTCGAAAAATTTGGGCATTCGGTCTCGGCCCAGATGATTCTGTCAACATGTTGGTTAATCAAACCAAGGCTATCCTGCATCTCGTAGAGGTCAGATCGCATATTATTGCTGCCTTTCAGTCAATAACAAAAGAAGGCCCTATATCTGGACTACCAATGCGGGGCGTCAAGTTCAATATCATGGACATTGTTCTCGCTGATGATCCTGCCAACATGGGAGCCAACGAAATAGTTGAAACTACCCGTCGAGCTATCAACGCTTCAATCCTCTTGGCGAATCCTGGTCTCTTGGAGTCTGTACACTCAGCAACGATACAAATTCCAGAGACTGCCTCAAGTATTGCCTCCGACATCATTACCAAACGGGGTGGTAATATCTTTTCTGAAGTCAAAGCTGCTGGAGCTTCACCATACACTATCGAAGCCTATATACCAGCCAAAAAATCTTCCGGTTTAGAAACGATCCTTCAGACAGCTATCAAGGGCCAAGTATCTGTACAACTAGTTCATGACCATTGGCGACCTCTCGAAGGTGATCCGCTTGATCCAGAGAGTCAAATTCGAAATCTTGCGATCGAACTCAGACAAGAAAAAGGTGAGTGACGACAATATATGAAAAGTGATTAACTTGAAACGTACTAAAATGCGACACCTTAGGTCTTCCCGCCGAAATACCATCAGCCGAGACCTACTTCGATAAAGCTTAGGAGCTACGACCTTTTGTTTGACCTACCTCTTGATATTTTTATTCTGTACCATGACAGGGCTTGCCACTGGTCGCTTCGATGAATAGAATAAACTGTCCATAAAATCCTGATTAAAACTCAGGGTTCAATCTGCAATTAAAGAGGGATTCAAGATGGTCTCAGAGGACGTAAGCTTCGAAAGCAGTCCAATTCCTCCCGTAATGTTTTTAGTTCTAAAATGAGCAATTGAAAATATATTTCATTCTGGACCAAAACTTTATAATACTTCTTCGTCGCCATTTCTTATGGTTGAAGGCTGGATTTTCCTATTTTGAAGACTGTGATAAAACATTCATGTGCAATATATTCCCTTGAAATAGGGCTATATCTCAAACGTGGTTATTGTCGGGGCCTATTTTATTCAAAACCGCTTCCACCGACATATAGAATACTCCTAATCATTCTTCTGTATGCGGATGGCAAGTGCCTTTGAATTAAATCGGAAGTTTTTCAGCCGTTTCTTCAATGCATTATGGTGAGCATCTCCATGAATCAACAAGTGGGTAACTGTAATATAAATATCGAATCTCTCTAAATAACGATTTACACGGTTAACAATGAATTATGATTGTAATAATTTCAGATCCCATTTAAAGCTGCATCATCATGTCGGACCTCCTTTAGCTTTGACTGCATCCCAAGTCGTTAAGTACCGCCCTTCCACCAAATCTTCGTGTAAAACTACAGGCATAGTCTCTATCCCCATCTTCTGGTATATCCAAGCCATCATCAAAATATAAGGATGATTTGGATACTTCGTATACCAGTAGCCGTTAGCGGCAAAGGGGCATGAAGATCTTGTGTAGATAAATGCCGAATACACAGCATGCCAGACGGTTCCTTCTTCCCCTAAACGATCAATATCTTCCAGCGTTGTTACATTTTCATATTCATCGGAGGAGTATATAGAACCCACTTGCTCCAGGTAGAATATCTCTCCGGATTCTGGGTTGTAGAGGGCCATTATAGACGTATCAGAGCAGAGAGCATGCCTTAGACTCCATCTTCTTGAGAATGCTGTTTCATTTTGTAATCGCGGGATTTGTATCGTGCTTATGGTGGTTCGTGCCAAGTGGCTGCTGCGGGCAGTTCGTTTCCCCAAAACGCGGATTGTAAGCGGCTCAGGGTCTAAGGACTTTATTGCTTCCTCCGCCAGCCTCAACCTTTGGATTTCCGCGAGCGTTTTCATTTTAAAGCTTCTATAGAGTTGTTCAATTTCGGCTATTGAAAGCTTTTTGTTTTGGAAGTCAAACTTCAATCTACCGATGTAAGTTTGTCTAGTCTGATCATGAGTTACTGTCGGGTGCTCGATTTGTTTTATTCGCGCTCGCTCCCACGAAAAAGAAGCTACAGTGCGATAACAGGTACATAAGTACCTACCGAGGTAGTTGGAATGACAATAATAGAGGTAGGTATACGATCTTCCACCCAGAATTATTATAGATCAAAGTGAGTTTTTCTAATTTAGGCCAGCTAGACGCCCCAAGTTGGTAAAAGAAGAGATTCCCGGTAGATCAATTCCTAAGCTAGTAACATTATAAGAGTTAATATAAATACATTTATACATTTATACATACTTAGGTATATCGGTAGTGAGACACGACATGCACCGAAAATGTCTCATAAATACCTGTTGATTTCCATAAATATATTACAGAATTCCACCCCCTTTTCTTCTTTCTCACTCACCATGTGTTACATCGTGATCTTCCATCACCAAACATCATCAGTTGCAATGCTACAAGCCCCCGAATCACGATGGAAATAACACCTGAAGTACTTACCTGGTATCAATCAATTCGGAAACAAATCGTGAGGGTTATTCGGTAATATTCCCGAAATGCCACTACTATTCTTCTTGATTATCCTAGTTTAATGCCATTCTAATGGCGTTAACGACTACAGCGACTTCAAGTTCTACAAATTCCCGACATTCGTCCATTTGAGGAACAAAGACGACGGAGAGCATTAACAAACGATCAAAGTATGCAGACAATACCCAACCCACTAGAGGCTAGCAACGGCTAGCAAAGGCTATTCCTCGAAGAATATGCCAGAAACCCGAGAAATCATCGCGAACTAGAGCAATAATTTACACGAAAGGAAACGAATTGGCTAATATAGTAGGTCTGATAGGTTCGGATATAGCCCGATCTAAGGGCTCTCACCCCATCGGAGCCCTTGTGGTTACTATAGTCCTTGCAATTCTAACTGCCATATGCCGGATGGCAGTAGGATACTATACCGAGTCACTGGAGCGGACGGAAAGAGCGTTATCTCACTTTGTAAGCAAAAATTACGAACTCACATTGGTCAAGGTTTGCTAATCGAAATATTAGACTTTGCAGATGGAAATCCAAATTTTGAAAGTGGAACTAGAGGAAAAGAGAAGGCAAAAGCTAGAGAAGTCCCAAAACAGAGCAGAGAAGAGCGCATGTCTTGATTCTATTGATTTAATGATGCAAACACAAGATGGACTCATAAGAGAACTTCAAAAATGCCTTGAGAGCAATAGATCCGCTCTACCCTTGGAGAAGTTGAAACTGGACTAGCCTTCGAATTATCCCAAAAAAACTCCGGATTCAGTTATCTGACTTTGTATATATATAAAGTGAGCAATATTCCCCGGCGAAAACAAAACCGCTCATAAATGAATCTTCTCACGGTTTGAAACTTCGAAAATTAATTATACCGCCAACAATAACATACAAAGTATAACAATAGCAAGCAGGGGAGCCTACTAGGGCTAGAGAAACTAAGGCACTAATATCGTCGCATCACCAGACAATATGTATTTCACAATGAAGTTCATGTATCTTCATATATACTTATTCCTCTTGGCTGCTTTTAACTTACGATTAACGCACGGTTGGATGTTCAGGTTCCTCTATGATCCACCAAATCAATTTTACCAAGGAAAGAAAACTGGCGGTAGCTTCGTCCAGGTCTCCCCAAAGCCTTGTACGGATATGCAACGGCGAGCACGGGACGCCGAGGGAATAAGGCGAGAGTTCGTTGGTATATCCATTATACAAGGGGATCCGAGCCTTCCACCAAAAACAGGCTTCCAGTTGCCCAGTCCTGATCAATTTGTGAGCAGTGTCCCTGTGAGATACCTTGGATTCTGGACAAGGGGGGACTGTGACCGACTCCCCAGCGCAATTGCCCATTTTTATTCAACTCCCAGTACAGTACAAAAAGCCAACTTCTCGTTGTTGGAAGACTACGGGCTTAATCATGATATGAAATGGAAGGATCGAAAGTGGTGGAGTTGGGCGGAATTAATCGATTTACCCAACGGTGCTCCTCAGTTCCCGGAGATACCAGCCGGGGCAATGGCTGCCCGGACGACTCGGGATGGGTTTTTCAACTTAAATTCGCGTGCAGAGTTCTTGATCGCTCATGACACGATTACAGTAGATCCCATAAACTCACACTTCAGATCGAAGGATGTTCCCAAAGATTCAAAACCAACCGTGGAAAAGAAAGAGTTAACGATGAACCCCGCGGTACCATTAGCAGATACATCGGGTGCAAATGGCAATAGATATTCTGTGGGAGGTCCCGAGAAAATCGTTGGGACAAGCCCCAGCCAGCCAGTGATAGTACAGGCTGACACGGATACCCAACGAGCTACCCCTGATCGAAAAACAAGTTCTCAGTTAGAAAAGGGGCCAGAAACAGCCGAACTGGCTGCAGTTGGGTCAAATGACAGGACTTCACTTATTGATTCTTTGATGTCATCCGGAGGGAAAGCACTACTTGCGGGGCAAGAGGTCGCAAAGCAGCAATTAGAATCAGAACTTCTTTTAATCTCTAGTGAAGAACTCATAAAACTACGACAACACCCCTTGTATCAGCTTCCCAAGTTTCAGTTGGCAGATCTACTGTTGCGGACACGATTAGAGAAAGAATTCAAAGACCTCCCAGAAGACGAGCGGGAGAGTGAAATCCAATTCAAGCTCGCAATGGCAGACTATGAGAGGCAAGGAGGAATAGACGCTAATTCGTCCGAAATCTCCGAAGAAGGCGGTGTCTTTGAGGAGTACCTCGAAAAGGCTATACGCCAAACTGGTGCTCAAGGAACGGACACGAAGATGGAGGAAGAATATAGTGAAGAATACGAAGGCCAGAATTACGGAGACTATATCAAAAATCTGCTTGAAAAGGAATCTTCTCCCGAAAGTGAGGGCGATGATGATGATCTGGTGAAAATCGAAGAGTTTCTTAAAAAAGAGCTAAGCACAGCGGTTCAGCTGGAAGACAATAGAGCAGGCGGATACGCACAAGATGCAGTGAAAATTGAAGCTGATGATACTAGTTTGGGAAGATTTTCCAGGCCTAGGTCTGTGATAAGAACCTTGGATGCATCTCAGATAGATGCTCAACTAAAGCGCCTGGCTCCTCAAATGGAGATGAGTGGCGTTCCTCCAGAAACAGAATATGATCGGCTTATCAGTGAAACGATCGTTAAGGAGGAAAACTAGTTCTTTCCGGGGCTGGAGAGCGATATCAATGGAAAAAGAGAGTAAATAGGAAACCTAAATACCATAATACATAAGGATATCGATGTTGAGTTGATCAGTCGACAGTCTGGCTCCAATTTAAACATTCGCATGTCTAAAGCATTCTAAGCATCAACATGCTAATGCTAATTAGTACAGAATTTGTAGACACCGGCTGAGAGTCATCAGTCCTTGTAGTTTCTTGATTGTTTCATGCCTCTAACCTAAAATCCTAGAAACTTTTTGACAAGCACATGAGGATACATTGGTCTCGTTGGGATACATCGATTCCAACGCCTGAGGCTACCATGATGGCCAGCCAACAACTCACCAACACAAAAACCCTGCCAGCTAAATTTAACTATAATTGCGTGATATGACAGTAACTAGGGGATTTGCAACAAAGATTAAATCTGGTGATTCCCCTGTTGAAACAATAGCTATAGCTATCTAAATGGCAAAGGCACACAACGAAGTAACGGACATCATATGATGCATCACCCTTCCGGGTCTGTATATAAGGCACTCGCTGCAGGCAGACGTTTTCTAGCAACACACATTTTCCAACATACAGCAGCTAAAAAGGTTTTCCCAAAGCGTCGAGAGCTCCGCATTTGAGGCCAAAAACGCTAAAAAAAATTAAAAAGAAAGACTCATCTTATTGGAAAGGACTTTTCCGATACCGGGAATCGAACCCGGGGCTGTCCGGACCATCTTAGGAGAATAAACTCCTTTTGAAAGCGGACGATGTTAACCACTACACCATATCGGATGAGTGTTGATGGGTTTGTCGATACCAAATTGACGTTTCTAAAGCTTGTCCCAAAAGATCCTTTGATTTGCTGTTATAAGCTGGGCAAACCAAGGCTCCAACACCGATGCAATGTATTCTTACAGTTCTGAAAGCTCAATTTAACTAAAACATATTTTTTTTGCGGGTGGTGCTGAATACAAGGCGATGAAATATCACAATTGTTCAAGCAGCATCTTGTTGTCAAAGTGCACAATCTTTCCTTTTACATTCTACGACATATATAAGCTATCCAATTAGCAGGTTGGGTTTAGCTATAAGCAAGATTTTGCGTAGTTGCTGTGACGATAATATACTGTGAAAGGGCAGCTGCGCGAGGGTAAGAAAGGACTACGCCCAAAAATTGTTCATCAGAAGGATATATTTGAAGTATGTACAAAGAATGGAAAAATAAGATAAAAGTGCCCGGAAAGCATAGGAGTACTCTCTACCGCAACCAAGGTCTCACAGAGTAGTAGACTCTAGGCCCTCTTAACCTTAACTCTAGTGCATCTTTCGTCGCTGACGCTTCCATCAGCCCACCAAACACTAGTATATGTGTGTTCTTGGCCCTGTGGGTAATTAGTTGGGCAAGCCCACCAATTGCTCATCCCATCCAATGTTAGGTATCCAAGATAATCTAGTTGAAAGTCCTTCCAGGTTGTCAATGGTTCCCCATTGATAGTTTCCGACTGTTCAGTAGGTGGTGCGGGGGCACTAGGGGCAGCAGATGCTGGTGCTGGTGGGAAGAACAAGGCTCTCATGTTGTTCCTAACATATTCTTTAGGTCCGAAAGCTTCGTCATAGCCGGCTGAAACAGGTCCCTTTGGACAAAGGAAGAACTTGCATTCTTCCGGTCTAGCGCCAGGGGTGTAAATCAGTCGGCCATGGGGAGGGAATCTTGGATCAGTGTTCGGGTCGTTATAGGTGATTTCAAAATGAGGGTTGGGCTCCGTCGATGTAGTAGTTATAGCGAGAGTCTTGCCGTTTACTGGGTTTGCGGGGGTTGGGTGGATGGTAAGATATTGTCCATGGAGTCTGTTTTATATCTGTTAGTTTTTTAATGCCTTTTGGGGGATTTTTACGAAAGGACAAAGTACTCACTCAGTATCTGGAGCATCTAGTTGGAGAGAAAATGGTCCGGCATTAATGAATCCCGGAATTTGAGGGGTGGGGAGAGAGCTGACGGCAGCAGTAAGCGCGGCAAGGACAATTGAGTATTTCATCTTGAAAATGATGACTAAGAATATAAAAAACGATGCGAAGGTTACACAGCGAGCTTTAGACGACGATTAGATCTTAGATAATAACAATCTAGAGTGTTTTTAGCCTCTTTGGGAATCTGTGTTTTTATCCTGGAATAGACCTCAAGAAGTTGACCTTAATCTCTAAAACTTATGGGAATGCGACGATCCAGGACGTTTATAACGTTTATATTCCACGAGTTCTTACCCCTCCATCATATGATTGCGGATGCAACCCTTTTGACTTCTACACTAGGAACGAGCGGCGAAGTTACACCGAAATCTACCATCTGTTTTCAGCGGCCTAGAAAGCATGCCCAAGCCTTGGAATAATTTACCCACAATATGGTCATGGAAATTTGAGTAATGAACCCATGTCCTTGCATTACTATCAACTCTTTATGCGAACGCGTGTTGCTATGAAATATTCCAACAGGGCAACACCTCCATGCACCATCCAGTTTGGGTAATTCGATATCTTGGCTCGAGGGATGGGAAGCTGGCGTTAGGCTGTAAAATCGTGATCCTGGTTAATTGTGGCCGCAAGGCAATCGATTGGTTTCTGGGAGGAAGGTTCAGTTATCTATGCAGCAACGAGGTTTGGGTCGGTTAGCTCAGCTTGCAGTATTGATTCACTTCGTGATCAGAAGATGTTTCAATAAGTACCAGACTTTGAACATGGAGCTAGAAGTTCTGCATGAACAGTAGAATGTCTCAATACCAGTTTCGGTAACAATTTTAATGAGAGACTCGAGCGCTATCGGTGGTCAGCTCAGGTATCTGTGGACCAGTAGGACATCGTGGCTGAGAATATTCCCAATTTCAACATTAACCCAGACATTTGTTCCTCATGTATTTACCTTCTGATCATGCGCACAACTAGTGCTAGTATAATATCGTGAGCCCCGCCCACAAGCCAAAAGTTAACATCAAAGTCCATGTCGGCTGCCTTGGTAAACTTCAGCTTGTAGTAGCATTCCTGATGGTTCCATCACCTCTGCCTAGGCTCTAGACTCTGTAGACAGATGCAAGTATGAGGCAAAGTTCACCTACCGCCCCTCGCCTACATGTCTTATCTCGGTAGGTAGGCGATTTTCTGACTTTCAAAATTAATTGCGACACCCCCAGCCTCAATTCTCTTCTAACCCGGCTTTCTTGCAGTATTTGGATCCGGGCCGAGGAAGCAGCATGCATTGCATCCGCCGCCCCTCCGAAAGACCGCCCAGGTAACGGCAAATGCAGGACTTCAATTAGACATCAAATATCGTACATTCCTTGGGACTTTTTGAGTCCTAATGGCGTTTCCGAACCAGGGCGACAATTGGTAAGCACACAATATTTCGTGATAGGTCGGCAGCTTCCGTCCTGTTCACACCTTCCGCTTCGACTTGGGTTAAGATTGTAGCCGCCCCAAAGAGGAAGGCGTCAACGTCTTCGCCAACACAATTCTAAAAAGCTTGGTTATGTTTGGTAAGTGGCCACAAGACACATGCCCTTTTTCCGACAGGAGTAAGCCTGCATGTGAGTCTGCTTGTTTCGAACCGGTAATCAAATCGATCAGATAAAATTTTAAAATTTAAGAATGAGAGCATTGCCCGCCAACCTTTGGACGAAAAACGTACCGTCGGCAAGGACTGTATCACAATGTTGGTGGGCGAAGATTCGCTTGTTGAAAGTAAACTTACTAAAGTAGGGATACGATAACAACTCTTAAACTTGGCCTGTGGAGTTTTTCCAGTTTTTCCCTTTGTGAATAAGATAAATATTGGTGGGTATTGTAGGATTCTAAATCGTGAACGTCAGTGACGAGGTCGGATGACTGGCGGGAGCCCAACAACATCCAGCATCCAACGTTACGAGAAACGGCCAAACTAGTTAGCCCCTGGCCTTTAAAGCTTTCCCTTTTAGTGTTTTGGGAAACCAAATCAACTGCATTATAAATTGAGACAACTTTACTAGTTATCGGGAACACGGAAATATCTTTCTTAGATGCTAGCCTAGCTCCGTTTCTCGGTAAACCAGGAATTCCAGCTACAAGGCTAATGCCCACTCTCAGTCTAAGTTTTTTAGAAATTATCTGGAATGTATGCTATCCACCTGCAAAATCTGTCTTTGGACGAAGGTAGCTATTAATTTACCAATCGTGGGCAGAGGGCCACAAAGTATTATCATAGTTCGTCCTAGTTAGCCAGTTAGCTCCAAATCCTAGCCACCGCCAAATCAGAGTATATGTAGTAAAAATGGCGCAGATTAAATATCACGTTACTCAGCATATATATCGTACTAGTGCCCCAATACTACAGTGTGGAATCACAAGGTCCTAAGAGCTGCTTAATTATAGGAATGCCGTTAATTAAATGCGATGTCACATATCTTCAGATAACAATCAAAACGTGGACATATCACTATCGTAACCACCCTCATATTCAAAGTTTCCTTCTAATTGATCTCCATAGTCCACACCAGTCTGAATCTCAATAATCTTCACCCAGTTCTCCAAGTCATCAGAGTCCCATGGATCTGATTCTCTAAAATATGGCTCTCCAGCCTCAAACAAATGCCACAACCGGAGCAAACTTGTTGCTGCCAACTGCCCCCAGAAGTCAGTTTGTACCTGCAGCAGCTCCTTTTCATGGCTGCTATAAGTTACTTTTGAGGCCGCCTCCAGCTGTCTTAGCTGGAAGCTATACGAATCAACCGTGCCCTTCAGAACTTGCAAAACATCAACATTTGTATATTGGAAGAACGTTCGAGGATCAAAGCTTTCATCACCGGGTGATTTAGGCGACCCTGCGCCGGAGTTCGCTTGTGTTTGTAGATCGTCGCTGGGTGAACTTGGATCACTTTCAACAAAGTCGGACATTCCGCCGGTACCGGTCGCTTCGTCGATTCTCACAAGGGACAGTATCAACTTCTCGGGGCTTTTCGCAGCATAGCAGTGTATTTTGCGTCTGACAATAAACTCGTATAGGCCACGAAGGCTTTTCTCCGGTAAAGGTATGATAGAGATGCTTCCATACTCTTCATCTCCCTCTAGGCTTTCCAAGATTTTATGGGCATTGAGGATTGCTGGAAGTAATGTGTTAGAGAAAGCTTGAACCTAGCTAATACCTGACAATGAAGTTATGAACGAGTCAAATTTATCAGCGTAGAGTGTTCGCTGGCCGCTGCTCAGTGAAGGGCTCGGCTCTTCGAGTTCATTTGGGCAAACGGGTGATGTGAGAGCGCTTGTAGCTCCCACGAAGAAAATAGATGCGAGACAGATGAAACGGAAGCTCATCTTACCACAGAAAGTGATCTAGGAATAATTTGTAAGGGACTTTTCTCGCAGCCAGACTAGTGGTATGATGCAAATGTGGTCAAGGATCAGGTGCATGTGTGTGAAACGCGAGATGGGCCGTTCTTGGGATTTAGGTAAATACAACTCGAAAAATTCTCGTGTCTTAAATTTTTGATTGAGTGGCGAGGGTGTCTATGTTGAATGATGAAACTGTAGTTCAATGTGCTCAAAAGCCGCGCGCACTGACCTTTACGATGTAGGATCAAGGTCCCCGCACTAGAGCTTACCAGCGAATGATTGAGAGAGAAAAAAGTTCGTGCCCCCAATCTACCAAAATGTAACCGAAACATCCTGTTGCTCAACTCCCTCGTTCCAAACAACTATATCCATTTTGTAAAAGCCACGAGGGATGCCCCATTCCTTCCACCACCAATCCTTTTCGGGATTCCTAACTCGCCAGTTCAAAATCATCTTCTCATACGTATCTCCTGGTCTGACCCTTGATCTCTCTGCCACAGTATCAAAAAACTCCCCAACAGTAATCCCGGTTGGTTTTTGATCGCGGTTCAAGCTCTTAAACTCGACGACCTTCGGGTTTGTGGGATGAGGTACCACGATGAGCTTCCTGAAAGTTCCGCAGGGAACAGGCATCACTTTGAAGGCATGTTTTGGTCTGACAGTACGCTCTTCTCTTGGAGGCATTAGAATGTTGAATTGCACGTCTTGTAGAGTATGTGGCAGAGGTGGTTTTGTTAGTTGATGATCAAGGTATGGTAAGAGTCGTTGGCAAACGCGAGGGTCTGGCTTTCTGAACCCAGAGAGGGCGATCTGTTCACCCAAGTAGTCCGCAACTTCATAAATGGCCCTGTGTATCTTGAAATTAAAGGGCTTAAAGTCAGGATGAAGTTCGGGAACCCTTAGGGGGAGCGTTGTAATTGGTAAGTAGAGGAAATCTGGAAGAAGGGTGATGGCGTGCCATCGTTTGCAAACCCTTCGCACAGTACCCCAATACTTTAAAGGAATACGTGAGATGATTTCAACTTCCAGCTCAGTAGGAAAGACTGGTTTGAGTGCTACAGGGGCTGCTTTGACTTCATCGCCACCCTGGTTTCGTTCGGGCTCGTTCTCTGGTCCAGTTGTTTCCTCAAGTGTGAGTGCGTTGAAAGTGGAAGTTACGTCATTTCCAAGTGGCTCCATGTTGCCTTGTGTTGCCACTGTGGTAAATTCTGGTGTTACTTGAAGCAGGAAAAACGCGAACGTCAATTACAATTGCCCTTCGGTTATCTTTAGCGCTACATGATGCCTGTGTCAGCGATTTGTTTGCCGCCGTCGTCAATTCGACGAGGTTTTGGTGTACTAGGTACCTTTGGCATAGGCCAAAACAATCGATAGTAAAGGATTGGGGGGTGCTATCAGCTAGCTAAGAAGCTTGAGGCGATATTAGCAAATCAAACTGCCAAGACACTCAGATCTGCACAACGCACAGGTTCCAAAATCCAACGGGGTTCTTCGAGGGTAGGGCTTTATGAGCGCTGAGATCTTAGAAGTAGTTTCGTATCCAGAGTCTAAGAGGACTTTAAGTCGCTTTCCATGCCACTTTAAAAAAAAATTGGAATTTCAGACAAGAAGCAATAATGTTAATGATGATGGTTATGATGGTTATGACAGTTATGATGGTTATGATTATGATAGTGGTGATGATTGTTTTGACAGAAGGAAGAGAAAGAAGGGAACCCCTCAAGGGTGAGGGGAGGACATGACGATCCGGTTCAGTGATGCTTAGTCTCATGGCGAAGTCGGCTCTACAATCACTTCTCGATTGTAGAATTTTATTGTCAATCCTCGGTATATATAGGCGAAGCTAATCTTATGTGCGGTGTCTGCCTGACTTCATAGCTTTGGGGTATTTTCGAATTTCTGTAGTTCCATCAGGCTCAGTGCATGCCGTAGGCTACATGCCGAAGCGTTTTAATACAAGACTAAGGCTACATAAGGGATATGTACTTGGATTAAAAATGATAGTCGAGCCTGCGTAGCTGAGCTTCTTAGGATTAGGATGAAGATAATGCAAAGCGTGTTGAATGAAAGAGTTTATAACTTAGTGAACGGTTGCAGCAAATAACCATTTACGTTCTGCCCGTGGTGTGATTACTTACATCACCTAGATTAGTCTCGGGGCCGGACGCCAGCGTTGCTGTGTAAGTATGCGAGCGTCTGGCCACAGTTTGGTTACGAGACTGGCGTCTGGCATCAATACTAGCTTAGGTGTTAAATTTAACGGGAAAATGCCAAAAAAATCGCAAGCAAAACTAGTATCGATATATCGGGGTCATATAGCCATGTGTGCGTACGATGCGGGATAGAAGGATATATTCCCTTCAAGTATACACAACGAGATACTACAATTAAGACTAGGGATTCGTCATAATATTCATTTTTTTGTTTGGCCACTTTCAGAACTCAGCTCTTGTTTGTGTGAGAAATACATTTACAGGATCGGAATACCAGTCTTACCAGAGCCAGTATCTACACGACGGGACAGGCCGGTTTGTGGGGTAATATTGAGCTACGACACTTTGTGATATTCTGTGTGTTGCTGCAGAGAGGTATCCCGATTGGGACAGCGCCCCAATCTGGACTTCAGACGCGAATAATTCTCTTCAGTTGTGTTGCCGAAGCCAACTACCAACCTCCCCCCATGAACACGCGCTTCTCCATCTGCTCTCCTAAAACTCCCACCAGCTTCAACCTCAACTGCCACTCCGGATAGCATAGAACCCATAAGCCACTAGCAGGGATAACTCGAGCCTCAATCAATCCTATAGACGTCTTGTAGTAACGCTTCGACCTTTTCAAAAATATCATTTCGCCGATATCAACCCGCTATTTTATCACCCTTAGACGTTAAGCTGCTGTCACCGACACTTTTATTTCAGCGCCCCGGGATACCAATGATTGCCCCGACAGGTCTTACACAACGTTGATTCGGTCCTCTGGCACCCGTTGTCATTGGCGTTTAACTTACTATCAAATATATATATATATCTGCTCCCTCACCTCTTCTTTTCTCTCTCTGTTTACGTCTTCCATCGCGACAACCAACCCAAGATCACAACAAACAACATAATGCCGACCCAAACAATCGGCGCCCAGCACGCTCAGGAACTACAGGAGATTGCCGATTCAATATGTCGTTCTTGTCAGGTTCTAATGGTCACTGGTGCTGGTATCAGCACTAACAGCGGTATTCCTGTATGCTTTACTCCTTTTTTTCCTGGTTCTGCCGAAAGCGCGTTCGCTAACAACATGAACCTCCTGTCTCCAGGATTTCCGTTCCGCCGACGGATTGTACAATCTTGTGAAAAGACGCTACCCTGAACAAACTGCTCTCCTCAAGGGAAAAGATCTATTTGATGCGATCTCATTTACTAATCCCATCACGACTGCTATTCTATATAGCTTCTTGGCAGAACTTCGACAGAATGTGAAGGGGATAACCGATAGTACACCAACACATAAATTTATCAAAACTCTCTCAGAGACTGGCCGACTATTGCGATGTTACACACAAAATATCGATGGACTTGAGGCATTGGATGGACTCTGTATGGATATTTCGAGGGGTGCGGGTAAACGGGGCAAAGGGAAAGAAAAGGTTGGGCGTGAGGCTGGGTGTGAGGTCGTGCAACTCCATGGCGATCTGGAGTTACTCCGGTGTACACAGTGTGCCAAACTACACAATTATGATGAGGAGAAGGTTGAGACGCTGCTTGGTGGTGAGGCACCCGAGTGCCCGGACTGTTCGAGAAAAGCGGATGACAGACTTGCGGCAGGAAAGAGATCGATCAACGTTGGGACTCTGCGACCGAATATCGTTCTGTACGACGAACTACACCCCCAAGGGGAGGCCATCGGACAAATCACTCACTACGATGCCACACGGATGGCACCAGACCTATTGCTGATATTCGGAACATCTCTTAAAGTTATCGGGTTAAAGAGGATCGTCAAGGCTTTCGCTTCCAAAGTAAAAACCCGTGGTGGAAAAGTTGTATATATCAATGCAACGCCGGCAGCAGATAGCATTTGGGGTGATACAATTGATTACCACATTCAAATGGACTGTGACGCTTGGATCAAGGATCTCAAGCTCCGCCGGAAAGAAATTTGGCTACACCAGTCACTCCTAGATAAGGAGTGGAGGAAGACCAAACTCGCATCGCTGACAAAGAGCAAAACTACAACTGGTTATGAGTCGGATAAGGAAAACTCAGGAAAGTTACGAGGCCAACCTCTTGTACGGCGAAAGTCCCTGTCTTCTCTTCCATCAAAGAAGAAATCTGGGAACGGGAAGGAGAAGCAATTGCCTACTCCCACGAATACCCCAAGGAAAAGGAAGCCCAGCTCTGCTCCGAACACCCCAACCCTTTCGGCATCGAAAAGGGCATACAATGCGGCATTCCCAACTGGGACTTCGCCATTGACATCTCTTGGGACAACGCCGGGTGGATCCCATCTCAGTACACCAAGCAAACGAATCCGGCTCTCGAGCACCCCTCTTCCTCCAATGAACGCCACGACTACCCCACATCATCACCGTATCCAGAATCTTCGTACGCCCCAACGGGCCTCCCCAGGAGCCCGGAGTTGGGTTACAATGTCAGACGACTCATCCATGGACCCGTTTTCTACCCCAACTCAACGCCTTAATCTTAATACACCTGACCGTCCGATCCCAGATTCACCGCTTCTTACAGAACATGACGTGGAACCTAAAACGCCAAGTCGAGAGGTACCTCGATTTTTCTTGGACTACATTGCTGTGCCTTCTTTATTCGATGCCCCCCCTTCTTCCCCCCCTCAAAAGCTACAAGAGGAAGAGCCCTGTGCGGATAAAAATCCATCAACTCCTCGCCGCCCAACACTTAGCGAAGTTTCCAGCCTAACAAATAGCATAAGGACAAATACCTCGCAGGTAACTAATCGCCATGGACCTCTTGTCGATCAAGTAGACCTAGACGACGCACCAAGCCCCACGCCCACGCCCACACGCCAACGCCTCCACATCTCAAAACAGCTTTTGAGTGGATACAACCTACCTCACTCCCAACAACAGATACCCACACCCCCTGACTCGCAAGTCCCTTCTGATTTAGACCAAAGTAGCTCAAATCTGAGCGAAAGCATTACCGAGAATTATGAAGATGATGTCAAGTATCGCCCTAGGGTTCGGAGTTCGAAGAGGCGGATTTTTGTAGACGACGCCGAGACAGAAATTGAGAGGCCAGCAAGCGAGGCAGCCCAAAGTATCCAAACTGAAGTCACCGAGGTAGACGAGCAACTGGAGAGGGAGGCAGACATGGCAATGAAGAGCTTAGTAGAGGCTGGCTCTAGCACTCGACAAGACAGAACCTACTATAATGAGGAGGATGAAGAAATCGAGGACGTGGATTTGGTGCCCTCCCGCAAGCTACCTACGGCGCTAGGACCAGCTGTAGTCGCTGGAACAAACAGCAATACTACCGCAAACCCCGCCCAACCTGCCCTCGAGAATCTACCTTTTTCAGACTCGCCAAGTATCCTTCCCCTGACACCCGACGCAACAACAAAATCTAGAAGGAAAACAATTAGTCCCGCCATTTTAGGGACAATAGAACGAAGAAGGACGAGAGGATTAGAGAAAGACGAGGCCATCTTGAAGGCTCTAAGCAAGCCGGGGACCGTCACAAGAAAGGAAGCAGAAAGAAGGAAAAGCCTCAAGGCGGAATTTAAGGGGGTTGTGCAAGTCTGATGTGCTTGCTGCTGCTGCTGCTGCTACTGCTGCTGCTGGATTTGGGTCTCATGTTTTCTGAGTTTTAGCAAGTAAATGATGGTTAGCACCGTGCTTGGTTGGCGTTTGGAGCGGTCCTGGTCTTTTTTGTAAATATACTATCAGCCTTTCCTTTATAATGGCATGAGGTACAGGATCCTCGATACCTATCTACCTATTCTAGATTTGTAACTCTTTTTTTAGCTCTTATCCTTCACGGTTATTTTCTTTTTTCTTCCTGTCCAGGTCAACCAGATCCTGCAAAGTCAACCTCAACCGGCTCCCTAAAATCTCGCTGTTCCGGTCTTATATTTCCTATTTCCGGCCCCCGCGACCAACCTATTATATTACTAACACCATTACTAATGGTGCTACAAACTCTCCCTAGGAACCTGCCACAACGTTGGCCTGTAGATTTCGAGGGCCTCGCATTAAGACCCGAAGCAACACCGGCCTCTACGGGTTCGGCTGGGTCTTCCTCGTCAGCTGCATCATCGCTATGATCAACATTGGAGTTGATGTTTTCCGCAGCATCATCGGGACCAACTTCGCTGTTTCCCGCAGCGTCATCTAAACCATCTTCACTATTTTCCGCCACCTCTTGGATCTGCCCAATTTGTCTTTGCCGCCCCGGCTGATCTGATCCCCCTATTTCGTTTCCTAGCCGCAGTTGCAGGTCTCTCAAAACGTCTGCATCAATATCTCCCAGGCCTAGTGATGCATTCCTAGACCTCATTAGGCCCAACAGCACAATCAAGTTCCCGGTCCCCAGTACCGAATTTAGTGTACGGTCAAGCGCATTTCGTTGGGCATCCACATCCACAACTACTAGATCACCCTCCGCCCTTTCATCATCATCAAGCGGAACCTGCGCCATATGTGCCTCATTTGTATCATCTAGATTATCAATAGTCCTTATCAACTCCTCAAATAGAGCGTCACTTTGCCGCTGTCGCCTTTGCTCGGGTTGTTCCGAAGATTGGGCGTCAACGTTCGTCAACGTATCCATCGTTACTCCCGTTTGCTCCTCCACTGCCGCCATCTGCATCGCCGCCATCTGAGCTGCCCTTCTCCTTTGCCTCCTCAATAAAATATATGGTCTTACGTATTCAACGCCTCGCTGCTCCGACGCAACCCTATCTGCTAACTCTCGGGGCGTCCACCGCGGCTCTAGCTCTCCGTCCTCGTCTACAAATCTTACCCGTCGCGGAATATTTCTATGCGTAACTCTGTAGAAGTTATTACTGATGTTCAAAGGATCTTCGTAATCGCGCCGGCCTAGATTGTTTATACGCTCCGCAAGTGGCCGGAGAAAACGCTGCCTTTTGTCCTCGAACCAATATTGTGCCTGGAGATTGCAGACTTGACAAGGAATAGTGCCCCATGCCCTTTTGTTGGTCGTCAAAGTGTATGGGTTTGCGAGGAAAACAGAACGGCCATAATCCGGATGGTCACAAACTAAAGAACTTGGTTAGGTTTGGCTCAAAATTCTTGAAAAGAGGAACTCTTGCCATAAAACGTTTTTCTTTCCCACTCAGTTGTCCGCCTTCCCCAATACAACCAGGACTGGAGCCCAGCAACAGCCATTGTTTTTGTTCCTGGATTTTGTTCTGAACTAATATCCCGAAATTCGAATCTAACCCTTGCACATATAACTATTAGTCTGCCCAATTACTATAAGGTTATTGAGTTTCACTCATTATACGGACGGAAGCCCTTCTCCCCCTTGCCCAAGTATATCAAAATCCATCATGATAGTTCCGTCATCTAGCTTTGCCACAGTGATATATTTGTAGAATGCGTGGCCTCTGTTATCATATTCACTGAGCGTAACCAGATTGTCGACAGGCCCTTCCCACGAGTTTTGAGGTATCCAAGTCAACCCACGCGCGAGCGCACTTGTGTCTCGACGACTCTTATCGCAAATTGACGGACTATCCCAATCCGGGTGACGGCTCTCGTAGCCGGACCAGCAGACTGTCTTGCAAATTGATAGGTTAGTATGACTATCCAACGCCTTATATCAAGATATATATCTGCTCTAAGTGTGTTGACGATAAGAAGGCACTAACGTCTAAACTGCTTTTTCCTCGGATTATAATCCCAAAGTGGGCTTGATACCACTATTCCCGGTATTTCTGGGAATAATCTATCGGGCTGCCGGAACGGGCCATAGCCATAGTCCGCTGTTGTGGTATTCGTGGGCAGTACTACTACTATTTCTGTTCGAATCTGACGTTCAAACATTTTGATATCCTCGTATGTTCCTCGAATTCGATGCCTCAGGAAACTTTGGAACCTCGATAAGCCATGTGGTAAAAGCCTGCACACCGCATTTGCGTTTTTCGGAACGTGTACACAAGCTGTCCATCAGGTGGTTATGGTAATAGCTCAAACACGTTTTGAATACATTTGCGTCAATTTCTTTTTTGTCTTTAAAATAAAAAAATAAAACAGTATCACAACCATACGTCTCCCACAATCGAAGCGCATTTGAAACTTGGATCGTATAAGGCCATTGATACTGCATATCTAGCTATAGAATACATGTCAGTAAGCTTGGTGTTCATATTATCTAAGATTAAAAAACTTTGTAAATCTGTACTGTGAATTTCGCGTACCCTTCGGGAGTATTTAGGCGTCTGCGATGTAGTTTAAACTAAGATGTTTTCTCTAGCCAAGTTCGTGAGCATAATACCGATCCAACTGGACAAAATATCCGTGAAACCCGCTCAAGACACATGCATGGCTGCATTTAATGTTTTTGTGAAAGCCGCCGATGCCATGCTTTCGGTAACGCTACAATTCCCCACTTCATTTGGGTCTATATGCAGGACTGAGACTCGTTGCGATATCCGCAAAATACTAATTAATATTTCTCTAGCATGACCAAGAATCAAACAGAACATCAGTTTGCCGTCCTTTGCCGCAACTAAATCGATCTTCTATACATCGCTAGCGACAGCAGGGTTTAAAATAAGGTTCGAGCAGTATGAGTACGAGACAATACCTATACTTGAGTGAGATTAAACATGAAAAGAAAAGACTGCCCATCCGTAGGATTGCAAAGGAATGGGGTTCCAAATTCAGATTGTCACAGATTCTACGCTTTCGCAAACAACAAAAGAAAGAACTCCTTTTGTCACTACCGCTCGAACTGATATTCGAAATTCTAGAGCATTGTGATATTTCTTCATTCGCCAATCTGCTATCAACATGTCGGATGCTATATTCTCTATGGGGGACTGGTGCTGCGGTGGGCTGTTTCTTGGCAGTTCTAAAGAAAGGAATGACTCTACAAGCCTGGGTTCTATATAGAGTTATTAGAGCAAAGCGGTGGGAAGCTGTGAGATTAGAGAAGCTTCATGCATTCGAAACCTCACACCCAGACCGTGATGTTTTTAATGAGGACCTACCGCCAACCTTTCAGATAGATTTTAAGAGGGTTCTAAGGCCCGACGGATTAAGCTGGCCGAATGATCGGACACCACTCAATGAGTCCCCACGAACAGTCTACTATGGCTACGGTTACCTAAACGCACGCGAGAATAGATATACGCTCATGGAAGACATCTTTTACCTACGGAAGTTTGCAGAATATTGGGTAGACCGATATCAGAGAGATGCGGATCGACTACCCGTTCACCACCCTTGTTTGATAAACACGTTGGTACTAAAAAGGCCGGAAAGAATATACGACGCCTTTTATAGCCACTGGATTTCCGAGCTCATTTCAATCCAGGAGGAGGACCTATCCACCCCCCGCGAGAAATTTGACTTTCATCTACTTCCACACGCTCGTTCCTGGATACAAGCCGTCAAAGAATGCCAAAGGCAGTGGAGGATTAAGGACCATATTCTCCACAGGTTCGAGAAGGAAATGGACTATCTAGCCGAACGGGATGTAGAAAGAATCACATTGAGTTGTTGTTGTGACTGTAGGAAGAGAAATTGTGAATGCAGTCGACGGCGGGTTCTCACAAAGAGAAGATTCTCGCCATTCATCGATATAGATTCTGGTGGTCACTATCACGACGATAAAAAGTACTGGCGGGTTTATTCGAGAAAGTTTCCGGATGATCCAGAGGTTATGGGAACAGTCGAAGATTTAACTTTGCGCGAAGTTGACGGGGAAGCAATTAAGTCTATCAGGCGGCTCAAAAAATGGAAACGATATAGCTACGGGCATTAATAGCCAACTAATATATCGGTCGCGATACCCAGTCTAAGCTTTAATATAATGAAGAGATAAGATTTCATGATCACAACACCTCGGTACTACTCATGTTTGTTTGTATCAACGGAATCAGAAGGGATTTCGGGGTTTATAGCAACTAGTTTCGACGTAGCCTCAGTTTGCAATTTGGGGTGTTCACCTTGGGACTATAATGTAATTTGTACGCATGTAATAGGGCACCGGCTACGATTGTTGGATGTTTGGTTCTATTATTGGGGCACAGCGTCAAGCAACTGCGTGCCAACAACTTAGCCATGCGCCGAATACAAACTCTCCAAATTAATAAGGTCGATTGAGTCCGGACTTCGCAAATTTCAAAACATATCATTGGGGTGTATTCTTTGGGATATACCTTTCTGCTATTTATTGAAAAAGCTAGTTAGAAATAAATTTCAATACGATAAGGGGGAAAAGCCTCCGATGTTTCCGTCTCCCCTATAGGCCTACATACACAAGTACACAATTTAAACGTCGTACTCGACTCGTGTAGCTGCTGTGCGTGGGAGAAAAGTTTATGGTTGGAATTTCTGTTGGGTTCCAACTTATAGGCTCTAAAACAGTATCACGAGCTCGTGGAGCTCAATCGCTTCGAAACTACATGGTAAAAATAGTTTTCCTATGAGCTACCAGAAAAACTTGAGTTGCATTGTAACGCTCACCTGCCTAGGGGCTAGGTTGGGCATCATAGTTCCAACAACTTGATCCAAACCGAGGACGCCGAAGTCACAACCTCGGATGCGGTTCGAAGCTTACACAACCTATAAACGAGTTATGCTCTGGCAACTTACCATGTATCAGCGACATATACTGCAAATAGTATAGTACCAAATAGGTGACTTTAGTACTGATTTTCTTGGAACTTCGATGTTTGCTTTATCGTTCAAGCCTCGGCGATATTGACATCCAAGAGTTGGTTCGTTGGTAGAGCGTATTGGGTGACTTTTTTGATATGGCACAGTGGCAATTTGAGAAGCCGGCTGGCTTATACACCACTTGGCTTAACCCATAAGATCCACCTCCATGTTTATACACCCTCTCCCATTCTTCTCCTTGTTCCACTTCTAGCCCACTTTGGCCTTGCCGCACTAGCAGTGCTTCAATCAATTCCAGCATTTCGTACTTTTTAATGCACTAACTACTACGGCCACATTATACACTTAAACAACATAACACAGCCGCAAAACTTGAATATATAGTTTATAATTATATAACCTACTTGTTATATTCCGAGTTTATGGTTTAGATTGACTTCTCGTCAGCTTGCCGAAACGTCCCACGATTTGTGACAACGAAAAGGTATTATTCCCCCAAAACTTCTTTCTATCGCTTCGTTCAAAGTATACCATTCTGGAATACAATTCAAAGCCGCGCTTTCAAAATAAAGCTACAGCGTCAACTAGAATATTTTGGTCTACAGTCCGCTCAATACTAATGGGACTTAAGGATAGGTCGTTTCTGGCCTCTAGTCGATCAGACCCATGTACTCGATAGCATGACGGCTCCGGTTATTCCAAGTATCTTAAGAGTGTACCAGGCGCTCTGCAGCGTTAGGAGGTTTCGAGAACTTCCCTAATGCACAATTATAACTAAAGTTTCTTCTTAATTCAATCCATCAATGGTATTTCGTACATGTCTCCAGAGGCTGGACCTCAATTCATTCTCATCGTTATTTTGCTTTTTATTATTTTTTTTACAATTGGCCAATTTTTCGTTGTCTTATTCGGTACATACTGCTACGTCTCGATCCAAGTCTGTTCGTATCAGTGCGCACGCCCATTCACACAAAACTCGAAGCTTTCCCGCTGGTCCGAATAAAGATAAGATGGCTCGGAGTTCCGCCGACTTTTTGGGGGGTCGAAACTTGTGTCAAGTTTCTATAATAAAGAGTACGTGCGCTCCTGGGTACCATTGGCAGGATACCAATCCGAGAGCATTTTTGGCTCGATATGGCTAAAAAATCACTCTAGCTGTAATCGTCGGTAATAGTTTATATATTTTTGGGGATCGAATATTACGAATGCCCACCCAATCGCCTTCTGGTATGTATACAATTACATACGACTTCCCTACGTATATTATTTATGTAATGCTCATTCATATACGCAGCTCCTGTAGATCAGATTGCTCTTCGTTTGGATTTGTCGGGACCATTTAAAACAGATAATTATTCTATCCAGACGATAGACTTGCCGGCACCCGATAACAAAGCTGGTGAAATCTCAATTTCAGAGCATACGGGGGTGTTCACAGACTCAACAAACATGTTCCGAACTCAACAGACAAACATTAATCAAAATAATGAGCATTTGGGAACGGGGTTTGGTCCCGGCGAGGCTCGGAATCAAAAATCAAAACTTCTTGTCTTCAATACCGAGGCTCGGTCTTGGTCAACAGAACCCTTTCTCGGAACCTATTTCATACCTCCGAGACATGGATCCCTAATTTCTGTTGCGAAAGAGAAGTTGGGCTTTTGGATCGGTGGAATCGCAGATATCGATACGGGAGATTCAGGAACGCAAAATAGATCTCTTAACATACTTAGGCGATTTGATATGGCTTCACGAATATGGACAGTAGAAGAAACACCATTTATGACCGTACTCAATGGTAGTACAGTATTTCTGGATATAAGTAAGCAGGGTATCCTGCTTCATTTTGCAGGACAGAACTACCGGGGAACAAGTGAATCCGAAGTCGAATTGGTAATATTGTCCGAAAATACGGAGCTTGGTGGTTAGATCTATAGACTGTTAACGAACACGTACTAACGTTTATGGGTAGAATTCATTTAGTGCTGTTCAGATATATGATATCGCAAGTCATCGATGGTATCAACAGAAGACAAGTGGGGATGAAAATATTCGCAACACGACCATTGTGTCAGCTATAAACTCAGGTGGGATCCCTCATGGGCGCCTTAGTCCATGCGTAGTTGCTATTAGGCCTAGCGATAACTCACGCTCAAGATACCATATTTATATGCTGGGCGGGTCTTGGGGTGGTAAAGTCTTCGACGAAGTTTGGGTCCTATCAGTGCCCTCATTTCGGTGGACCTTGTTAAGGCAAGGCCAAAGTAAGTAGCCTTATTCCCTTTACTTTTAAAAAAGGCCCGCATATGTGTATACGTACCAATATCCGTATTGAAGTATAGCTAATAGGCCGACTGGTGGATAAAGATAGTCCCATGCCTTCGGTTTCAGAATGTCATTTGGTGGGAAAAAGTCAATTATTCATTCTAGCAGGCCGTAGCACTCGAAATCAATCATTATCCAGCAATTTTACATCCGGCCCCGTCAAAATATTCGACTTGAATAGCCTCGATTGGGTAAATGTGTACAACCCGAGTAATAAAGACTACAACTCGGCAGACACCCTACTGCGGGCTACTCAACAAGATATACCGGATGAAGGATTTTCTAGTTCTTTCATTGGTAGTTTACTTTACATACCGCCAATTCCTAGTTCATTGAAGCTTAGACAAATGCCACGGAACTCATCAGTATCTACGGAACTCAATATTTCAACGACTTCTATTTCTCCCAAAATGGGAAATCTCACTTCTCCCACAATTCCTATGGTAGACCAAATCTCAACTCAATCGACTCAAGCGCCGACTTTTGGTAGTACTTACCCTTCCACGGCTCAAACAGCATCAAGTTTGACATCTAATACCCCTCGCGCCCAAATAACCCGTACGGAATGGCAAGGTATGACGCGGATATCCACTAGTCCGGAAGGAGCGAAATCAACTTTAGAAAATCTTGTTGTAACGACGGATTTTAGCTCTTCTACTTTTACAAAGTCCCGAACCCATCTAGTGGGAACATCTATCGCGAAAACTTTCAACACTTTGACAACTCCTTTAACTTCCAAACCCCTCAAAATGCAGACCTGGAGCACTATGATCTCTGGTAGTAAGCCTACTCGAATACATAATGAACCAATAACAGTTATCTCGACCGTGCAACTCCCTCGAATGACAGTGACAATGCACATGACGATATCCAATACTGAAACGAAGACCTATAAAACCGCTACAGCGTCACATAAGCGAAAAGCTCTCTCCAGCCGCTCCATATACGGGAGCGGTTTGAGTACCACTGAGCTTGAACCATTCACAAAAGTTACGGAAACGTCCGCTCCTACAGCCGGGACCACCGCTACCGGTGAGGATGACACCTTGAGTCCACAATCAACAAATATGAAACCTTATCAAAACTCTACAGGAATAATTGCAGGGTCGATTATTGGGGGACTAGGAATGATCGGAGGTGCAGCAACCATTTTAATAATTTACTGTTGTCGGGCACAGCACCAACGGAAGAAGAAACGAAACTCAATGTCAGAAGACTTGCTAGATTCTGTGCCACGAAAGAGAGGGCTGCATAGTGTCGAAATACAGAATTTACCCCCCGTAGTGACACGAAACAGAAAATCTAGAATGGACTGGGTTCGGTTTTCTAAGGCTAGGGGGTTGCATGAAGTCTTCGAACTGGAAGGATAATATTAATAAATTGTATACTAAAAAATAGATCCATGTATAATGATAAAAGAAGACTTATTACTCCTACTGATGGCCATAACTAAAAACGCGCAAATGCCAGTTTCTGAGTGATCTGGCGTCCCCCAACTGCCTGATATATAATGCGGCAAGTGCGGCACATCACGCCGTTTCGTGTTGGATGTTGGATTCCAAATGTGTTGCCGTGAGTCGTTCCACAAACTTCCCTGTTCCGTAAGAACAAGGAACGCGACCTCATCGAGAGCTCATCCAACCAAACCTCCACGGCTTCATCATGAATAACGACGTAATCGACCCCCTAGCTCTACTCTACAATACCTCCTTCAATCTTCATAAAGTCACGCCGTTGACAACCTCGGGATCTCTTTCCTTGCAAGCGAACCTGAAGTCGCACTCGAGTCGACTAACCAACCTACTTCGTGGAGATGTGCTTCGCGGTGTTCGCGTCGCATCAGAAACTGTTGAAGACTCTACATCGAGAACGGGGAACTTAAAGCGGGTGGAATTCTCAGCTATCACAATACCTGGGGCCAATGGCAGTCTTAGATCAGTCGCGATCGTTTTCCTCTACGAAAAGATTACATATTCGGCTTTCTTAATTCAAAATTCCAACCAAGATGCTTCGCAACAAGTTGACCAGCCTATACGGCGAATATCTACTCGCAGAGCTTCAAGCAGAGGGGAACAATCGAATTCATACCCTTTGCTCCTCACTCGCCTACCTGCGTCGCTACAGTCTCGTTTTATTGAATACCTTGCCGAGAACTTCGACTGCCATATTTCGAGCTTGCGGATACCCGATCGGTTTATTATGGACTCAATTGAAAACCATGTCGACAGTTTCACACCCACAGACAAACCAGACGAAGATGTCCAACCCACTAGGAATCTCCAAATATGGTTGGAACCGCCGTTTTTGTCAAAAAGTGGCGATGATGTGGGATTTAATAAGCAAGGGAAGCTGCAAACGTTGAAAACTATCCAGATGACATTTTCAAGGGCTGACCTACCAGGAATGGTGTATAAAGGGAATGAGCTGAAGCATAAACAGGGAAAAGAGGAGATAGATAACAGAGGACCTTTTGAACTGGCATTTTCTCTATATGCGTATCATCATATGGGCATCTTGGTGGAGAAGATGAGGGTTTCGAAAGCTGCCTGTGGAGAATTTGTAATCGGGACGGCGGCTGACGGGAGCGGGAGGTGCAAAATCTTGACGGGCCCGACAGAAAACCCCGCCGCTGGAGAACAGCCGGCACCCGAAGGTAGAAAGCACTGGAGCGGTATTATCTCCGCCCTAGTACACCTGGCTTGCTAAATGAGCCAACGAAACAACTCTCGAATTTTCGCGCAGATACGAGGTTTTTTTCCTCATCACACGAATCCTCCGCAATTCCATGCATATGCAGAACGTTTGAGCTGGTTCGTGGTAAAGGGGCTGGTCCCTGTACGGCTTGCATTCTAGCTACCACGCCGCTAAGATCATTTTCTAGATCCAAGATACCCTGTTTGAGCGTCATCGGCCCCTTTCTACGTATCTCAAAATGTTATTATTTTTTCCCTTTCATTTAGTTCTTCTGGCGAGGTGCCTCGCCCTTCCACAGGTTCGACAAGCACCCAAGTCGAACTCCCTTCCAGAACCCGCCCAGCCCAATATTCCATGGGGTCCTGGGGGGCTTGCCGATTTCCCTGAAATTGTTGATGAAACAAATCTCGTGAATGAACCTACTCAACAGGCGGTGCAACCCGTTACAGGCCCCGCCGCAGTTGATAATACTCTTAATCAGGTCGCAGCGATCTGGGATCCTTTTTTGGACCCTGAATACAACCCCCCAATCGTCAATACCGACCCTGTGGGGTATATAGAGCCTATAAACCTTTTTCTAGCAAATATACTGGCCGGCATTAACCCTCCAGCAATCCTAAATGGACCAGTAGCTGATCAAGACCAGGTTCATGTGCAACAACCACAAGTTTTTGTCAGCGAGGAGGATGACGAAGAAATCGATAGCCCTTCAATCAACGAGATCATTGATATCGATTTCTCCGAAGAACCGAGCTCGACTGGCCTTGGATACGTAGAAGAAAGCTTAAGTTCTGATACGTCCCAACCTTTCGCCTACCATCCGATGGTCAAGCGGGAGATTAGCCCCCAGGGACGAAACACTGAAGCTGAATTCCAAGCTGTGGAAGAGATTTCCCAACAAGACTGCTCCAAAAGCGACCCTAAAGTCATCACCCCGGCCCAGTGGGAATCCTGGTACGATGCTTTAAACGACACAGCCCTCACGCCACTCTATAACAACATCCACGCAGCCACAGACCTCGGTCTGGATCTCGAACAAGCGGCCTTTCAAGTAGCCCGCAGAACTAAGGGCGCAATAAAGCCAAATTCTTTCCTCGAGCTCGCCTTCTACCCAATGTACGATAAAATCAAAGGGCTTGCGCTTCTATCAAATGTAGATGAGCTGGCTAAGAAGCTATTTGATTACCAAGAGCCCGTAAGGGGTATGGTGGAGGTCCATGAAGGCGAGATCAAGGATTTCATTAAAGACTATACCAAAGCTAGTCATGATTTTACTGCCGTTGCAGCCAATATCGCCGGAGGAGCCAGAAAATCGGACGCTACGACAAACAGCGAGGCATCCTCTTTTGAAAATTGGGTTAAAGACCCTAAGAATAAACCACAAGGCTTAGTGGAACTTATACAAAATCTTTCGACAGCGATCCAAGCTATATTCTCGGCGTTCAGTACTCTTCATTCCAATTATGGATTCTTAGGGGCCGAGTATCGAGATGTAGTCTTCGACCAAGTATCTACCGACTTTGATGAAGATATAGTGGTAGAGAATCCCTCGCCACCTGTGAAAGCCTCTATAAGGTTTGATGCGACCAGCGGATTGGATCCAGATGGGGATATGTTTAAGTCAAGGGAGCTGCCAAAAGTCCTGCCCCCAGGGCGTTGGGCGAGCGCTCAGGCTGCTTAATCGATCTCCATCCCATTATTACTTACTGATATGCCAATGAAAATTTGTATAGAATTATAAGGAAACTATCAGACGGGGTCGAAGGTGATCATAGGTCAAGGCATGTCTTCAAACTGTAGTATTCTAAACACATCCTTCGCTGTTGTAATTTTAACTATGTCACAAGAGCCACACATGTGGCTGTGCTTCTGTAAAGTGGGTCCTTTGTACTCCAAGCCAGATATGCGACTGCTCAACCCTGCCTTTCTGTTGCATTCGACCAAACTAGACGGATTCCCAAATGCTACCTCGTATTAACTTTTCTCCCGGACTGTTGTGCGCTAGCCAGAACCCAAGGGCTTCCGACTATAAGCATCTTTTACATAAATCACCCTCTCCAATATACTAGTAGCTTGTACCTCAAAACGTCCATATATATTTGAAAAATGGCGGCCAAAAGGGGCCTTCTTGCGATTCCTACCGAACTTCACATTGAAATTCTTGCAAATCTTACACTAGCTGACCAGCTCCGAGCTAGTCAAGCAATCGATATATGGTTTAGGCTTCTGAACGATGGGACACTGAAAAAAACGAGGTACGCCACTATTGCACCAGGAATACGGGGCTTTCATCAGTTAGTGTCCCACCCCGGTGCTCTTATCTGCACGGTCGTCGAAGGAATTGTTCAAGATTACCTCTATATCTGCGACGAGGAACGCCCTGCCGGGGAGTGTGATCTCGTCTATGAAGGCGAAAAACAAAAAAGATATCGCCGAGCACCGAGATTCAGTATCTCCAACCACCCGGTTCTCGACGAACCGATTATATCGCAAACTATGCTCGAGGATATAACCACTGGAAAGCAGCCGGGATCGGAAAGACAACCGCACTATGGACTTGAACGAGACTATTATGGTTATCGAGAAACATTACAAGCACCAAGGACATGGACAGCCACGGATGGCAAAACGGTTAGAGAGTTTATACAGACGATTGCAAAGGTTGCCCATGATAATAGCCCCGAGTGGAGTTTTCGAGAACCCTCAAGACTCGACCGGAAAACAGAGATATTGTTCTGGCATGGTTGGGATGGAGAAGATGAAGACTCATTGGAGCCAATTCTTGATGGAATCATCTACTATACACTTAATGAGTCTTTGTAATGCTGCTCCTTGACCACTACTTAAGTTACATATGTATGTCAGCGCCCGAACTAATTACCCCCAATGTAAACTAGCCAAATTAAAACATCGCTTTCACCAGAGACGAAATGACAAGCCCACCATAATATCATATTGAATTCTGCTTCTGGTGTGTTGCGCTTTTGCATACAAGAATAATGTTAGGCGGCGCGCCCGTTGCTTGTGGACGGATCCTTGCAACATTCGAGGGATATCCAATCTTCCACCAACATGTTTCCCGGAGTGACGCGACTTTGACTTCTTACAACAAGTGCCCGCTGACTGCAGTATCACTATTATTCACGATGTACATCCCACCGGAGATAATTCTCAGTGTAAGTTAAGCGTTCCAGTCGTTCGGCTTTCAAGTTTAACCAGGTGAAACTCACTCGCTTACATCCTGGTGATTTTAGATCGTCGACTATCTGGACTGCACCCCCGATAGCTCAACAAGTGATCGTGCTACTTTGATTGCCTTAAGAAGTGCGAACAAGGACTTTTACGCTGTAGTAACGACTGTTTTGTTCCGGGATTTTAGTCTTCACTATGGTGTTTCCCGCTCTATTCCCCAGATGCAAGGCATTGCATTATCCTCGGTGATTAGACCGCATGTAAGGTCACTCTTTATACCAAGCGAATCATTCTTCCCGCTTGGAAAGGACGGTATGGTTTGCAATCCTCCAACGTATTTACATACGCGTTATGTTGATTAAAAAAAATCATGAATATAGTGCAATTCAACACCAGGGACTATTATCCTTGGTCTCGTGGGTCAGCACTCGACTGGCTCACCGTACCTGACTACAGCCAGGCCCTACCTGTTCGCAAAGGTAGCAAAGGCCGCCCAAGCCATGCAAAGCAAACACTTATGTTCCATTATCCGTTCCGCGAATTCCCCACAAAGCCGTGGCAAGGGTTTTCGCTCCGTAAGAAAGAATTTAGAGAACAAGAACAGGGATACAGCACAGCTTTATCAAACCTTATAGAAACGTGCGAGAACCTCGAAGAAATCCATATAGCCTTGGGGCTGGGAGAAGATACAGCAAGAATGTTGACCTTCGGGAAAATCCTTGGAAAACACTTGATGCCTCAAATTGTAGCCAAAGGAATCCGAAAGCTTGTCATATCAGTACCATCAGCACATAATATATCTTTACCGTTCACCGAATACGTAGAGACCTCGAACGAGCGCTTTGGGCACCTTCCCAATTTTTCAAGGTTAGTATGGTATAGTTCTATTTGCGGAATACTGATACTAAAGCATCCGATAGTCTTGAATCATTGGTTATCGAATCATGCTACGGAAGCAGTGCCGAAACTGCAAGCAAAGACTTCGTTGCCCTGCTTGATACCCTTACTGGCCTAAATTATTTTAAATTGTCGCTGTCTAGCCCTATGTCACAGCATTCAACAAAAGGAGTGTCTTGTTACCCCATATCTTCAGCCTGCCATAATCTCACAACTGTCAAGCTTTCCTCCCTATTCTTGGGAGAAAACGAAGACTTCCTTGAGGATTTCCTCTCAGCAGTCCCAACGATTACAGACCTCGTGCTTTATCACATAGCCCTACCAATAAGTAGCCGTCTACCTGAGAACCACTCTCTACTTGCGAAAACCTGGAGATCTCTATTTCAACACATCTCATCTGTCTTACTTAGGCTCACGACCTTTCAGTTTCGCCATCTGATGTATGGAGCTACGCCCGAGCCCATATGGTGGAATCGAGATAAAAAAGATGTGCTTTTGCTTTTGCCAAAAACGGTTAATAATGAGCAACTGACGGCCCTTGCGTGGAGTCTAAGCCTCGCTGGCGCGGAATTAGTCAGCCCGTTTGATGAAGATTTGAAGGGATTACGATTCCTGAGAAAAGTGGTTAGAGAAAGAAGGGTTGGGCAAAATCTATCTATTGACACATACAGCGAAGATGTTCCAATAACTATGTGGGCAGAAGGTAGAGAGCAGTGGACTTATTTAGCAGATGAGTAGGATACAGGCGCACATCAATGATGTAAAGCTCTTAGTTGTTAAGATTGGGTCGTGCCCTAGGTCTTCCATCATAGTCACATAGGCGATTTAAACAATTCACCAGCGTCTTCTTGATTGAAACTGGTTTTGCTATGTGTTTCCCTTCTGCTATCTTCTTTATTTCTTCCGGTTCCGCAAATCTGTTTCTCAACATCCAAAGACTCTTCCTGAACGCCCTGACACCATTCATAAAGGTGTCCAAGTCGTAATATAGTTGTGCCCAGTCTTTTATGAGGTCCAATATCTCGAAATATAGCAGCGGCTCTAACTCATCTTGCCCGGATGCAATGATATCGTCAAAATACTGCTCCAGTTCATCGGCATGGAGATGAACTAGTATACTGAGATGTTTTACAGGTCCGTATGTAAAGTACTGGAAGGTTGAATCTGCTTCATTTTCGCTATCGTAGATAAGGTAATGGTGGTCAACTAACTCAACATCTCGGAGATTTTGTTGTTGTGCGGGCTGAAATTGTACCCCAGCCCGATTATGATTATCAGCTTCGCCGTTATTATTGTCTTCGCGGTCCCTACCACCAGCACCGACATTACTACCTGGTGCGTTCATAAGCCCCCAAGGCTCAGCTTCAACTTGAAATATTTGAGAGAATGCTTTTGCCAGTGAAAATGGATTCCGGTGGCAATGAAGTTTGTTCGCAGCGACAAACCAGTAGAAACTTCTGAGCGAATCCATCGGATATGGATTCCGGAGGCCTTGGCCACTTTCCCAGCGATCGATTTTTTGGAAATCGGCTTCTAATCTGTCGGGATCAAGCCGAATAAAAATATCTTTCATGGCATTTTTCTTAGAGAGTTCGATAAGAAGAGATCGTAGGTTGTAAGTTAGTGGGGATGGGCTGGATGGCCACTCCGGTTCGATCTCGGCGGCATTCGGCCGCGAAGGACACGTAACCCATATTACTCGGAGAGCATTGAGTACCGATACGAAATAAAGAATCGAAATAACGAAAATAAACATCTGTACGTATGGCAGAAAGTAGCTAGTTTTAGACGGCAGGAAGTAAGTCTAAGAAGCAAAGTTGCTCGTCATAGCGCTAAATTCAAAGAGACAGAAAACTAACGTTGCAAAGTTATAGATCCTAATGTATAGTATAGATACTATGCCAAAGAGTCCTTGGTTTGGTACAATTGTACAAAAGAACAAGCTACAGACTTAACACTTTATTAAACTGAATCCCTCGAGTATAAGGCAGTGGCTAGATGCCTATTGCCTATGAGTACGCGAGTAAAATGTAGGCCAAGTTGTGCGCACGAGCAACTTTAAGTCATTTATTCGCAAGCTTCCCTGCATCCAGCACGAGCTCATGATTTTTCACTGCGGTAATATTAATAATGCGTCACGCATGGACCTTGAAATCAACATTACATGTTGTCACGAACCAGATATTAAACGAAAAGAATTCAGCTAAATACTAGATTTTGACCATGGAAAGAAGGGTACAACCGCTAGAGCCTGAGTAATCTCTTAATTAAACCTTCTCGTACTTCTCGCTAGACCCCACACATGCATAACGATAGAAAAAGATTACTATAATATCTAGCGAATCCGATGTGTTGAGTGTGTGGTATATGTTTTCGCCGAAACGGGCTGCGCATACTGCGGCCAGTGAATAGGTGACAGCTCGTACGACATGAACTCGGACCATACATAAGGTGGTTTTGCCTGAAATAATTGGCATAATTACCTGACTTTTTCTCGTGAAAAACGGCCTAACCGTCCACGTCCCTCAAAGCCACCATGAGAACCAGTACAGCGTGTTTGCAGTGCCGAACAGCCAAACGTAAATGTACCCGAGACCAAGGGAATGGCCCCTGTAACCAATGCCACCAGAGACAGGTGTCTTGCTCGAAGGCCATCGTTCGCCAACATAGCCAACAGCTGCAGACTAATGTTTTGAATTTACCTTCCTCAGCCGAAGCCGTGGTCGAAGCTGTCAGGCACCCTTACTCGACAGAGGTCTTTGACCTTGTTGATCTTTATTTCGATTATATACACGACAAACCTCATATTTTGTTCCACGAGTCAACGCTGAAGACTAGTGTGCGCAATGGATCCGTTTCGCGAACAGTTCTTCTAAGCTTAATAGCTATATCTGCCCGGTATATGCTTATAATACCAGTAGATTAGTATATGATCCCTCGCTAAACAGAATTCTTATATTTATCTAGGTTTTCGGATAACCCTACAGTACGAGCTTTGGGGCCCGCCTACGCACAAGGCTCGAAAGCATGTTTCAAGGCAGACCTTGAAAACGTGTGCATCGAAAATACGCAAGCGGCTATCGTCATTGCTAATATATGTCTGGCTGAGGGAGACTCAAGGGCAGAGTCCTTGTACTACGGTTAATTCTCCCTCCCAGTCCGTTTCTAGGATTTATTAAACAGCATTAAAACTAACCAATCAACGTAGCTCTTGCTATCCGAATGGCACAAATGCTGGATTTAGCATCGGGCAATGAAAACGATGATGGAATTACACGGGAGTTAAAAAGACGGATATGGTGGACATGTTTTATCGTTGACATCTGGTCAAGTGGCGGTGGAAGCTTGGCCCGTCAACTCCAAGTCGGCGAACACCAACCACGCTTACCCTTAGAAGAAATCACCTTCCTCGAGCTACAGCCTGGCGAAAGAGACCTCGGTGACGCCGCGTGGAAAACCGGGATTTGGAGCCATATGGTCCGTATGATTGAGCTCTATAAAGAAATACAAGATCTTCTCCGCTACCTTGTCGCGACTACCCAATGGGACGAAGATTTCATTGAAAATACAGTTCATGGGCTAGCTGTGCGACTTCTTGCCTTTGAGGAAAGACTTGGCCCGGAACTAACCTTCTCCGCCGAGAATGTAGCCCGACACGCTCGTCGCGGTACGGGGAGATTGTTCACAGGGTTCCATTTAGGGTATCAATATTATTGTATGGTTCTATTTTACCAATATCTTGACAAAAGCAGACCTTCGACTAGGAACGGTGCTGCCTACGCTGATCGGTGTAAACTACATGCCCGCCGGTTTTGCGATATTCTACGGACAGCACGGCAGTGGCCTAAGGCTGAGGCGTTGCACAACATTAACGCACATATTACCATTGTCTCATCATCAGTCCTACTACACAACTATATGTTTGGAGATGCAAGTGAACTTGCAGATACGCAAGCTAGACTTGAATCAAATTTGGAATTCATGGTTAAGTTACGCAGGTATTGGCCCAGCGTCGAGCTCGTAGTAGGTTTTTATCACCTACCCTCCTTTAAACTTGATTTTATGACCAAATCCCCTCTAACCCGAAGGCGTAGATCAACCGACTAAATGTCTTTCTGAGGAGCTGCGTAAGCTCCACCTCGAAAAATACGCATCGGTTCGATAAGTGGATGGTGAAATTTTTACAAGAATATTCAATGACCTTGGCGGAAAAGAAGGAGGAGGAGCCGAGAAGCCCTCAAAGTCAAATGGATGCATATGAATATGGGTTCAGCCAACGAAATTTAACGATGCAGGGGGTTATTTCGACATATGGTTCCGATAGAACAGTAAACTATGGCTTCTGAAAATCAACCTAACTGTTTATCCCAATCAATTATATTCTTTTTTATAATTGAGATTGAAGTAACACCTGCTCAAATGTTTTAACGGAAGCAAACAGCCTAAATCAAGTTTCACTGACATAAATTTAAACGAGGGGAAAAAAAAACCTTCAAAACGAAAAAAAAGACATATTACAAATCAAAGAGCATTCGAACATTTCGGGATCTCGATGATGTAAATTCCCTGTTTCAAATCCACACTCCCGCCTTGGACTTTAATACGCCTCCAACTACCACTACGCTCAACAATGGCGTTACAACTATCCCCAGGAAGCTTCAGAGTTGCCACAGTGCTCATTGGAACGGAAACTTGCAATTGTATATCGCCTTCTTTCCCTGAACGGACGAATGAAACACTAATATTCCCATATGGACAATCTACAACACCCTTTACTTCGTTAAACTCAGAAAAGTATGGCGGGCTAATGTCAAAGGTTTTATAGGCGATGCCAGTAGGTTTGATACCCAATACATATGCATAAAACCACTCGTAGATAGTTCCCAACATGTCATGGCTTTTCGACCGACATTCATCCTGCCAAAACTCCAGAAGTGTAGTTTCTCCTCGTCGAAGGAAGCGCATGTATGAAGGATGTTCCTCCTGGCGACACATCTGCAGGACAATATCTGGACGATTGGCGTCGGCCAAAGTGTTAAAAAGGTACCGGAGGCCAATCTCACCGGAGCGAATACGGCCGTCTGAGGTATCGTCTAAGAAGGCTTTCATGATGTCTGCTCGGTATTTCTGGGGAACAAGGTTGAATTGCAGCGCGATTGCTTGACTAACTGCGGTTCTGTCGCGTATTGGATATTGATCTAGGGATGTGTAGTACGCATACGGCCTTTCGGGGTCGTCTATGACAAGGAGATGTTTATTATAGACCGTATAGATACGTTCGGCCCATTCCTTGAAATGCTGGGCATCGGAATCGAGGGACTGGACCCGAGCGAATGTCTCTAGATTACGTAGGCATTGATAATAGATTGCCGTTTCGATGTTTGCCTGATGGTTTCCGAATGCAATGTCACGACCCCAATCTCCAAGACCATGCTCAATTAGACCCCCTTTTCTCTCTTTCGTTCGCATATACTCCATATATCTGATTGCAGGCTGGTATATCGTAGGGATCATTTGCGTAGTCCCGTAGTATCGAAGGAGAATTTCAGGGAGAAAGCACAAAGCGCAGCCCCATGTTATTGTATCGTGGAGGGGTCCACACATATACCGTATCTCGGGGGCCATTGTCGGCACTAGACCGCTGGATTCTTGTGTATCTAGGATATCTTGGAGAATCTTCGTATACAAGGCCTCGACGTCGCGGATATATTGGGTTGCGGGTGCGAGAAGATGTGTGACTTCTAGCCAGCCAAACTTTTCGATCTGAGGACAATCGGTGTGGTAGCTAAATAAGTTGCTCGCGTAGCTCCAGTAGCAGGCTTTGATCAAAGCATTACAATCTTCTTTGTCGGTTTGCATTTTCCCGAGTCTACGAGATGCTGTTGAGACATGCTGTCCGATAGCTGAGCGGATGACAGGAAGACCTTGGCCAGGTTCTAGGGAGACGCCATCTACTTGAATATATCGTGCACAAGTAAAAGAAAAATCAGGCTCCCACATTTGAGGTCCGGGAACATTGCCAAGGATAAATTTTGAGTAGACACCTGTCTCGAACTCCTTGAACAATGGGTCTGGCATCAAAATTCGGCCGTCGTCGTACGTTGTTTCACCATAACGGATGATGACCTCGGAGCCAGCATCTCCTTCGACTTCAATCTTAATCATAGTGGATGCGTTCTGTCCTAGATCAAAACAGACTGTCCCTGGTCCAGGCGAGTGCGTTCTAACGGGCTTGAAGATCTCGTGTAAGACGACGGGTGGTTGGCTTTGATATCGAAGCTGCCCTCTCGGGCCCGTTAGAGGTTTCGCAAATGCCCACTCGCCGTCGTCGAATCCAGGAGCATCCCACCCTTGAGGATAAAGCCTCCTGTCGTGATTTTCGGAAGCATAGATATTGGCGAGAGACGTAGCGCTTTTCCTGACACGCCAGCTAGGATCTGAGATAACAATATCATGCGTTCCGTCTTGGTAGAATAAATGAACCTCAGCAAAGAAACATAGTTCATTCCCGTATCGGACATATGTATTATCTTCATACATTGGCCAAAAGAATCTTTCTCCCTGGTCACCAGCATAAAAGCCGTTACCAACATGGGCTGCTAAAACATTTTCCCCAAGCTTAAGACGGTGAGTCAAATCGTACCCGACGAATTGAACAGTTCTGTGATAATTCGTCCAGCCAGGATCCAGGACATGATTGGAAGCCGCTCCGCCGTTTGCGTGAAGACTGAAGTGGCCCAAGCCAGAAGCGAGGGCAATTGCCTTCGTAGGTTTTCTAGACAAATGGAAAGATTTTCGAAGGTAGATAGGCTTGTCCCCACCATCTCCTAACCACACTGCCCGCCACTTGTTTTCCTGGTCTTCAAACCACGTCCTGAAGATAAGACTGGTATGCGGCATGTACGTTTGATTCATACTATAGGGTGGGAGTAAATGCGACCGAGGATAGGCAGTGAAAAATTCATTAAGATTGCTTTGGGAGCATGTTCCATATGTATCCCATACCAAAACTCTCCAATAGTACATGCAGGTCGACTTAAAACCAGTTTCTGGACAGCAGCGAATGTCTCGCTGCTTGTCACTTTGAATTTTTCCCGAATCCCATGCAATTGACTTATCAGAGCTACCGACGTCCTCTGAAGTGAAAGGTTCTGTCGAAACAATAATCCGGTACGCAGCTTGAGCTGCAAATTCCTCATTGCTAGACAATACCCAGAAGAACCGCACTTCGTCTTGGTCTATCCCGAGCGTTTCATGGAAGCCATGAATGCCACATCGAGAAACTCTCATTGTTGATGGTGTTATATAAGCGCCCATGATGAAATGTATGTATATGTATGGAAGAATCAAAGTTGAAAATGTTGCAATGTTTGAGTTAATTTTGTAATATAGCTAAAATGCGCAGTTGCGAAGTGATGTATATGCTTGAAGGGAGAAAGAAGATGAGGAAGAGGGGGGGTTTTGGAAGGCCTAGGCCGAGGTAGAAACGATTGCTCCATCCTTCTTTCTTTATCGACGAGCACGCGTACACATGTGCACTGTGGCCGAGGGTTTCACTTTTTTGCGTCAAAGATAATGCGAGCGCACACGCAATAATTGCTCCTGAAAACCGATACAAAAAATGGTGAATTAGTTCATGAAGCTGGGGAGCTAGCGCTAGGTTGATGTCTGCCGATCAAGCAGCCGGTTTTGTTAACATGTTTGTGGCATTTAGCGAGCCGAATTCTGCCGGTGTTCAGCCAATAATATATCTCCAAACCCGGTGCGATGATACCCACCGACGGCATACCCCGCCGCTACGGCTTTCGCGAAATTTTATTGGCTTAATGCCGGCGTTAGCTTTTTGACCTGTGTGGCGTTTCTCGTCTCGAGGAGGGACTTTTCGACCTGAGCGACGATGAAATTCCGAGGCAGCGGTAAGCTATATGTCAGTACCATGGTCATGTGGAGAATTAATCCGGGGTAAAATAGCTGATGTTGGGGCCCCAGATTCTGTCATGATCTATCGTGCTGTCTTGCGCTGCTCCATTTCATTATCATTTTTTCTTAAACGGTCGAAAATTTCTGAAATATGTGCCTCCAGTTCGAGTCCAGAGGAACTATCCCATAGGTCTGAGTCTATAAATGAGACGGATTCTCTCAATCAAGGATTTCGAATCTTCCTGGTTTTTCTACTACAACCGAGCAAGCCATTCCCTAAATATATAGATATCCTACTATCTCTTCAAGTTTAGATATCTTCTAGCCCGTTGGACTTCAGATTTAGCCCAAGGCAACAATATTGCAACAATGGGTAAAGGTTACACCATTTTTTCCACTGTCTTCCTAGCCATAGGAGGTTTTCTTTTTGGCTATGATAGCGGTATCATAACTTCCACTATTTCGCTACCCCATTTTATCGATTATTTTGATGCTCCAAGTGCTACTGTCACTGGAGGAATTGTCTCCGCCTTCCAGGGAGGTGCCATTCTCGGCACTATATGGAATATGCTGTTCGCAGATAAACTTGGTCGCAAGCAGACTATCTTTTGGGGGTCCGTTGTCTCTTGTATTGGCTGTGCGCTTCAAGCCGGGGCTGTCAAAATGTCAATGCTCATCATTGGTCGTTTTATCGCCGGGGCAGCTATTGGGATGCTGACGTCGACGATCCCGATGTATGCTGCTGAGCTTGCAGAAGCGAAACATCGTGGTTCTTTGTCTGGTTTATTGCAGTGGTTCTTAAGTTGGTAAGTAAATTTGCAAATTACACGTTAACTAGTCCCAGTCCTTCTCGGGATCTTTGCTAATCGGAATTTCTAGGGGCTTTCTTGTGGCACAATGGTTGGGTTACGGATGTTCCTTTGTAGACAACCATTTCCAATGTAAGAATTAATTGAGCCGACCCTATACATATCGCTATAATTCAGGAGTATATAGACAGCTACTAACTCCGCCTATTACTTTAGGGAGATTTCCCCTTGCATTCCAAATTGTTCCGGGCCTAATTCTCATTTCTGGAATCTGGTTCCTGACTGAGAGTCCAAGATGGTTGGTGGAAAAGGACCGCTTTGATGAAGCCCGTCAAGTACTCCAAAGACTCCGCAGCGACGGAACAAACGATGACGAAATCGATCTTGAGTTCCGCGAAATCAGGGACGTCATTGCCGCTGACAGGGCCGCTGGGAATACATCGTGGAAGAAGATTATAACTAAGCCCTCATGGCGTAAGAGGCTCATATTAGGGTGTGGAGTCCAAGCTTTTGGCCCTTTGTCTGGAATCAATGTCATTAACTACTGTGAGTACTTGCCCCCTTGTGTCTGAGAATGAGACATGTTTTCCCCCCGTTGATTGATTTATGCTTCGGGGGCTGGAGAAACTCGACTCACAGAAATTATGCATAACAGATGGGCCTCAAATCTACAGAATACTTGATATTCAGAACCAGACGGCTTTGATGATCATCGGTATCAGTGGCGCATTATCAATCGTCTACTGTACTATCGGGCTCTTACTCCTCGATCGTTTCGGCCGTATCAAGCCATTGATTATTTCTGCCTGTGGACTTGCGGCAGCCCTCGTTGTTAACGCGGCCCAAGCCCAACATCTCGACCCCTCTAATCGCGCCCAAGCCCGATCAATGGTTGCCATGAATTTTATTTTCTCACTCTTTTACACGCCCCTTGGTATCATTTCTTGGGTATACCCTGCTGAAATTTTCCCAGTCGAAGTCCGTGCTCTAGGTAATGCTATTACCACATTCACGAATTGGACTTTGAATTTGATTTTTGCACAATTCTCGCCAACTGCTTTGAATCATATTGGGTTTAGATATTTTTATGTTTTCTTCGTGTTTAATGTCATCGCCCTTATTTGCTATAGTTTATTTTATCCTGAGACGAAAGGGAAGACCTTGGAGCAAATGGATGAGTTGTTTGGTGACCAGCTGATTCCTCATGCGATGAATGACCCAGAGGGGGCCAAGATTGCTACGGAGAAGGATGCTGTAATGGTATCTCATGTTGAAAACAAGGAGAAGGCTTAGGAAATACCAACGAAAACTAAAAGGTTATGTTTCTAAGGGACGCTACACCGTAACTTAAATATATAGCTGTGTAAACGCAAATGAGTATTAATTTTAATTGATCCAATTGTTGAGGATGAGTGAGGCTTGGCCCTACTGAAAGTCCAGCTTTACTATTAAACATTACAATTATATTAGAGTATCATCGAAACCATATATATACGAGAGAGACTATCGAAATAGAGATAAGTAATTTGGCATAGTCTATTCGTAATGTCGTTTCATAGGTATATGGCTTTGGTAAATGACTCCTATCTTTTTTCACAGGAAAGGTTGTACAAAAAAAAAACTGCTTCAAACCCAACAAAAGAATAATATAACACCGAAAAGGGCTCTCAAGTTCACACTAGAGTGCTAACTGAGAACGAAGAAATCGAAAAAAAAATGCTTTGGTAAACAAAGAAGAAAAACACAAAAACCAAGATATTCCACCTCTTTGCGGTATTCCACTATTTCGCTTATGTACTCTTATATATATTTAGATCTTCCCAAACCCGTCTTGGCCGTTCATCATGGCAGACCTCTTCCTGAAGGACATTCTGAATAGGTACCTTTCAACGGTTCCCCAACCGACAATGAGGACAAATAAGATCGTGTACACAATACAAAGGTAAAGACCTAATGGAAAGATCGAGATAAAAACACCAGGGAGAACAAATGGTGCTGGCTCAGGTGTTGGGGTAGTGATGCTGGAGAAGGCACCTGTTGCATACTGGACTTGTGCAGCGGCGACGGAGGCGTTCATATTACCCTCCGGGGTGACACCGATGAGCATAAGAGATGGAGTAAGAACAAGTTTCATGATGCTCCTATGGCAGAAATTAGTAAAAACAGTTTTTCGGTTAATAAGAGTAGTTACTTACGGGTCTTTGGCGATTGTCTGGTTCCTCATAATAGTGGGGTTAACTTGGCCGACGAAACGCATCGTTTGCAGAAGTTTTGGCTCAAATCCCTTCACACCGACTTCATCGCTCCCGCCCATCTGAGCCATATTCATGTTCATTCTTTTCTTGAGAGTTGCGGTGGATGGAGTCTGGCCTGCTTTTGCGGCTGCTGCTGCCGAACTAGCTGGCGCAGAACTCTTTACGGCAGCCGAAGTAGCTGGCGTAGGATTCTTTGCGGCCGCCGAAGTAGCCGGCGCAGAAGTTTTTGCGGTTGTCTTAGGCTTCTCCAACGCTTTGGCAGCTTGTTGCACTGACTCATCACCGGTGGCTTTGATTTTACTTTGGCCAGCTTGGACCTCTTTTGCAGTTGCAACCTTACTTGATCCGGCGGCGGCAGCAGGCGCATTAGCTAGTCGCACAGTTGCGCCCTCATACTGCACGCTTAGCGACACTTTTGTCCCTGCTGCTTCCCAATCCTTAGTTCCGTTGGCGATCTTATACAATCGGATATCCGATGCAAAGGCACCACTGGTGCTATTATAGAACGGAATGTTGTAGCATACGGCAACACCTGCTGGGTCGGTGACTTTTGTTACAATATCGGTAAGCAATCCTATGGACTCGGCGCAAGCGGCCTCAACTTGTTGGTCCCATAGTGCTACATCAAAGTTACTTTTTCCTGTGTTACCGGTTTTTGGGTCGGTAGGAATAGTGTCAACTTGACGTGGGACTACAACAGGTATATATACTCCGTCCATCTCTGAGAAGCCCCGTTTCATCAAGGAAAGGATGGACTCTCGCTTCTGGAGACCGGCCATTGCTCCCATCATTGTACCGTCTTGACCTCTAACTTTTAGTGCGGAAATATGGGATTCCATGTCGACGGCAGAAGGAAAGGGCTCAGCGAGGGCCGTGGCCGCGAGGGAAAGAAGGACTCCAGCGCTCTTGTAGCCTCTCATTTTGACAAAGTCGGAACTCGAAGATCGATATCTTCTTCTTCTGCGTTGCAACTTGTTGGATATTTTTGACTCTCGACCCAAAATGGTGCAACTCCCCTTTCGTCGTCTCCTGTTCCTTCTTTCTCAACAACCTTCACAATCCTACTACCTGTCGTGGTTTTTTGTATCTTTCGAGTCTTATTTTGTCCAGAACCAGTCTGATGTACCAAAAGCCGTGAACGAGAGTTGGAATGTTATTTTTGTCGGAGCGACCGGCGCTTAATTGTAAAGGAGTGTCTGTGTTGTCTTTGTGTCCAAGGTTGATGAGTTATTCGTCAAATGAGTGGAAGGGCTGGAAGATCAACGACCTTGCAGCAAGTCGAAAAATTGTTTAATATCCGAGGAGAAAAAACAAAAAGTTGGTAATTGAAGGAGGGAAGAGAGGGGAGGAAAGAGGAGGAGGAAAGAAAGAAACAGGGACAGAGAACTATAAAAATGTATTCCTAAAACGTGATTCTATGCATATGGCACTGCCGGGTAGGATATGCATGCCTTCGGTCGCAAAATCCGACCCCATGGTGCCCTTAGTACCCTATTCGCTCCTTGTGGTGCCAGGAGAGGTCTCAAACTGTTTCTTGCTGCTAAGCTAATGCCAAGTTACATGTCCAAGAAGGAATGGCTGGTCCTGGCGAAACCAAAAGCGCCGGGAAAGTGGACCCGAGAGTAACGATTTGACAGCGAGCTTGGCCTCACCAACTTCGGAGAGCTGCTCCCGACCTACGGAAACACTTGGGAAGCCCTAACGAACGGAAAACTCTGAAAACTCTTCAAAAATTGTTTTTGTTTCGAGGCATACGTAGTAACTGTAGTGAATCTTCAGAAATCTAAAACTGAGTGGCCTGATCCTGAATTGACATTTTGATAATATCCCCTCTACCAGAAACAAAAGGCTACAGAGCATGGCGCAAAGAAACGGCAAAGGGGATTTTGACGGTGCTGCTGTTTCGAAGCTGTCACAAGTGTGTGTTGAGGGGCAGCGTTTGCCCGCACAGCCCTGTCGCTGTTGCCGCTCTGGGGAATTCGGCCGAATTCAGCACCGGCACTGACGATCCCAACACATCTTCCCAGCTAATATGTCGATGTCTCGGTCCTTCAAACTCCCTCATGAATGAAAATGGATTGATTCATCTTCAAGCTTCATATGAATCAATCAAATTAAAAACATCCGGGAAAAGCTTAATCGACATATCGATAGCTCCCTCGTCTGCAGGATACTTATTTTCAATGCATTTTTAATTATACCACGTAAATGTAGACAGACCCCTGTGCTTAGTATCTCCATGCTTCTGCATCCACGTTCGGCCGCACCGGCTGACCTCTCTCGTTGATCCTCTTCGGTTGACCTTACCGCTGCAGCACGGACCTATCGGTATCTTCGATCCAAAACTTCCTTCCTATCGACTGATCATCGTCACACTTTCGTTCATCTTGGCAGGTCTTGTCATATCGCTTTTAATGCAATATTTCTGCACTGCTAGCTTGATTTCTAGGTTCGGAAAACACACCAGGTATATGGTATACCGTCGCGAAGCACCAGAACAATGGTGAATTATATAACTCTCAGCTAATACACAGCAGCCGGATCGTCCACCATGGCTTTCAGCTCCTCCCTGGACAACTCTCGCTGTCGCATATTCAGATTCAGACCGGCGTACTTTGATTTATTTGTGATAGTTACTGTGTCGTTTCTGAAGGCTTCGTATGCGGCTCTGAACTTTCGGATACTGAAGATTTGCTCCGGCGTCCACCCATCTACCGCGAAGAGTAATATTTGGTCATATTGGTAAATTAATGTCCCTAGGCGTCCGATGATGTTCGTTGCGATATTATCATTGATATACTGGAATCGGCGCGCACTGTTGGGTTCTTCGTCTTCCATCCATAAAGGATTGGTATCGGCCGTTGAATCCGAATCAGGCAATGGGACAGGAACATAGGCTTCCGCCTCGTCGACTTGGATGAGAGTTTTGGCGAGATGAAACGCAGATTCGAAGCAGTGAAGCTTGAGCCCTACGATCAACCTGTACAAATTTGCAAGGGCAGCCACCGGGAGAGTACTCCTAGGACCAAGGCTATTCGGATGGTAAATATATGAAAGGAAAACATGAAGGAATTTCATATCCTCAGAAATCGAGTTTTTGAAGTTTCGGAAGACAGCAGTAGTGGAAAGAATCTCAAGATAATTGTCAAGATTTCGGGTAAATTTGGTGCTGGTTAGCCCTAGGTTTTCTGGGGGTAGTGTAGATTCATCGCAGCGCACTGGCAAGAGGCCGTAACCAAAAGAGAAAAATGTGGGAAAGGTGAAGATAAAAAGGCAGTATCGTGAGAACACTTGCAGATGCATCTTAGCCCTTCCATATCACTAATATGACAATATGCACATGCATACTGTACATGCTCGCACACTACAATACCGGACGGCCATTAATGGATGGGGGCGGCCGTCCCACGAGGTATTTTCTCCGTTTTGGGCATCCATATCATCTCAATAGTGAGGTGTCTTGAGCAAGTATCAAGAATTCTCTCTTCAGTGACTGTGCAAATTGAGCTTTGCGCTGACTTCGCCGGCGATATGCCAGATTGTTTACAGGAGAGATGCCTAATAAAGAAAAAAATCCGCTCTTGGGGGGAATAACATATTTTTATGTTATTTTTAAATAATATAATTCAAAATAAAGTCAACGTAAGCCAGTAAAAATCTAATTTCATAATTTATTACAATGCTAAACTCAAATGCCCGACTGCTTTGACAGAAGGGACTGAGAGAGGGCGCATGATATTTTGCTCTTAAGCATGGAGTCCGGAGTATTCATGCCCCTGGAAGTTCAGGGCTCCCACAGTTTGTCATTTTAGCTTTCCATTTACAGAAGACTCTTGTTTTTGTGATTAATACGTTAGGAATATTAATTCTTCTAGAATCTCTGAATTCAGCTGAACTAGCTAGTACTAGTCTATAGTTACGTTACGCTAGTTAACGCAGGCTATCTTGTGCTGGGTGTTAAGATGATGATGCTATCCGTTACTTGGCATGGATTGGCTTGGCTTGGCAGACAGACGTGTTGTTTTCTGTATGTATTGTATAGCGCTATGGCTTGAGCTGATAGATAGATTCTTTTCAAATCAATCATCATCAACATCCCTCACGCATGCTTACACTGAGACTGCAGAATCCTCCGAGGTTATCACAATGCGTGAAACCTCACAATGGTACTGAGAGGCTCACACAAATGAATTCCGCATCTCCTAGGTCTAGTGAGCGCAGAGCTTTTTACCAATGCTGCTCCTTCTAGCAAGTTTAATTTAAATAATCTTCAGGATATGCATATGATGAACAGGTCAGCTTAGAAAATTATGGTAACCTCCGCCCAGTGTTTAATCTTGTTGACAAAGCCCTGGATCCTCCCCTCCCCAGGCCAGGCTGCAAAAGAAATATTCTCAAACGTTAATTATAAACTTTACTAGATTACCCTGCTCTCATCCATGAGCCACCTGGATGGAATATCAGCCCGAGGACCGAGGCGTGTAATATATTTATATTATATATACCTATGCATAGCGCGCTGTCTAAGTCTAGTGCTGATTATCTGCGAGACTTAGGATTTGAGGTTTTGCCCTGTATAATCTATATCTAGCCCGCTTCTGTTTTTTGAAAGTTGCTTTCCACGAGCAGTATACTATATCTAACTGCTTAGGCTGGCAATTTTCAAATGGACAACACTTCCCGGGCAGCCTCGCCCTATACCGCAAGTAGACTGGTCTGGTCATCGGCTGGCCTTGCGCTGATTAGTTTGTAGGAAACGTATTGTGAAATCAAGAAGGGTAGCACAGCGCAGCGTTTCGTGAGGAATTTCTGCAATTTGATGAGTCCTGTAGACAGTCTATAAGTAATAAATAAGTAGCTCCATATGCGATATCTCTCAGGAATAGCTGCTGCGTTGCTTGTGGTATTCTGATATTAAGCATTCAAGATTGAACATCAAAGCGGGGTTCGAGTACGCGAGTTTAACTCACGTATATTATTATATCATACATCTTAGCTTTATTAATATTCCCAAACCCAATATCTAAAGACAGGAAGCTGACACCAAATATCATACGAATCTACAAGAATCCTGAGACAGAGATACAAAACCCAACGATGCTGGCATACACTCAGAGACCTTCCAATTCCTCCACAGTCCTAAGATGCTGCGCTTTTGACAAAAAAGGCTCTGATTGTGAGGCAAGAGTGTTCCAACCTGAAAGATCCGGTCATACTCTCTGTCTTAATCAGCACCATGAGTATAAAAAGTTATACAAATCCTACAAGCTCAAGCATGAAGCCTACGACCGTATAACGCAAATAAATGCCGATGCCGATACAGACGCGAAGAAGAACATCGAGACTAAGATAGGTCTCGGTAAGGAGGCCTTGTCGCTCAGAAATCAAGTCAACCGTCGATTTTTTAGCACATCCCAAGATAATCGTAGTCACGTCCACGAAATCTTGAGGCTTCAATCCGAAGTCGATGACTTAGAGGAAAAATTAAGGAAATGGGAGGCCAATTGCAAGGGACCCGCAGAGTCAGGAACAGCGCGGGGGACATCAAACCAAGAACCTGAACTCGTAAATGAGAGCCCTCAAGCAAAGACTACAGACAGGGTTTGGAAGTCACTCCTTGACCCAACAATTCCAAAGTCTAGGCTAGGAAGTTTTCCGTCTGATAACCCTATTATCGCCATCAAGGATTTCTTAACCAGAAACACGAAGTTGGTTGTTAGGGAGCTTTATTCTATTGTTCCTTCTTTAAACGACTCTCTCTCCCCCATCCTCGACGAAGAAGCCAGTAATATCGATATGAAACCGGAGTTAGACATACGAGACATCATCATCCGCTTTGTATTCCGCGAGTTTCTTATTTACAAAGCCGACTCTAGAGAGCTTTTGAGAGCAACCCGAGCCCAAACTATTGACTCCTTCCTTCAAGAGTCTTTTATCGATGATATAGAAGAGTACATAAAATTCTTTAAGGCTTTTGTCAAGGGACGGTTCGATACATTTTGGTTCCTTCGCGATGCTGTTTGCGATTTTCTTCTTGACTCACAGCCATCATCTACTACCACATGTATCCTGGGTGTTGAGATCGCCATGGAAAATGCACCCTGAGAAATGAGTGTCCAAGGCTGGGATCTCCTATTCCAATATTTTCGTGATATTGTACCATGGTACGGTCTCGGTTATTTTGCCTTTCAATTTGAAGACTTTCTTGCTGTGAACACTCTGATTGCGTGCCAGAGATACGGTCATCCTGATGATCATGGTGATTATCGATGTTGGTATTCCCCCGAAAAAGACACTGGCCAGGAATGTAGACTCGCCGTGCTAAACGGATTTATCGCCGTCACAAAGGGCTTCTCTAATGCCCCTATCCAACCCATTAAAGTCGAAGGCGACATCGTGAAAGAGAGGGTGTCACGATGCTACCTCGTGGGGAGGATTAGCAAGAACGACACTCTAGCCCTAAGATTGGCAGAGGAATTGAAAGAAAGAGTCGCAAGGTTTCAAGTTTTACTGTACGACCCAGAACTAGAAATTGGAAACCGGAAGCCCATCCCGCCTTATACCGCAGACGAGCTCGCGGACACCTGGATTACACGATTTCGAACTGCACCAACAAAAGATTTCGAGCAGCTTTCATCACAACCTTGGACGGTTGAATGTTCCTTGGATGATATACTCAGCGACGTCGCGTCTATCAATTTTTTTGGATACGGAAGCATGGCGAAAAACTACTATGAATTTATCATCATCGACAGAACCCCGGGAAGGACATTCAATCTTCTCGATATAGTGGCGGACGCATTACAGAAGTTGAATAAAGACCCTCCCTACTCGGAAATTTTCCGCCAAGCGACCCAGAAATACCTCCCAGTTGATGAACGAGACGATTTTCTTAGAGCACTTGTAGAAGTAAATCCGGACTCTGTTCCACGACTCCCTTTTCCCAACCAGTACGTTAGCAATCGCGTTCGATGCTGGAACGCCGTTAAATCCTTTCAGACTATCCTCAAATCCGCTAAGCAGGATAGACCTCTCATCCTCAGTCCATTTGAGTCGCGATTCATCTCCAACGTTGTAACGGATTTAGAGTCACACGGGGTCATCACGAGGATATCGGAATACGAAAGACCCTACACCCTCCCCATCATCATGAGCGGAACCGACGGATATGACGATATATACTTCAATTACAAATTTACTTCCTCAGTTGAGCGAAATATTTCCAATTTGAACCCTCCGAGAAGGAACCTTCTCGAGTTCTCCAAGGCCTACAAGCGGGATCACCCCAACGCTGTATTTGCCAAAGGAAGAATTAATGTTCACTACTGCGCGTGGCCACTACCGATGCCGGCGCATTTTCAGTCTCTCCACTTCGAGACACCTGAGGGCCGTATATATAGGTGGGAGGTGCTGCCATTTGATCTCCCATTAGCTTCTTGCTACTGGCAATCGATCGTTAATCGTGAAATCAACGACAAATTGCCATTCGCATGCCTTGTAGACACAACATTGGTTGTCTGTGCGGAGAACCGTGAAACTTTGGGTACGAATCTTAAAGCACTATCTGACATCGGCAAGAAGTTTAAGTGGTCATTTTCTATTCCGGATCCTTCATCAGCCTCGTGGGCAACCGATTTTAGGCAACTAGGACTTGGGGCTTTGTGGGAAGGGGTTCGACCCGCTTTGGCCCAAGCTATCGACGGGGACGCCATCAAATAATCAATTCCATTGAGGGTTTTGGAATACCGAATGTCTTAGCAGTTTCCACCGAGTCTAATGGCTAGGTTTTGCATTGGAATATATATTCAGACTTCATAGCTATATACAATTATTGTGCTCTCATGATTAAAGTTATCTGGAATGAATAAGATGAAGAATCACGCTGTGATCGTTCACAATGCTCATCGGTACCGCGCGCGGTGGGCTTTATAACATGTAAACTACACTCAGTGAAATTAACCAACGACATGCTCAAGCAGTAGGCATGCTCTCATATTGGGACAGAAGACTTTGGACCATAACTAGCGATTATATTGTTCACGTTATGATCCTGCAAAAGATTAATTGGTTTGGTTTAAACTTTTGGGGACCCTCTCACCAACCTCCCAGAACAATCTCAATTGCGGCATTATAGACCGCCATACGCCACGAGCCCAAGAATTTTCCGAGCCCCACCAAGAGAAATATGTATGTGATAACCTAAAGCAGCCCCAAGGATGGATACGTACCGGCTCAATCGATCAATTCCTAAGGCAGAATTCGAAAGCTCAATCATTGGAAGGATAATTTCCCATAGACCATCACCTCGGCCGCGACTGTGAATGGACCTTATACTTTAATATCAATTTTTCCAGATATACCGTGATAAAGAAGTTTGATACCGATTTGATATTCCAAGGCCAGTTGAACTATCAAGTGGTTATATATTTCTATGTTTTTCTCACAAATTGACCACCATCATGGATATATATATTGGATAACAATTAATTCTCGAAGCAATAAAAAACCCCCGCCCCAAATGCTAACCTTAAAATAAAGCCACACAAGCGGTTACCGACAAAGCCATCCAATTAAAAATTCCATGTTGTAGGTTATTCAGCTATCTACTTTTAAATCATTCGTTCAAAAAGTTGCTTCTTCTTTTAAAATTTCGTTGATACTGATATCTTACGTATACAGGTTGAAACAAAGGTAGAGGAATCCAGATCGGAGTTTTGGAAGTCCAAAAAGGTGCTCCGTGACCTCTTTTCGTAGCTCCTTCTGCCCCAGGATCCCTTACAAAGCTGAATTTATAAGTACTTACCTAGGTAAATACTAATTGCCCGAGTACTTAGACTAAAAAGCTAATAGTAGGGAATCAGAGACTGGTAATTGCGGATGTGTTGTGTTGTTCCACCCGCTTCCCGGGCCTACATGGATGCATCTTTCATGGATATCTCAATCTTTTACGTAAAACTCCATTTCCAACAGACACGACACAGTCGACAACTGAGATGATCCGAAGACAAGTTAAAACCTTCTTTTGACTTCTACCCTCAGCCCTGCAACGCATTTTACGTTCATCTATGTGGGAATTCAACGGTTTCCGCTTGGTGGAAGGTTAACTTTTCCGTGGCAAGCGTTTAAATGCCCTTACACTATAAAGACCGATAGCTGATAAGAAAACCCGGCCCCATTTCGTCAACGTGGGGGACAAGGCTTGCCGCAAGCTTTTTCCGAGGCGAAAGAAACCTGGAAATATACTTGACAATAGCTTTCGATCCAGACTGCGGCTAGAGATAAGGAACGAATCGAGACCAGAGAAAATCTCGGGGCGCCACGTTTGCAAAAAAAAACTTCCCCTTTGCTAGTTCCGGCTCTAGGCACAAAGACCTAAGCAAGGGCAAGAAATTCTCTAGAAATGGCGACCAGCAGACAGTAAAGGTATGGGACCAAATCCAAACTAATTGAAGCGGAGATACAACAATCCGTACCCCATAGGAAGGATCGAGAGCAAACCAAGTTAGGATACAGTATGGAATTTTAAGATCGTCCTCTGCGTATGCAATGACACAGTAAGATACTAGTTCGTCACTCTGTCTAAATGCTTTGTGGTACCCAACGGTAGTTGAGAATTTGTTTCCTAGCATAAGCTAAGCTGAGAAAGGGTAGAAGCCCGCATATTGCACTTTGTTCGTTCAAAATCGAGACCGATGATATGTTACCCAAAAATACCCCATCTATGATCCAGTCGTTGGGTCCCCGGGGGAATCCCGGTTTAAGATACTAAGTGGATTGAAGATGTGCGACAGACCTACATGTAGTAGCTCTTGTACTCGGCCGGGGCGATATGGTCTTAGGTGTGCCGAAGTTTGATCTGAGGCGTCTTATTAATTTCTTCCTTTATCCATTTAATCGAAGGACCTACTACGGTAGTCCACTTTAAACCCTCCAGCCATCCATTTCGTTCTCATATCACACTTGTGAGTGAAATCGAAAGCCCCAACTAAAGCTTTAACACACAAGTTACATAAAGTCTTCAGACTATTGATAGAATATAAAAAAGATTCTTTATAAAATCAATTTAAAGTCATACGGAGACTTTTCTCTAGCAAATTTTAACCATGACGACCATCACGAGAACTACAACCTCAACACATCCTCCAAATAAGCTTCACCTCGAAGTTAGTTTATCTATACAGGAGGAAATTACTACAATATTTCCACCTTCGCCACCGGCATCAGACTCTTCAGAGCCTCAATATACTTTCCCACTGCCCCCAATATCTGCAGAAATCTCTCCTTTAGCTATCGACAAAGGCACGCCTGATGCTTGGATTCCTCGCGACCCACGTCTGATCCGACTAACTGGTGTTCACCCTTTCAACGTCGAGGCACCCTTGACCGATCTTTTCGATTCTGGATTTATCACCCCCAAAGAACTTTTTTATGTTCGTAACCATGGAGCCGTCCCACAAGTCCAGGACGAAGAAATCCCGGACTGGGAGATATCTATCGAAGGACTTGTTGAGAACCCCATAACAATAACGTTCAAACAAATCCTAGAAGAATTCGAACAGTACACTGTTCCGGTAACAATGGTATGCGCGGGAAACCGCCGCAAAGAACAAAATATGGTTCGTAAAACTAAAGGTTTTAGTTGGGGTGCTGCTGGAGTATCGACTGCATTATGGACTGGGCCTATGTTAGCAGACGTGATCCGTTTAGCCAAACCGACAAGGAGGGCGAAGTATGTGTGCATGGAAGGGGCGGATAAGCTACCGAACGGATATTATGGTACAAATGCAAAATTAAGTTGGGTGAACGACCCCAATAGGGGGATCATGCTGGCATATAAGATGAATGGGGAGGCGCTTACTCCAGATCATGGAAGGCCGATTAGAGTTGTGATTCCTGGACAAATCGGAGGAAGAAGTGTGAAATGGCTGAAACGGCTGATTTTAACGGAGGGGCCAAGTGATAATTGGTATCATATCTATGATAACAGAGTACTACCGTGAGTACTCCCAAGTAATTTCGTTGGTCGTAATGTTTGGTATGGAGCTAACAGAATCGACTTTCTAGAACTATGGTTACTCCAGAAATGTCTTCACAAGACAAATCGTGGTGGACAGATGAGCGCTACGCTATCTACGACCTCTCAACAAACTCAGCAATAGCTTATCCAGAACATGGGGAAACACTCAACCTTACAACATCACCAAAAACTTACAGAACTCGCGGGTATGCCTACACCGGCGGTGGCCGTAAGATATCCCGTGTGGAGCTTTCAATCGACCGTGGGCAAACATGGTCGCTTGCCGATGTTTCTTACCCAGAAGACCTCTACCGTGCACTAGAGTATGAGAATATCACATTGTTCGGTGGAAAACTCGACGGAAGCTACCGAGATACTTCGCATTGTTGGTGCTTTTGGTCGCTTGAAATCAACACAGAAGAGCTTGCAAATTCCGAAGGTCTTTTACTTCGAGCAATGGATGATAGTATGAATCTCCAGCCCCGAGATATGTACTGGTCTGTACTCGGAATGATGAACAACCCTTGGTTCCGCATTGCTATTCGCCGAGATGGCGATATCCTCCACTTTGAACACCCAACACAACCAGCATTGATGCCAGGAGGATGGATGGAACGTGTAAAAAAATCAGGTGGTAACCTTGCAGGAGCTAACTGGGGTGAACTTGCACCGAACGAGACCCCTCTTCCAAAAGTCGAAGAAGAAGTTTCCACAATTTCGATGGTTAACCCCAAGATATCTCGTATTATAGAATTCGAAGAATTCAAAACCCACGAGACCGCAGAAGAGCCATGGTTCGTTATCAATAACGAAGTCTACAATGGCACACCATATCTCCAGGATCATCCAGGCGGCGCAACCAGTATTATAGCAGCAGCGGGTACCGATGCGTCTGAAGAATTCCTGGCAATTCACAGCGAAACTGCAAAAGCGATGATGGAAAAATATCACATTGGTACTTTATCCTCTTCTGCAGCGAAGAAGCTTGCTTCTGGCGGTGCGGCGGAGGTCGATGCGACTGCTCCTATATTCCTCAATCCGAAAGTGTGGATTAAATCAACCCTTATTGAAAGAAAAGTAATATCATGGGATACACGAATATATACGTTTGCACTGCAGCATGAGGAACAAGTGCTGGGATTACCTGTTGGGCAACATTTGATGATCCGACTCAAAGACCAAAAGACAGGGGATGCTATCATACGAAGTTATACACCTATATCAGAAGGCGATACAAAAGGCAAATTAGAGCTGCTAGTGAAGGTATACTTCGCCACAGAAGCGCCCGTATTTGCCGGCGGTAAAATGACGCTAGCGCTCGATGCCTTGAAGCTAGGAGAGGAAATTGAAGTCAAGGGACCAATAGGAAAACTAGAGTATCTCGGACGAGGAAGGGTAATGCTCAGCGGCAAGGAAAGAAATGTAAAGAACTTTTGTATGATATGCGGTGGTAGTGGTATCACCCCAATCTTCCAGGTGCTAAGACAAGTGGTAAGGGATGAGGGAGATGAGACGAAGTGTGTAGTATTCGACGGAAACAGGGAAGAAGGCGATATTTTGTGCCGAGAGGAATTAGATGAGTTCGAGAGGATTGGTGGCGATAGGTGTAAGATATTGTAAGTTTCCCCTCTTTTATTTTGATGATTATAACTTCAACAGAACGAGTGACTAACGAGACGTTATAGACATACCCTATCGAAACCTTCAGACGCATGGACAGGTTTAAGGGGAAGAGTTGGGAAGGAATTGCTATTAAGAGAGATGCCTCCTAGAGAAGGAGTTTTGATACTAATATGTGGGCCTCCAGCAATGGAAGCGAGTGCCAAAAAGGTTTTGCTTGAGGAGGGCTTCAAGGAAGACGATATGGTGTTCTTTTGATTTTTAGAGGCCTAAGACATGATGAATTACCTATGTAACATTTGTATATACTACTAAGACGTGTTGTTTCATCGTGCGTGCTTTGAAATATTGATTATATGCATCCTACAAGCGTTCGGATAATTAATTTAGATTCATCAAGTATCGACTTGAATATTGACAACCTAACGCTGCAGCGCGCTGATACGATTCCAAATCGATATTGGTTCCTCGTGTTGAAGTTCAAAATACCACACGGACACTAAGCCAGGGGCCTTGTCATTGCGCAACTAAGCCCTTGCACAAGCCAGAAAGCTTAAGCTTAGCTTAGGAGAATGTCTCCGCGCAAAAGCTTCCATTGAGCTCGACGAATCCTACCGCCGTAATAAAGTCTTCTCATTTCGTCTTATCGCACATGCGGGATCTCCGAGCTGGCGGGCGCGAAACAGACCAAAAAACCCGAATTGAAAACCGGGACGCCCTTATCAGGATGGTCAATGGCCATCCCACTTTCTTTTCCACTGATACAGAATCAATAGTGTTGGTTCTTCACTAGTTTCGCCTCCCGCAGATATGATTTTGGACCAATAGAGACTGGGTAGTTGTTCATCCATAGATTAGAATTGGAGGTCGCTGATAAGGCTAGTACCTTGAGGCTACTTCCAGCACTCATAGTATTCCCCGCGAAAATATAGTACCTCCGAGGCAAACGGAATATTACTACTCCACGGATATACTCAATCGACTAGATAATATGTAGAACGGATCGAAACTATGGTTTTCCAATCTATTGCCTCGGGTGGGGGTTCGCAGCTGTGTTTCCTGTATTCCTTGGAAATCGTGTGGTAACAACGGGAACGAGCGAGCTTATTGTCGCACAAAAACACCACACATTGCATTTGCATTTGATATGATGCCGGTATATGAATGCTTGGGGGTTTGAAGAAAAAGAGTGCTGAACATTGATAAATAAACTCCTGTGATATGTATACAAGAAGAGTGCTATTACTCGTATTTTTTTTTTCTAATCCCACTTTTCTTCTCCCCTCTTCTTAGAATTTTCAGCCCAATTCTCATCTTGTTTTGAACTTCTTGCTTTTATTGTCAATATCAACACTTCTTTGATGTTCGGAACATTCGATTCATTCACAAGTAATCGGACCTTGAATTCTAACCACTAAGTCAAGAGAGCTGCAAAAACATACTATCCATTTCTCCTCCTAGAATATCTCCAGAAATACTACAGGAATAGTGGAGAGAATATAACTGGGCCATCTGGTCCAAAATAACGGTCAATTATGACAATAGAAGTAAAATCTCCAAATGGCGATATTCCCGTCAACGGCCAAAACGGAGTGAACGGGAATTCGAACGGCGATATGGATGCCAGCGGAAATGGGCACTCCAACGGTGATACGGAAAACGGGGCTAATGGCACAAATGGCATTCCTAAGAAGAAAATTGTAATTGTCGGCTTAGGCATGGTAGCTGTAGGGTTCATGTAAGTATCTGAGGATCTCGAGAGGGATACATACCCCATAACATTTGCTTGCGACGATATACGACCAAATCTAACTATAAAATTTAGTGAAAAACTAATAAAACTCGATGCCCGCCGACAAGAATACACGATAGTGGTTATCGGTGAAGAACCGCATGTCGCATATAACCGTGTCGGCCTCACAACGTTCTTCGAACACCGAGCGATCGATAAATTATACCTAAATCCCGTATCTTGGGTACGTATACGCAAGCGCTAATATTTCAATAGCTTATTTCAAAAATATCGAGCTAACACGATAGATAGTACGATTCTCACCACCCATCACTAGGCTACCAAATCAATACGAAAGTTGAATCAATCCACCCAGCCGAAAAATACGTAAAAACGTCCTCAGGGGAGACGGTCACCTATGACATCCTCATCCTCGCCACCGGTTCTGATGCCGTCCTTCCAGCAAACACTCCGGGCCACGATTCAACTGGTGTCTTTGTATACCGAAACATTGCAGATTTGGAAAAAATGATACAGTATTCGGCCACTGTAAAGGGCACATTAGGTTGTGTGGTTGGTGGTGGTTTACTCGGACTAGAAGCTGCAAAAGCTTTACTGGATCTCGAGAACTACGGTAAAGTAGGTCTGATTGACCGAAATAGATGGGTTCTATCGAGACAATTGGATAGTGATGCTGGTGGGTTGGTTGTGGAGAAGGTGAGGGAGTTAGGAGTAGATGTGATGCTCGAGAGAAGGGTCAAGCAAATTGAAACGAATGAAGAAGGGAAGGTGCGCGGAGTCACTTTCGAGGATGGGGACTTCGTTGAAGCTAGTACAGTTTGTTTCGCTGTAAGTATTTTCTTATTTAGAAAAAGAGTGCTGAGAGTTTACAACAATGCTAACTTATTGATCTAGATCGGTATCCGATCAAGGGATGAACTAGCTCGAAACGCTGGCTTAGATTGCTACGAAAAGAGCGGTGGCGTAGTCGTCAACGAAAGACTCCAAACCTCCAATCCGGATATATACGCCATTGGCGAGTGTGCAAGCTGGGAAAACCAGACATTCGGGCTCATAGCGCCTGGAATAGAAATGGCCGATATTCTTGCATTCAATCTCACTCAAGCCAAAGCACATACTCAACGGAAATTCAGGCGCCCTGACTTAAGTACGAAACTCAAGTTGCTGGGTGTAGATGTCGCTTCATTTGGTGATTTCTTTGCCGATCGTGATGGTCCGCGAGAGATGCCAGGACGACAAGCCGCTGCTGCGAGAAGAAGAGCTTCAGTTCAAAAGAACGGAAATGGAGCCTCAGTAATTCCGCCATCTGTGAAGGCACTGACTTATAAAGATCCGTTTCAGGGTGTTTATAAGAAGTACTTGTTTACGATAGATGGCAAGTTTCTATTGGGTGGAATGATGATCGGTGACACCAATGACTACATCAAACTAGTCCAGATGGTCAAAACCAAAAAGCAACTTGAAGTGCCGCCAGCAGAGTTTATCCTAGGGAGCCAAAAAAGTGGAGAAGACAACCTCGATGACATGTAAGGTACCCCATCCCAAGATGTAAACAGCCTCTAGATACTGACCTAATTACAGCGACGATGATACCCAAATATGCTCCTGTCACAATGTCACAAAAGGTGACGTAGTCACTCACACCAAAAACGGAACATGCAAATCCATCGGTGACGTCAAATCCTGTACAAAGGCCGGCACAGGATGCGGTGGTTGTATGCCTCTCGTGACTTCAATATTCAACGCTACTATGAAATCTATGGGAGCAGAAATTTCAAACCATCTATGTCCTCACTTCGCCTACTCCCGCGCCGATATGTATAACATCATCTCCGTCAAGAAACTCAAAACTTTTCCGGATGTTATGAAAGAATATGGAAAATTTCCTGATTCCGTTGGATGCGAAGCTTGCAAACCTACGATAGGAAGTATCCTCGCCTCTTTATATAACAGACATGTAATGGATAAGGACCTACATGCAGTTCAAGACACGAACGACAGGTTCTTGGCCAATATCCAGCGGAATGGAACCTTCAGTGTGGTTCCAAGAGTCATGGGCGGAGAGATTACTGCAGATAGATTGATTACTATCGGTATGGTCGCAAAGAAGTACGGGTTATATTGCAAAATTACTGGAGGGCAGAGAATAGATATGTTCGGAGCCAAAAAAGGAGATTTGTTGAATATCTGGCAAGAGTTGGTAGATGCAGGAATGGAGAGCGGACACGCTTATGCGAAGAGCTTAAGAACCGTGAAGGTAATTAATTCACAGGCATTATTCCTATGAAATTGAATGATCTCGCTAATGGGAAGAAACATAGAGCTGCGTAGGAACTACGTGGTGTCGTTTTGGCATTGGCGATAGCGTGGGTATGGCCGTTAGACTTGAAGAGAGGTATAAAAGCATTCGTGCCCCACACAAGATCAAAGGCGCGGTCTCCGGTTGTGTGCGCGAGTGTGCGGAGGCTCAGAATAAAGAGTATGAATCACTTCTCCATGGTATTTTTGAATATTTCCGTCAACTCACACGATTTACCTTTCTAGCTTCGGACTCATCGCTACCGAAAAGGGCTTCAACGTTTTCATTGCCGGTAACGGTGGTGCAAAGCCCAAACACTCCGAACTTCTAGCCAAAGATGTTCCACCGGATGAAGTCATCCCACTCATCGACCGTTATTTAATGTTCTATATCCGCACAGCCGACAAACTCCAACGTACGGCGCGTTGGTTAGAAAACCTACCAGGAGGGATGAAATACCTCCGCGAGGTAATAATCGAGGACAAACTAAGCATCTGCAGCGAGTTAGAAAATCAAATGCAAGAGCTCGTTGATAGCTTCTTCTGCGAATGGAAAGAAGCTATTAACAACCCTGAGAAACGGAAGATGTTTCAACAGTTTGCCAATACAACAGATAGGCAAGAAACAATGGAGGTTATCCAAGAGCGAGAACAAGAAAGACCAACATACTGGGCTTCAGACTCTGCAAAATACGACTTTAAAGGGCATAAATGGAGTACCTTGGCCTGGCAGCCTATTATCGAAGCCAAGCACTTCGAAGGCGATAACAGCGCTAATGTTAAGCGCGGGGAGACACAACTAGCTGTCTTTAAGATTAAGGGCAAGTACTACGCATCACAGCAAATGTGTCCCCATAAAAGGTCATTCGTCTTATCGGACGGCCTGATCGGTGACGACGCAAGTGGCAAACTATGGGTATCCTGTCCGAATCACAAAAGAAACTTTGAGTTAAATGGCACAGAAGCAGGGAAATGTGCCAATGATGATGAGATTAATATCGCTGTATTTGAAGCAGAGGAAAGGGAAGATGGATGGATTTACTTGAGATTGCCCCCGGTAGAGGAGCTCGATGGTGTTCTGGCCACTGGAAAATGGATCGTAAGGAAGGACGAGGCGAAGCAACCCTTTGAGAAAATGGATGGTTACCTCAAAGGAAGGACGAGTAAAAAGCCAAGAGATAGGACAATAATGAAAACGCAGGAACCGGTGATGGTTGGGGGATGTGGAGGACCAGGGTTAGATTGGTAAAAAGAATTGTCTTGCGGTGCGTTTATCGAGATTAACAATGCCTACTTTGATATCGGCTTAGCGGGTTTTCAGCATCTGTTGGACTTTTATTGCAATGTACAAATAAAGTATAGGAATTTCTTTAGCACGGATTGACCTTCAATCTAGATGTTACCCAAAGATCTTGTCAATCACTTGGTACTTTAGCAGCCTTATAACCAAGGCTCATTGGCTTTCTTGGGCCGCACGGATGATAGTAACACGCATCAACATCTATACGTACCGGGAAAGTAAGCATCTTCAGACCTTTCTGGAAGGTATCGGAAACCTGGTTAGAGACGGGATAGCACGCTCGGAACTTGGCGAGAGGGCAAAAACCAGAAGCTAGAAGGGTTTGTGGGCCGCGGATCATGGGAACCCGAAAATCTAGCGTTCTAGTTGACCATAGGGCAGCTGTCAAGACACGAGTTCCGCACCACCCAAGGTAGAGGAAGGACCCATAAATCAGGTTATCATTCCAAGGGCTTGTCGGAGCTGAATACGAGGAAGGCGAAAGTTTCAAGCAAGGGTGGTTATGCCAAATAGTAGGATTTGTTGAAGTCAAGTGCCTTTTGACTGAGACTTCAAATTCCCAAAAGAAGGATTTGACCTTATCATTAATATTGTAATCCTCCCCATGGTGTCGTAAATACTTGGTATTCCCTGAACCCTGTTGTTAAACCGTAAGAATGTCTGCCTACGACCTTCCCCATCAATCAATGGAGTATGACAGGGATTAGAGTCATGACCGAAAGATAGCGAAGAAAGAAAAAAAGGAATGTCAGGTGGGTCCCGGCCTTCTAGCTGCCACGATTGCATCGCTTTTCTCGGATGCAACCTAAACTAGCAGAAACGAACGAAAAGAGCCCGCCGCCTAAATCTTATTCTAATTCTTATTTCTTAAATTGTGGGGACAAATCGCGAGATAGGTGCATGAAGCATGCATTTTGAGGTGGTTAAAATATCACGAGAAATGTGTTGGCTTTCTATCAACCAGTGTTGATCATGAAGTGTGGAACGGGCGCTGAAGCCGGAGCTAGTACTTGCTCAGGTGAGGCAGAAATACGTACTATCAATGAGACGGGAATCAACTGAATAGATATCTTCAAGATACAATGTACATAAATTAGGTTAAAAAAAGAGATTCATGATATTTCGCTAGTAGACATTATGCGACAAAGACCATATATAATAGCTTCAAAACAAGTGCAATCGTGGGAATCTAGATATATATCGTGAATTCGATACTGAAATAAGAACCCTTCCGAATATCCCTTCAAACAACCTTCTTTGTTGCTTATGCATTTAGAAGAGCCACGAGACAAATGTTCTATAGAACCAGCCACCGTCCTTCACACCTGAAGCCTTCTTCTCCGCGTCCCTAATCTTCCACATCTCCTCATCTCTGTCGATAGCGTCCTTGCCGCTCCAGAGATCGGCCTCTTCGGGCTTAACACCTTCAGTCTTCTTGACGAACTTGTAGCCGAAGATCATGATAAGGTAGAGTGGAATACCAAGATATCCGGTAATGAAAGTCTTGAACTTGAAACCACCAACGAAGACGTCGAAGTTCTTTGTAAGAGCGATTAAGATACAGAAGAAGAGAGCAAAGTATGTACCAGCAACGCCGAATGGAGCTCTGTATGCCAAAGTCTTTGGGTCGACTCCTTGTGCATTTCGTGCGCGGACGAAGTAGACGTGAGACACGAGAATGGAGATCCAAGTGAGGAGACCGAAAATAGTGACGAGGTTAACGAAATATCCGAAAACAGTCTTGGAGTCGCTGGAAACGTTCATGAAAGCGAGGCAGCAGAAGAGAGCGGAAAGACCAAGAGAGTAGTATGGGACACCACGAGCATCGGTCTTGGCGAGGATAGCGGGAGCATGACCTTTCAATGCGAGACCGTGGATGGTACGGGAGGCGATGTAAAGATCGGAGTTGGAAGCAGAGAAGACGAAGATGAGAATACAAGCGTTCAAGAAACCTGGAAGGACGTTAATTCCCGATACACGGATAGCAGCGACGAATGGAGAGGCGGCAGCGGAGTTGTATGATTGCTTAGTAGCCTTGACAAGCTCATTATCGTCATATGCGATAATCATACCCAAGAGGAGGACAGAGAAGCAGTAGAAGAAAAGGATACGATAAAAAGTGAGCTTAATCGCGCGTGGGATAGTCTTTCGTGGATTTTCGGCTTCACCGACTGTGACACCGACAAGCTCGGTTCCGAGGTAGGCGAACACGGCGTTAACCATAGTAGACCAGAATCCGAGGAACTGACCGAGGGAGCCGGTAGTGAGATAGGGTGCGAAAGCACCAGGCTTCTTCCAATATCTAAATCCTTTTCTGTCGTGATCTGGACCTCCACCAAGAGCGAGGATCAAAGAGAGCAGGATTAAGCCGCAGATAACAAGAACTTTGATAGAGGAAAGCCAGAACTCGAATTCTCCGAAAAACTTGATACCGAAATAATTGATTGCGACAATTACTACCAAGAAGATCGCTATAAAAACTCCAGGATTGACTTTCGTCGCAGGTAGCCAGAATTGTATCACAAGAGCAGCTGCTGTCAGTTGATTCGGTGTCGTGATGATGTATTTGAACCAACTATGGTAATAATTCCAGTTAGTACCTTTTCTCCTTTATTCTACTTAATCCGTGAGTATACGTACTAAGTGTAACCGAGCGAAAAACCAAGAGCGGGATCGACAAATCGAGTAGCATAAACAGAGAAACCACCAGCGGCTGGGAGCCATGCTGCCATTTCACCCAGAGCTGCCATAACCAAGAAGACAATGAACTATATTAACTCGTTAGCTTCAAACTTTTCTCCATTTTCATTTAGCAGCCCAGGGTCTGGGAGGCCAATGGCGCCCGCAGTTTTGGGATGTAAGACTTACACCAACGAAAGTATAGGCAATCATCAGAGAACCCGGTCTAAATAAGCGTTTCGAAAAGCATGTCAGCAACCTTTTTCAAGCTCAAATTACCGATGAGTAGTGTCTCCGGGTCTCGCCACAGTCAAAACTCAAAGGTTAAAATAGGAAGCTTAAATTGCAGAGAATCTATACATACCCAGCCTTAGCCAAAGCAGAACCTGTTCCGATAATAAGACCTGTGCCGATAGCGCCACCGATGGCAATCATAGTAACCTGTCGTGACCTTAGGCCACGATGTAACGAATGACCAACATCTTCGGGATCAGAAAGAATCTGCTCCTCTGGTGTCATACCGCCTGGAGAAGTCGAGCCTTTACGGTCGACTATTATGTCGCCGCCTTTGCTCTCTTCATCGTGTCGTCCGAGAACCGCCATTGTGGAGAATATTCGAAAGACGAATTATTCGATGATTGGAGATATATTAACCCTAGTTATCCTTCTTGGGCTTTATGGAATGAACTTGTAACCCCGCAAGAATGAGGCAGTAATGCGCATATATGCAAGCAACGCAAATGTGCAGTTACAAGGCTATCAAAATATCACAGCGTCGAAAGTAAACTCGATCGGTCGTGGATATATATAGATAAAGAAGAGGGAGATCTTCGAGAATGAGGGGAAGCCTGAGAAGGGAAGAAAGAGGAATCCGGGAAAGGTTCCAAAGCTGCCTCTTTAAACAAATTCTGGACCTGTCGGGGACCTGCCTAGAAATCTGCGACAGGTTGTTGGATACGTGTGTACCCGATATCTCTAGAACCAAGGACCCTAGCATTGTATGGCCACTGATAGGCAAGGTGCACCCACTCTGTATTGCATGGTTTATTTCGGTGTCACACATGTTAGAATGCATGGTGGTACCCTCCGCCGCCTGCTCATCTTTTCTGTCAGATAGGTACAGAAGGCGTCGATTGACGGAAAAAGTAATTCATCCTCCACAGCCCTGTAATTCTAGTTTTCGCAATTGCGGCAGGACGATAGGATTTTCCTGTATAGGTTGTATTGAAGGTTAGTGGTGTTGGGCGGATGTAAAACCTTACCAAGTCTAGGAAAGGGACCAATAGGGCCAATACAAAGAAACTATGCCGTTGTCTCTTGTCGACTGATAAAAGCTGGGGAAAAACAATCGAGCGAGGGAAAACTAATCATACAAGCTTACCCCAGTGTCTCGTTCGTCCAAGACGCCATGTTAACCCGTTCAAAAAGCAAAAACGCACATATCGTGTGCCTATAATTTGCATGCAAAATGGTATGCCTCGAACGCATATCTCAGCTTGTTTCCTTTTTTCTGCGGTCGAATCAGGCAACCGGCAGCTGCGCATTTCTGGTAGCTTTTCGGTCAACCCATTTTTGACGAATTGGGGGCAATAGGTTGTTGGAGGTTTTGAATTGAGCCCTGTTGAAGGATAGCCATCTTGGCTTTTCAGGCAACATGCTTTTCCAGACTTGGCTCTCGTCGCTCATGCATGAGACCGTCTTATGTCTTGATCATGACCGATATTTAAGACTTGACTGATACAACCTTATAAGCTCGTCGAAAATAGGAAACTTTGGTATCTCACGGGTATATCTCCAAAAAAGATTCAATCTTGGAAGACTTGGTAGATGCAGCCTGATGCTCGAATTTTTTTAAGATTCTTCTTGTCATGAGGCCAAGAGAAGGCTTCTCGTATGGGATGCATAGACTTCACGACACCTCTTTACTTTATGCCTTGTTTATCTATGGAGTTTCTCGAGTCCGTGAGGCAGCGCCCCACAGAATATCGCGCAATTTTGTTATCGTTACAAGAAGCATTGAAGTTTATCGCGGTATACATCCCAGCCTTCCAAAGAGCCCCAACGGAGTTAGTATAGTGCGCGTGGCGCCTAAATTTTTGGAAAACTGGCCGACGAGCACAACATCACGAATCGCCCGGCGACATATCAAGGTCATACATTAGCTATTAGCTCATCAATTCTATCCAAGCCGTTGGAAGGAGTTCTTGTCTTTGACGTGTAACGGAAAGCGCTCTACCGCTAATTTATTACATTGTTCTTGTATGACCCTCGTGAGAAGGCAAAGAATGTTCCATCTTACGAAAAAATACATTTTTGTTCCTTTCCCGTTCAGAAGAAATTTCCGGATCTCTTGGTGCTTGCCATGAATCGGCTACACCTGTCGAGTGTGGACAAAACGCCACTCCCGCTCTGGGTTTTTGACGAGTCTGCATTTTGTTTTTTGGCATGGCGGACGCAATTTCGGAGGCACACGACCTCTTCTGTACTACTCGGAAAATACCGGCTTTGCGTGTCTGCCCAGCCCCGATGCAACATGTCAGTCTGTATTATGGAATTCCTTGGGCCCGAAGCCTCGTTAGCTAAGCTATCAACTTGGCTTCGAACCAGGGTCTCTGTAGCTATAGCTTAGCAGTTGTCAACGTTATGAAATTCTCCGAGTAGGTAGATATGGTGGACCAATTTGTAAACACCATCGAACACTGGTTGGAGGATTTCGAAGAATGTCGGAAGCCTTATTGGTTCGCCGGTTCGGATAGGAATTATCTCAACCCAAACGTTTGATAGTCGCTAGGTAGCCGCGACAAAAGGTCATCTAACCTCAAGGGTCATATCAAATCCTTCAAATAAGGTAAATATCGACAAAGATAAAAATAATCAACGTTGGGCTCGAATATGTAAGGTGCTTTCCCAGGAAATTTGGGAAAACTATTTGGAAAACTTTTTAAAACAACACAAAATCGATCTCCGTTAGGCACAAAACCAAATTTAGAGCCTCCTTGCGCCCCCACGCCGACGCCCCAATCCATGTTCACCCAGATTACCTGTAAATGGGATATACCCACAGTGTGAATGGCGAAAGGGAACTTCGATGGGGGAATTTGGTGGGAACCCATTGGTTTAAAAGGTAAATCTACTATTTGAACACTCCAATGCACTGAATTAAATTCCTCGCTCAAGCCGAAAAAGCGCCCTAAACTTTGTTAATACATTACTCATCAACCACAGGCAAACTTGTACGGGTTCGCTGACAAATTGGAATATTCCACCGCGGTAGAAACTCAAGCCTGCATCCAACCTAACTTTTTCAGGGAAACCATTAGGTTGTCGCGGATTCGCCCGTGGAATAAGAAGTATGCGGAAATAATGCAAAAAAAAGAGGGTTCCTTGAATCCTCAAGCTACTAGTAAGTCTAATGCGCCGATGACGTCGGGTCTCTGGCTTCGAGTATCTTCCTTCGGTTGCAATGTACGGGCGCTTGCGTGTTCAAGTCTTCCAAATGGCCTGACGCCAGTGAGCAAACGGAATATTAAGGCCCGTTTGACATCCGAAATGCTACTTTACCACATATTTTCAAGCTTTGAAGCAAGGTTTAGGCTTCTTCGGCTGAACCCTTTACAGAATACCGTCCCTTTTTGAGCGTTAGTAATACATCGTACGAGCCGAGGGGAATTCTTTTCGACCCAAAACACCAAAAACTGCTTGGTGTCTACACGCCAAAGCACGTAATTCGGAAGAGCTCGTAGCATTAGTAATGTACCGGATGAAGCGTTTTCTCTCCCTTCTACTCAGCTTAGAAGATACTACCAGTTGCTGCATATTTTTCTGTGCCCAATGCATATACCTTAAGTAATCAGTACTATCGGTAACGCTTGCGGATTGCCTTCCGAAAGTAATTGTATAAATTCGGGCTATGGCGTCTTCGTCGGATGTTCCTCTTATCTTAAAACCGCAGTGTCCTACTCAATTAGCAAGTTTATTCGATCCTAATCTTCTTAATAAGTTTAATTGAGTATTTGGCTTTATTCTTTTACATATCGCAGCATTACTTGATATCGCATTCCACGCCAATATCTTTTAGCTTAGTCGAATCGAGTTTGTGATTGTCAATTGTCTCCGCTTCGCAACCGACACCTAAACCCTGACCTCAAGGCCCCCACCAACCGAACCCCGCAAAACCCAAAAAATCCTTTGCAACACACAAAACACGCCAAATCCAACATCATGACAATCCAGGCTACAACTGAAGGCTCTAGCTCTGCAAATCCCGAATGGCCTGACATTATCAATGTCCCTGCTGAAGGAGTATGTCCACCCCTTAAACTAGCCGCACATTACCTAAGCCCCTGTCCCTTTTTTTTGCAGCCTGAGACTAAAACAGATCCTTTGAATTTAGATCCCCTACTTCAGTCCAGCCCAGATCCCCGCCGCCGGTACCGCTATACCCAATGGCCAAGTTATTCCAAAACTCTTCCAACCGCTCACTATCCGCGGCGTAACTTTCCAAAACCGTATTTGGGTCTCGCCGATGTGCCAGTATTCCGCACAAGATGGACATTTGACTGATTGGCATATCGCCCATCTCGGCGGTATCTTATCTCGTGGTCCGGCTTTAACCATGATCGAAGCTACTGGTGTGGTTCCTGAAGGCAGAATCTCTCCTGATGATTCTGGATTATGGAAGGATAGCCAAATTGAACCCTTGAAGCGAGTTGTGGATTTTGCGCACTCGCAGAATCAGAAGATTGGTATTCAATTGGCACACGCTGGAAGGAAAGCTAGTACCGTACCACCATGGTTGAGCCGAAAGGCCATTGCTAATGAAAATGTATTGTTCCGACACCTACCATTGTCTCTCTAAAACAAAATTAGCTAATATGATACCACAGGTCGGTGGCTGGCCTAACAATGTCAAGGGAGCCTCGCCAGTCCCCTTCGACGTCGGAAACCCGATTCCTCACGAATTAACCATCCAGGAGATCGAAGAACTCAAGGAGGCATGGGGTGCTGCCACTCGTCGTGCTGTTGCCGCCGGAATCGATGTTGTCGAAGTCCATGCTGCTCACGGTTACCTCCTTCACTCGTTTTATTCCCCAGCCTCCAACTTCAGAACCGATAAATATGGCGGTAGCTTCGAGAATCGTATTCGTTTACTCGAAGAAATCATCGATGTAACCAAGGCCAATGCAAAGCCCGAGACATTGATTTTCGTCAGATTTACAGGATCTGACTGGCTTGAGTACGACACTTCGATCGAATCGTGGAAAACTGAAGATGCAGTTAGACTCGCTCAAGTCCTAGCACGAGGCGGAAAAGTCGACCTCTTCGATGTCTCTTCAGCCGCAAACTCGCCAAAGCAGCAAATCAAGAGCGGTCCAGGCTACCAACGTGTTTTCTCGAAGGCGATCAAGCAGGGCCTTAAGGCAGAGGGTCTAGATGTGGCAACCAGTACCGTCGGCTTGATTAACACTGGAACACTAGCCAACCAGATTTTGGATGAAGGCGATGCAGATGTCATCTTTGTCGGTAGACCGTTCCAGAAGAACCCTGCACTGGTTTGGTCGTGGGCTCAAGAACTTGGCTTGGAAGTTAGAGCAGCGAACCAGATCGGGTGGGGCTACGGACAGAAGATTGGAGGCGGTATTAGGCACCATAGTACACTATAAATGGCGATATCATGATGCCTTGTCGGGTACTTTGACAAAACGGATAGAAAGTACTTTTTATATGTGGCTTGATAGATAGGGGTCTTTAGCTAGCGTTCCCTTAGACTTAATTGACGATGATTGAGCATGTTTTGTTCCGATATCACGGAATTATAGGTGCCTGGTGTTCGTATATCCTTTCACCCGGATCAGGCATATCTCTGTAGAGCTAGACGCTGTATCTACAATTTCTCTAAATTTATAATAAAAAAAGAAAAGAAACTCGATGAAGCTGTTCTTCTATCATAAGATATGAATACGAGATGCCTCAAAATCCTCTCTGTCGAGCTATAGTTTAGTCAAAGCATACTCGCATGTATGTCAATTTAAGCGGGGTGGGTCAAATGCAGCCTCAACCCCAGCTAGCTCCGGAGGTGGGCTAGGTAGCCAAAGTCGACGAGACAACGGCCACTTTATGTTGTGTGAAAACCCACATCACACGAGCAAATACTATATACAACTTCCAGCGATAAGCAACTAAAGCTCCAGGCCCCATTTTTTTCGCCCCCGTCTGGGGAAAGCGAATGTATGAATTCGAAAATACGAAGTGGAGCTTTAGATTTTCTGCCTATGCATTTTTAAGCGAGATGGTTGCTTTTGCATTAACTAACATGTAGGGAATCCACGAAAGCTATCTAGTTTGTTTTCGGTAAGATTTTAGAGTCGGGTAGCTATAGAGGACCCGCATAGTTGCCTCCCTTGAGATATGCATATTTGAACTTTAAAGTCTTAAGGCGTGTCTGCCTTTCTGCAGTCGAGTAGTTGGTAAGAGCTAAACTAATTATAAACCTCGGGATATGCCGAAGGTTGAATTTGTGCAAGTCCCATAAGCAAAGAATGGATTAGTTCAAACCCCGATCAAGCCACAATACGTATACGTATATACTTTACCAAAGAATTACTCAATGGAGTTTCAAAAACTTTGCGCATCCATCCAGACTTTTCAAATCAGACTCTTTGACAGTATTTTTAGGCGATATTAATGCATTTTGAGAATATGTACTAAAATTCGAATTTTCAGAGTTTACAAAGGGCACCATGGGCGAACTATTGTTACTTAGCGTATCAGTAGGGCGGCTCGCACCCCTTTCGCCGATGCGGCTTCGCCATCTGCATAGCAAGATCAATTGCTTCTCGAGGGCAGAATCTATTCCATTGGCTTCCCACCTATCTGGGTTGTATTGCGGAGGACAATCCTCCAATAGTTGTCATGAGACTCTTCAATATCGTGCAGTCCTCGACACCTTGTAACTGCTGCCTTCAGATCCACTAGTGTGCCAACCTCGCACAAGATTTGAATCCGTAATTCGACGGGAATGGTATCAAGGTTCGCCATTTCTATTTGCTCGGATAACATCTTGCGGTCTTGCGGATACTAATTTTTGTCCTCGAGACCAAAGGGGTTTGAAGTTCTAGAAGACTAGCTCCAACAAAATATGTGTAGGTAGCCTAATTGCATTAAATGGGTTTATAGTTCTGGGTAGTCTAGTTGTTTTGGGTAAAGATGAGATTTACGGATGGGCCATAGGATGAAATGTGGTTTTGAGATAGAAAGTTGATTTTTCCAGGTTGATAAATTCTTAAATGAGACCATTCAAGCTGTTCGCCGTAGTGATTTTCAGGGCGCTGCTATCTCGGGATCGTTGAACCGGTAAAATTGCTATCAAACTTTAGGAGCCATTTGGCCAGTCTTTTTGTAGCTGTACACCCAGCTTTTCTGATATACGTGCGACTTATTGATCTTTTATCTAAAAATTAATGGTAACTTGAACGTACGGCGATGAAAGAAGAGCAATGCATAAGCAACTTAGCACTACCAAGAGTATTAAGGCCGATGTGAACAGTCCCACCCGGGCTCACATCCTGTGCAATTCACCCCCTTAAATTCCTTTCTCCAAGAAATAGATTTTTCAGCAAGCTCACTTTCCGTCAAATAGTGCGTGGCGGAATTATAACCCCACTTCAAAAGCCTTTCATCGTCCCAAAATACAATTTTAATATCGAGGCCTGGTTGGACCCATGGAGCTTCCTCTTGGACACAAATAGCCTCGGGACTCTTCCAAAATCGCTGTCGTCTTAGAGTTTCTGTTGAAGATTCTCTGTAATAATTGATCAAGGACGTAAAGCAATGTAGCAGTTGATGTTCGTCCCGTGGATAGCGGTTCATGAGTGTGGGGTGTAGAAGGCATGGTACAAGTCCTAGAGTCCGTTGATCGGGACGATATACGATTAGGTTCTTGATGCCCTGGAGTCCAAAGTTCATCATGACTATATTAGGCACCCCGATCTTGAAATCTAGTTTCGCTCTCATTTAGCTATTTTCAATACCGATCCGCATCACCTGGATGTAGAAACTTACAACGAGTGAGGCAAGGAGAAATCCGTGTAATGTCAACCAGAACTTCTTTGTCCATAGCCTTTAACCTGAGCGGCCCTATTTCAGTTATTCTTGCTCGGAGGAAGGTGTAAACACCTAATCTAATAGCAGCATCCTGTGCACTACACCTCAAATCGACAGGGGTACCGAATATAGAAGTCGCGGTTTCTAACATATAAGGGTTAATATTCAATGCATCGTATGGAATTTCCATCCAGAGCCAAAGTGCACAGAATGCATTATCGATTCGGTTTATCTCTGTTGCTGTAGGAGGTGTTTCTTCTGGCCTTTTACGCCAATGGTGCTTGATGAATCGCAGCGAGAACCATCGAATCGTTCTTCTGATGTTCGATATTTGGGGTATGTGCGATAGCATTTGTTCTCTTCCGTGAGGTTGGAATTTGATATTACTTGTTGTAACATTTTCCGAATCTGCTTCACCTGGATCCTGCGAGGGCTGAAAGATGTCAATATGCATATTGGAACCTCATTGCTAGACAAATTACTGAATGGCAAGAAGCATATAAGCTGAGCTGAAGTGATAAAATATATTCCTACCGGTAACTTTCTCTGAAAGTGGAAACGAAGCGAGTTCCATAACCCAGTAAGTTCTGGAGTCAAGTTCTCTCTAGTCTCATTATCGAAAACTTCCGTTCGAATTGCCCTGAAGGATTTTATCGAGCGAAAGGTAGAGCAAGTTCGAGACAACGCTATGAAATCTGCCACCGAACTAAGAGAGCTAGCGATCTCGAGCTTGATATCTAAAGGGATGTTCGTTAGAGTTAAAGCAGCCATATTGAATTGGTAAAGCCCGATGGTTTGGGTAGTTCTTGTACGATTGTGATGAACTAGATCAAATGGTAAGAGAGGTAGTATACGTATATGTTGAAAGGTATCTTCGATGAGACTTACTTTGGTAGCTTACCTATTTTAACCCACAGAACCGTCGCCATATGTGAGGCCACGCAACTGCTTCGTGCTTGCTGACGCTTAAATACATCCATATTTCGTCGTTTGGGGCCTCATGTGAGTGTGTACCCTGTTAACTAGCAACGGTTGGAAAGCGTTTTGGGTCAGATAGAAACGGACATGATACCTGGTTTGACAAGCTAACGGGTTAGATATCGTTAAATCAAAAGTTTAGTTGACATACGGCCCACGTCTCTATTCTATAGCCCCCTCTAGACCACCTTGGCTAGTAGTCTTGTATTAAACTTGACTAGGGTATATAGGTAAGTAACTCATCCTTATATTTATGGTTTGCAGATGCCAGTCTTGCCATGTCATAACGATGTTAATACGTTGCAGTACCATGTTTATTGATAACCTTCCTTCGGACTGGGGTCTAGTGACTGTAGATTCGACTGTCACTGCAGGGTATCAGCTTTGGATACATAGTAGGCATACTCCGGTGCATATGTCAAGTTAAGTAATTTAATCAGGTTAACAACTCCATGTAATAATCTTATTAAAGATGTTAACATGCAGGATGTATGACTGCTAATCCAGTAGATATTAACGCCCTCCAACGGTAAAGGTGCAAGTACAAATACATGACTGAACTGAAACCCTGTGCAATCTAACCACTCGTGAGCTATGATCTAGTTCCACCATCCATAAACGAAAACCCAATATTTATCTTTTATCTACCTCTTATTATAAATGAATGCAAACTCTTGGACCATTATCCATCTCTTAAGCAATATCATACACTAACGGGCCTCCCCTCCCTGTTTCCATTCCCGTTATGCTCCTCTCCTTCCATAGCTTTCAAAGCATCGGAGACGTGTTCGTAGAATCTCTCCTCCCCGCCAACGAGTTCCACGATCCCGCTCCTCACCATTCTCTTCCAAACCTCCCCACTCTTTCTAGGACCTCTAGCAAAGAAAACCCTAACATCTCTTTCTAGGTAACCCTCTACGATCTCTTTCAAAACTTGTGCACCGCTTCCATCCACGCTGGTCATTCCGTGGACATCAAACACAACATTTCTATTATGCTCATCACTTCGTAACCGTGGCAATGACGGATGAGCAATTGTACTCCCGTAAATCTCAAGTCTCTTTAATCGATTTTGAAGATCTCCGGCATTGGCAAATGTCAAAGGTTCGGGGATTTTGACGATCAAGCAACCCTCAATCTGTACAATCTCTTGTGGAAATTCTTCTGCACTTTTAAATACGGCTGGAGTAGTATCCGGTACTCGTCCAAGAATCATAATCCGTGCTCGGGTGGCGTGTTGGAGAATTTGAACGACAGAGAGGCCGACACCGACTGCGATTCCGAGTTCGAGGGAGTAGGTGATTGTAAGCGAAAAGACGATGAACATCATAAGAAGGTCACTTGCGGATTTGATCTTGGTGAAAAAGCGAATGTCTTCCGGTGCTTCTTCAAGAAGGGAAAAAGCGACGGATGTAATCATAGCGGATAGGACACATCTCTGTAGAATATTAGCGGTCAACATCCTTTGGTTGCAAAACTAAGGCAGAAAAACTTACCGGAATATACTTAAAGTACGGGAGCACAAACCAAATAGATATGATGGTGATGGAAGAAAGGACCACGCTACTCATTCCAGTCCTACCACCCGTCGACTTATTCAGCTTGCTTCTTCCATACCCACCGAAAGCTGGGAGACCACAACCAAATCCAGCCACTATATTACCAACACCCAACGCCACTAATTCTCGGTTCGAGCTGATATTGGCATCGATAGGGCTGCCCAAGCTCTTGGCAGCAACCACACTCTCGAAGAACCCAAGAACACTGATTAGGAAAGCTGTCGGCAAGGCCTCCCGAATTTTTGGTAGATTCTCTTGCTTGAACGGAAACCTCACTTGAAAACTTCCAGCTGAGACATCACCAAGAATCTCAACTCCCTTGGATTTCCAGTCTAGCTTTGCAGCAAGCACCGTCGCAATCGTGACAACCAAGAACCTATCCGGGATGAAAACAACCCAATTGTGCCTCTTTTGGACCCTCGCTCGAAATTTCTTGACTGTAAGGATAATCGATAAGGCTACCAGACTGATGACTGCGGTTGGTACGTGGATATTCGATGTGTTTCTGAATAAGAAATCGATTTTTGTGAGGGAGGAAGCGTGAGTTACACCCTGTTCCTTCGCTAGGGTGATAAGACCCAGTTCAGATATCAATTGGTCGACTGTAATGACAAATCCAACGGCCGAAATAAAACCCCGAAGAAGGGCCCGACTTAGAACACTGTCCAGAAATCCTAGGCGTACAACACCGGCCATAAGTGCTATTACTCCCGTGATCGTGGTTACAATACCAGCGATTATAGCATTTTTGGTGGCATCATCTTCGGGTTGTTTCCCGGAGTTAATCGCTTGACGAACAGCCTCGCCGACAAGAAGAGACCCAGCTGCTTCCGGACCCGTGACCATCTGAGGACAAGAACCGAGAAGAGCGTATATAACAGGTACGACAGCAAAGGAGTATAAACCCTGAACTGGTGGGACGTGGGCAAGGTTAGAAGCTAGCGATAGAGCCATGGGAATGTAAATTGAAGCCAGAGTGACTATATCCGGTATTTTTGTCAGCACTTCCTCCTCATGGTTTTAAGGTATAATTTAGGAACATACCCCCTGCAATGACATCTCCAGCGAGATATTTTAAGTCATAGTGTGGAATCCACTTGATAGCTGGTATATAGTAACTCATATACATCAACCGTGGATGCCTAACACCACTTTGCCGCGCCAGCTCTGCTGTTGTAAACTTCTGGTGTTGTTTCCGGCCATTATTAGAACCCGCATCCTCACTCATAATCGATGATCTATCATCGTCGAGCCGGGCTGTGGGAATAGCGCCAAAGGAGGAAATAGCTCGGGAGAGAGTTGGCGCAGTAGCGGATGAAGCAACAGCAAATGTGCCATTGTCCCGTACCGGTTGCTCGGGATTGTGAGAATCGGTCAGCCGTGAGAGAAGAGAGGTGTAAAGGTCCGGTTCACGAGGAAACGTCGGCCTGTTTTGGGGGCTGGCTGGCACCGATGTCGACCGCGACTTCGAACTGGACCTGCTCATCGTGACTAAAGCGCCAGAGTTATTCTAGCAAGGCAAGGTCTATAAGCCCCGGATATTGATTATAGTGTAATGGTGATACTGGTAGAACAGGCTGACAAACAACGGACATCGACGAGGCTTTGAAGCTACCCCACGAAGAGGATGAGACTTGACCCTTCTCTCATCAACCAAGAGATAGAAAACCCGGGAAAACCAAGATCCTTTATATCGGTAATCTATTCTCCGAGGATATTACGAGATCTAAATCCTTTTGCAAAAAAAAATCCTTTCTAATGCATGGCGGAGGTATGTGATGGTGTATGCGTTAGGTAAGAGCTCAGTTCTTTCTCTGGGCGGTTTGTCATGTGGCGAACTTTGAAACATGGACTTTCTATTTCGGCCCCACGGCATCGGTCCGCTCACGAAGAAATGAGGGTTTCCAGGCTAAGCTTTCGGACCTTTGTGAGACCCCAGATGTATCTTGCTTGTATGGTGGTGCAGCAGGGAATAGATCGAAGGAACCAGTCAGCAGGCCCCATTTTGCTGCTGGAACTGAGCTCATTCCTGCCTCCGTGATGTCATGTTGCCGCCCGCAGCTTGTCGGCAGTGCCAAGTTCTGCCAAGTTTTTATTACGCCGCGTTTGTCGATTCTGATTTGCCTATTTAGGTAATCTCAAAGAATGCAACAGTAGAAACACAGTTTCTATAAATCCTTCCTTCGAATGCCCATGGCCCAGGTGCCCTACATTTCAAGAGTGATGTGCATATGGTTTTGAGAAGCGGAAGTTATAGTAGAAATAATTCATAATGAGAAGATTTCTACAATGCCAGCCCTACCCAATAGTAGGTTTTTCATATCTAATTAGGACCACATCCTGGAAGAAAGTCCCAGGCCAAGATCTCGATGTCGGGTACGGTGGATACATTAAGCCATGGCGGCGCCACATTCTCCGAGTTTATAGCACCACAGATGTCGTGCAACAATAGGGATGCACAGAATCCGATTACTATATCTGCTGAGGTATCGATCCCGGAGTACAGTTTTTCTTTCTCCGTGGAGGAAAAGGAGTAAGGTCCTTTGGGGTTTTGCCCCTGGTTTGTATAACCAACATCTCTGGACTACTGAAGGGCTCAACCTGTACATGCTAACTAAGCTACATCTATGGCTAGATCCGTAATTTGGAGGGTTAATATATAACACCCAGCCAATAATCTTTTTTTTTGGCTAGTGGCTAAAGTTATAACAGGCGGCCGTTAGGTCATCCTTGGATGATGATACAGTATCTTAAAGATTCGCCATCGATGCATCCGTAGCCACTACCCTCATCTTCCTGTGTCAAGTTGCCCAGGTGCATCGTTATCTGGGCCAATCCCACCCCATTGTTCAGCAGCACCTAAATCCTCTTTAACCAGAGACCTATCCCACTGTCGAATCTTCAGTCTATATATTATATACAAGCATATCATCAGAGATATAAAAAGAACTCCTACTCCAACTCCCATTCCGGCGATAGCCCCAGCAGCTAGTCCAGAATTCGCATTTAGAATCGGGTTTGTCGTAGTAATACCGGTTGACGCAGTATTGGGACTGGAACGTGTTTGAGTGGATAAAATTACGGTGGGTGAGCTCTGGGTAGTCGATGCTGAAGTGGATGGTGTTGGAGAAGCGGCTGTGTTAAACGTAAAACTGAAGTCATCGGTTAAACTATTTCTACGGGTATAGGGTTCCAGAGAGGAGGTGGTGGTCCAGATGTACTCCAACCCCGGGTTATGTTTTCGATGCTTTGTCGGTGCCAGCTTAAATGTAGCCGATGAACTTGAGATTTCGAAACTGTAGAATTTAGATAGTTAGAGCTAGAGCTTGGTCTTCAAATAAATATCTAAGATAGTATTTCATAAAGGATTTGGGATTGTGCGTGCCCCGCAATTGAGTATAGCTGGTCGCAAGATCAACTTGCAATCCACGTGTAGCTACTATGTTGCAACTGTTTGCAAAATTAACAACATGTTGATAGCTCAAAATTTTGCAACAAAACTGATCGCAACGAGGCCCCGCAGCCGGCTCGACTCAGTCTCGTAACCAGACTGGACTCGACCAAACCATAATAGAACGAATATCTCGTCCGCCACTCTGGGGTGCTTATCAACTGGTGCAGGCTCCCCACTTTAGTTCTCTATTATGTGCGCGTGCTTATCAGAAGCTTCGAGGACCGGGTAACGGAGAAGCGAAAAGGGGAGATATTGAGATTTTATAGATAGGTGGCATATATGTACTTACAATCTAGTAGAGTTTACGTCGAGGTCGATAAATATCGATGGCATCACACGACTACTATGGCAAGTGACACTTTTTATAACTAGGGAAATGAAAAAAAAACCGCGAAGGACCTGTTAGAATATGGATACGCATTTTTTAGGAATGACGTGGCGAGATTGTGTGCTTTTCCAAATATCCTGTCTAAACGCTATAATATTGCCCCATGAGCCCGATAGTATCAGTCCGCTTTCGCTTTATAACTTTTCAATTATTTTTCAAAACGACCAGCCTCACAGTGAACTTCAAAAGCATCTAGAAAATGATTTATCAGGTAACGTTGGCTCCGCAGCTTCAAGTTCCGCCAAGAAAAAACCAACGAAAATTTTAGTCGTCAAAACTTGAGGCGTAGTGAATGGAATAGCCAGTGAGGTGCATTAAATTTAGATGCGTCTACGCGGCAAAGAACATGTGAAGTTTATGCGCTTCTCTCCCTCAGGATTTCACGGCCAGCAACTGACTTCCTAATAGGGTATATTTTTCGTCGAAATGAGAGAATCATCGTTGAACTTCTACCGTCTTGGTCTATTAAATGAAGAATATATATTTAGTGATTTTGCCGCCGAGGCTTGAGGCCGACACAATTGGCGTGCCAAAATAAATTTACATTGTTTTTCTCTCGATCGATCGCATGCATATGCATTGTTTGAAGGGTTCGAGAGGCGGGTTGGCCAATGAGCTTTGTTACACAATATGCTCATGACCACACATGCATCATGAGGCTCGTGGATTTCAACGAATATCTAATGAGATTTGGAGGGCCCGTGGGCCCTTAGGCCTATAGGCAACACTCAGCCTAGTCCAATCTTGGGTTTCTTGCTGCAGCGTGCAGCGTTGGACAATTCTAATCGGATTTTACCTTGTTACAAAGGATTAGCTATGTGAATTATGGAACCGCAGAGATGGCCTATCGAGAATGTTAGCAAGCGCTATAGCAAGAGATTAGCCCTTCTTAACGAGCTAGATTCGGAACTAATTATAAATCGATTTGCAAATTTGGTGGGATGCGCAATATTGAGTATCAGGGACCTTTACTATTGATGGATCCATGGAACGCTGTTTTCAGAATTTAATTAAAGACATAGCTATAAAGCTAGGCTCCGCATATGTACCTAGTACTCATATATACATTTGAAGAATCATAATATAATTTCTTACGGCGTCGGAGGGCATGGTGTGAGAAGAAGTATGCCATATCTCTTATGAATGATATTTGTATGTGTATTTTGTAATTGAAGCAGTTTTCAGTTATAATACCACCACTTCGGGGTAGCCTTGCGCGCAGGAGACAAGGTATTAATATTCATATTATATTTCAATGTTCCACATGCTATCGCGATACCGAATAAACTCCAACAATGGCTAGGCCTTCGCTGCACTGACGAAATATTTGCTCATGAATCGACCTACGCCGCTCGTTTATTCTTCCATCCCCGCGCCAAGATCTGAAATCAATCAACCATTAATATTCCAGAACATCTATCGCCTTCTAGAAAACCGCACGAGCGGGGTCCCGACGGTCAAGCGGCTTCAATATCCGATAAATATTACAAACCCCTCAGCCGATAGCCCAGTTGAACGAGGCTGTAAACCCCTGCGCTTAACAGGCCACCGCGGCAGTCTATACCCAGTCTCCCCGGTCGAAGCACATGGCTTCCGGCCGTATAATTGTAAAAGAAAGAAGAAAAGAAAGATGGCAAGGCAGATCGATCGGGCTTCGATAATTAACCTTTTTCTTGAACACCTTCAGCCCCACTCTTTTGAAAGCTTGATGAGTCTTGTGAATAATCGCTTCACAGGCTTGACGGTTAACGGTTGATTTGTGCTGGTCGGGATCGCTTGGTTATATAACGCTTTGGCTAAAATCGCTTTACGAATGTGCAACAATTGATATAGAATTCAACGCATGTCCTATTAATCTGAACTCGATTTTAGGATTAATCAATTGCCGGATTATATTAGGACCTAGAAATAGTATATGTGTGAGATTTGAGAATAGGGAGGGTTTGATATAGTGATAAAAGCCTTAAGGTTACATGACATCCCCATTCGCCGATAGTGTATACCAAGGTCTTCGAATACATACGATACGAGTTATGCGGCACCCACCGACTTACCCAATCCAACCGGATAAACATTATCGCACCCCCTCCCACAAATGCCAACCCTTGAATTCCAGATTCAGCCTCCGGAACAAGTACCAAGTAGTTCCAGATACCATAACACCCGTGCGCCAGATCTAGAACTGGAGACTTATATATATAAATATATATAAACATACAAACATCTAGCTTGGTAAAACTGATCTTAGCATAAACGAACTATAATATACAACTCTAGGATCAGGGATATAATATCAACTGCTGGACCCAACTGGCCCCAAGAAAAGAACCTGGGAAGTTAGGCTATAGTTGTATTTCTAACTAGGGTCCTCGATGTAGAATCCCACTTTTGAGGTTTTCGTATCATGCGCATCCGGGATTTGTGGATGTCGACTTGGGGTAACCGGTAAGATTTATAATGTATACCCCACGTTGAATAAGGAATTGACGTGTCGAGTCATGCTTCTACAGGTATACCGGTATGGCAGAAAATGCGCCGGTGGTTGGTAAATGAGACCATATGGTGATAAACTCGAGTCATTGGGTCAATGGGATTGCATACGCTAAAACCGCTCACAGCATCCATATGTACCCGTATCATCGGTGTATTCATAAGTATATAATACCTTGTGTCAGAAAAAGGTATAAATAGTCGCGAGGGAGCCCGCTCTATAGTCTTTTCCCCCCTCGTCGCAAACCGATCGTCTAGAGACTTCTGTATTCGATTATTCTAGTAGAAATTCAAACGGGAAACCAAATTATCTCACAAAATGCGCGGTCTTCTAACATACGCTGCAGCCTCCCTTTTGGCCGCTCCGACCCTCGCCAGTCCCCTCCTCTCTACTAGAAGCGGTAACAACCAGGACAGATGCAACCACGACAATCCCTTCAAGGACGTAACTGTCTACGCCAATTACCGTTATGCCACAAAACTGCGCCAAACCATTGCCGCCTTTGAGGCTAAGGGTGATGCGGCGGGTGTTGCCGGCGCAAAAATTTTACAGAAGACTCCCACTTTCATGTGGTTGAGCTCTATCTACGACGTATGATTCATATTCTTGTTATAAACTTTCTATCTCGAGAGCCGAAAGCGTGCTGATATTATTGTCCGAGTGAAGATCGCCTATCTCGAGCCACAGCTTTTGGACGCCAAAGCCGATCAGGCTGCCAATTGGGAGCAAAGGACCGTCCCATTGGTTATCTATAACCTCCCCGGTCGTGATTGTAAGTCCTACACTACCTCCTAGCAAACTTAAAACCCCAAATTTAACAATCCCTTCTAAAAAGGTGCCGCCCTCGCCTCATCCGGAGAAATCCCACTCGGCCCTAACGCCCTCAACATCTACAAAACCGAGTATATCGACCCTATAGTCGCCATGATCAGAAAATACGGCGGTCTGCGCTACGTCATTGTTCTCGAACCAGACAGTCTTGCAAATCTCGTCACAAACATGCATATCCCAGCATGCGCTCAAGCTGCTGGGATATACAAGGCTGGTGTTGCGTACGCTATCAGTCAGCTTCAAGATAAGAACGTAGCAGTATACTTGGACATCGGACACTCGAACTGGCTTGGATGGCCGGCGAATCTACAACCTGCTGCTAAACTCTTCGCAGAAGTTAAGATGTGGGCTGGACAGAGAACCAATAAGTTCAGAGGGTTTGTTAGCAATGTTAGCGGTTATAATGCTTATAACTCTACTACTGCAGACCCAATTTACGGTGTAAGTTCCCCAGGTTCTAGTTAAATATGTTTATGCGTGAGACTGACCATTATTCTAGCTCGGTCCCGACAACTCCAATTGGAACGAATGGCGATTCTTCAAGTCATTTACCCCTTATCTAATTAACAACGGTCTGCCCACCAAGTTTATTGTTGATCAAGGCCGTGCTGGTGTTTCCGGTATCCGCTCTGAGGGTGCCTTCTGGTGCAACATCGACGGCGCAGGTATTGGTACTAGACCCACCACGAAGACTGACGACTGCAACGTCGATGCGATCGTTTGGGTTAAGCCACCCGGTGAGAGTGACGGAACAAGCGATATGAGTTCTCCAAGATTTGATGGGACATGTAGAGGCCCAGATGCCTTTGTTCCAAGCCCCGAGGCTGGTGATTGGTAAGCCCCCTTGTATAATGCACTACTAAAAAGAGACCCTGAACTAACTCGAGAATTTTTTTAAATACTAGGCATGAGGAGTATATTGAGATGCTGATCAAGAACGCCAATCCTCCATTGGTCTAGACTATATACGGCAGGGACACAAGGAAGTAGTATGCGTTGGTGTAAACGAAACTGTATTCTACGATAATTGTACATATTACAGTAGAGGAATACTTGTCATCCTAGACGAAGGATTGTATATATTTAAGGTTATGGCACGTTAGTAGCGGTCCTAGACATGTATAAACGTTAAATACGAGGAACGTCACAGACTTCTTGCGTTGATTTTGTTGCAACTTGCGGCCTATCCTCACGTGGACCGAATTTTGTTTGCGAATTATGTCACCAGCAAGCTCGCTCAACGCCCCAACAATTCGGCCTCAATGCTGGAACTGTCGTTCCGGTTCTCGGAGCTATGCATCCATCTGGCGCCAGTGGGTTCCACATGTTAGTTCGCCATAGCGCCAACTCAAAAAGGCCCTGCAAATGGATGGAATTCGAGGTTGAGATAGAAGGAAGGTCAATTGAGGATCAATTAGGTACTGTCTTTGAACAAGATAAAATATTCAGAGAACAACTTTGAGAAACAAGAAAGAAAAAGGGGAACGGGGTAATGTGAGATAATAAAGAAAAAGGAGGACAAAAGGAAACCTATTGCTCAATATACACTGCCCGTAATCGATCCCGCTACAAACTTTTCTATACCCTGGACACCGCACCTTACCCGTGCCTTTCTATTTGATTCCAGCCCACCCGAAACGGTATCCGGCAATAGTTAAACATCATCTTATCGCCTGGATAGCCTAAAACCACAACAGATCTTTTCATCAATGCAATACCATATTAATAACGAGTATCCCAAACGGTTTGGTTTTTCATTAGAACTCAATAATGCGTCATAAAGTTCGTTAAAGCCCCAGTGTGAATAGGAAAGCTTGAAAGGTGGTATCGTGGCCTTTCCAGCGAAACTCTGGTGTTTTCGGTGAAGATGAAGACATAGGAAGCCACGAGCTCACTGGCCCTTCAGAGCGTCATTCCAACATTGTACAATCTGTATAATAGAAAGTAGTTAGCGAGTAAACTCTAGTGATAGTCTATGCACCAGGGACAGATATCATACCTCTTGGCCGACAAGGCCCTGCCCAGCCAGGTATTTCTGCAGACCCAGAACGACCTCGACTTGTTCTTGGGGACTTAGATTGCCAATAACGCTCTGTAATACACCACCAACGGTGACGGCCTTGTTCGCTGCAATGAAGCTCTGGTAGTATAGATTGCTGAAGAATCCCATGATGAACTGGCAATCCATACGATCCGTAATCCCACCATGCCCAGGGATAGTATCGCCGAAGTCCTTGATCTTAAAGGTCCTCTTGAGACCGCTGGCGAAGAAACCACCGAATGGAGCGATGAGAGAAGCGAATGTAGCCATCAACAGGACGTGGAAATAAATTGGAGCGCTGGTGAAAGTGTCACCAAGGATTGGTTGAAGTGGAAGCGGTAGGGTGTAGGTGTGTGGGGAAAACACGGGATTTGGGGTACATTCTAGACCAGTCCAAATGTTGGCTCCGAGATTCTAAATGGGAAAATGGTCAGTAGCCTGGCAAGGAATATTTAGTGGTATTGCTTTGACATACCCTGACCGGACAAATGAAGTACTTGTATGGTACTAGAATCCTGGCAACGGCAAGTCCATATATCATAGTACAGATCCATGCTCCAACAAAACCTTCCACCGTCTTTTTTGGCGAAAGTTTGATCAGTTGAGTCCTGCCGAATGATATACCGCAGATGTATGCCCAAATATCATTCGTGATGATCATAGAAGTCGGCAGGAAGAACCAGATGAGGCCTTCAAAGATGTTGTTGATAGTAAAATGGGCCTGAACAACCACGAGGTAGAGAGCCATATGGGTCCATGCGAACTGTGTGAACTGGAAACGGTAGTGTCCGCGACGGAGGGAGCCGACAAAAAAAACGAAACCTTTGGAGAACGAGACTTAGTGTATGTCGTTGGTGGGGACCGGGGATAATATCACATGCATACCCAACATGTACAGCATAAAGCTAATGAACCTGTGATGGCTCGCCATCGGCAAGAGGAAGGCATCAACCAAGACAATATGCTTAAAGTAGTAGATAACACTTTCGCCGTAAAGGTAATATATTGTCGTCACCAAGAAGTACCAGTTCAGGGCTTTTGTGAAATGCATGTTTTTTTCCTTGGCAGGAACACTTGATATCGCAATAACCTCTTTGAAGGTAATGATTTGGACAGCGGTAACGACAGCGACAAGATATAAATGCCCACTGAAGAGTAGGATGAAAAAGAAGGCGATCATGACAAGCGTCCATATTGTTCTGACAACAAAATTCTGCTTCTTCTTTTCGTATTCAGTGGTCGCCACGGGTGCCTAAGCGAAGATTTGAAGATTTGATATCAGGAACCTGGGGTAAAAACTCTGGAGACGCAGGCAGGGATCGCTTTTGGGTAGGTATGGCTCTCTCACTACGTACAGCATTTGCGGGAACAACGGGGTCTTTGTCGCCATCCACCCAGTCTTGATAGGCAGGATCATTCTCGTCAAGGTCTACCAGAGGCGAGTTTGGGTCTGAAGGGTCCGATGGAGTGCTTTCTCTTCGGATGTTGCCGGTCCCTGAGCCGTTAATGGTAGGTTTCAGGGAGGTGAATTTGACACCTCTGCGATTCCTCGTCGACATCGTTAAACAGTGCGAAAGCCGCACGGAAAGGAATTCTCGGAGGTTAGGATTTCGAAGACGCGATCGGAAACGGGAGAAGGCGTGGAGGGGTGGTCGTAGGACTTGCACCGAAGTGAGAGTGGGAGCGAGAAGTGGTGGTGTTTTTCAAGCTTAGTCTGCGGTGGCTCGTACAAAAGTGAGAAGTGTTGAGGACGACGTAATGGCACGCTGACCCTGAAATCAGATTCTGAAGACGGACAACGGCTGGCTGTTGATATCGATAACCGATCTGAAAACAGGCCAGCAAGCAAGAATGGACCCCAACGGCAGTGAAGAGATAGATGCTGCTGATGAACCTGAGAATTAGGGCCTAAATGACAGGCTGGAACAGCACTCAAAAATCAGCCGGGCTGCACCTTAATTTCCTTTGTTTCAAGGTGTTTTCTTAGCAGCTTCTTAGCAGCGAAATGTGACGTTGGTCTGCAGGCTGCGAAATGCATGGAAGCTGGGCGACCACACCGGACTGCACTGCAGGTGGGCTATTAATCGATGCGGCTACGGATAAAGACGAGCCAGCTGACGGCCAGTCGGGGCTAATGTAATACCGTTTTTGTTCGCTGCCGGATGTCGAATTGTACTCTTGGCTCCGAGGTAGCTCATGAAGATACTAAGTACCTAGTGCTGTAGCGCTGGTACGTATATGCATATGTACCGTATACCTCGGACGAAAGAACTAATTAGCTGGGATTCGTCAGCTCGAATCGAATACATGTACACAGGTAGCCCGAGAATACGTACGAAGTACGATTCTCAGCCCAGCGGCTTGACATCCACATGCCAGGTACCGGTAGTTAGCGGCTTAGTCAGGCTAATAAACGCATGGCATAAAGTACTTAAGTAGTTTTCAAGAATTAAATTTGAATCGCCTAATCCGTTTAAGACCCTTTTAAGACTCTTTTAGCTGGGATGGATGATAATTGGCCAATTTCCGTAGACGTAGCTGCAGACTCACTAATTACGTATATTATTATACTTCTATAGTAGTAAGGAGGACTATCGGCCATATTGATAACTACATTCTTATACGGTTGCGTGCATACTTAAAGCGAGAATTAATAGCTAATTTATAACTATATTATATATCAGCCCCCTCAAACTGTAGCTTTTTCAAGAACATCGATCAAGGGCTTCTAAATATGGTGAAGAGCCGGCTCTGAAGTTTAATATATTATATTCTCGATCCCAAGGTACCTAGGTATTAATATATTTACAAACAGGGGTCGAAGTTGTATTGGACCAGTTATGTCACAAGAATCTAAAGTCTAAAGCTAGAGCCACCCTCGAACCTCGATACTACCATTGAAATACATGGTGGTTCTCCGGAAGTAGTAAATTGTGACTATAAATGCAGAATTGATTTAATATTTTTCACTGTTATCGGTATATATATATACGGTATATGTGTAACCGCCAGATCTGGCCAGACCTTATTATGCGAATCCACTGCCTACTAGGAATGTACACTAACTTGAATGCAAAATCAAGTTGTTCTACTTTTAATTTCCCAAACAAATATAAAACATATTCGCGTATTTAACTAGGCTTCCGCGGGTATGTATAGGTGGCACAGGCAGCGAAGAAAAAATGGATTTATAAGCTCTCGCCAAAATAACAACAGCTATTGTATAAGTCATATACGTATAGAATTGGATTCTATTCACTTGGCGAAGTATACTCGATTGTGAAAATTTAAAACATTCTAAGTCATCTTCGTATCTAAGTAAAATACTAAAAAGCTACAACTTAGCAGTGGCAATTCTCTGACCTGGCAATTATATACAAACATCGCCATCTGAACAAGTTTATGATACATTTCCCTCAAATCATTATTAAGATATTATCAACTTTGAAAACAAAATGTGTCTTATAAAATGATTGTCTCGGGCTCGGGACCCTCCTGAACTATATTTGGCAATTAAGACGATGGGGTCCCGCAAAGCCGACAACGCGAAATCGTATGTTGCATTTTCCACCAGCCGGTTTAGCAACTACGCTAGAAGTTTGGGAATCCGACACTGCGGCGTACAACTTTTCTTATTACGAGGGTACTGAGCTAGTAATGTATAAAAGTTCCATATATATATAGCCGTCTCGCCTTGGAAGCATTTGCGCCAACGTTGTAGCTATCTGTTGGACATAAACGCAATGAAGTTTTGACATACATGTGGCTAGTGACTTTATGCTGACAATTATTACTATTATTATTCAAAAGATAATGTCTAAGCGATGGGTGTACTTAAAATCCCGGGATTTTAAAACCTCTTGGAACTAGTCTCCCAAAGACATTCAGAAGATCGTAGTGGAGTAGCAAAATCAGAAAACGTTTTAAAGTTTATGTTGCATTAGCGCACCGAGTTCGCGATTGTGTGATAGCCACCATGCAACATACATGGTCGAGAGTTTGGTATATCGATCGTGATTGAGCTCTCCCGCTGTTGCAAAAGTTTCCAGGACTTTTGACGCAAAACATTCACTTTTACCTATTATATGTATACAGCAGGGTTAACTTAATGGTACAGAAGGTACACTGGTCTCATAAAGATACACAGGGATTCGAGCTTTAAAGCTTATAAAAAGGTTGTCTGTTCTATAATGCAACATTCCGGACTAACTTTAATTCGATGCATGTGGCAGCCTCGTAGCAAAATTTATACGTATACTAACCAATTTGATAACACTGTGGGGCCCAGCCGTGCTCCCCCATTCGAATATTCGGTCGCTCGCTGCGGAGACTCATCCGAATTCTAATTTTGCCGTTAAACGCGGTACCGGCTTGTGGCTTCTGAGCCCCAATCGCTGGTTTTTCTCTACCATAAGGTGAGACATTTATCCCTTAATCGTAGTGATAAAGCTGCGGTATTATTTCAGTATATTACCATGATATCGATATATCAAGCCCAAAGTTCTTAAGATCGAAAATAATTTCTACAGCAGCTACAAGCCTCAAAGAAAACTGACAAAATTGTGGACCTACCCGTAAGCTACTAAGTACCTATGTCCCTAGCATATCTATAACGATATACAGAATGGGACCGATGGGATAAATCAATAAAAATCAATAAAGCTGTTTTCCCAGCTGAGGGCTGAGAGATTATAATGGGTCCCTAGAGCCAAGAACAGGGGCTGGGAAGGATCGGGCTAATTATCATTTAAAGTTCACGAAGCTCTCACTATACACAAACTATGATACGTGATCTTCTGGGAAACGGAAGGATCAGAAGCTAGTTTCGGCTGCAGCTGACATGACCGGTTCTAGTATATCCTGAATCCTACCTCCGTTTACAGTCGCGATTGTGGGACTAACCGTTTATATCATCAATTACGAGCTCCTAGCTGCACCTGGTATACATTATCACAGTCTTGTTCCCACAATAATCAATAGCTAGCCTTCGTGATTGATCAGGCCAACGAACTTTCGAAATTTTAAGTCTTCTCACGAGTTAAAGTCTATTAAGGTGACATACGTACGTGGCTAGGTACCGGTTGATATTTGAATCCGTACAATTGTACAACTGGCGGAATTGCTTTGGTAAAGTGAGTCCGAAAATGCTATTAAAATATCTGTTGATCAAATTATTTTTGATTGTTGTATACGAATGTGATGTTCCCCGTACTAAATTAATGGAGAGTCCTCTGAATGATCAAATAAATTATATATTTTATATTATATAGGACGTTTAGTCTGGAAACGTATACCCGGTCACGGCCGCATACCTGTATCGATCCCGAACCTGGAATTTCGAAGTATTGAAATCGTCCATTTTAAAGCGGCTAGAATATTCCAGGTTGATCGTAATTAACAGAGTTCTAGCTCTAGAGCTAGATCGAGATTAGTCTCGTTCCCAGGATCGAAATCAAGATCTTGTGTTGGGGGTTATGTTTTCATCCCGGGCTCGAACGTCGCTAAGGCTAACGCTGTTGACAGCCCATAATACGGCAGGATTAGTTATGGTATCCACTGGTACCAGTGTGGGCCGCGTTGCAGTACAAGACTAAGTATCAACATGATTGATCGTAGCACTACTGAAATGAACTAGTATTCTAGACCTCAATACGTATTAAAATTATATTCAAAACTTCATATTTCTTATGATTGGTATTGCAAAAATATTCGGAAAAACCCTCTTTCCGGCATGGTCAGTACCAGGTACTTACTTCTAATTATATATATCATACGAGACGCCTCATGAATTCAATACAATGTCTGAAATAGAACCTGGCCGGAGGTAACTAATATAGCTAATTGTTCCCTTAAAATACTTTAAATTAACGCAGTTACTGCTAAAGATTATTAACGCTTCAATGTTGAATTACTTTCTGCCGAGAAGATCTAAAGATCTTAAGATCCGGACCAGGTTGGACACAATTGGTGCCATGGCGATGCCATGCATCTGGGTTCTCACATCATGCTAACTAAAGGCACAGCGACCGTGTGACTAAATCAAATTTAAATCCCACCGCCTTGGATTTCTGCTTGTACGTGCCTCTTAGACATCACCTACTACATTCATTCGCTATTATGTCACCTAATATCCCCTTGTGGTTGGTTCAAAACTAGGACTGCGCAAGCTGGGACAGGGCAGCATCAACACGGAGGCGCGCGCGCTGTTTCATAGGTTGTGGCTGTTCGTTTGTCGAATGGAAACCGCAAGCGAAGAACTTGGTGGTTTCAAGAAGAAAAATTAGGCTCTGTCATACCGTTTACGGTTAGACTTAAGTCATTGTGACGGTAAGAGAAGCTCTTATTCGCCTTCAGGGGTGTCCTCAAGGGCTTAGACGGGACCTTCTAGCCGACCTTGGTGGTTTTTTTGGCACATGGCATACAATCTTTTTTTAAAAGTAGATATATATATTGTCTTGCATATTAGTAGTTTGTAGCTTCCTCTCTGGAGGAGAAATCAAGAGACTTAGCAGCGCAGATTTCGAGGTTCCCGGCCGGCCGGTTTTTTCTTATTTTATTTTTATATAATTTTTTATAATTCTACGACAGACTAGCTAATTGTATCCATATATAAGTTAGTCGACGGATCACGGGCGACGGTATCTTTGGTTGAATGTTTCTGATTTTTCAAAAGAATTCGGTACACTCTTTTTTAGATTTAAACAATACTGGGATCTGGGTCTCACGATATTTTACCTTTTTATTTCTTTAAATTCGTGTTTCTTGGAGCTCGATATCTCACTCTTTATACTCATTACACAAGGCCTGGTGCCAAATCGTTGCCCCAATGTTCAGCCTATCCGGAACAAGACCCACAGCCGGAAGTCCGAAGTTATTAGCAATCATTGGGGTTATTTTCGCTACTGGTGTCATTCTTTACCAGCTATCCTTCTTGCACGACTTGATACTTCCCAGAAATATATCGGAGCCTTTGGATGCACTAAGTAGTTGCCACCGACACAAACCGACCCTCAACCACTATAAAGGCCCCCCTTCGACCAAGAAATCCGCTATTCCGAATATTATACATCAGATTTGGAAAACATCGAACGTTAGCGAATACTCCGATCAACCATCCCACAGATCGTGGAAAGCAGTCTATCAGCCATTGAATTATACAGTGAAGCTCTGGACCGATGACGATATTCTCGCACTCATTAGAGAAAAATACCCTTGGCTCCTATCGACTTATGTGGATTATCCACACAGTATCCAACGGGCGGATATGGCCAGATTGGTAGTTGTTCATGCGGAAGGAGGTGTATACGCCGATTTAGACGTATACCCTAGATCGGTTGAAGAACTTCAATGTTTCCAGCGACTTGGTATGCAAGCAGTATTTGCTCCTACTGCTGGAACAGTAGGAGTGAGTAACCACTTCTTCATGGCAGAGAAAGAATCCCCTTTCCTACGATGGGCGCTCGACGAAGCCAAACGACGTGCGGGTTTGAACTCAAATCAGATTTTATTGCCCTATCTCCGAGTCTTCTGGTCCACGGGACCATTAATGGTAACGGCTGCTGCCCTGCAGTATGCAGAGGCCCGAGGAGAAAATCATAGACTTGCCGTCATCGATGACAGGTTTATCAGAAAACTAGTTGGCCATGCAGCGGGACGGTCATGGCATGGGGCGGATGGACAAGTTCTAAACTTTGTGGCAGACTATTACGGGAGGATTGCACTGGGAGCAGGCGCTATCGTTTTATTGGTACTCGTATTGTTTGCGGGAAGACAGGTATACCTCAGACGACGCAACCGTGACCAATTTGAATATAAGCTATATCTTCATTAGTTGTGTGTATATATATAGAAGCTGTTTAGAATAATTTATAATACTAGATATCAATAGATTTACAATCTCACGTGGCTCAGGATTTAGATCTCGCAAGACTATCTACTGATAGCCATGATCCTTCAATTTTGTTCACAAAGTAAACTTAGAGCATCATCTTTGAATATTATTGAAAAATCGATATCAACGTAGACTTTTTGGCTATTCTTTTTTGCCCCATAATATAATTTAATGTCGGATGCCATATGGGACAAATCTCCTGCAACAGCACTTTCGGATGTTGGATTAGTTTCAAGGCTGCCACCAACATTTAAATTTCGTCGCTTTCAGCCTTGTAGGATAATGAGTACCTTATAATTATAGTTTCCCCATTCTTTATTTGAAATTAGGAAAGTGACATTGATGTTTGCTTGAATACACGTAATAGCTTGACAAGGTTTAACTGCAACATAGCCTCGTATCCGGGAGTCGAAGTCGACTTGATAGAATTTGTCGGTGTTGTTTAGCGTTGCAACTGAAATGCTTAGATCCGGCCCGGTGACGTCGGGAGACTAAGGAACATGAGCACTAATTAACACAACCTATAGAGAGTTAATACATATGTAACTACTAGTACTTAGTAATTAATAGTACTTCGGAACTTCTAAGTATCGACTAAATTGAGGTTACACTATTAGAATTACCGAATAAAACGTTATTTTCCCCCAACTTTTTTCTACCTTTGGCCTATTTGTTTCCTAGTCTTATCTCTGTTCATTTGCTATGTATAAAAAAGGAACTGGGCGAAGAGGAAGAGTTGGAATGTGACGGAACTGAGGTGTTTGTCTTTGATGTTCGGCTGAATCGCTCCGTTTGTGCCTGTTTTTAGCGTTGTCCAGGTGAGTGGCTGTCGTCCGGAGTCGCTGGGCGACAGGCGTTTTGGTGGGGTTTCTGTGGGCCGACAGAAATCCCACTTCGGGATGCTTCTCCTTGACCAAACCACCAACCTCCATCGATTCTCTCCCGCTACATTACCGTCATCGCGACCAACTTCATGAGCAACTTACATCATCCGCTGGATATCTCTATAAGTTTCATTGTCCTGACCGGGATTGAAGCTTCTTCGTCTTTTAGGTCAAAATAGCGCCACCCGACAATTACTACCGTTAGATCATTACCTGTTAAGACGAGGTCTTATCTGGCTTGATTGCTAAGTGCGATATCAAGCGCTTAGCTTCAGCTTTCAATATTTATCCCAATCTAAAGAATGTCAAGATCTGAAAGCGATATTCGGTACTATTTCTGTTCACTGCTTCATTCACTCCTACCTGGCCTTTAGCTGGCATTGCTCCAATCATAACTGTAGCTAACGATCGATTCCATCAGCTCTATCATACACGATCGCCCGACCTAGCGCCGAACGATCGTGGCATTCTCAACAAACCCTTATTAAACTGAATTCTACGATAAAAGAAGAGGAAGATAAAAGCAATCATGTCGTCGACGACTGATACGCGTTCTCGGAAACGTATAGTAACCTCGGAATTCGCATGTCGTACAGTTTCTGTGACTAACCGACGGCTAAATAGGCGAACTGAGGAAACTCAACCAAGATATTTGGGAAGGAAAAACTGGTGAGACTACAGGCAATTTAAAAAAAGAATTTCAATGGTTCACTACTAATATATCCCTAGGTGTATTCGTCGTCAACCCCCCTCTGGATACATCATTCAAGAAAAACACCGCCGTTATCAAGAAATTCCGTACATCCCTTACACCGGACAACACTGCTTCGTTACTGAAAGACATCGCCACGGTTTCATTGGAAAAGTATTTGCCGGAGGTCATATCTGCGGTCTCGGAGGGCCTCTTAAAGGTTAAAATAGCGGAAATAAGCACTGCGGTCGAAGTTGTTAGCGCCTTACATCAACGTTTCGGAAAAGCCTTTACACCATTCGTGGTCTGGAATATCGCGAAAGGTTTAAGCACGCCCGGTAAAGAACAACTGCGAAATCTGCCAGCGGATCAAAAGGAGAAGGAAGAGACAACTAGGCTAGCCCGGCAAAGACTACTTCTACGCGTAGCGACAGAGCTTTGGCTTGTAGGAGTTATTCGAACTTTGGATGATGCAATCAACCCTGACGATAGTACACCGACGACGACGGGGGGGAGGTCCACCGACAACTCCAAGAAGCAATCTGCTGCGACTATAGCAAGGTCCGGAGATGATGAGCCGTTACCATTGGAGGCATTAAAGGACATACTATCCCGCGACCGTGAGGGTGTCAACCTGCCACTTGTAGTCCTTTTCGTTAAAACTTTCTCCTGGGATGTTTTGGGCGTAAAAGTAAGGACAGGAGGCCGTAGGGCAGGAGGCGGCGAGGGCGGCGACGATGCTGAGCCAGGGGATGGAGAACACGTCAATGGCAATGGGGCCGTCGACGCGGCTGACCTGCCACTCGCCGATCCTACAGTTCAAATTAGGTTTCGTAACGTCTTATCGACATACTTTTCTGGTGTTAGCAAATATATCCATGGCGAACACCGCAGACTTCAACAACAAGCCAAGCGGAATTCCGAGGCGTATGTTCGTTCGGGAGAGGTTTTCGAGGATCGACAACAGGCGTTTGAAAAAGCGACCAAAGCTCACGAAAAACTAGTCGCGAGTGCTCAAGTTGTATCTGAGATTCTAGGATTAGAGATGCCCGACCTTAGTGATGATGATGAAGCCAAAGAAAGTGGTGAGGGAATGATTCGCGAATCTGGGAGTATGTTTAAGAAGGGCGAAGAGGCCTCTGGAAACGGAATGTGGGAGGATGACGATCAACGCCGGCTCTATGAGGACCTTATCGACCTCCGTGCTCGCGTACCATCTATTCTATTGGACGAGGGCCGGAAAGCATCTACTAGTGACAAAAAGGAGGAGGAGACATTGAAAACGGAAGTTGTCGAGACTGGCGAAGAAGAATTGGCCGCTAAAGTGGGAGACCTGGATCTTACTGAATCTCTCGAAAGGGATACAACTATCGCCAATAAAACAGTTGGCGCTCAGGTCGATGCGCTCTTGATTCGCCTTCCTGAGCTGACAAACCGTGAACTGATCGACAATTTCGCTTACGACTTCTGTTTCTTGAATTCAAAGGCATCACGTAACAGGCTTATCAAAGTTCTTGAGGATATTCCAAGAGGCAGATCTGATCTCCTTCCGTACTACTCCAGGCTCATAGCCTCTTTGTCAAAGGCCGGGCTTACCGACGTTTCTTCTGCGATGGTTGTTTATTTGGATAAAGAATTTAGAAGTCTCCAGAAACGCAAGGAAAAGGAACAATTGACTGCTATTCGGACACAAGTAAGTTTATCTATTTGATCGGAGTAAACGCTTACTGACAGTTCAGAATGCAAAATATTTCTCAGAAATGACTAAATTCGGCCTCGTCCCCGAACATGTCATCTTTCACTGTTTCAAAGTTGCACTAGAAGACTTTTCCAAGATGAACATTGACATTATTTGCATTCTCTTGGAGGGATGCGGGCGATATTTACTTCGAAATCCTGCAACTCAACCCCGCATGATTACTTTCGTAAGGCCCCTTCAATATGTAATTTATTTTTGGTTCTAACAATCCCTAGCTCGAAACTCTTCAGCGGAAGAAAGATGCCCACCACCTGAGCCCACAGGATCGTATTGCTATCGAGAACGCCTTCTATTACGTCAACCCACCAGAAAGGCCCTCTATAGTAGCAAAAGAACGGTCCCCATACGAACTTTACGTCCGCAAGCTAATATATCTTGATCTCAACAAGAAGAATTTCAATAGAACGATCAAGTCCCTCCGTAAATTGCATTGGGAAGATCCTAGCATTGTCAATATGCTGGCTAAGGTGTGCACAAAAATCTGGAAAGTTCGTTATAGCAACGTAAGCTTGATTGCTATCGTTGTATTCGGGTTGTTCCGATACCACCAAGACTTTGGCATTAGAGTCGTAGACGGCGTTCTTGAAAATATCAGAATTGGCCTCGAGGAGAATGATTACAGAATGAACCAGCGAAGAATCGCTAGTATTAGATATCTCGGAGATTTATACAATTATAGCATGATCGATAGTCCGGTCATTTTTGATACTTTATATTTGATTCTGAGTTTCGGATATGGTAAGCCCCCCCTGAAACCGGTTTATAATTCCTAATCTAACCCAATGGTAGCTGGAACTCCACAGCCTGGTATGTATAATCACCTTGATCCTCCGGATAATCACTTTCGTATTCGTCTCGTTTGTACTCTCCTCGATACGTGTGGACACTGTTTCGACAGGGGGTCTTCAAAGAAGAAGCTGGACTTCTTTCTCGCCTTTTTCCAGTACTATATCCACCTGAAAGAGCGCACTCCGATGGACATTGAGTTTATGATTCAAGATACGTTCCAACTTGTCCGGCCGAATTGGATTCTTCACACATCACTCGAAGAAGCCGGGAAGGCTTTTCAAGAGGCCACAGCTAAAATCTATGGCCCTGCTGAAGCTGCCGACGATGATTCTAGTTCGAATGAGGACGCAGCTGGTAGCGATGGCGAAGATGTCCGCCTCAAACTTTTGGGCGAAGATATGGATATAGAAGCAGGCGTCAATGAAGACGAGGATTCTGATAGCGCAGATGAATCATCCGAATCTGGGGATATGGACGAAGGTCTTGTTTATTCACGGCCTCAAGAATACAGAGACCCGGAAGCAGAAGCCGATTTCGACAGGGAGTTTGCGAAACTTATGGCTGAGAGTTTGGAGAGCCGTAAATTTGAGAGAAAAACTGTCTTCGATGTTCCTTTACCCATCAAGAAAAGTATTGTGGTTCCGACTGCGCCCCCTACGGGTGTTATTACTATGAGCATGCTAGAAGAAGAGGACGAAGAAGTTCCGCTACCACCCCAACAACCAGGAATCATGAAGTTCTCATTACTCACGAAGAGAGGCAACAAGCAACAGGTAAGTAGACTAGTCACAAGTCTCAGGAACAAAGCTAAACGCATTCGCAGACCCGTGATATCGAGCTGCCGTCAGACTCTACTTTCGCCGTAGCCATGAAGAGTAAGCAGGAGCAAGAGCGTGAGGAGCGTCAACGTATCAAAGATCGCGTTCTCCATTACGAGCGTATGGAGGAAGATACTGCACCCCCTGGTATGTACTTTTCTAGCCCAAGACGGAATGCCCAGGTTCTAACCAATATCCAAGAGCCTCAACGATTGAACAATCTCAGCGGTGCGAATATCAAGTACGGCGCGAACGTAAAATACGGTGATAAAGGCGGGGTTTCGCGTGGAAAGAGACTTCAGCTCGGAGACTTTAATTGGTACGGCTCGAACCCAAATCACCCACGCAAAGCCGGCAATCCACTCTTAATTGTCGGGAAATCCCCCAACATTTTGCGAGACCACTCCAATTCCTCCCCATTGTGTAAATTGGACCAGACGCCTGCAGTTTCTCTCTTAACCGCCAAGCCTTCAGTTCAACAGACGAGGGATAATGGGAAAGAGCAACTTCAAATTAACGTCAGCGCCCAGAACTGTCAGGGGCCTTTGCAAAAGGATATTGTTCCCGCTCGACTTTGCCGTGAGAAGAATGAGGATTTCTACCCCCTCAACGGGAACAAGTCCACTATCACCAAATGTCAGGGTCGACTACAACACACACATGCTCCACCACAGCAATATGGTAATACAAGGGGCAAGGGCTTCGCGCAGCCGCATCAAAATCCTTATCCCCGTGGAAATTCTCGAGGTCGAGGTGGAAACCATAGTTACAACCAGCTGACTTCTCATCGTGGCCGTGGTGGCGGCTTTAATCGCGACAATTACACAGGACGTAACTCAACCTTTCGAGGCCGCGGGAACGGTGATTTTTCACATCGACAGCCTCCTCACAAACGTCTTGGGATCACTGGCGGGAACAAGAGTGGAGGTCATAACCCAATCGAACGTGGTGTTGGGATTGTAGCAGCACGAGCTGTGACAGTTTCAACCACAAAGGTGAATCTATCGCCCCCACCGCCGATTTCCGAATCTCAATGGCCAGAGCTTGGGAAGAATTAGACTTATCAATTCCGAGTGTTCGATATTTTATGGCTTGTTGGCACGCGGCTTGCTACACGCAGGGCTTGCCTGTCTGACACCCGGCCGGGATCTTCATGCCCCACCGCTTGGATTCCTCGTTCTGTCATTCCAGACCTACACTACTCAAGTTGGGAACGTGTGCCACGACACCCGGCATCTTATCACGGTAGGCGGTTATCCTAAATGAAGAGGCTTCGGGACCTGAGAGCTGGGGTCGGGATATGGATTAAAAATAGACCTGTTGTTTTATCACTTTTTGAAGGGTTTCATTCATCCAGATCATGACACAATTCATGGGGCAGGAGAGGAAACTTTCGGGAAAATGAACAAAAAAGATGCTTACCTACTTTTTACTGCTCTTTCACTTCATATCTTTCATTAAATTTGTTACATTAGCAGACTGAAAATTCTACAACGATTATGAAAATTCCATTTTTTGATTTGGCTAAGCTACCGTTGGCGGCTTTGTAGTTGAGTGAGGCCACCCCCAGTCCCAATCTTCTTACCAACTTTGTCAACCGTTTCTTAGAAATAAGATATCTGAAGCGTTTAACGTTTTCCAATTTACAAACACTGTCCATAATAGGAGTTGTGCGTATAGCACGTGTAAGTACTTTCACATATGGTCGGACCGGGGAACCCGATACCTCCACATTGCCCCCAATGGGTCTGAGTGGCTGGGCCCGGAGTAGTTGACTCTATTTTTGATGCCAGGAATCGTCAGCTAACCAGAACAATCAAAGAAATAAAATACCTATGAAGGAAGATACTAACTAGTCGTGGTAGTTGTAGAGATCCTCGTTGTCGAAGTAAGGAGATTATTATTCAAAGTCGAATCAATCTCTCCATATCGAATTTTAGAAAATTTAACTTTGGCGTAAGGATAATTTATTCGAATATTTTCCGGAGACCCTTCCGAGGGGTCACACGGTCCATTATTCCCACTATCCAACCAATTCATATTTTCCACGGGGTCATTCCAGATACTGAATACGAGTACCATACCGCGCCCGAATGATTTACCCAATGTCACGAGCCCGCCATATTCCTCACCAGATGGGCATTGGTCTTTTTGGATAACATCGCCACCGACAGAAGCACTAGCGATTTCCTGACCATTTTGGACATACTTCCGACGGATGGTTGTTAACTCTCCATTGGGGGAGCCGTCATCAGTTAGAAATTGGGTAACGACGGTGATTGGCTTGGTGGTGTCAACGGTCTTGCCGGGGCCCCAGTAATTGGGGTGTCCGGCCGCATACGGATTAAAGCCGCACCCGCTTTTGTCGCAAGAATTACCGGCGCAGGGGTGTGGGGTAAATGCGACGGCTTGGGAGTTGGCTTCGAAGATCTATCGAGTGTTCAATTTGACGGATTTTGCTTTTTTGTTAGCTATCTGTGGATACCTTTATATTCTTATGAAACCCCGCACGCGACAGTCTATGCTAGGTATAGAAGAAATGACACTAGAAGGTTTAGGGGGAGGAAAGGCAACCTGCAAGGGACATGACTTACATCCATTTCACTACAACAGGATGGACCCGCCGCATCAAGGTTTCCGTTTTTCCAGTCTTGGTAAGGACACTGGGCATCGCAGTATGCACCTCCATAATTCGCGCCACCAGGGTTGTATGTACTCTTCCCACCATTCGCCATCATTTCAGCAAGGTACAAAGCTCCATTCTCACCACAAGGCAACTGAGAAACGTCAACTTCAAAGGTAATCTCCTGTGCCTTCAATTTGAACAAGACATAATTCCCATCCGCTCCCAAAAGGTAGACTCGAGGGGAAGGAGCATCCTGAAATTGCTGAGAGAATTGTGAAAGCTGTAAGGCATCACCAGAAGTCGAAACTCCGTATGCGTAGTAATCCAGCCCTTCGACGACACATTGCTTGAAACAGGTAAGTTGGTTCGGACAGATTCTTCTATCGACTCCGATGGATGTTTTGCATGGTTCGCCTGTGCTGGTCGTATGGATCGGACGAGTATTCCAGTCGAGAACTACGGATGTATCTTGCTTTAAGCAACCGTTGGCTTTGGTACACTTGTAGATTGGAAGCTTGGGATGGTATTCTGGAGTTAAGGTGTCGGGTCCTTGTGCGATAGAAAGATGGGGCAATAAAAGAATTGCCAGTGAGAACTTGTGGGCATATTTGAACGCCATTTTTAGGGAAACTTAGATCTTATATTGGAATTGAAGAAACTGACGATCAGTAACTCTTTCAAGCTTGCCAGTCTCAGGGCATAAGGGTCAGTTATATCTATTAGGTAAAACCTAAGACCCTCTCCAATATTATGGCCATATGGCTACATGGACCTTGCTCACGAGTACCATGGTGTGATATCTCTACATCCTCATCCCCAATAATATTCACTTCTATAGACGTGGTAGGGGTTAAATTATCCACAAAGCCTGGGAAATTCGGCTGTCGAATCCACTTATATTCGGACCGGTGGACCTAAACTACCGTCTACGAACTTCAACACATGCAACCCTGTTGCATTTATCGTATTCGCGAAATGTAATTCGTCTTATCTTTTTGAGGTTCGCTTAAATGGAAAGGGTGATGGTCTTGTGTGGGAGTCAAATGCGGGTTCATATGCAAGTGTTTCGCGAGGTGCAGATGATACAATTGATATTAATTGTGCTCGTTTGGGTCCCTGTGGGTCGAATCGTGGAAGTCGTCGGTGCGGATTCCGTCATGGCGTTTTATGATTGACTATATGGTAACAGTGCGCATATATGAGATATTTGGGTTTAGAAAACTAGAATTTGTTAGCACTTTCATGATGGATGTCAGGCCGGTCATGATCAAATTCAATGTCTTGAAGTAGAGGGATCACAAAGTTGATATCTTGAGCTTGCATAAGTCTTGCCAAGCTAACCGAGCGACTACTAGAAGCTTGTATCCTAGGCCTGTCCAAATTGCGTACAAATTTACGTAAATTCCAACTTTTTGAACACTTGGGCTACTCCTTGACTTTATTGTAGGTTAGCCATGACTCGAGGAACTTAGCTGTGGCATAAAAAAAAGGCCTTGGAGCATATCTCCTAACTATTATGTATTCAAGTCCATGCTACGTGCGCTAAATTCCAGAATGATCATCAATATACCCTGTGTTTCCCTTTTTTCAGAACTAGATGTACTGCAGCCCCACGAGATTTATTCATCCAATGATACATTTTCACCTCTAGCAGTAGGCCATTAAGAGTTGAAAGCCGTATTGGCTCGTCGACATCAGTGCCGGTAAATTCCATCTCTTCCCAAGAGAACATCGGGTCGGGAAAGTTTTCAGTCATCCAGTTCTCGAACCTGGCGCGGAAATCATGATAATCCTCAAAATAGAATTCTTTTGGTTCGTGATCCTCGCTAGTCAGACGTACTATCGGACGCCTTGCAACGACCAGTGACAATCGATCGTCACTTAGCTTCTGGGACTGTGTACACGTGCTTTGTTGCGTTATAGTAGAACTTTGGGTTTGGGTTTGATTGGGTGTCTGCTCCTCTGAGCTTGACGGAACAGATGTATCGACGCATTCGGTCGCGATGTTTAAAGATGGAATGGAAGATATGATAGGGTCTCCATTAAATATTTCGTAGGCAGGTGTGAGGTCCGGGTTCTGGGGTATTAGGGGCTCAGAGAGGATATGTCGCCCTGACAGTGCTCCCCCCATATTGCTAAAATTCGGGACGCCCCAAGATTGCCCCATGGTCTGGAAAGTGACATTTGGAGGTTGACCAGAATATGCGCCTAAGTCATACTGAAACTGATTTTGTATTCCCTCGATCACCTCTTCATCTATTGCGGATGAAAGATGACGACTAACAGAATTGGCCACAAAACCAGTAAATTGCGACGAAAGTGGAGCCTTTCCTGCCGAGAAAATGGCAGCTGGGTTGTTCGTCAAACTCGATGCGATATAGGACATACCTAGGTTTTCAATCTGTGTATCCCGCTCAGGCTCCAGCGAATCGGCCTCCCTTGTGGGACTCCCGTTTAGGGATATGGCAGATGGGAAATTATTGAAACTTCTATCATTCTGCTGGGGTGTGCCAGTAGTAGCTTGCGATTCCTCGATAATATCAAGCTGTTCTATGATCTGGGTGACAGTTGACCCCATAATGCTTCCAATATCTTAAGATTTTCGGTTAGTCGAAAATATTGCTTTATCTAGGAACTGTGGGAATCAGGTACCTACAAGGATCGGGTATGGGTATACGAGAATCCCAGCCAGGATTACACGCCCTAAAAATGTCGTCCCACGTCCTCGCCATATGTATTTCTTCGGGAAGCTTTCCGCCAAAGTGATTGCGCTTTAAGTGCTCTCTAAACATCCCAGCGATTAGAACGACTGCGCGATAACTATATAACGGGCCTTGATAGATGTTAAGCCGACTTGCCTTATTCCGGGTAGGTTTTGTCTATTGATTAATCTGCACCTATGGGTCCCTGGGTTTGGGCTTGCTTTCGCAATAGGGCATGCAAGTTGCTTGTCAAGAGGACCTCTGTGGGGGGCATTGTCGTTTTCAACCCTCTTGTTCTTTCTCGGTTTATCCCCCTCATCCTCACCGTCATCTGACTTGTCTCTTTTACGCTTGAGAGACCCATTGTTGGGTCTTTGGCTGATAGACTCCGAAGTTGAACCTGGTCTTTGATTCCTTCCGCTTTTATCACCATTATCCTCTATCACTTGGCTATTATTTCCGTTTCGAGACTCCTGACTGCTGGATGCGGACGAAGCCGAGGTCGACTCTGAGCCCCGGATATATGCCCGAAGAAGAAGAAAATAAATAATGATAGATAATGCTCTGATTTCCCCAATGACTTCTTCGCGATAGTCCGCATTTTTGGTAATAGAGCTCCTATAATGTGAAGTTTGGACACTGGAGGAGCTTGAGCAGGATGGAGATCTAGGGCCATCCCTAAGTAGAGGGGAGGGTGCAGAGAAATAACTTTCTGTTGATGGAGAAGGCTCGTCCCCATGTATTTCTTGATCTGGGGAGTATACTTCAGATATTGGTAGGGGGTTATAACTTGGTACCGAATCTCCGTATCCTTCATCAGCAAAGGAGGTACTACAATATCAATAAGCCTTGTAATCAAAAGATAACCTCAGTTATATTAATGCCTTTTCGATCCTGTAAGTAGATGCAATTATATCGCACTTACGCAAGTAAGATCAACTAAAAAAAGAAAGCTGGATACGAGACTACTTACGAAGCTGACCCATGTTGAGGTACTATAGAATTGGCCTTATGAGCATGATTTAAATTGATCTCGAGGTCCGCCAACACTATTCCGGCCGGGTTGGGCGTATCTACATCCCCCCGCTCTGACACTTCTCCAATGTCCGAAATGAATGCAGATTCGAATGACTGGAAGCTCTGAAAGGGTCCGCGGCTACTTTCTGCTTCCTCTTCCCACAAAGTGTAGTCTGGGGTAGGAGAAAGCGGCGGCGGCGGTGGTGGTGTAGGTGTACGAGGTACTGTTGCAACTTAACAGTTAACTACAAATCATAGAGCATAACTAGCGGATAATACACACCATATTCCGTGTCAATTACCCTAAATTCCTCCGGAACTGGTTCACATCCGGAATCGAGGTGCCTCGTCCTCGTCTAGTTTGATATAGATACGCATGATAAATAAGCAAACCAGACCATCAATACGCAAAGTAGGGAATCCAGAGCCCACGCATGAATTCAAGGACTGATTGTAAAGAAATTTATTACAGGAAAAGATTCTGCGCGTAGAAATTGGCCCGAGGTTTGTTTAGAGGACGATTTTTGCTTGTAGGAAGGCTGGCTTGACGACCGAGTCTCAGGCGCGTCGAGGCGCCATTTTATACGCCTCTGCTCATTTTGCGTCGCAGGAATCGTCACCGAATCGTCTTCCGTGTCGCGAGGAATGATCATTTCGAGTCTTTATTCCGTAGAGATATGAGGCTAGAGCCTATATATAATATCAAAAAACCACAATAGGAGTTTCACTGATGTGTTTCCCTTCTATACTTAGGGTTGGGTACCGGGCTTTTAGCAAGGAAGAATCCTACGATCGAGCGAGGCTATATGGAGTATTTATACCAGGGTCTCTCGATCGAGGTACTCGTTGATGAATAGCATTGCTATAGCTAAATAGCCCGGAAATGCATTGCTACAAGTCTCCCAGCTCCTGGAAGCGCCTCCTGTCAAACCGTGCATAGAATACCTCTGATTGGCCCAGCCCCGTCAAACACGTACATGCCTAAGCCCGGAAGATCTAGATTATTTCGCGATCCCTTCACGCCTGAAGGGCGTCGGAATTAGAATATGTTTAACCATAGTATCTATAGATATCAATGTAATAAATATGTAATAAATATGCGTATATGGACAGTGGTTTGGGGATATAGGTAAAGCGTAGGGGGTATGGCGAACTTGACCCCGGAGATTTCAAGAACGGAAAAACGTCTTCCTAAGAGGATTTGGAATCAATTGACTAAGAGTTGATGATGGTATGCTTCGATATCTGAGGTCGACGGTATAGAGGAGGCATAATGAGAACGCAGAATACATGATCACATTGACACAATGAGGTCCCTACCTACTGAGGTATACAGATAAAAGCTAATCGGGAAAAAGAGACAGATGACTTCATTTTTGTTATGTACATGCGCCCGTAAAGCCCTCAAAAAAGCGGTGGTGGGCGTGGAGAAGGTCATCGTGGTCCAAGGAGGAGGGAAAGAGAGAGAGGAGGAGGAGAGCGTGTATGTGAAAGAAGAGGAGAGAGAGAGAGAGAGAGAGAGAAGGAGGGAGAGAGGGAGGGAGAGAGAGGGAGGTGAAGAAGAAGAAGAAGAAGAGGAGGAGGAGGAGGAGGAGGAGGAGGAGGAGGAGAATGTTAGATGATGGAGGATACTTGGACCACGACAACCTTCTCGAAACAGACCTGGATCCTCCTCTTCCTCATCTCGGGCTTCCTCAACCACATGGCTTGCCCCACTAAGCCTCAACCCCCTCTGCCCTAGATATGTTACTATATATCCTCCTCTTCCTCCCCTAGCTAGTTTTCCTTTTATTCCACCTCTTCCTCATCCTTCCCGCTCCCGCACTTTCCTTTCTTCCCCCTACCCCCTAATCCTCCTCTTCCTCATACTCACCCTCATCCTCACTCTCAAAATCCCCCCGAATCACCGTCCCCTCTTCTGAATCCTCCTCACTTTGTTCCCCCTCTTCCTCCCCTTCATCGACTGTTTCCAGTCTCGTCTTCCTCATCGCAAAATGCCCCTCCTTGTTCCGAAAACTTTTCACCCTCTTTTCCCTCCTCTTCCTCTTCTCCTGCTCAGGGAACCTCGCAAGGAACCTCTGAGCCTTCTGCTGCCACAACCCCAGCTTCCCCACAAGCAGCGCCCCCCTCGGGCTCTCCTTCTTGAAGATCTCCACGAGATCCCCAAGCGTCCAGACCTTCCGAGCCCGTGGCCTGCGCTTCCGGCTCGGTGCCTTTGTCGTCGTCGTCGTCGTCGTCGTCGTCGTCGTCGTCGCTGCCGAGCTAACGACCAGCTTCCCTGAGGCTGTCTCAGGCCCCTCCGCTGGCGCCGCTGGCGCTGTCGTCTCCGCCGTCTCTGCCGTCGTGGCCGAGAAAGCAGCCAGCTTCCCAGGGACTGTCTCAGGTCCCTCCACTGGTGCCTCTGGCAAGGCTGCCGTCGTCTCCGTCGTCTCCGTCTTCGTATCCTTGACCGAAAGATCAACCAGCTTCCCAGGGACTGTCTCAGGTCCCTCCACTGGTGCCTTTGGTAAGGCTGTCGGCTTTGTCGTCATCTTCTTCGTCATCGTCGCAAGCGTTTGTCGTGGTGTCGCTGCAACACCGACCTTTGCCATCGCCTTCTTCGCTCCTTGCGGAACGACACCACCTCTAAGCTGGACAGGCAAAACGGTCCTCTGCTTAGGGGCGGCGGGTAATTTCCGGCTTTTGGACACGGTGCGCATTGACGAGGCGATCGTTGGTCGTAGGTAACCGGGAAGAGACTTTTGGGCACTGAGACCCAGGGAAACTTTAGTTGTAGCCATAGTTAATATATCAGAATGATTTTAATATCAGAATGATTATATAAACTTAGGGGTAACTGCAGTCTCGAGGAAGAGAAGAGAAAAAAAAGGGAGAGGGAAGAGGAGAGGGGTCTAGAGGGCCGGGGGGGCCTTATATACCCCTCCCTCGAATTATGGAAGAGTTTTGCTTCATTGCAGGAATATCCTGTCGATGAATGTTTCTAGAGGTATATCAAAGGTGTTTGATAGCCGGGATCAGATGTTATAGTGTCCCTGTTGGTGATATACGGGTGATATATCTTATGTCTTAGAATGGGAGACCTAGAGATCGCAAGCATGATCAGAGCATGGACGGTAAAGAGATACAGATATCCTACAACCAAAGGAATAATTCATGCATATATGCATACTGATTGGGGAAGCTGTGAGCCAAAGACGCCTGCTATACTTACACGAACGAAGGAAAAGACTATTAATACTGCCTCCCTGAGCTCCACTGGTTCGAAGCCCCATAGTTCCCTTCAATCCCACCGATTTCATTACCATTCCCAACCCCTGGATATCCTCCACCTCCAGCTGTTTCATTCCCACCTTGCCATTGTGGATTTTTCTCCACGGGTGCTGGTGCAAGAGTTGGGGGGTCTTTGGCCCGTCGACTTCCCCATTTATATGCAAGAAATAAAAGAATCAAAAGAACCGGTACTCCCACACCAACTGCGATACCAGCTATAGCACCGGTACTTAATCCTTTCTTCCCACCACCACCACCATCGCCTGAGTTTCTAGTCCCGGTTTCTTCAATAGAAGGATCATTCGATGTCGCTGAAGGATCGTTGGTACTCGTGGTAGAACTTTGCGCCGTTCTACTCGGCGCATCAAGACCCAGGGACGTTGAGCTCGATTCGGAACTACTAGTCGTCGATGTTGTTTCCTGGGGTATCGTTGATTGGCCCTCTGTAGATGTACTCGGGTCGTTCGGGGTATTTAAATCTGTAACTATGTCAGATGTTTGAGACGAAACTTCGCTAACCGCTGGGTCGGAAGGAGAGCTACCGCCAACTGAGGTCACAGTCGCCGGATCTGTCGTTATTTCACCTCCAGAATTGGCCCCTGGAGTTGCGCTCGCACATTGTAGTGAGTTACACTCAGCTTGCCCCTCGAGGTTGTTGGCGCCGTCTGTAATTGCCTATTAGTTAAAAGTGTATAAAATATATCGTGTGTACGTGGTCTAGGTATGTAATCGTGGGAAACACATTCGAATATTCGATCTCCTTTCCTTTTAGCAGGGAAAAGGAAAAGGTACTTACTAGCAATGCACCGCGATCTTACTTCCTGGCAGACGAAGTAAGGCAACGTGAGCGCATATTGAGACAAATCCGGTGTCGACCCATCGGAACAGATGCATTCATATTCCAACGTATCCCGGTCGCAAGAATTTACGCTGGTTCCTCCACCGCAGATAAGAGGACACGCTTGTAGATTACCCTGGCACCAAGTAGACCGTGTCGATGAAGGGACAGTACTTGGATCGATAGTGGTTTGCGCGGAGGCGGTGAAAAGCAGGGAAGCGAATAGCAGGATTAAAGGTACTGCCAGTTGGGACCAGCGTTGCATTTTGGAGTCCAAATGTGTTGTCGCCGTCGTCCGAACTGGTACCCAGCGAATTCAAATTCGCGGAAAGCTAAAAACCAAAAAGGATGATAGGAAGAAAAAGGGTCAAGAAGCTGGGCCATGCGACCGGCCCATGCGACAAATATAAATATTGAGACACTAGTCTGATCAAGTCTGATCCCTGCAATTCATCCCGTTTACCGTGAGGCTCATTACAATTACAATTACACCCTGTGCAGCTGTGGATCAAAGTCAACTAGCCTACCCCCGCTACTCGGATAACAAGTTTCCCGGAAACATTATCGATTATCTATTGAGCGCGCTTTTTGGCTCTCGTCTGCGAACCAATGATATCTATCTTCCTCTACAACATCGACGTTAGCAGGAGGTGATCCCGCGAAATGCGTAGCTACAACCTATATCGATCGATAGTCCGGAACAAGTGACCGTTTTTTCCCTAATCACGCCGACCCAAAGTAATGGGATTACTAACGTGCATGTGGGGTAAACTCCCACGCTCTCATGAACCTCTGGGTGGATTGTAAAAATAGCCTTTTTGCGCATGCATATCTGCATATATTACAAAAACGATTGCGAGGAGCTCTGGATTCGAGGTCTAATTGCCGGCCCTCAATACACAACGTACAACACGACGCTCGGAAACACATGTCAACGGTTCTTGTAGATTGGCGTTGATGTTTCGTCAGAGAGTATTCTTCACTACAGTAAAATTTTAAAAAAGAAGTTAAGCAAAAAAAAAAAAAAATGAGGGAAAAAAAACATACGCCAGCGTACGTACATCTAGCCCCGAGACTCGCAGGGTTACATACTATAATCAATTTGATTTTTGACAGAAAGGCCCATTCTGTTTCGATAGTACTATATAATTCTAGATCCACATGCGTATTTGTTCGAACAAAGTCTAGGAAGCTGGGGAAATGATCTACTACTCTGATAGGTTTCCGCTTCAGCCCGAAATAACTATTACGGAAGACTTACTAAGGACATGGACTCCCGGTGATTGCACTATAAGTAGGTACATCATGCATCTTCTACCTCAGTCTACTCTTTGGGCAAGAGGTTGTTTTTTTTGGTTAGTCTAGTCATACCATTGCCCGGTAATTAATATTATACTGATTATCTATCGTAGGGTTGTCCGGAACGAAATCTGTATCCGCAATCGCGGAGAGAATTTGCGTCCTAGTCGCCATTTCCATTGGTCTTGTGTCGTAAGCATACTGTATAAACCAATCCCGAACCCTTCGATGATTGTCTTTCACGAGATCCAACTCAGAGGCAGTCATGTTGTTGCTACCGTGAAATACCACAACCAAATAAGTAAGTAGTGTTTTATCTATAACTATACACAGAAATGATAAAACGCTATTATCCTCCTAAATTCTAGCAAAAATTACAAATCTATTCGCGACACAAACTTCGATTTGATAGCGACACACAGATAATTGCAATTTGCAAGGGTACATATATGGGGCTTATTAGCGACAAAGACGAAATCCCTCATCCCCCTGGCCGCCGTTTTGCTCCCAGGTTTTCTTGCCCGATATCTAAATATTATGGTTCATCAAGGGGCCCTGAAGCGGATTACAATATTAATGTGGTCTGATTTGCAACCGAAATGTGGAAAGCATGGAGAAACCTTTTGCCCAGGATAAGGTAATTGGCCGCACTTATGGGCTGAAAAACCTGAATCTCGCATCAATCAAACTGGGGCAAATAAGGGGGGGACTGTTTGACAATTTAGCGACCGTGTGCTTTTAAGCAGTGTCAGAATATTAAAAAGCCAAACAGTATCAACAGTCGTGATACTTTTTTTTTCGTGGACATAACTAATGTCGAGATCTCTCTAGAGTCCTGAGAGTGCGCATTCAAAGCGACTATTTCATGGCCATGAACCAGATATTGGGGTTGCCCAGGGACCCAGTTCAACATTTAACGTTAAGACAGAGCTGCAGAGCCCTAAGAAGTGGGTTAAGTTAAGGTTACACCGACCGAGCAATTGGTCAGGGACTTCGCGTTACACATGCCGAGACCCGGTCAGTCAGCTACCAAGACGGGGAATTGCAGAGTCTAAACTTAGCGTTAACCTTAAAAACTAAGGATAAGGACTCTTCTATTAGAATTTGAAAAAGCACTGGGCATATACCATCATGATTCAGCAAGCAAAGCATCTTCGGGCCATTTTTGGTCAACAGTTGGGCTATATATGCCTCGGCCGTGCAGACTTAAAAACCCGCATCATAAATAGTGTAATAATATCATTCAATTGCACAATTGGACCTCCTATATCATAACGGGGACTATATACACATATAAAATACACATCAAATACCAAGGCATCTAATTCTAATAATAATAACTCGAGAAAGTGAGCAATGTAACCAAAGGCGAATCCCTAGAAAAATCACAGCTGTTTCCACTCATTGCCATTCTCAATGCTTAGGGCCTGTGTTGGAAAATACCATGTATTTGGACCACAACCCCATACTACTGAACTAGGTTTATCAAGTGCGTGAACAAGATTCCCCTGGCGGCTTGGGTCCGAGCATGTATTCTGGGACGGTTTCTCGTCCTCTGTTGTATATGCAGGGCTTTCATAGGATGGGTATATACTATTTATCCTGCATGTCAGCACGGCCCTTGACATAATGGTCTACAGCTGACGCTTGGCGAGGGAATACTAACCACAACGACCAGTTCCTAAAAATTTCGTCTGTTTCGTCGACGCCACTGTCGGAAGGGGTTTGAGAATTTGCACATCTTTTGATGGTAAATTCAAGTCCCTTTTTGTTTTCATCGGGTGCACTGTGACAGCTGCTAGAAACGACTCGGCCGACTTTGAAGACTTCTGGTGTATTAGTATTTCTTCGACTCCAGATCGGAGTCCGTTTCGTATCGTAGGCCGCTTCGGTGCATTTATTGGTTCTACCATTCTTCATAGTAGCCTGAATATCATAAATTATGAAAGCATTAGATTCAAGTTACAATAATTGTTAAAAGAGATATATAAAACAATAACAAAAGTATGACTTACAACCCATCGAGGAGACCTATCTGAAGACTTATTGTCATCCCCAAGATACTTATATCGGATATGCCACCTCTGAGACGGTTTTGGATCATGAACTTCTTCCCATGTGCATCCAGACGTCTCGATCGTTTGACCCTCGCTATCTGACGCTGAAGAATCCACCAAGCATAGGACTTTCGGCATATTTTCCGAGTTCGGTCCATGTACACCATATCTATTGATCATCTCCTGATCATTTTTCAAAGACTCCCAGTGGTTCAGTGCGTAGTTGAACCTGCTAGCATCAACGTATGACTTCCAATCGACGATAGCAACGCCTTCGCTGGAAGTTTCCGAAGATGGGTTGAGAGTATTTTGAATCCATTTGCCAATGGGTTCCTGAACGGATGCGACAAGCGAAGTTCGCCTTTCTGCATGTTCGCCCTCATAGTCCGCTCGCTGTTGTGGATCTTGAGAAGAGGGAAGGAGAACTAGGCCCGAGACTAGGGCGAAGAGGGTAGTGGCCGACAAGACGAACACAAGTAATAAGCGTAGCTGTTTAACTGGAGCCATTGCTGGTAGTTTAGCGTTCGTCTTTTTGGTCAAGTACAAAAACTACAACTTGAAAGTTTTTGAATCGTGACTGTCCGTGGGTGCAATTATAACGGCTGTCTGGGCGCAGAAAACCTATTAAATTAAGGACAATTTTCGCTGTCAGCGCGAACGAATGCCTACCGCAGAAGTCGATTGAATTGAAGTGCACTTCTGGACATCCCATGCAGGAACAATATGTCGGTTATATAATATCTAAAACGCTCCCTTCAGCCCCACGGCTTTGAGCCCAAGTGTTTAAATTACTGATATCTCCCCATAGAGAAAATCTTGGATCATAAAGAATTCCATTCAAAAGCCTCACGGATCTCACTCAGCACTGCCGTCCCAGCCTGTTTGAAGGGACCCAAAACCCAAAACTGCTATAAATGTACTGCAGTCGACAGTCAAGTGTGACTTCTTGGGGAAGCTAGTGCAGCACATCGGCGGCAAAGTGCGCCAAGACTTTTCGCAGGCGAGAATATTCACACGGCAAGCTCGTCCTAGCGAGGAACCCTCACGCAACCGCCCATTGTCCACCCCGGTTCACTACAAGATGCAGAATTCGCATTTGAGTTTCAGCAGTAAGCCTAGCATAAATACAATGGAGCCATGGACCGTTCTCGCAGTGCTGTGTATGGGCCGTATTCGTCTATTCTTGTACCCGCTGTGGGTCAGCGCTGCAGAACCCGTCTTGGCTCCAGACCGGGTCACGAGCTAGTTTTTCAACATCATGGCAGAAAATTGGCACTAAAATCGTGGCGCAAGATGCGGGTTAATAGGGGCTTTGGTAACAGCGCCCATTGCGGGGACAGAATAAAGCTTCAATTGATCTGAACAAAACAAGACAAGATAAGATAAGATAAAAGTAGCTCAAATAATGGAAACTTGAAAAAAAAAAAAAAAAAAAAAGAAGATTCACGAAAAAAGAAAGAGAGGAGGAGAGACCAAGCAGAGACAAAACGGAGACAAAAGAAAGGAACGTAGGCACGGACCGAATTTACAGCAATATCAAATGGCGATTGTCTCGAAACCATGCAAAAGAAAGGACAGGGGCGGGTGAGAATATCCACCCTTGCGGTTCGACGGTAGCACAAAAAAAGGAAAGGCCTTCAAAGCCCTAGCCCGCCAACCCCAATTGTGAGTGACAGCGCCTTTGCCTTCTTTGGATCTCGTTCCGACCACCTCAAAGACCATATTTGATTCGTGCATCCCCATGCTATAGTCGTGTTGATATTATTAAAGTTCAAGCCCAAGGTGCTCGATCCCCTCTCCATCGTATCAAAAATACCGAGCCTGCCTTCACAAAGGCCTTTGGGTATATATGTACTGGGTAATATTCTAGGGAGCAGCAGCAGGTCAGATCAGCAAAGCTCGCTTTCACGATCACACATGATAAGATAAACGAGGGTATGTCCAAATTAAGAGTGACTGGTATGCGCGGGTTTGTCTTCCGTACCTCCTTTTCCTAGGAATTAAATCATCATCTGGTTCTTGATCTCGCTCTGTTCCTTCTGCTATCACCCGGAATTTCTGATTGTCGGCGAAATTAAAAAAGTTGAAAGGGAAGGCGCGTCGAGAGAATATATCGATACCGCCAAATCCGCATTCCTCGAAGTACACTTCACCTAAAGCAATTGAAGTTGAGTTCTCATTGAAGCCTCTTCCAATACTCTCTGTCGTATTTACAAGCGCAGTAAGGTTATGAGGAGATTCTTGGAAAGTGAGGCATCTTTCAGGCGAATTGAAGATCATAAACTGATGGAAGAGATAATTAATTTAGCACGTGTAACCAACAGCAGCCTCTGTTCTACGATAAACCGAGCAGAGAATTTTTGGAAGATATTTTAATATAAAGAGATCGATAAAACACAATAGCGAGGTAATGATAACTTACTTGATATTTCCTCGAAGCATCGGGTGAGAAGTCTTTCCAAAAGGGCCGCCATCCGATATTCAAAAGAGCGCTCCACCTTCCTTCATATGGTGTTTCCGTATAGTTCACAGTATTAGCGCTAGACCGACCAAAATACAAGTCTGGATCCACCCCCAAGCGACCATCTTCGCCACCCACGCTACTGCTCAAACATGCATCTTGGTGGTACTTTGGATTGTGCTGCTTTTCTAAGCCTATATAATATTTATGTATTTCGTTAGTTCGAAATTCTCGCAGAGCACTGATGCCGCTGAACATTCCGCTTTCTATTCTAGCAAGCTAGAAGACCACTAGATAGGGAACTTTTTTTTCTTGGCTCTTGGGGGAAATAATAGTCTCGAAACCAAATATATACTTACAGACACGGGTCCGCTGCCATTTTGTCCATTCAGGATATCGCTGCACCAACTCCTCGCTAAATACGGCCGATGTACCACCTACGATCGCGGTGCCTATGACCAATACTTGCAAACGCATATTCTCTTGTCAATAAGCTCGAGGTCTAGATTCTTGAGGCACAGGAATATCTGAGTCGATTCTGTTTCCGAGAAATTGACCTGATCAATTTCAACAGACGGTCACTGCCTGTTGTCGATTTTTTCTGTCGATTTTATTACCTTTAGCTCAAACGTCGACTGACAGTCGCTAACCGCAGAGAATGTTAAGCTCAAGAATAAATCATGGATCTATAGAAGCGCAGGGTCAACTAATTAAACTTAGAGCGTCAGCGCCAGCTATCCTTAAAGCCTTTTTGAACTCGATGTTTCAAGCTGCCACGTATTAATATATTTTGCTATAGCTAATTCTTGAAAATTGATGTCATTTCACGCATATGGCTTGTTAGAACCAACAACCCTTCAATAATTCAGCTCTGTAGCTAGACGTACAAACGTTCGAATAGTGTATTGGTTGGCTGGAATAGAGGCGAAGCTAAAAGAACGGCTAAATTAATTGTAGCGTTCGTTATAACAGACACGTTTCAGATCGTTGTTACGAGAACGAGCTATTTTCTACACTTCGTTTATGGTCCCTAACACATAGGATCAACCTTGACTAATTGACGAAGAATCTTGATGAGCAAGGCATTGAATTACAGTTATGTAAATCTATGCATACGTGATTTAGTGGTCCATTGTATTCGTATATACTTGGCCCGGTGTATACATGCAACTAGGGTATGCGGCCCTGCCATTCGTTTGAGGGATGAAGAACTCAAATTTAAGGCTACTATGTAGCGTTTTAAGTCTGAGATAATATTATAATGTTTTACGATTAGGTGTCATATAGCTGCTATACGGATACCCACACGTGCCCTTTGTAATTTGGCGGGCGGTGACCGGGAGAGAAATGGTGTAATTACGTTGAAGAGCTTTGTCACATAAAACCAAACTGAATTTTCAAATTAGATTGAGATATATCTATATTGTAACTCTGTTGGGCCCCTACGAACAACCCCAACTATTCTGCTTAGTTGGATTACCCCTTAAATATGTATTTCGCAACGGCCACTTGCAATGGTTTTTCGTCGAAGCCAACTTGCCGTCCGCAGTGAATCCCCTGCCAATTATCCTCTCAGGTGGGATGCCTTGCTCAACCCATTTAACCATACTCATAAGCACCCCACCTTCAGGATCGATAGTCGCCGCAGGAGCATCCGTGTATTGATTTGCGGCACCGATATACCAAGCACCATTTCCTGTCGCGCAATGGCCTAACCCTGGAATCGGGAAGTATCTGTAAAAACTGTCCAATTTGGCAGAAGGGAGACCCATCCTTCGGACTATAGATTCGTAATATCTGTCCGAGCCCTCGTGGCTCAGGAGGCCGTCTGCCAGTCCGTGGTAAGTTAAGAGCTTGTGACCGGAGGCTTTGAGTTTTGATAGGTCTTTGTATGTTGAAATGTTGTAGGGGTCTATTCTATTGGCATTGTCGACCGCGTCGAGGTCGAAGTTGGCTTCCACCGTCCAGTTTTCGTCGTTCAAGAGTGCATATCTGTACCAGTCCACAGTATACTGCGGTGGAGTAGTTGCGAACCAAACTGAAGTGATAGTTTCGTCGCCCGGTCCGAATCCAGGGAAGAGAAATGTGCCGTTATTTCCATAGAAAGGCTCATATAACTTCCTTAAGAAGGTGACTTGAGCACTTGTAAAACACTTATTAGAACTCCAAGTTTTCCCGGGAACACAAAGTCTCGCTTCCGGTCGCAATCTACATTTCCTAGGATCTTCGATAACTAAATCTTGAACCCCGTCGATTTTGTCGCACTGCCTTATAGCTTCATCCCGCCATTCAACCCACTGCTCTGGCGTCAGGATTGCTGGGTTGTTGCCATTTGCAACAAACTTCCAGTAGTAGCTGAAAGAGGACATGAGGTTATTCCAATTATTCCCAGCGGCACCCGCTATTATACCATCATATTCTTCAGGAAAGTCTTGAGCAGCTTTGAGGCCTTGGCGACCACCGGATGAGCATCCTAGGAAGTATGACTTTCTGAGGTTCTGAGAATAGAGGTGTTTCACGGCTTTCTTGCCGACTTTTGTTGCGGTAAGAAGACTATAAAGTGACATAAGTGTTAACTACGTGTGCTTTGAACGCAGCCAGCCGGCTGCAATTGACACCAACCTACAACTAATGGGGGTATACGAGAACCGAATACAATTACCAGTGAAGGGAAATACATACGCTCGATACGCAAAGTCCTTGACAACCTCAGGGCGGTTAAAAAATGGAACACCAGTATCGCCGTCATGACCATTGTTATGTCCAACAGTTGCAAAACCAAGAGAGCTGATGTAGTTCAAATCATCAAATGCAATACCTATATAACAACAACCGAATAAGTGCGCGCCAATGCCAGGAGATATATATAGCAACTCACATCCAGCCAAACCTCCATTCCCCGTCATGGCGAATCTCTTCCCCTTCTGATTCCAATTTGCAGGCATCCATGCTTCGATAATGACGCTAGAGGTGCTACTTGTAGAAACATTGAGCCTTAACCGACAAATGTCCGTCAAAATGGATTTACTCAGCCAACCACCGGCACATGTTGGGTGGGCAATTGGATTCGTAAAGTTAGAACCCTTAGGTAGGTATTCAGCGACGAGAACTGTTGTTTGTTGATCTGGGTGGAAGCTTTGCAAGAGGCCCGAACAACGACTTTGAAAGTTGTTTGAAACGGTGGTAGCGGAAGTATATGGCAAGGAAGAGGCAGCAACTGCTATAAACGCAGCGTAAGTTAAGGACTTCATAACTTCGGCGAAGTACAATTAAGTCTTATGACCAAGGATAATCTGGCTCCGGAATGGAAGCTGGTATTTTCTCCATTCTTTCATTTTGCCAATCGAGGAGATCTTAAAGTATTTAACTTCGACAATTTCTAGCCCCCAAATTTGAAGACGTGAAGTGATCATATGAAAGATACGTCACGCCGATATTAGTTTCTTGACAGAATCATGAATAGCCTAATTCTGAAACTGCCGAGCCAGGCACGTTTCTCCACAAAATTGGCTCATCCGATAACTACCGTACATAATTTTACTGATTTTAATATTTTCGGTTACAGGAATATCCTGGTAATCGAGTCAGTATCGCAAACACAATATATGTAATATCGGACCCACAACCTGTCTAAAAAGTAATATTCTTTGTGGGAAAGTCTAATACAGAGCCCCATTCTCGACGGGCTGATCTAATCCCCGAGGAACGGGTTTCGGGTGTTAGGTTAGCGATCGTTCAGCCAATTATTTGTGCGAATTGGCCCATGGGTGGGTTCGCGATACCAGGAACGCACCCGTGTCTTCTGACCTGTGTTGAAATTGTTGCAGATTACGGCGGTCATAAATGCGCTCAAATGAACGCAATCATGCACCATGCAGGCCTGATGTGCTTAGCTTACCCAGGATGTGGAGATGCTTGGTACGTCAGAGTCATTACGTACAGGGCATTTTTGAGTAGCTTGAACTTTTTTTTCTCCAGGTATAAACTACTTCGATTGTTTGTAAAATAAGAGTGTTCATACATACAAGAAATGCCAAATACAAGAATCAATGGAAAGATAGTTAGAAAGTAAGTAGCAGTCGCACCTCGAGCATAAAAATGGACCGGCTGGAATATAAATATAAATATGTGACAAAAGAATTTCAATAGAAGGTAGTAGGTAATAACTCCCGTAATTTCTCTGCACCACTCGACCAGCGAGGCTAAAGGCCCTAACTAGCAACCAACGACCACTTTTGTGGAGTGCAACCCCACCCGATGCTGGTCTTCCCAGTAACAGCTGTCGTAATAGACTTGAGATAGTCTGGCTCTTTGCCGGTTTCCAGGCTATCAAAGATACCAAGAGACCCATTGCAAATATCGCCTGGCCACGAACCTCCTGCAAAAACTCGCGGAATGATTCTACGCGGATGCTTAGTTAGCCTTCTACCAAAGATTTGTGCACCCATGATAAGGAATTAAAACGCTCTGAACTTACCTTCGCCTTTCACTTTTCCCAGTTCCTTCGACTTTTGACCAGAATAGTTGGCGGAAGGCAGTGTCCGTAAGCTGAATGGTGGTGCTCGAACTTTTCCAACTAGATGGAAAGGCACAGTCTTGGACTGTAACACCACCAAGCCAGTAGGACTTCGTTGGCAGAGCTTTGCCCAATACTTTCTCTACAGCTTCAAGTTTTTCGTAGGGTGGAACCTTCTCCCAGGTGAGGCATTGAGGCTTGCTGTTACGACTGATGCCTTCATTTACGATCATGAACTATCAATGAGATCGGGATGAAGTTAGCGATGTCCGATCATATGTATTAAGTGTCTTTCAAGTCTTCTGTACTTGTATACTTACGGAGTATTCCTTTGAGCCAGGACGCTCATAATCTCCTAAGGGATTCGCCGTAACCTTGAAGGCACTCCACACAGCTTTAGAAGATGGAGCCACTTTCCCCGCAGCGAGGCCCGCCTGCATGTCGAGGCGATTCAATCCATTAGACAGCTTGCTAGTCAAGCAAGTGTCGGCGAAATACTTAGAATTGTTCTTTTTCTCCAAACCTACACCCAGAAACCGCGATTAGTCTAAGCGTTAGACAAAAACAACCCTAGCCGCAATTCTACACACTAGCTAGGGATATAATACTCTAGACTACTGCTGGGGGCTCGATAGGGTTAGACTTACACATGCGCATGTTTCCCCATTTCCTAGCTTCCACGTTTTCGCGTGTGACGGTTGCAGGGACAGAATTCACTACTTGACCCTGTGGCCTGGCACAGACGAACCCGACAGCCAACAAAGATGAAACGAGGGCCGATGAGAAATGCATTGAAAATAGTCAAGATAAGAAAAGATCTTTCTTAATATAATGAGAGACAGAATTGAATAAATTTGGAAACGAAGAAGAGAATATCTTAAAGATAGACAGGGCTAACTACTTTGTTATGGTGTTCTGGGTATTAGAAATAAGTAAGTGGGTGTGGAGGAAAAGGATCGTTTAAATAAACGTCTGCCTGCCTGCCTATAATCCGAATTCTCTTCGCAAAGCGTAATAAGCAGAATTAAAATCAAGATCTTGAGGCCACCAAGCCAACCTGCAGTCTGTAAACATACATGCATTCACCAACTTCCATCGCTAGTTATAAGTTTAGCAAGATATTACCATACCCGCACGAATACCACCTCCAATCGCAATTGATAACCCGATAATAATCTTAATCGATATATCTCCTTGATACTGCATCGATAACAACTTATCACTAACAACATGATATAAATACACTTAGATTACTTCAACTGATAAACTACCTGCAGTTTGAACTCTCGGACTACTTCTCTAGTGCAGTAAGTTTCAATTGATCAGTTTGGTAGCTACTATACTCTCTTGTAATGTTAACAAAGCCGAACCAGCTATAAGAAACCATATTTCTGTACTGCGTATGTAAATATGTTGGTTTCTCCAGACTAGTAAGAGGCTAGCCACCAGTCAACTCTTTCCAACTATGGCTGTTGCAATGTTGGTTGGTTGCACTACCAACTCGACAGCCTGTCCTTACGAATGCAAGGCATTGCTATTTAAATACAACCTAAGAAGCTTGGTGTTTATAGCCTGGTATGTCTATGTACCCTCCTTACTTTTAAAAGAAGTCTTGAGGAGTGGGTTTGGCTATAGTTATTTGAAAGTACTCAGGACGGCATAAAGTTTAATGCAGTATCTCAAGAATTACAACGTCTTACATTGGCGCCCTTAGGACCCCCATACAGCCAGTCTGAAACGCGGCATGTCTAGATTTTCCGATACCCATAACTCTAGAACCTCTGTTACAATTCTGATACTTACTTTTACCCCTCCTGCAGGTTTTAATATTTCGGCAACTGAGTTGGCTATTCTATGCGCCTACATATGTAAGGTGAGATTAAAACAAAAACGGAAGATTACCTTTCCCCAAAACCTATGAACTGGGTGCGCGGGGAATCCTAAGCGGAAAATATATGAAGTCTATACTTTGAACCTGTACGATATTCGACATTAAGCAAGTTTGGGTTCAGAAGCATAAAATATTCATTTTGTATGCGCAAAATTAAATACTTGTCTCGTACGAGGCAAATCCAATACATATAACAATGTAATGATGGTATCGAGGCTAACATAGAATTGGGATGTTAAATATATCTAAAAGGCTCCCAGATGGAACAACTGCCGGTTTAAAGCCAAAATTAAAAAAGTGTACATGCACGAGTACGTAAATGGTTTGAATGTTGATGCATAGTCTAATAAATGATATCTAAACTATCTAACCCTGCAGAGAATAAGAGTACTTCCTCGCCTCAGGCGCATTTACCGATGTCCCGACAAGTGTCCACCTCTGCGGAGAGCAGCCCCAACCAATCGATGTTCTCTCAGGTGAACTTTTCGGGAGATCCTTGTAGTACTCAGGCTGGCCCCCAAGTTCCCATGAATCAAATATTCCAAAGTGATTCATACACATCGTCCACGGACCTGGGATATCAGGAAGTCTCGGCATGATTCTAGATAGTAGTGTATCAGCATCAATACTGCTACCATCGTGATCTTATGCGATCGATAAGGATATCAAATGTTATCAGTGAGCCATACCTTCGTCTTACAGACGCAACTCCAACCTCTGAGGAATTATCTATACGTTCCTTTACGACCCAAAATTTCTGATTATCGCTGATTTTGCTGAAGTCGAGAGGGAAAGTGGTATTATTGATATAATTACATTCCGATAAGACTACCCTACCAGTCCAGAATGATAAGGATTTACTGTTAAACGTCTCGCCGAATCCAATATTATGTCTGTCAAGTAATTCCATATCTGGTCGACCCCCGCCATCCCTGTTCTGCCACGTGAGGCATCGCGGCCTGTCTGGAAATCCTACTTGTGCATTGGCAATCACAAACTTTTGATTCCATTAGTATGGCCATCTTTTGTATGTAATATATATCGTTGGTAGCAAGATTGTTGTAAATAAGGACTAATACCTACTGTATTTCTTTCCGGGCCTGGGGGATTGGTGTTGCCTCCTTTTTGAACTTCATTGACATCCATAAATCCGAGCCATAGCCCACTACGTGGGACAGTTTGGGCGTTTGGTGGTAGTAAGGCTAATTCCGGCGACGCCCCCAGATGACCCCAAAGCCGCCCATTTGAATTGCCAGTTAAGCAAGTGTCATTGTAATATATATAAGGATCAATATCCGCGGCGCGGTTATCTTTTTTAATACCTTTAGATATTGTAGTGATTAATTTTGAGTTATCAGTCTCGCGATGTTTTGTTGAATTCATGAAGTGGGGAAGCTTTAAGTATGAACGGCAGCGCCGTAGTAGACTAGCTACTGTATTCAACTTGAGCGGTATTGTTCGACTTACATATCATCGGCAAGACCATTTTTAACCAGTTAGGATCTGTGATTGTGTAATTTCCCGAATTTATATCTACCCTATCTGGAAATCCGTTTAAAGCATGCGGGTATTCTCGGCGGGCCAGCTGTGCGATCAAAGCCCCCGATCTTAGGGCAAGACGCCACCATGACTTCATTTATCAATGCAAAGGATACTTTTCGTTGGCCTGCGAGTCCGATATGTATCCCTACGGAAATTTTTCAAAAGTGGTGATTATAGGAGGGGCTGTAAATCTGAATGAGCAAAAGAGCATTCCGTTTGTAACACGGAAAGGGGCCACGGGCATTTTTACCCTTTTATGAGATCACGGCCAACTGCTCATGGTCAATATATATTCTAAAACATATGGAATTTGAATCATGTTGTTTCTTGATAGCATATTGTCTCGTACCCAGACCTGAAAGGATAGTATAATGTTTATAGTTGCCCGGATCCTGCCAGCAGTCGCATAACAATTTAATAGTTAGTGCATTACCCACCCGTACGCATTGCCCGTGAAGTCGATGGCCGACTGGCAGGCTGAAACTTGCATAATATAACGGAGTTTATAACAATATTGTATATAGTACTAAACAATTGGAATAGTTTCACAAGCTGAAGGCCGCAGGAATTCGGTTTAGAATATGTCAAGATATAGCGGCACAGCCGATCGAATATTATAAGGTAAGGTTGTTGCGGTTCAGATCGAATGGCTAAGATTATATTATCGAAACATGTTCACCACTCGGGAGCTTGGTAGGCGTTACATTAAGCATTGGAAACTTCGAAAGGAAAGAAGAAAGGAAAGAAGTTATTTAGAACTGGTGACCCAATTGCAACTTCAGATTGAAACATACGACATCAAACCGCGCCACGGCCACATAATGCTCCAACCCGAGCTCTGTCCCAACATGTTGTATTTTTCGTGTTGGGTAGCTCCCTCGCCACTTGAATTCGTCTTCTGTCCTCGAGACCAATTCGCAGTTACATTCCTGAGCCAAGCCGAACTAACTGTCGCCGACAGTCTCTCACGGAAATGGCGTGTTTTTGAAAATCTAATCCTCCGAACATCCTTCACCTCCCTCTTTGCCGCCGACAGACATGTCTACTGATTCTAATCAGTCAATCTGCTTCTCCTATCGATGAATACGACTTCGAATATTAGGTAATTAGGATCAAAGCTAGCTCAACACCACGTCCGTGGGTTTCTTGGCGTTTAGCTTCGGCATATGACGGCAACAGATGAGTCCCGAATCCAGGCGCCCAAGGCATGCCGTACATCGGCAAAAGCTTTGCTCACGGCATCAAAGCACACCGCACGGAGCTTTTCTCTTCACAAGCTTATCAATCTCCCAAGGTTCATTCCAGCAAATTAAACAGCCTCGGGCGGAGCTGAACGAGACAGAGAGGAAAGATGTGAACCAAAGACAATTGTGTGATAGTGCCGAGCAGTGACCGCTCTTCGGACCTTATGACCCTTCCTCCCCCAATAAAATCAGGTGGCGAACACCACGTCCTAAATCCGGTCGCGAGCTTACGTATCCCAGATCACTAGGCAATGCTTGGACATTCGACTTTCCAGGGTCCAAGATGCCAGAAAGATGCCAATAGCGCCTTGGGTCATGTCAAGCCACTGACGAAGCCGCATTTTGCTTGATCTCCTCGGAGTGGCTTTCTTCCGTACATGGCCTGGGAGAACAAATGGGTTACTCGAAAAAGCTTGAACGGGGATCTTTTCTCCCAACGAGGCGTATTCCGGAGCTCGTACGTCGAGGGTATTTGCCTTAGGGCTGCATAGCGTCTTCTGCCGGCTTGCTTTATGACGAATCAGCTTTGCTGTTCGGGTCTCACGGCAAGTTGAATGACTTCTTGGCACGAGATCTTGGCCTACGCTATCCTCCTGCTATTCATAGTCACAGGTCATCGCTTCCTAATAAATGTTAGCCCCGGTTGCAGCATTGTTCAGGGGTTGATGTACCTATGACTGGCTAAGGAAACTTGGAGAACTAGCTGGACCTCTGCACCACACAGCAGACCGACGTCTGCGGACGGGGGAAAATGAGGGTGGTTCATTGCCCTTTTGGCTTGCGTTATCCTTGTGTGTAAATCCCGCATAGCCAAGCTCAGCCTCAGGTAGAAGAAGTTGATTCCGTCGGGCACCCCGGCTATTGTCCGTTTTGTACCATGCTGACATTCCAGAATGTCCATGTCTTAGGATTGCATATGGAAACCTTATGATTGCGAATCCGAAGAAGAGGGGTACAAATAGGACTCGGAACCCCGCTTTTTGAGCTGGTTTTTATTTCAATATCATCATCTTCTTTGATCAAACACTTCCATTACCCCCCAAATAGAGTACACAACAAAGTTTACCTACAATTTTCCTACATATATATACACATCTTATATAGCTATGTCCAACCAAGATTTCTACGGAGGTCAGCAGCAGGGCGGCTACGGTGGTTATCCACAACAGCAAGGTTACGGCGCTCCTCCACCACAAGGACAATACGGCTACGACCAGCAGCAACAAGGCTACGGTGGTTCCCCATATCCTCAGCAGCAAGGTTATCCTCCACCACAAGGACAACACGGTCAATATCCTCAGCAAGGAGGTTATGATCAACAACAATACCAGCAGCAAGGCGGATATCAATCTCCACCGCCGCAAGGTTATGATCAAACCCGCGGAGACGGTCAATATCAATACCAACAACAATTCGGTGGTGACCCAAATGCTCCATATGACCCAAATGCCCCACCCGGACAGCCCGGTGAGCGTGGTCTCGGTTCCGCACTCCTAGGAGGAGCAGCTGGTGGTTTCGCCGGCCACAAATTGGGCGGCGGTACCCTCGGAACACTCGCTGGAGTTATCGGCGGTGGTTTCCTAGCAAACGCTGCTAGCGACCACCACAAGAAGAAGAAGAAGGACAAGAAGAACAAGAAGCACAAGGACCCCTTCGCCCCAAAGAAGAAGGGTGGTTCCAGCTCTTCCAGCTCTGATTCGGACTAAAGCGCTTTATATGTCCTTTGATTTTCCTTAGACATTTTGTTTTCGTTTTTTTATATTTGTTTTCTGGACGGGTTTGGCTTTTGAATCTTGTTTGCTTGAGGGATTTTGTTCTTTTCAATTTTATATGGAGGGTTCTCAAATTTATATGAGTTGGCAAATGATGGAGCATACAGCTGTCTGATATTTTTTTATTACCTATTTTTTTTTCTTAGTTCGTTCGGTTCTTAACGAAGTTATGCTATAACGTCTATACAAAATTATATCACGGGACGGCTCGTTGATGTTACCTTTCTCCATCAATACCTTTACACTTTTTTACATTAGATTGAAATCTTGTGACTACATAACTACATCAAAAATAGTGACCTAGGTTCTGAATAAAAATAAAAGAAGTCAATTCGTTCTCTCCACCCCTTTGCCTCCATATCTTAAGGTTAAATAACCGGCTAACCTGGCGCAAAAAGGACAGGAGAAAAAAGTGAAAGGGCATACGGGATTGATATAAACAAATGAAGAACACCAACCGACCGCCTCCGATCATAAAAATACAACAGCTTTGTGTTGGCGAATTCAATGCTTCTTAAGGAAACCAAGAATACCACCTTTCTTCTCTTTTACGGATCCATCATCAATCTCTATCGAAGCAGGCTTCTTCTTAACCAACTTACCTTTCGACTTAGCACTTCCAGCACCCGACTGTGGTTGACTTTTAGGCGTCTCGAATGGGTCCTTAGGAACCTTGTTCATGGGACCGGCAGAGAATGCGGCGTCGTCGTCACGGGTCCAGGAGTCCGGTGAGCCGGGGCGGTTGTCAGTATCAGGTTCGGCTTGGTGTTGGGGCGCAACGATAGAAGGCGGGTACAGGATGTCGATGGTATTTTGAACAGATAGTCTGTGCGCACGGTAGTGTGGAGGCGTATTGTCCGAAATTGCATGCGGTAAGGTATTATCGAATTGAGCCTCATGGATTTGAGCGAATGACATGGCTCCGAGGTCGCCAGTATGGTTTGGGACTTGGAATGTTGGAATTTGTCGGGGGGGCATTTGCTGGGTTGTCGCACCAGGCTTCAAAGCATTGAATGGGACTGGGATACTGATACGGTAATCATCCAATGGTGCTGGGGTTGTATATCGAGATTCAAGATCCGGAAGGCTGTCGCCATTGGTATGGAGGAAAGTTTGCGCTGGGGCATACAATCTTCCGACTTCAGAGTCATACGAAAAGGTGGAAAACACGCTATTTCGGTTGGGCATCGGTGGTGCTAACTGGTCAGTCAAGTAGGCCTCACTATTCCTGGTCAACGTACTCGCAGCATCACTATTTAGGAGTTGTGGCAGGATAACGCTAGAGCGGCCGGACAGTGGTAGTTGTAAATCAGAACGATGATATAAGCCATCTCCACCGACACGGGCTGGAACAAAACGGCCGGACAAGGTTCGCCAGGGAAGGGCAGCTTCTCGTATAGCGTCCCGTTCGCGGTCTGAAAGCTCCGGTAGGCCATCCGATTCATCTTCTTCCGACGTATCTGGGATTTGTCCGACCTTTCTTTGAACTCGAGGTCCACCCCAACTCCGACGCTTGTAACTATAGACAGAGGCGATGAGATACCACCAGTTGAGTACCGGATTTGCCATAAACAGAACCGGATATAGAAATGCCTTTTTCCGTTTGAGTTGGAATCCATAGTAGGTCATAAACACCCAATTAAGTCCGAGGGAGAGGGCAATCAGGGGCAGAGGAAGGCCGGGGACGGTTTGAACTCTAGTCATCAGCGAGAGAACCACTATACACCTCTTATTAGCATCGAGGCCGTAGTAGCTAGCTAGCACCTCAAAGCTTCAAAAAAAAACTTACGGAGAACGAGGAGCAAGGCAGTAGTACGAATTGTATCCTGCATCATACGGAAAACGCAGAGGAAGGGATATCGTTGCCACAATTGCCAATCAGTCAACATAGCGGCCTCATTGGTGATAAAACCTTTGAACCATCTAGTTCTCTGATTAACCAGAGAATTCCAAGTAGAGCAAGCCTCGGTCTTGCAAAAAGCACTTGTGCTGAACCCGATCTGATAAGAGTGCTTAGCACCAATCATAAAGAGATGGGTGAGCCAACGGTCTTCTCCCAAGTGGTATTGTCCATAGTCGAAAGGGTTGTCGTGCTTATCGGCCATATCTGCAAAATAGAAGACAGACATATTTCTGAAGGCAGAGAATTTTAGGCAAGTCAATGCGCCTGGTAGACAAGTAACCGCTCCGCAGCTAGATTCGACAGCCCTTTCGAAGAGTTGACCATGCATGTATTCCATATCCTGGAGAAGAGTGATAAAGTTGCCTTGACCTTTCTCAACCCGGGAAGTAATGACGCCTGTCATAGCCATAACCTGACGACCTTTTTTCCTCTTGGGCAAGAAGTCCTGTATTTTAGATGAAAATTAATCAAAAGGGTACTTATCCATCCACGGGCATTGTTTGGAGGTACTAACCATTTCATACATGAAGTTTTGGACGCAGTACTTGTCCAAAATACAATCAGAGTCGATGAAAAGAAGGTATACATCATCTTGAAGTTCTAGATACTTCTCATAAAGACGATCAATCATCTGAAACGTCTTCTTCTGAGTGTGTCGTTTCCCTCCATGTTTGTATCTGCTGACGGTAACGCGGGTACCCTGATAACGAACGTCGATAGCGACCGGGAATTTGTTCTTACGGATCATAGGAACACCGAGTTTAGTAAGAACCTCGAGATAGTCCGGGGTGATTTCATCGGAGTCGAAAGAAAGACAGATGTGAAGACATGTCATCGGGTAATCTTGCTCAACGATTGAGTTGATACATTTCATGACATTTTCTGCCGATTCGTTGTAGCATGGCATAATAATAATCACTTTAGGGGAATCATCATTGAGAAGACTGGCATATCGTGCTTTCCTGCCTACGCGTTTGTTGAAGATGTTGTAAATGATGAAGCCGGTAGGCAAGAGCAGTAGGACCACGAAAGCGTAAAATGCGACAAGTTCCAACAACGAAGCCCAGTAGCCTGGAAGTCGAGCCCTGAGTGAGGCAGGAAGAGGGATGCTGATTATCAGAACCGGAATGAAACATAGACTTTGTAACAATTAGTGATTGTATAATCAATTGTGTAACAGAGGCCTTCGTTGAGCCACATTTCGATCCCGGGTCCAAGGATCATTTTAAATTCATGTCACCCAAATGGAACCAGGGATCTTAACTGGTACTTACCGAAGTATAACAAACAAAGTGATCATGAAAATCGTCAAGATAGCCTTTTTGTAGTCCTTGCTTCGGACAGCCTTGACTAAACAATGGTAAAAGCAATACAAGAATGCTCCCTAGAAAACGTCAATATATCCTCACAAATCCTATATTGTCGAACCGTTAACCTCGGAATGCGAACTTACTAGCCAAGCTAGCCATTCAAGTAATATAGCAAGGTAGACCGGACTGCCTACGGCTAGGAAAGCAATCTGTACGACCACGAATGTTAGGGAGACAGGTAACCGAGATCATGATTAATTTAACGGGAAGAATAACTTACGTCGCCAGCGGTGAAGTGGATAGTAGGATTAGTAGGCGTATCTGGAATGAGAAAGTCTGGAGGGAAACCCTCATCGCCTTGGGTAGCCATCACTCAAAATGCGGCCCGACTTCGCACGCTCGAGGTTCCTTACAAGTTAGTATCCTGGTATTAAAATATCTCGAACCTCGTATGAAGCCTATGAGCTACCGCAAAGTTCTATAGTTAAAATATGTGCACTGACCTTAGAAATGATGAAATGGTGAGGTACTTGATGGGATGAAAGCTTGGAAGGTGGAAGATTCGAAGATGCTTAGGTGCACGAGGACAAACGGCCAGGCCCTAGATTTTTCCTGCAATCGTTCTCTCCTGGGCTCATCTCTCCCTAGGGATTTTTTTGGCTCGTAAGCTCCTCGACAACGGTAGTAGCGAAGGTAAGGTATATAGTGGCGGTGGTTTCCTGCCGCCAATGGTAGGGCCTTGAGGTTCTAGTAAATCTCGTGATATAATACCTTTTAAGCGATCTAGTTATTGGGGGTTCTCGGCATACTTCATAATACTATCGCATAATTCATAGCTATGAAGACTCAACTTGAAAAGTATTAAGCTTAAACTAACTATATAGTCTTAGTACCAAGTTTCAAGAATCTACATTGTTTTTAATTTTACCGTTGGCTTTAATTATAGTTTACCCGAAATCAAGAATTCTTTAGTCAATGTGCATATGGTATAGTTGGCCAGGGGTTGTATCATAACTCTCATTTTACATTGGCTCTCAAGTAATGGCTCTTGGTTGACTTCAAAACGATACAAATTGCATATATTGACGAAATTGACAAGTATTCTTTCAAGTTTCTGCTCCGAGGTTAATACCATTTGTATACATCTGCTATCCATCTGTTAACCGCTTCTTCAAATCCACCAACTCTTCTTTTCGCCCGCTTACCCTCATAACAGTCTCCATATACCGCATCCAAATCTCAAACCCGATTTCATCCTCCTCATTCTCATCTCCCGCCCCACCTCTTAACATCAAAGTCTTTTCCAAAATCGGAACCGTATACATGATCAACCCCCTAGCCCTCATAGATCTACAAAGCTTTGATATAGCATCCATGGCCCTCTTGTCCCTCTGCCCATAGTAGTCCGAATAAATCTCAAAAGCCGACTGGAACATCTTTGCTGCATTTTCGTAATCCTTAACGAGAAGGAACGCTTCACCCATGTATCTCGGCCCCCAACCATTGTTCGACAAGTCAGTTCCAGTGTATTTGGATCTGTAGGTCATGAACTGTTGTATAGAGAATCTACCGACTGTGTTAGCCGCCTCCTTTCGGCCGCATGATTTGCATACAGATGCAATGAAATTCAGAGCTTTTGCGAGAGCAAAGTGGGTGTAGTAGTCGTCAGGGGAGGCTTTGGCAGCGATGGATTGTATGTGTGTTAGACCTTTACGGAGGACGTAGTCTCCGCCTTCTGGGGATCCGAGTTTGAAATTGCAACGTGATATTTCAGCGATGAATTCAATGCACTGCAGTGACTCGAATCCCCAACGGAAGTTTGCGATTCTGTAGGCCGAGATAAAAGCTTCCATGCCCCCCGAGTAGTTCTTTGTTTCTTTACGGAGGAAGCCGAGTTGCTTGTAAAGTTCGAGTGCTGACTCGTGATATTTTAACCCAAACATTTCGAATGCCTTTGTGGCACATTCGTATATGAATAGAACATCTTCGTCGGGTATCATGTGAATCTGGAAACATACATCGGCGAAACCTTCTAGTGCTAAAATAGTATAGTAGTTGTATTCGCCGAAGAAGTGTCGAAGCTTCTGAAGATGGGCAGCTCTTTGGCGGAAGATTTCAACAAATTCAGCTTCGCTATTTGACTTTGCGACTTTGTCGGAGAATTTCTTGAGCTTGTGGTAGTGTTTTGTGAAAAAGTAATCGATCCGCTCCCATTCTTCTTCTGTTAAGACACTTTTTGGAGGGTCTTCGGCAGGCAACCAGGTATTCCGCTGAATAACTGGATCTGAGCTGGTATAAACCCACTCCGGGCCCGTCGTTACTTTGACCGGGAAGTCCTCCCATCCATTCACCACTGGTTTCAGTGGAATGCCATTCACAATAGACCAGGCTATATGATACGGCAACGGGTCCTCATCATACTCCTGTGTCCACTGCGTAATAATCTCATCCCGGCAAATCGCAAAAGATAGACCAGAGTTCTTAACAGAATTATGGACGATCTCCAAAAACACCTCCGCATCATTGTACACATCTTCCATCCACTCAGCCAGTTCTGTTGCGTGGTCGTCTGGCGGTACTGACCAAGAATTGCCTGTGACGTCGATGGGAGACAGGTTGTCTGCTGCCGCGACCGAACTATTAGCAGCAAGATGAAATGATTCGAGCGAGTGGAGTACTTTCTTGTAGATGTTTTCGAAGGTGCTTGGGAGCTGTGTGGTTGGCTGAGAGTCTGCGGCTGGCTCTGGAGTTTCAGGCTCATTCACTGTAGCCGGCGAAGTCCCTGACCCGGCGTCTTCGATAGATACCTGGCTAATTGCGGGTGAGTCGATGGGTAAAGTACTAGGACTGGCAGTGGCCCTGTGTGGCTCTGTAGCTTTTACATTTGGATCATCGACTTGCTCTGTGTGTCTTTGGGAGGTAGCATCGTTTTCTGCGTCTTCATCATTTGGGGCCGTTGGAGGGGGCGTCGCCATTTCCAGTTCTCCAGGGCTCGCAGGGACATCATTCATAGCTATCGAGCCGTTAGTATCCTCGGATGCTAAAATATCTAAGTACCTAGGTAGGTACTTATTGAATCTAAATTTAAGTTCACATACCGGAGAACTCCCTCTCTCCTCCTCTCATGATACTCCCCATCTGCGATTCCGTGATTTCCTGGCCGGAATCGCCGAAATAAAATACTGTCTCCTTCCCCAAGGCTTGCCGGCGCTCTTTCATCAAGTAGATCCATTTCCGCTGCTTCTTTGCCAGGTTCTTACTCGATACTCCCCAGATCCCCAGTTTGCTTTTCAACTGATTGAGACTAGTTTTTTTTCCCACCAAGTTGTCAGTCTAAAATCAATTCAATATGATTGCTCTTTTATAAGCTTATAGTATAGCATTGGTACATGGCCAAGGATTGAGCACCAAGGCTAGGTTTCAGAGATCGCTATATAAAGTACTAGTTCGTACAATGGGTGAAAATCGGGATAGCTTGTTTACAAACTTGGTATTAAAACCTCTCTCATTCTTCAATGCCTCGAGGATATTTCTTTGCTTCTCACCGCGCCCCACGAGATCAAGAATGAAGTCCCTATGTTCATCCCAGACTTCATTTTTACGGTACCCTCGTTTCCGGACTTTAGAGCCATCGTAGGACTTGAAGTTACTGAACTTTGACATTTTGTTTTTTTTTTACCCGAAGGATTAAGGCAAAACCCGCGTGCTTGGAATAAGGATTTAATAAAAGAAGAGTAAATAAATATAGTATAGTATAGTAGAATATGCAATCTATTCCTTTGAAATGTGATACCGATCCATGACTGTTTCGAAGGGCGCGCTTATGCCGAACTCTTTATAGAAAGAGAAAACCGTAACCCCGCTAGTTTCGAGTTTTTTCGATTTAGTTTAGCTTAGCTAGCTATCGCAAGCTGGAGAGTATCAATTGGTACCAGTAGCCTCCAAATTAGTCGAATAGCTTCAAGATTCAAAACCAATGAGTTCGAACGTTCTCTCTAGCTCAGCTCGCTCCGTTCGGACGGGATTCGAGAAGAGAGTGAAATGGAGGGGTGCACCACCATCCTTGCATCGTTAGGTTCAATCCGGATCATGTGTACGTGTGGGACAGCAAATACACAAGTAACCACCTTGGTGGGCACCTAGTCTATACTGTAGTAGTCGTCTACCAACGCCGACCAACGCCGCTAAACCCAATACTTCGGCGTCCCCGCTAGTCATGGTTGGTCACCTCACGCCATGGGGTCTCGATAGTTCCCAGACTAGGGTCTCGATCCTAGCTTCGGAATTTTGGTATTGGAAAAAGTTGATTTTCAAGAAGCGGCAATTCGACTTCGCTAAGGATCCACATTGGGGGTGTTTAATTGTTGGCGGCTGTTTTGGCGTGCAGCCGGCAGCGAGCTGTATGTACATGACATTGCATTGCATGATCACGTCGGTTGAACTAAGTAATTGATAGAAATTAATTGCTGTGCCGAGAGGGATTTCAAAAGTGAAATTTCCGTTTCTTATAGGGTTTTCATATCGAGGTTTGCATGGTTTTTCGTATGGGACGGGAAGGTGGAGTTGTAATTGGCTGGCATGCTTTTCGCACGTGGAACCACTGCCTTTTATTCCTTTTTTCATGAGGTTGAATCTACCACGAGTTATAACATTAGCAATGGTAATTAATCCACGATATCCAATAGCCTTATCGAGATAGTAATTAATCGAATTCAAATTCAACTTTCGGGTGCGGGCTCTATGTGGTCCGTGGTGATGGTGGTTAGTTGCTTGGTTAGTAAGAGATGCAGCAGGGCAGCCTGCATTCGCCAAAGCTCAAGCTCCACCCGGTTCAATTCAAAACACCAAAACCTTTCTCGCCACAGCAGCCTTGCTTGTCCGGGGTGTCATGAACCCCAGTTCACCACCACCACCCATCCTCCAAACAACCTCCACAAACCGATGACCTAATCACCATCCATTGCATTGTCGAATCGTTCCAGTGCAATGCTCTACTCCACCAATGGCGGCCGAAGAGGACTACTTCGGTTCCGATGATGACTTCAATCTCGATCAGCTGCAGGAGATCGAAAACGCGGCTTTGCTCGCGTCGCTGACCCAGAAACAACAGAAGGCTGAACAACTTCAACCTCAATCTCAACCACCTCCACCAATCCAGCAGCAGCAGCGACAGCAACAGCAGCAACAGCAACCTCCCAAGAATCCTTATCAAATCTCCTCAAAGGCAGCATCCTACAATTCTAACCGTCAGAATGCGACTCAATCGCACCATCCCGGGCCGAATAGACCATACGCAAACCTTACCTTTCAACCACCAAGACCTGCTCCACCACCAGCTCCCAAAAACCTGTCCGCGGAGGAACAAGAAGTCCGTGCCGCCTATCTCGCTCGAAATCAAGAACGTCAGCGATTACGGCAGCAACAGCAGGATGCGTACCTTGCTCAACAGCGACAGGCCGAACAGCAACCTAATCCCACACAGCCGCAGCAGCAGCAGTCTCATGCACAAACGATAGCACAGCAACAGGCATACATCAACGAACAACGTCAAACCCAATTATCACAGACTTACACCCACCGTCAACGACAATTACAACCTAGGAGTTCATATCGACAACCTACGCCTTCATACATCACTCAGCCGACTCTACCAAGTACTCCTGGTGACCGGTCACGATTCCAAAATTCCACAAAACGTCCTCTCCCAGGTGCAAACCAGGCCACGAATGGTACTGCGAAATCTGCCGTACCCACAAATATCGCCAGACCTGAAGAATACGCCAATTATGATCAAGCCAAGGAATTATGGGATACCGGTGCAGCTACCGAAGTAGTCGTTCAGGAAGCGGCGAGGGGAACAGCTGCACTTGAAGCATCGGCTTTAGGAACCTCTGCCTTTGGCACCTCCGCTTGGATCAGTAGTAATGAGCCAACGTTGGGAAAAACCGCTACATTGCCCCGAGTCACTAATCATGACATGGTGGATTATGATGCGGTCGCTGAAGCAGGCGTTACTAGAGCTGGAGACAGTGCGGCTATGGATGTCGATGGAGGGAAAGGGTTGACGGCACATGATATTGAAGAACTTGAGGCGCTAAGGAAGGCTGCACAGCAACTGTTGCTTGAGAAGGATGAGTTACAAAAGAAGTTAAAACAAGCGACTGTGGATGTGCAGACTAAGACTGGCGAGAATATGCTATTGCGAAAGAAGATCGAGAAAGCCGAGACGGAACACCGGTCTGAAGTCGATGCCATAAGGTCTTACGCCCAACAGAAATCCGATAAAGCGGACGAAGAGATGGCAAAACTACGAGCAGACGTGGTGAAGATGCAAGCCGACCTCGAGTTCGACAGGAACGACCAGCAAGCAATGCATAGGGAGTTAAAACAGTATCAAGAGAAGGATAAGCAACTACCCAAATCTGTGAAAGATACGATGGGTCTTCAAACGCCCCGGAAAAATAGGATTACAGAGCTATGTGACGGATTCGATGCAGACGAAGCCGGTATGGTTCGGAGTAGCCCTCCGGTCGGTATGCCTGGTAGTCGGGGTCGAAGAACGCCATCGAAGAGTGCGAAGCGGAAGAGAAAGCCGAATGAGTCGCCTATGAAGCATTCGCAGACTCTGATGCTGCCGATATTGCAGTCCGGGGGTAACTCACAGAGATCTATGATGATGGAGTCGGGTGCCGAGCCTGAAGAAGAAGACTTTGATGCCATGATTGATAAAATGACACTTGAAGAGCTGGGATTGGGGAATGATGATAGACAACAGGTATATCCAACTTTTCTTAGTTTATCTGTCGACAACACTAACAGTAATACATAGTTTCTTGAAAACATCTTGTCTTTTAAGCCCAATGAAGGGCAGATGACGATATTGGAAATTTTGGAGAACTATCATTTCCCTTCAGAAGCCGGGACATCATTAGCCGCATTATTTATGGAGAATGTCCCTCAGGCAGATGTGGACTCTCAATACGGTGAATTTCCGGCGAAGATCTGCAGCATTCTTATCGCTTTATGGGACCGGTGTTATACGGAAAAGTTTGTAAGTGACGTCTCAATACCACTTCTATCCTGTTCATGCAACTAACTAGACTAGTTTGAGCCGTTATCATTGTTGTTGGGCTTTTTACATCATGTTATAGACTGCGATTTTGGGGAGCAGTTGTTTCCAATAATATTAGAGCCTTTCGTGGAAGTTCTCCAGAAGACCGTTATGCTTAACTCGTTAGAGCGGTTTAAGGGTCGTTACGACCGGATCAATCCGCTCGTTGATGTCGAAAAATGCCTGCGAATATTCGAGACAGTAGCATTAGGGGTCCTGATTGATGATGACCTTAATAGACAGTACGTCCGCCCAAACAAGGCCCATCTCGAGTGATCTTGCTAACTGGTACATTAGTTTCTGGGCTCTCATTCAGCCGGACTTCATCGCCCCATTTATGACATACAACCAACCAATGTCTCATATCCGTCTGATCCTTAATACGTTGCCATCCTCGGTATCGTCGACCTCATACGGTCCAATCTCTCCGGACCCGCTTCAACAAAAGGATTATGAGAGAGTAACATTAATACATGCTTCGTTCCTTCTAACCACAGAACCCAAAGCGGATCCAACAGTCCACCCTGGTCATCGTCGCGCGGAGATTCTATCTATTCGCTCCGCCATCCTTACATTCTACTCATGCATAGCGTCTACAACCCACGGCATAACAAGTCTAGTAACGAACTCCAACTGGCAAGCGTTAAGCCGTATAATCGTGCGGCTACACCACGAGCTAGAGGAAGTCTACGAAGACCGGTACGGGATTGAAAACTCTGTAAAGTTTATAAACAACGGAGTATCATTCATACACAGAGTTTTAAAGTTACAGACGAGTAATGATGATATCGAACGGATGTTGGGGAGTACTGCGCATAACGGGAACGGATATAAACACCTAGTTGTTTTTGCGAGAGTGGCGTTTGTAAAAGATGGGGATTATTTGAGCAGAGCGGGGGTATTGCCGGAGACGGTCGAGATGGCGATGGAAGTACTTGAGGGGAGTGTGACTATGGAACAAGGAGACGAGATTTGGGGGCTGTTTAAGGGGAGAGAAGATGTTAGTGTTGGGGGGGACTCGATGACGGAGAGTATGTTGGAGGGGGACAGGGTCTTGAGGGAAGAGGAGATGAAGAGGTGATACCCTCCCTCCCTCCTCAAGGCATGCGTATAATCTGGAGTATGCATATAGTCGATACATATACCCAGATCTGTATGAAAGGATGGCCGATGTATCTTTGGTATGTAGTAAGTATATTTTTTGGTGTTTGGTGTATATATCTAGGGAGTCCGGCTTTCTTTTATGAGTCGAATCTACGACATTACAGTCGGATACTACTAACTTTTCGAAGTTTAATTAATCAAAAATACCAGCTTGGATATCTAAGTTCATGATGTGCCTCCGAAGGATGATCCACTGAAGCCGTTCACCCGGACCGTGAAGTGACGTCAACGGTAATACCCGAGCTTCATCACGACCCTAACTGAACTGTCCCCTCCCGACTAGTGCTGGGTGTTAAACATTGAAGACTTCCCCCCCCTGCCACCCCCCACGCGCCAGCCCCGCCACATGCACGTAAAAAAAAAGAGAAACCCGAAAAAAATGCGGGATTTCCATTTTCTATTAGTTATAACATATGCATAGTAGTTAATGTACTTGTGTTGAAATAGCAGCCCATCTGAAAATTTTTAGCCTTGGATTTGCCGACGCACCGAAAAAAAATTAGCGTTTTTTTTCCCTCGTCCGTCTGAGAGGAACAGAATGTGCTTATAACAACCAACAAAAAACGTCCCGACCTTCGGCTTCTCTCTCTCTCACTCACTCATCCTCTCGTCCTCTCACATCTATCTTTGTATCCCATTCCTCCCCACACGTATCTTCCTTCGAACTTTCATAAGGGTTTTCTTTTTTTTCTTTTCTTTTATTAGGTATGTGGAGTTCCTACACGTGTAATCGTCTTATTTTGTCAATTGATCGTGGGGCCGTATATTATAAGATGTTGCTGCGTGGTGGGGGAGCTGGAGCTGAGCTTTCTGCTGTGTGTCTCTGTGTCTCCCCTCATCCCACTTCTATCCGGCTCCCTGCCACGAGGATATATATATAACACGCTCCCACGTTCAATTATCTCCAACATCTTTAAATATAAACCTTGGGACTGAAAAAGCTAATCTAATCTATCCTATTCTATTGGATCAATTAGAAGAAATAAAATAAAATAAAAAACATCATGTTCTCCGTCCGCCGAACCACCCAGAACCTCGCTCAGAAGCGTGCCTTCTCTGCTTCCGCTTCTCAGGTACTCATCCCATCATCTCTCTTCTTTCTCCCACTCCGGTCAATTGTCTAGTATAGTGTCAAAATAACTAATTTCTCGTGTTTGTGTAATATATAGTACTACAAAGTTGCCGTCCTCGGAGCCGCCGGCGGTATCGGACAGCCATTGTCGCTTTTGTTGAAGCTTTCTCCAAAGGTTACCGAGTTGGCGTTGTATGATGTTCGTGGAGCGCCTGGTTAGTCTAGCCTCTTTTTTTCCCGCCTCTCCGGGGTTCCTTTGGTCCGGAGTGTGGGGCAACCTTTTGGATTCTTTTCTTCGGAATGTGTGGGGAATCGAATGGCTGATAATGATGATGTTTGATGATGGTGATAGGTGTCGCCGCCGATATTTCCCATGTCAATACCAACAGCGTCGTAAGTAATACAATACCACGATCCCTTCCTCGTTTTTATATATACCCAATGGTTTATATATTTTATATATTCTATTATTTGTACTAATGGTTTCTATTGGAAATGAATAGGTCAAGGGATATGCCCCCGGCGAGGAGAGCCTCGCTGAGGCTCTTAAGGGTGCTGAGGTCGTTTTGATCCCAGCTGGTGTTCCACGAAAGCCTGGCATGTCGCGTGATGGTATGTCTCCTCCTCTACAATCATAGGTATATATAGATATAAGGCTTTGACTAATGATATATTATCGAAAAGATCTCTTCAACACCAATGCCTCCATCGTCCGTGATCTCGCAGACGCAACCGCAAAGGCCAACCCCACCGCAAAACTCTGCATCATCGCTAACCCCGTATGTTCCTCTCCCCTCTCTAAAAACCCTCCTCCACAAAAAACACCCTTACTAACTAAAAATAATAAAAAAACAGGTCAACTCCACCGTCCCCATCTGCGCCGAAGTCTACAAACGCCACAACGTCTACAACCCCAAGACCCTCTTCGGTGTCACCACCCTCGACGTCGTCCGCGCCTCCCGTTTCATCTCCGAACTAAAATCCACCAACCCATCCGACGAAAGAGTCACAGTCGTCGGCGGTCACTCCGGCGTTACCATCGTCCCACTACTCTCCCAATCCAACCATCCCGAGATCTCAGGAGAAGTCCGTGATGCCCTCGTAAACCGTATCCAATTCGGAGGTGACGAAGTCGTCAAGGCCAAGGACGGAGCTGGCTCTGCTACATTATCCATGGCACTCGCTGGATTCCGAATGGCGGAATCTTTACTCCGTGCTAAGGATGGTGAGACGGGCGTTGTCGAACCTACTTTCGTTGAGAGCCCGCTGTTCAAGGATCAGGGAGTTGATTTCTTTGCTTCGAATGTGGAGTTGGGACCTGATGGTGTGAAGGAGATCAGAGGGGTTGGAGATATTAATGCTTATGAGAAGGATTTGATCGATGCTTGTCTTAAGGATTTGAAGAAGAATATCGAGAAGGGTGTGGAGTTCGTTAAGGCTAATCCTCCAAAATAGATGTGTGGGTAATCTATAAAAGTACCTAATAGGTACTTTGGAATGTAGATTATGATGTTGGAGAGAGGAGGAGGAGGAGGAGGAGGAGGCCTTATTTTGTATATAACCGATAGTGGCTACTTATTTTACCTAACCTTTAATGGAGTTGCTTACTAAGGGAACAACCACTACATTTACATATTGAGGAGCGATGGAATTACAAAAATGGAAGAAGAAGAAGAAGAAGAAAAAGAGTAGGGGAATGTAGATACTTTTTGTATAAGTTACCCTTTTTTTCTTCTTTTTCTGTGAGGGTGGTGGTGGAGGAATTATATGCCGGAGATATAAAAGTTATCCTTACTACTGCCGAACTGAACCTCTCCGCTTTTTTTGATATCGATTATATATATTATATCATATTATCGATCATAAACCCTCCTGTATTAGTATACTACACAAGCGGGGCCGGCCATATTGCCTCAAACCGTTTTTTTTTTGACACCTCGTAAATTATAAACTCATACAAAACTAGCTGGGCGTCGAAACTACTACCTACCTATAGGTACTTAGCTCAGGAATAAAATTATATCACGAATACAGCCGAGATCGAGACTCCAAGCTCTTACATGCAACAACCACATCTCGATGTATAATCTATAAGTACTATGTATATATTCTACGAAACCTTACAAAGGGGACAGTCTCGGCACCAATCAACCACGTTAGTGCTCGGACAAAAGGGGAGGGAGGGAGGAGAATTAAAGAAGATGAAGTAAAGAAGATGAAGAGTTAGTTAGGAGGAACGGGAAGAGCTCATAATGCTCAACAAAAAAGGGAGGGGCGGAGAATGGAGGTTTATATTAAAAACCCTAGAGTTAAAAAAAAAAGGAGTAATAGTAAAAGTAGCAAGCTGCAAACCCACACGGTGAAGCTCTTCTATATGATGTAAAAAAAAAACCGAAACAATCAAGTGAAGAAGAAGAGAGAAAAAGTGAAAAAAAAATAAAAAAAACGTTCAGTCGTTCAGCGTCTGATTAGGTCCCCTCTGCTCCTCCGTTCTTGTCATAGGTAGCCTTGGTTCTCACCATATAGGCCTATGAAAGCAGATAGTCCTATCGCGGATCCACTCCGATAGACAATAAAACAGAAGAGACAATAGTAAAGTAAAATGTGTATCCACCACCCCATCCTCTAAGTCCTTTCTACCCTCGTAATAAATCATGCATGAAAAAAAAATACTTTTATCTTAAATATAACCCCTAAATAGACTGCATAATGAGATTCATCGGGTTGATATTTATTTAATCCTTCATCTCACTATCAGCCTCCTCAATTTCTGGTTGCAGGATATCATCTCCTGCGTCCTTCATCTCGGTATCCTTCTTGGATTCTTCGGCCTTCTTCGCTGCTTCTTCACGAGCACGCTCAACAGCACTGCGTTGAGCTCTCTGGGCTTGCCGCTTTTCCTCTTCCTTGTCGTTATAACGTTGGACGATTGGGCCAGCAACGGACCGGAGTTCCTCATGCTTGGCAACATAAGCGGCCTTGGTAGTGTCGTCGCCTTCGTCGTAAAGCCAGTTCTGTTGTATTATGTTAGCATGCCATTGTCACACCATCCAACCGTAATGGTTATAAGGGAAATAATTACCTCCGCGGCCTCGAGCATATCCTTCAACTTGGACTTCTCGCTGTCACTCGCAAAAGCTGCGTACTGATCATCGATCTTCGCCCTCATTTCGTAGATGTACTCCTCCAAAGCATTCTTGCGGTCTTCGGTATCGGCAACGAGTTTATCCTCGACGAACATTTGGTTCTCACGTTCTGCCAGCGCATCCTTGCTCGCCTGATCGGCAGCGTTGGTGCTGCTGACAACAGTCAAGTCACCCTTCTTGACTTGCTTCTTGACCTTGCGAGTCTTTGGTGGTGTCTTGTCGTTCTCGTCCTTCTGGTGGGGTGTTAGTGTTGTTGGTTTTTGGTTGGAAACAGGGTTGCTACTTACGTCTTTGTCTTCTGGGATGGGTTCTTCGACCTCTGCTTCTTCGACGTAGTATCCGCTTTCGATATTAAGGACGCCATGCAGATTAAGCCTCGCCTTAAGTTTGCAGATCATGAAGTCGCCCTTTGGATCCGGCTTGACACCCTTGACCGAAAATCGACCAATCCAGGGGGAAATTTTACCGGGAAGTTTGTCTGGTTCCGCATACCTCGCCTCCAAATCGAATGATTCCTTTCGGTAGAACGTCAGAATTTTAGTCGACGGCACCGTGTTATTCTTGTTGAAGACTGTGAGTGTAGTATCTTCGTCGGGGATTTCGGCATATCTCTCCCACGTGAATTCTATTGGGTAGGAGACAATGTCGTGAACGGCGAAGTCACGGACACGGAAGACGGGGGATAATATGGCACAAGCGAAAGCACAGCCACGAGCAACAGCCTCGTCTTGGTTGAGAGTAAAGGAAAGCGGTTTGCCAAAGAAGGTTGAGATGGCCTCCTTGAGAGATGGGACACGGGTGCAACCACCAATGCATTCAATGAAATCGACGTCAGCGGCTTTAAGACCGGCGTCATCGAGAGCCTGTTGCAAGGGGACAGTTACACGGTCCAGGAGTGGCTTGACGAGTTCTTCGAGCTCTTCACGCTTAAGCATACCTCGGACGTCGATGTCATTCATTATAGACTCGACATTAAGAGGAGCTTGAGCATTCGCCGATAGAACCTTCTTGACCTTTTCAACACCAGTCATGAGACGGGTGTAGGCCTTGGGGTTAGACTTGACCTCAATCTTGAATTTCTCCTTGAATTCGTCGGCGAAGTGGTCGGCAATAGCTTTGTCGAAATCTCGGCCTCCGAAATGTCTGTCGTAGGCAGTGGAGAGGACCGTAAGTTCACCTTTACGGAAAGAAACGATGGAAACGGTGTAATTTGAGTAACCGATGTCGACGAAGGCTACTATTCTGGGCTTCTCCTCAGCAGTAGGGAGGTCGATCTTGGTGATGCCATATCCGAGAGCGGCAGCTGTGGTGTCATTCATAAGTCTGAGGGTCTTGAGACCGGCAACCTCAGAGGCATCAAGGATAGCTCTTCTTTGGGAATCGGTGAACCAAGCAGGAACGCTGATAACGATATCCGAGACGGGGAGCTTGAGCTCAGCAGAGGCGGTGGCCTTGATTTTGGTGAGGTACATGGCAATGAGGGCAGTGGAGGAGAAGGTCTGCTGCTCTCCGAGGTAGTTGACCTTGGCACCGACCTGGCCGTTGACGTCAACGAGAGCAGCGGTAACATATTGCTTCTCGATATCAATCTCAGGATCTGAGAAAGAACGACCAGCGAGACGTTTTAAGGAGCCGACGGTATTTTTAAGATTGGAAATTTCCTGGGTTTTGGCAGCCTCACCGAGGTATCTGGATTTGGGACCGAATCCGACGAGGGATCTAGAGGGCAAATATGTTAGCATATACCTATGTACTGATCCTTGCAGCCTTGCCCGTAATTTGCGTCGAAAGGATATTGAGAGATGACTTACGGAGTAGCACGGTTGGAAACCTCATTTGTAATCTATCATATCGACAACGTTAGTAAACATCTACTCAGTTCAATAGTATGTGAATAGGGAGAGATGGTGAAGAATGGAGGGGGAGTAGGACATACCACATCGACACCTCTATTGCGAGCAACTGCAATGATGGTGTTCAAGCAACCGAAATCTACACCAACTACCGACATGGCTGCTGTTTAAAATCCAATCAGAAGGGAAAGATGTTGAAGATGGAGTTTGTTGGGAGGTGGATGCTGATAGATGTAAGGATGTAAGTGGATAGTGGGATAGCTATCCTTGCGGTGGTGTGTGTGGTGATAGTGGTCGTGGTGGGAGGTGTTGTCCTGAGAAGGAAGTGTGAGGTGGGAGGTGGGAGGTGTTGTTTGGTGGGGTCTTTTCTGAATGAATTTTTTTTTTTTTTTTTTTTTTCTTCTTCGTCTTCTTGTTCTCTTAAAAACTTCAGCAAATTAAGAGAGAGAGCTCAAAGAACAGGCCAATTCGATGCGAATAGCCACTTGCCCTGTACAATACCAAATATGATATGTAAGAAGTATATTATGAGTTACGGACACTCGAACTTTTGGGCATCAGAAAAGGTTCAAAAGTCTTTTCACCCAGAATTGCCAACCGACCAGAGAGCGCTGCCTTTATATACTTCTTGAGAGTATCTACAGTCTTGTCTTTAAGTAACAGAAACCAGCTCTCAAACACTAGTTTCTTTGGCTTTTCTTCTTGAAGCTTCGAATGTCTTCTTTGAACCGCTGGAACCTTCTATGGTCTCACCATGTTTTTTGTGTTGTTGTGTTGCCGTGTTGCCGTGTTGCCAAGCCGCTTAGTCATCTTTCAACATCTTCAACCTCATCTCTTACTTATTCTTGGAACACTTATCGATTATCATCAACTACTATCACGGCGTCGTCAACATATCTAAGTACACAAAGGAGGATGAAGGGGAAATCGGCAGGAGGAACAGGAGCAGGAGTGGGGAAACCTGCACCTCCTCAGCAAGCCATCTTCTCCCGTCTCTCCTTCCTCCATCAGGCATCCAGCGTTCTTCCATCGTCCTCCATCGGTCTCTCCCGCTATTATACGTCACACCTCCTCTCCGTCTCCCGAAAATCAGTCCAACGACTCTCTCCGGCCGTCAAGCATACGATCTGTAAACGATGTTCTTCGCTCCTTCTTCCCGGGATAACATCTACCACTCGAGTCGAGAACAAATCAAAAAATGGAAAGAAACCGTGGGCTGATGTTGTTGTTGTCACCTGTGGGTTCTGCGGTTGTACCAAACGATTCCCTACTCTTGATAAAGAAGAGATGAAGGCTAGGAAAGATAAAAAGAAGCAGGACAAAGAAATCCAGACGGATACAGATGACGTTAAAGTCTCAAAGGATGTAACGGAAGCAGAGGGGGACAATGATGCCGTCATGACTGGGACTTGAGCTACCCGCCGTGCTTAAGGCTTCTTACTGGTCGACTCACAAAAATATCCTGGCTCTGCACTGCAGCATGCCTATCTGCGATGTTATGCCATGCCATGCCATGTCATGTCATGCGATGTGTCTACCCAAGTCTCATCCTAGCTTGACACCTAGCCTACCTAGCTACGGTCTATGCTACAGACTTGATACATTTACAGGCTTGTTACATCCACAGGCTTTGTGAAATATAGGCCCCTAAATAAAGGCTTCACATTAACTGACGAACTGTATCAGAGTGGCCTTTCTTTAACTCACACATATCTTACCACAACTACAATAATAAATCCCTACGTAGGAAATACGCTTACTCATGTTAGTAATGGTAGAAAACGAAATAATATTCACTTCAGTTTGAAAGAACTATCATTGCATTGGGGTTTTGTTACGTTGTATTGTAGCCAAATTCTCTTGAATCCGGTATATCTACTTTGACACTCTCCGTACATATAAAATAAAACTAAGATACTAAAACTCCTTCCTATAAATAACTCCAGATAAAAGAAAATAAAAAAGAATATTGGAATCTCTTCCTCAATCCTTCAAAGCCTGAACCAGCTATCCTCCTCCTCGATATAACAAAGATAAAATGATAAACCTTCAGAAACAGACTATTCAAACCAAAGAACCTTAATAAAAGAACATGGCAAAAATATGTTTTCTGATTTGATTTCTTTTCTTTTCCCATCCTTTTCCTTCCCGGTATTGGTCTATTGGTAGTGGAGAAGGTGAATATAAAGAGTAATTATATCACCAAAACCCCGACACCCACCAGGAGGTTCACAACCTTCCTAACCCTCCCCCACAAATCCCCAATCCACTCCACCTTTTTCCCATCCTCAACTCTAACATCCCACCTATACCTAAACTTAAAACACCATATCCGCACTTTGCACATACTCCTCATGCCCCATACTCCTTTTATGCTTCCTCTTATTCGAACTCGCATCCTCACCACCTTCATGATTTTCCTCATGAACCGGACTCCTCTTATAATAATGTCTTCCAACAGGTGCAGCCTTAACTTCCTCCGGAGAAGCATCTCTCTTCTCGGGAGCAATAGCTACACCACCAAGTCTCAACCTTAGCCTTTCCCTCACACCGTCCAAAAGTCTCTTCTCCAATTTTCTCTTGGTAACACCTTCTTTCTTTGGTACGCCATTAACCTCTTGAACAACTGGTGCACTACCGGCTGCTACAACTGGTACGGCGTTTACAGGGATAGCACCGGGACCAGCAGCTGCGGCAGCAATGATTCCGGTGTGTAATCCACCAGCTGCAGCAGCTACCGCTTTTCCACCAGCGAATCCCAAAGCCCAGGCGATAAAGACACCAGCTCCACAAACCATGGTAAACACCAAAAGTAAGAGTAAGAAGAAAGTCAACCAACTAGTCTCCTTCTCTTCCTCACCAATATAGCCATAAGCCAAACGGTCTCTATGTCTATACTTTGGGTCCTTCTTAAACTTCACCCTCTTGGACTTCTTGCACTTCCCACCAAGTACTCTATGTCCATTGTGAGACTTCAAAGAAGAACGAGAAGGTTTGATAACCAAAGTACCAGCTTCAAGATCCTCGATAAATGGCAACGAAGATGGCGATGTTAGCAATGGTTGTTTTTCGTAATTGGTGTTGGTGGATTGGTAGTGGATTAGATTTTCGTTCATCCCTTCGTAATCTGTATCTGCAGTTGAAATACTAGCGTTATCTTCACTTCCACTGCTGTCACAGCTGGATGTGGAAGATGAAGAGGAAGTGGAAGAGGCCGACTCGATCGAGATCAGTTTGCAATTGTTGAGAGTGTGGGGGATGTGTAGTGTTAGATAAACACCACGGCTGGATGACCGTTGTAGGAGGAGTCGTCGGAGACGAGAAGAGTACCGACGTGAGACTGAGTACTCGTATGTAGGTTCTTCGGAGGGGAAAGGGGAGGTTGAGGTGGGGTCGTATGGGGAGGAAGTAGTTTCTTTGGAGGAGAGGTATGGTGGGGGGAGGGCTTCGATCATTTTGGGGAAGTGGGTAAGAGGGAATGGATACAGTGAGTGATTCTTGTGGGGTTTTCCTGTATGAGGAGACTTCAACAGTGTATATAGATACCTGGAGTCTAAGTTATAACTATCGATCGAGAGGTTCGATAGATAGAAAAGTAAGTAATGAATGTAACCTAACTGATCACCTGAAGAGAATGACTGATTGAGAAAGGATAAGGAGTGTATAACGGTAAAGAAAGTGAATGACTGAAGAGTCCCTAGCAAAAAAAACAATACCAACAACCCAGACTGATCTCTCGAAAGAAATCTGCTGAAGAAGGGAAAAGGGAAGAGGGAGAGGGAGAGAGAGGAAGTAAAAGCCTGAATAAAAGAGCCCTGGACTACTGGATGGGTATATATAACCCTTTCTTCGTCCTTGTACACCGTCGATCCGTTCCAAAAACTGCTTATACCTTTTCTTTTTCTAAACACTAGTAGCTTCGTGTATTTTCTTGGAAGTATGTATTAATGTTGATATTGGGATACCCCACCCCCCCTCCTCGAGTTGGATACTCGGGGGAACGGTACCGATAGGGAGGAGTGGAGTTCTGAGTTTATGCTCTCACTACTATTCTACCTATTCGACCCTGTAGAACCGTTGAGGATTGGGCTGATACGTTTTTTTCTTTTCTTTTTTCTTATTTCTTATTTTCTTTTATCTTCTCTTTTCTTTTGTTATGCTGTATTATACTTCTATCGATAATAAATGTTACTGCCTTTCGAGATATCAAAAATAAAGAAACCCTCCAAAGGCCAGCTCAGCATCCCACAAGAAGCCCTTACTATTCAGGAAGTTCCTCACGGAATCACTTTGCTTCCCACAGCTAAAAAGCCTCGGGGTTAGAATATCATTAGAGGCTGGAGCTATCCTCCCCTCAGAAACGACAGATCAAATTCCCAAAGCAACTGATGATTTTATTTTTGCGGTATAATATTGTATGTAGGTGGTGATAAGCCGGAACGGTGGGGTTTCGTCGATAACAGGTGCCTTTATGCGAGAAGCGACAAGGATTGTGGTGACCAGAATAGGAAATCTGAAGGAAAACGGTATGGTTGACGCGGTGTTATGGTCGCACGAAGGGACTTGTTAAGCTCGAAAAGAATAAACCCCAAGAAACACAAGACAGAGGAAAAGGACAAGAGATGGTGTTAGTTATCTCTCTTTCTCTTCTCCAAAAGTTAAAAGTTGTCAATTTGAACAAATTTTAGAACTTCTCTTTCTTCCCTCTATTCAGAGTGAATGAATTCTTTTATCTTATGCACAATTATACACACTCAATGCTGTGCAAATTAATGGATCGATCGAAGCGCTCTCTTTTGCTGTTGGGTTTTCCTGCGTTGTGCCTCACAACGTATCGTTTTAAATCCGTGTTGTGAACTGTTGGAGTTTTGTCGCTTGCCGAAGGTGAGAGTTGGCGGGAAGGTAAACCCGAGATGCTTGAGATACTTCGGGTTATGGATATGGTTTTCAGATCGATAGCCGGTGATCTTATTTTTTTTATTTGCAAGCTATAGAAGATTGTCCTTTTTCTTTTCCCTTTCTTCTAGCTACTTTCTTTTTGCTGTGGGCTATACGAAATACGGACGTGATGGTGACAGAGAGAACAGGTGATTATTGCTTCTTGCTTCTTGCTTCTGTTTGGGCCTGGGCTTAGCTGGCTTGAGTCCGTTCGTTAGCGATTATGTCGTTGGTTCATGCAGGCAGCCAGCAGGCTTTGCTTGACGTGTTTGTTGGTCCGAGGATATTTTCCTCGGATCAAATTGTAGAAAGGATTTGGCAGCCTGTGATGGACTGGAAGGGTATTATTGAGAGAGTGCGAAACGAAAGAGTATTAGATTATCAATTAAAAAAACTAAAAAAATAAAAAATAAAAAATAAAAAAAGAACGTCCTGTACCTTTCCAAAAAACGTCGAGGTTCCTGTGCTTGGAGAGAAAAGAATGTGAACCCCACTGTTCCGGCAGGGGTGTAGCTAGTTGTGCATGAAGAACGAAGGAAGTCTAAGGGAAAGAATATGGAAGGGAAACAGAGAAGCTCTGTGACTTAAGATCTTGGTAAAGGCCACGAGGAATGTTATAAAAAAATTTTATATCGTCGCTTTATCACATTACTTAAAAAAAGAATTCCATGGATTCCATACATGTTCCTTTTTTGTTCTATCAAGGAGTCGTTCAGAGGGAGACACTGTCTCTTCCCGATACAGGAGTTTACGATCGTATTCAGCCCTCTGACCAAGATACGAAAGAAACACCATGGACGCCAGCGGCTCAAATTTCGAACCAAACCACCAAAAAAATTAAGAGGTTTAGTTTCCTTTTCTGTGCCACGGAGCCTGCCGTTACGGAGTCCATGATTATGAGGCGTGGTGTTCAAAGATGCAGTTCAACGAGGAGTTTTGACGCGAAGTCGATGTCTTTGAAACGGTGAGCCTTGGCGGAATCGTATGACATTTCTTCGTGCCGTTAAAAAAAGTTGGAGAGGACAAATTTGAATAGCGCAGCACTATCTTTGGAAGATTGCATATGCTCTTTCGGAAGGTTGTTACCGATCTTTGAATTTCCAAGACTCGCTTGCTGGAGTATCTTTGGAATCGGGTTCACTTGATATTGTTTTTTTGTATGTATAGGTGGGCTAGTTAGTTTTGAGGATTTTGTGATCTTGAAGTTTTGTGGTTTAGCGAGTTTTGAATACCTGGCGGCCTGCCTTGGTGACAGCGCTTTTTTAAAGAAAGATGCGAAATGAGGTTACCTAGCAGAGGAAGAAGAAGCTTGAGTTCACTATTATTAGAAATTCTTGGAGGATTGAGGAGATTTCTCGATACTCGAACGATACGATAATCTACTCGTTATCACTATCAATTTTCCTAAAAGGGCGGCAGAATCATCTCGAAAACGCCATGAAGGGGATACCGTTGAAACGCCTGTCTCTGCAGGACATTCACAGAACTAGTGTTCGCAAAAGTTAATGCAATTCTACTACATAGTATGCACGATACCCATTTAAGACATTTTTCTTCTTCTAGTTAAACATTCTTCAATCCGTATACATCCTGACAAGCTGTTGCACGTCTTAATGCACTGCCATTGATCAATCAAATAAACCTTTTTTGTTAAAGCTTCCATTCGAGTTAGCTAGGTTCAACCGGCTGGTTAGCCGGCCCTGCAAGCCATGCAACAACGACACCTTGGCCTGCGCTAGCTGGGGGAAATTCGGTATCTACAACTTCCGGCCGACACCGAAATAATCTGTAAAGAAGCTTAGCCATCGGGTGTCGGCCAAGTACTATATCCGCCTTCACCATACTTTTGTTTAAAGCATATAAGAAAATCATAGTTTTTCAAGCGGTTCGGATTGACTAAAAAAAAAGATTCCCCACAGAATCAAAAGCATTTTCAAACGTTGCAAACCAAAGGAACAGTGGCTGGCAAACAGCGATTCAAGCCGTGGATCCGTCGCCGTCCTATAACCAGCAACGATTATCCCAGTTCGGATTTTTGTTCCTTCTCTATAATTCTAGAGTTTTATATCCGCACCCCATCTTTTTACAAGGCATAGGCTGCTCGACTGACGTATGTAGTACCACATAACTTAATCAGTAAGCCTTTTGATATCCGTTTAATCTATATACATGAGTCTTTTTTCTTCTTTTCGTTCTCGTTTGTCATTGTTCTCCTATCGGAATGATACACTCCGTCGTTTAGATTGAGCCTCTGTAGTTCTTCATATATTCGCTTCGTAACCGGAGCAAGGGAACCGTTCGCATTCTTTTAAAAGAATTGTTTTGGCGGAAAGGGGGGGAAATAAGAAACATTCACCCCCTCTCGTGGGGAGGAGGGTATAAACCGAGGGGGTCTGCCTTACAAATATTGTTTTTCTCATTTGGCGGGGTCGAAGTGGCTACGTATCCGATAACATTTTTTTGTAGTGTGGTTATCAGAGTCAGATCTACGGGGTGTGGAGTCTCCGGATTACTCTTTTACACTCCCCGATTAAGGTATGCGATGCCTTACTCGATTTCTACGGGGTGTCTGATGCCGTTCGAGTAGCTCAAGACAGCTCTATCATATCAAAATCACAGTTACCAATTGATCACAGAAAGCTAAGGCCGGAATAAGCTTTCCTATAAACCATTATAATATCATTATATATCATACAATCATAGAATAGAAACAAGGAGAAAAGTAAAAATAGGAAAAACAAGGTCTTTAGAAGAGTTATATCCGAGAAGAAAAATAAAGGAAGAGAGATATGCAACCCAAAAAATATAAATACCCCTAGCACTTTTTGTTACCTTAATATGTACCGAGAAATGAAGAAAAGAAACTCCAGACGGAATGCTTAGCATCGATGCATGCAATGCTATGAAACGAAAAAAATTTGAAAAAAAACCGCGAAGCGAACCGCATTTGGTCCATAGATAGATACCCTTATTCCAAAATACCGGCTTTTGTGAGTGATTTTTGACAATTTGTTTTTTTAAAAAGATTCCTTGGATTCGAGCCGAGAAACGATCCGATATTGCAAATGCTTATAACCCTGCTTGTTGATAAACCCTTACCTGGGCGTACTTTATCTGATTAAAAAAATACTTAGAATAAATCAAGAATTTGGGGGAACCCAAGTAGTATCGCCGCCACAGTAATAATCGTAGCAAATGGTGATGTAGGCGATAATATCGATACCGCAGAAATGGGATTCGATGCGCTGGAATTGAACGTTTTGTCATCCGTTCGTAGACATCCGGAGACATTCACAATCTCGGCTGGACATTCAACGCGCTTAAATGTGGCGCTGTGGTGAAAGGGGAATGTTAATATATATCGGGGAACTCGGTGTTACCCAAAAAGCTAGTGGGGAGGCTTACTTTGGTCCTTTGACGTCTTGGTACCATGTATATCTCCACTTGCATGCAGCTTGTAATTCTGGTGGAATGGTATCGCATTGGGTCACGTTTGTGAATCCAGTTGCATCCTTGCCGAAGAAGTCGCCGAATGTTCCGCCGAATCGTCTTTGGCATTGACTTTGCCAGTCTGCTTGGCCTGGGACCTGTTTGTATTATACTCGATTAGTACATTTTGCACGACAACTTAGATCGCGATATATCTCAGCTACGACTTACCGCCAAACTGAACCAGTTAATCTGGTTTTCATTGAAATTCACATTAATCCCCTGTACAATCATCTTCTTCCCTTTGATCTCGCTATCCAAAAACTCAAGCTCATAACAGCTACAGCACCACTCCGTACTATCCGCACCACGAATAAATATACTCGCGTAGCCGTACGAAAAGGTTTCGTTTACCGCCCATGGTGTTTGGTTAGTACATGAGCTTGCTGGTCCGCCACCACAGTAACCTCCAGCGGTATCATCGAGGACGAGTTGGTCCTTCGCGTTGCAAGTTTTTAGACCAGTTACGAAGCTACCGTATGTTGGCCAAGCGCAGGCGGGTTTGCAGCAGTCGTAGTACATCGATGTGAAGGATTGGCCGGAGAAGACTCGCGCTGAGGCTATTGGTGGTAGTACCGCAGCGCTCAAGATGAGCGATGATAGTAATGTAGACATCATCTTCATAATCATTTTGATAAGTTTGTTATGATTGATATCTGTCGAGAATTGTTAAAGATCTTCAAGAAGGCCCGTTGGGAATGTGAACGAATGAATGAGCGACTGAATGAACGAATGAACGAATGAATGATGATTGGAAGATGATGCTTGGAAGATTCCTGGTCGAGGGATTGACCATGTAGTTGCCCGTTCGAAGGGCACAAGTGGTCTATGCTTTTTTCCTCTTCGAGAACAGAGGGAAAAAAGGAGACTGACTCGAGACGTTTCTCCTTCCCCGCTGCTTCCACGATATTTTGTTCTTTGTTGATATCAAATCAAATTGCCTCCGGAGCACACCCACGGAAAGCGGAGAAACCTAGATATTGCTATACGTAAACCCTATATAGGCACACGGAATCCAAATAATCCCCCCCTCCTCTCGGCATATGACATCCAAGCTTGTTATCCCGCTTTCTCTCTATCGCTCAAGATCCGAGGCACAAAACGAATCGAGATTTAACGTTTAAACCGTCAAGCTCGCGCGTTATAGCTAAACTGTATACGTTAAACTTGTTTCTGATTCCCGGGGTGAGCTGCCGCTATTATAGTATATATGTCGGATTTCTTATAGATAAATATCTGAAGCGAGTATCGTTTCGAAAAAAGACGAGATCGAACCAAGATCGCGTGGTTTCGGTAAATGCGATCTCTTAGGGCTTTTTTGAGGGGAAATCCCTTTTCTATTAAAGATCTGGGGTCTGGGGCACCGTTTTATTGGTGCTTCTTCTTATTTTATTCCCTTTCTTGCTTTGGGGGTGTGGAGAAGAAGCACTCGAAATGCCGTTAAGATTTGATGGTGAGCTCGTGAGAGGTTGTGGTATGTCCGAAACACGGCGGGCGAGTTAATGGTGGCCGTAACGGTTTCGAGACATTAGCACGGGCCTGACGGTGGTCCTGACGAAATCTCGTGAAAGAGGAAAGCTGAAATTTCAATACCGCGCGCGACAATAATATTAAAATATCGAAGAAGATAAAATTAAATAGAAACGCAAGAACAATGGGGGCAATACACGAAATCGTATTCGTTCGATAGACGCCCTCGTAAGTTTTATCGCGAAATATTCCAGAAGACGGAAAAAGGGTGGTAGCAGAAGCGAGAAACTCGATATTGAAAAAAAATAAAAACACCAAGCTTAGGACCAAGCAATTGCGACAGGTTTACGTTTTTTCTTAAACGCCTCACAGATTAGAACTATGTAGAATGAGGGAAAGGATTGAGTATTGGCAAAAAAAGGAACTGGGAAAGATAAAAAGCCGTCCAATCTTGCTAGCTATCTATCTATTGTATTCTACGCAGAGGATCGCCCGGCTATTGTGAAGGCCTGTCGGCATTCCTCTCCGCAGCCCACAGTCTGCACAGAGCACCAGCTAACGAAATACGAGGAGCATCTTAATACAGCCGTTAACATGAAATGGGCTCCACCCAAAGCTCTTTTGCCGGTGTTGCGAGATCTGTCACATATCCATGTCCAGGAACCGGCTTCTGGTTGGCTCGTTGGTGCACCCCTGGTTCATGTGCAGGGGTTGGGACACCTCTTGAGGGAGTCTGCGGAAGTAGCCGGCCGTGGCGCTGGTAGAAAATGAGCTTTAGTCTGTTTGATATCATCGAAACTGACAGCTGCACTGCATTACATGGTGCTCAAGATCAGAGGCTGGTGGTGGGTACGAAGTCCTGATATGATAGCACCCGCATATTATCACGACGCAAGCCTCGTGGTTGTGCGTATGTAATATTATATTACAACTGGAAACCGGAGAACTGGCGATTCCATCCTTCTTAATATACTCAATATCTCTCCTTCATTTAGTGTCTCTACTTCAGTCTGGAGTAACGAAAAGCTACTTACTGCCGTAGGGTTCCCCGCATAACCAGGAAGTTCGAAATCCCGTGGTTAATATCGACGGTCAGCAGGTTAAACACACTTGCATAACATCCATACTACATTACATACTACCTTGCAGCCGTCTTAAAACTCCCAACCATCCCGTCGCTGTCGACATCGGCCCTCTTTTTCCCCTTCTTTTTCTAGAAGGGTAGAAGGAAAAAATTCTCTCGCCAGCTTGTTCGCTTGATCAGAACCCATGGACCGGAACGCCGACATGCAATCTAAACGTCTCGTGGAGTTTTAATTCTTTTTTCCCTATTTTCTTTCTTTCTTTCCTTCTTTCCTCACTATCTATCCTTTCTTACCACTCATGCACGCTTGCGACTTTATACGCCAAGTGGTTGGGTGTAATTCCTATATGCGATCCGAACTTCGATAATACGACTGGAAGGCGAGCGATTTCGGGGAGAGTTCGACCAGAGTTTATATATATACTCGAAATATATACACATCACAATGCCGTGGGCGACGAGATCTGTTAGGCAGGACTTATGCCTGGCCGCGGTCCTGGGTGGGCCGTTGATTGCATTTGTTTTTACAATTATGAGATTCTTTGATCGAAGAAAAGCGGGTTTAGGATGGGGTAAGGTGGCTCTTAAACGGCTTTAATACAAACTTGGGACCAAAGCTAACAGTGCATTTACAGATGATTATTTAATTGGTTTTGCTTGTGTGAGTGCATGCAAACGATATTCGAAGTATCCGGCGGGGCTATTGCTAATATTCACCTCTAGCTGTTATTAATTGTTATAATATACCCATCATGGAGGAGTAAGTGATCTCTCATATATCTGATAGCTGCTAGCGATAAGAGCTAACAGCTGTCGTAGTAATAAAAATGTTACATTATGGTATACACCTATGGGAAGTGGAGCCACTTGCTCTCGTCGAGATAGATTATGAGGAATACCACCACGTATGTCGTCAAATCACTGCAGTACTACCTTTGAAGCTTATCTATATTAATTTACTAACTATTCATATCTATAGCTCACTCTTGTCTTCAGCTTCCTCTCCGGGCTTATCATGCCCCTCGTCAAAATCTCCATCCTCCTACTCCTCCTCAAGATTGGCAGTGTTTTCGACAACCTTCGAAAAGCCATCTGGGTCTTCATCGTCATTTCTGTAATCAACTGCATCATCGTACAGATGCTACTCCTCTTCCAATGTCCCCAAAAACCGGATGATACTGCCGCCGACAAGACCTTTGGCGGCCTCGAATGTATACCAAGGAAAATGCTTGGCAGGATTAATATCTACCAGGCTATCTTCAATATGTCGACGGATGTCTTTGTGTTCCCGATCCCGGTTTATATTGCATATAAGATGCGAATGGCGAGTTTGAAGGATAGATTGATGGTGGTGTTCCTTTTCTCTCTGGGATTACTGTAAGTCTTATTAGGCCTTTCGTATATTGCCACTGTCTTTATATATACTGACCATATCAATAGCGTCACCGTCATCGGCGCTATCCGTGTCTACCTCGTCTACGAAGAAAGAGTCTACATCAAAGCCGCCCCAGATTGGACATGGGGTGGCTCAGTCTGGGTCCTTCAACACCTCGAATGGACCGTCGCAATAGTCATTGCCTGCGTCCCTAACTTCCGCACCCTCGTCGGCCGATGGTTCCGACGCAACTCCAATCGAAGTACCCAAATCAACGTCGGAAGTCTAGATGCCAGTGGCAGTTTATCCCCCGCATCGATCAGATTTTCAAAACATAGCAAAACCCCGATCTTGAAGAACGCACCAATGGATAGTATCATGGAGCTGGAACATGTGGACTATCCGGCTGGGACCGGGAGCGCGGATATTGATCTTGAGCAAGCGCTCAAGATGGAATTGAAGGAGATTAATCAGTTGAAGAGAGAGATGCATTTCCAAAAGGAGATCTCGGTTTGATTTGATAATGAATTGTGGGAGATATACGTGGATGATGATATGGTTGATTCTTTATGATGTGATTTCCCCCTCACTAATGCATTGCATATGGCATTCCTTAGCTTTTAGGAAGCCTATATCGATCTTTTGATCCTTTTCGTTTCGTTGTCACATTTTTATATTATTTTTGTTTAGGATACCTCTGTATATACCTCTTGGACAGCTGGAGTTTTTGACGGATACCTTTTGTATTTTTTTTTTGGACACACCGGTCGTTTATTCGTCTGGGTCAAAGTACTATAGGAGCATTTAATGGCTTTCACGAGTACATAGTACCCACCTGCATGCATTTGCATCAAGCGTTCTCTTCCAATACCATTCATTCGAACACTGATTTTATAAGCCAATTCCAAAGGAAACGAAAATCTAGTGGGGAAAATCGATTGAAGCTGTAGATATGTTTACATGTTACCTAAGTAGATATAATGTATGTAACCATATGAAGGTCGTTTACTCCTCCACTTATAGCTATGGTCTCCAGGAAAGATACTAGGCCATCCTGCCTTGGATAAAATGCACCGTTTGTATACCAGTTCAACTTCCGGGGAAATGGCGCGCAGCTACACCAACGAAAATTGCAGGGTATATCGGTTATTATAACCATCTCAATATACCACAAATCTCGTCTTGTAGCGCTTTGTGTAACACAAGCTAGAAAGCAGCAGGATACGCGCAGTACTAGGCAATTAACTGGCATGAATACATTCAGTCTTGACTGCTATATATCCGAATTCCAAGTATTTGACCTTTATCCTCAAACTGCTGGGATTCTGAGACCTCGTGCAAAAATATACTTGAGCTTGAGTTGTAAATACTGTGGATTTGCGGTAATAGGAATGTGGTTTTATCGACATTTGAAATATACATATAATTTTCATGATCTATTCGAATTCATATCCTATTCGCCACGACTAGATAGACTCAAGCTCTCCTTCATACTGTTATATACATTTACTTGCCTTTTCGAAAGTGATTAATACGTACCGTCCCAATCAATATCAACAGTTCTGCAACCTCCCGGAATAATGTCTGCAAACCCTATCCTTTGAAGGATATATCTCTAGGTAGCAAGGAATTACTACAGTAACAACATACATGTATATATTTACATGTTTCATCGCGCTAATATTTGCGAGACACATAATCTGAGTGTCCGTATCATTTGTTATAGAACTCCATCAGCCCACTAGTTATAACTAAGTAGTTGAAGTAGCTATCTTGGCAGCGTTGCATATTTACAACTGACTCCCGTATATTTTTTCGTGCAAACGAACCTCGCATTAACGAGCTCGAGCGGGGTCGTCGAAATAGCTATCCTGTGGAGGATAGTTACCGCGTATGTGCATAAACATTGTCTCGTTGCCAGACTCCTCAACTGTGGCATAAACACAAAAATGATAAAGGTCGCAACACGCCAAAATCCGGCGAGGAGAGCGGGGAATGATGTTTAAATTGAAGCATACTTGCCGCCTTTGAATTTTATCGTTTTCCCCTTCACAGTTCCTATTTCTTTCCAGTTTCTAATCAATACCCATATTGTAACTACTTTCGACCAGGCTTACATACCAATATATTCCTAAGCCGGGCCCAATATTCGAAGTTTCGAAACTGCAACAATATGGCGACTGTAACCACAGACCCTGCTCTTACCAGGCGCCCCACCATGGTCCGCACTGGAACTTTCACCATAGTCCGCACTGGCACCTTCACCATAGCTCACGCCGCTAACAAGGGACAAGACTCTCGCTGCTGGCTCGCAGCCAAGACCCGTTTCCGTGAACGCGTTAAAGACTATGATAATCCACCAAAACCCGAGCAACTTGAAAATTTTCTATTCAGCAATTCTAACGTGAAAAATGCAATTTCAGAGTGTGAAGAACTGAAATCTAAGGCTGATAAGCGGTATAAAGGGAAAGTTAGAAAATTGCTGGAGGTATTGAGCTTTATAAAGGATACTGGAGACGCTGTTTTAACATGCGCACCGGAGACTGTGAGCATTGCATGGGGGGTTATCAGCTCCCTTATAAGTGTCAGTATTGGAACTGTGATATTAATCTTTTGATTAATTTACCGTAAGGACCTTATATTAATTTATTGGTGGTTCAGATTGGAGTCAAAGATATGGAGAGCTGCGACCAAATCTCGGAGGCTTCAACGAACATTGTCACTATAATCTTGAATTGTCGGCTCTATGAAAACCGCCAGCGGAATTCGAATGACGCAGAATCAATTGAGCTTACAAACCGGATTACCGAGGCGATTGAGGAGCTTATAACGGTTATTCTAGAGTTCTGCTGGTTCGCGAGTAGGAAGTTTGGAGGTGAAAATAAGCACAGTGCGTTATCAGGGCTCCACAGTCGATCATAATTATTCCTTTTCGACACCATTGATAAGCCGAGTTCACAGAATGGATCTTCTAATACTTTGGGATCTCATAGAAAGATTTGGAAACATCTTAGGTCTCAAATCAGCGACGGCGAATGAGAAGTATGAAGATATTGTCAGCAAATATAAGGGGCTTAGGGGTATGGCTAGCATTCAATTTGAAGAAGATATCATTAAGTGGCTACATGGCAAGTCTTTACCTGAGTCCTCTTTTCCTTTAAATTTATATCAAAACGTATATCTAATAACTGCGAATTCAAATAGAGATGAAAGCACAAAGCTCCGAACTGGCGGAGAGACTAAAACAAGAAAACGAAGAATCACTGAAAGCCTTGATCTTCCCCAATCTAGATGGTAATAGAACTCACAAGCAGTACCCAACTATTACTTCAGAGGTAGGATTCTTAAAACTAATACCCATAATCTCTAGAAATCAGTGGGAAGCTCGAATTCATCCACACCGACGTCTCCGCTATCAGATCTCAAGTCGGCGACATATCTCAAGAATTTAATAAACTCAACGATTCAGAAAAAATTAGAATCCTAGAACAAAGAACCAATGAAAAATTCGAAAAACTATACAGGGACCTGAAGCCGTCAGATGCCCACCTACGACAGTTCGGCCTCACTTTAGAACCTCTTCTCCAAAGAGTTCAGACTGCCCGTTTATCGCAATGGTTATTTGACAATGAACACTACAGGTCCTGGGTGAGAGGAAATCAGAAATTCTTCTATCTCAAAGGCCAGGCGGGTTTTGGGAAATCGGTAACAATGGCGCTTGCGATTGATCAATTATTACATAATGCTTCAAGAAGTCCATTGTCAAACTTTAAAATGCGGCACCCTAGGCTGCACTCGGCAGTCTATGACGACGCGGCAATATCTCCGATGGATAAAGATTGTCCTGTCATATTTTTCTTTTTCAAGAGAGGGGACGATGGGACACAACTGGCGGAAAGCGCTATCTCATGCCTCCTGACGCAATTGTTACATTTTTATTCTGGTAATACTAGAGAAGAAAAGGAAATCTTGATGAAAATCTTGGAAGTCCGGCATCCCATCAAGAGCAAGGCCGAACTTGGGTTCAAAGGCGATGAGCCTAAGCCCGAAGATCAGGAACTTTCGATTACCCCAAATATAAACAAACTAAAAGGGATTGTCGAAGCGATGAGGAGAACAGTCTACATCGTTATCGATGGTATCGATGAATGCACAGACTATGAAAGCTCTGGGCTGGTGTCGGAATTGGTAAGACTCGGAAGACCTAAGGAAGGAAGCGTCAAGTTTCTCTTCTCTAGCCGCGAGGGTTTGGACGTAGAAAAGTTTTTTGCAAAGGGGGAAGCGGTCATAGAAGACAATAAAACCACAAATCCAAATGGGATCCTTTGTCAGATCCACGACGATGCCACTATATTAACCGTCGATAGGTCCACGAACGAGGTAGATATGCGAGTCTACCTTAAGGATTCTCTTACGGAACTTCTTGGCCTTCATCCCACCCATCACCGGTATTTCAATACTGCATTTTCACCAACATTAGAGAGAGAGAAAACATCGCTCAATAGCAAACAAAGCAAGGAGATCCAAAGCATGGTAGAGACGATCCAAAAGAAGGCGGAAGGTATGTTCACATACAGTGCCATGGTCATCGCAAGCTTACGACAACCATCGCCATTATCAATCAAACGACGAATCAAAGAGCTTCCAGATCAAATGGATAACCTATACACAAAACATCTGGAGTCCCTCACCATGCCACAAAAGGAGCTGGTTCTTCTAGCACTTAAAAGGGTCGCTTTTGCACCTCAAGCGATGAATACCTTGGAGATTGTGGACCAATTCAAAAAAAGATACTTAGATTCAGAGGAAAGCACCGATCCTTCTGATTCTTTTGCTGCCGATAGCGACGACGAGATAACGGAAGCCGGAGGTCATATATACCATTCGTCATTTAGAAGCCGCGGGCAGAGAGTTTTTCAAATTTTCCAATGAAAAGCGAACGATTGGTGTCATCCACAAATCAGTTCTGGATTGGGTTGAGGGGGAGACCTCCAAATCCCAAAAAATATTCTCCCGTCAGATATCTATCGCAGAGGTTTTCGGATTAGATGAGTATGGGCAGATGAAGATTACGGTTCCCAGTATGTACCAGTTACCCGATCCTACGATCCTAGATCTCGAAATGGATCTTAAGATCTTTAATCGAAAGTCGCTGATTAATTCCATAACAGGGTCTTTAATCGGCCCTCATTTGGCTCCGGAAAACTTTCCAAGTAAAAGGAGGCATATCTAGATATCTTGATTTATACTTGTAAGCTAAGACGCCTTTACCCAAGTTTACAATTTAAAAATATCGAGTGCTCAGCTAATTCCAACCGTCCGGCCTATTAGTGGAGGTCTTAGCAAGCAAGGAGTTTCAGGACAGATACATTCCCACAGATTACCCCGTCGAAAATCCCAATTCATCGGAAAACCCATACTGTCGCCGATATTCGGCCCCTCTGGATACCGCGAAAAGGGAAAGACTCGCAGCTACTTTAGGAACCCCTGGGCACTACCGCGGTGAGCTAACCCACCTCACCTTCTACATGCGCAATATCAGCGAGCTCTGGGTGTACAATGAACGCAAGGGACCTAAATGGACGAAACTATTCTTGCTTCTCCGCAAACTCAGCCATCCCAGAGTCTTTATCAAATGGTCAACTGAGCTTCTCCTCCTTAACAAGACCATTGATGATTTAGAAGATCCTAAAGGACTACACCAATTAATCACCCCCGGCGTTCTCGCGGCACAACTTAGGTGGGGATTATACCTTGACTTCCTTGTAGGGGATGCAGAGTTCAACTACGACCTAGATTTTGATCTGCGGCATCCCTCCAGATTTGGCTTCACAATCCTTCACATCCCTGATATTCTTCTCTTACCCGAGAGTTTCGAACTAATCATGAAGAAAATATCGATGCGACCTGGAGGCTACCTTTACAATTTAGAGGACGAAGATAGAAACACTCCTTTTTTAATTTGTCTCCTGATGGTAAGGAAATGGCACAGGGACGGGACCAAACAACTTTGCTTAATAAGAACCATGATGGCCATCTTGAACTATGACCTCGAACCAGACCTACGCTTAAACCGAGCATGCAATCGTAGATTTCGGAGGGAGTTCATTCCCGGTTTTCCCCCATACACAAATCCACCTTTAACCGCTGCTCTCTTGCAAACTTTCAATCTTCCTTTGATATCCTGTGTTCTAAAGAAGTACGCAGGCGAACCTATGTTCTTGGATCTCAACTTCCCCGATCCTTGGGGTAACAACATTCTCCCCTTCGCACTGCAGATGAATTTTCCGACCCACGAACTGCGTATCGAGATCTTAAGGTTGCTACTTGAATTTGATATAGATCCCAATGCTCGAACCTGGGAGGGCGTAACCGCTTTGGAAGTCGTGACCCGAAATCTGGACGAAGATAGTGTCAAACTCCTCCTAGACTACGGTGCAGACGCTTACCGTATCAACACGGATGGTATTACTATTTTCATGGCTAGAGTAGACGCAAATAGAAGTGCAGGCCCTAGCGAACAAAACGAATTCGAGGAAAAGGTCATATCTAAACTGAAGCTCCTTAAGCATCATGGCGCGGATATTACCATTCAGAGAAGGGGTTATGGCGGGACGGCAATTATGCAGGTGCTTAGAAAAGGCTATCTTCTGGTTGCAGATGCAATATTACAGATGCATAAATCTGAAACCGAGCCTGGCGATTGCGCATACCTCATGAAACAGAATTTAGATGGAGAAACATTGCTACATACTGCAGCAAATTACGGTAGATTCACGGCCCTCGCACAAGCTAGGTTTGTTATTGATAACATCAATGATAACCTTGTCCTACAATTTTTGGGGAAGAAAAATGTGTCCTCTCAGACGGCACTGGACATTTCATTGCAGGATAGTGAGCGACTAGAGCTAGCTAGCTATCTTGTGGCTTGTTATTTCAAGTATTCTAGGATGAACAGAGAAGAAACTAAAGGTGAAGAGCTCTGGCTGCCTAGGCATCTTGCTTGCCGGCTTTTTTGGTCTTCATACCTAGATTCAATATTAGAATCTATGGAAAATTCGGATTCCATGAGGCCGGTTTATGATGCCCTAACTAAAACTCGGCCATATTCTAAATGGCTACTTCACCCACTAGCAGGTACTAGTCATGGAAGGCTATTATTGGAGATCGTAGAAGCCGGAGCTGGAGCAGCGGAGTTCGAAGAGGATGAGGAAGGTTGGGATATGTTCGACTGGGCTTATGCATATGGCCAGGATTTAGCAATACTAAAAAGTTCTCAAAGCATGGACTATGAGAGTAGGAGGCTGGAATGGGAAAAAAGTGAAATGAAAATCGAGAAATGGGAAATAGAACACGATTCTATCGAAACTATAGACGGACTACAAATCAAATTTTTCGAACAATCCTGTTCGAACGGTAAGTACTGTTTGATAAGACCCGCACTGCTCTTACCAGATATGGCCTCAAGACTAATATATTCAATATCTTACTACTAAATATAGAAAATCCAAGGGTTTATAAAATATTCAGCTTCATAACAAAATATCCAGTATCGCCGTACGCCAACCTATTTTATTACGAAATCACCATTGTGCAAATGTAAGTCTCTAACATTAACACTTCAGAAAATTTGCGTTTCTAAAAAGTTCTCACGCCTCTAACCCCTCGCACAGTGGTCAAGGCCTCTATCTAGGATTTACAACCGACTGTCCTAATTTACATGATAAAGTTGGTATTGATGTATGGGCCAAAGCCTCCTTCGGTCTAAGCAGTAATTCCGGGTACGCATATGTCTCTGGAAAAGGCGAAGCCTCAACTTCGTCGGGGAATGCGGAAATAAAAATTGGAACAGGAGATATAGTCGGGTGTGGATACGACCAAGAGTCTCACGAAATCTTTTGGACGTTGAATGGAAAATACCTGGGAATCTATGTAGCAGGCGTCAGACTACGGTTATGGCCAATGATAAGTGGCGCGGATCTCGATATCGACACAAATTTTGGGGCAAAAGATTTTGTTTGGAAAGGCGAGAGGGAATTGTCTAAAGACAAGGATAGTGACGCTGATGAGGTTTAGGTTGAGCTGAGCGACTAGCATGTAGTGTATGAGTGCTTACTGGTATAATCTAAAGCAAATAAAGTACTTAGTCACTAGCCACTTAAGTATATATAGTTATATTCATCACAGAAGATTACTCTTGGAGATCGTGGAAGTTGGAGCTGAAGCAGTAAAGTTTAAATAAGATAAAAAAGGTTAAAATACATTTGAGTAGGCCTATGCATATATGTAATATTTGGTAATATTAAAAAATTCTTAAAATATTAATTATGAGAATAAAAGACTAAAATAAAAAAAAGTTCAAATGAAAATCAAAAGGTGGAAGATAAAATATGATTCTATAGAAATTATAAACAAACTTTAAATTAAAATTTTCATACAGTCTGAATTAAATAGTAAGTACTGTTTAATAAAACCATCACCGATGACGATGAGCTTGCCATGAACAAGATCTTCAAGATTAAGATGAGCGGCGCTCTGGTTCGCGAAAACAAAAAAGGAGGTATCGATTGGTACCGCTATCAACAAGAAATTATAATACCAAAACTCATATCCTTCGCCAAACAGTGTGGTGAACAGTTCGGAAGAGAATATATTACTCAGGAGGATAAGGCGCTATCGTATAATCACCATGTTCAAGAAGCTGTTTACATTGCAATCTGCATTAGGTTATTCGATTACCATGGCCAGGTAACTCACCAGATCTCAATATTATTGAGTTTTGTTGGTACTATTTAAGGCAGAAGATTACCAGACATGGAGCACCAACAACTAGAAGTGACATGGAGGCGGCATGACTCGATAATGATTAGTTTTGTTTTGTAAATAGTCATTTTTAGAGTGAAATTTTAAAACTGTTGCTTTGGTGTACTCTGGTTTCATTCTGAAAGTAAATAAAAACTCACGGGAAAGAAGTCCCGGTAAAGGGCATTGATTGAGAAAGGTACAGGGCATTGACAAAGTGAAGAATTTGCCTCGTTGAGACAAGTCTTGAGAGGTGCGAAGGAAAACTGTCTGACAAGACGACCTATTTAGATTGCGAGATTTTGAAACAAAGAAGGGTTTAAAGCCCGCAGACCTATAAGAGCCCCTAGAGCCTTCAAGATTGGGCCAATCCTCTTAAGCCTTAACTGGGGCTGGGATATCGGTGGTGTAGACGTAGTTGGAGAGAAGGCGGTCCCCCTTATCACCGGCTGCCATATAGAAGACGACGATATCATAGGTTCCCTCTTCATTGACCTTAGGTACGAGACTCAATGCCCCGTTTTTCAAAACACCCAGATTAAGATCCTGCGGCGTCTCCTGTCCAGGGTTGGTGAAGTTAGTCCGAACGACATACAAGTTGCTATACTCCTCCTTTACATCTTGAGCAGTCAAAGTCTCTGACCCAACATAGAAGAGGAAAGCGCTGTCCTCAATTGCACAACCCGCATGTGTCGTCCAGCCCTGTAGCGTATTTCTTTTCATGGCAGTAGTACCCACGAAGCTCACCGGGAAGACTTTTTGGAAAAAAGAAAATTAGTACTGCGCTTGCTTAAGGTATATATCCCGAGGAAGCAATCGCGTCCCCGGCGGATACTGATTAGACAACTTACGGTCACCCTCACCCGCCTTGCTACTGAGTGGTTTCCATCTGAGGGTATAGTTGTCCGATCCTTGATAAACAACGTAACGACGGTTGCCTTTCTTATGATAGAAGGCAGAGATGCTCGATTGCTTGCCGACGCCGTCGAGTGGCACATCTTTTGCCTTTCCAACTCTAGAGCCATCTCCTTCAAGCGCGTATTCCTTTACTGTCCTTCCGATTGGTTTGTCCCTATATTGTTTTTTTTAACTGCTAAGTATGTTTTTCGCTTGAATCAGACACATATTTCTTATAGAGCTTACTCAAGTTCATATAGCCATCCCTGTCTCTGGCCATCACCGGTACCCGCCAAGGCGTTAATGTTGGTGGTAAGATCAAGACCTGCAGTAGATGGGCTCACGGAGAGAACGATATTCTCATTCCTTTTGGTATACTTGGAAATGCCGTAGACGCGAATCTTAATTTGAATAGCTTTGATTAGTCTAGGTGAATGGCAATATTGAGGGCTTAAATTACGATCATCAGACTGCATCGGAACGTACCTGGCTCTTGTACTTAAGAACAACGAGTGGTGTACCAGGGAGTAATGGACCGAGATCCCAACCGACTCCCGGAGTTGGTTGTTGGTATTCCGCAAGCTTAAGGCCTTCAGAAGTCAAATTGTTCGTGACCTCGGTCTTCATACCAAGGTTGCGGTAGGCAGTGGTATAAAACTCGAGGACCTCAGTATTGTCCAAAGGGTTCAAAATGGCGGCAATGCCAGTAAGGGTTGTATCGTTGCATTTATTCCCGACGATGGTAGACATGGCTGCTGGGATGTTTTGATCCAAATAGGGACAGCTTGTATGGGAGTCTGAACAGGAACTTCGTGTGTCTACGTTATGTTCCGAATAGGGAATATCTGAGTGGTCTTCTGGACTTGGTTGCTTAGGGCAGAATAGTGAACAAAGAACGAGAATTGGTTTTGTAAGTTTGACTACGAGATCAAAGCTAAGAGAGATAGTGATGATGTGAGAAGATGTTTTCTGGTCTGGTATTGAAGAATTTTCTACAGACTGGTGGGACACCTCGCCTTTTATAGACAGAGATGAAGCGATATCCGCCATCGAGCGATTACTATGGTGTATACGTAAGAAAAGGTCTCCAGTCCGACCCGCAAGAAATTGTAATATTTCTTTTGAGATAGTCAGGAGATAGCTGTTTGGTAAACGTGAAAGGCTCTTCACGCGGGAGGTCCTTTTCCTGCCATCTCATTGCATCGTCGTACGTTGTAGATAACTCGGACTACAAAGTCATTGCAAGAGAATATGGCCATCGGCATCGGCTCCAGGCGTGATTGGACGACAAAGACATCAATGCACTACACTGAAGCCTAAAAAACTATGTAAGTTCTCGATATTACTCGCTGGCTATGCATCAGCCATTTCAACGCCTAGACGCCAGTACGCACTGTGAATCCAAATGGGGACCTGCACAATCGATTAATCTACAAAATATGTAATTTAAATTTCAGCTCCGATCGGAAACAATAAGAGAAGCTGAAGTGAATTTTGTGGCGTATAATACCATCAAAGAGGGTGAAGAGAGAATTTTCAGCTATTCCTATATGCGACGGTCACGCGATATTAACCTTTGATGTATACAATATCTACACACGCTTTCGCCGAAAGCTGCGAGCCTGGGATCCAAAACCCCTTTTTACCTAACCATTATTAAAAGAGGATGTCTCAGTATCTAAGTGATTTTAGATCTAGAAGAATAAGTAATTTTTATGATATCTTCAAAGCTGTCAAAAAATAGAATTCTGACTCGATTTGACGGCAGTTTTTGAAGAATAATGGAAAAATAGTAGAAGAATGCAACAGCACAACACGTTCTGACTCAATTACATAACGAGTTCTCGATTTACCAAGATAATTAGCCAGGAGACTAGTCGTAACGTCAAAGCCGATTTTTTGCAGCTCGCCAAGATAGTTTAGCGGAATTCCTAAAGATAAGCTTTCAAATTTGAAGACGAGAAGGTCTGGAACATTGAATTCCGCTTGCAAGGCTCGGCTCGCATGGAAGCTAAGTTCGCAAATAGGAATCGCACACAGGAGAGTCGCAAACACGGATCGCACACAAGAGATTTGCATACACGGGCCGCACACAGGGACCGCATAGAGTAAAGCAAATATGCAAAAGAGTGTGACTTAACAGGCCAGATATGCATACTGATGCATGAGAAAGCCGAACTGCGAGTGCTATTCATCGGTAGTTATAACCAAGCTTCTGCCTTTGTCTAATATGTCGCATTGCGGATCTCGGTTAGAATGACATTAAATTTCGGGTGGCGAGAGTCCACGGATTTCCCGTCATTCCACCCACGCACAAAATAAACACAAATCAACATCTCTAGGCACCAGGAAGTCGCGATGTGCGATGAGCACGAAATTTTGTACTAGTACCTACCAAGCTGCGCAGAACCTACTAGAATGAATCAGATTTATCAAGCGAATTGAACAATAAAGCATGCCGGACCAAGTTAGCCAGTCGGATATTCTAGGACGGGACAATCAAAGTGAGCTGAGAAGGAGACCTATATCTGCAGCTGATCTTATAACAGAAAGCATCACAACTTCGTGAAAAGATGAGGCATATCGCAAGCGCCGTAGTACGCCATGGCGTTTTTGTTTCCACAAAGTGTCCTGAGTTCGTAGGTTTTGGAGTATCCGGTGGCCACGCTAGCTATCAACCTGATATCAGAATTATAACCAGAAAGCGGACTTGACTCCGCACCTTCAGCCCCAGAAGTCACGATCAAGCTTGACAATTTAGAGGAGCTGGCGAGAAGTTGTCCCATATCACTCATATGAACATTCCAGATATGTGATATTTGCGGGTTTACATCAAGCATTCACACACTCGATGGAGTGCCTTTGTCCCTTTTTACCCGATCAATCGCATTCGACGGCTGAAGATTTTCAGCCCTCGACCGATTTATCTATACCACGGTAAATATACATTCTGAGTAGCTCAAAGACGCCCACAACTATGGCCGCTGGAGCTCCTATCATGCCTTGTAAATCATTTCATGAGTAGCCAAGGAATCATCCTAGATCTCAGCTTTCAGTTTCCTTTTGATCGGAAATTACACAACATTTCCGTAGTAATCATAGGTGCTCACAGAGCATACGTAGTGTAGTGATATATATACTGGCAGCAGCAACTGGCTCTTCACCTTAGATCTATAGAAACCAATCCCTTCTGTCTCTTTGCCATATTTAATAGCCACACCAAAGTTATCCAAGACTACCAATATGAGCTCGTCAAAGTTACTCCTCACCCTTTTGGTGGCCTCCTTTACAGGTATTTGGAATACATGTCCTAGAATCCAAGCGATTTGTGATTGTTTGCTGATCAAATCTTTCTATAGCTGCCCAATTTCAAACTCCTCCTCAATATATCTTCGGCCAGCTGAATTCGAAATGCCCGGATGATGCCCGTTGTGCCGCGACGCGGTACCCAACAGTCACGGAATACTATGGTGAACCAGTCGTTGTAACTACAACCAATACAATCATAGATGTCACTGTTAGTTTGACCTGTTTACCGCTCCTTTATTCCTATTTCGAAATTTCTTCAATCTCGAAGGGATTAAACAAAAGACCTTGCTGAAATTAAAGGGATGTTTAGGTACATACTTCCACTCTTACCCATTATGTGGCTGTTGTCGAGGCCAAGCCAATGGTGAACGAGCCAGGTAGATTCTATCCAGTATTTGACAAAAGAAAGAGTCGATCCGTTCCTAACCCAACTGATTAAACCAGCTGTATGCGAAAGCACCATCATCAAACGGGTAGCACGCCCAGAAACCGTCACTGTCATGTATAATCATACCACAATTTCGCACGAGTTTACCGGTGTAGTGACAACTGAGACGGTCACCGTACCATGGACGTCTACGACCACGATAGCGTGCGTGCGCGAGGTTGGTGGTCCACATGATCATGGTCATGATAGCCCCTCGAGCTCGGCGCCGGTACCCCCAACCCAACCTTCCCCAGTCGATACTCCCCACAGGGATGACTACGGATCCTATCCACCTGTAACACCTGACCTCGACCCCGACTTTGAAAATTAATGAGTAAGCCATTAGCATCCACTCATCTTGATCGCTAATGATTCTAGCAAAGGCTAACGCTCAACGACGCAATAGCATAAATACCTCCTTGATAATCTAACGAACTCCAAGTGGTAATATGAAGGTTTATCTTTCGTCTCGGTCGTGTATTAGTACTTAAGGCTATAGTGTTAACTATAAGGCCTGTTGTTACAGATTTTTTTGAAAGATTTTCTCCAACTTTTGCCTCCGTAATGTACCATGTTATCTATAGAGCCGATCGGCTTGACGCAGTTCCGCTTTAGTTATTGTTGTTTCAGTCTTCTTTCGATAGTCTTGGTATCTTGTATATGCTGCTTAATTAAATATATTCTTAGTCCTCAATTCCCGTTCTCTCTGAAATCCCCGATCCAGGCATTTTAGAAGCAGGAATGTAACCCATTCTTTGAAGAGAAATTTTAAAGACAATGATCTAATGGGAACCAAGACCCAAACTTGAGACCCTCGCATAATATCCAGGTTTGAATGGAAGCAGCATTGATGCTCCAGCGCAAATGAGCCGGGATGAAACTTCGTCGGTACAATCTAGCACGCCGCCGCCTCCTCTGCCCCTCAACATATAGTCCAAAGTCTCTTGTCCTTGATGTTTGGAAGCAGTCTCATAACCAAAGTGTATTAACTCCGCCTTGATGTTTGGAAGCAGTCTCATAACCAAAGTGTATTAACTCCGCCTTGAGGGTCCTCAATGAAGAGTTCAGTGGCGCCGCACGCTCCGGTCCAGACTCACTGCCAGCTTCGAAACAAAAAAAAAATTATCAGTGCTTGCATGATCTATTGCCGTTTGGGTAAGTTGAGCGGCTTCCCCACACCGTGGTTATCAATGATTGGCTTGTCAGTAATGCATACAATGCAATGGACAGGATTGTATGCAAGCTGTAGGACCGAGCCCTGCCTCAGGCACCTGCATTCGAGGCTAGCAGCCTGGACTTTGCATATTTCCACGAGGCCGTCTTTCTACCAACAGACGGCTGGCTACAATACTATTGTCTACAATTCCCACAATACATTTTTCCTATGCAGTGATCCTTGTACGTGGCTTCCCTGTGTGCGATCCGTATATGCAACTAGACATCAGCCCACTTTCCGCACTCGGAAGTCACTCATAACTCTTCTTCTATATAGCGCTGCAGAAGAACTGACCTTTGTGTGCGCGATCGGTCCGTCGTTAAACTGGGCGGTCCCCAGCTGTCAAACCCTGGATCGAGGCTAAGCCCAGACTATGTATGTATGTATTCCCTAGATATGCATCTGGTCTAGCTTTGACTATCATTGGGCCAACACAAGCATCTAGCCTCGAGACCAGGCGCAGGGTGAGGGCAGAGACAAGCATCAAAGATTCCGAATCCAGAATATGCATGCCTACATATATTTGTAGATAGCTAGGTGTTACTTCGATTTGTTTCTGTTTGCTTCCATATTTTCCTATTATTCATGTTGGCCATTAGGAATCAAACCTCGTGGAAATTCCCTAGTGTGAGCTTTACGGCCTGTAATAATATAGCCAGGCCTCCCCTTTGCAAATTTTGCGACACCTAGGTACAGGGCCAAGCAAGATTCATACTATAGTTTAAATCCTCGACGTCCGAAAGAGTTGGAGGGAGCTTAGCTATTCCTCGTGTTCATTTGCGATTATCTATCGCATACTATATATATATACTGACTGTCCCGGTTTCCATTAAACTTGGTTGCATCACATCTGCTCCTGTTTAAAATCTGTTTTAAATTTACTACCTTTTTGTGATTATTCACGGAAATATGCAACGTGCATACGCAACGCGGAGAATTGCATTCAAATGAGCTTGCTTAGAGAAGACCATAATTAATAACTAGGCCAGCGCAACAACTTCTCCAACTATTTTGAGACAATTATCGTCGGTGTCGGCAACAGATGAGCTTTATATCGACACTAGCTAGCTACTATTGTAGGAAAGAGCCCAGCTAGGTTAGTACTGCAGTATCTGTACTATAGCCACTATGGAACGGTAATTCGCAGAAGATTCGAAATCAGGCTCCCCCCAAAGCAAGTCTCAACTTTGGAAGATGGCCATAAATTATTATCGGTATATTTTTGGGTAAACAACCTCATCGCCAGTGTCATTCACGCGAGTCGGCTTAAATATCCATTAACCATACATATCACAATCATCTTCTGTTGGAACCTTAATTCTCCCCACGCTAGGTAGTACTACCAACTCTAGGTAGCGAAGTTACTTCAATCAAATTTTGACTCGAGAAACTAAAATACACAATATGGCCAAGTACTTCCAAGCGATCTCTCACGATCTCGATGATAACCCCCGACCTATATATCATCTCATAGAAATTGAAAATACCAAATCATTTTGATATTTACACGTATATATAAGGAGAAGCACAGACGGGTGCAGCCCGAAAAGCCCGACCCTCCGCATTGCGCATATTGAGCGGCTAAGCAACTGCCAGAGCCTATAGGGTGAATTCGATATTGAAATCAAGCTCGAAGGATGAGTGTCGAGTGCGATCTTTCCCTTTCAAGCTTTTATTATGCGCAACAGCATCGGAGATAGAAAGGTTATTTAAGAAATGATTCCCTATCTGCCGTACCTCGATTTTCTACGCAAAGTGAAAATATTAATATTAATATTGCCGAGAAGGATTTCAAAATTGCTTCTCCGTTAGAATGTGTTACATCATATACTATGCATCGAAGGTCAACTAGCATAAACTAATAGAATATGCAATAATGAGTACTTTCGTATACATACCAGTAATTCGGTATGGTATGGCTCAAAACCTTGCCGTAGATCTGTTCCAATACACCATTACAATTAGATTTAATCTAATATAGGTACATATACGGTACTTAAATACCCAAATATATGACTAAAAGTCCCCCCAAAAAATTAAAGAAATCAACCCCATTTCTTAGTCCAAAATAAATCCTTCCTTCCTCCCAGGATCATGTATATTCCCACCAAAATTAATCTAATACCTCCTTAACAGAATACTGTACCACCTTCAAATATACCACATATATACTAAATACCAATTAGCCGCTAACTCTTGCATACATACCTATGCTCAAATCCAGACACTCCTGAGACAGACTAGACACACCATAATCGAAATGCCATACTCCCCAGTCCGAACCCACAGTGTTGCGCAACGTTGGATAACCAAATCCGGAAATCCGTCCTTGGCGCGCGAACCGACAACCTCACCTCCTACGAACCGATCGATACCGTTCAATTTATTCAATTTATTCAATTTATTCAA